AGGAAAATCCCTATTTTTTGCTCAAAAACCTACCTTCCGAGAGTGAACAAAAATTTTTGATATATAAGTGATAATTAGTATAATGAAATCTAGAGCTAATTCTGTTTAATTTTAAACAAATTGCTTTTTAAACATAAATTTTATAAATTAAATTAATATTTGCTTTCCAATTTTTGCGAATTAGGATTTTTTTAAATTTCCAAAAAAAATATTTTCTATAAATTTATATATAAATTTTTTAAAAAAAAAATTAACCCCCTCCATGAGTGAACAAAATTTTTTTATTCACTCACGGAGGGGGGATAATTAAAATATGGCGTCTTCTTCTGGGCATGGCCTTCCGGCCATGCATACTCGACTCATATTTTAATTATACCCGGCAAGGTTTTGCATTTCAGAAACGGACGGCAATGCTAGGTAAGCAATTCTGGTTGTGTTCAGAGCCTAGCCCAAGTCTACTTTCGGGAATGTTTTTTTCCTCATGGGAAAGGAGGCACGCAAGTTGGAAAGGGGAAGCTCAGCCAAGTCCGTTAGGACCAATCGGGCAACTCCCTAGCGTGAAGCTGGGCGTTACGTCCCAGGCTTCGTGTTTTTCCTTTTTGCCGAAAGCTACCAGAAAATCCATTTTTTATGGATTTTCGGAATGGCAACCCATGTCCTCAAGCGAAGTAGCTCAGGCATGAGCCGCCTTAGTCGGCAACACTGCTCCGGGGGCGCGTACTGGAGATCGAGGCTGACTGGCCCCAGAGGGTCGGCGGGTCCTATGCGGCGAAGAAGCAGCGGGAAGCTCTGGGAGGGGTCACCCCGTGAATGGGCGTTAAATACAGAACCTAATAAGTTAAGTTAAGTTAAGTTATTCACTCACGGAGGGGGAGTTAGTGATTTTTTATTTAATTTATGTTTTATTCAGATATCTCAATTTATATAATTAGGCTGTATTAAGATAGTTCTCATAAGATGGATTTGATTCAAATAAGAATAAATAAAATAAAAGACTATAGCTATTATCAAACTATTGTAACAGAATTGATTCAAAATCGTGAATAATTTTAATCATTTCCATTTTCCCTTTAAATTATAATATCAATTTTATTAATTATTTGATTTATTTCTATCATATTTGATTGCAGATATTTAAATGTCTGGAAGAGGTTATAACTCTTATGGTTCGCAGATACCAATCCTTTTAGAGCGCCTCAAAGAAATTTCACTATCAATGGATCTCCCTTTAATCAAGAGAAATAGCTTTCGAACCGACGCAGCATCAATTATCGAAGACTGCCTTGCAGATGTGACCGATGCGCATAAGAAAGCGAGAGAAACGATAAAGCTTGCTCACAAATTCCATAAAGCTTTTCAAAAAGCATCAACTCATAACGACGAGATTATTCAAAGGAATCAAGAACTCATTAAGAAAATCGAAGCGATGGAATCCCAAATGATTGACCAAGAAGGAGAATTAATTTCAAAAGACCAGAGATGTGAAGTTTTAATGAATGACTTAGCAGACATTGAGAAAACTTTAAAGACCATGACATCTGAAAACAGCCTTCTCAGAAAAGAAGTAATCACCCTCAAACGAGAAATCACACAAAATGATTTGCGGGAAGATTTGCAAGTCTCTAAAAATCAGAACCAAGAAAAAGAGAAAGAGAAGTCTCTTCAAAACGAAATTGCTTCATTACACCTAGAACTCGAAAAGCAAAAAGAAGAAAATGAAGAACTCAATTTTAAAATAAGAGAGATAGACAATTTGTTGCAGGCTGAAAAGGGCGCAGCTGGGCAGCTGAGAAATTTTATTGCTATACTGAAAAGCGAGAATTTGGAATTTTCAAAAGAAATAGAAGGGCTGAAGCAACATAAGATGGATTTGAATGAAAAAATTCTGACTCCCCCCTTTAAATTGAAACAAAATATAGGTAAAATTTCCACTTTTTTGGTAAATTAACCCCCTTTAAATTGGAACAAAATTTAATTTTATAATAAAAAATTATATATAATTTTTATCTAAAAGTTTTGATATAAGTTAAATGTTTCTTCTTAACTAAAATTAAAAATTTATTTATATCTTGCTCTTTTTTAAAGAAAAGAGTATAAAGAGCATTTTATTTAAATAAATTTATTATCCTTAATTGATAAATTTTTTTTTTTAAAAATTTTCAAAAAAATTTTTGTTTTTTTTGATAAAAATGATATTTTTTTTTGGATAGTTTTGATATAAATTCAATAGGAATTCTTTATAAAATTTCAAAATTTACTTATTTCTTGCTTTATTTTAAAGAATAGAGTATAAATAATATCTTATTTAAACAAAATTAGCACTTTGATCGATAAATTTTCTAATTTTTTTTTTAATTTTTTTTATCAATAAAAATAAAAATTTTTGTGTAAATAATTTTGATGCCAATTAATAGTGGCGTATTAACTAATAATGAAAATTTAGTTATATCTTGCTTTTTTTTAAAGGATAAAGAGTAAATAGCATTTTATTAAACAAATTTATTAATCTAATTCGATAAGTTTTTGAAATTTTTTTTTTTTAAATTTTTATATTTTTATAAAACATTTTATATTGATATTTTTTTTTAAAAAAAAAAATTAACTCCCCTTTAAATTGGAACAAAATTTTTAGTTCCAATTTAAAGGGGGGGGGAGTGAGCTTAAAGAATGAGCTGATTCAGCATAAAAGCTATAATGAGCAGCTTGTAAGGGAATATGACAACCAAAGAAGAAGAGCAACTCTCTCAGAAATGCCTAAAGAACTAAAAGCAGCAAATGAGGCTAAAAAAGAACCTCCCAAAATTATGGATCTTGCAAGCGAGGAAGAAAGTAGCAGCGATGAAAGCAGCTTGCATGCAAGCGAAAGCTTTGAAATGGAAACAATTGAAATCCCAATTTCTCAGAAAAGCACAAAAACGAAAACGCCTCCTCAATTGGAAGAAACATTGGGGGATTTCTTTGATGGAGATGAGCAATCCGAAGCCGAAAATAAACTGCTTTTGATAAGTTCTCCTAAGTCAAATTTTAACATAAGCACTGAAGACTCTACCCCAAAAGAAAACAAAGTGTTTGTATTGAGCTCTCCAAAAGGGCAATCAAAACCAGTATATACCTTTCAGACATCTACTGAAAATGAGCTAAAAATATGCCACTATGATGATATCTGTATTATACAAAAGTCTATTCCGTCAATTCAAAGACAGTGTTTTGGTATAGAAATTAACGAATCGATTAACATAAAAAAATGCGAAATAAAACAAGAAAAGTCAAAACAATTGACAGAGAGCTATTTCGACATATCGGTTTATGCCGTAAAGAAGAGTGCTTCTAGTAAAAATTTCAAATTAGAAACCCTATTATTTTCTTCACTATTTCCTAGCAACACAAGAATCAAAAATCTTTTATCAATTAATTCGATAAATCATTTTTCCATACTTTGGCCTAAACGAATATTCAGCATAAGATCAACTGAAGGAATCACAATTCAGAAATTGAAGCACCCCCTTGAAGTGCATAACGTACAGAAAGAAATAATCAAGCCAGCAATCCATCTTTCTATAGATAAAAATGACTATATAGCTCTCAAATGTCTGAGACCTAAAAGGGGAATGGCAATTCAGAAAGCAGAACAATCGCTTGAAATACAAGCTACACATAAAGAAATCACTAAACCTATAATTCATCTCTCTTTGGAGAAAGCCAGTGAGCTGCTTATCAGCAAATGTATGAAGACTCATGAGAATGGTAGAGATTTAATAAATCAATCTCACATGATAAGAGAAAACATTGGACACAAGAAGCTTTGCTTTAGCTTTTTTGAAAGTATTCACATTAAACCAGTAGCAAAGTCACAAACTTCAATCTCAAATGACACCTCTAACTCAAAGAAGTCTCAATATGACTATGGAACATCGCGCGACCCAATTAAAGATTTGTTTATTTTTGTAAGCTTTATATAGATTTGCCAAGCAGCCAAGCTCAATAGTAAATATCGAGATCGGCTAGGATGAGCACCAGTGGATCATCTTTATGATGAGTGCTTACAAAAAAGCATCCCCTTTAACGAGTGGCACGACTATGTAAAATTACAGCTTGAGAAGGATTTCGAACTTGCTAATGGCATAGTATAACGATAAAGTTAATTTTCGCATATTAATAATTATTCAGTTTTTCTTTAGTTATTTTCAGCTCATTGCTTATAACAGACAAGCTTTCAATTGTTTTCGACATGCTCTCCTCAAAAGTTGTGGAAGATTTTTCACTGAAGCCTAAGCCCATATATCGTGGGATCCATAAAAATTCTTGTTTTTCAATCTGCGCTTTCACATAAGATTCTATCCCTGTACATTCTGTGTATCCCTTTTCTTGAATGTAGCCGATATATAGTATGTAGTTCCATTCATTATGATCATAATATGTGTGGCATCTAAATGGCTTACTCGTGACTCTTTCAATCCAATCTCTTTCCATACCGCAGATGAAACATTTTGAGTTTTTATCTTCAAGGCTCTTTTGGCGTCCATATCTTAAAACTGCGAAAGCGTCAATAATCAAGCCTAAAACTACATTCATCACACAAAAACTTACAATAAGAATGAAGGAATTATCATAGACCAATCTTCCGTAATCCATTTTATTGCCAGGAGGCTGAGACAAGTATCCTCCAGGGCTTCAAATGAGTCCTTTCTCTACAACAAAAAGCATGCAAACCCATAAAGTTTCACAATAGCCATCAAATCAATTAGAGAAATATAAAAACCCCGCAACGCTGTATATATATTCAATCGCTATCATGAATATGAAGGTTAAGAGCAATGGCTTTATAGGGACTGTTACTGATTGAATTATGTCTTTTAATGAAGGGAATTGATAAATAACATCGAATAGCAGTAGCGAAAATCAAAATGGGTGCAAGAACTCTCCCAGCATAGAAATATGCCAGTATGCGAAGTAGTAATACACATTTGGGTCTTTAATTATCATAATCACTGTGCAAATCACTTGGGTTAATCTTACTGCTCCGATTTTAAATTTGGATGGATTTTTCAATCAAAAGCCACTGCTTGGAAAATATTTTTTTCATCCTTTGATAGCTAAAACAGGGGCATTTTTGAGGAAAAAAATGATGAATATCAAGCACGAACAAGTTACATGGGCCAATCCAATAGATTTAATTAGATCCAAAGTGTAGGCTGTGTCAAAGTCATAAAATAAAGAAGGGCTAAATAAATTAGAATCACCGTAATATGAATATGACGCAATAATAAAAAAATTTAGAATAATTGAGATAAGGAAAGCCAGATATCTCCAAATTCATATATTTGCTGTAAATGCATTAATAATAGGGTATCTTTCTAAGAACAGCTGGATTTTATATTCAGATTTAATTCGCTGATTAAGCTCTTTTGAAATCATAATCAAATATCTGAGTTTTGCTTGGTCTGATGATCTGTCAGCATCTATTTCAAAAGATGATCTTATTTCTTCACTTATAGCTCGAAAAGATGGTGGCATTGCAAAATAGACTTTTCTAATCTTCCCATTAAAATAAACTTCAACATGAGCTGTGTATTGATTAAAAAAATTATAAGCACTGTCAAACGATCTTGCCTCATCAATAAAAGGGTCGTTCTTATCATGCTTAATTAATTTTGTTACAGTCTTGAATGTATCTTTTAGCAGAGTTGCACTATAGAAGCTTCCTATGTTTGGCGCTGTAAGGCCGATAAATTCTGATCGGAATTTATCGGTAGGTTGCACCAAATCAATGCCTTGGTCTGACCAAAAAGCGATTTGGTCCGACAAATTTGGAAAGCTCCTGGGAAAATGTCTGCGCTTTTAGCGCTATATAGAGGAAACCTCTATAAATCTTCCTATTCCTTCAATAAGCTTCGTCCCTAAGAACTCAGGCCTTTCTTCAACAGAATCCTTTTGAGGGAGTTCTTCAGAGATCTTTTCTTGCACCTCTGGATCGCCATTATCCTGAAAATATCTCATCAAATGATATATCATAAAGCCTGTTTCTATGATAACTCTGAAATAATCTGGATTTCTATCTTGGGGGTTATCCGAGCTCCCAAGTTGATACTCACCATTTTTGAGATAATGGTTGAATATCGTATAATCATATAATGGCTTTTTATAGTATTTAATAAAATTGTGATATATTGACCTGAGGTTTTCTTTGAAAACTTCCATGTCAGTAGCTCTAATGAGTCTGCTGATCACATAATTATCCTCTCTTCCTTCCAGTAAACTATGAATGGCTATCATGCACTTATACTTTAAAGATGACACCATCCAGCCTCTGCAGCACTCATAATTTTTAAAATCATTTAGAGCCAATTCATCGTTTTGAAGCTGCCTGAAAAGTTCATAAGGGCAAACTTCATCAGAATTTTCATCTAAAGACATCAAAACAGACGAAATTTCCAAAAATTTGCTGTCTATAACTCTTTCTTGATTTTTTTTGCAAGGTCCTTGGACTAGTTCAGTTAAAGTGTCGAAGCACTGGGAAATGACTTGAAAATATTTAGCAGGGAGTTTCTTAATCAGTAGCGACAATAATGAAATCATATTATCTATCATGTCATAGCTATTCCGAGATTTTTCTTGGTGCCTGATGTAATTTTGAAGAAGGTTATTATGGTTATCGCAAAGCAATTGCAAGAATTTTAAGATCAGCAAGATTTTCTGCTTTTTTGGTTTATATACTGGAACTCTTCTAGTAAAAAATTCATTTTCTTGAGATATATTTCTGATACAATCTGAAAATAGTTCCTGTAAATGATAAAATAATATTTCTGACGAGGGTGATTTAACAAAGTATCGATAAATTCCATTTTGCACATTCTGATTTCCACCATCAAGCAATTGAATTAAAAGTTTTAAAAATGCAAAAAATAAATGCTGATTTATATTGTCTTCACTCATAGAAATTAATGCCAGCTTTGTTGCTCCATAATCATTAATTTTATTTTGTAAATTTTTTTTTATCTGCTCATGATCATCATAAGGTTCATAGAAAGGATTTTCAAGGATCGATCCCAGTAAATCAATTGAATCTGCTGTCAGTTTAATTAAACATTTATTGCTTTTGCTCTTTCTAATATAATTTATTAGTGATTGTACGATAATGTCAAAATTAAGCTCTGGATTAATTTCATTTGCGAAAACAATAGAGGCAATTAATGCTTTTTGTTCTTGATTAAGGCACTCTTTAACTTTTTCGTTATAAATAAATCAGTTTCTAACCGTTTTTCAATCTGAGGATTTTTCTAAATTCGTGAATTGATAATAATTCTCGAGTGTATATACGATCTCATCACTAACTGTATTTAAAGCATCACATTTATCATTTATTTTTCAATACTGGCTTTCTTTTTCTTCAGAAATATTTGGCTCAAAGTTTAAATTAAGTTTACTGCACAAGCTTTTAATCTGTTTTAGTAAATCATCAGGTATGGGTTTTATATAAAACTTAGCTTGCTTCCCGCACAAAATTCGTGAAAATTCTTCAATTAATACAAAATCATTTTTTTTTAGATAAAAATCTCGGCTATCAAAATTGACTGCACAATATTTATAAAGTATTCTAATTCATATATCCAAAAATTTAATATAATCGCTGTCAGGTATATCTATCAATTGAAGTATTTTGCATTGAAGTTTAATATAATTTAAAAATAAATCGATACCACTTATAGAGGTTTCCTCTATATAGCGCTAAAAGCGCAGACATTTTCCCAGGAGCTTTCCAAGTTCGTCGGACCAAATCGCTTTTTGGTCCGACCAAGGCATTGATTTGGTGCAACCTACCGATAAATTCCGATCAGAATTTATCGGCCTAAAACAGCGCCAAACATAGGAAACTTCTATAAATCTTCAGCTGAGTTTTCACATGAAAGATAAATATTAACTCCTCCCTAGGTAAGCGAGCAAGTTATTGAGACAATCTCTGTTTATGGTGAAATTAACTCCATAGCAAAAGGGCAAAACTTTTTTGATGAATATTTTTAGTTTAAACTATATTTAGCATATAATTAATGATTAGAATGATGGAGTCTCAGGTATCTTACATTATATCGTTAACAGTTTGCTTTATAATATATATATAATTTTTACAAATTGTATTATTTTTCTTACAATATTTAAAACTTGTTTTAAATATTTTTATGTAATATAAAATTTTCAGCAAAACAAAAATTAAACCTTAGTCAGGGAATAAAGAGAAATTCTAAAAGTGGAATTTTGAGTTTTGGAAACTCAGATTCTTTGTCTTCCGTTTTCATTAATAACTGAAATAAATCAGAGAGCTTTATTAATTGCTGAATTTTCAATTCATTCATATACATACCGGTAGCCCCAAGATTTGCTTTTGATAAAACTCGAAAAAGTTTTGCATGATAGTCAAAAGGTATGTCCTGATATTCAGGCTCACTTTTTTCAACTGTTTTAAAACTAAAATTTAGCTCGTCCGCATCACTCATATATAATAAAAACCTGTTTATTCCTTCTTTGAAAAATATATCTACCACCAATTTTTGCATTTTGGGGATAGGCTTACTCTTTGCCATTTGTATAATTTCATAAAACTCTAAAAATTCTGGTCTTCTTCCTTGCTCATAAATCCGTTTGCGAAATTGCTTCAGAGTCTCTTTATTTAAAGACAATATTAGTTTTTCATTGTTCTTGAATATTTCACATATAAGAGGTATCTGATTTACATTTATTCTAAGATATTGAGAAAATACATGCAAATACTTATATAAATATTTTTGAGTTTTCTCATGTTTATAAGCAAATTTTCTGAGTATTTCGCAGCAAAGCATATATAAATTAGTAATTCTATCTCTAGGCTCAATATATTCAGCATCTCTAGAATCGTGCAATTTCACTAGAAATCTCATGCCATTTTTAAGTAGGTCAATTATTAGGTCATGCACACCTAAATAAAACATAATATCCTGCCTTGATCTTGATATTTTTTCTTTATTTCCTGCCGATACCTCATCTCTCACAATTGTTGTGTCACCATAAAATAAACTATTTATATCCACCAAAAAATTGTTTACCTCGTCAAATCTTCATAAATATTTTGCTTTCTCATTGTCATTTCTTGCTCAATAGTTCAGCCACAGCTCACATTGCTCACTATTTCTCTTGAACCTATTTAAATTTGATTTTAACCATCGTAAAAGGCTTGCATCTTCTGAATTGCTGATAGGGACAATTTTCTTAATTCCAATTAAAAGCTCTTCTCTTTGCTTGAAGCATCTGACAATTAATTTTAAAGCATGAGTCTGAAGCTTAAAATTATTAGAATCAGTAAATATTTTCCAAAGTTTTCCTAAAACCTTTTCTTTGCATAGGTGATTTAAATCCTGCACTTTTGGTGTCCGAAAATACTTCATTTTTTTCGAATAAATTTCATTCAGGTATCTTCCAATATTTAATTTTCCAGCTAAATCAGTAATTTTCATGACATTTGGAAGCAGGTCTGCCAATATATTGCTGAGATTTTGATTTATTACTTCTGACTGATTATTGAATCAGCCTGAAACGTTAGAAATGAGAAACTCCTGTCTTAAATTTAAATAATAGTGCATAGTTTTGCAAATTTGAACTTTTATTTTGTTTTCATAATTTGCTTTGCTGTTATAAGATGCGCTCTCTTTTAGTTGTTGCAAAAAATTCCTAAGACTTGATGCGCTACCAATCAGAGGATCTGAAAAGTTTATTTGATTTCTTATCAAAGTTGATAGTAGCATTTTTTTGAAAAAGTTTTTTGATCATTTTTTTGCAGTCTGCTTATTTGCCTTTCTTCCTGCTTCTTTATCTTCAGCTTGATAAAACAATATATATGCTGTTTGTCTTAAAAATTTGGTGATGTCCATTTCTTTAATGTCTAAATTTGTGTTTTCAAAGCTATCATTTTCATATTCGGCAATTGAATAAGTCCCATAAATTTCAAACCTGACCATCTTATCTCCAAGCCTAAGCATTTCAAATGTAAAAATGTCATAGGAAGGATTAGTCATTTGGGAGTGAAAAAAATTTAGGATTTGCATGCTGAATTCATGAATTCACTTTTCATCTTTAATTATTACTTGCTCTTCTTCTAAAAAATGCAAAATTGCGGTTGGCAGACGTTTTCTCTTGAACATATTCGCAGCAGCTTCACCAATTTTAGCAATCATTGAAGTTTTCCTTTTTTCTGTCCTAGATTTAAGATTCTTCACAAAATCGATCTTTATTTCTGTGTTTTGTGTAAAAACTTCAGGCAAATCCAATGATTGCCCTTTTAGTTTCAAAATTTTAATAAGATTAGGCTTTTTGGGTTCTTGTCGCGGATAAGAGTCAATATGAATGACTAAGAGAAGTTTGCATAAAATTGCTCTTAATTTTCTACTGATATTTGTATCCCATATCATGTTTTGTAAAATTTGAGTTGAAAAGTGATCTTTTAATGCTTCAGAACAAACAAAGTTTCTCCCAAGGCATAGGCAGACAAGAAGCTCTAAAAACTTAATAAAATATATAATATCCAGGTTATAGCTAACTATTTTCTCACATTCAAAGCAGCTTCTCAGAGAGACTATTTCATCCCTGTTTTGCCCAAGAGAAAGGTAAAGATTTCCTTCAAATTCTGAGATGGGAATAAAAACCTTTCTATAAATTTGAGGAATAGAAAAAATAGTTTGAAACACAATTTCTTGATTTATTTTGACTCCATTTCCTTTAGTGACACAGACAGCTTTAAGAAATTCTAAAATTTCAGGTTTTTTGTTGACATAATTTTTCTTCAGAAGTAAAGCGCACTTATAAATTATATTTTCAGATCTTGCAGCCTTTTCTTGAAAGTCCATTAGAATTTTTTCATTGTTTTTTACAATCTTGTATATGCACTTTGTAGCCCCTAAATTTAAGCCGACATGCTTTATAAATATATGAAAAAATTGTGATGCATAAGTCTGGTTTTCAATATTTTCTGAGCAAATTGAAGCAATCAATGTATAGCAGCCTTTTATCACTTCTTTAATTAACCCGATCTTTTTTATTTCTATTGTTTCCTCTAAATCTATTTCGTAGCTTTTTGATATGAGAGTCGAATCTTCATCAATAAACGAATTGTCTGATGGCAAGACTTTTTCAAGCTTATTTATATATTCCTTAGGAATAAATATGGTATTAAGAATGCTTACTAAACATTCTAAATATTTTTGATCTCTGAGTACATTTTGCCTTGCCTTATGCACTTCTCCAAATTGATCTTCAAAGCTAACCATTCTAATTAGCCTATTTTGGCAAAAGAGATTCAAATCATTTAGGCATTTGACGACAGCTTTCATATGCCTTTCAAAAACTCGAAACTCCTGTGCATTTTTTTCAGCTTTTTGACAATTAAAAAAACTCTGAAATTGCTTTAAAATTGGTTTACTATATAGCAGAAAAAATGATTCCCATACAACTTCATTGCTGGCTTTTGTTAATTTAAAATAATCTAATTCAGTTGGGGAGCATTGGATAACTGGGGAAAACGCTACTACATTATTGGAAGATTTTTTGATACTCCCTGCAATGGTTGCGTCTTTTATTGCTGCATTAACTAGCTTATACCCACAGCCTGGAATTAAAAACTTGGCACAATTTTCAGGGTTAGAAGATGAGAATGTTCATAAGCAAGTTGGAGAGTCCCTGCTTTGCAGCTGAATTCTGTAAGAAGAAAGGAATCCTTCTAATTTAAAACCAATGCCTAAATATAATCCTGAAATAGCATTTTTTAGTCTATAACTATTTTTAATCTCTGCCAATCCACCTATCATGGGGTCTTCTCCTTCTATATATCAAAGACTGTTTGGGTCTCTCACGTTTTCATTAAAGAAAACTTTTGTTTTCACTTCATCTTTGGCTTTTGTAGAAAGGGAAATTCCCTCTTCGATTCTAGATAGCCATATATAGTCCCCGCAAGAAATAAAATTTTCATTTGTAAAAGGTGCATAAAGAAATATATCTCATTTGGTTTCCTGGTCCACACTTACATTTATTTCTTTACCTAATTCTTGAATAGAATAGTTTCTTTGAATTTTTGGATTCCTTCATATATTTTCTTTGCTTTCATGCAAATAAGCAATTTTGCTAATTCCAGAAATTGAAGCTTCGAATAAAATTTTGTCCTTGAGTCTTACAAATCCTGATTCTTCTGATTGATATTTATAGCTAGGCTCTATCCTAAAATGAGAATCTGGACTTGTAAATTCGCCAAGAGTAATTTTGAAATTTTCTTTTTCCAGATCTGCAGACTCTTTACTGCTGAGAGTTAAAAACCTACGACTATGAGTATGCTGCAATTGCACTATAGAACCATATTTTATAGGTTGTCCTTTAAAATCTTTGTAAATTTGTGAGTTAACCTTAATTTCTGCATCCAAGCTATCTTCCAGCTTTTCTAGTTTATCGGGATTAGGATTCTCTTGGAAATTTTGAAGGTTTTTTGAAATTTCGTGCTGCACGCTGTATTGAGATTGAGGGATTATTTGGAAAATTGAGCCGATGATGCTGCTTTCGCAATTGGTAAGATCTGCTAAATAAGGAGTTGCTTCAATGAACTCTAAAGAATAAAGGTAAAAATTACTTGGGGACTTAATTTTAATGAAAGACCCATAGTGCAGGTATTGAGTAGGCTCTATATTTTCAGTCATTAAATAATAGGTTTCCGATTTTTTTTGAAATTGAAAATTTACATTTATACATAAAAGAATTTTTACAATTAAGAATTGTTATTAGAACATAATTTTTGCTTGAGTAATTTTTTTAGTTTACTCCCACTTTTTAAATTGGAATTAAAAATACTACCCCAATCTAAATGGGGAGTAAATTGTATTTTTAAAAAAAAAATTTTAAATTTTTCAGAAAGAAAATTTTATTTATAATTTTTACTCCCTCATTTAGAATAGAATTAATTATAGGCAAATTTTTGATTTTGGCGAGACTAAATTGGGTATCAAAAGCATTTACATAAAAAATTTTAGTTTAGAGTTGTTTTCGACTAATGAAAGTTATAACTGACATCTTTTTTTCCTATCTTTGAAATCTTGATATCAAAATAATTATCTTTATTATGATTATTCATAAATTCTAGCTTAATTATTCTATTAGTAGTAAGAATGCATTAAAAATAATACATTTATATATTTAAAACTAGAAAAATTATATTTTAATATCAATACTTATTTAATATCAGATTAAATCTTTTCAAATTTAAATATGAGACAGCTTTTATAAAATAAGAAATTTAATGAAAACCTAAACTATAAGTTTCAACTTTGATTTATATTCAAATGCCTCATCAAAATGCTCGATTCTTGCAACTTACCTTTAGTAAGATAGCTTCAAATTTCAGTCTAAGTCTAATTTATAGTAAAAATAGCATAAAAATCAGTTTGGCTACTCAATGCGACCATTTTATAAAGATGGAAATATAGACTAATACATAAGAAAAGATTAAATTTAGTTAACCTATAGAAATGACCTCAATAGCTTGGTCAATACCTTAGTTCCTAATCCTATTTTAAATTGTTTTTGTTCAAAAGTCTCTCTGCCAACTCGGTAGCTATGAGTTCATAATTTTTGTTGCTCAATCATTAATGTTTTTTTAAAAGCAGGGCAATCAGTTCACAAATAGACCATAAATTCAGCATCTCTAAGGTAAGATCTTCTGCTGAAATTAGAACTTCCTAAAGCTGTTAAATAAGTTCCTGATTTATCGCTTGCTCAAATGCCCTTTCCATGAAAAGTTCACCCTTCTCTCTGATATTCAAACAAGCTTGCATTAGTAAGCTTGCCAAAGATTTCCTTTTCCAGGCATCTGTACATGAAAGGAATCCAATTCTTAACTCCATCGCCTAAAAAGCCATTTGCTAAAGGAGACGCACAGAGCAATTCTAAAGCTTTAACTTGCTTTAAGAGAGGAGTGAAAGAATTAGGAAATCCCATATAGCCAGAAGCAATCTTGAGCTCAGAAAAGCATAATAATAAAATGGCTTCGGCGGATAGGGTAATTCACTCCGTGAATTCCCTCTCCTTCTCACCCGCTTTTATTATTATAGGGTTAGGTTTTTACACGTGGACTTCTGTACAAGGTGGTGTAAAATGGCGAGGATCTTTTATCTCGCCAGCCTTATACAGCGTGTTTTACCTCTTTCCCCTGCTGATATGAAAGGCAGGACCCTTAGGCCGAACAGGCGCTGGAGGAAAGTCGGACAGAGCGAGCAACGCGCCAAGCCGCTAGTGTTTTCCCGTACTTCTGGATTCCCAAATGGCTTCACGGGGATTAGAAGGAGCGAGCCGTACAGCGAGGCCCGACTCGAGTACGCGAGTAGCGACAAGACGGAGAAAAAATATGCCCTCGTGGCATTGTGCATCTAGGGGCCCAACTAGAGGTCGAGTTAAATTAATTAATTAAGTAAGTAAGAGCTCAGAAAAGCATGGCAGTAAGGCTTCGATTAATAAACGGTCATCATTAACTCCTGCCTGAGGGAGCTGGATAGATGGGAAAATAATAACATCTTCGCCTGTGACTGTAAGTTGGCTGCTGTTTCATCCTCCATCTCCAGTGATGACATTTAAACTGTGCGGCATGTCTTTTAATTCGTTGAATACATCTTCGGGCGTCAAAATTTTCTTAAATCTTGAAGATCAATCTTTTTCTTTGTTTACAAGCTCTGCTAGTTCTTTTTCTTCATTTTTCTCTTCCATAGCTGAATCTCTTGGAGATTTGAACTGATGTTTCTCATGCTCTTCTTTGTTATGCAAGAATTTGGTCATTTTAATGCGATTTCGGATCATTTCTTTGAAATCGCTTCTGCTACTTTTGTCAAGATTACCTCTTATGATCGGCTGATTATTTGGGATAACTAATCTTGCGTCATCATCCATTTGGTAGCTGCAGTCAATTAGAGAATTTACTGTATCATCGCAGAAGTCAGCAAACTTTGTATGATCTTTGAATAAGAAATACCTATCTTGTCTCTCACTCCCCCCCCTTTAAATTGGAACTAAAAATTTTGTTCCAATTTAAAGGGGGGTTAATTCTTTTTTTTAAAAAAAAAATATCAATATAAAATTTTTTATTAAAAAAAAATTCAAAAACTTATCGAGTTAGATTAATAAATTTGTTTAATAAAATGCTATTTACTCTTTATCCTTTAAAACAAAGCAAGATATAACTAAATTTTCATTATTAGTTAATACGCCACTATTAATTGGCATCAAAATTATTTGCACAAAAATTATTATTTTTATTGATAAAAAAAGTTAAAAAAAAAAATTATTAGAAAAATTTATCATCATTTTGTTTAAATAAGGTGTTATTTATACTCTATTCTTTAAAATAAGTAAATTTTGAAATTTTATAAAGAATTCCTTATGAATTTATATCAAAACTATCCAAATAAAAAATATCATTTTTATCAAAAAAAATAATGAAAAATTTTTTAAAAAAAAAATTAATTGTTTTTTTAAAATTTAGCAATTAAGGATAATAAATTTATTTAAATATAGCCCACCTACTCTAATAGATTGGGCCTCAATCCTGGACGGCCATAAGCCTAAGAAACCCTTCGATAAATTGATGGGACGATTCCCTATGATGGGGAGGGGTTGGGTTGAAATATAGGCTGACGCCAAAAAGGGGATAGGCAAATGGCAAAGTCAGGGAGGAAATAGCCAATATGTGAGAGAAGTGTACAAAGGCTCCCTTTATCGTGGTTCCCAACTGCTTGAGAGAGAGAAATCTGAATGAGTCTTACCTCTTGAGTCTCTGAATTTTGTTGTGTTCGATCCATTTTTATTTAATCTACCGAGCCAAATCAATCTGACAAACCAAATAAAAAGTGAAAATGGAAGTGGATGAACCTCAAACACACACAAATATAATGAGAAATGATTATTTCTTATTTCGATTGTCCATCAGCACTTTGGGCAATTTTTGTCACTGGGAATTATTGCTCCTGCACACAAGACAAAATTTTATTTTCAATTTTATTAAAATGTATATATTGATACCTATTTTTTTCGGAAAAATCGTGCTGAGAAAAATTGCTAGAAGGGCTAGAGTAAAACAGACGCTGTTTTTGCACATCACTCTCAAGTTTCTACAATATGTGAAGTGCTCAGTTTAATCACACTGCTGCAAGTTCTGGGAAAAGTCAAAAACTTGGCAAAAATGCCCTTTTTTCGGAAAAATCGTGCTGAGAAAAATTGCTGGTAGTGTTAGAGCAAAACAAACGCTGTTTTTGCACATCACTCTCAAGTACCTACAATATGTGAAGTGCTCAGTTTAATCACACTGCTGCAAGTTCTGGGGGAAGTCAAAAACCTTAGTAAAAATGCCCTTTTTTTCGGAAAATCATACTGAGAAAAATTGCTAGAAGTGATGAAACGGAACAAGCACTATTTTTACACGTCACTCTCAAGTGCCTACAATATGTGAAGTGCTTAGTTTAATCACCCTGCTGTAAGTTCTCGGGGAAGTAAAAAACCTTAGTAAAGATGCCCTATTTTTTCGGAAAAAATCGTGCTGAGAGAAATTGCTGGAAGTGCTAGAGCAAAACAAAACGCTGTTTTTGCACATCACTCTCAAGTACCTACAATATGTGAAGTGCTCAGTTTAATCACACTGCTGCAAGTTCTGGGGGAAATCAAAAACCTTGAAAAAAAATGCCCTAGTTTATTGGAAAAATCGTACTGAGAAAAATTGCTAGAAGTGCTGGAGCGGAGCAAGCACTGTTTTTGCACATCACTCTCAGGTGGCTGCAATATGCAAAGTGTTTGAACCTAATTGAAATGAGGGAGGCTGAGATTAGATTTTGCCATTTTATAAAAAAAATTCGCCCTATTAATTAATCGCCTAAATCTATAAGTCTAATGGCACTCATTATATGCTCCCAGCATTTTTTGAATGTATAGCCAAGCTTCTTCATGCATTTATACGCTTGATTGCAAGTCACTTTTTCATCTAGTAATTGTCTATTCAGCTTTTTAACTCTCTCAGGTATTGAAATGGTTGGATTACCATTTAAGCAAGCCTCTGTCAAAGCCTGCGATGCTGTGTTGCTTAGCCTCAGAGGCCTATTGCTTCTTCTGTCTTCAATAGGGTTTCCTTCTCTATGCTTTGTGATTATTCTTTTTACTGTGCATGGGGACACCCCAAATATTTTCCCAATATCGACATATTTGGCATCTGGATGAGAATCGTAGAATTCAATGATTCTCATTTAAAGCTTGATTTTAAAATTTTCCTTTGTGCTTTTTGATTTTTTAATAGCAACTTCATCGACATTCATAGCCAAATTATTTTGATAGGCTCTTTCATGGCTCAGGACTCTATCTGCATGGTCAGCGTAATCAAAATCGATTAGGGACTCAATCTTTCTTTTTATTTGATGAAGAAATTCAGGACTGCTAACATTTTCACTTTGCATTGAGCTTGGCTCCCAAATTTCAGATGAGCTTTGAGCAGGAGGATTGTTATACTCTTTTGAATTTATAGTGCAGGTCTTAACGTAAAGAAACTTATCAAAGTTAAAAGGAGCCATTAAGTCTGTTTGATGCACAGTTATATTTTTGTGTGTTTTGAGGTTCATCCACTTCCATTTTCACTTTTTATTTGGTTTGTCAGATTGATTTGGCTCGGTAGATTAAATAAAAATGGATCGAACACAACAAAATTCAGAGACTCAAGAGGTAAGACTCATTCAGATTTCTCTCTCTCAAGCAGTTGGGAACCACGATAAAGGGAGCCTTTGTACACTTCTCTCACATATTGGCTATTTCCTCCCTGACTTTGCCATTTGCCCTATCCCCTTTTTGGCGTCAGCCTATATTTCAACCCAACCCCTCCCCAGTCATAGGGGAATCGTCCCAATTTATCGAAGGGTTTCTTAGGCTTATGGCCGTCCAGGATTGAGGCCCAATCTATTAGAGTAGGTGGGCTATAAAAATGCTCTTTATACTCTTTTCTTTAAACAAGAACTAAATTTTTAATTTTAGTTAAGAAGAAACATTTAAATTATATCAAAACTTTTTAGATAAAAATTATATATAATTTTTTATTATAAAATTAAATTTTGTTCCAATTTAAAGGGGGGTTAATTTACCAAAAAAGTGGAAATTTTGCCTATATTTTGTTCCAATTTAAAGGGGGGGGGAGCCAGTGAAATAATTTTCGCTCATATTAGCTCCGGTCAAAAAAACTGTGTCATCAAAAACTGCGACTTTTGTGTGCTGGACTCCCTGAAGTTCTCTCGCCCCATATAAAGCCCCAGGAAATATGTTTGTAACTGGAGGCTTATAAAAGCCCACCCTTACATTAGGATTTGGATTAAAATTTGCCTTCAAGGACTTCAATAAGGCATATGATGAAAAGTATTTTCCTCTATGACCGCGGTTATAGTCTACCAAGATATTGCATCGAAGTGATTTATGAACTTCAAGTCTATTGAACAATTGATCAAGCAGAAACCTTTCTAGCGGCCCGTCACCAATATAGAGTGAAGAAAGAATGATTCTTTTGTAAGAAACCCTTATTCCTTTGCAGAGTGCTAAATAAAAATCAACTGGAGAATCAAATATTTGTATCTGATGGCTCTTGATTGTAAAAAAAGGGTAGTGCATATCTTTGACAAGGGTTTTGTGAAGAAGATCAAGAACTTTTGCCCTTTCTTCCATTTTTATTATTACCTTTTAATATCAAACTTTATATTAAGGCTTATAGAGTCTTTCATCGCAATTAAGGACTTATTTGAGTTGCACTTACTTTTCGATAATGTTGCATCAAGCCCAGCTATGTGCCGAATTTTGGGCAAAATATATAAGAAATATGCAATGTCATGCTACGTTTTCAAGAATGATTCTTAGCAAGAAATTCAAATTAAAAAGCAAAGAATCACTTTCAATTCTTTCAGAATAAGCTCATCTCTCAAAAAATTCGTTTTCCTTAATACTTGCTCAACTACTTTAATTACATGCTTGAATGAATCCTTCATTTTAGCTTCTTTTATTAGCTGCAATCAATATCTCTCAATGCTATAAAGTTTGCATGACGATAGCTAAGCCAGTCTTCATTTCCTTTTCTTTATCATTTGATATGGGCCAAATTTAAATTTCAACATAATTAATGAAATATTTTTATGATATAGATTTTCATTTCAGTATGATTAAGTAAGAAAGACATTGAAAACCTGCTTGGATAGCTAAGAATGATCGTTAGTTCATAATTCAAGTCATCTTATAATAAATTTTAGCCATTAAAATGCTAAGAAGAGTAGCATCACTCAGCACCAAGGTTCTCATGTCAGCTCAGCCTGCTGCCCGCTTCTCCAGCAAGATCAACATCAACCAAGCTGCTGGAATTCTCAGAGAAAAAGTGGCAAAAATCACCCAAACAAACGACTTGAATGAATTTGGAACTGTGATTTCAATTGGAGACGGTATTGCCAGAGTCTATGGTTTAGGGAAGGTCAAAGCAGGAGAGATGGTTGAATTCAGAACTGGAGTCAAAGGAATGGCCCTTAACTTAGAAAGCGACAACGTTGGTGTTGTCGTTCTTGGAAATGATAGAGAAATCCAAGAAGGAGACGTCGTAAAAAGGACCGGAACTATCGTGGACGTCCCAGTAGGAGAAGAACTGTTAGGAAGAGTCATTGATTCACTTGGCAACCCAATTGACGGCAAAGGCCCAGTCAAAACCAAGGCAAGAGCAAGAATTGAACTCAAAGCTCCTGGGATCATCCCAAGAAAATCAGTCCACGAGCCAATGCAGACTGGCCTCAAGGCAGTCGACTCTTTAGTCCCAATTGGAAGAGGTCAAAGAGAGTTGATCATTGGAGACAGACAGACTGGCAAAACCGCTATTGCTATTGACACCATTATTAACCAGAAGAGAAACTTCGAAGATGAAACCAAAGCAAAGAACAGACTTTACTGCATTTACGTAGCTATTGGACAGAAAAGATCAACTGTAGCCAACATTGTCAGGAGTCTCACCCAACACGATGCTATGAAATACACAATCATTGTGGCTTCAACTGCTTCAGAAGCAGCACCATTGCAGTTCTTAGCACCTTACGCAGGATGTGCTATTGGAGAGCACTTCAGAGATAATGGGAAGCACGCTCTTATTATTTATGATGATCTTAGTAAGCAAGCTGTTGCTTATCGTCAAATGTCACTATTGCTGAGAAGGCCTCCTGGAAGAGAAGCTTACCCTGGTGATGTCTTCTATCTTCACTCAAGACTTCTAGAAAGAGCAGCTAAAATGCACGCTAAATACGGAGGTGGATCTTTGACAGCTTTGCCAGTCATTGAAACTCAAGCTGGTGATGTCTCAGCTTATATTCCAACTAATGTCATTTCTATTACTGACGGTCAGATTTTCTTACGCCCTTAGTTAGCGAAATTATTGGAAAATCCCTTAGCTAGAGACCAAAAATTCGTTTGAATAGAAAAAATTTACAGTTAATAGTTCGATGTATAATTAATAGATGTAGTAATATCTCTAGCCAAATTTATAAATTTTAAAACATTGCATCTTTTAATATGATTTTTTTTATCTTGATTAGAAGCAGAAAAACACTTCCCATAAGTCAAGAGGCAAGTTAGAAACTGAGCTTTTCTACAAAGGTATCCGCCCAGCCATCAACGTCGGTCTCTCTGTCAGCAGAGTCGGAAGTGCAGCTCAAATCAAAGCTATGAAGCAGGTCGCTGGTAGCTTGAAGCTTGAACTGGCCCAATATAGAGAAGTCGCTGCCTTCGCCCAATTCGGGTCTGACTTGGATGCAGCTACCCAAAGACAACTTAACAGAGGAGCACAACTTACTGAGTTGTTGAAGCAAAAACAATACGTCCCAATGGCTGCTGAAGAGCAAGTTTGCGTGGTTTATGCTGGTGTCAGAGGATTCCTCGATAACGTACTTACCTCAGAAATTGCCAAGTTTGAGAAAGGATTCTTAGAAACTTTAAAAACACGAAACCCAGACATTTTGGCAGCGATTAGGAATGAAGGAGTTTTGTCAAAGGAAACTGACGAGAAGCTGAAAGCAGTCTTGACAGAATACATGCCTAGTGCAGGACTACAGATGAAGTCCTAAATAATTTCTTCTTAATAAGATTATGGATATTTATTAGCAGAGCAATCAAATTGCTAATTTATTTTATGTCAAAACTTGAGTCAAACGAGTCCTTATTATGATTGACTGTATTCTTGCTTATATCATCGTTCACTTTGATGAACTCTTCAACGAACTCTTCTTCTTCAGTCTTTTGGATTTTAGGTTTAGTAAAGAATGATGTGACCATTTCCTCTGGCTCAATGAAAGGCTTTGTTAATGAATAGATCCCTTTCTTTTTTTGATTAGCTTTATGTAGCACATAAAGATTTTTCACGTTATTTTTAGCAAAATACTCCAACAGCTTGGTATTCATTTCTTGTATCTTAAAAATATTAAATCGAATTAAATGTTTTATCTTACGTCAACAAAACCTTTTGGCTTTGAGACATGATCACTGTCGAAACAATTCGCTGCAGCCCAATACTATTTGAAAAATCAAAGGCCTACGTGGTTAGCGGATTCTGACTATGATGAGCTTAATTCATTAAACTTGAAAATTGCATATGGAGAATGAGTACCAAACAAAGAAAAAGCCTTGCTCCCCTATAAGTGAATCAATATTTTTCTTTTTCAAAAAATTTACAAATTGCAAGATAATTTAATTTTATTTTGCAAGTTGTTTAAAATTTTAGCTAAGCTAGAGATTTTAATATAATAATATTAATCATATATAATTTAATTATATATATAAATAATTTTTTGTCCTTTTTTTTTTTGCTCACTGAAGTCCAAAAATGAGAATTTTTAAGGTGGAGTTAGAAAATTTTGCTAAAGGTAGAAAGGAAAAGATGAAAAGTCAATGGCAAAAGCTTGAAGGGATTAGCAAAAGTCACGCAATGAAAAGATTTTTAGATAAATTGAAAGATATCGTGCCTAATTGATATTATAATCAAGAAATTTTGCAGCAGTTCAATGAAGACTGAAATAAATTCCACCAGCCAGATTTGAATTCTAGATCAGCAAAAGCGGACAATTTGCTATGTTTTTCAAGTCATGGCTCAATTGAAAGCATAAATTTGAGCCGCAATAATATCAAGCATATAAGAAGGTTTAGCGGTTCTTTAACTGAGAGAGCTCCTTCAAGATCACCATCAAAAGAGCCAATTCAAACAGAAAAAAATAGCCGCATCTTATCAAGTGCAAATACACCAATCCCAAACCCAAAGAGTGCTGGTAGAGCGCATCGAAGAGTAAGCTCAGAAATGGAGTTGGAAAAATCACAATTTCAGGCAGAAGAGTCAAAAAACCAAATATTTGGACGAATAAAATCTCTCATAAAAGACATAGATCAAAAATCAGAAAAATTTTATAATTTTCAGCAAGAATCTCTAATCGATAGACTAGAAAGAAATATTGCTGATATTGTAAAAGATATGATCAAGCCAAGGTTGGATTTGCTTTCTCATGCAATCGGAGAACTCGAAGAAGCACTTGGCTCTGAACTCACAGACAAGGTCAAAATTTTATTTGAGATACATAGATGCTATATGAGTACTATGGAGGCAGTTTTTGATTATTGGAATAAAATTACTGAAAAAGATGATGCCATTGATGCAAAATTTCGAAGCACTGAAAAGTCTGCACATTATTTGAAGCTTGGAATGAGGGCAATAAAAGAGCTAAATGACCCTTATAATGAAAAAAGGAAATTGTATGGAGTTATCAGGCTATCTAAGGAGGAATATGAAAAGCAGCTTTTAAATGCAAAAGAAATTTTGAGTCTTGAGGATTCAGAAACATTATTTAATTTGGAAAGAATTATCAGGGATTTTAAGGATGAGATACTTTATATACTTGCAGATTGATTTTTTGCTATATCTATTCTGAAAAATTAAAATTATTTTTAAAATAGATGCTTATTTTGCAGCAATATGAATATATTTTGTTTATTTATCAAAAATAAGATTATTTAAAAGAAGAAATTAGACAAAAAGATACAGAGATTGAAGAAGTTAAAAAACTCATGAAAAATACAGAAGAAAGAACAATGAATGATGGGAATCTACTAGGCAAAAAACATAGGCTGCTTAAAAAGAGACTAGAATTCATGAGCCAGAACAGAGTTGCCCAAGATTATAAATTCGATAAATCAAAAGGAGATAGCCTCAGATCCTTACAAAAGCTTCCAACAGCTCCAAATATTTTTCATACTGTAAAAACTATATCTCAATAATTTCAATTATTATTAAAATATGCTTATTTGTTTAATCTTTTTAAATAACTTTATTATTAGTCTCCAACATAAGCAATTGTATAAGTGAATGGATAAGTGAACCAGTCCTTATTTCTTTGGCACTGAATATGTTGAAACACATTACATTGAAATGGGTCCAACGTAAACTCCATTTCCAGTCCGCCTGTGCAGTCAATATTTGTTGCTTTTTTCATATCTATTGAAACTTTGATAGGGATTGAGTTCAAATTGATTGCCATAAGTGAGCATCCATCAGAGTGTGGCAAAGTTCTTATTTGAAGATTGTCTTCATCAGTCTTGATCACTCCTACATAGTGCATGTAACTCTGTCATGCTTCATCTTGCATTTTTGTGTCTAATTCTTGCATTACAACTTCGTATTGAGTTTCTGATTGTATTGAAACAACAACAGGCTTAGAAAAAACACTATAGAAGTCTTCATCATACCCTCAGTTTTGAATTATACCTTCACCAACTTTGTCGCCAGCTTCGTCAATAAGAGAAAGAAATGAATTGCAGAAAAATTTAGATGAAATTGACTCAGAGTTGCTCATGTGCCGCCATAGAGGAAGGAACTCTGGTTTATTGAAAATTTCTTCAATGTCACTTGGCTTATAGGAATTTTGTATATTTAGCGAAAATTTCCTGAAAATGTCTTTTAGCGTTGATCGAACGATTGGGTGCAGGTCAGTGCTGCTGATTGCTAGCGGGAACATTCTCTTTTTCGCGTCATGTGGCCTTCGCAGACTTAGCCCTGTGCTTAATAAAATTACAATATAATTTCCTTCATCCAAATTCCCTTCCCAAAAGATATCACGATGAGATTGGTTTCCTTGTGTGGATCCAATAAACTCCAAGCGATTTCCATTTCTCTTTAAAACGCATAGCCCAATATCAATGTACCTTCTATACTCTTTTGTCCCTTCGCATCTTTCATCTTCCTGGTGGACTCCAATGATTATAGTTCCTTGGTGATTAACTGTGATTTCCCAGTAACTTTTACATTTGGCTGCTCCGTACCTCCTCTCAATGATCGTTTTGAATCGATAGTCTATTTCATTTTTTAGGTTTGTGACCATCAACTGACTGAAGATTGACGAGAAGTCGTCAAGATTCATCCAAAAAGAACCGTCATGCAAGTCAAACTTGGCGTTAAGCCTTTCTTTTAGCTCAGGGGTCCACAACTCAGAAGTGTCGCTTCAATCCCCAAGTCATTCATAGTCTCCCCATGGGTTCCTTAGCTGTATGATTTTTGCAGTTTCAATATCTTCAACCCTTGTAATTGAATAGTAGTGGTTTGAAACAATATCTTTTCTTGTAGTGGCCTTGCCAGACCCTGCAACTAATTTATAGCCGCCTTGGCTCCATTTTAGCAATTTTTCCCACAAATTTTCTATAGTACTCAGCCTATAAGTTCCAGCTGCACACCCTGTCAAGTCAATTACAGCTTCACTCGCAAATCCTGCCTTTAGTGCATAATAAGATCCATGAAGCTTTGCATATGCTTTTTCTAGTAGTAGCACCCACAGCTCTGACCCGTGGTTTCTACTAAAAATCGGCTGAGCTCCAGGCTTGCAAGGGAAATAATCATCGATTGTCACAGTCACAGGCTCCCCATTCTTATGCAGAGAAATTTGGTATACACTTTTAGGACTTGTTTCTTTATTTACAATAATATCTTTTATTCGGTCTTCTTCTCCAGATAATGCACATAAAGCGCACATCAGCCAGCAGTCCCCAAGTTCTCCTTGAATTATGTCGCTCATATTGATACTATTTTGATAAAGCGAAATTGTCCCATACATAAACTCTTCAGGCCTTGCCCATTGGATATCTTGTTTGGCTTGCACCTGTGAAGTCCCATAGATTGAATAGTCACTTGGAGGGAAATAAGGATCAGTAAACCTCGTGTTGATTTCTTTTTCAACTTCTTGAATAGATAATAAATCTGCATCCACGTTATATAGCCTCGACTTGAATTCCAAAGTTTCCTGCCCTTGCCTTTGTCTTATTGGTCCGAGATCAACAGGTGCTGCTGTATACCAATACTTGTAAGAGTATTTATATGACCATTCTCCATTGAATATCAAAGCACATACTTTTCCTGTCGATTTTGGGGCTAACTCGATTTTGTATGTAACCGAATTTTCGTTAACTGTTATTCCTTCAAGTTCAGTAAAAGTCAACTCAAAATTAGTCTGCTCAAACCTCTGGCTGATGAGGTAAAAAGTGACCTTCTGCTCTGTGTCGACTTGAATTGTTCGCAAAACCAAGCCTGCATCAATTTCAATTTCTTTGATTTCTGGATTTTCATTGAGCTTCTGGTAAGCGAACTGGTATTTGTATGAGAAAGAGCCTTTAATGTTGAGCTGGCTCAGTTTCATGACAGAATTCGGCAGGACTCTCACTTTGAGGATTGGTTGATTATTTTCAGGGATTACATTTTGTAAATCTTTGAATGCAAATTTCAGAAAGAACACTGAGCTAGTATGGTTCTCTACATGAAACTCTATAAAGAGTTGTGAGAGCTGCTTGATGATCACTAAATCCAGCCCAGTTGTAATTGGCCTCCTGCTGATGTTCTCTGCCATTATTTTCAAGTAAGTAAATTATCTATTGCGTCTATGCAAATATCAAATTAATATCATATTAAGGAGGTTGTAATTAATAAATGGCAGCTCCAACCAGAGTGATGCTTTATAGCCCTCATGTAAAAGAGAGTATATCTCTAATGAGCAGCGAGGCTGAATCTCCAAACTACAGAGGATTTTTGAACCTAGGAGGAATCATAATTATTGTCGCTAATTTTAGATTGATCATTGAAAACATATTAAAGTACGGCTTTCTGTTAAAGCTGCCATCTCCCTTTGAATTTTACAACCACTACTCAGGATGGCCTTGCTTAAGCACCGCAATTCTCTTGATTATTCCTTTAGCCATCTCATATTATACTGAGACAAAGCTCGCACAGAAACTTTCATCAGGAATGGTCAAGCTTTTGATGATCCTCAATATTTGTGCAACTCTAATAGTCCCACCCTATATGGTCTCTCTAACAGAAGCTTATCCTCTGCCTGCCTCTGCTTTATTGTCGATCTCTTTGATATGTGCAATGAAGCTTTATAGCTTTTCTGACGTCATGTCAGAAGTGAGGATATGTTATAAAAATAAAGAATATGAAAAATTCCCTAGTGACATAAAAGAAGTAGTAGCTAATTCTCCCTTTTAAATTAAAACAAAATAAGACTAATTTTAATTTAAAAATTTAAGCCTAATAAAATTGTAATTTTTTTTGTAAAAAATTATAATTTGTTGCACTAGCTTTTTTGCTCAATTTAATGCTGCCGAAATTAAAAATTTGCATTAAGCTCGCTATATTTTAAATAGGTGAGTTCAAGCAAAATGATATTTAAACAAGTTAGCATTCTAAATCGATAATTTCTTGGTTCTAATTTAAAAGGAGGATTAAATACCCGAATATTTGCAGTATAAGGCATTTTGCTTACTTTATTACAGCACCAACTCTATGCTTCCAATTCACTTACCCTAGATCTCCATGTATTAGAAAAGCGTGACTTTTTAAAAGAATCGCTGAATGAATTCTTGCATTATCCTTTATGGTTATCTTAATTCAACAATATATGATGCCTTTAATTCAGAATACATTGCCTATCATTAATAAAGAGCCTATAAATTATACTGCTCTACTAGAAAGGCACCTTAAATTATCACTACCGAACCTTTACTTCTGGCTGATCATGTTTTTCTCAGCATTCCAATGCTTCACCAATATTGTTGCAGAACTGACACGATTTGGAGACAGGACTTTCTATAAAGAATGGTGGAATTCTAGGACTTTAGGTGAGTACTGGAATTAAGAATTAAAGTCAGGCGCTAGCCATATTGGTGGCGCAGTCACCAAACACCTCCCGTACGGTGTTCATCCGCTTTTCGACTCCAGCCCAGATGGTCTAGCTATCTTGCGAGTGCCCTTCTGATACCTTCCGTCTCCTCCTTGCATTGTGGCTTAAGTCTTGAGTGGGCGGCTTATGGATTTCTACGGCCCTGCTACGGGCGATTGGAGTAGCTTGATTTCAAGGATACTTGGAGTCTATCGGGTTTCGAAGTGCCTTCCTTCTTGGCTACAGGAAAAAGACTGTTCCCCTGTGGCCTGGGCCGAAACCCCCAGTTTCTCGATAGAGGAATGCCCAATGGGTCTTCGGATCCAAAGGACGTTGCTGAGCACCTCCATTTCCAACCACAGGAAAGCAGCCAATACCTACCCGGATACACACCTCTGGAGCCTGCAGTTGATTCTCAGCTCGGAGTCCATCCCAGTTCGCCGTAGCAATAAGGTCTGGACTGCTGTGCCAAGAGGGCAGGTTGACACGTGTCACCATTTTAATGTATATCTAGGCGAGTACTGGAAGTTGTGGAACATCCCAGTCCACTCTTGGCTGCTTCGCCATGTGCATTTCCCTCTGATTAATATGGGTTGCCACAAAAATTTCGCTATGTTTGTAACATTTTTTATATCTGCAGTAGGCCATGAGTATTTGATCAGCGGAGCTTGCAGGATTGTGTCGTACTGGGCTTTCTTGGCGATGATGATGCAGATCCCGCTTATCATTGTGATGGACATCTTTAAGTCATTTTTATTAAAAACTCAGATAGGCAACGTGGTGTTTTGGGTGAGCTTCTGCATCATTGGGCAGCCTTTGGCAGTGCTGATTTACTCAATCCAAGTCATCAATAGGATGAATCCATAATTAATAGGTAATTTCTATTTACAAATTTAAATGGAAGCTGAAAACTTTCCAAGAAAACCAAGACAGTCAGGCAGTGACTGGAACCCAAGCAACCAAAACTCGATTGAAGTGTTAAAGCAATCATTGCAAAAAGATTTTGATAGCCAGCTTGAGTACGCAAAAAAACTTTATGAAGATAGGATTGAATCCATTACTTCATATTCCCGCCAGTTCTACGAATCTTCTCAAACGGACGAAGTGTTACACGTTATGAAAGAAAGCGAAATTAGCGACCAGTTCGTTAATCAGCGCATGAGGGAGCTATATGAAGAAACTATGCTTAAAGAGCGCGACCAAACAATTGAAAATCTCCACAAAGAGCTCTTAGAATTAAAAGCCCAAATTACAGCTTCAGAGCAAGAAAAGCAAAGGCTAAAATCAGAAGAAATCAAAGCTAAACAGTTGGAACGAGAAATGAACGAAGCTAGAAGCAAAATGGCTGCCATGAGAATTGAATTTGAAGAAGCTGTAAAAAGGAAAGACAAAGAGTGGCAGCAGAAATCAGAAGACGTCAATAACTCACGAATTTTGTCGAAAAAAGTGGAAGATCAGCTGTTTGAAAGTGAAGCAAGAATTCATCGTCTGACTTTAAATTTAGAAGAGCTGAATTCATATTATGAAAAAGAAAAAAATAAGACACAGCTGCTGGAAAACGAAAATGGAAGCTTAAAAAAAGAAATTTTTGAGCTTAGAGAGCAGGCATTTTCAAGGAATCGATGGGATCAGGGAGAAAGTAATAGGCAAGTACAAAAAATCAGCGAGGAATATGAGAGGATTAGGAATTATTGCCAGCAGTTAGAAGCAGAAAGAGACCAAATACTCAGTGACAGAGGAAAAATGGAGCTGATAATCCAAGCTGAACAGAAAGCCAGTCATGAAGTCCTTGACCAGCTTCAAAAGAAATATAAAACAAGAGCAAAGCATTTCAAGAAAAAAATAATTGAACAAAAAAACACTATAGAAAACTTAGAGCAGCAGCTCGCAAGCTATAAAAAGGTTTCTGAAGAGCAAAGAAAAGATCTGGAAAAAAAGAGAGGCGAAGTAAAAGATGATCTCAAAAAGGTTAAGGAAGAGTGGGAAAAAAGATGCCACGAAATCTTATTAGAAAGCCAAAGAAAAGAAGCTGAACTGCAAAATCGGCATCAAATGCAGCTAAGCTCTATTCAAAGCCAATGGCAGCAGGCCATGGAGCAGAGAATAACTGAGCTTCAGCAAGATATACAGACAAACAGGGCTAAAAGTATCGAAAATGATGCAAGAATCCTAATTGAGGCCAAAATAGCTGAGCTTGAAGCAGAATACGTCCCTAAAAAGAAGTTCGAAGAAGTCTTAAAAGAAAAAGAAAAAATGATTAAAGAGCTGCAACAACTCAAACAGCTCGAAACAACCATCAACGCCTATAAAGAAGAGTCCCAAAACAGACTCCAAGAAAACCAGGCAGAGCTCGAAAAACTCTATAAGATTAAACAAATTTTAGAAGAGCAATTGGACACAGAAAAAGAAACCAAAGAAGAGCTGATAATGGAAATCCAGAAAATAAAAGAATACTATGAAGACGAAGAAAGAAGCAAAAAGGGAGTCCTGCAGAAACTGGATGCAGCTTTTGAAAAGATTGGGAAGCTAGAAGGAATGTGTGAGGAAGAAAAAAGGAAAAGAGTGCAAATAGAAAGCGAAGAAGAAGCTATGAAAAGGATCGTAGAGGACTATAAGCAAAGGCTGCAAGAGCAAGAAGAGCAGCTCTCCACTGCTCAACAAAGATATGAAAACAGAATTAAGCAAAACACTGAATCATTAGAAGATGAGCTTGAAAAAGAAAGAAGCAAAGCAAAAACGCTCTCAAGAGAACTGCAAACGTTGAAAGATGACCTTGAATATATTCAGCAAGAAAAAGCTGAAGTCCAACAAAACTTTACAACGATAAAATTCCAATTAGACGAATCCAAAAGGAACAGATTTGAGGAGTCCAGCAAATTTGAAGAAGAATCTGCAAGGCATATGGAAACCAGAAGCAAACTATTGCAGTCTGAAGGCAGAAACAAGCATTTGTGCTCAGAATTAGAAGGCTATGAAAAGAAAGTGAGCGACCTTAAAGAAGCGCTGCGCTCAAATGAAACAGAAATGATGAAGCTGAAAAATAAGCTTTATGAGTACGACAATGAGCTTTCCTGCACTGACAATGAAAAGCGATTAATACAGAAACAGCTTGGACTAGCTGAAGCAGAAAGTGCAGAGCTTAAAGAAAGATGCAAAAACTTGTTGAAAGGAAAACTCAAGGTTTTAAGGTCAGATCTCAAAGCATTAAAAAACTTCCACAACAATGAAGCTCAAATGCTGAGAAAGGACATCAATTCATCAATCCAAGACCTATTGTTCAGGTTTATGGAAGCCACGAATTTTATGAGGAAAAAAATGGATACAAAAGTCCAAGAAGTCAGTGAAGAAATCAACAGACAGTGGTCACAGAAAATGCAAGAAATGGAAGACTCCATATCAAAACAGTCAACAATGTCTATAGAAATTTCCCATAGATGGCGCAGTTTGCCCTTGATTTGCCCACTGGGGAAAGATTTGGTTCGACCAGCACCATATGGTTTGGTCAAACCAAAAAATTTTCCTCATGGGCAAATCAAGGGCAAACTGCGCCATCTATGGGAAATTTCTATATCCAGCAGTACCAAGAAAAATGCGCAATCCAAGAAAAGCAGCTAGAAGCAGTGAGAAACGCTGCTCAGCTATTAAAAAAGGACCAAAAAAATATGATTGATGAGCTTGAAAGAATGAGAAAAAGAAATTTCGAACTGCAAGAGAATGTCAATAAGCTAGAAAGAGATAACAGTCAGCTAGATTCTTTGCTTAAAAAGAACTCAGAAGCATTTGATAAACTGCAAGTTGAAGTAAAACAAGAAACCAGCAAGCTTAAGCAAGCTGGAGATATCGCACTCGATAAAACTAAGCGGGATCTATTAACCAAGCATGAAAGTGAATTAAAGCAAGCACTTAAGAGTCTTGAAGAAGCAAAGAAAGATAAAAATGAAACAGAACGAAAATTCGAAGAACAAATAAAAACTATTGAAAATCTTAGAGAGACTGAACTGACTCAGCTTAAAAAAAGATACCAAGACTTACTGGATCAGGCTTATTCTGACTTAGAAACCGAGAGAGACCAGAATTTAAAACTTAAACAGAAGTTCAGACAAGTCGAAGATGAAACCCATTATTTAGAAAAAGAGCATTTGAACTCCATACAGGAGTTTGAACTTAAGCTCACTCAGCTTGAGCGACAAATGAAGTCTGAATTAGACAAAACAGCAAGCTCCACTATTCAAAAAGCCTCTGACGTGGAGAGGCTATCTCAAAAGCTTAGAGAAGCAGCTAAAGAAATAGAAGCAAGAGATGAAGAGCGACAAGAAAACTTGAAGGAAAAAGAAAAAATCCGAGCGAAGCTTCAAGAACTAGAAAGCAAAATGGAGCTTCAAGGCAAAAACTTCCAAACCCAACTCTCAATTAAAGAAAAAGAAATCGAGTCACTGAGGAACATGCTCTCAAAATCCTATTCAGAATCTATGGACCAAGTTAAAAGAGCACGTGAACTAGACAGAGAAACTCAAGAACTCACTAGGCAGGTCAGAAAAGGAACTCCAAGCCGAGGGAGCGTGTTTGGACAAAGCCCAGCGGAGTCTTCAAGAATGACTCCAGATAATTTAAGATAATCATTAATTTGTAAAAATATATAAAAATGTCATATTTTTATAATGAGTGGGCTAACAGTAATAGATGAAGACATCGAGGAATACACAGGCGAAGACGATACAGAAACCATCAAAAGGCTAAAGATCGAGCTTAAAGAAGTCAAAAGCAGGGCGGAAAACGCTGAAGGAGAAATTTCGAGACTAAAAAATTTGGAAAATCGAGTAAAAGAATTAAGCGCAATTTGCCAGTCGAAAAACACTGAAATATTTGCTTTTGAAAGGAAGATAAAAGAATTACAAATCCAAATTGAAGTAAAAGACCAGCAATTGGTGTCAATGATAAGCTTGAACAGCGAGTTTAAAGCTTTGGTAGAAAACAAAAATAAATGTGAGCAAACAGATTTCGAAGACCCTTTGGTTTCCCAATTGCAGGCAAAAATAGCGGAAGTGAACACAGAAAACGAGAGGTTGAAGGATTTATTGGTTGCGGAAATTGAAGAAAATCAGCATTTTAAAAATTTAAGCTGATTTGGATTAATATGCTACCAAACAATGTCTATTTCATAATATAGTAAATTCAGTAAGGCGAGGTATAATTGAGACAAGCAGCAATGGACACCATTCCAGCTATTCATCTTCACAAGGAACTCCCACTAAGCGCCAAAGCAACTCTGAATCTCCAAATGCTCAGATTAGGCAAAGAAGGCAAGACAGTATCTATGCGAATAAAAATGCTAAACAAGGAGGATACATTCCCTCTACATTAAGAAGGCCAAAAGAAGGCTTTTTTAATAACATGTAAGTAATAGTAAATTTATTATTTAGGTCTTCTAAAAATATCACATGGAAATCCTGATTTATTCATAAGCAAAGGTCTTTCCTGTTTGCGGAATACCAAAAACGTATTAGGCACTTCAGGTTTTTCCTCATCACAGCTCCTAGCATAGGTATGCTGAATTTCAATAGGACTTCTCCTTTCATTATCTACTGCTAGTTTTTCCATTTCCTCATTGAAGAATTCGCCATCGCTATCAGGGAAAATAAAATAGCTTTGACTGGCATTGTCCAGATTTTTTCCTTCAAGTGCGTCTAATGCTTCAGAAACTTGCACCTTTGTTTGAGGAACTACAGGGGATAAAGGAATCGCTGGCTTGATGATTGCACTTTTCACTCTTTGTGAGGGAGGACTTATAGGCTTAGCGGTTTCAGGTATTTTGATGACGCTTTTTTCACTGGAGTCGCTAGATCTTCTTTTCAAAATTGCGCTTTTAGGCTTGCTTTCTGCTTTTTTCTTTCTAGCATTCGCAATTCTTTCTTCTATTTTGGCAATTTTTGCCTTTTCAGCTTCATGTTGCTCTTTCAGCTTATTCGGTTTACTAGTTGAAGGCGAAATTTTAATCCTCTTGCTAGGAGTTCTGTTTCTAACAGACGCTGTTCTTGGTTTTTCTTTATTTGTAGTTTTCAATTCTTGGATCACATTTTCTTGATCTTTTATTTTTCCTTTTACTCCTCCATTTAATTGGAACCAAGAATTCTATTTCAATTCAAAAGGAGGGTTTATTTTGTTTTAAAAATATTGTATATAAATTTTTCTTTATTTAAAATTTTTAAAAGTATATTGAACAATATTTTTGAATTTTAATTATTTTTATGAAGAATTAATCAAAAATTTAATCGATTGAGTGTGAAAACAGTTTAAATAATATTATACTTATTAAATTAGACAAAAACTAATTTATTAAAATTAGCATATTTGCCGATAAAATTTTTCAATGAAAAAATTTAAAGGAGTTAAGTACCCAAAAAATGAAATCTTACGTTCCAATTTAAAGGGGAGATAGTTTCTCTTGCTCATTTTTCAGTTCTTTGCAGAGACTATTAAGATAATCTAAATTTTCTATTGTAACTTCTGAGCCTAAAGCTGGAATAGGGCTTTTCGCTACCTCTTGTTCAGCAGTGGAAGTTTCTGTGTCAATTGGAGATTTTAAATTTTCATGGCAGGCTTCTTGGGTTTCTTTTTGATCTGGCTTTGTGTCAATATTTTCAAAATTTCGAAGAGATTTCTTTTCTTGCTCTTTTATTCTGTTTTTTTCTTCAATCTGGGCTTTTAAGCATAGTTGAAGCTCTCTTTGCTGCTCTTCTTTTTTAAGTTTGAGAAGAAAGGCTTCATCTCTTTGTAATGGACCGCCAAAAATGTGACTTCTATTTACATTTGTGAACTCGTAGACTTTCCTTACTTCTCATTAATATAGAGTGGCCAGTTGTCATTCGAACAAGGACGGGTTTGAAAAATTATTTATAGTTATTATTTTAAAAAATTACCCATGCAAAATTATGTGCTAGTGAGCGCACATCTATTAGCAAGTATGCTAGAAATCTCATTAAATTACCTAGAAGCTATTTACTAGCATGGCCCGACTCCTGCTTTAGTTCAGGCTTGTCTGACGTCAGATGGGGAGATGACAAATCCTCTTTTTGTTGGAGATTTGTCATCTTGGGAGTTGGCTTTGCCAACTCCCATCTGACGTCGAGAGAGATCAGACAATCCCGATCCAAAGCAGGGTCGGGCTATATATCTAATATTATAATTATAAAAGATAGATTTAAAAAAAAATGTTTTTATCTTAGCTTTATGAAAGTCGTTTATTCAAGAATCAGAGTTTATTTTCTCATTTTAAGGAAATTTTCAATGTTAGCGTTTGACCAAGAATGGAGAGCTAGATTTTTATTGTACATAGTAGAGTTCTCTACATCATCTGAATATATTTTGGCAGATTGTGGAGTAATGTTTTGCATAGCCAGCTTAGTCTATTTAATCTTATATGAAATAGCAATTGAAATAATAATTCTTATAGGTTGAGCATAGATATATGATATTTTATGGTTTTATTTTAATTTTAGCCTTTTGAAATGGTTTTTTAATTAAATAATTTATTATTCTAGCTGACTTTAGCTCGAATTTATATGAAGTATTTTCATATATTTTCTCACATTTATTGCTAAATCTCAAGTAATTCAAGAGCGTGTATTTTTTAAGTTAAATACAAAGTCAAATAATTTTTTCTTATTCAAATATGATTGATTCAGATTGAACTTCTCAACAGTATCTACATTTTTACTCATGCTCCGAAACTGAAATTTATTTTTGTGGAATTTATTTAATTCTCTTAATTAATAAATTGGAAGATATGATGCAGATTTTTATGCATGCTTAACCGAATCTTGCTGATGATGTGATATATAAAACTTATAATTCTATAATAATTAATGAGTTGCTGAGAATCAAACTGCTCTGCAAGGCCGACTTTTGTTTGCCCATGCTCAGGCACAGGGGTATATTCATGTGAAGCTCATTTAATAGAGCACCTTAAGCTTAAGTCTCAAAATCCACACCAACCTGAACCTCAATCATTCAATTCTTACTCTGAAACAAAGCAAGTAATATGTGATTATCTAATGAAAAGGAATTCAGATTTAAGTAACTATCAGTCAAGAGTAATTGATGCAACTGCCCAAAAAATAAAGCAGCTTAAATCTCAACTAGAAGTCGCAATTGATGAATTCCAAAGAGTTATTAAAGAAAATACAGTTTTAATAGAAAAAGTCATTTTGGCTGAAAATTTGCCAAAAAATGATGAAATTAACAAAATTTTATTCTCACAGCCTGATGAAGCGTTGAAAATTATATCAACTTTAAGTTGAATAGATAAAGAAAAATTGCCTGATTATATTCAATGTAAATTTGATAGTCCAGAAGAGAGAAATGAAATTAATATATTTCGTGACAATACCAAAAAATTATTGAGGGTTAATCTAAACGACCTTTCGCATAAAGAAATTGAAATTCCAATAGAGCATAATGCTACTGTTTGGCTATCAATATGCAAGCTCCCAGATAACAACCTTTTTTGCTTTCAAGGAATCAATGCCTATTCGTCGCCGACGTTCATGATATATGAAGATAATAGTATCAGATATCTTACTAGTAGACCAAATCTCTGTAGATATGCAAGTGCTATTTATTATGAAAACGAAGTATATTCCTTTGGAGGAAACAATGATTTTGGATATGTGACAACTCCAGAGAAATACAATATATCAGAAAATAAGTGATATAAAATACCACAAAATCTTAGTGTAGGCTCAATATCATGCAACGGGTTTTCGTATAAAGATAAAATATTCTTTGTAGGGCTCAACCATGCAAAAATTTATATTTATCATGTCTCTCAAAATAAATATTCAGAAATACCAATAAATTTAACTCCAAATGCAGTCAAGATTTTGCATTTAATTGGCAATTGTATTTATGTGATTGAAAGCAACTCTAAGATATACGAAATTGATGCCGATGATATACAGAGATGAAGGATTGCTGGGACTTCTCCATCTTTTGGGCGACCTGTTTCTCATTTTGTTCAACTTAAAAATTCTGTTTACTTTATGGATAACAACTCTTATATAATGAATTTTGATTTGGCGTCAAAATCTGTCAGGCAAGTGAAGCAAATATAATTTTAAACGATAAATAATACAAAAATTTAATGGAATGATTTTATTGTGAGCAATATAAAATAAAATATTATGTTTATAATTAATCTCCCCTTTAAATTGAAATCAACGCTTTGGAATATATTTAGGCTTTCTGACTGTAGATATTTTTATTTAAACTATATTAATTGAAATATAAATAAATTTTATGAGTTTCTGAAAACCTCGATTGCTCATAAAAACCCACTTTTTTTGTTCATGTTCAGATATAATATCTATTCTTGTGAAGTTCATATCAGTCAACACCTCAAATCTAAGTCTCAAAATGTGCATATTCCAGAAACTCTATATTTTACACCCCATGAAGAGACCAATAAGGCCCTATATCTCATAAGAATAAATGCAAGTCTAAGCAGTCTTCAATCACAAATAATTGATGAGTTTTACAAAAAATAAAGCAGCTGAAATTGCTGGATTTAGTTACTATCGAATCTAAATTTTGATTTTAATTCACAAGAGTTAATTAAATTTTGAATCCACTTTAGCGCTAGTGTATTTCAATGTTTCAAATTTTGATACCTTTAAGAATGAGAATGAATTTTGATAAAGGGAATTATGTAATATTAAAATTTCGCTACTGCTGAGATAGAGAAAAATCTTACATTTTCAATTTTTATTATTATATTATCATGTGCTGAAAATCAAATTTCTCGCCTTGGCCTAAGTTTTTCAATGTGCAGGAGTTGGAGTTTTTATGTTAATAATTTATATCTACAAATACCTATGATTTAAAACTCAAAATGCCTATAGATTAAGTAATATTTATCGAAAGATGAAGAGTTCAATTCTCAATTTCTAATTGAAGCTGATAAATTAAAGCTTAATAATGTTATAAGGATTTTATACGGAAATTACCTAAACTTTAAAAAAGAGTAAAATTTAAGTTAATTTTGATTTGATGCTGTTCTAAAGCATTTTACTCTCAAGAGTACTTATAGTGATTATCAAACCTCAGATAAAACCGGAAAATTATATCGCACTAATTTGCTTTCTTTAGTTCTAAAAATCTCTCTGTCATCTAGAGTTTGAGTAAATCATAAAAGAGTGTAAAAGATAAATATTATCTTGTCCCAAAATTGTGATTTATATTATCGTTTAGTATTTTTTAACAAGTAATTGCAGTTGATAGCATATCTCAACATATAAATATCATCAAGAAGGTAATAGTTAACTTATTAATATAAATAATTAATTTATTTTATTCATTTCTTAGCTAAGTGATCGATCTTTGTAGCAACAAAATAAACTTTGAAAACATAGATATCAAACGCTGTTTATAAATATCATTTGTTTATTATTAGCTGAGCTATAAGCTATAAATTATTTTTAAAATATATTGCTTTATAACATTTTGATTCTACTCGTTATTAATTTGGCAAGCTATTAAAAATTCTTATAAAATCAAGAATTAGGTAAGTCTCAAAAAATTTCATCACCATTTTTCTTTGAAGAACTAGTAATCTATAAAGCTCATAGCTATCTATAATGTTTAGATTTTCAAAAATATCGTCTAATCTTCAATTTGGATCACAAAGTAGAATAATTAATTATCAAACCTTGGAAATATTGTATCGTTTAATAAATCGATTAAATAAATAAAAAACGAAACGCAAAATAATAGATAAAGGTTATTTTGCAATTGAAATGGGATTATAAAACATATACTAACTTTTATTTCTTTTAGAAAATAACCCAATTTTTCCTTTAATATCTCAGAATTACTAAACAATGAATTGAGAAAGTTTATAAATTTTTTAATTAAATTCAAGAAGATGGGTACTTTGGCTGCATATGCATAGGGTCAATAGGGTATCAATTTATAATGCAATCTAACTTGCAAACTTGATAAATTATAGAATGCAATGAGAAATGCTATTGTTCCTCAGACAGAGGAAAGATAACTCAAGCCATTTTATCTCATGAACCGAGAAGCAATTTAAATAGAATAAATTCAGATTATTTCACCAAAAATCAAGAGAAATATCTGATAAGAATAATTTCAGATTATTTCTCCAAAAAAGAAGAAAAATATATAAAGAATAACATAAATTTATATTATAATTTATAAATGGGAGAATTCAAGTTGTTGCCAAAAAGGATGATCAATTTTATTGTGTTGCTTTTTCACTTATATCCTGTAGAAAGTTTTGGCACCACCTGTGATACAGATCTGTGCGCAAACTGTGTAGGCATAGGCACTACAGCTTTTCAATGTACTACGTGCAAGACTTCTCCAAGCACAACAATACTTCTTAATAGTGTATGCTTGCCAAATTGCCCCTATGGCTTTACTACCAGCCCTTGTACAATTAATACTAATGCTGTAGTTGATGTTACTTTCGACCAGGCCTTATTTAGTGGATCATATGGCCCTTTTATCACAGCGACCAGTTCATCGACTTATCAGTTCTTTTGGAATCCAGAGTCCGTAGATCCAATACCAGCTTATCAGCAAGGATTATACTTTAGCGGTGGTGACTATTTATCAACTTCAAGCGCATTCTATACGAATTATGAAGTCGCACTATGCCTCTGAGTCAAGTCAGTTTCGACAAACAACGATCTCTTATATATAAAATCTGGAAGTGGAAGTGATGTTTTAAGAGTGAACGCACAGGGAGGATTGAGACTTGTTTTAGAACAATCAACCGGGTTGCAAACGTCTACATTGAATTCTGGTAACAACCCTAGCACATCCAATAACGTATGGAATTTTTTATCATATACAGTTTCTTATTCCTCCGCAACTACAACAATGAATCAATATTTGAACACTGTGGCAGCTGGGTCTCCGGTAAGTTGAAGCAGTGATATACTCAGATGATATAATGTAGGAACTCAAACCCTTATTATTGGAAAAGGATCAAGTGGAAACTTTAATGGCTGGGTGTATAACTTCAAATTTTGAAATACAGATTATTCATCTTGATCTACTGAATACAGCACTGTTTGCGGCTCTGGAACAAACTCTTGCTTTGTTAATTGTGATTATGGCAAGTATTGGAGTGGCTCTAGCTGTATAGCTTGTGCAAGTCAATGCTCTTACTTACTTACTTACTTAATTATCTGGTGTTTAAGGTGTCTAGTGCCGCAGCCCAAAAGGGCCTATGGCAAAAACTAGTGACGTAGGCGAGCCATCTTGGCACGGGTCAGCCCCATCCCAAGCCTTCTATCAACTCCTGCTTCACCAGCCTTGCTGCACGTCTCACCCGGCGCGTTGCCGTCGCCCTTGTCGCTCGACTCAGCTCCTGCGCGTGTTCCGCCTAAGGGTCATCCTCCCGTGGGGATGTGCTGAGAGGTAAAAGCCCGAAATCTTGAGTGGACTGAGGAGTGGTTCCTCTGGTTATCCCCAGAGTTAAACTGCTGTTGCTGTCCAGAAGTTCTCGAGTGAAAACCTAACCCTATAAATAAAATTCCATGAGGGAGAGAAAATTAGCAAAGCTAATTTCTCTCGAACCGAATGCCATTTTATTTTATGCAAGTCAATGCTCAAATGGATGCATTGGGGCTAATAAATGCAATTGTTATGATCCTCTTTGTGCTGTGTGCACAGGATGGGCGTCAGGGCTATGCACTAGTTGCACTACAAATGCTTCAGGAGGAGGGGCAACTGCATGCTCTTGTAATCCTGGTTATTACAATTCAGATGGATTTACTTGTACTTCTTGCCCAACAGGCTGTGCTACCTGCACAGGAGGAAGCTATTATCAGTGCAGTTCTTGCTTATCAGGCTATTACTTTTTAACTACAATGTGCTTAAGTTCATGCCCTTCAGGGTACACTCAAGACTCAACTAATAATATTTGCACGCTTACCACAAATAATCCACTTTCAGTTGCTTTTCAAAATCAAATTGTCCTTGACACTCTTACTTCAAAATTAACTTAAAAATCAAATATTAAAAAGATTTACTATAAAAGAAATAAAAAAAAGATAAAAAATTGGAGAGTTAGTGGAGTAACTGTAGGCTCATCCAATTCTAATAAATATCCAACTTGGGAATCGACTGATCCTATCCCTTCAATATATAGAGGCTATTATTTTACTGCTTCTTATTATATGATATATAGAAACTTCCTTGGAGTGGCGCTGCAAGCGCAGGCCACTCCATGCGGAATTCATGGGTTGGTCGAACCAACGCACAGTTTTGGTTCGACCAACTCCTATATGTTGGTTAAACCAACACAGGAATTCCACATGGAGTGGCCTGCGCTTGCAGCGCCACTCCAAGAAAAGAAGTATAGCCCGTTCCCGGCTATAGATCGGGCTTTGCCCGATCTTTGCAGGGAAACTCGGGGGGCTGTCTCCGTCACTTTGAAGTGACGAGTCAACTCCCCGAGTTGGCAAATAGCCGCTATATGGTGATTTGCCAACTCGGGGAGTTGACTCGTCACCTCAAAGTGACGGAGACAACCCCCCGAGTTTCCTGGCAAAGATCGGGTTAAGCCCGATCTATAGCCGGGAACGGGCTATATACTCATCACTTTTAATATCGCCATATTTCACAGCTACTATTTGGATCAATGCTTCAGGAGCTGGAAATATTGTGACAAAATACAGCTCTGGGAATTACTTTCTTCTTGCAATTAGCTCATCAGGGTATCCTTCACTTAAGCTTAAACTTAATGACGCTTCTACTGTGACACTAACTGGAACTGCAAGTAAATTTAATTCTTGGCATAATATAGCTTTTACAGGAACTGTCAATGCAAGTGGAAATACAGTTATAAACATGTATATTGATGGATCATCTATAAGCAGCGCTACTTCAGCTAATGCATCACCTTTTATTGATGCAGGAACGCTTTATATTGGATGCCAGGCAAGCTCTAATGGCTTTATAGGATTTTTGTGGAGTCTTAAAATCTATAGCGATAATACTCTTTATAATATTGAATGAAAAACTTCTGGTTGCGCTAGTGGATGCTCGACTTGTCCATCCGAGTTACTTTGCCCAGATTCATGCTCTTTTGGATCATTTTTATCTTCTGGTGCCTGCACCACATGTACTGGATCTTGCTCGCCATATGGATGTAGGAGCACAGAAACATGCAGACTGTGCAAATATAGAGAATGTACTACTTGCACTTTATTTGACGGACCTTGCACAGCTTGCATTACAAATGCTAGTTTATCAGGAGGTGTTTGCTCTTGCAATTCTAATGCTTTTTGGGTAGCTTCGTCTGCAACATGCGAATTATGCGATGCTTTATGCTCGACCTGCACGGGAACTTACTATTTTCTTTGCAGTGCTTGTAGTGGGTCTGCAGTTCTTGTAGGAAATGTTTGTTTGAATGCTTGTCCTTACGGGTTTTCTGCAAGCCCATCATGCACAGCTATTTCTACAACTGTTATAGACCAAAGTTTTGATACCAACTTTTCAGGAACTTATGGCATTTTTACAACCTCAACTTCAGCTTCCACTTATCAATTTTGGAATAGCCCCGATTCATTGGATCCTATTCCAGCATATAAACGAGGTCTCTATTTCTCAAGTGGGCAGTATTTAGTATCAAATACAAACATTTATTTAAGCAACAACGTGTCTATGGGGGTATGGATATATGTGATAACAGCAGGCGATATTCTTCAAAAGCAAGCCAGACTTTCATTCAGCTCAGCAGGAGTTTTAACAGCAACCTTAGAAAATCCGTCTCAAACCACGACATCAGCATCAACTACAGCCTTGTCAGCTTTTTCCGGATGGAGTTATCTCTCTTTTACAATCACTTACGTAACAGGATCAACAACTATAACTGCGTATAAGAATGGAGCTGCGGGGACTGCACTTTCAAATACAGCTTATTTGTACAGAGATGCAGCTTCTGATGTTTTATATCTTGGTAAGAGTTCTACTTCTTCTACTTTTGTAGGCTTTATTTATTACTTTAGTTTATGGAATACTGCTATAACTGATTTTTCATCTAAATTTACAATCCCATGTGGAACTAGCTTAACTACTTCATGCCTTTGGTCTTGCCCTATAGGACAATACTACGCTACATCATCTTGCACGTCATGCAACAGCTGTGGAAGCATGGGATGTAGAAGAGCAATATCATGCAACATTTGTGCAGATCCCTTGTGTGCCCAATGCACAGGTTTTGGAACCAACTTATGTACTTTATGCGTGACTCATGCCTCTGGAGGAGGGGCAACTCCTTGTTCATGTGATACCAACTATATAGCTTCAGCTGATGGCTTTTCTTGTATCTGGGCATGCACCACAGGATGTGCTGGTTGCTCAGGAACTGGGTATTATCAGTGCACTTCTTGCTTAGCAAGCTATTACTACTTAAATGGCTTATGTTTAGCCTCATGCCCAGCAGGATACAATCAAGATTCTACAAATAACCTATGCACTTTATCTTCAACCACTCCTGTGTCACTTGCTTTGCAGGATTTAATTCAGCTTGATACTGCCAATAGCTTTACTGTGGGATCTTCAAGCTCCAACACTTATCCATCGTGAACTGACTCAGCTGATCCTGTACCTTCAATTTTCAGAGGCTATTATTTTGGAAGCTCATCGTTAATGTCTTTAAGCTCTTTAATCATCACTCCTTTCTATACTGTTACAATCTGGGTAAAGCCCTCAGCCCAAGGAAACCTTTTTCTTAAGTTGAGTGGTAGTACAGAAATGCTCAAAATTGTATTCACATCTTCTGGGTGGCCCTCTATAACTTTAACTCTACAAGATTCATCTACTGTTACCTTGTCAGGGTCATTAAGTCTGTTTAATGCTTGACATAATATTGCTTTTACAGGAGACATTATCAGTGGAAATACAAAAATACTTTTCTATACAGATGGCTCTTTAATTTCAAGCCAATTGTCAGCTAATATTTCTCCATTCAGAGATTCAGGATCATTATATATAGGCTTTTCAAATGGAGCTAATGGTTTTACAGGATTTTTGTGGAGTCTTAAAATATTCAACGGAAACACACATTACTCTGATGAATGAATCATATCTGGCTGTGCTAGTGGATGCTCGACTTGTCCATCCGAGTTACTTTGCCCAGATTCATGCTCTTTTGGATCATTTTTATCTTCTGGTGCCTGCACCACATGTACTGGATCTTGCTCGCCATATGGATGTAGGAGCACAGAAACATGCAGACTGTGCAAATATAGAGAATGTACTACTTGCACTTTATTTGACGGACCTTGCACAGCTTGCATTACAAATGCTAGTTTATCAGGAGGTGTTTGCTCTTGCAATTCTAATGCTTTTTGGGTAGCTTCGTCTGCAACATGCGAATTATGCGATGCTTTATGCTCGACCTGCACGGGAACTTATTATTTTCTTTGCAGCGTTTGCAGTGGCTCTACAGTTCTTGTAGGAAATGTTTGTTTGAATGCTTGTCCTTACGGGTTTTCTGCAAGCCCATCATGCACAGCTATTTCTACAACTGTTATAGACCAAAGTTTTGATACCAACTTTTCAGGAACTTATGGCATTTTTACAACCTCAACTTCAGCTTCCACTTATCAATTTTGGAATGGCCCCGATTCATTGGATCCTATTCCAGCTTATAAAAGAGGTCTCTATTTTGCTGGTGGACAGTATTTAGTATCAAATACAAACATTTATTTAAGCAATAATGTGTCTGTGGGGGTATGGATATATGTGATAACAGCAGGCGATATCCTTCAAAAGCAAGCCAGGCTTTCATTCAGCTCAGCAGGAGTTTTAACAGCAACCTTAGAAAATCCTTCTCAAACTACAGCAATAGTATCGACTACAGCTTTGTCCGCTTTTTCTGGATGGACTTATCTTTCTTTTACGATTATTTATACATCCGGATCAACAACTATAACTGCGTATAAGGATGGAGCTGCAGGGACGACACTTTCAAGTGCAGCTTATCTGTACAGGGATGCAGCTTCTGATTTTTTATATCTCGGTAAGAGCTCATCTTCTTCTACTTTTGCAGGTTTTATTTATTACTTTAGTTTATGGAATGCAGCAATTACTGATTTTTCATCAAGTTTTACTATTCCGTGTAGCACAAGCTTAGATATATCGTGTCTTTGGTCTTGCCCTATAGGCCAATACTACGCTACATCATCTTGCACGTCATGCAACAGCTGTGGAAGCATGGGATGTAGAAGAGCAGTATCATGTAACATTTGTGCAGATCCTTTGTGTGCCCAATGCACAGGTTTTGGAACCGGATTATGCACTTTATGTGTAGCTCATGCCTCTGGAGGAGGGGCAACTCCTTGTTCATGTGATACCAACTATATAGTTTCAGCTGATGGCTTTTCTTGTGTCTGGGCATGCACCACAGGATGTGCTGGTTGCTCAGGAACTGGGTATTATCAGTGCACATCTTGTTTAGCAAGCTATTACTACTTAAATGGCTTATGTTTAGCCTCATGCCCAGCAGGATACAATCAAGATTCTACAAATAACCTATGCACTTTATCTTCAACCACTCCTGTGTCACTTGCTTTGCAGGATTTAATTCAACTTGATACTGCCAATAGCTTTACTGTGGGATCTTCAAGCTCCAACACTTATCCATCGTGAACTGACTCAGCTGATCCTGTACCTTCAATTTTCAGAGGCTATTATTTTGGAAGCTCATCGTTAATGTCTTTAAGCTCTTTAATCATCACTCCTTTCTATACTGTTACAATCTGGGTAAAGCCCTCAGCCCAAGGAAACCTTTTTCTTAAGTTGAATGGCAGTACAGAAATGTTCAAAATTGTATTCACATCATCTGGATGGCCCTCTATAACTTTAACTCTACAAGATTCATCTACTGTTACTTTGTCAGGGTCATTAAGTCTGTTTAATGCTTGGCATAATATTGCTTTTACTGGAGACATTGTAAGTGGAAAATCAAAAATTTATTTTTATGCCGATGGATCCTTAATATCGAATCAGGTCTCAACCAACGTGTCTCCCTTCATTGATGCTGGCTCATTATATCTTGGATATGCTAATGGAGCAAACAGCTTTATCGGGTTTTTATGGAGCGTTAAATTATTCAATGGAAATACTCATTTTCTGGATGAGTGGCAAACTTCTGGCTGCTCTGGTCCCTGCTCAAATTGCCCTTCTGAACTGATCTGCCCTGATAGTTGCGAATTTGGCTCTTTTTACTCTTCTGGATCCTGTATAACATGTGCAGGATCTTGCTCTCCTTATGGATGTAGGAGCTCACTTACTTGTAGACTTTGCCAAAACAAGGAATGCACTACTTGCACTTTATTTGATGGTCCTTGTACAGCCTGCATCACAAATGCTGGACTATCAGGTGGTGTTTGCTCTTGCAACTCCAACGCTTTTTGGATTCAGTCTTCGGAAACTTGTGAAATTTGTGATAATTTGTGCTCTACTTGCTTAAAGACTTACTATTTCGAGTGTAATGATTGCACAGGCACTAAAGTGCTAGTTGACACTGTCTGTTTAAATGAATGTCCATACAGTTTTACAGCGAGTCTCTCATGCATAAGCTCAACATCAACTATAATTGACCAGAGTTTTGATACAATATTTCAAGGGTCTTATGGGATATTAACAACCTCCACTTCTGCTTCCACCTATCAATTTTTCACTAACCCAGATTCTTCTGACCCTGTTCCTTCATATGGAAGAGGGCTGTATTTTTCTGGTTCGCAATACTTGCAAGCTAATGTGAACATTTATATGAACTATCAATTTTCAGTTGGCTTTTGAATTTATACAATTGCAGATGGAGATATCTTCCAAAAACAAGCAAGAGTTAAATTGGCTTCTAATGGAATAGCCAATATTATCTTAGAAAACCCATCTCAAACTACAACAACAGTCACTACTTCATCTTTAACTTTTAGTGGGTGGTCTTATTTGTCCTTAACAGTTTCTTATTTATCAGGCTCAACCACAACTGTTACCTCAGTTAACAATGTTGCTGAAACTCCAATTTTATCTACAAACTTACTGTTCAGAGATGTTTCATCTGATATTTTGTATGTAGGAAAAAGCACATCTTCTGGATTTGAAGGCTTTATTTATTATTTCAGCTTATGGTACACTGCTATCTCTGATTTTTCGTCAAAATTATCGGTTCCTTGTGGATCAAGTTTATCTACTTCTTGTCTCTGGTCTTGCGATATCAGCGACTACTATGATGGAGCAGCTTGCCAGTCTTGCAATTCCTGTTCTTTAGGGTGCACTCAGGGTGTTTCCTGTAATATTTGCTATGATCATCTTTGCTCAATTTGCAGTGGGTTTGGGTCAGGATTATGCACTCAATGTGTGAACCATGCTTCAGGAGGAGGAGCAACAGCTTGCTCATGCGATGCTAATTATATCCAAGCAGCTGATGGGTTTTCATGTATTTGGGGTTGTACTACAGGGTGTGGAGGATGCTCTGGTACAAGCTATTACCAATGCACTTCTTGCTTAACAATGTATTACTTTATATCTGGACTCTGCATCTCTGTTTGTCCTACAGGATATACCCAAGACTCTACAAATAATCAATGCACCTTGGTTTCAAACCTTTCTTTCAGTCTTCAGTTCCAAGACCTAATCCAGTTAGACACAGTGAGTGGAGTCCAAGTTGGCTCCTCAGGCACAAACACTTATCCTACATTTGAAAGCACTGATCCAGTCCCTTCATTATACCGTGGCTACTACTTCATTTCCAATTCCTATATGGCATCAACCTCTCTAATATTAAATACTTACTTTACAGTCACAGTTTGGATTAAGCCTATTTCATCTGGATACTTAATGCTAAAAATTAACGGAAGTGACGAGATGTTCAATATTTCATTTTCAAGTGGCGGAGTTCCTACTTTAATGATAACTCTTCAAGACTTATCAACTGTTTCAGTCAGTGGAGCTTCAAATCTTTTTAATGGTTGGCACAATATTGCATTCACAAGTGATATTATCAGTGGGAAAATGAAGATATATTTGTATACAGATGGGGTTGTTTCGGCAAGTCAACTATCCACTAACTCATCTCCATTCATTGATTTAGGCAATTTAAAGATTGGAGCATCGTCTGGGACCAATGGATTCACTGGATTTTTGTGAAGCTTAAAGGTATTTAATTCAAACTCGAACTACCTTGACGAGTGAAAAACAACCGGGTGTGTTGGTGGATGCTCAAGCTGCCCTTCGGAGCTAAAATGCCCAGATAACTGTGATTTTGGATCGTTTTATTCAAGTGGATGCACAACTTGCGACTCAAGCTGCAGTCCATATGGATGTAGGAGTTCTCTGACTTGTAGATTGTGCTTGCAGAAAGAATGTAAAGAATGTACACTATTTGATGGACCTTGCACTAGCTGCATAGACAGAGCTACTTTAACAAGTGGAGTCTGCGCATGCGATTCCAACGCATTCTGAGTTCAATCTTCTCAAACTTGTGAGTATTGTGATTCTTTGTGTACTCAATGTGCAGGAACTTACTATTTTCTCTGCAGTGCTTGTACAACAGGCGAAACTCTTGTTGGAAATGTTTGCTTGCATGAGTGTCCTTATGGTTTTGGTGGGAGTTGCACAAGTGTTTCTTCTCAAGTTATAACTCAATCTTTCGATCAGAATTTTGCAGGATCGTATGGTATATTCACAACAGCTACAAGCTCATCAACTTATCAGTTTTTCAATAGTCCTGAAGCCAGCGATCCTATACCTGCCAAGAAGAGGGGGCTATATTTTTCAAGTGGAAAATACTTCCTCCACCCCTTTAAATTGAACAAAAATTCCTGTTAGTTTTTCATTAAATAAAAATTTTATATTAGTATGTTCAAGCCTCATTTAGATCCCCTTAGCTATATAGAATTTTTTAAAAATTAAAAAAAAATAAATTGCACACAATATTTTTTGAATTTAAATTTATTTTTAGAGAATTTATTCCGTGTGAAAACGACTTAAAATAATATTCTATTTGCGCTTTTCGTATTAAATTAGGCCAAAACTAATTTATTAAAATTTGTATTTTCGAATTTCAAAGTATTTGATGCACCCTAAAAATGGAAATTTTATCTATATTTTATTGTTTAAATGGGGAAGTTAGAATCAAATATTGACGTTTATTTATCTTACAGCTTTTCACTTGGGTTTTGGGCTTATGTAGAAACTGCAGGAGATTTATTCGAAAAGCAAAATAGATTAATTATAAATTCTAGCGGAGCTGCAACAATTATTCTAGAGAGCCCAAGCTTAATCACAACCACTATTACGACTGGAGTAATAAGCTCCTCAGGATGGTCATATTATTCAATAGCTATTTCATACTCTTCAGGCTCTACTACAGCTACAGTCTATATAAACAATGCAGCAGGGACTCCAAGCAGCACAAGCAATTATATCTTTAGAGATGCCGCTTCTCAAACTATTCTGATTGGCAAAAGTACTGCTTCCAGCTTCTCAGGGTTTATATATAATTTCAACATGTGGAATAGTCTAATTACTGACTTCAGCACTCAAGTAAATGATGATATCTGTGGGACAGGACTTGGAAGCACTTGCTTATGGACTTGTGATTTTGGATCATATCAAAACTCTGGAGGAACATGCTCTGCTTGCAACAGTTGCTCTCTAGGCTGTGTAAGGGGGGTTTCATGCAATGTGTGCGATGATAAGCTTTGCAGTGTCTGCACTGGGTTTGGAACAAATCTTTGCACGACTTGTGTGATTCATGCTTCAGGATCAGTGTGCTTGTGTGATATCGGATATTATTTATCATCAGATGGGTTTTCCTGTGTTGTTTGTAGCACCGGATGTTCTGCATGCACTGGACTTAACTATTATCAATGCTCATCTTGTATGAGCTCTTATTACTACATAAATAATCTTTGTGAGCCCAGCTGCCTACTTAGCTTGACTTAAATTGTTATCGAGCAGCTCCCAGCCAGCCATGCCGGTTTTTCACGTCACTTTTTAGCTTAACCCTCTTGCTTGCTAGTCCGATTCAACTACTAAATCCATATGCTGCTCCTTCCAGATGAGGGCTTGAACTCGAATTCCGGAGGTCGAGATGATGGGTCACCGTACCGTACATCAACGGGGTTGCCCTTTCTGAAAATTCAGTGAATTTTCTGGGAAGGCTACCATCAGACTGAACTTATAGCCCAGGACGCAATTCCCAATTGGCAACGATCACTCTTTGAGCTTGCTGGGCTATCCCTTTCTAAGTTCATCTTCCCTCAATGTAAAATTTTTGTCTTCAATGTGAGCTTTTAGTTGGTCAGCCCGACATTGTGCTGCATCAGACCAAATAAACTGGCTGGGCGATCTCACTCACTCTATTCTAGCTTAAAATGATCCCCAAATCCCCATCTTGTTACAGGTAGGTTTAAAAGGGTAAGTTAATTCGCCATCCAATTTTTATGAGTGCCTTGCTGCCCTACAGGATACACACAAAACTCTACGACACATAACTGTGACTTATATTCATCCCTTGCACTGTATTTAAATCTTATTGATCAGCTTCGCCTTGATACTGTAAGCGGATTTACTGTCGGAAGTGATAGCACAAATACATACCCAAGCTGGGATGCTTATGACCCTATTCCAGCAATCCAAAGAGGGTATTACTTTACAGGATCAAGCTATATGATTTCCAACTTCAAATTTAGCCCTTACTTTTCTCTCTCTTCTTGGGTAAAGGGCTTGAATGATGGCTACTTTTTAACAAAATATGATGGGTCGGTATATCTTTCTATAAGCTTTACAGCTGGAGTCCCAACACTCACGATTAAACTATTGGACGGAACGACAATTTCAGTTTCAGGAGGGTCTTCAAGTATTTTCAATTCTTGGAACTTTTTCTCATTTTCTGGGCAAATTTTGGGAGATGGCACTACTAAGATCACGTCTTATATTAATGGCGCTTCAGTTGGCACTCAAATATCAGGGACATCAAGCCTTTTCAGAGATAGTGCTTCAGGAAGCTTGATCTTAGGTGCAGATCAAACCTTAGCCAATGGTTGGTCAGGATACATATGAAACCTGCAAGTATATAACGATGATTCTCATGCAATAGCTGATTGGGCTACTTCTGGCTGTGGTAGTGGCTGCTCACAATGCCCAGCAAGTTTGACATGTCTAAGTGACTGTAGCTTAAGCACTTATCCAACTTCTTGTACCCCATGCAAAACAGGATGCAGCCATGGCTGTGTAGGTGGCTTAACATGTAGACTTTGCAAAGCTAAGGAGTGCTTGTCTTGCAATACTTTCTCTGGAGCTTGCCTTAGCTGTATACCAAATGCAAGTCTTTCAGGGACAGTTTGCCAATGCAATGCAAATGCACTTTGGGTTAACTCTTCTGAGAGCTGCGAAATTTGCAATAATGTTTGCGACTCATGCTTATCCTTAACATTTGTTGGCTGCATAACTTGTTCTAGTGGCCGCTACCTATTAGAAAATTTATGTATAAAATACTGTCCAACTGGATACTCAATGTCGGTGAATAAATGCTTAATTGCTTCATCAGATGCATATGTTTTTAATTTCAAGCCAAACCAAATAAAAGATGAAGTCATTGATCTTCAATCAAGTATTGTTGTAAGCACAGGAAACGATACAAATTTCTATCCAAATTATCAAGAAAGAGACCCTTATGCGGCTCAATATCGTGGATACTTTTTTACAGGTAAATCATATATGAATCTGACTTTATCCTCTAGGCCTTTAATTTTTTCTCCAAAATTCACTATTTCAATTTGACTTAATCCTGCAGCAACTTCATGTGATTTATTTGCTAAGCAATCAAATTCTACATCAGCAATGCCAATTTTGAAGTTAAGTTTATCTTCTCTAAGTCCATCTTTAAAAATAAGGCTAAATGATGGATCAACTGCTTTATATACAAGCGCAAACAGTCTTAGTCAAAATCAATGAAATTTATTGATAGTTTCTTCTGGTATTTCTGCAACTCCAGCTCAAATAATTTCCTTCAGCGTAAACGCAGGTCAGGATATATCAAGCGATTTAGCTTCTTCTTGGTTCGAAGATCTACAAGATTCCTTCAAAATTACAATAGGTTCATCTCTTTTATCGAGTTCAGCATTTGGCAATTATTTCTCCGGATTCATTTGGGATCTTAAAATTTGGAATAAAGCTGTTGATTTTTCATCTTTGTACTCTCTGACTTGCTCACAATGCTCTTTATGTCCTATAGACAATTCAGGAGCTTGCATTCCTAATTGTCCGATTTCTGAGTATTGGGATGGGATGAAGTGTTCTTCCTGCACAAATGAATGTTTATCTCTTGGATGTGTGAGATACGATAACACTTGTAATTTGTGCAATAACGTTATCTGCAGTGTCTGTAACGATTTTATAGCTGGATCCTGCCTTCGTTGCAAGGCAAATGCTTACTTAGCATCTGGAGAGTGCATATGCAATAACGGATACTATTTAAATAGAACCATGGAAGAATGCCTGCAATGCGATATAAACCAATATTCAGTTAATGGAATATGCAAAAGCTGCTCGAGTAAATGCACTTCCTGCCTTGATTCATTAATTTGCTATACATGTATCGATACTGCCGAATTATCGCAAAACAATTCTTGCATTTGCAAAATTGGGCATAACGGAACTAATTGTGATGCAGCCTATTTTGATGCCTTTTTGGCAGTCAATGACGATAATTCCTTAAACCTTACTTTTTCAGAAAACCTTGTGAATATAATTTCTCAATATGACTTAAGCATCAGTGTTGAAAATACTTCTTTGTCAGATTACTCATGAACAATAGAAAAGGTAAGCAGCAAGTTTTATTCAATTTCACTATCTTTTTCTATTGAAGTTAGCAGCAAAACTCCAATAGTTGTAAAATTGTTAAATTTAACATATTTTGTATCTGAAGCAAACGCCCTGCTTAAAGATGACACTTTGATTGGAGCTCTTTATTATTACAATCCATATTCAAGTAGCCAAGCTGTTAGCGCAGTTACCAGCCAAACAACAGCAGCAGTTCAATCAATTATTGGAAGCTCAGTAGCAGTCTCATTCATCAATCCTAATCCTGCTAGCTTATGAAGCATGATGAATATTTTGAATTACATCGCGTATCTAGGCCTTACCAAAATCCCAATGACGGATTCATTTTACGCATTTGTGACATGCCTTATTACAATACATAAAAGATTCTAAAGATTAACCCTTATCCTATTTACTCTCTGAAAATAGAATAAAGGTAACTATTGAGAATATTTATAATTATTATAATTAACTATAAGCATGAATGGCAGTTATTATTTGCCTAACTTATTTGAATATTTCATCGACAAAAGCCAAGGAACTGCACCATATACTCAAGCAATAAAATATGGGTATGACACTGATTTGTTTCTAATTAATGTTGGGAGCGCTATCACAGCACTTGGAGCGATTGTAGCATCCCTTCCTGTAGTTTATTTCCTATCAAATTGTTCTCAAAGATACTTAGCTAAAAAACTAGCTGGAATTTTAAAAAATTACAAATGGTCAGTATTTGTGAGGTTCTGGATCCAAAGCTATTTAGACTTTACTGCTGCAGCACTTATTGGATTATTAAACGTAAGTTGTATTTAGTTTTCTTTTGGAAACATGACTCAAGCTACTAATACAATTATATGTCTTGTAGTTTTTGTAAATTTTATTTAGTCTTTTGCTTCAGTTTCTCCTTTGTTATTTTTTATGCTCTCATATAAAAATTTGCCGAAAATTCAAGAAAGAGAAAAAGGTTTCGAAAAACTTTGAAGTTCGTTCTTTTATGAGTTTAAAAATGACCAAGGACTTATGAGCACCCAATACTATTCTTTGTTTTTCGGAAGACGGTTTATCTATATCATGAATTTAGCTCTACTTAACGACTATCCAGCTTCTCAAGTTACAATTAGTACTGTGCTTTCATTTATAACTGTGCTTTATTTGATCAGGTATCGTCCTTATGAGGAGCCAATTCTTCAAATCACTAACACTCTTACTCTCCCTCTCCGTGAGTAAGCAAAACCATTGGAAAATTCCCTAATTTTTGCTAAAAAATCCAGTGAACAAAAAATTTTTTATGAAAAAAAAAACTTTGATATATAGTACCCCCCCCTCGTTTGTCGCATTTTCTAGTTTTTTTTTTATAAGAGAAAAAAAAAATTTTCAGGACCTCATTTGTCGCATTTTCTAGTTTTTTTTTAAGCCAAAAAAAAATCGGTTCAGGACCTCGCTTGTCGCATTTTCTAGTTTTTTTTTCTCTCTATAAATTCCTAAAAATTAAAATTCGTCAAGGGATCAGTTAGTGAAATTTCATCATTTCTTCCTTCAAAATCCTTGCTCCCATTCCTCAATCCCCACAGCTTACTTCCCATTACCTGCTCCCATTGCTTAAGCCTCACCACTTGCCATTCACCATTCTTATTCCCCTATCTTCATGCCTATTTCCTTATTTGATAGCTTAATTTCTAGTCTTCCATATTAATTAATGGAGTTGCGCGAAATTGAGGACCAGCCGATAAAAATCCCGGCAATGATTCAAAGCATGGCCTATGGAGAGAGGCTCAATGCAAAGCAGATCCAAGAGCGTCTTGCTGCTTGTGGCAAGGACATGAGCCTGACGACGATCAGGCACTACACCAACAAGTTCAATCCTGAAGAGCACACTTTAGAGCTCAGGCGGAAGCTTGTGGACCATGGACTATCGCCTCCTCCTAAGAAAATCAAGTGGAATGATGGAGAGAGCATAGTCAAGAGGATCATTGACGTAGGTTTCTTTAAAAACGAAGAACTTGCGACAATCTTGGGGACTTCTAAACGGACTATTGAGCGAATTGCTGCAGAGAATACTGAGAGTGAATCTGACGAAGCGGCTGGAAGAGAAGAGGCACTATCCAGATCTCCCCTAAAGCATTGAAGTGATGAAGACTTTGCTGAGATCATTAAGGAATGTGAGAAGGATTCAGGCTTTGTCAGCAAGGCAAGTTTGAGGGCCCAATTCAAAAGAAAGACAGTTAACATCAGCGAAGAACAGCTAGGAAAAGAGCTGAAGAAGAGGGATATGTCTATAGGAAGAAGAGGGTTGTTCTACAGCTAACTGAAGCTCATAAAGAGCAGAGAATGTCCTGGGCTAGGTCTTTGATTGACTCAGATATCGCTTCATGGATCTTCAGTGATGAGTGCTATGTGCATCTCTTTCGTAACTCTAATTTGTGCAAAGAAGGGATAAACGCAACGATTGAAGAGCCTATCAATTGAAAAACCTCAATTATGATCTGGGGAGGAATTTCTATCGTTTTTGGCAAAATGCTCTTCATAAAGAAGGAGAAGTATGCAATCAATGCCCAGGTCTATATCAGAGACATTCTCCAGGACTATATTGAGCCTTTAGATGGAGACTACACCTTCGTTCAGGATGGGGCAAACAGCCCATACTGCAAGGCAGACTATGGAATATTGCAGAGAAAACGGGATTGATGTGAAGACTCAATCGCCGAAGAGCCCAGATCTCAATCCAATTGAGATGATCTGGGCCAATTTGAAGAGGAAAGTGGAGAAAAGAAGGCCTGACAGCAAAGCCAGATAATTGCTGCCATTCAGGAGTCATGGGACGAAATTTCTTTTGAGGAAGTGCAAAATTCCATTCTTAAGGTGAAAAATGAAAAGGCAGGTCATTGAAGCGCAAGGAGAATGGAGCTAATAAGCCAGCTAATTTAATCTATTCTCTAAAAAGGGAGAGTAAAGTGGGAAGGACTGGAAGGACTCGGGCCTGCTAACCCTCTGCAGGCAAATGTAAGGTAAACTCCTCTATAATTACTCAATTAAATTAATCAGAAACTATTTTTTAAAAAAACTAAGATTTGCGACATCAAAAAAAAATTAAAAAAACTAGAAATTGCGACAAATGTATTTGCACTAGAAAATGCGACAAACGAGGTCCTGTAAATTTTTTTTTCCCCTTAAAAAAAAACTAGAAAATGCGACAAACGAGGGGGGGGGTACTATATATGTGATAATTAGTATAATGAATCTCTAGCTAATTCTGTTTAATTGCATTTAAAAAACATATATATTACAAATTAAATAAATGATTGCTTTGCAATTTTTGCGTATTGGGATCTTTTAAATTTCGAAAAAAACAATCTATAAATTTGTGTATAAATTTTTTAAATTATAAATTAATCTCCATCTTTTGTCACTCATGGATGGTTTGTGATTTAGTGAAATATGCACCATGATTTTTATGGGATTAATGTCTGCTAGCCTCTTTGATCTATCGTCAAGTATGCAAAGCGATTTTGAATTAACATTGATTTCAGTTGCAATTGCAATTATGGGGATCCTAACTGTTTCGTCAATAGCTCTTTTTGGAAAAACGTGCTATGAGCTTGTTAAAGAAGGACTTCAAAAGAGCCCGCCTCCACAAAATAAATACCAGGTTAGAGTTAATAGGAAAGAAAATATGAGAGTTGTAGACCTCAATAGTAATCCAACAGAAATAAACCGTAGTATGGTGAATAACGAGCTGCCTGATATCGGAGATGGAGTTATTGACTAAGCATATAAAATTCCTTCTTGCAGGCATATAAAAATAAATATTAAATTAGCATTAGAAGAATTTAGATATTGCCAAAACTTCTAATATGGTTTGATCTGTCTGTTTCTCAAATATCTTCTAGAGAGCTTGATTTATCAAAAAGGAAATTATAAACTAATATAATTTAGGCGCTTGCTCATTTAAAAATGGTATCATTTTTTTAGCTAGATGCTCCTCATAAAGTGGTCATAAATATACCTAAAAATGCAAAATCTCCAAAAGTAGGATAGTAATCTCTCCAAGGAATCTGTTGTTCCAATTATTTTCATATATTGCTTGTATTGATCTCAATATATTAGGCAAATAAGTTCGGCATCAATTATCTCAATCCTCAATATCATTATCACCCAAATCTTTGTATTTTTTCTTCAATAAATCTTGTCAAGCATTTCTCAATGATCGCTAGGATAGTATCTAAATTTCTGGCATAAATATCATTCATATATAAACTTTGAATTGATTTCAATTCATCTATTTTAAGTATAGTTAATTGCTCGAAATTATAAAGTCCTGATTTTTGATATCGTGCCATGTGTTGCGGATATAAATTTTTTCAATGCATGGAGTGTCGGAATAATGAAGATTCATCCTAGATAGTTCTCCTCTAAGTATAATCAAAATAACGAAAGATAATTTCACTCATACTTAAAAATAATTATTAATTGCCAAAAAAAATAGATCTCACTCCCCCTCTGTGAGTGAACAAAAAATGTTATCCGCTCACGATTTTTTTTTAAAAATTTATATTATCAGTTGCACATTAAGAAATATGTGCAACTGATTTATATATAAATTTTAGAGTAATTTTTTTTTCTCGAAATTTAAAAAAATCCCAATTCGCAAAAAATGGAAAGAAAATATCTATTTAGTTTGTAAGATTTATGCTTTAAAATGCAGCTGTTTAAAACTAAACAGAATTAGCTAGAGATTTCATTAAATAATTATCACTTATATATCAAAATGTATTTTTCACAAAAAAAAATTTTGTTCGCTCACAGAGATTGTTTTTGGGCAAAAAAATAGGGATTTTTCGATGGTTTTTTGTTCGCTCATAGAGTGGGGGAGTCTTAAATAATTATAACTTTTCAACAATTATATATTAAAATATTCTAATTTAGCAATTCAGACTTTAATTTTATCTCTTTAATCTCAACAATAATTACTATGTTTGCATTTTTACTTATAAATGGCAAAATCTCTTAAGAGAAAGCGCAAAGATATCTCCAAAGAAAATAGCGTAGAAATCGACCAGATGCTCGAATCGCTCGCAATGGTACCAACTAAATAGGAAGATCTTGCAGTCGGCCCAAAAAAGCTTAACGAGCTTCAAAGCGTATTCGAAAACTTCATAAATCTTGGAAAAGCTCTAATATTAGTCCTATTAGGCCCTTATGGATGCGGGAAAACTGCAAGCGCCGTTTGCTGTGCTAAAAACTATAATCTTACATACACATTTTGAAAGCCGCAGGATTTAATGCAGGCAGAATCTGACGAGCTTTATTCAGTCTCATATCTCAATCAATTGATAAATTTCTTAAACTTCCAATCTTCTACTAAAAAGGCACTAAAAATTCCTGGCTGTGCTCCAAAAGAAATAAATAATGTCCTCATTATTGATAGCTTGCCTACGTTTTATAATGATAAGCAAAAAGAAGATTTTCAAATGTGCATAAATAAATGTCTTAAGGGATTGTCAAAGCTTATTATTTTTATTATGAGTGACTATTCGCCTAACCAAATCCCTCAAATTTTTAGTATAGAAGCAAGCCAATTTATCAAAGTCATCCAATTCAGAGAAGTAGGAAAAAGACCTATGGTAAAAGCACTTAAAAGAGCCAATATTGAATGAGATATAAAAAATCCAGATTATGAAGAAATTGAAGAAATATCGAACGGAAATTTGAGAACTGCTTTAAATAAACTATTATTACTAAAATTAAGCTCGGGAAGAACTCAAAATGTTTCCAATATAAATGAAGAAGAAAGTTCAAAATTTGGATTTTTTCACTCACTGGGAAAATTTATGTACAATAAACGTAAAATTTAGATAGGGATTGATTTTGCTGGACAGTCAAAATGCATGACTTATGCTGAGCTTTGGGATAGAGAACACAGGCCGAAGTTAAGTTTTGATCCTGATGACGTGATTAATCATTCACCTTGTGATCCTTCTATTTTTTGGTTATATTTAATGGAAAATTGTATTTGCTTTTATGAAGATATTGATGACCTTGCAGAGTGCTATGAATCTTTCCAACTTGCTGATTTACTTCAGACTACTCATGCAGATGCTGCTGGTACATTTAGTGAATTGATGCCAGCACATCTGGCTGGGCGCGCGGTGGTTGATAGTAACTTGCACCCTGCAAAGACTGGATTTTTTAATTTTAAAAAGCCTGGGATATGAAGACTAATTAAAGGTATACCTGAAAGTCAATTGAATATAAAAAAACAGCAAGAAAACGAAATAATTGCAAGTGGCTTTAGACTTAACGAATTTTTAGTAGATGTCTGGGGATTTAACCGGGGATCTCTATTTCATAGAAAGTTTGAAGAAGATATTGAGGAAGAAAAAACGACTCAATATTGGGAAAATTTATCGAATTCTTTGGAAAATATCAAAATGTAATATTCTTTAAATTTATAAATTTAAATGCATTTGAATATAATTATGCATTCTGGTCAAATATTGCTCTAACACCGTTATCAGCATAACCTATTAAAAAGGGATAATTAAACTCCAATTTATTAACAGCATAGTTAAAATGCACAAAAATCCCCTAACTGCAAATCGCTTACTTGACCGAATCAGCGAAGCCCGTTCAAAGGCGATGCATCTTACAAACATAAAAAGAGTAAAGCCAAGAGTAAACACAAAATCTCCCAAAAGATACACCCATTATAGCTTTAATCCTAAAGGAGATAGGCTTAGGGAAGGTAAGAAATTATATAGAAAGATGCACAGAAATTGAAAGGGAAAACAGAATTCTCCTGGAGAAGATGTCTGTAATCGCATCATCAACGAGAAGGTCTAAAAGTGTTACAAATATAAGATATAAAAAAAGCTTGAATGATGGACAAAGAAAGAAAAAATTGGTGCAAATAACTATAGAAAATTATGCTTTGCTTAAAAGAATACATATACATTAAATTTGCGTGGCGAACCAACCCACCCTCTTAACACTTGCAGTTGCGGAGACCCAGGAACCTTGAGGAATAGAGGATAGCGCTCGGCGATGTATATCCGGCCATGCTTTACTTGTTTGGGTGGAGCACAATGTCAGATTACGCTGACTGTAGCTCATTACCGGATCAAGGTTTTACCTCTTGGTGGAGATGGGTTTGGCGTTGGAAAGGAAAGCCAACAAAGTTTAGGTAACCAATCGGGTGTTGATTCTGGGAGACAAAATTAATCTTGGTCGACAGCTTGGCTAGAAAAATCATTTTTTGAATTTTCTGGAAGGGTAGACCAAGTCTGATACATGGAACGGTGATCCAAACCACTTCACTCGCTATTAGACATGAACCTCAGGAGACGAGGAGTTTACACCTAGAAGGTGGGGGCAGGCGGCCTAACAACGAAGCAAGGCTGAGAAGCACTTGCAAGTGTTACGGGAGCTTTTCAATAATAAGTTAACTAACTAGCTTAAAAGAATGCAAGAGCAACAACCAACGTATAGCACTTTAAAGTGGAGCCAGGAAAGAAAGGAAACAGAAAAGCATTTAAGTAGGTTAAGCGAAAATTCAATTAATTTTCGACGAACTAATTCAAGACGAAGGTTAGCTTCTTCGTCAAGTCAAAGGTCAAATCTCAGCATGAATCTTGGCGACATCTTTAAAAGAAATGACTCTCCCAAAGCATTCACTGTTTGCAAAAAACTTTTACATATAAATGACCGCTATTATATAGGAGAAGTGTCTGCAAACTCTAGCTCCCCTCCTCTTTGTGAGTGAACAAAAAATTTTATTCACTCTTGGAAGGGGTTAATTTTTTTTATACACAAATTTTTAGAATTTTTTTAAAAAATCCCAATTTGCAAAGATTGGAAACAAATATTTATTTAATTTGTAAAATCTATGTTTTAAAATGCAATTGTTTTAATTAGCTAGATATTTCATTATAAAAGTAATCACTTATATATCAAAATTTTTGGTTCGCTTACGGGGCTGGGTTCTTGGCAAAAAATCGGGATTTTTCTAACTGTTTGTTCGTTCATAGAGGGGGAGTAAGTAAATTCTACATAGATATGTTTTTATTTCTCTTTTTGACAAAGAAAATCCTGAGAAATACTCCTTAAAGCTTCATACCTCCGAAGCTGCTTCCATAATGGAAAATACAGAGGACTATTCACTTCTCCTCTCAAAACTAAGTTTTGATGGTACAGACTTAATTCTTACTACCCCATCCGTGAGCGAACAAAATAATTCGAAAATCCTTATTTTTTTGCCAAAAACCCAACCCGTGAGCGAACAAAAAATTTTTGATATAAGTGATTACCATTATAATGAAATATCGAGCTAATTCTGTTTAATTTTAAACAACATTTTAAAACATAAATTTAATGAATTAAATAAATATTTGCTTTCGAATAATGATTTTTTTAAATTTTGGAAAAAAAAATTACTATAAAATTTATAAAAAAAAATTAACCCCTCCGCGATATTTTTGTTAGCTCACGGAGGAGGAGTTAGAGAAAATCCTAAAGAGCCTGCATTTATACAGTAAACATGTTAATATTTTTCTCATTAAATTATCATGGCTATCCGGAGTTTCTATATATTCTTTCATCATAATAATAATAAAATCGCTATGTGCGGAAACTGTTTACTCTATAAACCTTTCCTGGGATTCGGTTTTCTTATCTACAATTCAAAATATGGCTTATCATTTAAGGTAAGTCGCTTGGCTCTGCATTATTGCACGTATAGTAGTTTTACCGCTTGGCACCCCCAAGGAAGGTGACCCTTAGGTGGAACACGCGCAAAAATCAAGTATAGAGCGAGGCAAAACACCAGTGGAAGCTTTTTGGCCCTTTTGATGGGTTTTCTGGAATGCTTGTTGGGCAAGATGGCTGTTGACATCAAAAATTGGGAATTGAAAGAGAGGTTTTGATAAAACTCCTCGCTGAAGAGATTACCACTTTAAAATCTTAGTAATGTATCTTAATGCATATTCTTTCATCAGGAAAAATATCTTTCAGCGAATCTTCACCAAGCAAGCTTTGAGGAATCCTCAAATACTGTCTAGGTTCTTGTGGATTGCTATCAAATTCATACTCATCTTCATTCCCTAAGATCTGGCTTATTTTGCTTACTTTTATGCCACTTCCGCTTGCTCCTTTAGCTGTGATTAAGCTTCTATCAAATTTGTCAGTTCGGATTGGGCTGGCATCTTCATCAAAAATGTCAGGCTCAGTCATATTAAGAATGTGGTCAACAGCTGGCCTTGCTTGATCTCTGAAAGAGGTTGCTCTTGGTCTTGGGGTGACAGGCTCTAAAATACCGCTGAGGCTGCCTTTGTCTAGATATTTGTTAATTTTTTTAGTGAGGGCTGGATTTTCGTTGTATAATATTGAAGGGTCTCTTTCGGAGCCCACAACATTAGCTGCCATGTATTTCAAAGCTTTTACCCTGCGAGCTCTTCTGTTTTCTTGAAGTTCGTAAGGGTTTACTGATATGCTTTCTCCTGATCTAGAGTTAAGCCACTTTTTCTTGAGTATTTCATTATCAAAATTGAGAAGAACACGCTTACAGTTAGGAGAAACATGGCCTACCTCCCCACAGAGATAGCATGCGACGCCCAATATGCTTAAGTCGCCATCTTGGCACTGTTTGTAAAAATAATCACAAATTCTAGCTGCATCCGGGTTTCTTTCAAGCAAGCTGTCCATTTTTTCTCTTGATAAAGACAAAGTTTCGACAAATTCGCAGCATCGCGCAGAGCAGCACCTTGGCCTAAAAGTAAACAAAGCTATTTCGCCAAAATAATTATCAGACTTAAGCTCTTTAAAGATAGACTGTGTATCGTGATGATATAACTCCACAATACCATTTTGAATAAAATAAAGTGTTGTACTCTTTTCTCCTTCTTCAAAAACAGAATCATTTGGGGCAAAAGTCTTCGGCTCCAAAAGCTTCGTTAACTGTAATAAAAAGTGTTTCTGAAAACTGCTAAACAAACTGCAAATATTCAGCGTCTGACCTCTTGTGTGAACAAAAATTTCTTCACGCAAAGGCTCTGACAGCAGGGCAAGGATTTCGTTTTCTCCCATCATACTTTGTTTGAGGTTTTCCCAAATATAGTCAAGATATCTCCTTACTCTGAATTTTAAATCATTCGAGAGCTTTTTGTCCTTCATATAAGCATTGATAGCAACGCATTGTTCTCGGTATACGTTTTCTTCAGCGCTGTGCTTGGAGACTAGGCCTCCTATACTACCTACTGTGTATGCAAACATACCGCAAGCAACAGCCATTGCTATGATTGCGAAGATGATTTCGTTATTTGTAATTGGGTATATATCTCCATATCCTACAGTGGCCATTGTGGTAAAGGCCCAATATAAAGCTGTTATATAGACTTCTGTATTGCTGGTGGATTCCATATAAGCTGTGTTCAGCCAGGTCTGTGGATGAGTTTCTGAATCGTTTAGAGCAATATAATATCATATGCAGGCAGTTCAATGGGCGATAAAAAACGCGAAAACAACTAATCTTACAAACACTAGTAAATTTGCTATATAATGGCTTGATATATAATCTTCAACTTCAATCAAAATTTTCTTCAGTTTTGCCAGCCTAATAAGTCTTAAAATCCTATTAAACTTCAAAATCCTCAACAATTTAGCAGCGCTTGAATAACTACTGTTAGTGTCTTTTCCAGATGACATAGAGATGACTGTATCATAAGGAAATGTTGTAAAAAGATCTACCCAAAACCATAATTTCAAATAATTCTTGGCTATTTGCTTCCTAGAAGCTATTACAGCTCCACCTTGGTAATATGCTGTATTAAAACAAAATGCCATGTCAGTGATATAGAAAACTGTGATCGCATCATCAATAAAACTCCATGTTTCCGTATCAGAAACAGTGAAGGCCAAGAAGAATGGTACAGTTACAGCTTGATAGAAAATTGTCATCATATTGAGAATATCTCATACGAGTTTTCATGAACTTTCAGGGTGGATCACCCATTTGCTCTTTTCGATATCGTCGTCTGCAATAGGGGTTGCAGGGAAAAAATCTTCTTTTGTTAGGTGCCTTAAAGGTAATAAAGGTTTGTTTCCAGGCTCGAGAGTGTCTGCTGGATATTGTGAAAGCTCTATCAGGGAAACTGCAGACCATCTGCGTCTTGAGACTATTGATTTCATTTTTATGAGAATTGGAAAATGTGACTCCTATTTGAATTTGAGAAGAGATAGGGAAGGAGGGGAGGAAAAAGGATAAGGAAAGTGGATGTGAGTAGGCTATATTAGAATTTGAGTGCGAAAAAGATATTAAAATGCTGTGAGACAAATATAAATTTTAAGCAAGCTTAAAAAAATATCTAATATTATAACTAATTTTTGTTATACCCAAATATTAGGGCTATAATTTCTTAATATTTCATTTTTGCTTTTATTATAAAAAATAATAATCTTTTTAAATCTGCAGACAATTATGAAACTTCATTTTTTTATTAATCTTACCAGAATAAGAAATTTTAACGACCATTTATTCTGATCCGAAACATAATCTAGAATTTAAAATTGATGAATTTAAGGCATCAAGCTATATTACTTCTTCTTTTATTAGTCTATATCTGCTCTAGCACTGAAAATTTATCAAGATCGCGCAGTGGTGTTAAAAAGGCAAAGCAACCGCTAAAAGACCCAATCAATTGCAATGGTAAAGGTTGTGGAAATATAGAGAAGACACCTAAGCCTTACAATTTACAAAAAAGAGAACTGATAAGCCAAAAACGGCAAATTGATACCCTTTCTGATGCCTTTCAGAGACTCGCTTTGCACACAGTTATGCTTACTCCCCCCACCTCCGTGAGTGAACAAAAAAATTTTTGTTCACTCACGGAGGGGGGTTAATTTTTTTTTTTTTAAAAAACATTTATATATAAATTTTAAAAACAATATTTTTTTTCGAAATTAAAAAAAATCTAATTGGCAAAAAATTGGAAAGCAAATATTAATTTAATTTATAAAATTTATGTTTTAAAAAGCAATTCGTTTGAAATTAAACAGAATTAGCTCTAGATTTCATTATACTAATTATCATTTATATATCAAAATTTTTTTTCCATAAAAATTTTTTCTATTAAAAAAATTTTTGTTCACTCACGGAAGGTAGGTTTTTGGGCAAAAAATAGCGATTTTTCTAATGGTTTTGTTCACTCACGGAGGGGGGGAGTTAATAGAATTCCTTCTTCAAACCACAGATATATAACTATAACTCTCGCTATGAAGTTAATGATTGATCGTAATGTGGTAAATATAGTGGAGACAGGAACTTCAAGGGACGGAGAAGCAAACTGTTTGGGAGACGGCTGCTCAACTGTGATATTTGGACATTTTGGATATCTAACTATGCCAAGTCAATACGAATTAATTCAGAATATGAAGAATTTATTATTTATTTTGCATTTAAAATTGTTCAGCATGCTAAAATGAGAACAATTATTCAAGACAATTAGGCATAACAGATTTTTGTGGTCAGTGGATATCAGTCAAGAAAATGTAGATCATGCTATTCAAGGTATACAAATGTTTGGTGAAAACTCTAAAGTTATTACCAGCGACTCTATTGCTTTCTTAGAAAGCTACCCGTTTCCAATTGATTTTTTATATTTAGATAGCTATGATTTTGACGCTAATAACCCAAATCCATCCCAGGAGCATCATCTAAAAGAAATAAAAGCTTCATATAAAAATTTGCATCAAAATACAATAGTGATGATTGATGACTGCAGACTTCCCCATGGTGGAAAATGCAAATTAGTGACTGAATTCTTATTAAGTAATGGTTGGAAACTTATTGTCAACGAATACCAACAAATTTTTGTGCACAGCTCGAGTTTAGAAAACTAAATAAATTTTGATGAATTTTTAAAAATTATTTTGAGGCGATAGTTTTATTAGAATTTATATTTTGAATACTTCATAGTTAATTCTTTTAAAATTTCAGAAATTATTGATTATGTTTTAAAACAAGAAAAATCCTCATTATAAATTTTAGAATGCTGAGCTTCCAACCAAAATTTATAATTGTGTCATAAAATTTGAAATTAAACAATGAATTTTAATAATAATATTGATCAACAATTTCCAATAAATTAAAATTATATGAAACATTAATCTCAAGCCCTTTTAAATCTTAGCTCCTTAGACTCTTAAATTATACTTATGAAAATAATAATTTATTGTTATTTCAATTTATATCATATTTGACAAATGGTAAAAGTTTATGTAGAGTATCATAAGTATACTTCGTAAAAGGAATAAAAAAGTGTTGCCTATTGAATACTCACAAATTGCTGTTGAAGAAAAGCCATTCACACCTAGAAATAGACTAAATTCTATTGAAGATGCAAAAAAGCCACAAGACAGCTTTATCATGACTCTCTCAACTGAACCTGTTGAGCAAATTCAAATTGATCAGCCTTCGCCCTGTAAATATAAGAGGATTTGACAAAGAATGAAATGAAAAGTGATGATGGACATTCGAATGAAAGGCTTGATAAACGATATCAAGAAATATGGGACGGACGACAGTGCCTTTTTCTTTTCAAAAAATGATAGCTGCTCTCAAGATGAATATTATCAGAAAAAAGCGGACACAGTTCTTCATTCCGCTTACTCCAGTCGTGATAATCCAGTTATTCCAAAATACATCATTAATCCCAGTGGCTGATTCAAATTACTCTGAGATTTCTATATAGCTTTTTGGCTTTTATATACAGCAGTAGTCACTCCATTTGTGATTGCTTTTCTAACAACCTCTGTGATGGATGCCTGGTTTTGAATAGATTTTGCCACAGATATTTCCTTTTTACTGGACACTCTAATTCACCTAAACACTGCTTACTTCAATAAAGACGACATTCTTGTGACTTCCAGAAAAAAAATATTTTATAATTATTTATTCGGGTGGTTTCTTATTGACTTGTTTGCTTCAATTCCATTTGGGATGATAGAAGTTGTCATGGCAACTGATACTAAAAGTTCACTTATGAATCAGCTGGTGAAGCTTTTAAAAATAAAATCATTGCCAAGGCTATTTAGGCTAACAAAGCTTACAAAAATGCTGAAACAGCAAACTTCAAGTCAGAATTTTGAAAATATCCAAATAATATTGAATATTAATCATAGTATAACAAGACTTGTGGGAGCTTTATCAGTGATTGCTATTTCATTGCATTTGGTGGGGTGTATGTGGTTTTATACTGCAAGATTTGATGGCTTTACTCCAGAGACTTGGGTAGTGAGGCTTGGATATATTGATAGTTCTGTATGAGACCAATATCTTACCTGCATCTACTGAGCCATGACAACTTTAGCAACCGTGGGCTATGGTGACATAAATGCATATACAACCTTTGAAAAATTCATTGCTATGGTCTGAATGATCTGTGGAGTCTATTTTTTATCCTTCAGCATTGGTAGCCTTTCTTCAATGTACTCGAATATTGATATTATGAAGAACCTCATCGATCACAAAATCCAAGTTTCAGACGATTTTGCAAGAGAAACTAATGTTTCTAAAGATATCAAGCATAAAATGATAAAAACTATTAGAATTAGAACTGAAAAAGTTGCGATTTCTTCTGATGATAAAGAAGAGCTGCTTAACGAGTTTCCTAAAAAGTTGAGATATGACATAGCATTAAGTATGCATAAAGGAATTATTAAAAAATTTTCATTTTTTACTTTGAAAGACTATACTTTTATTGCTGGGGTGGTACCATATCTACAGCCACTGATGATTGGGATTAATGAAATGATATGTGCTAAAGGGGAGGTGCCTCATACTATTTATTTTATATCATCTGGGAGAGTGTGCTTTATATATGGATATGATAATATAGTGTATAGGGTGTTGCAGGAAGGACATTATTTTGGGGATGCTGAAGTTGTTAGAAATGTGTTAAGAAAGTATAATATATGCGCAGAAACTGATGTTGTTCTCTTACTCCCCCCCCTCCGTGAGTGAACAAAACATTAGAAAAATCGCCATTTTTTGACCAAAAACCCACCCTCCGTGAGTGAACAAAAATTTTTTTAATACAAAAATTTTTTTATGGAAAAAAATTTTAATATATAAATGATAATTTAGTATAATGAAATCTAGAGCTAAATCTATTTAATTTTGAACGAATTGCTTTTTAAAACATAAATTTTTATAAATTAAATTAATATTTGCTTTCCAATTTTTGCGAATTAGGATTTTTCTAAATTTCGAAAAAAAATATTTTTTATAAAATTTATATATAAATTTTTTAAAAAAAAAAAAATTAACCCCCTCCGTGAGTGAACAAAATTTTTTTGTTCACTCACGGAGGGGGGGGAGTTAGTAATGACCAAGAAGGTAACTCTTACATAGCTAATTGAAAAAATCCAATTCGAGTTTCCTGCAGTCTGAAAAGAAATTGTGCACTTTGCTGATGAGAGAGAAAAGAAAATTATTAAAGCTCTTGCGGAAATGAAAGCTTTGGTAAAAGCTAATAAAAATGGACTGATAAAAACCTTGAAAGCAATTGAGTTTAAAGAAATAATAGCAAAAGAGATATGTGAGATTGAAAAAGAAATTAATGAAGAGTCTGAAAGGGAAGACTTTAAGTATAGCGAAAAAATGAAATTTAAAGAAATGGTCACGATAAGCGAACAGTTGAAAGAAAATACCAAATTGATTGACCGTTTGCAAGATATAGTGACAAAAATAGAAATTCGTGAGAAAAGACGAGATTATTTGCCAGAAATAAAAATCAGCACTTTGTCAACAGCGAGGAACTTTCCAGATTTAAATTTTGAGCTATTGGAAAAGCAAAGCTCTATAGGCTCATTGGACACTCCAAACTCTTTCAAAAGCTAACAAGCAACAACTGATAATATATGAGTGTATAATATGATTTTTCTTTAACCAGAAAACTTGTTTCGAATTATTTTCCTAACTAATAGTTATAACCTTAAAATCAAGCTACAAAAATCAATTTTCGTAATTTTCTTAAATTTTTAAAATTTGATATAAACATTGATCTTTAAAAAATTTTTGTTTCTTTTACACCTGCATCCTTACTATATATGTGCATGCACAGAGCTAATATCATAAGAAACTTCACCCGAGAGAGTGCTATTTCACCATTTTCAAATGATGTCATCAGCTAAAATTACAATTTTCCAACGCCAATTGAAAAATCAAAACTTGAAATTGCCCAAAGCAATCTCTCTACCAATAGCCTTTTTGTTAAAAATTATAGACCTTTAATCTTAATCCATAACTATCTTATGCTATTTCTTTTTCTCTGAAAATATCAATCTTTGACATATCTTTAAATCGTCACAAATATATTCACCAGTTAACTTAAATAAATAAAATGGGTGATACATCAGTAGGATCATATGATAGTTCTCGAGAAGTTCCTCTTCAATCCTTAAACGAAGACGGATCTCGAAAAGACAGAAGCTGGACAGACAGAGTTGTGGGGAAGATGGAGCCAGGCTCCATGAGAGGTTCGATTTTTGCCTTGATTTCTACAGCAATTGGGGCAGGTTGTTTGACGATACCTTTAATCTTTAAATGATTAGGCATCACACTCGGCCTGCTAATGATTCTTTTGGGAGCTTTTTCAAGCTATTATGGCTTGATTGGAATTGCTCTTGCAGCAGACAAACACAAAAATTATAATTATCCTAATCTAGTTAGGACAATTTTAGGCAAAAGATGGGGAATGATTATGGACGTGACGATTATTTTATATGTTTATGGTACTTTAATAGGCTACCAAATCATGATAGGAGAATTTGTTCCTAGCATCGCAAAATCATTTGATATTCACACAAGCCCAGAAGAAACAAGGATTGTGATTATGTGTGCATCTTGTGTTTTGATTATGATCCCACTTGGACTATTAAAGAACTTAAGCTCTTTTCGATTTGTTTCCATGCTAAGTGCGTTTACTCTGGTTTATATCACCTTGTTGCTAATTTGTGAATTTTACCTTTTTGAGCGACACAATAACTATGGGAAGGTGGAATATTTGGCTCCATGTCAAATGACTGCGGAAATTTGATAGCGCGACATCTCACAGGGGAAACTTTGTTCGAATCATTTTTGATAGTGAGACATTTGACCGAAAAAAGGGTCAAATTTCGGCCAAATGGATACACTATTTAAAAATTTTCGACCAAAAGTATTCAGTGAAATGGACACTATCAAAAAGGCAAAGTCATTTGACCTGCGCCCGGAATATTTTGATATGAATGTAAACATTTTTTCTGGGTACGCATTTTGCCTTTACTCTTTTACCTGTCATACCAACATCGCCCAGGTCCAAGGAGAACTCCGATACAGTAACCTTCGGCGAATTAAAAAGGTTTCCTTCAGGACCATCTTCAGCGTCATGGTTCCTTATATTTTCCTTGGTCTTTTCGGGTATCTGTCTGTCCTCAACAAAACCCCAACCTTAATCATAATGAGGCATACACCAGACGATATAAGCAACGACACCCCAATGGTCATTTCTAGGATCTTGATGTCTATTACCTTGATTTTCGCAGTTCCCATCAATATTCCTCCATGCCGTACGACAATCATAAAGAACCTCTTAAAGAAAGAAAATCCTTCAACTCAACTGTAAGGAATATTCAGACATGTCACAGTTACGCTTGTCTTATTGCTCACGACATTGGCCATCGCAATTGTGTACCCAGCAATTACTGTTCTTTTTGGGTTCTTAGGAGGGTTCTGTTGTGGAATCATTGTCCTAATTCTTCCAGGTGATTTCTATTTAGCATTACTGAGATGCAACATTATGGGCTATGAGCCAAGGAGTTGGCAGTTCATTGTGATCGTTGGAGGATTCACGTTTCTGTTTCTAGTTGGGTCAATTAGTGCAGTTCTGAGTCTTGCTGGAATTGGAGGTTAAGTTAATATAAATAATGCTTCCTCAATAGATATTAATTACATAATTTTATGTGGGTTTATGTATCTATAGATGATAGTTTGAAGTTAATTGACTGACGTCTTGAATGGCTTCCTTCATAGTTTTTTGAGCTCAAAAGAAGCCCAGAATCGAGAAGCCCTGTGAAGTCTTTGCTCATGCTATTCATTCTCGAAAGCTTTCTGTGCTTTACTGAGGAGGATGATTTCTCAAGCCTTTTTTTGGCGATTTCAAAAACATTGATAGGGGTTTCAATAGCTTCTAGTCTGACTTCTTCGATATCTTCAAAGCCTATATTCTCTCTTTGAGTTTTGCCTTCTTTTTCGTCTTCTTCATTTATTTTAAGCATAGCTTTCAGCTTAATTGTTACATCATTCGTCATATTCCCCATCCTGTCCCTTCTTCTGTGTGTCAAAAAGATCCTATCAATTTCTTCTTTTTGGTTCACATTGCTTCTGGCGTTTGGATCTTTTGGACATTGATGAGGCAAATGTCCAATTTCTTTACAGCTCGGGCATTTTTTGTTGATTTTTTTATTCGCGATTTCGTCGTTGGCTTCATTTTCATCTCCTTCTTCATCATCTCTGGTTTCGTGCTTAGATTTCACACATCCAATAGCATCTTCTTTTAGTTTGCCGCAGCATCAGTACATTGTCCCATTTCATTTCCCAGCATGTCTAAGGCATGATCAATTATAATTATCTTTTTCATAAAACGCCTTATTACAATTTTTACATAACTTTTCTTCATCAAAGCCAAATTGTTTTCTTTTTGCATTCATTTCTTTTATTTGGAGCCGAACTTTTGTATAGCTTTCACTGATGTCTTTGAATTTCTTTTCCATTTGTGAACATTTTTCTTCATAATTGTTTTTCTCATCAGTAGCTTGGGAGACTTTTTTAGTCATAGTTAATAATATGTCTTTCATGGTGTTTTTCAGTTTTTTTACATCATCTCGATATTGCTTTCGTTGTGTTGCAGCTGTATGGTTTTGATTAATAAATTCCAAACAGTTTTGGGATACTTGCAAAGTATTTTCTTCAGTGCTTATCCAATAGCTGAATAAATCGCTCGATCTTTTCTTGATAATTTGGAGCTCATTATCGATTTTTTCATTGCTTTTTTGATTATCACACATATCTTCGCAAGCTTCATAGAGCCCTTTTAGTCGCTCTCCCATAATATCATTTTGCATTAGTAAAAACGCATTTCAATGCTGCAGTTCATTGGCTTTGTCACCCAAAATTTTGTTTTTAATTCTTTCCTTATTTAACTGATCAATATTTTCTATCCTTTCTACCTCTCTTTTCAGGTTCATTTGCCGATACTCATTTATTTGTTGATTTACGAGGCTGACATTAAGCTGCTCAGTTTTAATTGTTTTATTTGTCTCTTGATAATGATATTTTAACATATTCAAGTTGCAAATACTGTTAATTAAGCATCCTTTCAATTCCTCAATTTCATTTTTAATTCTTTTTTTTTCCTTTTCTGTGTCTACCCATCTATTTTTTAGCTTTTCCAATTCTTCATTAGTAATATTCAGCTGTCTCAAAATAATTTCACTAACTCCCTCCGTGAGTGAACAAAATCATGAGAAAAATCTCTCTATTTTTTTGCCAAAAAAACTACCCTCCTTGAGCGAACAAAAATTTTTTATGAAAAAAAATTTGACATATAAGTGATAATTAGCATAATGAAATCTATAACTAATTCTGTTTAATTTTAAACAAATTGCTTTTTAAAAACATAAATTTTATAAATTAAATTAATATTTGCTTTCCAATTTTTGCGAATTAGGATTTTTTTAAAATTTCGAAAAAAAATTTTTTTCTATATAATTTTTTTTAAAAAAAATTAGCACCCTTCTTGAGCGAACAAAATTTTTTTATTCATTTATGGAGGGGAGGAGTAAGTTTGCCTTTAACAATTCTTGAGGAATTTTCTTTTGAATTAATCCCAAATAAAGAAGACCTGCTTTTAGCATTAATTTTACGGCCATCTGCTTCAAACATAGGAAGCAAGAACTCTCGAATTACTTGTGAAGCAAGTTCTGGGGTGACTGGGAAATCTTGGTGAAGATGTCGGTTTTTGATTTTGTTAAGAAATGATGAAGGAGATGGGGAAGAAAACCTGCTTGCTGATCTTGTAGAAGAGAGCTTTCGACGGTTTCTCTTTTCAAAAAGAGGAGTTGAGAGTGTTTTGTAGAGCTTATTACGACTCCCAGGAGTCTCTGCTTGTGTGGATTCAAAAAATGTCCTATATGATTTCATATATTAATTATTTTGAGAAGTATTTTGCGTTATATTAATCTATTAATAAACTCAAGCCTTTACAACAATCCAATCCTTTCCCTATCTCGAATCCTCACTATTTTTTAACTCTGCACAACTTTTAAATAAAATTAGATAAATGGCTGATGTTCTTTGGGAAGACCAACAGAGGATCAATAGATTCAGCTATCTAAACATGCGCTCCAAAGAAATCGACCTAGACTGCAAAACTAAAGAGGAGAAATTCAACGCTTTACAAGATGCACTTGATGAGCTTGAATTATCAATGGAAGGAAGCGTCAGAGTTATGATTGGTGAGTGTTTGATACAATGTACTGAAGAAGAAGCCATTGAAAGACTTGAAAAAGTAAAGGACCAGAAACGTCATGACTTGGAAAGCACAAGGGCTCAATTGGAAGAAGTCCAAAAAGAAATGCTAGCACTTAAAAGTTACTTGTATGCAAGATTTGGAACTAACATAAATTTAGAAGAAGATTAACTTAAATTATCGCACAACACCCTGATTTGTCTGATTTTTGATTTTCTTTTGCTTTTTTAAGCTCTTCTTCCATTTTTTTGATCTTTTCATCTCTTTCGTCAACGATTCTTGCTTCTTGTATTACAGCAACAGACCCTGGTGTAGATTCTAAAGGAGTAGCAGGCTTTACCTTGGCTGAGCCAATTAGTGCTTCTGATGATGGGTGAGATCGAAAATCGAAGTCGCTTGAATTCTTATCTGGTGTAACCAATGCTGTTTTTTGTGCAGGAGCAGCATTTTTAGCTGGGACTTTTACTTCTTCAGATTTCTTCGCTGGCTGAATAATTTTATCTTGTTGGGCTGCTTTTTCCATGTTTTTAGCTGAAGCTTTAGGCTCTTCTTCACGTATGTTTGGTAGAGGAGATTTTGACTCTTCTTGATATCGTTTGCCTGACTGTCCTGCCACGGTTCCTGCGCTGAAAATTCTTCGTGCAGTCTCGATTTCGTTACTTCTTAAGCTTAGTGGCTTGCTTCCAAAAATATTTATCGTTATTTGCCCTTTTTCAAACTCTCCCGCACTGTATCTTGTAACTAAAAACTGATGCTTTTTAGTGTAGCCAAAAGTCGCATTGCTTCCGTTTACTTTTTGTGTTGTAAAAGTATCTCTCCCAGCTTGTGGGATTATATACGAGCAATACACATCTTGAGCAAACTCATTGGGAAGATCTACAATTCTATTAATGCTCATAGTAAGGTCTAATGGTTTTCCTTCTATTTGAAGCATGTCTTCATATCCTGCCTCTTCTATGTCTTCATCAACAAGCGATGGAGTGACTCCTGCAACAAGGTTTCCTATTTGCTGGCCACTTGGACTATATATAGGGTGTGGCTCTTCTGTAATGTCGAGTAAGTAAAACAAAGTTTCAGTTATCAAGTTGACTTGGCCAATGTAGCCGCCTTCATCCATCATGGAAGGGACCTCCTCAGGCACAACCCAGAATGGGTCATAATTCATATCAATATTTTCTAGAGGTGTCCCTTCGAAATACTGCTGACACATATCCGCCATGTCTGGAAGCCTTTCTTCTAGTTTTTCAATCGGCCAATAAAGCCTAATATCACCAAGTCCAGGAGTCATAACCCTCATCCTCACTCTTACGTTTTCCATTCCTTTCCCAATAGTCCCATCCCTCCCAGGAGTCCTAGTAAACTCTGGCTTAACCCTCAGCGGTTTTCCTAGCATTGCTGCTCTCTCATTGACTTCATTTGACATCTGCAAAGCATTGCTTATCATTGTATCCATCTTTGTCCTTTGCTGCCTTTCTTTTTCTTTATCTCTTAAATCTTGTTCTCTTTTCCGTAGCTCTTCTTCCATTTCTCGTTGCTTTGAAATCAAAGCCCTTTCTTTTTCTTCGAGAAGCATCCTAGTTTCTTCATCTTGCTTTGATTTTTGGTTTAGCATGGCTTCAAGCTTCCTTTTTTCTTCTTCCATTTCTCTCTGCTTGGCTTCCCATTCTATTTTGAGCTTTTGCTCAATTTCTTCTTGCTTTCTGCGCATTTCTTTTTCTTGCTCGCTGACCAAGGCTTGCATTTCAGCTTCATTTGCTTCTTTTATGGCAAATTCCCAGGTGAGTTCAGGGTTTGCAGGTTGAGATGGGTCTACAAATAAGAAAAACAAATAGTTTCCGAATTTTATCCTGTCTAAATGATTTAGCTCATAGGGTGCAGTAAGGATTTGTCCATTGACCATCGTTTTGTTTTTCGCATCAGAAGAAGGTATAAGCACATGCCTTGCCCCACTTCTTTGCACTGCACAGTGCTCTGGGGCGATTCCTAGCCCATTCAATATAATATTGTTGTCTTGAGATCTACCCAGCTTTGATTGCCCCTCCATAAACTCATGCTGTATTTGCCCGCTTAATTGTGGATCTTCATTCAAGTTTGTAATATGTGGTCCAGTGATTTCTTTTTTATGAACAGTTGGCTGCCTTTCAATTCTACTGCTTTCTTCTTGAGCTCTTTGATAGGCTGTTTTTTCTGCTTCTTCTTTTTCTCTCCTCAGCTGCTCAATTTGGGCTTCAAATTCCATTCTCTGTTCGTCTGACATTCCTCCGCCTGATCCACCTACTGAGCCCCCTCTTCCTTCTAATAAGGCTTTAAGTTTTTCGTTTTCTTCTTTAAGCTCTCTAATCAGCTTTTCCTGTGGGGTTTCGTTGACGACAGCTTTATTTTTGATAGCTTTTACTTGATCTGCGTACCTAAGTGTGCTTAAAGTTTCTTCAAAATTGAAAGTGGCAGGAGATATGGCAGCTATCATAGTAGTTTTACTGTTACCTCCTAATGCGTTTTGCAAGATTCTGGTTAATTTGCTTTCTCTGTATGGAATCACTTCACCTTTGGCTGCACCACCAGCTGATTTTTTTGCTAGAGCAGTGATGACTTTTCCTAAGCATGATAAAGATTGATTGATGCTGCTTCCTTCTTGAAGTCTATCTCCAGTTGCACCTGTTTTGCTAGCTCTTTCAGAGCCTGCTAAGTCGACCAAGTTAATATCACTTTGTTTTCTTGTTAGAGGTTTTCCGGTGCCTTCTTCATGGAAAATCTGTGTAAAGGAAATAGTAAGGACAGTATGTGCTCTTGAGCTAGTTGCATTCATTTGAGTAGCTGCAACAGTTCTATGTTTATTTCCATCATCTAGCACCTGGCTGATTTCTTCATAAGACGACACTGTTTGCTGTACCAGTCCTTCAACAAAAACACCAGTCTTAGGATGCTCTCTTACCTTTAACCCTCCTTTGACTCTTCTTTCAGGCGGCTGCAACAGGTCTTGCACTTGTTCGTTATAGATTTCTAGCATACTAACTTTCACGTCATATTTCACCAATGGGTTCCCTGAGTTTTTTATTCTGTTAAAAATTTCTTCACATGCAATCGGAATGACTCCTTTATTCGGTCCATACCCCACAATACTATAACTTTTGCCTGAGCCTGTTTGTCCATATGCAAAAAGACATACATGGTAACCTTCCCAAGCATTGTTCAGGATATCGACACCAACATCATTAAAGACCATTTGTTGGTCAGCATATTTAGAGCCTGGACGGTCTTTTTTAAGAACCCCTGTGGTAGGGTCTTCTATGAACCCATCGTGTGACCAATAACTGTAATCGAAGTTAAATTCTTTTTCGTAGTTTGTTTCGCGGCTCCAGACTTTGGTGGAATTTCGGTCCATGCTGACACAAAGTTCGGCGCCTTCTGCCTTTTCTCGAGAGTTAAAAGGCCTGACGCGGACAGCGACTTTTACTGCTTCTCCCATTTTATGTAACGATGAGCACTTAAAACATTTCAGAATTTAAGTTTCAAAGCTATGATAATAGCATGTTTTGAATTATAAAACAATTTCTAATATAAGAGTGCTTAATTATTAGAAAACTGAATCATTTCTAAGGAGCGCTTTATATATAACCCATTTAATGTAAATTTTCTGTAATCATAAAATTCGAAATTAAACTTAAAAAATTTGCTGACTGTTATATATTGGCTATAAAGGAGACTTACTTACTTATTATAGTCGGATATCTCCATAGCTCTTTGGTATGTGAGATTGTCAATATTCTCATATCTCTTCACAACCTTTTTCTTCAATGCTAAATTTTCTACTACCCAGTGAGGGCATTCCTCAAAGATAACACTTTTCCATTGATTGCATTGAGGAACATCATCTGCAGGACTATGGACTCCATAGCTAGCTTTGCATTGGACAAGTTTGTTAATCTGCTTTGAACACTCACGTGGGTATGGAATGCCTCTAGGAGGTGCATAAAGTCTTGCTTCTCCTCTTTTAGTTGATGGGACGTTGGTCGCGTACTTCAAATCATGAGAATCGACCTCTCCCCATAAATGACTCCTATGAATTAGTCCAGATCTGAATTTTGAATCCTTGTAAGATGTATGCCACAGCTTAAATGCGTTCTCCCAGTAGCCAGGCTCAGTGTCCAAGATTGTTCTTGACATAAATTATTAATGGCTTTTACAATATTGAAAATTACTAGAGTTTGGTTAGGTTCAAGCTGCATAATGGAACTTGCATAGATTATATGAAGGATGCTATGCATCTGTTTCATAATAATAAAATGACTATGCCCGAAAGTTATTATCTACTCCGCGATATTTTATTATTTATGTTGTTAGATTTTCCAAGAGGGCCTTTATCAACAATATCAATATGGATTTCTGTATAGGTTAATTCAGTGACTTAAGGAGAAAAGAATGCATACAGTTTTAATGCCTAGAACGTCAGGAGAGAGTGATCAGTAGGCGGAACACCTGCTTGAGCTAGGCTCAAACGAAATCAAGATGACCTGTGGAGACTTTCTGGACCTTATGGAATGCTTATGAGACAAGATGACTGCTGACGTCACCATTTAGGAATTAAAAAAGGCGGACTTTCCATCTGCTGAAAAAAGGTAGTATTTTAGAATCTAAAAAATATTAGTAGCTATGCATTTTGCTTCAGAAGATTTTAATAAAAAATTGCATTTGAATGCTTATTAAAAGATAATTCAAATAAAAGACTAAATTTTATTTAGATTCTATTCTTAGGCAGCTTCGGATTTAACGACAGCTTTATGCTTTTATAAGTATTAAGCATTCTATTCTGATCTGCATATAAATAATGGAGAACGTGAAATTATCTTTCCAAGGCAAAGTCATAAGTATCTCTCCTCCTCGGAGGATTGAAGACTTAATAACTTTATGCAAAAATCAATTCGACGCATCTCGTCCAACTTTTAAATACCTAGATGAAGATGAAGAACTAATCACAGTTCAAACCCAGCTGGAATATGAAGAAGCGCTTATCTGGGTGATCGAGCTTAATGCAATTATCCAAGTCGAAGACCTCGGGACCTTAGGTCAAGCTAAATCCTCACAATTTATTGATGATCTTCCACTACTGAGATCTCAGATAACCAATGAGCCTCTAATAGAAGAGTCTATAGTGGTTGAAGAAGTTAAACTAGACAGGTCAAGTAGCCCCATTCCTAATGTCTCTGATAAATGTATAGGTGGGACCCCTAAAATAGATGCTATAAATCAGATTGTCCCAGAACCGAAAATAGACGCTGGAAATGGAACTGTTATTAACACTCATGAAATGGCTAGCGGGATAAATACTCAAGATGAAGCTATTATTACCAATTCTATAGAAGTTCTTGATAAATCGTGTGAGCCAAATGTGCCATTGACTGATGTAAAACAAAATGGGCCAGAATCAGTCGACAGTTCTCAGAATACTGATATAAAGAAAAATCAAGAAACTGGAATGGAAATCGTCCATGTTTCCTCTATTGATTCAGCTACTGTTCCAATTGTGTCAAACCCAGTTTCTATACAGTGTGATAGAGCTTCATTTGAAGAAGAATTAAGAAAAATTGTCAGGGAAGAAGTCAAAAATGTAGGAAGTCTCCGGTTCAGCCAAATTGCTCACGCTGGGGTTTCATGCAATGGCTGTGGGATCAAGACTATTTTTGGGATTCGATATAAGTGCAACCAATGCAAAGATTTTAACCTTTGTGAAGCTTGTGAAGAGAACAGTGACCACGAGCACAATTTATTGAAATTTAAAAAACCAGAAGAAAAGAAAAAATCTGTTGCAGAGGAAATGACTGAAAAAATAAAAGCTATGGGATTCAAAGATGAAGAAAGAGTCAAAAATTTATTGGAAAGCCATCATTATAACCTTAATGAAACCGTAATGGCTCTTTTGCAGTAATAAAGAATTATAATAAAAATGCAGTTAAAATTAAAGCTGGGATTGATAGTTTATAGTGATTGTTTGTCTTTTCGTAGCTATTTCGAGCAGAAATATAAGCTTGGTTGTAAATTTTTTCCACGCAATTATCGTTTTCTTGAATTTGAGGGTAATTCATAGTAATAGAAAGAATATAAGCAAATGTGGTATAATATTTCGCCTTCCATCACGTTTTAATGCAATTAAGTGAAGTTCTTCTAACAGTGTTGCACTTCTGTATAGACCTCGAATAAAACCAGTAATTAAGCCAATCTAAATAATTATTCATTGGTTCATCTCCAGGGAATAAGCTACAATAAGCGTTTCCCAAGCTATTTATTCCACATTGGCAAGTCTGGTAAAACTTAAAGGGATATGCTGGAGTATCATAATGGCTTGACGCACAATCTTCATCTGATTTGCAAACTGTTGGGATTTCTTTATCATTTTGAAGGAATGCTAAACAGTATTCTTCATAGCACATTGTGCTACCACATATCATGCTGCTATTATTTATGCAATTTGCTACTGAATCACCTTCATATTTGCTTAAATATCTTACACATTGGTGATTTTCACAGCCACAATGATTTTCACAGTCATAATCTGTATTGCAGCCTTTGGAGGACTCTGATAATAATTCTTGGCAGATGCCATTAAGGCATCTTAGTTTAGGCTCACATTCATCACTTATAGAGCAGGTTTCATTGAGAGATTTTCCTTTACAGATTGATTTTTCACAGTGGCCATAAGCACAGGTTGAGTTATTTTGGCATGATTCTCCTGGCCATGATTTTTCCAACTTCTTTGCCTTTTATCAAGCCAATCTTCATAGATCTATGAAGAGAAGAGCTTTAAAAAATTTGAAAAAAAAATTCTTACTAAAATTTTTTAATATTTTATATAGTGAAGTATTCAAATATATGAAATTCATAAAAGCGACTATGCAATAAATCTTTAATATTAATTACTATCAAAGATAGTTAGTTAGATTTAATTTAGAGCTAATGCATGACAATTTGAAAAACATTAAATTAACTATGGGTTTAATTTTCCAGAATTTAGGAAATTTTTAATGATACCTTTCGATCAAGGATAGAGGGAAGTAAGGATGGACTTGGCTTTGGCTGGCACTGAGATGAGTCTGCAGAAGTTAGTGGAGGGCATACATAGTTATCTTTGCAGGGCTGGAGAAGAAATGTGTTTGATTCATAGAGTATGCATGTATTTGAGTCTAATTTTGTTGGGCTGCATAAATAGTTAGGACAAGATATTTGAGACAAAGCAAGAGGCAATATATAAAAAATGAGAAATCATGATATTTTCATTTATTTATAATTTGCGAACTTCAGATTTATATCATCATTTATCTATTTAATTTTCAATAAAAATTTATTAATTAAATTAATATTTGGGGGATGATTTATTTATCAATTTTGACTGCATTTTATAATATAAAAATGCGCGGGATGTCAGGAAATCAATTTTTTCTAAAGTATTACGACTGCTCTGAAGAAGAAATAAAATTCATCAAATTTTTTAAAGGTTTAGCTCCCATTCAATTTGTTATTATTTCAAGACTAAATGACATAGAAAGCCAAGAATTCGTGTGCGCTTTGGTGAAATTCACGAAGAAAATAAAAATAAAAAAGCCTGATTTTTTTGACTATCTCAGCTATCACCCTGTATGGGAGTCTGTTACCAATAACAAGCACATCATACAGATTTTTGAAGGAAAAGACTATGTTTTTGATGGTGATATCCCAATTAGTGGAATTTCAAATCAGAAAAATTTGCAGAGATCCAGCGGAGCTCAAGAATATGATACAGAATTATCCAATATTTGTATCGAAAATGGTTTAACTTATCATTTATCGTATGAAGAAGCTTATAATTTAAAAGAAAAAAACATTTATCACTGCCATATGGAATTTCCTAACAGACATATTATTAGCGGGGTAGGGACCACGAAAGAATTGGCAAGAAGAGATGCTACATTATCAGCAATCTCGACAATAAGAGAAAATACAGTGATGAAAAAAGATCTGAATATTGATGAAAACTTTCTTCCTTTCGAAGTAAAAGAAGAATTTCAAGAAAACCATTAATCTATAATTTTAATTTTTGTAATCTATAAAAATGGTAAAATAAGAAAAAATATTTTTACTGTTAAATTATATTAACTAAGATTTATCGTGATTACTAATTTAACCTATACGACAGCATTGGCTTGGCTTTCTTTTTAAACGAGGTCTCATTAAATCCTGATTTAAACTTAAGCTGCTTGTTTACAGGAGTAATCTTAATATATTTCATACTACCCCCGCTCGTCTGCAAATTATCAGTAGCTGCATGGACAATTTCAATATTATTTTTTTCATTCTCAGCTACTCTGTCTAAGAACTTTGCAGAGCGAGAAGTTTCATCCGTATTTAAACGTGTTGTTACGGCAGATGAAGCTACTTTCTTTTTATATTCTTGTTTCTTTGTATAAAAAGAACTAAAAGTTTGAGAAAGCTTAGAAGGCATTGACAAAGGCGACTCGTCTGTTCTGATTCTTTCATAAAGTTGGGGCTGAAATGTGCAGTCTTCTAAATTTTTTTCCTCATTTTTCTTACTCTGCATCGAGAACGGAAACAAATTTATGTTGGCTAGCAGAAGAGTGCTCCTATCTGCTGCATTTTAAAACTTTTGAATTTAATTCATTTGAATGGAAATCATAATAAATTTATTTGTCAAGTTATTTTAGAATTTGAGATGTGTAAAATTAAAAGAAATTGATTAAAAAAATTATTAATTAATCAAAATTTGTGCTTTAGAGATTGATGTTAAATATCAATATTAGAAATAGTTCTGGATTTTTATATTTGATAGAGCTAGTTTCTTCAACAATTTTAGTATTTTTCTTTTTCAGCCACACTTGCGTACGGTCCATTACGTTTAATTTTGGCTTGCTTATTGGCTCTTCTGCAGGAAGACAAGAAAAAGCTGATTGTGGGCGCGCTTTTAAGGAATTTAAAAGACTTTCCGGAGAAACTTTAATAGTCCCAGTTGGAAGATAAGTTTTTTCAACATTGTTTTCTTTTTGCTTTACTTTAATTTCAAAGCTTTGCTTGGTTTTGACTTTTTCTGCAATTTTCCTTGAATTGGGGTTGATTTCTGGAGTCTCGCGAAGTTCGCTAAGCTCTTTGGCTTGCTTTTCAAGAATTTTAATGTTTTGCTTTGCCTTATACTCAGCTTGCTTCGCAAGCAGTCTTATTTCTCTTGCTGACATGGTTGACAGTGATGATGCTTTCCTTAAAGGAGTTAAATCCTTTAAAATATCAGAGCATTCGCGTGACACTTCGCCTGTCTTCAAGTTGACATTTACAGTAACGCAGACAGCTGGATGGTCTTGATGTGGATTGATATCTATTGCTTCAATTTCAGTCATCCTTATTTATTTTTCGTTATTAATTCCCCTCTTTTAAAATTAAACAGAAAATTCCGTTCCAGTTTATATAAAATAATTGTAAATAAAACAGAAAATTGAATGCAAAAAAGTTTTGAGCTTTAATTTATTATATGAAAAATAACTCAAAATTAATAGATTCAGCGCCAATAGTTTAAAATCTAGTTGCGCTCCTCCATAAAATTAAGTCGAAGCTATTTTATAAAAATTAGTATTTAATTTAAAAGGGGAGAATGAAATTTTATTAATATTTTGTCGCAATTTAAAGTGGAGTAAGTAAAATTTCTCTAGGCTTATTGGCAGATTAATTAAAAAAAGATTGTGACAAAGAATTAATAAAAAATCATTGTTAAAAAATTAAAATAGCATGAAAATAAATAAGTCTAATGTTTTTGCAATTAAGAAAGAAATTATTTGATTATCTATAATAAAAATATGAATAATTTTCTTTAGATATTTCTTACTCCCCTCCTCTGAGAGTGAACAAAACTATTGGAAAAATCAGTATTAGATTAGATTTACACTGGGTATTATAGTCCTCTTCCACGAAGACAGCCCAAAATGCTGCCCCATAGAATTGCAGAGGTATGTAGGCTGCTTCCAACTTAGCATGAGCCCGGGCCGAAGCCCCCAGTTTCTCAATAGAGGTCTCTCTATTTGATCCTCCAATGAGGATTTTGCTCCGAACCTCCATTTCCAATTTAAGCCTTAGCCCTTTCTGCGCTAACCCTTGGAACTCTGGCTAGATCTCCCTGCCATTGGGCCTTTTCAACTGGGTAGGCTGACCCTTAATAAGCGTTGATAGTATTGTCGAGATGACTTCCATTTTTTCACTGGATCATCTTCAAAGGAAAAAACTCAACAATTTACACCATTTGGAATAGGCAGCCAAACAGCTTGAGCAAGTAAGTCACCCTGCTCTTAGTCTGAGTTGTGGTTAAAATGATGCAAAGATTTCCGCTCGATCCAGACCACTGATCAAAAGAAATAGTGCTGGGCTCCTCACCTCAAGGCTAACCAAATTCCTTGGGCAATTACTTTCATTAAAAAACCACGTCCGGATATGCATAAGGACACCGCTACGGGAAGGATGGGTCACTCGTCATCGAACATTTTATGTATATAGAAAATCTATATTAATTAGTTAAAAACCCAGCTTCGTAACGCCAGATTTGAATAAATGCAAAGCTGACCACCAGTATGGCCATATACAAAGCCCAAAAGATAATATTTTAATATATATAGCTCATATCTCTATATACATAAAAATATATTCTTTCAGGGCAAGCAAAATTCTTTTGCTTATTCACCGATGGGAGTTATTAAAAAATCTGAAATCTCCCTATAAGGTTTTATATTGCACTATATTGAATTATAGACATATATTTAAATTATTTATCTTGCTTTCAATTCTATTCAATTAGATTTATTATTCGTTTTAACGTTCAATATCAGGTTGCGCGCGCTGCCACTGCTGCCTCCAACACCTATCTGGGGTGAAATTCTACCATCTTCATTTGTCCGCTAAGTATGGCCACCTTGATTTCGTTACATGACGAGGATGCCTGTCTTGAAGTTTAGGCTGACTCATCTTTGAGCTCAGGCTACCTACTTGGATCTGTCAGAACCCTGAAGGTCCTAGTTTCCACCGCATGGGATAAGTGGCTTCCTTCTAAAAAATTCCTCCCTAAGGTTAGGAGACTGGCAGGAAAAATCGCCCGACTCTTGCCTCCCAAACATAGCTGGGATAACTTCACAAGGGAAACCTAACCTCATAATTAAAATGCTCGAGAGATGAATTTTCGGTAGGGAGATCAGAAAACTCGAATGACGCCATATTTAATTATAATGATCTTGCTTTCAGAGTTTGCTATTGCTCTATTTTATAAAAAAATCAATTGAAATCATCATATTTAAGAACCAGAAATTTTATGATTTTCATATAATCTAAAATGAGCAGCAGAAATGTCGACATTCGTATAGCTGCTGGTAAGTACAGACTTGGTGGAAAGATTGGTAGTGGTTCTTTTGGAGAAATTTATCTTGGCACCAACGTTCAAACTAACGAAGAAGTTGCAATAAAACTCGAGCGTGTTGATTCACGCCACCCTCAGCTTCTCTATGAATCAAAACTATATCGTCTCTTACAAGGTGGCGTAGGGATCCCAAATATTCACTGATATGGTGTAGAAGGCGAGTACAATATAATGGTGCTGGATTTATTAGGCCCTTCGCTAGAGGATTTGTTTTCAATGTGCAACCGTAGGTTTTCTATGAAGACAGTATTGATGTTGGCAGATCAAATGATTTCTCGAGTAGAATTTTTCCATGCTAATTCCCCCCCTCCGTAAGCGAATAAAACCATTGGAAAAATCCTTATTTTGCGCAAAAACTCGCCCTCCGTGAGCGAATAATGATTTTTTTAACATAAACATATTTCGATATATAAATGATAATTAGTATAACGAAATCTTTAGCTAATTCTGTTGAATTTTTTTGGAACAGCTTGCATTTTAAAACATAAATTTTACAAATTAAATTAAGTTTTACTTCTCAATTTTTATGAAAATGGATATTTTAAATTTCGAAAAAAAATTTAATATAAAATTTATATATAAATTTTAAAAAAAAATATAATCCCTCAGTGTTGAACAAAATTTTTTTGTTCACTCACAAAGGGAGTAAGAATTTTCTGCACAGAGATATCAAGCCAGACAACTTTTTGATTGGTCTTGGGAAAAGAGCAAATCAAATATTTATAATAGACTTCGGCTTAGCCAAAAAATATCGAGACCCGAAAACCCAACAACACATCCCTTACCGAGAAGGCAAAAGTTTAACAGGCACAGCAAGATATGCAGCAGTCAACACTCACATGGGCATTGAGCAGTCTAGGCGAGACGACATTGAAGGTCTTGGCTTTGTTTTTATGTATTTTCTCCGAGGAAGTCTCCCATGGATGGGAATTCGAGCTCATTCAAAAAAAGAAAAATATGATTTAATCATGCAGCGCAAGCTGGATACTAGAAATGAAGTCCTCTGCCAAGGGTTTCCTCAGGAGTTTTTTACATATATGAATTACGCAAGAGGGCTAAGATTTGAAGAAAGACCTGATTATGCATATTTGAAAAGGATGTTCAAAGACTTGTTTTTTAGGGAAAATTATCAGTATGATTTTATGATGTTTTATAATAAATTGAGTAGTGTATAAATGGAGGGATATTTTAATGACTAGTTTAAGGAAAATATTATATTTATGATTGGACTATTTTGAACTTTGTAAACGCTATTTAGAATAAAAATTCAAGAAATGAGGAAAGAACAAAAGAAAGAGAAAATAATGTGGAAGATGAAAAAATACCAGAGCCTCAACAACAAAATGAAGAGGTTAAACCTCAGCAAAGGCGACGATTGTAATTTAAGTCTTTTCAATATAGATAAATCGAAGCTAGGATTTACATAAGAATTTTTTGATAATTACTGATTTGCTAATTAGAAAATATTGCTAATTTATAGATCTCGCCATAAGTCTAGTAGAATGCTCAAATTTAATCGAATCTAAAAAGCCTCAGCATTAATCAAACAATATTATAAAAGCATTAAGAATAAGCTAATATAAGTTTCCAATAACAAAAAATTAATATAATAAATGATAATCTAATAAGGATTAATTGTAAAATGTTAATAAGTCTCCTAACATTTAATTAAAAATCACAATTTATGTGTCCCAATAAAATAACCCGTTTATGAATTCAGTTACAATATCCTTTATAATTTTTATGAATATTTTTGAGTAATTCCTTCCACACTGCACTTATAAAAGGATCGGCCATTAATAAATAAATCTCACAAATGGTAAGAACTATTTAGGGAGCTGTCAAATCGTTGAGAGCAAAAAAAACAATGGGAAGGCTAAGAAAACAAAACAGACCTATGCCTAGATGGGCTTTCTACAAGACAGACAACACCCAACGCTATAATTCAAAGAGGAGACACTGGAGAAGAACCAAGCTTAAGGTTTAAGTAACTAGTTAGCAAACATTGTTTGATATTGTGATTTTTCAATTAAAATTATATTAATGAGCCTTTTATCTTCAGAATCCTTGTAAAAAGAATAATTAATCCTCATCGTTGTGAGCCAATTATCGATAAAAACAGATAAAAGTTGATTTGTTGCATCTCTATGCTAATCATTTGTTTCTTTGCTTCTATTTGGCATTTTGTTCATTGAAAACTCTTCAGTTTTGCTGTGGGAGCTCTAAAAAATTCTGAGGTGCAATTTCATATTATCTGTGATCAAAAAAGGATAAATTTGATAGAAAATTTAGAAATTCACTTATAATTGCTTAAGAGCACTAAATAATCTTAAAATGAAATCAAAAACTTCAAAGAAAGTGCACAATACCAAAAAATAACTTTTAGCGAATTGACCATAAATCTTAAAATGGCTCAGCCTGTCCACACTCATCTTCCAAGAATTGAAAGTGTTCAAACCTATGGAAAAAAGAAACACGCTCAGGCTGTAGCTTTGATAACCAAAGGAAAAGGGATGATCAGAGTTAATGGTGTCCCACTTCACCTTGTTGAACCACAGACATTAAGAGTAAAAGTATTAGAGCCAATTCTCTTGCTTGGAGAGTCAAGATTTAGCAAAGTTGACTTCAAAATCAGAGTTCATGGTGGTGGCTATGTTAGCCAAATCTACGCAGTTAGACAGGCAATTGCTAAAGGAATTATTGCATTTTACCAAAAATATGTTGATGAAGCATCAAAGCGTCAAATCAAAGAAATGATTTTAGCTTATGATCGTAGTTTATTATCCTTTTTACATAGATTTTATATCAAAAAATCTAAATTCAGCCTTATTTTTTAGATAAATTAGCAAAATATCTCTTTATTTTTCAAAAAAATACCCTCATTAAAGTATAGTTGCAGATCCAAGAAGAAAAGAGCCCAAGAAATATGGTGGCCCTGGTGCTAGAGCAAGACGACAAAAGAGTTATCGTTAAGCTAACTTTTCTTCACAACAACATCTTATTTTATACTCTCATTTATAGCAGAATCTTTTAAAAAATCATCATTTTCTAAGTCAAGAAGATCGGCAAATTTCTCAATTTCCGAGATTTCTTTTTCCAATTTTTCAGTTTCTTCTTCCATTTTTCGCAGCTTTTCATACGCTCGGCTGCTTTTGACTCGTCAATTTATGTGAGAAATGCTTCTTACTGAGAGCTTGGGAGATGGGAGCTTTCGAAGCCCATATCTGCAAGGAGTTATGTCTCTTCAATAAGGTAAGCTTCGAAGCTCTTTTGGAGGGATAATTTTCGAGCGTCGAGAAACGTCTCTGATTGGTTTTTGGGGTTTAAACGGAAATCCTACATCCAATATAGGACACATAAAACTAAATGCATATTTTGGGTCTTCTTCTTTGGAATCTCCTCAGCACATTATTTTTATAACAGTTTTTGGGCTTAAATGAGTTTTAGGATCTTTTACGCGTCTGAATTAAATTTACATTTCATTTGAAAGCGCAAGCTCTTGGGTTCTATAGACATATACTAAAGAGCTTTGAAGTAAATTTTGTTCAGTTGTATCACCCATCACTAATTCTTGAGGTTTTTCAGATATGGTATAATATTTGGATTTGTTAAGTAAGACAAGTTTATAGTAAAATTTTTGTTTAATTGAATCCATATTTTTCTACTATATGCTCATGAATAACAATAATAAAGGTACAAAAGCTTTATTATAGTTAAATTTAATTATAAATGAATAAAAGACGTGGAAGCTATACCGCTGCAAAGCTTCAATTAAAAAAGAGGCACCCTAAAATAATAACAAGTGTGAGCTCGCAATTCAATTTTTCAAAAAGTTATAATGATAATTATGAAGGGGAAATTTCAGCGCCTGCTTCTATATATTCAGAGGAACCAGTTAATAGAAATGTTAGTCCTGAGGAAACAGTGCTAAGCATGATATCTGACTCAGAGCCTAAAGCGATTTTGAATATCCCAAAATCTGCAACCCCAGCAAGATGCAGCTCAAGATCTCGATCACCGTAATTCTAATATAGAATAAATGAAGACAAATATAAGCAGAAATATTTAAAATTGGAGACAACTTATAAAGATCTCCTAATAAAATCTCAAAACATACAACAACTTTATGATAATTTGCTTGAAGACCCACAGTTAAATCTGCCAGTTATTGTTGAGCCTCATATACAGCCCGATGAAAATAATCATATGTCAGATCATGAAATGCTTAAAACCATTATGGCAACTATGACTAATTTTAGCCAGAGGCTTGAAAATCTTGAGTCCCTAGCACATAATATTCAAAATCAGCTAAGTTCTTTTCTGAACACAAGCCCGCAAGCAAAGTCATCAAAATTTTTATCATAAAATTCATAACTTATAATAAACTTGAGCTAAATAAAATGTTGATTATTTTAGTCTTAGTTCCTTTGGTATTTGGGCGAACAGAAGATATATTATATCAGTTCAATTGGCTAAATTTCACATTCGATGATCCAGCAGATGCTGAAAGCTATGTAAATAATCAGCTTTACACCTGCTGTATGCCTGCAGGAATCAAAATGAACTCACAAGGAGACATTTTTATATCAGTCCCTAGGTGGAAGGAAAACGTTGTAGCGACCTTAAACCAAATCGTTTCACAGAACGATGACGCTCTACTGCTGAAACCTTTTCCAAGCTTAGAAGAAAATGAAGAAGGAGTCGCAGAAGCATTACAGTCTGTATTAGGCTTTGAAATTGATCTAGATGACTACATTTGGGTGCTTGATCAAGGCAAAGTTAACGGAAATTCAGCAATTGCTAACTCCCCCCTCCGTGAGCAAACAAAAAAATCTTGTTCGCTCATGAAGGAGGTTAATTTTTTTTTAAGCTTTATAGAATTTTTTTTTTTTCGAAATTTAAAAAAAATCCCACTTCGCAAAAATTGAAAAGCAAATAAAATTAAACAGAATTAGCTAATGATTTCATTATTCATTAAACTAATTATCACTTATATATCAAAATTTTTTTCTAAAAAAAATTTTGTTGCTGGGTTTTTAGGCAAAAAATAGGGATTTTTCTAATGGTTTTGTTCACTCACGGAGGGGGGAGTAAGAGCCAAAAGCTAGTAAAGTATAATTCAATAACTGGAAAGAAAAATATGACATACGATTTGTCAAGCGTCACCTCTGCGAATAATTCGTTTTTGAATGATATTGTTTTAGACCCACTGAGAGAGTTTGCATATATAACTGATTCAGGATTGCCTATAAATTCCGATGACCCACTAGAGCCAGCAATTATAGTGTTAAATACAAAAACATCGCAGGTTTGGAGGTTACTAGCGAGCGATATTTCAGTGATGAATAATGAAACATTAAGAATTTATATTAATGGGGAGCAGGTGCTTAAAAATAGTCCAATGGAGACAGGAGCAGATGGAATTGCGTTATCATGCGATAAAAGGACACTCTATTATACGCCATTGACAAGCCAATATTTATATTCTATCGATACTATGTATTTAAGGGACCCAAAATATCATGCAAATATTTCAAATTATGTGCAACCCATTGGATGAAAAAAAAGCGCAAGTGATGGGCTAGCTGCTTCAGAGAAAAATAATTTGTATATCACTGCGCTTGAATATATAGAAAAAGGAGTTAAAATCGAAAATAAAATATAGCAGTTGCCCGATGATGGCGCTCAATGCGCCATCATCGGGCAACGCCAAACAAGGGTCCACACGTGAAATGGGTTCCACGTGTGGAGCCCATTTTGGCTCGTGGAAATGAGGATTCTCCACGTTTTAAAAAGGGCTCCACACGTGGAATCCATTTCAACTGTGGACCCTTGCCTGGTGTTGCCCGATGATGGCGCTCAATGCGCCATCATCGGGCAACTGCTATAATTTTTTTGGCAATAAATAGTTAGATTTTTAAAAAAAATAGAATATCAGTATTATTATGATTATTAAATTTAATTAGAATTTATGAAGCATAGAATAATTCAGTTTATAAGCAGCCTGACATTACAAATGTAGCTTCAGATTTTAGCGTAAACAAATTTACAATATATGGAAATGATTCAGAGCGTATGATGTGGCCAGATACATTAGGATTTAATAATAAAGACAAAACTTTATTAGTCGTCGCAAATCAATTGCATCATTTTGAAGATGGGACTATCAATTTTAACAAACCCACTGTAGGAGATCACAATTTTTATATATAATAATCAAATATAAAAATCTTAAATTATTTATAAAAGCATGTCCATATTTTCAGTAAAAATGTTTTTGCATTCCTAAATATAGCTGCTGAATATAACCTAGATATCATATGGAGCATAGATGTAAATGATAGATCATATTTATATGGATGCGAAGATATTTCAGCTGACAATGACACTTATGAAGCATTCCCAACCTGGGCGAAGATTCTAGTTTGCATTCTCGGAGTGATTATATTGATTATTATCGGTTGCGTAATAAAGAATATCATAAAAGCAAGAAAGAGGAAGAGACAAGCATTGATCAATAACTAATGACGGGAAAATTTATAAATTTTATTTACTTATCTATCTTTTGTCTTTTTCTATTTGAATTCTCCATGACTCAGAAAACTCGCTAAATTTAGACATGAATTCTTGATGATAACCATCAGATAAGTGTTCGGGAAGCGACAATTTCGGGATCGGAACGTTACTATCACGTTTTAGACTAGAAACCTCTGAATAATCTGTAGTTGTTGATGAGTCTTCATCGATTGAAGCAAGAGAACTTCTGTTCTTTTTCGGTTCCATTTTGAGATTATTATAGATTTCTTGTATGGGGTACCCTTGCTTTTCGAGTGAACTTAAAAGTTTAATGTATTTTTTCTCCCTAACAACTGAATCGTTGATTTTTTTGTTTGCTGCATTTAATTCTGTTTTTAATTTTTTGTAGTCTTCTATGATTTTTTCTCTTGATTTTTCAATGTGATTAGACAAATTTTTGCTTTCTAAATGCAAATCTATCGATTTTTTTAACTTGTTTTCGCATTTTAAAAGTAAATGTTCTATGTATGCATCATAGACACCTTTTATTTTAATTAAAATTGAGGTAAACTCATTGTCGTTTTCAAGGATTTTTGAAAATGTATTTTTTGCAAATAAAAACTTTTGTTCTAATTTAAAATCATTATCGGTCATTTTTTCAAATTTTTTTAGTTCTTGGTCAAACTTGTGCTCAAGATCAGGAGAATTCGTAAATTTTAATTCGCATGAATTTTCGACAGAAATTGCTTTGAAATTGTCAATGGACTGGTCAAGCTTTACCACTTTACTTTCATTTGGTTTTCCTTCTGATAGCCCAATAAAAGTTTTATTTTGAGGGTCCATGATGAAGCTGGAGGAGCATGATCTGTTATGTCTTTTTGATTTTGGCTTTACACTAATATCGTTATTTGCAGATTTTTGAACTTTACCACCTAAGTGTGGAAATTTTTCCGCGTGTGAAAAGAGGATTACACATGTGAAATCAAAAGGGCTCCACACGTGAAAAACACCTTTTCACACGCGGAAAAAAATTTCCACACTTAGGTGGTAAAGTTCAAAAATCTGCAAATAACGATATCAATTTTTGATAAATTTAGATCACTTGGATGCTTTAGTGTGGATTTTGACCGTGATCTTACGATTTTCTTAAGTGGAGACTTGTTTTTAAGCTTCAATGATTCGTTTAATTTAGGAAATTTTGAAATTGATAAGCTTAATGCAGAAAAATTTTTTAGAAGCGATGAGCTAATTGGCTGAGTTTGTGATAGAGTATCTGTTTTTGCAGGAATTATGGACTCTTTGCTTTGCTTTCTAGATAATATAGGTTTTGACATTTATTTTACTGAAATGCTTAGAATAAATCAATGAAATATTTTCAACTTATTTGGCCTCTCTTTGTATTGCTGCAATTAAATTGATTACTAATTTTTTCCCTTATAAAGCCATTAAGAGCAATGCAAACAAATTAATTAAAAGAGTGTTACTCCCCTCCTGTGCGAACAAAGAAATTTTGTTCCGGAGGGTGTTGATTTTATTTTTAAAAATCTATATATAAACTCTATACTAATTTTTTTTTCAAAAAATCCAATTTGGAAAGCAAATATTGTAAATTTTATCAAGCTGTTAAAATTTCAACAGAATTAACCAGAGGTTTCATTATAAAAATTTGCATAAAAAAAATTTGTTCGATCAAGTAGGACGGGTTTTTACCCAAAAAAATAGAGATCTTTCCAATGAATTTGTTCGCTCACGGAGAGGGGAGTTTAGTACAAATCGATATTTTGTCTTCAAGATTTAATAACTGGCATTCAGCTTTTAATCTATTTGCTGCTATGCATATTTGGTAAGTTATTTTTAATTAAAATTAAAAGTGTTAAATCAATTTTGCGTGCCTTTATAATGAAACGGGTGATGAATCATCAATTTTTATTAAGAGTTATAATATATTTGATATCTAAGGGGTCATCCGGGCATTTTTACTTAATCCCGCCTGCATGATTATTATCTTTACGATTGCTGATATAACTTATCTATCGCAAATATATTTAAGAAAATCCTTACTAAGAATTTGCTAATTCAACAAAATTTTTGTTTCGCTAATTAATGTTTTTTAGATATTTACACATAAATTAATTTAATTTGTTATGTTTTAAAATGAAGCTGTCTAAAATTCAACATATTACTTTTATGAAACTAATATTGAAGGTTTTTTCTCTAATTTATTTCTATAGCTTATTAAATCTACTTATTAGTGGTTTTCCTTACTTCATAAAAGCTTTCTACAAAGTCTATTTTGATTTTATCAATAAAAGCTTCAACAGTATCAAAGTCCTTGGGATCAATTAAAGGGAAAAGCTTGAATTTTACAATTGAAGTTCCAAAACAAGCTGTTAATTTTTTCTCGTTCAAAACTTCGTCATAGCCATCACACATAAAGAACTGTACAGGCATTTTACGCAGATATGCATATAGAACTTTCTCTTCAATAGCGCGATAAGGCGTGCTTCCTGGTTTGACTAAAAGGTCTTTGGGCCATGAAAATCTGATGTTCCTTCTTTGTAAGAGAGTCATACAGTGAAAATAAAGAGTTCTGGCTGGCCAATCTCGAGAACTTAAAGAGAGGCTATTTGCAAATTTACACTTTTGGTTCGTCAAATGGATCTGGCGAGCCAATTCTGGCCGCTACTTGAAATTATAAATGATAGTTGCCAGAATTTTATTAATTTTCTGATGGCAAGTATGATCAGAATTTTAATAAAATGGCACAGGATAAGACAATCCACTTAAAAATATTGTTAAAATTAAAGCCCCATTTTATAAAAGATATAATAAATTTTAAAAAATTATTTTAAAAATATTTTTTATAAAAAATTTATTTATATTGATATAATTATTTTAAAATTTTATTTTTTAACATTTAAAGAAATTTAAAAATATTATAAGAAGAAAATTTTAATATCGTTAGTAAAGTTCGTAAAGAGCAACAAGCGCATAGCACAAACTTTGGCTTTTATAAAGCAGTTAGTCATAATTAAATTGGCATCATTTATTTAGAAATCTATCCTTCCGCAAAAACACAACTCGATCAACAAGTTTTTAATTATTAACTCCATTTTAATTTTCTAACGAAAACCATATGAGTCATTAGTAAGTTCGTAAAGAACAGCAAGCGCTTAGCACAAACTTTGGCTTTTATAAAGCAGTTATAATTATTACCAAAGGAATTATTAGATCGGTTTGAAAGGAATAAGCTGTCTGATCCTGTGCCATTTATTAAAATTCTGATCATCCTCACCATCAAAAAATTAATAAAATTCTGGCAACTACCATTTTTCATTTCAAGTACTGGCCAGAATTGGCTCGTCAGATTCATTTGACGAACCAAAATGTAAATTTTTCACACAGCCTCTCTTCAAGTTCTCGAGATTGATCAGGCAGAATTCTTTATTTAGGCTGTTTTTCTCCCCCCATGAATAAAGAATAGCAAGTTTTCATATGTTTAAGATCATCCGGTAAAACCTAGGAATGCACCTTATCGCGCTATTGAAAAGAAACTTCTATATCTAATCATCCCTGTCCTTAATGGCAAGGGCTCTTTTTTAAGATTTCTATGGCCTTCTGGATAAACAATTAGATGTTTTCTCAAATTTTCAGTAAATGAGAATTTCTTATCAAGCCACACATAAAATTGCTCTAAATCCTTTGTGCTTTGGCCACGTACGAAGTACCAACATCTCCCTGTCATATGGCTGATGATCCCCATAAATGGAAATGCAAATCCTACAAGGGCTCTTGATAAGTAATTTGCTGTGAATTTTGTGACTGAGTCATGAATAACAAAATCCGCTATGTTACGATGGTTGCCTAAAAACATGATGCTGCGGTCTGAAGGAATTTTGGAACTTCCAGGCAATTCAATCAATTTGACACCGCAAAACCACGTAGAGTGAGATGTCCATCGAGTCTGAGGATCCTTTACTGTCCAAACCCTGATGAGTAAGAAAAAGAGAGGATAGAAGTAAAATGAATACCCCACTCTGAGGAAAAATAAAAATTTTCGAGGGAATAGCAAAATGAGAGACAATGCTACTAACAGCAAAATCCACATTTATTTTTGATAAATTTGGGGTTTGTTTTAAAATAATAGTAGGTGGTGGGATTATATGATGGCCGAAGGTTTAGAATAAATCAATTAAGGATTGATGGGACTAGAGATAATGCTAATTAAAGTAAGATTTAATTTTAATGGATAGCTGAAATGAATGGTAAAATTTATTTTAACTTGAGAAGAATAATATTAATCTTTATGGAAGCCCATCTGGATACTTACATTGAGTTAGCCAAGGATGTTGCAATGCTTGAGATGCAGTCGGTCTTTTTTCTTTGTCAAGTTCTAATAAACTAGCAATAAAATCAACAAACATGTCGTCATCTGCCCTTAGTCTTGCTTTAAGAGATGTTTTCTTAGGTACAAAAATCATAATCTTTTTACCCCCAAGATTGCTGGATGAATCCTCCACTTTTTCATCAGAAACTTGGTATATCAACTTTTCCCTTGTGAAATAATTCCCTACATGCCTGCCATGTTTAAACATATAATCTGGAAATGGTCCTACGATTCCTACAACTCTAGCGAGTAATCCTTGCACAGAATCATTCTGAAATAGAACATTTCCAGTCCAAAGTTCAGCTAAAATACATCCTAATGACCATATATCAATTCGATAGTCATAAGTGCAGCCCATAATCACTTCTGGAGCTCTGTAAGATCTGCTTTGAACATAAGAGCTTAAATGATCATGAATATAACAGCTGGAGCCTAAATCAATAATTTTGACTAAACAGCGGCTATAAGATTTTATTAGAACATTTTCAGGTTTAAGGTCACAATGAATTAACAGAAGGCTGTGGAGAAATTCAAGACCTTTTAAGATTTGGACTGTTATTCTTTGTAGATGTCCCATTGTGAAATAAAATTCATCTTCGTGCTCTCTGTTATAGCGATAAAACTCATAGAGATTATCCCTTAGTAATTCTGTTACAATAAACAAATGCTCTTTATGATAAAAATAATCAATAATCCTTAAAACATTATGCTCATCAGCATCCCCATTTTCCTTTATATATAGTAGCAATTTTATTTCATCTATACTTTGATCGATATAATCTTTATTATTTTCAATAATTTTCAAACATACCATTTCATCTGTAAAAGTATCCAAACACTGAATAGCTTTACTAAAAGCAGCAGACCCCAAAAACTCAATCACTTTATATCTCCCCGCAATAACACTATCTACCACAATAGGAAATTCTTTATTTTCCTCAAAACCTGTCCTTTCTCTATCAGTGATAACCTTTAAGTCATAGCAATCATATACAACTCCGTCAAATTCTTTACTCCTTCTACCTTTAAATTGGAACAAAATTTCGGTAAAATATCTATTTTTTATGTACTTTAATCCCATTTAATTGGAATTTTTTTCAATAGTTAATTTTATAAAATAATTTTGAACTAATTTAATGGTAAAAGTGAAAGTAGAATATTATATAAACATTTGCTATACTGATTAATTTTTTAATCAAATTTTCATAAAATAATTTATAGTTTAAAATTTTTTCAAAGAGAAAATTCATTTCTAAAAAAAACCCTAAATTTAAAGGGGAAGGGGGAGTTAGGATAAAAACTATCCCCACTTTTTGGGAATTTTATATGTGGAGGAAACTGAGGCTTTATAGGCTCTCGTCTTTCTTCTTTATTTTCGTTTTTTTTAGGGTATGCAGCTCTAGCAGGAAATCCATACTTGTCGCCTAATTGTCGGCTTATTTCTTCAAAATCTTCCTCAGAGCACTCATAAGCTTCATAGCCAGGGTCATCATCGTCTTCATATTCGTCAATTTCTGAATTCCCAGGTTTATCTGATGAGTATTCCTGGCTTGTTCTATATGATTCTGATTGGTCTTGGGATTCGTGTAAACTTGAGGCAATTGACCCAGAGCTGGCATCTTTATCGTTGTTGTGAACTATTTTGGATGAAATATTCATGCTGTCACTATCGAAAAATAATTGATCTGCGCACGAAACCATTTTTTGAAATGCCTTAACTTCGAAAAGCCTTTCTAGATTATTTTCAACAGCTTTGCTCTGGGCAATCTTTGGGTTTGATATCAGTCGTGTCATTAGATTTTCCATAATTGCTTCGTTTTCTTGAGAAACACCTGCTTTGTTTTCTTTATTTCCTAGGCTTGATTCGATTTTTCTTACTCCCTTCGGTGATGGAGCAAAACAATTGGAAAAACCCTAATTTTTGGTTAAAACCCATCTTACGTGGGTGAAAAAAATATTTCGGTGTGTAAGTGATAATTATTATATAGCTTATACCCCTTTATAGATTTCTATATGGAGCATAATGTCCTGGCTCTTGAACAAGCAAAACAGACTCTCTCAAAGAGATGATGTCAATCTCTATATCAGTAAGTGCTAAAAAGTGACATGTCAAAAAATGGTGATAAGTGAGAAAAAATTTGACAAGTAAACGCGCCAATTTTTAAAAGGTTTTATATAAATTAATAATAATGATAATAACAAATACATAAATAATAAATGATACATATAAAATTTATTAATAAAATTAGATGCCATTCTCAGCTTCTCCATACTGGACGCCATCTTGAATCAAGCATAAGTCTAAAAATTATTAGAAATTTTTAAAGATATTTCAACCGAAGCAATAACTATTGGAGATCTTTGATGGGTTGAAGGGGGAGCCGCACTTTTGAATTTTTCTCTATAAACTTTCATGTCAGTTTCTCCATACTGAGCGCCATATTGATGACATCTTGTATTAAGCATAAGTCCAAAAATTATTGGAGACTTTGAGAGATGTCTCAACTGAGGCAAGAACTCTTGGAGACCTTTGATGGGTTAAAGGGGGGAATCGCACTTTTGAATTTTTCTTTAGGAATTACTCATATCAGTTTCTCCATACTGGACGACGCCATCTTGAATCAAGAATAAGTCTAAAAATTATTGGAGTTTTTAAGAGATGTCTCAACAGAAGCAATAACTAGTTGAGACCTTTGATGGGCTAAAGGGGGGAGTTGCACTTTTGAATTTTTCTCTAGGTAATATTAATGTCAGTTTTTCTATACTGGACGCCATCTTGATGACACCTTATATCAAGCATAAGTCCAAAAATTATTGGAGATTTTGAGAGATGTCTCAACTGAATCAAGAACTCTTGGAGACCTTTGATGGATTAATGGGGGGAGTCGCACTTTTGAATTTTTCTCTATAACTTTTTCAAGTCAGTTCCTCAATACTGGTTGCCATCTTGAATCAAGTATAAGTCCAAAAATTATTGGAGATTTTAAAGGATATCTCAACTGAAGCAATAACTATTGGAGATCTTTGATGGGTTTGGACTTTTGAATTTTTATCTATAGACTATTTAAAGTCAGTTCAACAATACTGGTGCCATCTTGAATCGAGCAAAAGTCAAAAAATTATTGGAGATTTTGAGAGATGTCTCAACTGAAGAAATAACTCTTGGAGACCTTTGATGAGCTAACGGAAGGAGTCGCACTTTTGAATTTTTCTTTAGGAATTACTCATATCAGTTTCTCCATACTGGACGACGCCATCTTGATGACATCTTGTATCGAGCATAAGTCCAAAAATTATTGGAGATTTTGAGAGATGTATCAACTGAAGCAAGAACTCTTGGAAACTTTTGATGGGTTAAAGGGGGACTTTTGAGTTTTTTTGGAGGTATGAAAGTCGTAGATATTTATGATTTCATTATTTCTCTCCAAGATGTCTAAAAATGAAATGCTACATTTAGTGTTTGATTAGGTTTTTATCAAAAAGCTGATTGATTGGGTGCTCTCAGTCTAATTGGGTATCTTAAATTTTAAATTAATTTAATAATAAAACCATTTTTAAAATTGGCGCGTTTACTTGTCAAATTTTTTCTCACTTGTCACCATTTTTTGACATGGCACTTTTTAACACTTACTGATATAGAGATTGACATCATCTCTTTGAGAGAGTCTGTTTTTGCTCGTTCAAGAGGCCAGGACATTATGCTCGATATAGAAATCTATATTGGGGTATGAGCTATAATGAAATCTCTAGCTATTTCTCTTGAAATTTAAGCAACTGCATTTCAAACATAATTTTTATTTCCCATTTTTTAAATTTCGATAAGAAAATTTATTTAAAAAATAAAAAATAACTACCTCAATGAGCCAACAAAATTTTTTGTTAGCTCACGAAGAAAGGGGGCGAGCTAGCAAATTTTTTTCACGATCTGTGAGATGATCATCAAAACTAATACTTTTTATTATTCCCCTGAGCATTGATGCTGATTTTAGAAGGTGCCTGCTTTCTAAATAGTCCACAATTGAGTTGAAAAGGTCCATTTTTATTACTTAATTTAGATGAAAAGTATTCAAATTTTAAATTGGCTTTATTTATAGAATTCGTTTATAAAAATGAGCAAAATTAATTCGAAGGCTGATTTCGAACAATTTAAATATTCATAAATATAAATACAGCTCCGTTATTCATTTTGATTGGCTTCTTACTCCCCCCAATCCTTGAGCAAACAATTTCCATTAAAAAATTGCTAAAATTGGGAGTGTTAGGTTTTTCTTTTAAATACCTATAATTCTCAATAAATTTGTAAATTATTTTTAAATACAAGGATTCTGCAGACAGAATTATGATAAATTAAATTAAGAAAATATATTAAAATGGGTGCAGGCCCAATAATCGTGTGCTTCAGATAGTATGAATTTCAACATAGTAAATTTGGTCGAAATTTTAAAATAGTGCGCCATTTGGCCGAATTTAACGGGTTTTTTCCGTCAAATGTCTCACTATCAAAAAAATTCGAACAAACTTTCTCGAGGAAATACCGCACTATCAAAAGTGCAATATCATTTGCGTGGAGCCATAAAAATGTAAGACTCTAAATATTTGTCGCTCGATGAAGGGAGGAATGTGCAATGAGAAGAATTTATAGAATTTATGAATGACATAAAAGAATAGGATTTAATAGTTTCAGGTGAAAAATTATATTGCAATTATTATACAAAAGCTGATTTATTTTTCAATAATTATTTTCTCATGCAATAAGTAACATTATTTTTATGAGTTAATTATACAAAATAATTAATGCTTAGCCATTTAGTCTTCTCTATTAGGTTTTGCCAATATACCAGATTTATTCTTCCTGCCTATACAAATTCAAATTTGAATTCATATTTGCTTTAAATCAATCAATCAACCAATTAATAAATCAATAGAAAAAACTCCTTAAAGCCTAATTTTTTTAGGTGACACATAGATAAATAGTCAGACTTATAATGTATTCAGCTATATTTTCAAAATTAATAGAAATTGAATTTTTGCTCCTTTTATTCTGATAAAAAATTAATGCTATTAAAACCTCAAAGTAGAATAGATACAGAATCAAATGATTCAGGGCAAGCTCTAAGCATTATGACAATAGGAAGACGAGAATCACGAGAAGATGTTTTTGCATCTATTGATAACTATCAAAGTTTGACAAATGGAAACACAACTGAGTCAATGATTACCTTAATTGGACATCTAAAGCCCAGAAATGAGTCTATGACTATAAATCCAACTGAAAATACAAGTTGCTGCTTGTTTCCTATAGGTAGGAGGAAGAATGATAATAGCAACCAAAATATTTGTAATATATTTTAGAGCTATTTGATGTATATTCTGAGTAGGAATTCGATAAGAATAATTAATTATTATTTAGACAGCCAGAAAACCTGAAAATTAATGAAAGCATCTCGTGGTTTAAAATAACTAATAAAATTTTTAGGAATAAAAATTGCCAATAAATAATTTTTGCAATAATTAAAGAATAGGAAAAAGATAAGCCAATTTAAGATTGTGATCCCTAAAAGAAATCTTTAGAAGAGATATTATTTTTGATACCTTAGAAAAGAAGAGTAGATGTGCTATGCTATTAAAGAAATGGAAAATTATATCGTAGTAAGAGCAACGATGACAATAATTGGGCTGAAAAGGAAATTTAGAGAAAAATATGAGTTTACTCCAAAAAATTATTAAAAAGCGGTTATTTAGCTTTCAGCAAAACACAATCGTATATACTTTGAATTTAAGCTGAATTATATGAATGCACATTTACATAATAATTAAGCGATATAGATAATTATGTATTTATCCTAGGCTTGCTTTAAATAATTTAAATTAATTTCTATGATGTATTTAAGTTTAAACACACATTTATAAGACTTTTGCGCTCAAAGCTCAAAGATATAGATCATAAATTTGTTTATTGTCATAATTTTTAGTGATAGATTAACTCCATTGTTAGAGCTTTTAAAAAGTATAAATATAAGATAAAACATAAAATGCTGGCAACGAGCGATCCGTCCTCCCCGTTGCGGGTGTCCTTATATATCCGTGTGGTTGCTGGTACAAAGAGCTGCTCAAGGGTTGGACTAGCCTAGAAGCTAGAGGCCTATCACTATTTCTGCTGATTAGTGGTCTGGCTTGAGCTGCAGTTTTTTGCATCTTTTTTGACAGCAGTGCTCAGGCCCAAAATGGATGTCCAATAGATGCAGGGAAACATATGGTAGTTGCCCATTGATGGCGCTCAATGCGCCATCATCGGGCAAAACCAGACAAGGATCCACACGGAAAATGGATTCCACGTGTGGAGCTCTTTTTGGTGCGTGGAAGTGAGGATTCTCCACGTGTTAAAAAGGGCTCCACACGTGGAACCCATTTCCTGTGTGGACCCTTGTCTGGTGTTGCCTGATGATGGCGCATTGAGCGCCAACATCGGCAACTGCTATACCTTGCCAAGCTGTTTTTGTGGTATCTCTCGAATCTGATGTAGCCACATTGAATTTTTTCCTCGGAGAAAAAGGGGAAGACATGCTAGACGAATATTTCAGAGCTCGTCTCTTCAGTCTAAAAAGGTCCCTCCATTGGATGATCTGGTCTAAGCTATTGGAAATGGAGGTTCCCGATATTATATGGCTTTGACCAGACCAGGAGGGAAAATGACTCTGCCAGAAAAACTGGGTGTTTTCGGCCCAGCTCAATCTGCCTTGAGGCATCCGCCTCGCAGGCGTTCGCCTACGGAAGGTACAACTCTTCAGGAATAGGGACTATAAATGCCCATTGTAGTCTAATCTAATCTAATATATATAAAATAGAGATTGAAATTTTTCACAGAGAAAGCCAAAATTCAAGAGCTTCTCCAATACTCTTAAACAGACCTAATAACAAAATCCTAGCTTATAATTCCATTATCTACGCTTATAATTGACCCTTCAACAAAGTCAACGGCATTTCTTTGACTATGATTCCTCCTTCTTTAATCATGATAGAAAACTTTACAGCAAGGCAGAAATATCTAATCCTCGGAATTCTTATAATTGGCCTACTAATCCCATTTGCTAATATAATTGCCTGATGCTTCCTTTTGTGTCTTCTATTCTCTGTAGCTACTCTTGAATACAGAGTTCATCACAATACCAAATTAATGCCAAACCCCTTCAAAAACATGGTCCCAATTCCTGAGCTTTGCATTGACTGATATTTTAAAGAAGTTCCCAATCAGTATTACTGCTTAAAAACCTCCCAATTTAGCTATGCTCCAGAAACATGGAAAACCATGATAAAGAATATTTTAAATATTCGTGATTTAAACCAAGAAATATATTTTATGACATATAGAAAAGAGTTTAAAACTTGGTATTTTGCAATGGTAAACCAAGGATTCATGTGAACATTTACACTTATTGCTATTGTGATTATTGGGATTCCTGTTGTCATTCTAATTGATTTTGCAGTTGCTGCAGCATTATAGCTGTATTGTAATTATTATTTTAAAAATTTCTAAATAAAATTAGCAGATGAATAATCTTCCTGTCGAGCAGACCTTGCAAGACTTTGCTCACTCCCCCCCCCTTTAAATTGAAACAAAAAATTTTGTTTCAATTTAAAGGGGGGTTAAGAAAATTTTTTTATAAAAAAATTTATATATAAAAATTTTTTTTCAGAGATAAAATTTTATAATTTCATGAAAAATTAATTCATAAATTTCTCAATCTCAAAGTGTAAACTTGCTGAAATGGTATTCTTCTAACTCTCCTATAACAATTGGACAAAATAGAGTTTAATTTCTAAATCTTATATGTTTGAAGCATATTAAATAGGGTATTAACGTATTTACATATAAAATAATGATTTTTACCCTATAAAATTTTCTATTATAATAAAATTTTGTTTCAATTTAAAGGGGGGGTAATTTCCCAAAAAAGTAGGAATTTTACCTATATTTTGTTTCAATTTAAAAGGGGGGGGGAGTCAGCTTCAAAATCTACATCTTTTCTATACAAAACCAGTATATGTCCATGCCCACATACAACATCAGACACTTTTTGCAAGCTTCCTTTCAAAATTAATGTAGGTTTTGAGCATTCAAATTGGTTTATTCTTAATTGTCCATATTTATTATTCCCCCACCCTAAAAGGTCTCCAGATTTCAATAAAGCTACTGTAAAAAATCCTCCACATCCTATTGTTGAAATTTTACTTGCTATTTCAACCTTATCCGGAACCGCAGAAAATCTTGTTGAAGTTTCATGGCCTAACTGCCCATAATTATTCAAACCCCACGTATATAAATTATTCTGATTGTGGCTGCATAATACGGCACTATGATGCTCGCCACAGGAGATATGAGTAGCTCCATCAATATTTGTCAATAATTCTGGGATTTCTATATCAGCAATATCGTCATTTGTGCTTTGATTTCCCCACTGATATACTTTTCCTGATCCTGTAAGTGCTAATACATGATTTAGCCCACATGCAACTTTTTCAACTCTTACACTTGCTAATGATTCCACAATTTTCGGCTCAGCACGATTTTCTTGTTCTCCATTGCCTAAGACTCCATATCTTCATCTTCCAAAAGTATGCTATTTACATTAAATATCTTAATTGGTTTTTTATTTCAAATTATTACAAATTTTTATAAAAATTCATATAAACTTGTCCCATTTGCGAAACAGCAACAGTAAAAGTTCCTCCGCATGCCACGTGGCTCATAGGAATACTGCCCAAGCTTTCTACAAGTTTAGGATATAGGACATATCTTTCCTTTCCTCTTTCAACTTTCATAAAATCATCTCCAACAGGAGGATATCCAAGCTGGCCACTTGTCCCTAATCCCCATGTAAAAAGAAGTCCAATATCAGAAATGCAAGTAGAATGCCAGTGACCAGCTGAAATCTGAGTAACTTGAACTTTGCTGAATTGGCGTTCAAAAATTACTGGAAATATAGATGGAGGATTATATATTCAAGATTCAACCCAGCCTAAGCCCTGGGTGCCTGCTTGTCCATATTGGTTAGAACCCCATGCAGCCAGCTGTCCTCCTTTAAGGATTACCAAATTATGAGATGATCCTGCAGATGCTTGCAAAACGATTTTTTCTCGGAATATATAGCCTTGATTACTCCCACATTGATTTTCTGAGTTACACCCAAATGCATACAAGCATCGAGAGTGTTTTGCTTTAGAATTTGGGTCGTTGTCGAGGTTAAGAACCATTGGAGATTTCGTGAGAATTTGTCCCATTGTGCTATTAATTATTTTTTTAAATAAAATTTGACATTAGTGAGAGTAAATAATTTTATGTTTTTTATTAGATAGTGTCTCAAAATAAATCATTTTTTAATAATTTTATATAACTTTATTGACATCCCTCACAGAGACTATTACAAAATGCATTCTAAAAAATTATCAAATTTTAATTAGTGATCCCAAATGACGTCAGTATTTTTTAGTTGTTATTAGAAGCTAATATGGCATTATCGATCTTCATCCGTTAAACTTTTAATTTTCACCTATATAAAAATTTTTATTTTTTCCTAATCTTTATTCTTATATCTATCCGAATCATTCCCATCATCTTTTTTTCCCTTCCTTCTACCTCTATAATGACTTTCCAAGAGTTCATGAATATTCTTACTAAATTCTTGAAAATTGAGAGGTGGATATATAAAATGGCTGAACCTATGGCCGGACAAGCTGAAGACTTTATCATTGAATCCAATTGGGATGAATCCATTGAGAGTTTCGATGATATGGGTCTTAAAGAAGAGCTGCTACGCGGCATTTACTCTTACGGGTTTGAAAAGCCGTCAGCCATCCAACAAAAAGGCATCAAGCCAATTATCCTTGGCCATGACACAATTGCTCAGGCACAGTCAGGGACAGGGAAAACGGCAACTTTTACAGTGGGCGCACTCCAACTCATCGATACCGAAGTCAATCAATTACAAGCTCTGGTCCTTGCTCCTACCAGAGAGCTTGCTCAACAGATCTTCCGCGTTATAAGTCAAATTGGCGAGTATATGCACATCAAATGCCATGCATGCATCGGAGGAACTGTAGTCAAAGAGGATATTCTAGTATCAATGAATGCAAAAAAACATATATTTATTTCTTAAAAAAAATAAAATATATGAAAAAAAATATCAGAATTTTGGAAAGAGGAGTCCATATCGTCGTAGGAACCCCAGGTCGAGTTTTCGACATGCTCAGCAGGAACCACTTGTCAGCTCAACATCTAAGAGTTTTCATCCTTGATGAGGCTGACGAAATGCTGTCACGAGGGTTTAAAGAACAAATCCAAGAGATCTTTAGACACCTCCCTGGGAACATCCAATGCTGCTTGTTCTCAGCTACTATGGCTCCAGATATTCTTAAACTAACTGAAGATTTTATGAGAAACCCTATCAGGATCCTCGTCAAAAAAGACGAGCTGACCTTGGAAGGTATTAAGCAATACTATATTCCTATTGAAAAAGAAGAATGGAAATTCCCAACACTCTCTGATTTGTATGAGAACTTAGATATCACCCAAGCCATCATATACTGCAATACCAGGAAAAAGGTATTTCGAATTCAATTAAATAAATTTTTTATAATAATGTTTTTTTATATAGGGTGAGATATTTTTGAAAATTATAATAGCATTTAGTCTCAATATTTGAGGATAGAAACCTTAGCCCAGCAAATGACTGATAAAGACTTTGTAGTCAGCTTCATGCATGGAGAAATGGAGCAAACACAAAGAGAGCTCATTATGAGAGAGTTCAGAAGCGGTTCAAGCAGAGTTTTAATCACAACTGACCTTTTGGCTAGAGGAATTGACGTACAGCAGGTGTCATTGGTCATTAATTATGACATGCCAACCAACTATGAAAATTACTTACATAGAATCGGAAGAAGTGGAAGATTCGGAAGAAAGGGAGTTGCGATTAACTTTGTGACTGAGCAAGACGCACAGTTCTTGAGAGATTTGGAGCAGCATTATTCAACCCAAATAGAGGAGATGCCTGAAGACGTGGCAACTATTCTTTAACAAATAATTATTTGGATTATTTTCAACTGACTTGCGATAAATGTTTAATAAATGCTTACTCCCCCCCCCCCCTCCGTGAGCGAACAAAACCATTAGAAAAATCGCCATTTTTTGACTAAAAACCCACCCTCCGTGAGTGAACAAAAATTTTTTTAATAGAAAAAATTTTAATGGAAAAAAATTTTGATATATAAGTGATAATTAGTATAATGAAATCTAGAGCTAATTCTGTTTAATTTTAAACAAATTGCGTTTTAAAACATAAATTTTTGCAAATTAAATTAATATTTGCTTCCCAATTTTTGCAAATTAGGATTTTTTTAAATTTCGAAAAAAATATTTTTTATAAAATTTATATATAAATTTTTTTTAAAAAAAAAAAATTAACCCCCCTCCGTGAGCGAACAAAATTTTTTTGTTCGCTCACGGAGGGGGGGGGGAGTTAGAGGGAAATTAAAAAGAAACATAAAAATTATTAATGTTCTCTAACATGATATTAATTAAATGTTTTGTCTCATGCTTGAAATTTTAATTTCCTTTTATTATTGAAAAGAGACTTCTTCTAAAAAATAGAAGCATTAACATTAACATTATGCTAGATTATTGAGCAGCTCCCTGTGATATCCAGACCGGGTATTTGTCTCTTGTTGGGCGTCCAAGGGTTTACTCTTCTCCACCTGAGAATTGTGTTGATGGAGAGAGAATGGGACGGATCACCATGCTGTTCGCCAGACGAGGCTGCCTGCATAGAAATTTCAAACATGGAATTTCTGGCCGACTATCGTAAAAGTAAAAACTTGTAGCCTAGGGAGTAATTAAATATGTGCTCGGGCTTAATAGCCAGGAGACCATGGCCGGACCGAAGCGCCATATTTAATTATTTTACAAAATAGAAAAATAATTAAATCTTAATATACGGAGCTCTTTTAAACGTCGAAATTAGAAAAGAGCAATCAGTAATTATTTGAGTTTGTAAAAATTTTTTAAAGTTGCTAATTACATATCTATTCATTAATAAAATTAAATTTAAATGTCAACAATGAACAAGTTGCAAGTTGAAAATCATAAACTGAGGCAGGAAATTCAAAAACTTAAAGGCCAATTAAAAGAAATCAACGTAAATTGTCTAAGTTCTTCACTACAGCATGAAAATTGAAATCGAAGAAAAAGCCCTCTCGCTGCAGATGAAAGAAGAGCTTTTCTCAGAAAAGAAATTGAATTAAAACTTTCCCAAGGGATTTATACACAAGCTAAATATCCATCAAATAGAAAAAATAAACTTTCTAATAGTTTTACTGAGAAAGTTTCAAAGAGTTCAGTTGAAATTTCGAGAGTATTTGCTGAAAGAATAACTCCAAGTAACGAAACAAGAATCAAGGCTGCCAAGAATTTGTGCCAGACTGATCTCTCATCCCCTCAAGAGACTATTAAATGCGATATCAAAGATATCGCAATGGAAAATTCAGAAAACACAATAAAAAGATCAGACTTAAACACCTCTACAAAGAAAACCCTTCAATCAAACTCTGAAAGCTTCAGTAATGAAGAAATCGGAAGGACTCTTAAAGACTCATTTGATTCTTATTATGAGTCTGAAAAAGAAAATCTCGATAATGAGGGAAAATGTGAACTTAGCTATGCTGTATATGAAAATAATCATCAAAAAGGATCAAGAAGAAGAGAGAGAAATCTTTTAAAAGAAATCGATATTTTAAGAGAAGAAAATAATAGATTAAGAGAAAAATTGCATTCTGAGTTCAAAGCGAAGGATACTATAAATCTGTTGAAAAATAGAAAAACAGTAAGGAATGAAGCAAATAATGTCAATCAGAAATTTTTGAAAAGAGAGAGAAGATCAATTACTCCTAGAGGAAGATCAAGGGAAAAAGAAAGAGATAGGTCTTGCAAATGTTTTGTTCCATATAGAAGTGTTTCTGCTAAAAGCTTTAAAAAATATTCCCTTACGCCTACAAGATCAAAGCATTGTAGCAATTGCGATAGTTTATTATCATTAGGGGTGTCTACTAAAGAATGTCCAAGGCATATGAAAATACCCAAAAATCGTTTTGCAACTCTTAAAAATATTCTATAGTAAGAAAATAAATGAGTCACACACTTTAATTTGCTATTCTTTGATTCCATAAGATATAGTAAATGATTAATCAGGATTATTGAATGCATTATTTAAGAAGAATAATTCATAAGTTTGAGACATGATGTCATAATCCTCTATAGCTGCTAAGATGGATAGCAAAAAATTAATTAGTATATACAAATGAGGTATTTTATGCCTATACACTCATAGCGCCTTTATCTTCTTGATTGGTAAGAACAAAATATAGGCAGCCATCTTCATCTGAACATCGTTGGTGAAGTTCAGGGTTAGGTTAGGTTATTTAGAGTCAGGTGCTAGCCATATTGGTGACGCAGTTACTAAAGACCTTCCATACTGAATGTTCTACCGCTTTTCGACTCCATCCGGAGTCTATGCGCCACCATCCGGAGTCTATGCGCCACTTCCGGTGCTTTCTCTCTCCTTCTTGCCTTGCGGCTTCAGTTTTGAGTGGGCGGCATATGGATTTTTGCAGCTATGATGCAGGCAATTGGAGTAACTTGACTCCAATAATCAGTTCTTGGAGTCTGTCGGATGTCGAAGTGTCTTCCTTCGACAGCTACAGGAAAAGACTGTGTTCCACTGTGGCCATGGCCGAAACCCCCAATTTCTCGGTAGAGGAATGCCCATGGGTCATTGGATCCAAAGGATGTTACCGGGCACCCTCCATTACCAACCACAAGAAGGCAGTTAAAACTGACCCTATACACATTACCTGAGGTTACGATTTGGAGTCCGTCCCATTCACTGTGACTATAAGATCTGGACAGTTGCGCCATGAGGGCAGGTTGACACTTGTTTCATTTTAATGTATATGGTGAAGTTCAGAGATTTTTGCTCCTAGCATTGGAAGTGTGTCGCAAAGATATATATCTCTTTTTAATTGATATTTAAGCATTATTATTTTATTTTGGATATTCGAAAGCTTATTAATGCAAAATTAGAGTTAATGATATTATAAAAACAATTATCAATTTAACTAAGAAAAATATAGATAAAGTCCTTGCTTTGGAGAAAGCTTGAAATATCTACGAAGGGTGTAAAGGAAGCAACTTACTGTCATGGAGCCTTCTAATGCAAATCTAAATATAAATTACTTGTGTGTTGGAATATTATATTTACAGCGATTCCCTTTTATAATCACACATGGATATTTTCCAGGGTTTTCACGCATAATTTTATCATATGATTCTTTACGGACTTGAAATTGTGTGGATTCTTTATATTTTTTGATTTCACTGCGATCTAATGACATTTTTATAATCAGAAAAATTTTAAAAATTGCAAAAACTGAATTGCTATTCGAAGGTTAGCATCAATTTTATAGCATTATCCCTTATATTGACTTGTAGGAATTTCAAGCTATTTTTATACTGATAAATGCTAGATAAAGTAAATAAATTATTAGCATGATTATTTTATAACTGATCTAAAATTTTATATTGTGTTTAATTTAATATATTTGAGTTATAATAAATTCTGGAATGGATAGAATCTATGCCGAACTACGTCCCAAATTTAAGATAATGCAGTATAAAATATATGACAATAGAATTTATATTCTGAGAAGTTCACAAAAAATATATAGTTTCCAATTATAAGCTTAATTCATCCCTATCATAAGATTTATATCTAAAGATTTATTAGCAAAGTGTCTCTTGTACTCCCTTTTAATAAACAATATAAATTATGACCTTAGAAAGGTTGAGAGAAACATCTATGGAACGCCTACTAAAAAGACAAGCTGCCGATGTATACTCTAATTAGATTTATGAAAAAAATAATCAAGCTAGCCTGGTCGCTTGAAAAACTTACCGAGAAGAAGTCCGACGAAAACTAGTATCAACAACCTCGCCTAAAAAAGAATTATTCTTTGACTTTCAACCTTATAAAGGAGAAACTGTAAAATCAGCTGATTTTAGTTTTTTGGAAGACTCAGAAAATGATGTGAGTGCTTACAAGGTGAAATTAAATAAATATAGGAGCTTAATTTCCAATGCAAAAGTATCAAGAACTCATGGAGCAAACTTAAAAAATGAATTTGATAAATCTTTATATATGAAAAAGAGAAAAAAAAGAATTTAAAATTTATTTTAAAAAAATATATAAAAATGGTATAATATTTTTAGGACACTTTCACCCACAACTCGAAACTCCTCTAAAGCCCAAATTTCTGAATCCAAAAGAAGTGAATCCTCTGATTTTTTCCCTAAAAAACCCTCACAAAATCAAACCCGATCTCCTATTTGTGAGATTATTCCTTTAGAACAGCTAAAATCTTTTGAAAGATGTATAGCTAAAAGTGGACTTCAAGAAGTAAATAGAGAGTATTTAGAAAGGTTGAAGTCTGTAGCTCATTTAATACTTGATAAGCTTAATCGTTTAAGATACAGTGGATTGAATTAAGAGGATTCTAGCTTCCCCTTCTGTAAGCGAAAAAAATTCAAAAAAGCCAACTTTTGAAGCTTGACCACCTTCGGAGAAATAAAATTTAATTGATTGATAAATAATTAAATAAATAAATAAAAAAATAAATAGATTTATATTAAAAATAATTTAATATAAATTTATTAGCGTGAATTTCTAAAATTAATTTTATGAGTTAAATTTAATTTTCTATTGAAAAAATCTTATAGAAAAAAATTTTATTGTTAACTGAAAAATGATTAACTCCCCCCCCCCCCTCCGTGAGCGAACAAAAAAATTTTGTTCGCTCACGGAGGGGGGTTAATTTTTTTTTTTAAAAAAAATTTATATATAAATTTTATAAAAAATATTTTTTTCGAAATTTAAAAAAATCCTAATTTGCAAAAATTGGGAAGCAAATATTAAATTTAATTTGCAAAATTTATGTTTTAAAACGCAATTTGTTTAAAATTAAACAGAATTAGCTCTAGATTTCATTATACTAATTATCACTTATATATCAAAATTTTTTTCCATTAAAATTTTTTCTATTAAAAAAATTTTTGTTCACTCACGGAGGGTGGGTTTTTGGTCAAAAAATGGCGATTTTTTTCTAATGGTTTTGTTCGCTCACGGAGGGGGGGGGGGAGTAAGAAATTTATGTTAATTTAATAGATTTACGAGATAATTATTAATATGTTCTAAATTCTTTTTAATAAAATAATTTAGTACATGGAATCATTTATAAATCATTACGCCATTAGCATTTTTGTTAAAATTTTACTATTTTAGCTCAATAAAAATTGTAATCAAAATGACTCATTCATGATTTCTTAATAATTATTATGATAACTTTATATCGAACTTTTGCAGGCAACACCTCTCACTATTCTCCTGACGGAAATGGGAGAGATAGCTATATAATTCAGAATAACGGTGGAATTTGCAGAACTGCATGCACCACTGTGACAAAATCCGGAAGTCCATCCCCAAGAAGAGATTACTCTCCACCTAAGCCAAAGCTAGATGCCAAGGTATTTAGATATAATTCCAACGGAAGTGGAAGAGATACTTATATTTCATGGAATGGAGGAGGAATGTACAGTTCATATGGAAGCAAGCCATTCCATATGAGCCTGAGAGAGCATTCACCAAGCCAGACTATAGAAAGCAGCGATATATTTTTTAAAACCCAAACTCAATGATTGAGGCAAAAGAGAAATAGAAGATCAAGCCTTGACGATGTCACGAAAAGACTGAGCGTACCGAAATATAAAAAGGAAAAATATGCAGAGACTGTGAGAAAAGCAAGCCCAGATGTGAAAAAAGAAACAAATATGCTACGGTCAACCTACTATTAAAAATTAAACTTATTTTGCATCTTTAATTTGAAAATTTTCATTTAATTAAGCATAGATTTATAATCGATTTATAATTTTGTTATCAATTAGCTTAATATATAAAACTTAATTGCAAGTTACACTTAATTTTTAATAAAACTTTATAAATTAAATATTCTATGAAATCTCTTTTTTATAAATTTTTTGAATATATTCGGTTTCTTTTGTTATTTACTCTATTAATTTCTTATTAAATTCCAAGTAAAATTCAAAAATTTATTATAGTTAGTGACACTGATTGGCACGGGGTGCTTTGGCTCGAAACTGAGCCAAAAGCACCCCGTGCCAGTCAGTGCCACTAACTATAAATATTTCTCTTAAATTTATGTCGCTTAAACCATATTAAAATTCAACCATATAAATGCTGTTAAATATAGCCAGGAATTTTTCTTCGAAAAAGTTTTTCATAACTGGAGCCTCAGGTCAGATTGGGAAAAAGCTAATACCTTATCTAACGATGACCCCCCCTCAATCTTCATGTCTATTGCAACAAAAATTTTCGAAAAAAATTTCATGCCTACTGCAACACAACATTTTTATAAAAAAGAATTAATGCATTTTTCTCTAGGTGAGTTTCTCAAAAACCCCATAAAACAGCGCTGCTGTAGGCGTGTCAATGACCTTCTCATCGAGATTTGGACGGCTATTGTCATTGCTCGCCATTTTATTAAACTTATCTAGCTAAAATTTAAGATGCGCATCTAAAATTTGCTGCAAGAGGATTAGGATTATTGCAGACAGGCGCTAGCCATATTGGTGGCACAGTCACCAAAGACCTCCCGTGCAGAAGGTTCTACCGCTTTTCGATTCCAGCCCAGAGGGTCTATTCCTCTTACGAGTGCCCTTCCGGTACCTTCTGTCTCCTCCTTGCTTTGCGGCTTCAGTCTTGAGTGGGCGGCTTATGGATTTCTGCGTCCCTGCTACGGGTAATTGGAGTAGCTTGATTCCAAGGATCAGCTCCTTAGAGTCTATCGGGTATCAAAAGTACCTTCCTTCGACAGCTACACGAAAAAGACTGTTCCCCTGTGGCCTGGGCAAAAAACCCCAGTTTCTCGGTAGAGGAATGCCCATGGTTCCTCGGATCAAAAGGACGTTGTTGAGCGCATCTATTTCCAATCACAGGAAAGCAGCCAAAACCTGCCCGGATATACACTTCTTGAGCCTGCGTTGATTCTCAGCTCGGGGTCTGTCCCAGTTCGCATTAGCCATAAGGTCTGGAATGCTGCGCCAAGAGGGCAGGTTGACACGTGTCGCCATTTTAATATATATAATTTGTTGCAAGAGACATGAAAATTATTATTTTTTTTATATATAATTTGTTGCAAGAGACATGAAAAAATTATTATTTTTTTATATAAAATTTTATATTAAAAAATTGCATTTTTTGTTTGCAATAGACATGAAGATTGAGGGGGGGGGGTCATCGTTATATGAAAGATATGGACCAAACTGTGTGGTAGTCTCTGATGTAAATCAAACTCAATTTGATGTAGAATCACAGCCACCTTTTCTTCCCCTTGATGTGGTTGATAAAGAAGGATTTGCAAAAGCAGTTGAAGCAAGTGAGGCAACACATATTTTATTATTTAATTATTGAATTCAGCAAAATTATTTTATAATAATTTTATAGTGATTTCCAAATTTTATATAAATTAGAAATCTTTCTCGTTATCCTAGATATGCTAGTGGCACATTCAATAAAAAAAGTGCACACTTGGCCGCATATTTATCTGCGAAAGCAGAATTACAGCTTCAAAAATCAATCGATGTTAACATTATAGGTGTCAACAACGCTCTAGAAGCTGCAAGAATCCACAATACAGCTATTTACGTTCCAAGCTCAATTGCAGTGTTTGGGCCAACATCTCCAAGAGTGCTAACACCTGACGACTGTGTAGTCCAGCCAACTACAGCGTATGGCATATCAAAAGTTTACATGGAAATGATGGGGAATTATTACCACAAAAAATTTGGAGTGAATTTTAGATCTTTAAGATATCCTGGAGCAGTTTCTTCTGATCCTCCAGGTGGTGGGACAACTGATTATGCTGTTGAAATCTTTTTTGAGCTCCTAAAGAACCAAGAATATCAATGCTTTTTATCAAAAGGAACTGAACTTCCTATGATGTATATTGATGATCTTATCCAAGGAACTGTAAACAATATATAGTGTGACTTAATAGATGCCCCAGAAGAAACACTGACCCGAAGAGTCTACAACCTAGGAGCAATCAGCTTTACTGCTGAACAGCTGACTTCATGTATATTAAAATATATCCCAGGAACTGTCACTTACAAGTCAGATCATAGACAAGCTTATGCTGATTCTTGGCCTATGAGTATTGATGACTCTTTGGCTAGAAGAGACTGGAATTGGAAACACAAATTTGACATTGACCTCATGACCCGAACCATGATTGAGCTGATTTCCAAACAAATGCATAAACCCAATCCAATTAAAGTTGCATAATTCAATAATAAATTTAATATGAAAATCTTGATAGCAGGAGCCGGGCCTGTAGGATTATGCTGCGCCCATTTATTAGGGCATGCAGGAATAGAAAGTGTTTTGATAGAAAAGCAAGTAAAGCTTGGGACACATCCAAGTGCGCATTATATTCACTCAAGAAGCATGGAAATCTTAAGAGATATAGGGATCAGCCAGCAGATATATGAAAATATGCCAAATAAAGAGAATTGGAGGAAGTTTATATATTGCAAAAATATTTTAGGAGAGGTTTATAGGTCCCACGATCATTTTAGCACCGCTGCTTATCAATTGAATAACAAGCTAAGTGATATGCATACTGCCCATTTTCCACAACACAAATTGCTAAGCTTGCTAGCTAATTCTTTACCAGAAACAGCCAGCTTGAGTCTAGGAAAAGAATTCTCTGAGTTATCTCAAGGGGCAAGTGGAGTTAAAGTAAAAACAGCTGACGGGGAAGAATTCGAAGGAGATTATTTAATTGCATGCGATGGCGCCAGCAGCAAAGTTAGAAACTTTTTAGGCATTAGGCTAGAAGGCACTGGAATCCTTCAGCATTTCTTAAATATTCATTTTATCTCAAAAGAATTAGGCTCTCTTGCCAAAAATAACCCTGCAATGATATATTTTGTGTATAATCCTGAAAACGTTTGTGTGATGGTGATGCATAATGCAGACGAAGGGGAGTTCATAATGCAGTACCCATTTTATCCTGAACACCAGCATTTATCTAATTTCACAGATGCAGACTATAAGGAAATAATAAGCAGTGTGGCAGGAAGCAGTATCAATGATGTTGAGATAAAATCAATAAAGCCTTGAAGATTGGCTTCTAGACTAGCAAATGAGTTTTCTAAGGACAGAGTTTTTCTAGCAGGAGATTCAGCACATCAAATGACTCCAGCAGGAGGGTTTGGTCTTAATTCAGGAATTAAAGATGCCCATTGCTTATGCTGGAGATTTCAATATCCAGAACTATTGAAATTTTACAGCCAAGAAAGACATCAGTTTTTAGAAGAAATTTTGAAGACTTCACTTGGCTATTATTATAAAGCAGTAAATATAGCTAAAAATTTTCGGTTGGATTTAGATAATATGAAAATTTTTCAAGACTTTACCTCATACCTGCCGTTTGGAAATGAATGAATTTTTAACCAAGGCATGAAATGGGGCCAAAAAGCTATGTTTAATGACGCAAATGCAAGATATTATTTAAGTGATGACAAAAATTTGATTGATAATGTTCATCCTAAAGAGGACTTGGAATTGGCCTACACATCTGGGTATTTTGAGAATGGAGGCGAATTAGCCCCAAATGTTGAAATTTTGTATGAAAATAAAAAAATCCCATTGAGAGCGCTCCCTGCAGTGCTGATGAAGAAAAATAAAAAACCGGTTTTTATAAAACTTGAAGGAAAAAATCCTCTACCAACTATTCCATATGAGACATTTACGATGCCTTCTCATAGCAGCACTTCTTATCTTATAAGACCTGATGGACACCTATATTCCTCTAACTTCCATGAGCGAACAAAACACATTAGAAAAGTTTCTTATTTCTTACTCCCTCCCCCCCCCCCCCTCCGTGAGCGAACAAAACCATTAGAAAAAATCGCCATTTTTTGACCAAAAACCCACCCTCCGTGAGTGAACAAAAATTTTTTTTTATAGAAAAAATTTTAATGGAAAAAAAATTTTGATATATAAGTGATAATTAGTATAATGAAATCTAGAGCTAATTCTGTTTAATTTTAAACAAATTGCGTTTTAAAACATAAATTTTGCAAATTAAATTAATATTTGCTTTCCCAATTTTTGCAAATTAGGATTTTTTTAAATTTCGAAAAAAATATTTTTTATAAAATTTATATATAAATTTTTTTTAAAAAAAAAAAATTAACCCCCCTCCGTGAGTGAACAAAATTTTTTTGTTCGCTCACGGAGGGGGGGGGGGGAGTTAGCTAAAATTATTCTTTTTAAAATTTAAGCAGCTTGCATCTTAAAATATAAATTTAACAAATTAAGTTAGCTTTTTACTATCCAATTTTGTCAATTGGGAATTTTACTATGAAATTTTAAAACTTTTGTTCGTGGATAAAAAATTTTTTCGCTCACGGATGGGCAGAGAGTAAGTAATTAAGTAAATTAACAAAGAATAGAGTAAGTAATTAAGTAAATTAACAAAGAATAGAGTAAGTAATTAAGTAAATTAACAAAAATAGAGGAAAATTATCTATTTATATTATTAATAGCATTAAGAGCTATAATCTTAAGCCTTATATAACGTCTGAGCGTAAGTGAAAATACCTTAAAATTAATTGAAGGAGAATGTAATTCCGTTGAATATCTTAATTTCCCCATATTTACTGTATAAAAAAAGGCAATTTATAATGAAAACTCAAACAATATCGGTCATGGAAGGAAAATTAAACGAATCTTCTAGCAGTGCACTTAATTACTCAAATGAAAGTTATAAAATGGCCAGCAAGAGCCCTGAAAACTTGGATTTCCAAGGATATAAAATTGATTCTCAATTAGATTGTGAGCAGTTAGAAGAAAACTCAAAGACCCTACAGATATCAGTTCTTTTACATAATACTAGCGATGAAGATCCAATGATTGAGAGTTCTGAGTCAAATAATTTTGATAGTATTATATCATTTGACTCTATCGAAAAAATTAAGCGAAAAAACCAATATTTAGCCCAATCTATAGGAGAAAAAATCAAGGAACTCAAATATATAAACTCAGGAAACGTAAAAAAAAACATGCGAAAAATTTCTGAAATTTTGAATTATAAAAATAGCATATCAGAATTAAAAAATAGCGCAAATTGTGTTGCGGCTGAAACAAACGTAACAAAAGAAAGGCTTTCGAATATGAAATTGGCAATGGACATTGCTTTAAATAAAAATGGAAACAAAGTAAAGCAAATAAATAAAACTCCGAAAGAAGGGTGAAGCTAAAAAAAATTATGGCCAAATTTTTTTACAGCTGTTCTATACCTTTATTGGCATTTTTTTATTTTTGCTATGCACTTTTTTAACATAAAAAAAAACAGTTTTTTTTTTAAATTTTTATTAATTTAACTGAACAGCTTTAAGAAAGTGTGCTGTATTTTTTCATATTGAGCCCTGAAAGAAGATTCACTAGAAGGCATTAGCAGCGTAAAAGCTGCAGAATTAATTAATGAATTACAACGTTCAATTTTTAATAATGCCAATGAAAATTTTACATTTGTAAACGCAATAGATAAAGAGAAAAATTTAAAAGAGGAATATACACAGACATTTAATGAAATTAATGAGCTGTCTTTTGAAAACAATTCAAAGTCAGCTTGCTGCCATATATGCTCTATAATTTAATATGCTTTAAAACATAGATAAAATATGTCTCAGTTAGTGGAAACATGTGATATTTCCCTGGATATTTTATTTGGTTTATGATTATAGGGATTATATATCTAAACAGAAAAATTTTAAAGTAACTTATATGCTCATAAATGGCTGATTCATCTGCTCATTGATATTAATAAAATTTTCTATTTTAGTTAGATTTACTCTATTTTCCATAAATAAATAGAATAAAGAATAGCACTTAGCAGATTAGCTATAAAATGGAGAAATATTACGCATAAGAGCCGTTGTCAGCAACAATAAAAATCATTTTTAAAAGCCAAGTTTAGCTTTATTATTATTATCCCTGGTACATCTCTGGGTACCTTTTTCTGTATCTTATGATATCACTTGCAACATCAAAATTTTTAAGAGCTAGCATTCCAAATACAGGGATGGCCACCAACATTACTGGATTTAAAGGATACTTAAAGAAAGCATGTCTTCTTAAATAGATAGTATAAGAAAAAGTTGCCATAAACCCGGCATAGCCTACAGAAGAAACCAATGCCAATTTAAGGTGGTTTTGGCCTGGATATTTCCTGTCATGGTACATCCTATCATAAAGTTCTTTCCATTCGTCATCAGGCATCTTCATGTATTTTTTGACTCTGTCTTCAAGCTCTTCATAAGCTCCTCTCTCGTCTCTGTTCTCAGGACCTACTAAGTTGGATCCTCTTGTAAACACCATTTATTACTCCCCCCCCATCCTTGATCGAACGATTGACTGTAAAAATTCCTAAAAATTGGGGAAATTAACCCCCATCCTTGATCGAACGATTTTCATATCATGCAACTTTTATATATATAAAAATATATTAGTTATCAAAAGCTTGCGAAGATGTACCTAATGAAGTTGTTTTCAGGGACTTTGAGACGACAGAAAGCTTCGAAATCAACTATCCGAAGTGATTTAGCCATCAATCTAGGCTTAAAAACTTAATAATCTAATAAAAATAGAGATCTTAAAATTTTAAAAAAAAAATTTAGTTTAATAAGGAACAAATTAAAATTTATACAGTTTAAAAAGGGGTAACTAATAAATCAAAATATTAAAAAATTGGTATTTTTATGAAATTAATTAAATTTTTTGCTCTAAAAAATAATTATTAAATACCCTTAACCCTCTTATTTAAAAGTAAATAAAAAAATATATATATATATTTTTTTATATATAAAAATTTTTTTCCCAAAAAATTTTTTTTAACCCCCGTCCTTGATCGAACGATGGCGAGTCGTTCGATCAAGGATGGGGGGGGAGTAAGTGCTTTTGGAAACAAAGATTTTTAGAGCTGAAAATTTACTACGCATTTTTATACTAAACAAGGAAATTGTGAATTATATAAATAATAAGAAATGATTAATGATAATAGCATATTTGATATTTTAAGACGCGTAAATTCCCTATTTAGTTTATTAAATCAGTGCAAGAATGAAAAAAATTCTGGAATAATGAAAATTAAGCGATTATTAGTAGATATATTGGGGTGGGTTAATAAAAATTATATAATTTTTGTTATAAGAATCTGAAGCTTCAGATTCTTTTGGTGACTATTCTTCAAAGCAGCAATATGTCCTATTTTTTTTGGAGTATTTTTTGTTCCATTTTAAAAATAAATGCAACTTTCTAGTAAGATTGATGCAATTTTTTTAAGTTATTTAACTGAAAACAGCCTTGTCCAAATTATAGCAATTTAAGCTACAGTAATTAAAAATTTTCCCTTCATTGCAGGATTTTTTATTTTCACAGTTTTCTCTTAACTCCTCCTTCTCCTCCTTTTCTTAGTGAGGAAGTCGATTTTTAATTTAATTTTAGTTAAATTTTATTTTAAACAATTCCAATTCAAAAAAATTAATAATTTTTTATTTATTGAATTTATATTTCAGAATGTCTTTGTCTAAAATTTAATAGATTTAGTTAGTCATTGATCTCATAATGCTATGACCTATGCTTAAAATAAGTTTATAAAAATATTGTATATACAAAAATGTTGCTCGTTTGCTGTAGAATTTTTTTCCTCAAAAATTAGGATTTTTCCAGTTGCTTTGCTAATTCACAAGGAAGAGTAAGCATTTTTGGCTTAAATTTTCATTTGTAATCTCTGGTGTTTCACTTTTTATTTCAGGCTCTTCTTCAGTTTTCACTTTAAATTTCGAAATTTTTTCTACCTCTTTATTTTCTTCTTATTCCTAAAAATAGTCCAAAATTTTTTTTAAAATTTTATTTTAATTATTGAATATATTTTTCTTCTTTGCTTTGCCTATCCTTTGATGCAAAAAGATTTGTTCTTATATAGCTTCTTTCAGGAGTGCCTTCAAAAGCAATCCTTGAATAAGTATCTGGGGTAAATGAATGACGCTCATCAAAAGATAACGGGCTTTGAAACTTTCGTGTTGGTGTGCTTAAAATAAATTCATTTCTCTGCTTTATTGCCTGTGGAATAATTTGTATATTCAAAAGTAAAAGATCTAATAAAGCTTTGTTTTTTGGCATGTCTTTAATTTTTTGTAGTGAAAGTTCATATGGTTGATGGCACTTTTTACACATTTTTCGACTTGAAGAGAAATTACAGAGCTGCACAGCACATACCATGCAGAGAGAGTCTCCGCATGGCAACACAAGAGGCAATCTGTTTTCTGAGTCAAATTTTAGGCTGCATTCTTGACAATTAAAAGGATTTAAATTCATATCTAGTAAAATTTATATAGAAATGATCAGAATTTTTATAAGTACCCTTAAGTCAAATTTGAATATTTATGAGAGCGACAATAAGATAAGAGCTAATTAAGACTGTAATTAAACTGCATTACAACTATTCTTGATAAATATTAATTTAATGTCACTATTAAGATCTATTTTATAATGCTCATTGCTAATTATAAAAATGCATGTAAGATAATTAACGTATATGTTAAAATAATGATATAATCTTAAACGAATAAAGAATTTATATATTAAGCCTGTAAAACTACAGAGGATGATATTTCAAAGACTCCTCATAGACCATACTTTGCAGCAAAGGCTTGGTAGGAGTAAAATCATCGAATGACCAATCAAATTGAACTGGAGCAGTTGGCTCCTCTTCTGAATTATGAAGACCTTCAAAGTATGGGTGACTTAAGCACTCTTCGACTGTAAATCTCTTATTTGGGTTGAAAACCAGCATTTTATTAAGCAAATCTAAGGCTATTGGATTTGCTTTGGCATATAAAGTAGACCACGGGACTCTTTGTCTCTTTGGCAAGCCTTTAATAAATCTTTTAGCTGACTCATTTCCTATAAAAGCCATATCTTCTTGGCTTGGGATTCCTAATACTGCAATAATCCTTTGGACTTGATCTAAGTAATCTTCTCCAGGAAATAAAGGAGATCTTCCTAAAAGCTCTGCAAAAACACATCCAACACTTCATACATCTAATGCTTTCGTATAGTGACTAGCATTTAAAATGACTTCTGGAGCCCTATACCACCTTGTGACTACATATTCAGTCAAATTATCGTCTCTCTCATTGTCATAGCCTCTAGCAAGGCCCAAATCACATATTTTGAGGTCACAGTTCTTATTTAGCAATAAATTGCTTGGTTTTAAGTCTCTATGGATTACCCCTCCTGAGTGCATATAAAGTAGCCCTCTTAGCATTTGATACATGAAATACTGGATGTGCTCATCACTGAGCTCCTGCATAGAGTATATAACACGATGCAAATCAGTCTCCATCAAATCAGTAATAATATAGATGTCTTCATACCCAGTTCGAGCTGGAGGTTTTTGAACATCAAGTATCGAAATGATGTTTTCGTGATCCAAATAGTTAAGTAGCTTAATTTCTCGTAATATTCTTTTAGCGTCGATAAGGTCTTCAAAAGCTTTTGGGATTTTTTTAATTGCGACTTTTGTATTTGTGCGTTTATCCAATGCACTTACTACAACGCCATATGCTCCATGGCCAATCTGTTTTATGAACTGATAGTGGGAATCAACAGTAAATGAAGTGCCTGCACAGTCAAAAGTGGTTTTGTTTGATTGGGATTTTGATTTCATGCTATGGCTCAGTTCGTTAGCTCGTGATCCTGAACGAGAATGAGTTCGAGGTATGCTCATTTAAATTATAAGAACAAATCGAATTGGAATTTAATAGATATTATCGGCTATTGGAGATGGGTGATATAAGAATGAACTATTTGAATTTCTTCTTAGAATTAATACTAGTGCGGTCAGTTAATGATTAACGATTCTAAGGTAAGTTTAAAGAAAAAGTTTATACTTATAATTTTTAATGAAAATTAAGAGTAAGGAATTTATTAATTGAAATAAAGGAATCTTTGTAAAATAATTAGAAGATTTTAAGCTCTTCGCTAGAAAAGAGAGGAATTTTTATAGTTTTTTAAGGTAGACAGACCTTTAAGATTTTTGAACTTTCGACTGAAGCATTCTTAAATCAGCTTTTTGGTTGCAATCAAAATAGATTGGAATTGAAATTATGCTGACTGTAGACCACTCTGAGATAGGCCAGGGTGGCCTTATCTCAGAGTGGTATATTTTTTTTCATGTTAACCACCCTAAGATAAGGCCACCCTGGCCTTATTTCAGAGTGGTCTACAGTGAGATCAATTTAAAACATAAAGGGACTAAAATTTTTCGTTGAAATCTTTATGCTCAATCTAAGTCATATTGAAGGTATCGCTATTATTTCGCTTCCACAGATATGCTATCTTTTGCTGATCCCTGGTGGCATTGCTAATCTGGATTTTTTTTGAATTTGGATTTTTATTCTAATCATTGGGAAATAGTAAAATTTGGCTTAATTTCCGCTTTTTCAATAAAATATTATTTTTATGATACCTTATCCTTCTATTTCCTCTATCTATCACCAAACATCCCTCCTTAAAACAATTCCTCTTAATTTTCTCATTATGCCAATCATATCAAATTAAATGATTATGCTAGCCATAATCTAGTGTTACCGATCTTGGATCCAAAACATCACAATTTTGGATTTCCAACCTGAACTACAATTCAAAAGGGATCAGCTTCCTAAGGCAGAGCCACCGCCTTATCAGGATAGGTCGGCTTGCTTCATAAAGAGTGCCGGAATTGAACTTCCGTTAACGTCATCATTTTTTATACTGTTTATACCAATCAAGGACTCTCATAATTTTTCTATTTTATTATCTCATTATTCAAACTCTTTCCTCGCTCTCCAAGAAATCGCTTTAAGCAAAACTTATATTAATTTACACCAGTAAGAATTAAATTACCAATCCTTTTCTTCCATTTACATATATCCTATATCTATTAAATTCTGCATTATTTTATTTTATTGAAGCCAAACTCAATTTCTAATATAAAATCTCATTCATTTTTCTGAGAATATTAAAATCCCTGATATATCATGACTTCAACTCAAATCGAAGAGAAAATCATCGAAAACGGGGAATCGCCACTCAATGAAGACACAGAACCCCAGCGAGACCTTCTAGATTTAATTGACTGAAGCAGCAACGACGACGAAGGCGCCTCAAGCAGGTAAAATTGATATAGTGATCCTGGAGATTGAACAGCAATTCCTTTCAAAACCATTTCTCCATTGATCTTCCGAAAGGCCTCTCGCAGGTGGCTAGCGTCTCAAACACCTGATTTTTATTCCCAAGAGAAAAATACAGTAGGAATGAAAAAAACCAAAGTCCTAGCGGGGAAGTATTTGCAAGCTTTTGAGAACTATTTAGCATCAATTACTATGATGTATTATGGAGATCCTTATGTATCCAAGAAATCAGAACCTGCCACAGCAGCTGCGTATAGGCCTGGAAAGCGTCCGCGAAATATCCTGCAGATGGATCCGCTTGCATTTTTATTATCACCTTTAAGGCAAGAATTTTCGTTTGGTAAATGATATGCAGAATTATGGAGTCCCATGCAAGTTGCAGTGTTTGAATGTGGGCTTTGCAGCTTTGGGAAAGAGTTTAAAGTAATAGAGAAGCTGCTGAAGTTTTCCAAGACTTATCAAGAGGTGACTCAGTTTTATCATATGTGGAAGCAGACTTCTCATTATAAGGTGTGGAAAGAGTGTTTAATAAAAGATAGGGAATATAGTTAATTGTTATAATTTAGCTCTGTACTTCGTATAAATTGCTCTGGGATAAAAACATCCTTTAACTGCAGAGCTGGCTTGAGCAAAAAAGTTTGCCAACTAAGTTCCTCCATTTGCAGGGGTCTTATAATTTCACTTTTCAAGTGATAGAGCTGGCTTGACAATTATTGTTGCCCTGTTGGAAGGATAATCTAGGCAGATCTATATGAAGCCCTGGGCTATATGCTAAAAGAATAGGAATATCTACTAATCGACTGTGACTATTCTTTTTATTTATTAGATTCTAGTTTTATTATTAAAAGTAGGCTATTATATCTAAAGCTTATTTTAATATCTAATTAAAAACATTAAAACAATCAAATAGAATTAGTCAACAAATAAAATTGTTTAATTATTCAAGTAATGATAATAATTCAATAAGATGGAACAGGACTACGATTACTTGATGAAAGTGCTTTTGATCGGCGACAGCTCAGTTGGGAAAACTTCAGTTCTCTTGAGATATGTAGATGACACTTATAACCCTGAGTTCCAAACCACAATTGGTGTCGACTTTAAAATTTCCACCATGGAATTGCAAGGCAAGGTGATCAAGCTTCAGCTTTGGGACACAGCTGGCCAAGACCGCTTTAGAAACATCGTTGCGTCTTACTACAGAGGCGCCCAAGGAGTCATTTTGATGTATGATATAACAAATCAGGCCAGCTTCCAAAACATCAAAAACTGGTACAATGAAACCTTGAACCATCTTCAGTCGTCAACACCCAAATTACTTGTTGGGAACAAATTGGATTTAGCCTCACAAAGAACAGTTAAATTGGCTGAAGCTCAGGAACTGGCGGACAGGTTGTCGATGAGTTATATAGAAACGTCAGCTAAGAATAGCCAAAATGTTAGGTTAGCATTTGAAACCTTGACGAGAAGCATGCTGACGCAGGTAAGCACAAGTGAGCCTATGAAAGGGGTGGGAGGGGCTACTAAAGTAAAAGATGGGAAAAGTATCAAAAAAAGTAATTGCTGCGCATAAAATAATTGATTTAGCTTTATAATTTATTTACCTGTAATCAATCTATTTTTACCACAACCTAATAATCAAAAACCTCATAAAGCTTAACGAATTTAAGATAAAGAATTAGCTTAATGCCCAAGAGCTTCTAAATTTTGCAAGACTCCAGCTAAAGGTCCATCTTTAAGCCTATCAGCAGCCTGAGCTTTTGCTTCTTGTTTATCGAGCTTAGTCTGGTACCAACCTTTCGCTCTTTCTTTTCTCTTATTTTCCAGTTTATCAATCAGTTCCTTGTGTTTCCATCCAATCTTAGCAGCTAATTCTCCGAGCACAGTGTATTTTCTGGTAGGTCCTAGTTTTAAGACTCTCAGGGCATCAGGGACGACCATTTTCTTTTTAGTGTCATAAGGATGAGGAACGCCGTCAAAAGCTTTAAGCCTGTCAAGTGCAGCTTGTCCAATAGGAGTTTTTCTTGGAACCATTCCTCTTACAGCTTTCAGGAACATCATTGCAGGGGACTTGAAGTGGAAAGGGCCACGCTTTGGATTTGTATTCATTCTCTTGCGGAGGTAAGTCATGTACTTGATGCGGTTTAAAGCCATATGTCCTGTCACGTTGAGCTCATCGCAACGAACAACTGTGATATGTTGGCCAGCAAGAAGCTCTTTTGCGATGATTGAAGCAAGGCGTCCAAGGAGGTGTCCTCTGCCATCTACCACCACTTCTTTCTTGAACATAATATGGAATTGATTTAGTTGTTAGAATTTATGCAAATAGATGAGTTAAAAAATCCTATAAATTAAAGCTTATTTTTCATTTTGTCTGCTATTATAATATTTCTCAATACCTTGTTAAATTAATAGGAGGATTTATAAAATTAAGGACTTCTAGTACATTGTATCCATTAAAGAATAAAAACCTCTAACTTTTCTTCTATAGAATAACTTGTCAAGCCTTGAAAACAGGATTTTAAAGACTGCTAAGTTTGAGCTCTTTTTATATACACTGGAGCGGCTTATGTCTTCTTGGGGGTAAATGTCATAACTGTCGTCAGTTTTGTCTTGCTTTTCTATTGAGCTAATTTCGTTTAATGTATGCTCTGTTGCAAATGCACCTGTAAGCATTGAAGGACGGTTGCTTAGTATAGCACTTTCTTCTGGGCTGAATTCAAAGGTTAAAGATTGGTTTTCTTCTGTTTCTCTGCGAGCTCGTGATAGGAAAATTAAGTCAAAGCCTCGATGAACCCTTTCATTGACTACTTTTTCTAAAGTTTCTGTGAACTTTTTTAGGCCATTTTCTAATTTTTGGTCATTTATAGTATTTTTTTGAGACTCTGCTGAATTTCTAGTGTATATTTGGGATTTTGATTTTGTGTTAATTGGCACAATTCCGCTGAAATTGAGTTTTGGAATTTTCACTTCTTTGCCTACTTTTCGATATTTATCGATACTAGTAAAGTTTGGGCTTTTTATTTGCTTTGTGCTTTCAGCTGACGAATTTAAGTCAAAATCATTTGTTTTGCTGAAAGAATCGAAAACTTTTGAAATTTTTGGCTCTTTGTTCGGATTGATATTTTCTTTGTCAATTGCATTATCAGAATCTGGCAGAAGCTGCGTAATTTTTTCCATAAATCTTGGCGAAAGATTATGTTTAGTAGATGATGTTAGCAGTGTTAAATCGCAATGGCCACAGTTTTTGCATTTTGTCATAGCAATCAATTGGTTTAAATTAAAATTCTTTTTCATGCATTCTTCAACTGTTTTCTTAACATCACAAACATATGAATTTTTCCGTGTTATCTCTTCTTCATGATATAACAATATTTAAAATTGAGTAAATACGCATATTACCAGCATTTTATTATAATTTTAGCCTATAAAATATCTTGATTTATAACAATTATTTAGTCTATTAAGTATAATTCTTTTCGAATGCAATCAAACCCAAATTTTTTAATTTTTTTGATAATTTCATTCAATTTATATCCTGCCAGTTCTACCTCAATTTTATTTACTCGTTTAATAGAATTCCTTGTGGATGTAATTTTAGAGTTCAAAGCGCACAAGGTGTTGTTTAAAGTTTCCATCTTCTTTTGGAAAAAAGGTGACTGAAATCTTTCTTTGTCAACTGAGCATGCTCTTTCTGAAGAAAGAGGCTTTTTAGAAGTTTGGAAAATCTGAGTGGCTGTTACTTTATTGACTCTTTCTACAAAGTTGGACCTATTTTCGATAACTCTTGGAGTTTTTTCTTTGTTTGAATTTAAGTCAAGTGAATGGCAATTCATATTCTTAAAATTAATTTATTATATGATCTTGATTAACGGTCAGATGTATATAAAACTTAGGTTATTTAGAAAGCAAAAACATAATGATTTCAAGCAAACAGGCTTTGGAATGGTTAAGCTCCATATTTAAATTTAAAATTGTTTCGAGCAAATATTTATGAATATTTATGGAATAATAAGAGCATGATGTTTAGGTATGAAATAAAGCTATAAAAACTTATAGATTGTTAAAAAATTTAAAATAATGGAGACTTGCTAATAAAAATTGCAAACTGCATAAATATGCATATCTATTTTCAAATTCTAGTGTCTATTAAATTAGTAATAGTTAATATTTATAAAAACTGTAAATTTAAGATGTTCACCACTCTTTTAGCTACTTAGATGAAGGAAAATTCTATACCTAAGCTTAAAACTGTTTTTTATTTTAAGCATTTTGAAAATAATAATTAAAAAGTCAGCTTTAAAGCATTAAATTAATACCAAACACTCATTTAGGCACCATATAGCATAAAAAATATTACTTCAATGAAATAATAAAATAATTATATTCTAATAGCAATGATTTCTTGAAGAAGTGCTCTATATTTCCTACTTGGAATTTAGCCAAATTTTTCTTTCTTATAATTTTCATCATATCTTTTAATGAAATTAATTTTATGCAAATTTCGCACATATCTTAACTTAATTAAATGAAATTCCTAACAGACAGGCTTGAAAAGAGAGTAACCAGAGGAGAATTGCTTAGGGCCCAAGAGTCGAATGAAAAGGCGCCCATTCAATTGTCTCGCATTGTCCAAAAAACTATTGAGGCATCATTAATCAGACGGAAGCGAGGCAGAAAGCCAAAAATCCAAAATTCAGAAAAAGACCCCGAGGTAATTTCAAAATCGAAGGTAGATGAAAACCCATTTCTGATGGATTGGACCCCAATATTTAAAACAATTCTTGTATCAAGAGATTCTAATGGGAAGATTGAAGGGGATATAAATGAGATTCCTAATGAAGCTGAAAGCAGCCAAAATTCTGACATAGAGCTGTCAGACGAAATGATTGAAGATAATATAAAAGATGACCCTCAAATATGGGCCCAGGGGATTGAAAATGTGCCTTGCAGCGAACCCATGGCTGAAGACATTGAAGATTTCCCGATTCGCCTTTAACCATAATAAGAGTATATAAATTAAAGAGAAGCCTAATTAGCCTCATTCAGAAATATTTAATACCAATCTTTAGTGCCAATTTACTTCACTTGCTAATTAACCTACTTCAAAATAGCGGGAAATTAATAAATATGCAACATCTCCCAAAAGAAATAACAGATAATTTTGACGTGATTGACACTATAAACTTTTGATTCTTTGGAGTTGTCTATAAAGTGCAAAGAATTTGTAAAATTTTATATAGCTGACAATAAGCTTTTTGCTATGAAAATTGTAGTGAAAAAGGCTGATGATTCCAAGAGCTGAAAAGATATAGAAAATGAAATTAGGATTCTTTCTGTGCTAAATAACCCATATCTGCTGCATTTAGAGAGAAAAGTTGAGAAAAATATGAATGTTTATATGATTATAGATTATTGCAAGCAGCACGATCTGCTTAAGCATATTGCTGACAAGCTATCAAGTGATCAGGTATTTCAAGAAAACGAGATATGGAAATATTTTATCCAAATTTGTTTTGGGCTGGAATGCTTACATTCAAATGGCTATATTCATAGAGATATCAAGCCAGAAAATATTTTGTTAGATGAAAATATGAATGTCAAAACAGGAGACTTTGGGCTGTCTAGATATCTTATAACATCTTCTATTGGAGGTACTCCTCATTATTATTCACCTGAAATTTGAGATGGGGTTACTCCATCTAAGGAGAGCGACATATGGGCTCTTGGCTGCGTAATTTATCTTCTCTGCATGCTTAAGCACCCTTTTGAAGGAAATATGAAAAAAGTGAAAGAGGAAGAGCAGGCACCTATAAGAAATTATTCAAATGACTTGAAAAATCTAGTGGATTGGTGCTTAAAGAAGGAAAAATGTGAGAGGCCAACCATAAATGATATTTTAACACAGCCTTTTGTGGTTCGCAAAGTGACAAGCTTGCGCATTAAAATCCCATCTCAATCTGTTTTGATACAGTATTTATGCGGTATGATGGAGAGCAATCCTTTATCGAATTTAACGCTAAAAAATACTGATGAAAGTAGTAAAGAGGAAGAAAAAGAAGATGAGACACTTTTAGTAGGGATTGAAGAAGTAAAAGTTAATAAAATCCCTTCATCAACTCATTTTAATGGTTTATATAGCCCTCTATCTGAATCAGATGAACTTGTATATGTAAAAGACAGCACAACCGATTTAATCACACTTAACTTGAATTCAAAAACACTTTCAAAGAGCAGTAACTTAAGCCATAAAATTGATTCGTATGGATCTGCATATATACCAATAGATCAATCAACTTTTTTTTATGGAGGGCTAGATTGACTTAGTAATAGAATTACAGGTGAAGCTTTTATTGTTGATAAAAACAAAGTTATAAGAGAAGTTGCAGATGGGGCACCAACTTATTGCGTTGGGCTCGTTTATCATGAAAACTGTATTTATGCATTAGGAGGAGTTGATCAGCCAGTATCAACTAAGTCCCCCCCCCTTTAAATTGAAACAAAATATAGGTAAAAATCCTACTTTTTTGGGAAATTACCCCCCTTTAAATTGAAACAAAATTTTATTATAATAGAAAATTTTATAGGTAAAAATCATTATTTTATATGTAAATACGTTAATACCCTATTTAATATGCTTCAAACATATAAGATTTAGAAATTAAACTCTATTTTGTCCAATTGTTATGGGGAGAGTTAGAAGAATACCATTTCAGCAAGTTTACACTTTGAGATTGAGAAATTTATGAATTAATTTTTCATGAAATTCTTTAAATTTATATAATTTTATTTCTATAAAATTTTATCTCTGAAAAAATTTTTATATGTAAATTTTTTTATAAAAAAAATTTTCTTAACCCACCTTTAAATTGAAACAAAATTTTTTGTTTCAATTTAAAGGGGGGGGGAGTAAGTATATTTCGCGAGCAACTACGACTCGGCCTTGCTCCCCTCTCTTCACAACCTCTGGAGGCTTTATTTAAAATGAAAAGGATTATGGATTTGACACGTCAAATTGATTTTAGCAATTTCATCTAACTGAAAACTGTCAGGGATAGGGGAGGAGAAGTCAAGTAGAGCTATAACTGTGCTCGCACTATACATTTTATCTACTAATCGCTGACAAAGCTGTGCTCCTCTTCCTGAGAAAAATTTTACATGGTCTTGCTGTTCAACATTCTATGACCATATTTTAATAGTTGTAGACACCTAAATTCTATGGTCAGCTATGATATAAGTCAAGATTGTTATAAGGATATTTGAAATCTTGAGCTAAATTTCTACTCATCTAAAGCAATATTCTCAATAGATAATAGAGTAATCGTAATTGAAGCATCTGACTTTACCTTTCGAAGCGGTATCAATGACCTTACAGTATGGGAAAAAGTTAATACTAATAATCTTATTGGGAGTCCTTTATGCTCTCATGTCATAAGATTTAAGAGCAACGTCTATTTTATAAAAGGAGAAAATCAACTTGTAGAGTTCAATCTCAAAACTAACTCTCTGAAAGAAATCGAAGTTAGAAAGGAATGCATTATTCAGTAGAGCTGATGAATAACGAATTAATTAATGGGAAGTTTGTAACAATTATTAATCAAATAAAGTTAAATAAGTTCATTAACTTAAATTTTTCGAAATAAAAGATCTTCTTTAGTAGTAGCGCATAATAAATAAATTTCTTCAAGGAAATGAGGATAAATAGAAAAATTTTATTCTTCCTTAATAAAACACAAAAATAGCAATATATCAAAAATTATAATTTTTGCATATAGGATTTTTGACATTTTTTTGTGAGCACAATCGACGTCATTTGAAAAAATATGGATTCACCTGCGCGACGTCTTTATCTCATAAACACTCATCTAACTGGCAAGCCAACATTAACAGTAACAGACAACCGTACAGGTAAAACAATCGAAGTCCCAGTGAAATATAACTACATCGACGCAAAAGATCTATCAAAACTGAAAAACGACCAAGGCGAAAACCTTATGCTTTATGATCCTGGCTATATGAACACTATCAACTGCACATCTAAAATTAGCTATATTGATGGCGATAAAGGGATTTTAGAATACCGCGGATATCCTATAGAGGAACTCGCTGAAAAATCAACCTTCCTAGAAGTCGCTTTTCTATTAATATATGGAGAGCTCCCTACCCAGTCTCAAAAGATCCTTTGGGAACAAAGAATTTTACGTCATACCTATCTCCATACAGATATAGGCAAAATGATGCAGAGTTTCCATTACGATGCCCATCCTATGGGAATCGTTGTGAGCACTATGAGTGCAATGAGTACTTTCCAAGCTGAACAAAACCCCACACTTTTGGTTGGGATTGACCCTTATTCAGACCCATTGGTCCTCAACAAACAAATTCATAGAATTTTAGGAAGAATGCCGACAGTTGCAGCTTATGCATACCGTCATCGTATCGGGAGACCTTATAATGAGCCAGCTCAAGGTCTAGGATACATTGAGAACTTCTTCTATATGCTAGATAGGCTTAATGAAACCAATTATGCTCCTCATCCTAAACTTGTAAGAGCATTAGACATTTTATTTATTTTACATGCAGAGCATGAGCTAAACTGCTCAACAGCTGCTATGAGGCATTTAGCCAGCAGTGAAGTTGACGTCTATACTTGTGTGGCAGGGGCTGCAGCTGCTCTTTATGGAAGAAAACATGGAGGAGCTAATGAAGCAGTCTTACGAATGCTTGAAGAGATTGGGAGTGTTGAAAATATTCCAGCATTTTTGGATAAAGTCAAAATTGGAAAAGGAAGGCTTATGGGATTTGGGCATAGAGTTTATAAAAATTATGACCCTAGAGCTAAAATTGTAAAAAGACTGGCAGATGATGTATTTTCTATATGTGGAAAAGAGCCGTTAATTGATATTGCGGTTGAGCTTGAAAGAATTGCGCTGACTGATAAGTACTTTATTGACAGAAAATTGTACCCAAATGTAGATTTTTATACTGGGGTGATTTATAAGTCTATGGGGTTCCCTACTGATATTTTCCCTGTGCTATTTACGATCCCAAGAGTAGCTGGATGGCTTGCGCATTGGAAAGAGTTTCATACTGACCCTGAAAACAAGATTGTTAGACCAAGACAAAATTATATAGGATATACTACACGTCATTATATACCAATTTCTGACAGAAAAGAATCGAAATTCTACCTTCAATCACTTGCATCGGGTAATCAAAGGAGAAGAGAAGTTTAATTTAAAGTAAGATTCTTAATTATATCCTTCATTTTATTATCCTCTATTAGGCTAATTTTAATCCTAAATTATAAGACAGGACTTAAAATCTAGATAATTAAAAAGGGTTAATATATGCTAAGCTAAAAATAAAATTTTTAGTTATAGATTTACTTATTATTATGATGATAAAACGTATCAAAGCTTATAATTTAATAAAGTGGAGAACAGAATGGATGGGAGTCCAGGGAGTTCAGTTGTATCCGATGCCCCCTCAGAAAAAGAAAATCTTGAAGTCACTATTGATGCCCTTCAGCAAAAAAACGACAGGCTGAAGCTTCTATTAATCAAGCAAGGTCAGCACACAAAGTCATTAAAATCCAAGCAAGAAGAACTAGAAAACGAGAAAGAAGCTCTACACATAAAGCTAGCAGAAACACAAGGCAGACTCAATAAACTTCTAAAATATGAGCCACCTAAAGAAGAAGACATCATCGAGATCTTGGCAAGAGTTAAAATTGACACAGAAATCTATACATGCTGGAGAACTAGAAAAGGGAACTATTGATGTGTCGAAGGAACTTTTGTAGCAAAAGGGCAAAATCCTGAAGTTCTTGATAACTCTTGCAATAAAAAAATCCAAGCTGAACAAGCAGCTAATATTGTTAGGCAATATGAAGATAGGATGAAGAGGCTCCAAGAAAACATGGACGCCTATGAAGAAAAAAACCAAACTTTACAACAAGCTTACAGAGACCTTCAAATCCGCTTTGATGAAATAGAAAGCCGTGAAAAATCCCGCCCAGTAGGACTAGTCCGGTGCTTAATTGACGAAAGCGCAGAACTATACGAAAAAGTTATGGGATTTGTATTAGACGATGAAATTGATAACAATAAGCTCAACTCAATGCAAAAAAGTATCAGCAATTTTGTAAAAAAAACTTCAGAAGGAGATGCTTTAGATTTAAGAGAACATTTAGGGACAATCCAAAGAAGCCTTGTTGATATCACAAGAAGGCTACTTCACGCTAGAAATGAACTGCAGACACAGGAAAAAGCATGGAGAGCCACTTGTGATGCTTTAATGCATGAAAAGGAAGAAATGAAAGTCCAAATCTCAAGACTTAAAGTAGAAATGAGCAAAAAACAAGAGGAGTTTCAAGGGACACTCATGCACCTACAGCAAGAAAAAGATTTTGTGGCACAAGAAAAAAGCAGAGAAATAAAGCAGTTGCAGTCAGAAATAAAAAAATCAATAAATGTGCCGTATCTTAAGCATGTGCTGATACAGTATTTCTGTACAGATGAATTGGATGTACAGGACAGGCTTATTAATGTGCTCTCAACTCTTTTACAATTTGCTCCGGAAGAGATGACGAAAATTAGAGAGCATAGGATGCCAAAGGGCGTTTTAACACGAATTCTAAAATGGTAAGAGCTATGAGAGTATTCGTATCATAATTATCATAACATTATTTATTCTTAACAATTGTTTTCCTTTTTTTTGGGCTAATTTCATTTTAATCAATATAATGCAGCCACTTGGCCGAGAAAATCGATTGGGCTTGAGAACGCTCCCAATTTCAAAATCCAACTCTCCTGCGTTACATTTAGAAAATATCAAAAAAACACCAAAGGCAACTTATAGACATTATATCAAGTATGACAAAACGAGTCCGTAGACATTAAAATGGTGGGAGAAACAGCCTCCCTCTTAAGGCCTGCTGCTTGAAAAATCCTGGGAATTTTTGGAAGGGAAGGGAGGAAGGCGTTCAGATATATGCATCTGGCCGGGTTAGCCAGCCACATACTCGTGTCCAGATCAACTTTTACCCTGAAGAGAGATGGTTAGTGGGAGTTGGAAAGAAAACACCCAGAAAGGCCACATATAATTGACCAATGAGCAATATCAGGCATTGCGTCTTGGGCTTCAAGCTCTATTTTGGTCCAAAACTTGACTAGGATTTTTTTTTCGAATTTTCAGGAGGCAAACACCGTTGACGCACGGAATGGTGATCTAGCATCCCTGGATCAGGCAGTGAGTGTAAGACCTCGTCCATGAGGAGCAGCATTTATTCATTAAATATTATAGAAACTCTCAGCCAGCAAATTTCTGTTCATGCAACATAATGAGAATCCACGCTAAACGAATCCTATGTACAGTGCTTTTACAACAAGAACATTAGGTCTTACAAAGCGTTCAGAGACTTCCGAGAGCTTAAATCGATTTCCGATTTTTCATTACCCTCGACGATCCATAGCTTTTGAAAATAATTACCTACCTCCAAATCTGGAGCTTAAAAAAAGGCAAATTGTGATTGGGAATTAAGCTTGATTATGCTGATTCTAGCATTAATCAAATGCAAAAATTATTTCTTTGAATTCTTAATCATTATATTAGCTATAATGCGAGAAATTAAATAAGCCCAGTATATTTAAATCTAGTTAATAAAGAAAGAAGACTAAAAACAGCTAACATACTTGATGCTAGGCAAAAGCATGCAGAGCCTACTACTGAGAAAAAAGATAGCTTTAATGAGAGGTATTCAATGAAAAAACATAGATTCACTCATGCTTTACTAGGAGATGTCCAGCTTCCTCGTACATATTATGATATTTCAAATGAAGATTTTGATGAGCCTATAATATCTAGATGCGCTACAGAACCAGTACCGCTATTAGAGCCTCAATCTTCTTTAAGAAGTCCAAAAATAGAAAAGCTTCTAGAAACCTCTAAATTTGAGCTAAGAGCCAAAGCTTTGACATGTATAAAACACCTAAACCAGCTTAAGCTCTCATATTATGACTTCATCAGCCTTGACAAGCTTGTTCCAAAAAATCCTCATTATCCCTTATACATTTATTAGATTAAAGAAAAGCTCTTGGTGGGTTGAAGATCCTTATTCTCTTCCATAACACTCCACTGTCTGCTTCGCCGGCAATTGTAGCATGTTCTTCAAAGCCTTGCTCCAGCCAGCACATGCTACCTAGCAGTCTGAAAGTTTGAGTCACCACACCATGCATCATCAACAGGGCCGCCACCATTTAAATTCAAAAAGGGTTGAATTTATGGTCGACCCTCGGCAAAAATAAAAATTCTTAGCCCAAGGATTCATGCTGTGCAATAGTCACGATTGGTCAAGACAACAGCCATTGACACTAGTGGGAAACCTCTTTCCAGCTTCCTATGGTAAGAACTTGGTATTGGACAAAGCCTGCGGACGGCCGATCTGACATTGCGCTTCGCAAAATCAGGAAAAACCTAGCTGGATACACATATCGAACTCCAGCATCCCTTACTCAAGGTCTCCGCACCTTTCAGATGTCGGCTAGAGGAGATAAGAGGATGGATTGATTCGCCGCCCTATTTTAATATATGCCCTCTTATCCCAAAAGTGAAGAATTCATAATGTTTTGCAAATTAGGACTAGATGAAGAAGTCAAAAAATTTTTGGTCGCGAATAGATGGCTTGCACTTGCTTTTGATACAGCTGGACAAACTGGGCTTCATTGGGCAGCTAAAAGAAACTATGTAAGTATTATAACTCTTCTGCTAGATTATGGAACATTTATTGATGCAAAAGATCATGTAATATTTATTTAGTCCGGAATTACTCCACTATATATTGCTATCAAAAACGATCACTTAGAAGCTGCTCAGCTATTGGTAGTAAGACAGGCAAATTTATTAATAAAAACAAAAGCTGGGAGTACTTATGATTCAATTGCTGCTTCGAAAGCAATGAAGGGCTTACTCTTGAGAGCAAAAATGAATTATTACACAAAGCCTTTTAAGCTGTCAAAAAATCATAACTAAAATTTCATTTGTAATAAAGTAAATGGCTAAGGAAAAGGTACACTCCAGTCACAACCAAGGACACAAGAACCATAGAAATGGTATTAAGAGACCAAAGAAGCAATTGCACGAGTCTCTTCGTGGTTGCGATTTGAAGTACAGAAAGAACAGACGATTCGCTCAACTTCATGACCCTAACATTTCGCACCCAGTTCTAGCTTAACTAATCACACTTTTTAACTAATTTTTCAAGTAAAATTTATTGTTTTATCTAATGAAAATCTCGAAACTCGAAACTCCCCAGCTTTCATCGCAAGGATCTTGGTCAAGTGTAGTCCCGAACACAACACTTAGGCTGCTATCACTATGAGGCAAGTTTACTTCAATATCACTGCTGAATTTTCCTTCTGCATGATGAGCTCCACATATGTTTATTCAGCAAAAGTTTTATTATTAAATAAGTATTTTATAAATAAATTTTTATATACATAAAAATGGTGACGACAGACCACCCGACCTCTCGACCCTATTTCTTCAACAGCAGTAGGCAACGGCCCAGTGTTGAGGATTTAGGTGGAAAGGGGCCGGTAATCCTTATGTATAGTCGGGCTGGGTTTTCCTCGGGCCCAGGGAGCTAATCCCTGGACTTAGAGTTTTTCCTCCGGTACAACCATTGGAAAGGGTAAGGTCGGCCAATGTCTGATGGGCAATATGACCCTCAGACCCTGAAGACGGTATTTGCCTAACGAGAAACTGGGAGTTTCGACCCAGGTGGTTGGCCCTTAGACTCCAGGAGCCATGGAAGTCAAGACTGGTGCGCGAAGCCTCGCCTGCGACGACGGGGAAGGGTGTCCGCCGGGATCCCTCAGGGATGATGAGCGTGCAGGGTACAAATCCCCGGCCCTTGCGAAAGCGAATGGCATAATCTAATCTAATCTAATCTAATAAATAAATTTTTCTAAAAAAATGATGACACTTTATTCCACTGCTGGCTTGTCCTGCTTTATATGACTCATTCCATACGTACTCATACTTTCCTTCTAGGTCAACTTTTAAGTATGCAGCTTCTCCGATCCATGCATCAATAAAATGAAAAGTTGCCTTAATTTTGATGCTGCTATGAGAAGGGAGATCTAAAAAAGTTTTTGCGACTTCAGAGGATGAGAATTGGCAGTAACCTCCAAGCATCACGATGCCTGCACATTCAGAGTTTGCATTGTTTGACCAGCCAGTTGGTGATGTGAAATCTTCAGAATGGATTAGACGCCATTGGTTGACGCCATTTAAGGAAAATGTGTTTTCTACCTCAAATGCAGTGTCGCCTGCTATACTTTTTTATATAATATAGGTCAGATTACAACGTTGAAATTCTAATTTTTGATAAAAAATATTAATAATTACCGATTAAATTTGAAATACTATGACTACTTATAAATATTTCATTCGCGTTTATATAGATGTTTTCTCCCTCTTCATATTCGATGCAATTTTGCTCGCCGTTTCCAAGCTGAAGTTTTGCATTTATGAGGTCTATTTGAAAAGGATGATCATCTTGATTAAAGATGAAAGTAGGCTCAGTTCCAGACAGGGTGATCCCACTTGATGAACTTGAGACAGCTTGCTTGATTGCACATAATAAAAATGCGATTAACATATTTATAAGATAAAAAACGAATCTTTAAGCATTTAATTAACATTTTAAATTTTAATATAATATTTAAAGAAACAAGTCTTAATTAGATTTCATTTCATCATAGAGATTTTTAAAAATTTATATTAAGAATGTTAGTTCGGCAGATAAACAGTATTATAAGGAAATCCTCCTTTTAAAATTATTAAGCCTTTGTCTTTATAATTTGTTTTATAATTTCCAAAAGTTCATTAATATCTTCATTTGAAGTTCCAGAATTTGGAATAAATCTGATTTTATTTGTATACGCCACACTTCCAAGCACATTCCTTTCTTTCATTAAAGTCACAAACTGGCTCGGCAAAAACGGTTTTGGAGGCGTAAATAACAATATATTAGAAGTCGGTGCATCTACATCACAGCCTATTTCTTTAAGTCCTTTATATAGTTTTTTTGTTTTTAAATGGTCACTTGTAATTATAGAAGTTTTCTATGTTTGGCGCTGTAATGCCGATAAATTCTGATCGGAATTTATCGGTTGGTTGCACCAAATCAATGCCTTGGTCGGACCAAAAAGCGATTTGGTCCGACGAACTTGGAAAGCTCCTGGGAAAATGTCTGCGCTTTCAGCGCTATATAGAGGAAACCTCTATATCTCTTCTACTGAATCAAGTGCCTCTAATGCAGCAGCGGCCACATGCCCGACTTGCCTCATAGCTCCTCCCACAATTTTTCTGTTTCTCAGAGCTTCTTGAATGAAACTTTCACTTCCTACAATAACAGACCCTATCGGGCAGCAAAGTCCTTTTGAGAAACAAATATTAACTGAATCAGCTCCACGTGTTAAATCTTTAGGGTCTAATCGATTGTTTGTTTCTTTTAGAGCATAATAAGCATTAAAAATTCTAGCTCCGTCTATATGAAGTTTTAATTTGTTTTCTTCTTTGATTCTAACAATTTCTCTTATATAGTCAACGTTTAATGCTTTTCCTCCACATATATTATGAGTATTTTCTATTGCAATGACTTTTGGTCTTGAAAAATGAATATTTTCTTTTAATATTTTGCTTAAAATATCACTAGTTCTTAAAGTGCCATCTTCTTGATTTGGAACTGGGGTTGGGAAAATGCCTCCTAATGCAGAAATCCCACCTTGCTCATATACATTTATATGTGATCTATCCCCAAGTATGACACTTTCACCCCTTTTGCAATGCGTAAGAAGACTTACTAAATTTCCCATTGTCCCACTTGCAACAAACAGCCCTGCTTCCATTCCAAAAATTTCTGCACATTTCTTTTGAAGTCTATTGACTGTAGGATCTTCGCCATATACATCGTCTCCTACTTCAGCATTAAACATAGCTTGGAGCATCTTGGCATTTGGTTTAGTAACAGTGTCACTTCTCAAATCAAAAATTTTTAATGCTCTTTTCATTATAACTAATTAAATCACCTATTTAAGATGGTTGGGTACTTATTTTTTATCTAAAACCTTTGATTTTAAATTATTTCAATGAAAATTATTAAAATAGCTAATTTATGTTAAATTTTCGAAATTGGTAAGTGTAACTGGACAAATATTTGGAGACTTTGTGCATGACTGATGCACGACTTTTCCATTTGGATACACTGCAAATGGCCTATCAGAAATTCTTTTCTTGCAAAGATCACAAAGTCTTTCATTCGAAATCCTTACACTTGATTTTCTGCAATTGTACCACTCACATTCAGTTTGAATGGCGTCCATGTCTGATAAATGCTTAATGATTTTGGTTACACGGCCTGTGTGTAAAGAATGAGAAAGGGCTACATGCAAATACAGTTGCAAAGAGTTGCTTGTAGCTGCAGATAGAGACCAGTGGTCAGGAATGATATCCATAACAAGTAAAGGGTTTAACTCAGGATTTGTGGCATATTTTTGTAGAAGTTTAAAGGCGCAGTTTTGGAATCGCATCAGCATGTTTTGAGCGTCATCATGCATTTTTGGCTCTTGTGACTCTTTCATTAAGGTTTCATAATTCAAGGCTTTTTCGATGTAGATTTTGAGGAGCTGGGTTAGTAAATTGTCACAATGCGTAATACAGTATTTTTCAGCTTTCTCAAAATCTCCTTTTAGCATTCCATTATTAACTAAAATATGCAGAGCTTCCATATGGCGCTTTTCTTTTGATAGCAGTAGCACTTCAGCTTCAATAAGCCATGAGTTTCTAATTTCCTCCAAAATAGTTGAGCCCCTGTAGTTTTTAGACGTCTCCAAAAACATCAACAAATCTTTTCCATACTTAATAAATGTGCTAGTATTTACCCCTTCAGGTGGAACATCATTGAAGCTGTCTCTCGGTAGCATCCTGAAAAGCTTATCAATATAGCATAGTGCAAGTCTTGTATGGAACCTTTCAGCATCAATAAGCTTTACTTCTACAAGCCATTTCAGATAAATTTCTACCAGCGGGACTTCTCTTTCGAAAGTCGCCAAATGTTCTAAAACTGTATCATAAGAGATATGATGGGTTTCATCAGGAGATGTGAACACTTCAAGACCAATCAAAGGAAAAGCATTCAGAACCCATTGGGAATATTCAAAAATGGTTTGCTTGTCACTAACTTTTAACAGAACTTTGACCGTTTGTTTTGCTGCTTGCTCTTGGATACCTTTATTGTTGTCTGCTCCAAGCTCCCTGAATATTTTTAATGCTTCGACTTTTCTGACAAAAGCTTCATAGAGCATTGCTAAAGCATATGGGTCTTTTTTCTCTTTTAAATATCTCTCAGATTCATTGAAGTTTAGCTGAGGCTTATAAAGGGGATCAAATAGCCCTTCTAGCATGGTTAAATGAGTCCTTTTGAAGTGGTCAATAAATTTTGAAGCTGATCTATCTTCTGAGCCGATATCTACAATGCATTTAAGCAGAAAAGTATCTATCATTTCTAAAGCTTCATCTCTTGTTATTGGGTCTGCAGTAAGTCTGTTCACTGAAAAAGGCGAATTTAAAAATTGATAAGTTCCAACAGTTCTTGCAGCTTTTGGTGGCTTGAAGATTGGTTCTCTTTTCTGCTGCAGCAGTGTGATAACATAAAATTTGCATGTCAGAATTCTATCATATTCAGCTTCTGATATATTTCTTGAGTCAAATGAGTTTCCTTTTTTTGCTAAATTATTCCTAACGACCTGCCTTATATTTGTTTGGGTCATGCAAGCTCTTGATACTTTTTCGTCACAGTATTCAGGGAATAAGCTCATGATATCTCTTGGGTCAAAATTAGTCGGCATAAAATAATCAATACAGTCCTTGAATCTCAATTCTTTGAATAAGCACCAAGCAGCGTCTAAATTAAACTGCTCATATTGGGCATCAGCATCTAATGCGGTGGGATCTATATGCTTTTCTATTAAAGCTCTAGCCTCTGGGATCCTACAGTCAGTCAACAGTTTTGTGATTTGCTCATTTACTGGGACAGGTCTTAAAGTCATTATTCCTGCAGTTGTTGCACAAATCATAGGATAATCAGTGTCTGCAAGGGCAAGGGCTGCAGATCCTTGAGGTAAGGACTCTTGTTGGACTGGCATTCCATCAATCGCATTAAATACTTCAATACTGTTTTCAGTCATTACAGTCAAATAAGGGTCATGGTACCCTGCGCTTACCAAATGTTTGGATTCTGCAAAGCTTATAGGGTTTCTCATAGCATTTTGACCTGTATCAGAATCAAACGGCAGGAGCAAATTGTTTCCCCATAGACAGAAAAATTCACTCCCAACCACTTTTATATAAGGAGTGTAGTTTGTGGTAGCGGAAGGGACCTGAATATCAGTAATTCTACCGTCCTCGGAGTTGATGATTAGATAATTCCTTCTGTGAAATCCAATGCAAATATTTGTACCATACCAGACAATGACTGCTGGAACATCGGGGATCATAAAATTATCTTTATCAACTAAATACCCACCAAGCCTATTTCGGTTGTTTCTCAAGCTTGGACTCCAGTTGTAAGTTGTAATTTTCCTTTTCTGGACTGTACAGATTTTACCGTGAAAATTTGGATGCTCATTTACAGGCTCAAGATATCTTCATAAGGAAAAATTTATACATGGAATTTTGTAAAAAAAAATAATGTTTTATTTGATAGCTAATATGAAAATAATTTCCATTTAAATTAGTTTAAAACATATCTGCAGACAATTAATTTAATTTTTGAGTAATACCCATTTACAGCAAATCCACTAAAATTTTTCCCAAAACTTTGAACTTCTTCAAGGAGATCAAGATCGAAGGCTACCAGAGTTCCTTCAGAAAACGCGTATAAGATATTGATTTCCTTATCACCTTTAAGCTTTTCTATACGAGATTTGCCAAGCTTGCTTCCGATTTGTGTTGAAGCTAGAGTTTCTTCGGGAGTTCCTGCTCTTATGAGAGAATAGGAAAGGATTTGGCCTCTGGAGTCTCCAGTGTAGATTTTGCCTTTGATGCACTCAAGAGATGTGATGCGATTTTCGGTCTCTAGTAAGGTTGCCAATCTATATACTTTCGCCATTCTAATTTACAAGCAACTAGCTAAAAATTAATATTCGAGAGATTTTGTTAATAGATATGAGAATAAATATAGTTGAAAATAAAATAATTGAAATTGCTGCGTTTCGAATTAAATCGAGATAAGAATTATAATAAAATGATTGTCTATTTATATAATTATAGTAAATTTGAAAGATAGCAATTTGTTTACTTCAAAATCATATTTATTAAAAGCATTTATAAATAAAAGGTTTATTAAGCTGTGAATAAATATGCATTAACTTTTGAATTGCTAATATAAATATCTAAAATCTTCTTTATTTACACATTGAAACCCTTTTGCTCTTCTGATAGCTTTCATTTAATCTTAATTTCAACAAATTTCTTTAATAAACTCAAATTCTCATTACTACTTGAGGAGCCATTATTTGTTATTTAGTCGTCAATCTCTAAACTAAATGATCTCAAATTCCTCTAATAAAGCTTCAAACCTGTTTTAGTCTGAAATCCTACCATTCTCTATCCTATCTCAACTTAATCCTATCTATTGCTTAATATCAGTAAAATGATTGTTCCAGAACAGAAAAGCTTAAAATTTAGGTCATTTTAAACATAAGTCCATATTTTGGTGACGTTTTGATGATTAACTAAGCTTTAATTATTGGCAAAACCGATTAACTACAGACAATTTCGAATTAATTATAGACAAGACCTTTTGGCAAAGAACTTTTCCACACTTCTGAGAGTTCTTCAGACGGGATGTGCCCGACCAATGTGCATCTATAATCCAGTCCGCTTTGGAAAGACTGATAGTTCAGCTCCAAAGAGCGGAAGGAATCAAGGAGGTTCGCTGCTTGCTCATAGTTGAACAAGGATTTAAAATCATCCTGAATAAGTCTTACTTGGAACTTCTCGACTTCTTTAGATGTTGACATATTCATTTATTACTCCCAGATGTTTTTTCTGAATTTTTGAACATAAGAATTGTAGGACAAGGATTAATAATTAGGACTTAGGTCCCCAATGAAATTAGTTAAATTATAAGGCAAAATGATTTTTTTATAATTATTAAGCTTTTTAATAGAAAATTGATTCGACTAAAAATTAATTATAGAGCTAAGAGGGAAAAAAATTATTTATAGAGGAAGGAACTGGATATTTATACTTCAACTTGAGCGTTTTGATTTTTCTTTATAATAAACGCTAAAAATATATTAAATTAATACAAAAAATCTCAATTTCTAATTATTACTACTAAGGTGCTATCGGTTTCAAAACCACGTTGTATCAAAAAAAGTGATTATTATTAACTCCCCCCCCCCCTCCGTGAGTGAACAAAACCATTAGAAAAATCGCTATTTTTTGCCCAAAAACACCCTCCGTGAGTGAACAAAAATTTTTTTAATAGAAAAATTTTTTATGGAAAAAAGTTTTAATATATAAATGATAATTAGTATAATGAAATATAGAGCTAATTCTGTTTAATTTTAAACAAATTGCTTTTTAAAACATAAATTTTGCAATTGAATTAATATTTGCTTTCCAATTTTTGCGAATTAGGATTTTTTTAAAATTTCGAAAAAAAATATATTTTTTATAAAATTTATATATAAATTTTTTTTAAAAAAAAAAAATTAACCCCCCTCCGTGAGTGAACAAAATTTTTTTGTTCACTCACGGAGGGGGGGGGGAGTAAGTTATAATGTCCAGTGAAAACATTTTTGTTTACCAATATTAAATATAAATAATATAATTGCTTCACCAGATCAAGTTCTATCCGAAACTTTTCCATCCTAGCGACATACTATTATATTCCCTGTGGACTTTTATTCAGCTATTAGAGCCTTAACTTATTTAGGGCATATGGTTTCGCCTCTCAACGCTCCTAATGAGGGAGACCTGGCTAAATAACCTCCAGAGTCATATAAGAGTGAGGCAATCCGCAAATAAGGCTTGGTAGCTTAGCAGAAATCCGCATCAATTGATGAAAGCTTTGCGGCCTAATTTAATCGGGTAATTAGATCTATTACGTCACGATTAAGAAGTTAAAGATCAAGACTATGCAAACCTAACTCATTATGCGGATTCATTAAAAACTGGATAATAAGGATCCCCCCTCATTTGTCCATTTTTCTAGTTTTTTTATAGGCAAAAAAATTTTTTAGGACCTCATTTGTCCAATTTTCTAGTCAAAATTTTCATGACCTCAATTGCATCATTTTCTAGTTTTTTTAAGGTAAAAAACTGAAATTTAGAACATTCGAAATAATCCAAAAAAGACGAGAAAATGGGACAAATCATTTTTGACTAGATTTTGGGACAAATGAGGACCTGAAATTTTTTTTTCTATGAAAATTTTGACTATAAAATTGGACAAATGAGGGGGAGGATCCTTAGAAAGAAAGAAATAAAGAAATAAAGTAAATCAGTAATATGAATTCATAAAATTATACCCATAAATGAATGTTGAGCAGATTTCATTTAAAGTTTTGTTGTTGTTATCGCGATTGATTTGAAACAAGTAAAAACTAATATACAATAAAATTTGAAAGACTATACAATGAGTCCTTTGTATAGGTTTATATCAGGGGATAACTAGTAGATCATTTATAATAAATGATTTTGAACTTTCCAGTGGATCTCTTTGTTCTTTCGCCTAAGTGCTTGCTCTCTCTTCTGTAAGCAGGCACATTTACGATGGTAAAAAAAGCATAATGGAAAGTAAAAATAGATTTAGTTTATAAAATTATGTTTATAATATAATCTGCTTTAAATTCAGCATAATTATTAGAGATTTAATCATTTATATTTTTAAAATATTTTTTATTCAAAAAATTTATATTAAAAAAATTTTTTACTCATCACATAGGGGTTTTTCCCATCATTTTGCTCCCTTACAGAAGGGAGCTATTAATCATCTATAAAAATTGAAAAATTATAAAATTTAAGTCATTATAAAAGATCCCATTTTGATGACGTTTATGGCAAAATTAGCTTGGTTTTAATTAAAACTAAGGGTTTAAATAAGCGATAATTTTCGATTATTTACTCCCCCCCCCGTGAGTGAACAAAAAAATTTTGTTCACTCACGGAGGGGGTTAATTTTTTTTTTTAAAAAAAATTTATATATAAATTTTATAAAAAATATTTTTTTCGAAATTTAAAAAATCCTAATTCGCAAAAATTGGAAAGCAAATATTAATTTAATTTATAAATTTATGTTTTAAAAAGCAATTCGTTTAAAATTAAACAGAATTAGCTCTAGATTTATTATACTAATTATCATTTATATATCAAAATTTTTTTCCATAAAAAATTTTTGTATTAAAAAATTTTTGTTCACTCACGGAGGGTTGGTTTTTGGGCAAAAAAATAGCGATTTTTCTAATAGTTTTGTTCACTCACAGAGGGGGGGGAGTTAGAATACTTGTTAGGCAAAATGAGCTTCCCAAATTGCTGAGATCTTCTCTGTTGGGATGTCTCCAACTAGTGTACAATTGTAATCTAACCCTCTTTGAAAAGATAGGAAATTCCTGATTAGGCTTTACAGTTCAAGCAAGCGAAAGGAATCAATTAGGTTGGCTGCTTGCTCGGAGTTGAAAAGTGATTTAAATTCATCCTAAATGTTTTTTACTTGAAATTTCTCAATTTCGATATCTTCAACTGCTGTTGACATATTAATTTATTAACAATTTTTAACCTCCAATAGGAAAAAAAGGTTTCTTTGGAAATATTTATGGTTAAGCTATAAAGCAATAGGCATAATATATGTATAAAATTATTAAAATTTATGACTAGAAATTGCTATATACATTAAAATGGTGTTGACGGACCAGCCCTTTTTCTCAACACCTGTAGCCGTTTGCCCACAGGTGAACGGGGACCTAGTGGAAGGGAAACTGAGGCTCGGTGAAGTATATCCAGCTGTGTTTTTACTTGGCGCAGTCGAACGCAACATCGGATTAGGCCGACCGCAGCTCATTCTGAGACCAAGTTTTTTACCTCAGGGGAAGATGGTATCCGAGGTTGGAAAGGGGAAACCCAGCAAAGCCAAGTACACCACTTGGCCCATCGGGCAACTCCCTAGCGTGAAACTGGGGGCGCTACGTCCCAGGCCTTGGATTTCCATCTTGGCCGACAGCCCTACCAGAAAATTCACGACTTGAATTTTCGGAATGGGCAACCCTGTAGACAGAGCTGAAGCGAGGCCAGGGAACCCATAGTCTGCCCACTCAACACTGGAGCCGCCTAGAAGTGGCAAGGAGGAGGAGGAGGAGGACGGCCAGGCAACCCGCCTTTCCGGCGATCGGAAGTAGACGTCCCCGCAAAGGGGATGAATCCCCTGGTGGGATCCTTGGTAACCGAGTTAACAAAGCGACTCTAACCGCCGTAATTAAGATTAAGATTAAATATACATAAAAATGGTTACGACAGACCACCCGACCTCTCGACCCTATTTCCTCAACAGCAGTAGGCAACGGCCCAGTGTTGAGGATTTAGGTGGAAAGGGGCCGGTAATCCTTTATATATGGTCGGGCTGGTTTTCCTCGGGTCCAGGGAGCTAATCCCTGGACTTAGAGTTTTTCCTCCGGTACAACCATTGGAAAGGGCAAGGTCGGCCAATGTCTGATGGGCAATATGACCCTCAGACCCTGAAGACGGCATTTGTCTAACGAGAAACTGGGAGTTTTCGACCCAGGTGGTTGGCCCTTAGACTCCAGGAGCCATGAAAGTCAAGACTGGTGCGCGAAGCCTCGTCCGCGGAGACGGGGAAGGGTGTCCGCTGGGATCCCTCAGGGATGATGAGCGTGTAGGGGTGTAAATCCCATACATTAAAATGGCGACTGGAGAACCAGCCCTTTTCCTCAACACCTGTAGCCGGGCATCCGGGGACCTTGTGGAAGGGGAGAAGGCGCTCGGAGTGTGTATCCGGCTGGGTTTTACCTTGACTCAATGGAGCGCAACGTCGAATTTGGTCGACCGCAGCTCATTTTGACACCAGGGGTTTTACCTCGGGGAAAAAAGGGTCTTCCAAGTTGGAAAGGGGAAGCTCAGCGGCACCAGGAGGTTCCTCCTGATCAATCGGGCAACTTCTTAGCGCGATACCGGGCGTTGCGTACCGGGCTTGGATTTCCTTTTTGGCCGACAGCCCTACCAGAAAATTTGTTTTTTTCAAAATTTTCTGAACGGGCAACCTCGTTCTCACAGCCTCAAGCAAGGCCGCAGAATTCCTAAATCTGCCCACTCAACACTGGAGCAAGGTGGTAGCTTGCAAGTAAGAGACGACTACCAGAACAGGCTAGCTGTAAAATCAGAGTCCTGTAGGCGGAAGTCGCAAACAGGAGGAACCTTCGGGTCTGGGTGACTGCGTTAACAAGTAACAGCTTAGCAGCTGATAATCTCGTAATTAAGATTAAGGGGTGCAAATCCCGGCCCTCGCGAAAGCGAATAGCATAATCTAATCTAAGATTAAGATTAAGACTAGAAATTGCTAAAAAAATGGAAAATAAATGCAGGTCTATTATTTTCCCCTTTACTGCTAGAAATGAAGTAGAATTGGTGATGCTCAAGCTGCTTCTAGTGCGCATGAGCTATTTGTTATTTAATTAAAAAATCAAAAGAGATACTGATTTTTCATATCTAAAAATTGCTTATTTGCAATATATAATATATTTAAAATCGATTAAAATGTAATATATAACTGCATAAGAGCAGCATAATTAATAATTAAATTTTTAATTCAAAATAATGATTAAATTCACTAAAAGGTGGTATTCAGTCATTCGGAGTCCACACTCCATACTAGGCCTCAAGCAAAACGCGACCCAGCAAGAAGCAAAAGATGCTTACAAAAAGCTCGTCATGAAATACCATCCCGATATCAACAAAACTGACGAAAATGCAGCCGAAAAATTCAAAGAAATCACAGAAGCCTATGGAATCCTCAAAAAGCACTTCGAAAAAATTGAAAATTCTGCAATCCCCACAGAAGAAGGATTTGTCAGCAAAAGACCAAAATATGATGGAAAAGTTAGCAGTGTTTTGCGAGACGACAAAATAAGAGAATACATTAATTTTCGTCCTCTTGATCTAGAAGTCCCAATTAAAGAAGATAGGCTGGGGGTCACTTATAAGCCTTTTTTCACAGATCAAGATGCTACACATCCTAAACTTGGGACAATGGCGATTATTTTGTATTCGTTTTTGGTTTCAGGATTTGCCTCATCTCTGCTATGGAATAACAAAAGAAGAGACGAAATGGTGCAGCAAGCTTTATTTGATAAATTGATGAGGAAATATGAAGCTGCAGAATTGGACCAAAATGAGCTGCATCCAGCCTTGCAATTGGTGAAGGAGGATCCTGAATATCAAGAATATATCAAAGGCGTGAGTGAAAAAGAAATATATAGCAAATTTCAGGCTTTTAATAAGGCACCAAATATTATTGAAAGAGTGAGCATTTCAGCTGAAGATAAAATGCAGAAAACAGTTTCCTTTGAAAAGTTTAAAGTAATTTAGCAGTGTTCTATAATTCAGAGGGACAGTTTAAGGATTTATTAATAAATTTGATTTTAACTTAAAGCTTGACTGTAATAAAGTGCCATCACACTTGAGAAAGGTTGTTTTGGGATTAGCATAGGAATCAGCTGCAAATCTATGGCAGACCTGCTTAAATTCTTTCCTTTTGCTGATGTTTCTCTCCACTTCCAATATGATTTTCTTATATAATCCACTGATTGGAGCAGCTTGCACACAACAGTCTCCAAGTCCCCTTTCCTTTGTTTGTTATATATAAATTCTAGGCATTGCAATAGATATACAGCTCATACCCCTATATAGATTTCTTTATCGAGCAAAATGCAATGGCCAAATCAGTTTCTCAAAGGGACGAGCTGGATCTCTATACCACGTTAAAAATTAAAAAATTGTTGGCAAGGATGAAAAAGTTGACAGCAAGCGCACTAATTTTTAAAAAATGGCTTTATTATTAAATTAATTTTAAATTTAAAGATACCCATTTAGACTGACATTTATCAGTATTCACCTATTTTTTTCTATTTTCTGGAGAATTTAAACTTTGAAAGTAAATTAAGTTAAATTAAGTAGATTTTTAAATAAACAATGCGAATTTGTTTATCATCAAATGCTCTATAAAAGCCAAAGTTTGTATTGCATGCTCATTGTTCTTTATAAAGTTCTTAATGGCTCATAATAATAATTTATATTTATTATTTCCTACCTTAAATTAAAAATTAACATAATAAAACCACTTTAAAAATTGGCACGCTTGCTTGGTAACTTTTTTAACTTGTCAGCCATTATTTGGCATGCAATTTTTTAACATTTCTTGGATAGAGATCCAGTTCGTCCCTTTAGAGAGTCTTCTTGGTCGCTCAACCGTCCATTGCATTTTGTTCGATAAATAAATCTATATAGGGGTATGGGCTATACATTTATATCCTTTATTATCAATAATTTTTACCATCACTTTTTTGATTTCATCTGATAGTTCTTCTACATACAATCCTCTTATGTAATTCCATGCACTTTCATTAGCTGGGATTTCTTCGATAGAATTTAAGGCATAACTAATTTCCCTCATCTTGACTTCAAAATCATTTAGATTTTCTGTTTTTGATATCACAAAATAGCGCTCGCTTCATGCTGAGTTATTTCTTGGATCTCTTTGAATCAATTCATCAGTGAATTTAAGCTCATCTTCCCATAGATTGAATTTTTGAATAACCCATTGTCTATATGCATTTTCCCTTCAATTGCCTTGCATTTTTTAGTATATATAAATAAAAAAGATTTCAAGATTGATTGTATTTTCTAAACAAATAATGTTAAGAAACTAAAGGGAAAGCTCTATATCCCCAAGCATGAATATTTTTTTCATCGATTTCAAGCATCATATTTACAAACTCCAATTCTGATGACGGATTTTGCAGTTTGTTCATTAATTCTCTACGATAGTACCAAATCTGATAGTTTTTGGGATGATTTGATGCGAGTTCTGTCAAAAAATTAAGCTCATCAACGATTGATATGTTTAATTTATCTAATAAAAACCGCCTATAGTGCCATGCTGTATAAAATCCAGGACTTGCATTGACTGTTTCTGTAGTAAGCTTGAAGGCTCTTTCAGAAACTTCTTGGGATTGTAAGATGGCTCGAAAATAAGACATGATTTCATCAACTAAATATTTTTTACATTCTGGCGAGTATTTTATGGGAGCAATAGGAGCTTTAGGAGAAAACTCAGGAATTGGGACGACATCTTGTCATTCTTTTCGCTCATGGAGTGGAACCCATTCATCCATTTTTGGTTTATTGCTTTAATTATTAATCAATTTATTAGTTTAAAGAATTAGCTCGAAATTATTGATTAAATGCATAAAATTTGATAATCATTGGGTAATTACTCTCCATTATTATTAATATCACATTTATTAAATTGCTCTGCTTTCCTGATGATTTTGTTATTAGAATATAAATTTAATATAATGAAAAATACATTTTTAGTGTTAAATGTCTCCACGCTTTCACATGCATAGCATTCCAATAAAATTCCTTTATTGATAATACAATCTTTGATTCTAACTTATGCTGCAAAACATAAATCCAATGAATATTTTTTGGGCTTTTTAAGTAAAATTAAAGAATTTAAATACAATTATTGCTAAATTTAGCACAAGATTTTAAAATTTGTTTATTTTCATAATTATTTTTGATTAAATTAGATCTCAGGACTGCTCATAGTTTCATGAAATTGTTTGCCAATTGGTCTTCCGCTATCTATTTTTTGGCCTGCATTTACAACTTCCATTCTACTTGACGACGGATAAGAATCTGCCCCAGTACTCATCTCTTTTGGTATGCTTTGAATTCTTTTTACAGTAGGCCGGGCATATTTGTTTAATTCTCTTGCTCTTGAATCTTCTTCCAATGAATCATTAATTTTTCTAAGTGGCGGGCTCATTAAGACTTTTGCAGCAACCCCTTTTGCTTCATCTTGTGGAATTTTATTATCGTTAAGCGTAGGAGAAAATCTTTGCTGCTCAGCTTCGTTTCCAGGAGCTTCTTCTTCAAGATTCTGGTAGCTTTCAACCCAAACGACGCCATCTCCAATGGGTTTTCCAGACTCACCAGTTATGGGTAAAAGCCAAAGCCAAGGATTTCTTCCGAAGACCTGTTCAAAGTTTCGTTTCACACCTTTATTATAAGATGCTCCTTTTCCTATAGCATTTTTGTCCATCGTTTCTATAGTAGTCCCATTCGAAAACACTAATTTCAAGTGAAATTTGAAAAACATTGTTAAAATCATCGTTAATAAGCAGTCTAATGTGTATGCAGCTATTATGAAGCCTTCGGAATATGCGTGGATGTCTCGCTTTTCAATAATTGTTCTTACTTTTTCATAAATCGGTTGGAACATCGAAATTGCAACTACATACAATGTTAGTAGGGCATAAATAAGCAGCAAGATGAAATATTTTCTGTTGAAAAAGCCTACACAGTTGTTGATTCATGGGCAGTGATGGTCCATATTGAGCACGCATCTATTACAAGCTGAGCAATGGTGGCATCGATCAGGTTTAAATACATGGCACATTAAGCAATATCGCCGTCTTTTTGTTTCAGAATCTCCCATATAAAACCCCCATAAAGGAGGAACTATTCCAGGATCTGTGAGCATTGTTTTGAAAAAAGATCAAATAAACATAAATGTTGTGAAATGAAAAATTGCTAATATTGGAAAAGTAGATCTCTCTATATGTAGGATACCTTTATAATAAGGGCCAAAGACCTTTAGGACACTTGAATAAATGAATGATAATACCAAGAATACAAAAATAACAAAAAAATTTCCTAGAAACTTGCTGCATGTAAAGGGAGTTGTTCTTGGCATTTTATTATGAAATTGATGTTGATATTATAAGAGGGTGATAGTAATTTAAAAAATTATTTTACATTAATAAGCAATTATGAATAATCATATCTCTTAACATTAGAATTTTTTAAGCTTTTAGATATGAATAAATTTGTTATTTATGATAATTGCTTTAAATTAGAAATTTGAAGTAAAATCTCTTATAATTTGTAAGGCATAAAAAAGCATATAATAATTGCCTTAAATCGATCGAAAATTAAGAGAAAAATGGATATTATTCGGATTAAATGCAAAAGTTGATACATTATTTAATTATTTCCAGAATTTTCAAAAATTCGCTAGTTTAACTATAAACTTCCCTACAATGTTAGAATCAAACTATTATTAAAAGGCTGTGTAAATTTTTGCTTAAAATCAAATATTGAATTAATATAAGCTTTTGGCTTTTCTGCTACAGGTGAAATCTAAAAAGGGCATTTTGAAAATTCCGCTGACTTCCCCTTTTTGAATTATAACAAAAAAATATCTCCAATTTAAACAGATGCTTGTAGCGCTAAAAGAGGATTCCAAAAATTCCAATGAATAATCCACTTGATTCTCAAATGTAGACCATATAAAATTTTACAATTAATCCACATAATCTATTTTCTCTCCAATTCCAGTCGTTCCAAGTTTCTCCATAGCAATTCGCATTCCTTTTATGGGTGCTCCACACCAACTGCACGATGTTCATGATAAGCTGATAATTTTTTCCTTTTTGGCAATAAGCACTATTAAGTGGTGAAAAATAATCATAAAATTAATATTTAATTCTTTTACTTTTGTGAATTTTTTTTTTGAGAAGTCGCCTGTAATAGAAGAAGTCAAAACCTTTGATAAAATTAATAAAATAATTTAGCTAATGATTAAAATATCTAACCAAAATATCTTTATCTTTATCTAAAATCTAGCGACGTATAGTCGCCTAACCGATCCTTATGGATCAAGCTTTAATCAATTCGTAATTCTACTCTGTTTTAATTCTTGTGTCCTTCTCAATCTAGCTGCACCTGCTGCTCTCTCTCTTAGCACTTCCATGTGATATTGTTTTATGCTTTTGTCCAGTGCCTTTACCCTCTTCAAGCCTACCACCTCCAATCCAGCTTCACGCCATTTCTTCATACCTTCAACTACACAGTATCATGTCCAGTAGTCCTACTTTTGTTTGACCATGTTGTCCAGTTTGCTGTGCAGGTTGTTGTTCAAGATGCTCTTCAGATAGCTGTACATGTTGCAGTTCAGGTTGCCTCTCTGACTGTGATACAAGTTGCCACTCAGTGCGTAGTTCAAGTTGCCGCTCAGGCTGTACATCACATAGATTTTCATGGTGTTGTTCATGATGTAGTTTATGTAGCTGTTCAAATTGCTGCTCAAATTGCTGCTCAAGTTGCTGGTCAAGTTGCTGGTCAAGTTTCTGGGTCAAGTTGCTGCTCAGGATGCTGCTCAAGTTGCTGCTCAAGTTGCTGCTCAGGCTGTGCTTCAGGTAGTTGTTCAAGATACTGTTCAGGCTGTGAGATCAAATTCCTTTATGTATGTTGTACTTTCAACAGCTATAACTTGCTTACGAAAATTATCCTATCAATTTTTAGCCCATATTTCATTGATAAACCGGTAAAATATCCAGTAAAAGAATAAGAAATTCTGATCCACCTTATTCTTTTTTACAAAATTATTGTCTGCTCTCCAATTTAGAGAACTAGGGTGCATAGAGAATTCCTCAAATGCTAAAAGTATCATCTTACTTAATTTGCCAAATATATAGCTCTAAAAAAGAAACCAAATATAACTGACATAGATTATTTCGACAAAAATCAAGAGAAATGCATTTTTAAATTATGTTAATCTATCTTTAAAGGTAATTTTACCTTATAATTAATAATTAGGAGAATCTATGTCTTTGGTAAAAAGCTTTCTCAAATTTATTGTGTTGCTACTTTATATATCTTCTCTAGTTAGTGCTGGAACTGGGTGCGATCAAGATCTTTGTGCAAACTGTATCGCTGGTACAGCGTTTCAATGCACCACATGCAGAACTACCCCGTCTACAACAATAATGCTGAATAACGTTTGCTTGCCTAATTGCCCTTATGAATTCGCTACATCTCCTTCTTGCACTGTTAATACAAATGCTGTAGTTGACGTAACTTTCGATCAACCTTTATTCAGTGGATCATATGGCCCTTTTATTACAGCGACTAGCTCATCAACTTATCAATTCTTTTGGAGTCCTGAAAGTGTAGATCCAATTCCAGCTTATCAGCAAGGATTATACTTTTCCGGTGGTGATTACATAGCAACCTCAGGTGCATTTTATCCTAATTATAATGTTGCTCTGTGCTTATGATATAAATCCGTCTCATCTAGCAATGATCTTTTATATATAAAACCAGGATCAGGAGATGAAGTTTTAAGAGTCAATGCGCAAGGTGGATTAAGACTTGTTTTAGAGCAAAAAAATGGAAACCAAGGATCAACAATAAATACAGGCAATAACCCCAATACATCCAACAATATATGATGATTCCTTTCGTATACAGTCTCTTATTCCTCTTCCAATGGAGACACGACAATGGTTCAATATTTGAATACAGTCGCTGATCAAACAACTACTACAAATGATCAGCTGCTCAGATGATATCAGGCAGGAAGCCAAACACTTATTATTGGAAAAGGGCCAAACGGAAATTTTAATGGCTGGGTATATAACTTTAAATTTTGGAATACAAACTACTCAGGCTGGGCAACAGAATATAGTGCTGTTTGTGGATCAGGAACAAACTCATGCTTTATTAATTGCTCATTTGGAAAATATTGGAGTGGCTCCAGCTGTGTATCTTGTGCAAGCCAATGCACAAATGGATGCATTGGAGCTAATAAATGCAATTGCAATGATCCTCTTTGTGCTGTTTGCACAGGATGGGCTTCAGGCTTATGCACTACATGCACCACGAATGCTTCAGGAGGCGGGGCAGTTGCGTGCTCATGCAATCCAGGGTCTTATAACTCAGACGGATTTACTTGCACAAGCTGCCCAACAGGTTGTGCTACATGCACGGGAGGAAGCTATTATCAATGCAGCTCTTGCTTATCAAGCTATTACTTTTTAACCACAATGTGTCTCAGTTCATGTCCTGCTGGGTATACTCAAGACTCAACCAATAAGGTTTGCACGCTTTCCATAACCACTGCTCTTTCAATTGCTTTTCAGAACCAAATTATTCTCGATACCCTCAGTGGTCTTACCGTAGGAGCATCTAATGCAAATACCTACCCGACCTGGGAGTCGACTGATCCAATTCCTTCTATTTATAGAGGCTATTACTTTACAAGTACCTACTATATGACTTTATCTTCACTCTCAATATCCCCTTATTTCACAGTCACTATGTGGATCAATCCGACTGCCCAAGGAAACGTTGTAACCAAGTTTAGCACTGTTAATGTTTTTCTCCTTACCCTAACTTCATCAGGCTATCCTTCTCTTGCGCTTAAACTCAATGATGCTTCGACAGTCACAGTTACTGGATCGACAACCCAATTCAATGCTTGGCATAACATAGCGTTCACAAGTACAATTAATGGAAGTGGAAAGACAGTTATAAGCCTTTATATTGATGGGGCATCTGTCACTAGTGCCACTTCTTCTAATGCATCCCCATTTGTAGATTCAGGAATGCTTTATATTGGAAGACAATCAAGCTCAAATGGATTCACTGGATTCTTATGAAGCGTTAAAGTGTATAATGACAATACTCTTTATAATAGCGAATGAAAAACGACTGGTTGCGCTAGTGGGTGCTCGACGTGCCCCTCAGAATTGCTTTGTCCTAGCACTTGCCTATTTGGGTACTTTTTATCGTCAGGATCTTGTTCATCGTGCGCAGGATCTTGTTCGCCCTATGGTTGTAGAAGCACAGATACCTGTAGACTTTGCAAGTATAAGGAATGCACAACCTGCACTTTATTTGATGGGCCTTGCACTGCTTGTATAACAAATGCCAGCTTGTCAGGAGGTGTTTGTTCTTGCAATTCTAATGCATTTTGGGTTGCTTCAACTGCAACATGTGATGTATGCGACATTTTATGCGCGACTTGTACTGGAACTTATTACTTCCTGTGCAGTGCTTGCAGTGGATCAGCGATTCTCGTGGGAAATGTTTGTTTGAATGCATGCCCGTATGGATTTACTTCTAGTCCGTCATGCACTGTTGCTTCAACTACAGTTATAGATCAAACTTTTGACACTAATTTCCTTGGAACATATGGAATTTTTACAACTTCAACATCAGCTTCCACCTATCAATTTTGGAATAGTCCAGACTCATTAGATCCTGTTCCAGCTTATAAAAGAGGGCTTTATTTCTCTGGAGGTCAGTATTTAGTATCGAATGCAAACATTTATTTAAGCAACAGCGTTTCAATGGGACTATGAATTTATGTGATAACCGCAGGTGATATCCTTCAAAAGCAAACAAGACTTTCGTTCAGTTCAGCTGGAGTTGTTACAGCAACTTTAGAAAATCCATCTCAAACTACTACATCAGCATCGACTACAGCTTTGTCAGCATTTTCTGGATGGACTTATCTCTCTTTTACAATTACTTATACGAGTGGAGCAACAACAATTACTTCTTATAAGAATAATGCACCGGGAACTACTCTTTCAAATACAGCTTATCTTTATAGAGATGCAGCTTCTGATGTTTTGTATCTTGGCAAGAGCTCTACTTCTTCTACATTTGTTGGCTTTATTTATTATTTCACTTTATGGAATACTGCAATAACTGATTTCTCGTCTAAATTTACAATACCCTGTGGAACTAGTTTAGTTACCTCTTGTCTTTGGTCTTGCAATATTGGCCAATATTATGCTACGTCATCTTGCACATCATGCAATAGCTGTGGAAATTTGGGATGCAGGCAAGCAGTGTCATGCAATATTTGCTATGATCCTTTGTGTGCTCAATGCACAGGCTTTGGAGTTAACTTATGTACTTTATGTGTCACTCATGCTTCTGGGGGAGGAACAACTGCTTGCTCATGCGATACCAACTATATAGCTTCTGCCGATGGCTTTTCTTGTATTTGGGCGTGCACTACTGGATGTGCTGGTTGCTCAGGAACAGGCTATTATCAATGCACATCTTGTTTAACAAGCTATTACTACTTAAACGGACTCTGTCTCAGCTCATGCCCAACTGGATATACTCAGGATTCTACGAATCACCTATGTACTTTGTCTTCAACTACTCCTGTATCCCTTGCTTTGCAAGACTGAATTAAGCTTGATACGACAAGTGGCTTTACTGTTGGCTCTTCTAGTTCTAATACTTATCCTTCATGAACTGACTCAACTGATCCTGTGCCTTCTATTTATAGAGGCTACTATTTCACGAGTTCATCATTAATGTCTTTAAGCTCTCTAACAATCACTCCTTTCTATACTGTTTCAATTTGGGTGAAGGCAACATCGCAAGGGAACTTATTTCTTAAGCTAAATGGATCTAGTGAAATTTTCAAACTTGTTTTCACATCATCAGGATGGCCAACTATTACACTTAAACTTTCTGATTCTACAGCTGTGATTTTGAGTGGTACAGTTAGTTTATTTAATGCCTGGCATAATATAGCTTTTACAGGAGATATTGTAAGTGGAAATACTAAAATTTATTTTTATACAGATGGAGTGCTAAAGTCAAATCAAGTTTCAGGTACCGCATCTCCTTTTTCTGACTCTGGATCCTTATATCTCGGTTATTCAAATTCAGCTAATGGCTTTACAGGGTTTTTGTGGAGTCTTAAAATATTTAACGGAAATACTCATTACTTAGATGAATGAATCACATCTGGGTGTCCAAGTGGTTGCTCGACTTGTCCTTCTGAGTTGCTTTGTCCTGATAATTGTGCTTTTGGATCCTTTTTATCTTCTGGGTCATGCTCAACGTGCGCTGGATCTTGCTCTCCTTATGGGTGTAGAAGCACAGAAACATGCAGACTTTGTCAATACCGAGAATGCACTACCTGCACACAATTTGACGGACCTTGTACAGCTTGTATTACAAATGCAGGCTTATCAGGAGGCGTTTGTTCTTGTAATTCTAATGCATTTTGGGTGGCTTCATCTGCAACATGCGAATTATGCGATGCTTTATGTTCGACTTGCAGTGGAACTTATTATTTCCTTTGCAGTGGTTGCAGTGGGTCTGCAGTCCTTGTTGGAAATGTCTGTTTAAACGCTTGTCCGTATGGATTTTCTACAAGTCCCTCTTGCACAGTAGCCTCCACTTCCGTTATAGATCAAACTTTTGACACTAATTTCTTTGGAACATATGGCATTTTTACAACTTCAGCATCAGCATCCACATATCAGTTTTGGAATAGTCCAGACTCATTAGATCCAATCCCAGCTTATAAAAGAGGTCTTTATTTCTCTGGAGGGCAGTATTTAGTATCGAATACAAATATTTATTTTAGCAACAGCGTTTCTATGGGACTATGAATTTATGTAATAACCGCAGGCGATGTCCTACAAAAGCAAACCAGACTTTCATTGAGTTCAGCTGGAATTGTCACAGCAACTTTAGAAGATCATTCTCAAACTGCTACATCAGTATCAACTGCAGCTTTGTCAGCATTTTCTGGATGAACTTATCTTTCTTTTGCAATTACTTATACAAGCGGTGCAACAACAATTACTGCTTATAAGAATAATGCACCGGGAACTACTCTTTCAAATACAGCTTATCTTTATAGAGATGCAGCTTCTGATGTTTTGTATCTTGGCAAGAGCTCTACTTCTTCTACATTTGTTGGCTTTATTTATTATTTCACTTTATGGAATACTGCGATAACTGATTTCTCATCTAAGTTTGCTATTCCATGCGGAACAAGCTTGGACAGTTCTTGTCTTTGGTCTTGTAATATTGGTCAATATTATGCAACTTCATTTTGCACATCATGCAATAGCTGTGGAAATTTGGGATGCAGACAAGCAGTGTCATGCAATATTTGTTATGATCCTTTGTGTGCTCAATGCACAGGCTTTGGAGTTAACTTATGCACTTTATGTGTCACCCATGCCTCTGGAGGAGGAACAACTGCTTGCTCATGCGATACCAACTATATAGCTTCTGCCGATGGCTTTTCTTGTATTTGGGCGTGCACTACTGGATGTGCTGGTTGCTCAGGGACAGGCTATTATCAATGCACATCTTGTTTAACAAGCTATTACTACTTAAACGGACTCTGTCTCAGCTCATGCCCAACTGGATATACTCAAGATTCTACGAATCACCTATGCACTTTGTCTTCAAGTAATCCTGTATCCCTTGCTCTACAAGACTGAATTAAGCTTGATACAACAAGTGGCTTTACTGTTGGCTCTTCAAGTTCTAATGCTTACCCATCATGAACCGATTCAAATGATCCTGTACCTTCAATTTATCGCGGCTACTATTTTACTAGTTCATCATTCATGTCCTTAAGCTCTTTGACAATCACTCCCTTCTATACTGTTACAATTTGGGTAAAGGCAACGTCTCAAGGATATCTCTTCCTCAAACTGAATACACCATCGGAAATCTTCAAAATTCAGTTCACATCATCAGGATGGCCTCGTATTAATGTGGTTCTTCAAGATTCATCCGTAGTGATTTTGACAGGATCTACAAGTCTATTTAATAATTGGCACAATATTGCTTTTACTGGAGACATCGCGAGCGGATACACTAAAATATTTTTTTATACCGATGGATCCTTAATATCAAGTCAAGCATCAACGAATGCTTACCCTTTTATTGATTCTGGCATATTATATCTTGGATCTTCTAATGCAGCCCCCAGTTTTACTGGATTTTTATGGAGTCTAAAAATATACAATGGAAACACTCATTTCCTGGACGAGTGGCAAACTTCAGGCTGCTCTGGATCTTGCTCGAATTGCCCTTCTGAGCTGATTTGTCCTGATAATTGTGGGTTCGGCTCTTTTTTCTCGTCTGGATCCTGTACAACGTGCGATGGATCTTGCTCTCCTTATGGATGTAGGAGTACTCTTACTTGTAGACTTTGCCAAAACAAGGAATGCACTGCTTGCACTTTATTTGATGGTCCTTGTACAGCTTGCATCACAAATGCAGGTTTATCAGGAGGTGTTTGTTCTTGTAATGCTAATGCTTTTTGGATTCAATCTTCAGGAACTTGTGAAATTTGTGACAATTTGTGCTCTATTTGCTTAAAGACTTACTATTTCGAGTGTAGTGCTTGCACAGGCACAAAAGTTTTAGTTGACACTGTCTGTTTAAATGAATGTCCATACAGTTTTACAGCGAGTCCCTCATGCATAAGCTCAACATCAACTATAATTGACCAGAGTTTTGATACAATATTCCAAGGATCTTATGGGATATTGACAACCTCCAATTCTGCTTCCACCTCTCAATTTTTTACTAGCCCAGATTCTACTGACCCTGTTCCTTCATATGGAAGAGGACTGTATTTTTCAGGTTCGCAATACTTGCAAGCCAATGTGAACATTTATATGAACTATCAATTTTCAGTTGGCCTTTGAATTTATACAATTACAGATGGAGATATATTCCAAAAACAAGCAAGAGTTAAATTGGCTTCTAATGGAATAGCCAATATTATCCTAGAAAGCCCATCTCAAACTACAACGACAGTCACTACTTCATCTACAGCTTTTAGTGGGTGGTCTTATTTGTCCTTAACAGTTTCTTATTCATCAGGCTCAACCACAACTGTTACCTCAGTAAACAATGTTGCTGGAACTCCAATTTTATCCACAAACTTACTGTTCAAAGACGTTTCATCTGATATTTTGTATGTAGGAAAAAGTACATCTTCTGGATTTGAAGGCTTTATTTATTATTTCAGCTTATGGTACACTGCTATCTCTGATTTTTCGTCAAAACTATCGGTTCCTTGTGGGTCAAGTTTATCTACTTCTTGTCTCTGGCCTTGTGATATCAGCGATTACTATGATGGAGCAGCTTGCCAGTCTTGCAACTCCTGTTCTTTAGGGTGTACTCAGGGAGTTTCCTGTAATATTTGTCATGATCATCTTTGCTCAATTTGCAGTGGGTTTGGGTCAGGATTATGCACTCAATGTGTGAACCATGCTTCAGGAGGAGGAGCAACTGCCTGCTCATGCGATGTTAATTATATCCAAGCAGCTGATGGATTTTCATGTGTTTGGGGTTGCACTACAGGCTGTGGAGGCTGCTCTGGTACAAGCTATTATCAATGCACTTCTTGCTTGACAATGTATTACTTTATATCTGGACTCTGCATCTCTATTTGTCCTACAGGATATACCCAAGACTCTACAAATAATCAATGCACCTTGGTTTCAAACCTTTCTTTCAGTCTTCAGTTCCAAGACCTAATCCAATTAGACACAGTGAGTGGAGTCCAAGTTGGTTCCTCAGGTACAAACACTTATCCAGCATTTGAAAGCACTGATCCAGTTCCTTCACTATACCGTGGCTACTATTTCATTTCCGATTCCTATATGGCATCAACCTCCCTAATATTAAATACTTACTTTACAGTCACAGTTTGGATTAAGCCAATTTTATCTGGATACTTAATGCTAAAAATTAACGGAAGTGACGAAATGTTCAAGATTTCATTGTCAAGTGGCGGAGTTCCTACTTTAATGATAACTCTTCAAGACTTATCAACTGTTTCAGTTAGTGGAGCTTCAAATCTTTTTAATGGTTGGCACAATATTGCATTCACAAGTGATATTATCAGTGGGAAAATGAAGATATATTTGTATACAGATGGAGTTGTTTCGGCAAGTCAACTGTCCACTAACTCATCTCCATTCATTGATTTAGGAAATTTGAAGATTGGAGCATCGTCTGGGGCCAATGGATTCACTGGATTTTTGTGAAGCTTAAAGGTATTTAATTCAAACTCGAATTATCTTGATGAGTGAAAAACAACTGGGTGTGTTGGCGGATGTTCAAGCTGCCCTTCAGAGCTAAAATGCCCAGATAACTGCGATTTTGGATCGTTTTATTCAAGTGGATGCACAACTTGCGACTCAAGCTGCACCCCATATGGATGTAGGAGTTCTCTAACTTGCAGACTGTGCTTGCAGAAAGAATGTAAAGAATGCACACTGTTTGATGGACCTTGCACTAGCTGCATAGACAGAGCTACTTTAACAACTGGAGTCTGTGCATGCGATACAAATGCATTCTGGGTTCAGTCTTCTCAAAGTTGCGAATATTGTGATTCCTTATGTACTCAGTGTGCGGGAACTTACTATTTTCTTTGCAGTGCTTGTACAACAGGTGAAACTCTTGTTGGGAATGTTTGCTTGCATGAGTGTCCTTATGGTTTTGGTGGAAGTTGCACAAGTGTTTCTTCTCAAGTTATAACTCAATCTTTCGATCAGAATTTTGCAGGGTCATATGGTATATTCACAACAGCTACAAGCTCATCAACTTATCAGTTTTTCAATAGTCCTGAAGCCAGCGATCCTATACCTGCCAAGAAGAGGGGGCTATATTTCTCAAGTGGAAAATACTTACTTCACCCAGGTAAAATTTAGATTTTTTTGGGTATTTAGTCCCTTTAAATTGGAACTATTTTATTTTTAATAAGAAAATTTTATTGATGAAAATACTAATTTTTATAAAATTAGTTTTGACCTAATTTAATAGACAAATTGTAAGTAGGATGTCATTTAAACAGTTTTAGCACTGAATAGATTAATTTTTTATTTAATTCTTTATAAAAATAAATTAAAATTCAAAATATGATGCTTAATTATATATTTTTAAAATTTTAGTTTTTTTTAAAAAAATAAAGATTAAAATCTAGTTTTATGTGATCTAATTAAATAGAAAAAGTAAGTAGAATGTATTTAAACAGCCTTTCACACTGATTCGATTCTATTTTTTTAATTATTTCTTTATATAAATAAAGTTTTCAGTATTATGCTCAATTTATATTTTTTTAAGATTTTAAAAATTTTACAGAGAAAAATTTAAATGTTTTTTTTTAAAAGAGCATTACCCCTTTTAAATTGGAACAGGATATTTTTTTCCAAATTTAAAGTGGAAAAGTTAGAATCAAATATTGACGTTTATTTATCTTACAGCTTTTCACTTGGGTTTTGGGCTTATGTAGAAACTGCAGGAGATTTATTCGAAAAACAAAATAGATTAATTATAAATTCTAGCGGTGCTGCAACAATTATTCTAGAGAGTCCAAGTTTATCCGCATCCACTATTACGACTGGAGTAATAAGCTCCTCAGGATGGTCATATTATTCAATAGCTATTTTATACTCTTCAGGCTCTACTACAACTACAGTTTATATCAACAATGTAGCAGGAACTCCAAGCAGCACAAGCAATTATATCTTTAGAGATGCTGCTTCTCAAACTATTCTAATTGGCAAAAGTACTTCTTCCAACTTTTCAGGGTTTATATATAATTTCAACATGTGGAATAGCCTAATTACTGACTTCAGCACTCAAGTAAATAATGATATCTGCGGAGTAGGGTTTGGAAGCACTTGCTTATGAACTTGTGATTTTGGATCATATCAAAACTCTGGAGGAACATGCTCTACTTGCAACAGTTGCTCTCTAGGCTGTGTAAGGGGAGTATCATGCAATGTGTGCGATGATAAGCTTTGCAGTGTTTGCACTGGGTTTGGAACAAATCTTTGCACAACTTGTGTGACTCATGCATCTGGATCTGTGTGCTCATGCGATACCGGATATTCTTTATCATCAGATGGGTTTTCCTGTGTAGTTTGCAGCACAGGCTGTTCTGCTTGCACTGGACTTAACTATTACCAATGTTCATCTTGTTTGAGCTCTTATTACTATATAAACAATCTTTGTGAGCCCAGCTGCCCTACAGGATACACACAAAACTCTGCGACGCATAGCTGTGACTTATCTTCATCCCTTGTATTGTATTTAAATCTTATTGATCAGCTTCGCCTTGATACTGTAAGTGGATTTATTGTTGGGAGTGATAGCACAAATACATACCCAAGCTGGGATACTCATGACCCTATTCCAGCAATCCAAAGAGGATATTACTTTACAGGATCAAGCTATATGACTTCTAGCTTCAAATTTAGTCCTTACTTTTCTCTCTCTTCTTGGATAAAGGGCTTAAATGGTGGCTACTTTTTAACAAAATATGATGGGTCAGTGTATCTTTCTATAACCTTTGCAGCTGGAATCCCGACACTAATAATTAAACTATTGGACGGTACGACAATTTCAGTTTCAGGAGGGTCTTCAAGTATTTTCAATTCTTGGAACTTTTTCTCATTTTCTGGGCAAATTTTGGGAGATGGCACTACTAAGATTATGTCTTATATTAATGGCATCTCAGCTAGCACCCAAATATCAGGGACATCAAGCTTCTTTAGAGACAGTGCTTCAGGAAACTTGATTTTAGGTGCAGACCAAACATTAGCTAATGGCTGGGAAGGATACGTTTGGAACTTATACATATATAACGATAATTCTCATGCGACAACTGATTGGACTACATCTGGCTGTGGGACTGGCTGCACTAGCTGCCCTGCAGATTTAACCTGTTTAAGTGGCTGCAGTTTAAGCACTTTTCCATCTTCTTGCACATCCTGCAAAACAGGATGCAGCCATGGCTGTGTTGGAGATTTAACATGCAGACTTTGCAAAGCCAAAGAATGTCTCTCTTGCAATACTTTTTCTGGAGCTTGCATTAGCTGTATACCAAATGCAAGTCTTTCAGGGACAACTTGCCAATGCAATGCAAATACACTTTGGGTTGACTCATCAGAGAGCTGCGAACTTTGCAATAGCGCATGTGCTTCGTGCTCATCATTGACATTTGATGGCTGTATAACTTGTTCAAGCACCCGCTATCTGTTTGAAAACTTATGCATTAATTATTGCCCAACTGGCTACTCAAAATCAGGAAGCAAGTGCATAATTGACTCATCAAGCGCATATATTTTTAATTTAAAGCCAAACCAAATTAAAGACGAAGTTACTGATCTCCAATCTGGTATTATTGCAAGCACAGGAAACGATACAAATTTCTATCCAAACTATGAAGAATCAGACCCTTACGCAGCTCAATATCGTGGATACTACTTTAATGGAAAATCATATATGAATGTGTCTTCCTCTTCTAGAGCTCTGATTCTTGCTCCCAAATTTACTTTTTCAATGTGGCTTAACCCTTCTACAACTTCTTGTGATTTATTTACAAAGCAGTCAAACTCTACAGTGGCTACTCCCATTTTGAAGCTAAGTTTGTCTTCTTTAACTCCTTCATTGAAAATAAAGCTAAGTGATGGGTCAACCGCTTTATATACTAGCACTAGTAGCCTTAACCAAAATCAATGGAATTTATTAATAGTTTCTTCAGATATTTCAGTGACTCCTGCCCAAGTAATTTCATTCAGCATAAATTCAGTTTCAGATGCATCAAGTGACTTAAGTACGTCGTGGTTTGAAGATTTGCAAGATTCGTTTAAGATTATAATAGGATCATCTCTTTTGACAAGCTCAACATTTGGAAATTACTTCTCTGGATTTATTTGGGACCTGAAAATCAGGAATAGCATTGTTAGTTTTTCTTCTTTGTACTCTACATCTTGTTCACAATGCTCTTTATGTCCTGTAGATAATTCTGCAGCTTGTATTCCTAATTGTCCAATTTCTGAGTATTGGGATGGAACGCAGTGTTCGGCTTGCAACAATGCATGCTCAGCTGTAGGGTGTGTGAGGAATGATAAAACTTGCAATTTGTGCAATAACGTTATATGCAGCGTCTGCGATGATTTTATTTCTGGATCCTGTCTCCAATGCAAGACGAATGCTTATTTATCATCTGGAGAATGCATATGCAATAATGGGTATTATTTAAATAAAACCCAAGAAGAATGTCTACAGTGCAAGTCAAACCAATATTCAGTCAATGGAGTCTGCAACGACTGCCCAAGCAAGTGCACATCTTGTTTAGATTCATCAATTTGTTATACCTGCATCACAAATGCTGAATTATCACAAAATAACTCATGCATTTGCAAAGTTGGATACAATGGAAATGCCTGCGATGCAGCTTATTTTAATGCATATTTGGCAGTAAACGATGACAACTCCTTAAACATCACATTCTCTGAAAATCTTGTGAACATAATTTCTCAATATGACTTGAGTATCAATATCGAAAATATTTCTTTGTCTGATTATTCATGAACAATGGAAAGGATGAGCGACAAATTTTATACAATTTCGTTGTCATTTTCTGTAGAAGTTAACAGTAAAACTCCAATAGCTATAAAATTGATGAATTTGACGTATTTTGTATCAGAAACAAATGCGCTACTTAAAGATGATACTTTAGCTGGAGTTCTTTATCACTATAGTCCATATTCAAGCAGCCAGGCTGTTACTGCAGTAACTAGCCAAACAACAGCTGCAGTTCAATCAATTATAGGGGCATCAGTAGCAGTTTCATTCATTAACCCTAACCCAGCTAGCTTGTGGAGCATGTTGAACACTCTAAATTATATTGCATACCTAGGCCTTACCAAAATCCCAATGTCAGAATCGTTTTATGCGTTTGTAATAAATATGAATGGCAATTATTATTTACCAAATTTATTTGAATATTTCGTTGATAAAAGTCAAGGGACTGCTCCATATGCTCAAGCAGTAAAATATGGCTATGACACTGATTTGATTTTGCTTAATGTTGGGAGTGCTATTACAACACTTGGGGCCATTGTAGCTGCACTTCCTTTAGTTTACTTCTTATCAAACTGCTCCCAAAGGTATTTAGCTAGAAAACTAGCAGGAATACTAAAAAATTATAAATGGTCAGTGTTTGTGAGGTTTTGGATTCAAAGCTATTTAGACTTCACCGCCGCAGCACTTATAGGATTATTAAATGTAAGATTTATTTAGTTTTCGTTTGGTAACATGACTCAAGCTACAAATACAATTATATGCCTTGGCGTGTTTGTAATTTTTATTTAGATTTTTTCATCAGTTTCTCCTTTGCTATTTTTTATGCTCTCATATAAAAATTTGCCGAAAATTCAAGAAAGAGAAAAAGGTTTCGAAAAACTTTGGAGTTCATTCTTTTATGAGTTCAAAAATGACCAAGGACTGATGAGCACTCAATATTATTCTCTTTTTTTCGGAAGAAGATTTATATATATTATGAATGTAGCTCTACTTAATAACTACCCAGCTTCTCAAGTTACAATTAGCACCGTGCTTTCTCTTATAACTGTGCTTTATATGATCAAATACCGACCTTATGAGGAACCAATTCTTCAAATCACGAACACTCTTACCGAAATTTGCACCATGCTTTTTATGGGATTAATGTCTGCAAACCTCTTTAATATGTCATCAAGCATGCAAAGCGATTTTGAATTGACATTAATTTCAGTTGCAATTGGAATTATGGGTGTTCAGTCTGCTTCCTCAATAGCACTTTTTGGCAAAACATGCTATGAGCTTGTCAAAGAAGGGCTGCAAAAGAGCTCACCACCACAAAATAAATACAATATTAGAATTAATAGGAAAGAAAATAGACGAATTGCAGACCTTGATAGTAGTCCAACTGAAATAAATCGCAGCATGGTGAATAACGATCTTTCAGATATTGGAGATGGAGCTATTAATTAAGAAATCTAATATTTCTTTTAAATTTTAATCAAATTTAATTACTCAAATATCTATGGCCTTTTGACATTACAGTTTCTAAATTTAATTATACCGGTTTAAGGATACTTTATTAAGCCCCAACTAAGCTATAAGCCTGACAAGCTGTATTTGGAGTTTTAAGCTATATTTTTTTAAAAGAAGTTAAAGTATATTCAGAATTTGATTAGAAAATACTTTGGAGTTTTGTAAAGATACAGCTTACCGGCATTTAGCATTCGCTATGGGAAAGCAAATTTATTTTTCTATTCAAAAACCCTTAATAAGAGATCAAAAAATTATTTTATTATTTCAGATCTTTAAAATTTTAACTAAATTCTTGAAGATGAAAATATGAAATTCCTCATGGGTTTATTGGAGCTTCGAATCATATCTGAAAAATTATCGAGTAAAATGATGGCACAATGGTCTCTCAATTCATTGAGATGCTAAAGAAGCTTAATAAAATAAAATAATTAATTGCATAAAATAGTTTGCTTAATTTCTTATCTCATATGAAAACTACTCGACCCTTTTATATCTATTTTTTAAATAAATATAATCAGGGCAGATCAATAAAGTAATTATATGAGACAGTTATCCAATTAAAATAAAATTCATTAAGCTTTTATAATTCAAGCAATATATTTATTAAATACGCAACAAAAATATTATGGCGAGCTTAAATGCTTATCCTTTCAATTTCCAGTCAGATTTCCAAAATTATCCTCGTGGGTATACAAATGCACGCCCATCTGCCCCACTTCTGCAGCCGTATCCAAATCCGGATCCAAGATATCCCCAACAGCCTTATCAGCAGCCTCCACCCTACAGACCAGCATTTCCAGCCAATTTAAAAATCGAAAAATCAATATCAAGGCTTTACAAGCTCTCGAGAATTATAAATGCTATATGTTTTATTTCTGGAGGACTTGGCTTCATCAGTTCCCTCTACTGGTTTAATTATATTACCTATCAGCAATATGATGCAAATAATCCTTCTAGTCCCTTGTTCGCTCTGATTGCTGCTGGCAACTTTGGAGTCTTTATAGCATCTGCTTTAGGAATCAGAGCAGCCCATCATAAGACAGTCAGAGCAATTAAAACTTACTTATGAGCGTTCATCCTTCTAGCAATATGCATAATTGTAGGATCATTTCTCGTATACCATGCTGACTCTAGCCTTTCCTCAAGCTCAGAAGTAAAAAATATGAAAAATGAGCCCGATTTCACCAAAGCTAACATTGAATTAGGAAATTTCCATAGCTCAATTTTATATAGAGGTCACTCTCTTCCAAGACCTAAGCCACGTTTGGAATCATGGAAAGAAATCAAAGATAGAAAATGGAATAAAACAATAAAAGTCAAAGCTGAATATTTAGAAGCAGGGGAAAATGAAAATAGTTTTGATGATGATTATACTGAACCGAGCTTTGAAGAAAGTATAAACTATGCATGGATAAATGCAGCTGTAATTGCAGCTATATTCTTTTCATATTCTATCTTACTCCCCCTCCCCTCCGTGAGCGAACTAAACTATTGAAAAATTCCCTATTTTTGGTCAAAAACCCATCCTCGGAACAAAAATTTTTTATGGAAAAAAAAATTATATATAAATTATAATTATTATAATGAAATCTATAGCTAATTCTGTTTAATTTTAAACCAATTGCGCTTTAAAACATAAATTTTAAATTAAATTAATATTTGCTTTCCAATTTTTTCGAATTAGGATTTTTTTAAAAAAAAATAAAACTCAGTGAGCGAACAAGATTTTTTGTTCACTCACGGAGGGGGGAGTTAGGCAAAAAATTCCTCAAAGCAGCTAAAAAATACGAATCCTTATGCTCTCAAAATAATTTTAATTTTCAACAACTGATACAGCCAACACCTGCTTACGTGCTCGCTCAACATCCACAAATGGCAGTAGCTGGCTCTCGTGTTAATTAAATTCCAACTTATTGATATAAATTCCCTCAATATAACCCTTAATTTTTATCTTTATTTTATTATTATTTCTCTACCCGATTTGAATTAATACAAACACAAATCGAGGTTAGTTATAATAATGGGAGACAAGATATTATGCATGGATAAGAAAGCTTGGTGGATTATTGAAATCATCTTCCTCATCACAATAATTGCTTTTGAGCTGGCCACTTTAGCAGTGAAAAGATGATTTAATCAAGGGGAGTCACCATTCGATTGGGAAGGTGGACTATTATGGCCTACAGAAGACAGTAAATACCACAGCCACGACTATACTTATTATCACATTTATGACAACTGTGACCCCGTCATGTACAGTGAAGGCTCCTGCAAAGGCTTCAGAAGGCTTTGGGCTGGCGGGTGCGTTTATGTGCTGTTTGAATGTTTTTCCTTACTTTTCCTGGTATTGACAATTGGAGTCCTTGTAGCAAACTTGTTTACCAAAAAAGTCGCGATTTGGCTAAGTCTTACATTTTATTGGAATGCAGTGATGTGGCAGTTCTTAGGATTCGTAATATGGGGAGGATTAAGCAAAGTCACCTATATGAAAGGAAATTGTGATGATAATAACTGAAATGGAGGTGAAGATCAAGCTAATGTTTGCGCAAAAGAAGGGGCCAAGCTATCTCTTTTCACTGTATTATATATTTTCATATCCTGTGCATTCTTTAACATCATATACCTGATAGGGCGAAAGAAAAAAGATGACGAGCTTCAAGGAATTGACAGACTGCCAGCATTTAAAGATAATAAAGAAAACCTTCTTGCAGATGAAGGTAAAACTCGAAAGAAGAAAAAGCATAAAATTCAAGAGCCAGAGCAGTAAGATTAATGTTCTTAATTACTAATAAGATTTTAGATTAACGAGGCAAAGAGAAATGCAAAAAGCAGCCCAATCGCAGCAGCAGAGCTATCATCACTATCCCCAGTGCCATGCCCTTTGTATAAGGCATAATAATCAGGGAACATAACCGCCAAAGTGCAGTCGTCAGCATTTTGGATTTTAGGGTATAAGCTAGTGTAAGTCAGCCAATATTTGAGTTCATTAAACTTTTCCTTCGACCAGTAACTTTGAATGCATGTATCACTAAAACGAGCATCAGTGTTGCATTTGGTTACAAAGCCAGAAGAAAGCCAAGCTTGAAGTGAATTCAAGAAACTTTGGTAAGGCGCGTCACCGTAAAACAAGTTGCAGTAGCTTTGGCCGACTTTATTATAGCCACAGTTGCAAACCTGTGAAAAGGAAGCTTGAGTTCGTGCGTCAGTGTTGCTTACACATGTAGAATCATCTCCACAATAAAGAGGTATTGTGCCTTTTGTTGTTGGGGCTGGAATGCACATGCTTGTTGTCGTATTTCCCCAACAATACCCTGAGGTGCATATAAGTTTTGTTAGCCCAGTTGAAGGGCATCCCATTATTGGTGTATAGTTTGGCAAGCTAAAATAAGGAGTGCACGTATTCTTGGTCGAACTAGCTATACTCATAATTCTGCAGCCGCATGTTGACTCACATTGGTTGTCATTTGTGCATCCTGTCTGGCCTGATTTTAATTGAGGAACGCAATAGTTTTCAGTTGAGGTCTTGTTGTAAAAGCAAAATTGTCCTGCATTGCAATCAGTGTCAGATGCGCAGACATCTCCTTCTTGACTTCTCTTGCAAACATTATCCACACAGCTACTTGACATACAATCAGAGTCGTAGGTGCAAACCTCACCGTTATATCTAAGTTCAGGGGTATTTCCATTATCATATATGCAATAAGCGCGGCCATTATTCACGCCAGATATATCGCATGTGTAGCCAGATGAGCATTTGCGAGTGTAATAGTTTGACCCGAAAACTTGGAGGCATACGCTTGAATCGCCAAAGGGTACAGTGTCTGGCTTGCAGCTGTATAGTGGACACGTCATTGAAACACCTAAATCAAGCTCCCATTCAGCATAGGCGAGAGAAATGAGAAGCACTAGAAGAGCAATTTTCATTTTTTCACCACTAAGAATATAAGTTAAATAAAATACTTTAACCCCTTTAAATTGGAAACATCAGTAAATTTCCATTTTTTGGGTAATTAAATTGGACAATAAATTTTTGAATGGACAATTTTATATGTGGAAATAATAATTTCTATTAAATAGTGCACACTTCAATAGAGGGAGTATAAGTAGAACTCTTTTAAACAGTTGGCACCCTGAATCAATTAATTTTATGAATGAATTCTTGAAAAAAATAATTAATATTTATAGATTTTTTATCATGAAATTTTAAAAAAAAAATAGAACAGAAATCTTTGTTTAATCTAAGCCGGGGATTTAGGAGCTAAAAGAAGTCATGGAATATAACTGCAAGTCTCAATGAATTTATGAATTTCCAGAGTTGTATCAGTTTCTATAAGCTTTTTATGTATAAAGAATGAATAAAAATGTTTAAAGAGAAGCTTGATCAAATATGCATAACTTGATAATCGTATGATAGCACCAAAACAAAAAATAAAGAGCATTCATAAAATTTTATATCAGATAGCAAGGTATTAAGTAATTTTGAATAAAGAAATCAATGAAGCACGGCAAAATAGATAACTAAAAATCAATTTGATTATTTTGGCACTTTATAATAGAAATGCAGCTAAGAGTATAAATTGATACTTTGGCATGCTAAGGAGTGGGATAAAATTAAGAAATCTCAATTAAATTTGGCTATCATTTTAGTTATTTAGATTAATAAACCAAGATGAAAAGCAAATATCAGCCCAATTTCAACTGCAGAGCTGTCATCAATATCGTCATTATCATTCCCCCCAGGAGTTGCATTTGGATCATAAAGCTTATAATATTCCGGAAACATAACAGCTAAAGTGCAGTTGTCAGAATTTTGAACTTTAGGATATAAGCTTGTATACGTTGACCAATATTTGAGTTCATGATATTTTTTCTCACTCCAATAGCTTTCAATACAAGAATAACTAAAGCGGGCATCAGTGTTGCACTTGTTCACATGTTCAGAAGAAAGCCAATCTTTAAGTACTTCCAAGAAGCTCTGATAAGGTGCATCTCCCGAAAATAGATTGCAGTAGCTTTGGCCATCTTTATTATAGCCACAGTTGCAGACTTTCGAAAAAGAAGCTCCAGTAACCTCATCAGATGTGCTTATACAGGCTGAATCGTCTCCACAACTAAGAGGTACAGTACCGTTTGTTGTTGGGGCTGGAATGCACATACTTGTTGTTGTGTTTCCCCAACAATACCCAGAAGAGCATATTAATTTTATTAGTCCATATTGAGGGCACCCTATTAAAGGTTCGTAATCAGGTAAACTAAAATAAGGGATGCATGTATTTTTATCATTGTTATTTTTATCCATAATTCTGCATCCGCATGTTGACTCACATTGGTTGTCATTTGTGCATCCAGCTTCTCCTGATTTGTAGACAGGAACGCAAAAAAATTCAGCTGAAGTTGTATTGGTGTAGCAAAACTGCCCTGCATTGCAATCAGTGTCTGATTTGCATGAATCTCCTTCTTCAGATCGCTTACAGATATGGTCAGCACAGTAGTCTGACATGCAGTCAGAATCGATAATGCAGACCTCACCATTATATCTAGGGGAAGGATCCTTAGGAGTTTCATGAATGCAGCTTGCACGGCCACTCATGACATTAGTAGTATCACACGTGCTGCCAGATTCGCAGGCACGAGAGTAATAGCTTGACCCAAATATCTGTAGACATACGCTTTGGTCAGCAAAAGTTACTTGCTCTGGCTTACAGCTATATAGTGGGCAATTCATAGAAATAGAAATTAAGTCAGTTTTTAGCTCTGCAAAAACTGTTGAGATCAAAAACACAAACAGAACTATTTTCATTTTTTCAACAATAATCGAGATTTTGAATAAAAGATAATGTAAAACTTTTTAAGAAAATGGTCATTACTACTTCACTAGATTTAATCAAAGATTTTCAAAATCTAAAAGGGCCTCTAAAACGGTGAGTTTTGATCACGATTCTTAATTTAAATGATAATCCGAATAAAATTATGCTTTCAACCTTAAATTTTTGTTTAATTATATTTATACATGGAATAATAATCTAAGTCGTTTGCAGAGCTCCAACTTAATTTTTATTTGCAATAGCTTAAATTATTAAACCTGAGCACTAACTTATGAGAAATTAATTAAATGCTTTGCAAGTTTAATGCATAACTATAGGTAATTATATGCTACTTCTAAAACAATTTCCATAAATAAAGCAAAAATGACTAACCTCATTATAATAATACTCAAAGCTAATGAATAATCAAATAAGAAGCAAAAACATTAAAACTCCAAAGCCTGGAAACAATTTATTTCTACCAAGTTTCCCCTCAAAATCTCCGCAAAATTTAAGCCAAGCCAAAAAAAACAAAAAATTCATCCAAAATAAAAAAGCCATAACTTTGACCCCAATTGATCAAATAAAGACCCAGATATCAACAGCTATACATGGTATCGAAAAGTCAAAATTCAATTTAGCTAGGCCAAAATCACCTGCAATAAAAGATATGAATACTCTTTGCACAATTCAAGCAATCACTCCTCCACCAGTTAAACTGAAACTTGTCAATTTGCACTTTAAAAATTTATCAATGGATTCTGCTACCCCTGAAGCAAGAATAATTTTTCCATCGTTGAGAGGTTCGTCAAAGCATGATTCACATGTTAGCAATAGTTCTCCGTATATATTAAAATAGAGCGGAGAGCTAGCCTAGCCTCTTAATATCTGTAGCGGTGCGATTTAGGGACCTTGTGGAATGGAGTACGGTGTTCGGTGATGTAACCGACTAGGTTTTAGGTGTTTTGGAGGAGCGCAATTTCGGATTAGGCTGACCGTGCAGGCTAAGGTTTTGCCTCTTGGAAAGCTGGAAAGGGAAAGCTCACCAGCAACTCTTGGCCAATCAGAGCGTTTCCCTGTGCGATGCCAGTGTTATATCCTGGGCTTTAATTTACATTTTCGTCCGCAGGTGGAAAGAAAATTCGATTTTTCGAATTTTTGGAAGGTAAGCAGGTTTACACGCAGGATGATGACCTATCGTTTATGATTGGCAAGTATTGAGTGCAAGTCCTTATCTGTCAGGAACAATACAATAATGGCCATGTTCGGGCTGATAAGTAAGCAGTGAAGCTTTTATAGAAGTGAGCAATGCCTGAAATATAGCTGCAGGGGATTTCTCTGATAATGCAATTAGGTTTGATTTTAAGCAATAATTCTCCATTAGATTTTATGAAAAAGAGCCCAATTTTAAGGAATAGACTTACTTTACTATTTAAGAAAAATAACAGAAAGCTAGGAAATGCAAAACAGGTAATCAAAACCAAAAGAGGATATAATGAGCTTAGAAGCTCAAGAAGCTTCACCAATTTTCTTGAAGAAAATTTGAATGAAACTGAAGATTCATATAATAATGACAGTTTTTTGGAAAATTATAAGACAAATTTGGAGGAAAATTTTCTCCAATCAAGATTCCAGATGTAATAACCCAGCATTTGAAAATATTAATAAAGCAATTTTCGTTAATTACTAATTTAATTTATATTATTAATTATAAATCATTTTACATCGATTTTCCACTCAAAGAAATAGTTATTTCTATGGTTCTCCTGCTTTCTAACGGCATATTTCGAAACCTGCGAAACTTAATAAAAAGGGTTTATTCAAAATATGAATTTAAATTTAAAAATGATCGATCTCACAACAGAGCAGCTTAGCTTGTTTCTTCCACAGATTGTAATTGACGACGCTTTAGAAGGGAAAAATCTTGATTTAACACCTTCATACCGTAGCACTACCTCATTATATAGTTACTCTTCTCCTGAACAATCTTCCAAGAGCCCGTTCACTCCATCTCCCCAAATTGCTCCACTAGAAAGCAGACTCCACTCATATTTATTCAAAAAACAGCACCATGAAGACTCGATTTCTCTAAAACTTGCTTCATTATTCGAAGACTTAAATTTGGAAAAAGAGGTTGAAAAAGAAGTCGCTGGATGTTCACATAAAGTAAAGCTTTGTGATGAAATTAATGAAGATTTCTTTGATGAAGTGCTCAAAAAAATCAATTTATTTGTAAATAAACAAAAAAAATTGAGTGCATATGCCCAAAGCTTCTGCCCGTTGGATTTCAATAAAGAAAATATCCCACCGCAAAGTATGCATTATAAATTAAGTTAAATTAAAATATTGGTGAAATTCCTAGTTGTGTTTTTTTTTAATAAATCTCTCATTTTATACTTCTCAATCCAAAAATTCAGCTTTTTCATAAAAATTTATAGCTCATTCTCAAGCTTATTTAAACATTTTTAACTCTGCCCTATCCTTGATCGAGCGGTACTATATAAAAAATTTCTTAAAATTGGAAATTAAACTAGCGTAAAATATTTTTTCACAAAAAAATTTTTTTAATATGAAAATTTTTAAGTTAAAATTTTTTTCCCAAATATTTTTTTTTTTTGCCCCATCCTTAATGGAAAGAATGACAATGATTCTATTGAGGATATGGAGTAAGTGAAATTAATCAACTTTTGCTATTTTAATGTGTTTTTTAATAAGATTTTTATTCAGATAAGTTTATTGAGATTTGTAAAATAAAAGATGTATGGAGGAGGTAATTATTATGCAGACGAGGTATCTGGAATAGTGCTTGATATTGGCTGCCATCTTACACGAGCAGGCTATGCAGGCGAAGACACACCAAAAGTTGTCATTCCTTCAGTAAACCCTAATTAGTACATTGGAATGATTGAAAATCCTGACCCAAACCAAATGGATGTTGAAGGTATCGCACCTTTCGCGGGCGAAAAAATCATGAAATACCGCGACTTTATGAAATTAGAACAAGTCTTCGCCGAAGGCGGAGACAAATCAGAAAAACTCGAAGAAATCTGCAGAGAAGCCATAGAGAACGAGCTAAAACTCAATCCAAGAGAGCATCCATTTTTGCTATCAGAGCCAAGCATCCATGACCGAGAATCCCGTGTCGCTTTAACAGAAATGATGTTTGAGAAGTTCCAGATCCCTGCATTTTACATAGTAAAAAGTGCAGTACTTTCGTCATTTGCATCAGGGAGATCTACAAGTTTAGTCCTAGATTCAGGCGCTTATACAACCTGGGCAGTCCCAGTGCACGATGGGTATGTACTTCAAAAATCTATTGTGAAATTCAATATTGGAGGGGAAACCATCACAGATGTTTTGCTTAACCATTTAGTAAGTCTGGGGGTAAACATAAGGCCACATTACACTTTTAATAAAACAGTCAAGTGCTTTGTGGAAGGTGGCGAAGTGCAAGGAAACCCTGAGTTCACGCTTGAAGATATCCCACGCCCAAATGTGGACCCATCATATCAAGATTTCAGCATAAGGGAAATCGTCAGAGATATAAAAGAAACAACTTTTAAGGTCAGTGACAACACATTTTCAGAGACTTCTTTCGCAAATGTGCCTTCATCAAGCTATGAGCTGCCTGATGGCACACAAGTTCAGCTTGGGAATGAAAGATATAGAATTCCTGAGCTGCTGTTTTCCTCAGGTATAGAAGGAGTTATTGGGTTTTCAGGGGTCCATCAAATGGTTTATGACTCAATTACAAGGTGTGATATGGACATCAGAAGAGAATTATATGGAAATGTCGTGGTTACTGGCGGGAATTCACTTTTTGGAGGCTTTACAGATAGATTACACAAAAAATTGACAGAGCTTACAACCCAGAACATGAAAGTAAAATTAATTGCCCCTCAAAGCACCATTGAAAGAAGATTCAGCTCATGGATCGGAGGGTCAATTTTAGCCTCTTTGGGGAGCTTCCAACAGATGTGGATGTCGAAACAAGAGTATGACGAGCATGGAGCTATTTTAATTGAAAGAAAGTGCCCATAATAACTTAATAAATTTAGATTATTTTTTCATAGTCATGCTTTTAGGCAGCAAATGAGTTGTAGGAAATCCAAATTCTTTCATCAGAGTTCCAGCTGGGGTGAAGCCTCGAGGATGCAGGATAGTCAGCTCTGGGGGAGGTTTTTGGTACTGCGAGGGTCTTTGTACATAATCATTGAATTTTTCAATATTGGTAAGCAAAACTGTTTTATAGCGCTTTGAGACTTGATCCATAGAAGGCTGTCCAAATTCTCTGCCAACTTGAGGAACTAGAATTGGCTTTGAGCCTGGAGGAGCTTTGAAGCTTCTTTCGGGTGCCATTGCTTTGGCAGTTTCCCAGGTTGATAGGACACAAGGCTTTAGGGAAGCAACTGATGCAAATTCAGAATTCTGTGCACCTGCCCCTTTTCATCGTTTTTTGTATTTTGCTTGATTTTTTAATTCTTCTAGAGTTTTAGGTTTTGGTTTTGTTCTTCTTTTGTCCTAAGTTAATATTACGATTTTGTATTTTTTCGGACCATCAAGATCAAGGTTATTTCTTCAGCCAAGGTATTCTTCCCTCAAACTTTGCATGTGCTTAACAATTTCTTGAACTTCGGACATTTTAACTGATATAGACCTAAATTTTTATTTGATAAAAACTATTTCCATGTTTCAATATTCTGCCTAAAATATAAAGCTTAGATATGCAACAAAATAAATTTTAGCCTTGATAAATAAATAAAAAATATATTTAAGTTCATATTATTTCTTGCAAAATATGTTAATTAAATATTAATGCAGCTAAAATTTATCTTTTAATAAAATAGATATGGTAAGTTTTTTTTTCCGTTTGACTAGAGATATAATATCTTCTAGATCATTGATATGATAAAAATGAATATGCTCATATATTGGTAACTTATGTTACCATAAAATAATATCAACTTACAATTTATCACCATTAATGATAATGCTTAGGCTATTTTAAGACATAAAAAATATGCTTGCTGATCGTCTACATAAACAGTTAATAGCAAGTAGCCAAAGACAGCCAACTGTGAAAGATAGCTATGGCGTCCATTTTGAGTATCACGATCTATGTGCTCGACTTCTTGCATTACAAAATACTTTAGAATCGCCAAATCAAACACATTAACATTAGATTTATATCGTTTAGCGCCCACTACAGAGCAGCTGTTTCCAGAGCTGCCACCATATTTATACACGTTTTGGGCCCATGGACCTCTGGATCAATCCACTTCGTTGCGCCAGGGTACGAGCAAATACAGCATTCCAGCTTCGAAGGGCTGCGTTGCCTCGCTCCTTTAACTCAGCTCCAGCGCGTATTCCTCCTAAGGGTGAACCTCCTCGAGTGTTCTGAGAGGTAAAACTTCGAGCTTCTTGTAGTACTTGGAGCAGTGCCTCGGGTTTATCCTCCAGAGTTAAACTGCTGCTATACAGAAGTTTTCAGAAGAAAACCCAACCCCATAAATAAAATTCCATGAGGGAGAGAAAATTAGCGGAGCTAATTTCTCTCATTTTATTTATGGAATCGCCAAATCAAAAAGAAAACCAAAAAAGCAAAACAAATAAAATCCCAAATTTGATTGGGTTAGAGTTCATTACAGCTGTACCGACTGAAATTAAGAGTGATAGGGTTAGATATATTCATGATGGAAACCTATTCAATGCTAACTTCCTTAAGCCTAAGAAACAAAAACTAATTCTGAGAAACTCAAGTGGATCAATTAGAAATTTATCACAAATTCATATAAGCGGTTCTTCAACAGAGCGAAGGACTATTTTTGACAGAGTAAAATCGGTATACGGAAAGCAAAAAAGCGTGGGTGTACATAAAAAACCAGAAAATCTAAAAATTGCACCTCTAAATTTGAACCGGGTGCCATCATTACCCAGCAATGCATCTTCAGGCCGAAAAACATCATTGATGAAGAAAACAAAAAGCAAAGCTTTATTTATTAGAAAAATTTAATATGATTGTTCATTTAGATTTATAAAAAATTATAATCTAAATCTTTTATAAATAGTGGAATTAATTTTAATATAAACTTCTTTCAATTTATGCGATTTGCGATTTTAGGGAAAAATCAAACTTTTGTAGTTATTTTGAGATTTGAAAATATGAAAAATATTAGAAGCAATATTTTTTTTATTTAATCATCCACGGAATTTATTCGAAATTTGAATTAAACAGAAATTAAATTTCATGGCTTAGTTTCCTTTTAATTAGAAATTTTATTTTATTCATTAATTATTGTAAATTTAATTAAATTTTTAAACTTTGATATGGTAGGAAATCTGACTATTTTTCACAATGGCGTGACATAGTTAAGACATAATTGCTTATATTAATTAATCCATTTTCAAAGAATGGGTCAAACGCAGCCTAAATCAATAATTCACTCCCAACTGAAGTCAAATGCTAACAATTACTCTTATGAAACTGTTGAAAAGTCAAAATCCCTCCTATTCCCCAAAATTCTCAAAATTTTCATCTCAAATGAAGTTTTCCATATTTCCGTCCCAGATGATTCTCTTACATGTGGCTGATTGCTGTCAGAAGTGATAAGAAAATACAAAGGCGACCAACACATAGTCACACTAAGAACCAAAAACAACATCGAAATCCTCGACCATTGACTAAATTCATTCGAACGATCTCTGCAGCCAATTAGATTAGATTAGATTATGCTGTTCGCCTTGCTGGGCCGGGATTTCCACCCCTACACATTCATCCCTCTCGCGGGAGGCTTGACGGACACCCTCCCTGTTGCCGCAAACAAGAGATTCGCGCACCAGTCTTGAGTTTCATGGCTCCTGAAGTATAAGGGCCAACCATCTGGATCGAAACTCCCAGTTTCTCGTTAGGCAAATACCGTCTTCAAGGACTGAGGGTCATATTGCTTTCAAACATTGGCCGACCTTGCCCTTTCCAATGGCTGTTCTAAAGGAAAAGCTCTAAGCCCAGGAATTAGCTCCCTGGGCCCGAGGAAAACCCAGCCCGAATATGCATAAAAGATTACCGGCCCCTTGCATCTAAATTCCCAACACTGGGCCGTTGTCTGCTGCTGCTGTTGAGGAAATAGGGTAGAGAGGTCGGGTGGTCTGTCATCGCCATTTTTATGTATATATGCAGCCAATTAAACACTATGAAGAATTAATAGCAAACTTTGGGGAAGCCCTTAATGGGGAAATCAGCGCTTCTCATTTCGAAGTAATAAAAATCATTGGCAAAGGCGGGTTCTCACACGTAGTTGAAGCAAGAAAAAAGGATAACGGTTTACTATATGCAATCAAAATTATGAATAAAGATTTCGTTAGAAGCGAAGATAAAGTCAACCAAATTTTCGCTGAGCGAAATATTATGAGCACTGTAAATCGGCTCCATGTCAAATGACCGTGGATTTTTGACAGTGTACATTACATCGAAATCCATTGGTCGAAAATTTTTGATAGTGTGGACATTTGGCCAAAAATTAACGATTTTTTTCGGTCAAATGTCTCACTATCATCAATTTTCGGCCAAAAATTTTTCGGTGAAATGGACACTATCAAAAAGGCAAAGTCATTTGACCTGCACCCCTGTAAATCACCCTTTTATAATTAAAATGCATTGGGCATACCAAACTGCCTCAGAGCTGCATTTAGTAATGGATTTCTGTCCTGGTGGGGAATTGTTTTACCATTTGCATAATGCAGGAAGGTTTACTGAGGATCAAGCAAGATTTTACTTTGCAGAAATTTTGCTGGGGATTGAGTATTTGCACACTCGAGATATAGCCTATAGAGACTTGAAACCTGAAAATGTCTTGCTGGATATTGATGGCCATGTAAGGCTAACTGACTTTGGGCTTTCTAAAGAAAATTTAGGAAAAAGTGAACGAAGCTATAGCTTTTGTGGGTCACCAGAGTACATGAGCCCAGAAATGTTGACAGGCTTTGGACACAATCGAAGTGTAGATTTTTATAGGAGTTTTCCCTATATTGCCCGATAAGGGCCGTGTGTTCTCCGTGGAATTCCTCTGTTGGTCAAACCAACTCAGTGCTTTGGTTTGAAGAATTCACTGGTTGGTTAAACCAGCAGAGGGATTCCTCGGAGAACCCACGGCCCTTATCGGGCCATATAGGGAAAACTCCTATATAGCTTAGGATCACTATTATATGAAATGCTCACTGGCCTACCACCTTTTTATGAAGAAAATCGTGCAAAAATGTATTGGAAAATCCTAAATGAGCCTGCATTGATTCCAGGCTACATCAGCAAAGCAGGCAGAGATTTACTGCAGCGATTACTAGTCAAAATTCCTGAAGACAGGCTTGGATCTGTAAGGGGAAGTGAAGAAATAAAAAATCATCCCTGGTGCTCAGGAATTGATTGGTTTAAACTTTATGACAAAAAAATCCAGCCTCCTTTTAAGCCAAGCATTCATGGCTCTAATTTTGATTTATCCTATATGAATGCAAATGAAAACCAGCTTTCTAAGCCTGTATCTCTCGGAAGCCAAAAAATGGTTGCAAAGGATGAGTTTTTTGGTTTCGATTATAATGAAAATATGCACAAACAACGAAGCAAAACAGAAAACATGTCATTTCTTTCCACAGAAACCAGTGGTTCTTCAGCCCACAAGCAGATAAAGCATTCCTTATCATCTCTTTTCACAAAAGAATCCCATCATTTGAAATCAATTTCAAATATAAATATAGAGCAGCAAGCCTCACAGTCTTTAAAGAAAGATGAAATAATGTCAGTGGAAAAGGTAACAAAACGACGAAAAGAGGACTTTGAGGAAATTCACCATGTCAGAAAATCACCGTTAGGCCCTGAAATGATGTCGATTAAAATTCAGCCAAAGCCATTAAGATTAGGAATTAAAAGAAACACCCGGAGAAGAACCAGTGAAGTCGATTTACATAGACTGGATGATTTAAAGAAAAAAGGAAAAGTCAATGTATATCATAGAAACAACGTTTATTTTGATAAAACTGCTATGAATGTAGCATTCTAATGTAGAATAATATTAATTAAAATATTTTTTAAAGCAAAATCAGATTTAGCTTTGTAGATGGGTTTTAATCGCCTTGATTATGCTATCAGGTGTTGATGGTTTTGGTAAAAAATTTACCATTCCTGATTGGAAGCATAGTCTGATATCCTCATCTGAAGTATATGCAGAATATCCTATTATGCGTGGAGCAGTTCTTAGTTTTCCTTGACAAAAAAGTTGATCAATTGTCTTTGCTGCTTCTCAGCCATTCATTTCAGGCATTTCACAGTCCATTAAGATTACTTTATAAGGCTTATCTTTCATGTCTTGAGAAATAACTTTTTCGACTGCACATTTTCCATTTAAAGCTTCATCATAAGTGATACAGTTTCTTGATAATATTGATGCTAAAATTTCTAAATTTAATTCCATGTCATATATTATCAGAATAAATAAAATAGTATTCGGTTTGAGAGAAATATGCTTTGCTAATTTTCTTTCCATCATGGAATTTTAATTATGGGTTTTTGTTTTACATCGAGATACCAAGCAAAAGCGGTCTAATTTATGTCTTTAGGCTGGATCAACAGCTCCAATGGCTTCAAGATGCTCGATTTTCCACCTGTGGCGAAAAAATCATTGGAAAATCTCTATTGTTTGACCAACAATCCATAATTGAGCAAAAAAATTTTTTATGAAAAAATATTATAATATACCAGTGATAACTTCGAAAAAATTATAGCTCATTTTTGTGCACCAGTAAACTCGTTTACTGACTTCAATAAGTCTGGTATTTTGCAGCCAGTAAAATAATTTTGCTAGTGCTCAAAAAAGATCAAATTGCTTTATAATAAAATTTAAATATCGATTTTTTATAAAAAAAATTAACCACTTCCGAAGCGAACAAATTTTTGTTTGGGGACGGTCAGCCCACTAGAGAAAGTTAGCCTTTAGGCGGAACACTTGCAGGAACTGAGCCAAGGGAGGGTGATGAGATATGTGCCAAGTGAGATATAAATCTGATCTGTAGTTCAATTTTTTGGAATCCCTGCCACATTGTGCGCCATTTTAAGTTCAGGATGGCTCGTGATGGCACTATTTCAAAGCCAAGCCCATTAGCTTTATTGGCACGAGACGCTTAAAATAATTAATTAAATTTTAATTGTCATCTACAATGAGGACTTCTTTTTCTGAAGAATCTATATAGTCTTGGCCAGACATCACAAAAGTTGAGGCTTCCTCATTGTCATAATCTTCAATTGTATCGCAAAATTCATTAGGAAAACTATTTTCAAAATAATCAATACTAAAATAAAATACTGAGCCTTTTCCAGGAATTGAGCTTACTTCAATTGACTTGCCTCCTAATTCTTTCACTAAAAGATTCGATATATACAATCCAAGCCCGCAGCCGGTAGGTGTGAGGACTGGAATACTTGTGCAGCTAGTACAATTAAACAAGTTAGTTGCTGCATTTTTCTCTATACCAATTCCTGAGTCTTCTACAAAGCACTTTAATTTATTCTCAACTGTTGAAATGCAGCAGATTTCAATTTTCCCCTTCAATGTATATTTTATCGCATTGCTTACTCCTCTCCTTGAGCGAGCAAAACATTTATTAGATAATAATCTTTTTTTTTTAAAAATTGTAAATTAATAATTATTATAGGCTGTTAGGCCTTTTGAAAGCCTGTAAATTGGTCTCCTGGTTGAGGGCAGTTGCCTGTTCTGACTGGGTATAGTCGACTAGTTGTGAACATTAGACCAGTTTACTGGTATTCACTCAAAAATCCTATAATTTAATCCGTAAAATTTATGTTTTAGAATAGAAGAAGAAGTTTAAAATTCAACAGAATTAGCTTAAAATTTCGTTATAATAATTGCTACTTATAAGAAAAAATTTTTTTGTTCACTCACAGAGGGTTTTTCCTATGGTCTTGGTTAAGGAGAGGAGTTAGCAAATTTAAAATTATTTGATTGAATCGCAATGGGTCAGTATAAATAAACTCAGGCAATTCAGGGGCCAGTCTAATAATAAACTGTAATTTTTTCTTTTCTGCTTGGTAATGAAATAATTCGCATATGCTTTTTATACTTTCCCGCAGATTAAAAAAGCTTTTTTGGATAGAAAATGATCCAGCCAAGATTTTTGAATAATCGAGCAAATCATTTGTTAATGAAAGCATAAGCTTGCTAGAAACAGAAATAATTTTTAACTTTTTAAATTCTTCATTTGATTCACTTTTGAAAGATGGAAGCACTGAATAGGCACAGGGTGACTGGAGAGCTGATCCCAACCCGAGGAAACTGGATCCTATTCTTTGGAAGTCCAAGATGAGTTTTTGCTTAGTCAGGACACCATGAAAGGCTTTTTATTCTGGACGAGACCGAAGGTGCAGAGTCGGCTCACACTTCTATGAAGAAATATGTGCTTGCTAATACAGGGCGCTTCCCCGTACTCTGAACACAGCCAGAGATTAAGGGAGCCTGCGCCGTAGAGCTAGACCAAGAAGGCTCGTCAGACTTATTATTAACCTTTTTTGGTGTTATCGACAAAAGGGCCTTGTGTGACACGGACACTTAGTGCCACCTCTAGCCTGAAGTCAACTAGCAAACTAGCACAGAGATGGACTTTATAATCCTGATAAATTTACTATAACTTAGCTAACTCATTTGCTTCTTTCTGAAAATTAGAGAGTAAGTCATTGGTGAAGTATGTTATTGAGTTAAGTGGAGTTTTTAATTCATGAGAAACAGATCTTAATAGCAGATTTTTCATTTGGCCATTTGAAAGCTTTTTTTCCAATTCAATAATTTGATTAGAATTTTTAATTGTCAAAAAGAGTGCAGATTTTCCTTCTCATTGAATTTTGCACGCTTTTCATACCAGGTTATTATTTCCAATAAGTGTGATTCCAAGCGTGATTTCTTCGTTTACATAATTTTCTAAAAGATAGTCAATATCATCTGTTAGAAATTCTGTAGTGGTAAAATTTGATACTTTTTTATTTTCACAATAATGTATTTTTGATAAAGTCTCGAAAAGATTTTCGGAGCTCGTCCCGAGTAAATTAATCGTGTAGGAATTATAAAATTCAATTACTTTGTGACACACAATATTTAAAATGGCAGTTAGGGATGGTCCCTAGTCCTGATCCACCAGGCAGGACCCATAAACCGAACTCAATGAGAGAAGTCAAGCTTCTTGAAAGTATCGGCTTGAAGAGAAGTGGTCAATGATGAGGCTGGTACTAACTAGCGAAGTCTGAAAGGGCTTGATAACTTTAACGATTCGACGGTTAGGCTGGTTCACCTACCGTTTTTCAGAGCTGTTATCGTAGCTGAACCTCAAGTAAAGAAGACTTACAACGCACAGAATGTGAGAGAGAAATTCATTAAACTTTGTGATAAGAAATAACAAGAATTCCGTCAGAAATCGACTGAGTTATTGTATCAAGTCTATTTCTTGAAGACTCTAACTCTTTGCGATAAGCATAGCGCTCGTATGCTATATTCATCAGATGAGAATGCCCATAGTTTAAAATTCCAATGAAGAGACAGGTGGAATTTAGAGGCAAAGATCTTTGCTCATTTCGAAAGAAAATTCCATGATATTCCCATAGATACAAGAATTTTAAAACCATGAGGTTAAAAATTCATTTGTTTCTTATCATAGTAAATTGGAAAAAAGTTACCATAAGTAAGGCGATAATTTCCAAAGTAGATTTTTGCTCCTTTATATAAAGTGAAATACAATTTAATGATAAGTTGAAATATTCAGCATATATTATTGATACAATTGCTTTGTATTTGATATCTTTATTTGAGGCATAACGGATAAATACAGTGATAAGCCCTGTAAATACAAATATTGGAGCAAAAATATACTTTCAAAATTGCCATTGCTGCAAAACATAAATAAAATGGAGGAGACACTGGCCAGTCCTCTGCCTGATCTGTGAACCTTGCTAAGCCTGAAGCGAAACCGAGCAGGAAATGGAATTTATGGTACTGGGTATTTGCGTTCCGGTTGGGATTTGCCCCCCTCTTCTAGAAATGAAGACTTTGTGCCTCCTATAGGCATTTAGAATAAACGCCTTTTAGCTCTAGTGCTGGCAAGGAAGGCACAGTTGGCACCGATAATAGCTAGGGAATTTATCCTAGCCAAAACATTAGTCACTTAAGCAGCAGCCGTCAAGCCCTAAGGTGCATACTTCAAGGCTCCGAAACAGCATTAAAAACCAGGTCGAAAGCCGGGTAGAGTTATCTCTGGTGGAAATGCTGACATTCAGTGAGTTTCTCTAGCAACTAAACGAATCTTCGAAGACTCGTCTGGGTGAGACGTAAAAAGAGGAAGAGCATTAATCTATAATTAATCTTAATGCCATTGCTGCAGAAATACATTCCAAATGATAGAAAGCAGAAAATAATACATGAAAAACTTGCTGAAGCGAATCAGGCATAAATAAATGCCTTCAATTTCTTCTTGAAGCCAATTTGATTTACCATCTTTCATTTTATGTAAAAAATCAGAAACTTTTGCTTTTTCGCATCAGTAATTTAACGGATTTGAAGAGAGAGTTATAATTTTAATAATCATCGAGGCTCTTTATACTTTTTGTATTGACCCACATTTTCAGAAGCCAATTTAGTATTTTTCCCTTGTATATAAACCAAAACATCCAATTATTTAATTTTCCATCTAGCGCCCCATTAATTTACTCTCTAGATCAAAAATTAGTATTATAAACACCTTTTACTTTTTACAATAATAATCATAGAGACATTTTAAAAAATATTAAATATTCGCATACTCATTTATTATCAACAAAAATTCTTATATCATCTTAATTAAACATGATTCTGTTTTGCGCAGTATTTATTTAAACATATAAAACCAGACCAATTTATTAATTTCAATAGATTAGTAGTCTTGAAAACTATGGTACTGTTTATACAATTATCTATAAAATCTTTGGCTTTATATTATATAGATTTTATTTATTTTTAAAAAGTTTAGCTATGCTAAAATTTATATGTCATCTAATTTACAAATACTTTCTCACTGTATTTATTATAATCTCTGGGGGGCACGGCTTTGTCAAGTAATCTGTCATTCCACACTCAAAGCAAGCATTTTTATCTTCATCAGAGGTATATGCTGAATACCCAATAATTGCAGGCATTTTTTTAATTTCTCCATCGCTATGTGCTTTTAGTAATCTTTTTAGTGGCTTCAAAGCCACTACACAAATAAAATGGCGACACCGACCCGTCCTCTCCCGAAACTGAGGCGAGATTGGGGACCTTGCTGCGGCCTGAAGCCAATCCGCCAGGGAAAGGTCTGGAATGGGTACTGGTAGTTTGTGTCTGGCTAGGCTTCCCTCCCAGTCCAGCAACGACGATCCTAGGATAGTCCCGATAGGACACGGGGTAAAAAGGGTTTTTCCTCTAGGGACTGCTAGTGCCAATTTGGAGAGCATGGCAGGAGCCGACAAGAGCTAACGAGTTAATCCTTAGCTCTAACCCTAGTCTGGCGACGTGAAGCACGGTGACCCAGTCCGCCTACTTCCGGGATAGCATGACCAAGCCCCATGACCGGAAGGAGCTGAGTGGCTTCAAAGCCACTAATTTCTGGCATATTACAGTCCATGATAACAACTTTGTACATTTTTTCTCTTTTCTCATAAGATAAAATTTTATTAATAGCATCTCTTCCATCACAAGCTTCTCCATACATAATATTGTATTGGGCTAAAATTGAGCCCAAAACAATCCTATTAAAATCATTGTCGTCGACAATCAACACATCTAAAGCTTTTTTAGAGCTTTTTTCTTTATATTTATTCATATCAATAAAATCCACGAGTTCATCGTCAACTGTGACAACTTTTTCATATTTTTCGTTGGCTTGACTATCTTGATGAATATTTATTGAAAAATGAAAAATAGAGCCTTTTCCTAACTGAGAGGAAACTTTTATAGGTTTTCCGCCTAGAACTTTTACTAAAATATTAGAGATGCAAAGCCCAAGCCCACTTCCTTGAGGATTAATAGTAGGAATATAGGACGTGCTGAACTCTGTGAAAAGCCTATGCCTGACTTCTTCAGCCATTCCGATACCTGTGTCTTCTACATAAATTTTCAATTTATTTTTATTGCAAAGAACACAGCTTATTTCAATTCATCCTTTCAAAGTAAATTTCAAGGCATTGCTTAATAAATTTAGAATTATCTGACTCAGTCTAAGTGGATCTGTATAAAGAGTTTCAGGGATTTCTGGGTCAATTCGAACTTTCAAGCTTAAGTTCTTTTTGCTCGCTTGTAAACTAATGAGTTCATATGCATTCATCAGGATATTTTTAAAGTTGCAAGATTAAAATTAAAAGGGTTTAAAGCATTCCAGATTTGATGCTTCCGCACGCTTGTGACCACCTGCGCCACCTTAACGAAGGAAACCAATTGCCTAGTTCCTCAAAGGCGGTCTACTCACGTGACCTGGGGCGACATCGACATCCCTGAGTTTCGACGGTTTAGGACCCCTCCTCTTGCTGTACGTCTTTGCGGGTGCTGTGGAGACAAAGTCAGCCAATGCCCCCTGTCGACCACCTTGAGGCTCAGTAATACCCAGGAATAAAGAACTACTGTCTATCGGAACTGGGAGGAAAAGACCTGTAGCCCAAAACCATCCGGATAACTAATACTTGGACTGGACTCCCGAAGTTTACCCACCTCATACGGACGATCAAGGTAATGCTAAGGGTTAGAGTTAATGGGCTTGAATCTTGGTTTAAGCTATAAAATCATTTTGAAGCCCAAAGTAGTGCGACCTCCGTCAGGACATATTCCGTCACCACCATCGTATTAATTATTAAAGTTGCAAGGAGTTTTCTTTACTGCAAAAACTCCAGCCAACATTTTTGAGTAGTCAAGTAAATCGTCAATAAGTGAAAGCATCAATTTCGATGAAATTGCAATGATTTTTAGCTTATTTTTTTCGTCTTCTGATTTATTATCTATTGCTTTAGTAATTAACTCATTTACAAAAAAATTGATTGAGTTCAGCGGTGTCCTTAGTTCATGAGAAACAGACCGTAATAAAACAGTTTTCATGTTGTCGTCAGCAATTCTTTTTTCAAGCTCAATTATATGGTTTACGTTTCTTGCAGTTAAAAAGAGAGCTTGATGGTTTTTTCATGCGATTTTTCTGGCTTTTCATTCCAGTTTAATAGTACCTAATTGAGTGATTCCAAGAGTAATTTCTGTGGCATCTAAATGGTGAAAGGCATAGTGAATGTCATCAATGAGGAAATTTGAGGTATTAAATCCTGACTCCCCTTCCGTGAGTTGTTCCCTCACAGAGGGTTTTTTTTTAAAGCATTTTTGTTCGCTCACGGAATGCGGGTTTTTACCCAAAAAATAGGGATTTTTCCAAATGTTTTGTTTTCTCACGGAGGGGAGTGAGACTTTTTTATCAGGACAATACTCATATTTCGAGACCTCACGGTAAATTTCGTCTTGGCTGCAGTGCAGCAAAGTCAGAATATTTTCATTGGTAAATTCAATAGTGTTTGCTTCTGATAAAATAAGAACTCCATCAGAAAATGCTTGAGAAATAACCTTAAATCGGTCTTTCGACTCTTCTAGCTCTTTAAAATATAAAAATCGCTCATATGAGATTTTTCGTTTGTAGTAACTATGTACATTGCACATCAACAAAATTGCTATAATTTATTGCTATAATTTCTTATAGCGTTCCACGTGTGGGATTCTGCTCCACACGTGAAAAAATTTTTAGCATGTGAAGCCTGCTTATTGGCTTGCTTCCACATGCAAAAGATTTTTCAGCGTGTGGAACAGAATCCTACACATGGACGCTATCAGAAATTATAGCAAAAAAGTATAGGATTGTATTGAATTGAATAACATTAGCTGCTGCTGAATTAAATATCATATCATGCACAAACCACATATAAACATACTTGAGCAGCAATAAATTCAAAATATATTTATTACTTACCATAGGAACTTGAAGTTGAGTAATTAAAATAAAAGAAAACGACTGAAATATGCAAGGGTAATCTTGATTGATTTGTTTCGAAAGAAAACAGCATGTATTATAAACTTCGGTAACTGCGAAAGCTACAAACATCTTTGTTTTCCAGCCTTTATCACTGAAAAATGTCAGTGTCATGCATCCAAGCGAGTGCGTGATAATATAAGCAAAGTTTTCTATGAGAGTATTATAATTTCATATCACATCTGAAATTCTTGTAGCGATAGAAACCAAAGCGAAAACATAGCTGAAATAAAGTAAAAGCTTGAAGAGATAATCGATTTCTTCTGCCCACCACAACTTGCGGAAGTTTTCCATTAAATGACTTATATTTGTTAAATTAATTATTGATTCACAGCTAATGAGTAAAATGGATAATCTTGCTTATGCCAGATTATTATCAAAATGCTGGGAGTTACAATTTAAAATTTTAAGTCATTTGAGGTAGCTTTAGTTGTTTTTACAAGTGCTTAATTAGTAATGAATATGTAAACTTTGATTAAGGAAAAATTGCTATTTGCGCTATTAAAAAGGGATAGTTAAGTGCAAATAAATGGAGAATTATTTACAGTGATAAAACAACTATTTGACATTTAATCTAGTGTATTATAAATTTAACTGCAAAGAAATATGGCCAATATCCAAATTTATTAGAAACAGCTTTGCTTACTTACTTACTTACTTACTTACTTAGTTATCTGGTGTTTAAGGTGTCTAGTGCCGCAGCCCAAAAGGGCCTATGGCAAAACTAGTGACGTAGGCGAGCCATCTTGGAACAGGTCAGTCCTGCCCAAGCCATTCTACAACTCCTGCTTCACCAGCCTTGCTACACTTCTCACCCGGCGCGATGCTGTCGCCCTTGCCTCGACTCAGCTCCTGCGCGTGTTCCGCCTGAGGGCCATCTTCCCGTGGAGATGTGCTGAGAGGTAAAAGCCCGAAATCTTGAGAGGACTGAGGAGCAGTTCCTCTGGTTATCCCCAGAGTTAAACCGCTATTGCTGTCCAGAAGTTCTCGAGTGAAAACCTAACCCCATAAATAAAATTCCATGAGGGAGAGAAAATTAGCAAAGCTAATTTCTCTCGAACCGAATGCCATTTTATTTATGAAACAGCTTTGCAGTCTGTAAATATAGCTCATCCACACTCATGAGTCACTATGATCCTGATATCTCCCGAAACGATCAGAGTGTTGGTTTAACAAGCAAATCTTTGCTAAATTAACCTTCTTAAATGGCATATTTAGGGGATTTATTATTTCAAGGGTGGGTTTCACCAGCCCTCTGATCATCCCGGGAGACGTTGAAATTATAGCGATCTACCAGCGTGGATACGCTATATTATTGTGCTGAATTTATATAGAGCATAATACAAATATTTAACAATAGCTTTGATTATGTCGTCAGGAGGACAAGGCTTTGGTAAATACCCAATCATCCCACTATCAAAGCAGAGTTTTATATCTTCATCAGAGGTATAGGCTGAATATCCAATAACTTTCGGTAGATTTTTAATTCTTCCTTCACTATACAGCTGATGAATCCGCTTTGTGGCTTCTCATCCGTTCATTTCAGGCATATCACAATCCATAATAACGACTTTATAAGGAATATTTCTTAGATCTTCTTCTATTATTTTTTCTAAAGCAATTCTTCCATTTAAGGCTTCTGAAAAAGACATTTCATAGTTCTTTAAAACAGATGCTACTATTTGTAAATTGAATTCTGAGTCATCAACAACCAAAATATCATGCTTTTGAGATTTTTTAAATTCTCTAATTTTGGTAACCATTTCAATGTTAATATCTTCGCTGGCAGGCTTAAAATAGTGTTTTTCGAAATCAAATGCATTTATACTTTCTTCGAAAATCTCTATATCAAAACTGAATTTAGAGCCTTTACCCATTTTTGATTTTGCCTTAATGCATTTACCCCCTAATTGCTTAACTAGCAAGTTAGATATTCCTAAGCCAAGTCCGACCTCTTTCGCGCAGGAATATATGATGCTGCTAGATTCAAAATCCTTAATCTCTCTCTAGAGCAAGCAAACAATGGAAAGCTCTATTTTTTAAAATATAAAAACTACTCCGAGCGTTTATACAATAGTTTGAAATATAAGTAATAGTTGATATAAAGAAATATCTAGCTAATTATTATTCTAACTCCAATCATTTATGAGAGAACAAAAAACCTTTATTCCCTCAAGGAGGGATTTAATTTTTTTTTAATATAAATTTTATAGTATTTTTTTTCTAACTGTTAAAAAGTTAAATGGAAGGTAAAAATTACTTTAATTTGTAAAATTTATGTTTAAATGCAAACTGTTTAAAATTTAACTGAATTAGCTAGAGAATTCATTACACTAATTATCATATATCAACTGTTTTTTTAATAAAAATTGTTTTCGCTCATAGAGAGTAGGTTTTGATCAAAAAATATAGATTTTTACAATAATTTTGTTCGCTTAAGGATGGGAGTAAAACATAATCTTATACTTTAAATTTTTGGAAATTATTGTTTTAAATTTAATAAAAAGATCCCTCAATAAGAAAGAAAAATAGTGATTGCTAATGGAGAGAAGAGCTAATGATATTGCTTAATATATGCTGGCTAATTCCAATTCCTGTATCTTCAACGCAGCATTTCATAGTGTTTCTTGTGGTCATGATACAAGAAATTTCTATCTTGCCTTTTATTGTGTTTTTTACAGCATTATTAACCAAGTTTAACAGAATTTGCCCAAATCTCACAGGATCTATGAAAATTTCTTTTGGGATGGAAGGATCAATTCTACTTACACTTTCGAAAAAAAAATTATTTATCTAATTAAATAATTTAGCATCTATATTCTAAAATTTAAATTACTAGAACAAAACTAACTAAATGAAATAATGAAGTAATTTTGTCAAAAGACAGAGTTATAAAAATTAATCCTTTTCTATCTGACTGTGGTTGCATCAGCTCAAAAACATTCTGAATCAGAAGATTTAGCCCACAAAATTGCTTTTGAACTTTAAAAACGCCCGATAAAATTTTTGAATAATCAAGGAGATCATTAATAAGCGTTAACATAACATTGCTAGAAATCGAAACAATTTTAAGTTTTTTTATCATGTCATCTAAAGGCTGTGAAATCATAAGATTTCCCATAACCTCTTTTGTGAAATATATAATAGAATTCAATGGGGTTTTAAGTTCATGTGATGCAGACCTGAAAATGAAATTTTTCAATTTATTGTTTGCTATATTGTTCTCCAATTCAATTATTTTATTTACATTTCTGACTACCAAAAAAATCGCAGGCTTTTCTTCTCAAGTAATGCTCCTTACTTTTCATTCTAAATGCAAAGTATTAATAAGTGTGATGCCAAGGGTTATTTCTTCTTGATGTGGGTCATTGAATAAAAAATTAATATCATCAATTAGCTTATTTGATGAAGTAAAAGTTGAGGCTTTTCTGTCTTTGCAGTATTCAATTCTAGTTAAAAATGTGTACAGCCCATCAGAAGTTGCCTCCAAACGGGTTCCTTCACACGAGGTCTACTCCATAAAGACTATTTTTTTTTTGGCCTATTTTTTTTGGCCTAATTTTTTTTGGCCTATTTTTTTTGGCCTAATTTTTTTTGGTCTATTTTTTTTGGCCTATTTTTTTTTGGCTTATTTTTTTTGGCCTATTTTTTTTGGCCTATTTTTTTTTTGCTAATTCATTACTTTTTAAATTTCGAGAATTTTAAATTTAATTAGGATTTTTCCACTTAGATTAGATTAAATTAGATTTAAGATGTGTCTTTATAGTCCCTACTTCCATGCGTGGCATTCCTCCGCGCTCCTTGGGGAGCCGTGCTGGCACGAGCGAAAAGGATGTACTTCCATCACTGGTTCTCTGAGCCCAGGCCGAAACCCCTGGTTTCTCGGTAGTGGGTTGCCCTATTGAGTCGTCAGCCGACTGTCGCTGGGCACCACCATTTCCAGCTCAGCCTTCCGCCCAAAATTACGCCAGTCTTTGCCTCCGGTTGGCCAGATCGCCCTCGTGAGAGGACCCTTTTAACTGGAGAGACTTGCGCCCTTGAGTTCTGAGTCGAGCTTCGCCTCCCCTCTTTCCTGGATCATCTCCAAGAAAAAACTCAACCCCTTGCGGGATTCGGGGCTAAGCCACCAAGTAGCCTAGGCAGGTAACTCACCCTGCCTCCTTCGGACACCGAGTCTGGGCCTCGGCACTACTAGCAAAAAAATGCGAAAAACTGCTGCCCGGGTCAAGTCCCAAAATCAGCGGAAATTGGGCTGGGCCTCTCGCCTCGAGGCTAACTCTCCCCTTGAGTAGCTCTCCGCATCCAAAAACCATGTCCGGTATACATAAGGACACCCGCCACGGAAGGACGGGTCACTAGTGTCCGGCCATTTTATGTATGGATTTTCCACTTAATTTACTCAATATTAATCGTGTAAGGAAATACATCCGTTACCCAATAAATTATTTAGTCTCTCAGCAGCTTCATGAATTATCCTCGACAGAAAAAATAGACCAAAAAAAATAGGCCAAAAAAATAGCCAAAAAAAATAGGCCAAAAAAAATAGGCCAAAAAAAAATAGGCCAAAAAAAAATAGTCGTTATGGAGTAGACCTCATGTGAAGATGCGTCCAAAAGTTCCAGTAATCTGCTGTTCAAAAAATCTATTTTTTCGCATTGGGAGACTATTAATATCCCATCAAAGCAGGCTCTGGCTATTGAATTCAGCTTATTCGACATTGTTTCTAGCTCTTTTCTTGCGCAAAACCGCTCAAAAGAAACACTTAATATATATTCATGCCATTTGTTTGACATAAATATGAGAATTAGAATCCTCATCAATGGAATAAGAATAGATAATTCTATATTTTTGCTATCTAACAGATTGTGTATGTGCCAAATATAGATATGATTAATCATCACTGCATTGAAAAGCCATCTTGACTTTATACTAGGAAATTGAACATGGAATCGAGTAAATAAACTGCATAATTCAAATAAGCATCTGGAATCAGTTTTATAAGTTCAAGAAAAACATAAAAAAATGATATTTCAATACTCTGTAACGATTATTAGAATAATGCTTTTATGGATTGTTTTTTTTCATGGCTTTATTCAAATAAGGATAGCAATTAAGAAGTGGCATGCCATCACTGGAATAAAGGTTGCCTTTCAGCTGGGAAATCCAAGTATTCAATGAAGCACAAACGCCAGCCCATCTACTATAATTGCTAATTTTACAACATTAGACAGAAATTTGAAGATGAACTCTGTTTCTTCTTGCCACCATAGCGTTTTTAGATCGATCATTTATTATTTTAATTTCACTGATTATACAGTCCTTATATGAGAAATATATTGCAATATAATTGAATCCTCTTCAAGAATCTTTTCCAAAAAATATTAAACTAATTAAGGGATTTATATTAAATTGATAAATACAGCAATTAACTCTTACTCTCCCCCCCCATTTAATAACAAAACACTTTTTTTGTTCGTTATTAAATGGGGTCTAACTTATAAAATTTTTGGAAAAAAAATATATATAAAATTTATATTAAATATCTATGATTTTTTTATATAAAAATTTCAATTAAAGAGTTAATAATGAAAGGATTCAAATGATGGCAACAGAAAGAGAAAGCGCATAAATGAAAGCGAAAAGATAACTATTGCTAACTCCCACCCCTCCGTGAGCGAACAAAACCATTAGAAAATCCCTCACCCTCCGTTAGCGAATTAATGAAATCTGGAGCTAATAAATTCAATTAATATTTGCTTTCCAATTTTGCAAATTAGGATTTTTTTAAAATTTCGAAAAAACAATTTTCTATGAAATTTATAAAAAATTGTTTACAAAAAAAATTAACCCCCTTCGTAAGCGAACGAGATTTTTTTGTTCGCTCACGGAGCGGGGGAGTAAAGCACCAGCTTAAGATTAAGCCACTATTAACTTATTAGCTCTTATTTATTATTCTTTGCTCGATTATATTTGTCCTTATCTTATTCTAACCACTTAAAATTAGTAAAACTATAAAGACTAAATTAGCTTATATAAATTTTGTTCGTTATTAAATGGGCCCTAACTCCCCCCTTCGAAGTTCGACCCAGATTTTTTTGGTCGAACTTCGAGGGGGATTAAGAAAAATTTTTTTAAAAAAAATTTATATAGAATTTTTTTATATAATTTAGTAGTTAAAAAAAAAAAAATATTTATCATATTCTTCTGTATGGTTGAGAGGGTGTAAGGGTTAGAAAAAATAGTGCAAGATGGTTTTGTAACACTTTTTTAGAACTTGAATACAAAAATCGCAAGCTCACCCCCACATAGTTTAAAATTTTTGAAAGATTGCTTATTTTCCTAGTAAATTTATATAGGTCTTGGTCGAACTTTGAGGGGGGTTAATTTTCCAAAAAAATAGGAATTTTCCCTATATCTTGGTCGAACTTCGAGAGGGGGGGAGTAAGGAAAAAATTTTAGGAAAAAAAAAATGACGGTTTGTTCGTTATTAAATGGGGGGGAGTTAGCTTTTAAATTTAACAATTTTGATATTTCTTATTTAATAAATGGCTCAACTATGTTTGGCAGCTAAATTTTTTAGGAATTTAATTTTTTAATTAATTTAAAGCAATTGAACTTATATTTTTAATATCCTTGCTAATAAAGAGAAAGCTGACCATCATCACTACAAGAAATTAATTGGTTTTTTAGTTTACCTTCTATAAATATTTTTTTATAGCTGATGTAATTTTTTCTGGAGGGCAAGGTTTAGTTAAATAGTCAATCATCCCACATTCAAAGCAGACATTTTTATCTTCATCTGTGTTGAAAGCTGAATACCCTATAATTGAGGGCATCTTGGAGATTTTCCCATTTTTATAGTAATTTACAATTTCCATTGTAGCTTCAAATCCTGACATCTCAGGCATGCTACAATCCATAACAATGACTTTATACATATGATTTCTCTTATTGCAAGCAATGACTTTATTTAAAGCATCTTTGCCATTGCATGCTTCTTCAATAGACCAGCCTTGTTGTTCAATTATAGCTGAAAGAACAATCCGATTAAATTCATTATCATCGACAATGAGGATATCTGAGAGTCCAGAATTTTTTAAGGATTCATATTTTTTCATATCAAAGGGTATTTTTCCTTCATTTTCTACTTGAAAGAGCTTTTCACATCGAGGGACAGAGGAATTTTCATGGAAAACATCTATTGAAAACCAAAATGTCGAGCCAATTTCAGGTATCGATTTTACTTTAATAGGCTTTCCTCCAAGCTGCTTTGCTAAAAAGTTAGATATACAAAGGCCGAGTCCTGAGCCTCTAGGGTTAATGCTAGGGATATAAGATGTGCTGAACTCGGTAAAAAGCCTTTGCCTTATTTCTTCAGTCATCCCCATTCCAGTGTCTTCTACAGAAATTTTTAATTTGCTTTTCAGAGTATAAGTGCAGCAAATTTCTATTGATCCTTTTAATGTAAATTTTAAAGCATTGCTAACTCCCTTCCTCTGTGAGCAAAAAAATTTTGTTCGCTCATGGAGGGGGGTTAATTTTTTGTTTTAAAAAAATTTATATATAAATTTTATAGAAAATTTTTTTTTTCAAAATTTTAAAAAATCCTGATTCGCAAAATTTGGAAAGCAAATACTAATATAATTTATTTATGTTTTAAAACGCAATTTGTTTAAAATTAAACAGAATTAGCTAGAGATTTTATTATAATAATTATCACTTATATATCAAAATTTTTTTTCATAAAAAGGTTTTATATTAAAAGTATTTTTGTCCGCTCACGAAGGGTGGGCTTTAGGCAAAAAATAGGGATTTTTCCAATGGTTTTGTTCTCTCACGGAGGGGGAAGTGAGCAAATTTAACAAAATCTGGCTTAGTCTAATAGGATCTGTAATAACTAAGCTAGGAATGTTTGGATCGAGTCTACAAATCAATACCAAATTTTTCTTTGCCACTTGCATGCTGACAAGCTCACAACAATTTTTAATGATATGAATTGGTTCGCATTGAGTTTTTTTTACTGTAAAAACTCCAGCAAGAATTTTTGAGTAGTCAAGTAAGTCATCTATAAGTGAAAGCATTAATTTTGAAGAAACAGAAACTATTTTCAAATTTTTCTTTTCTTCTTCGGTTCTTTGAAATTTTGAGTTTTCACTTATTTCCTTACTCCCCTCCCCCTCTATAACGAACAAAAAAATTTTTTTCGCTTACCAAGGAGGTTAAGTTTTTTTTTTTCGAAATCGCAATTCGCAAAAATTTGGAAAGCAAATAATTTTTTTAATTTTGTAAAATTTATATTTAAATGCAATTTGTTTAAAATTTAGCCAGGACTAGCAGATATTTCATTATACTAATTATCATTTATATATCAAAATTTTTCTTCCTAAAAATCGTTATATTAAAATATTTTTATTCACTCACAGATGGTTTTATTCGCTCGCAGATGGGGGAGTCAATAAAATATTCAATCGAGTTTAAAGGAGTTCTAAGTTCATGAGAAACTGACCTTAATAGCACAGTTTTCATATTGTCGGTGGCAATACTTTTTTCAAGTTCAATGATTTGATTTACATTTCTTACAGTCAAGAAAAGCATTGGAGCATCTTCTCACGTGATCTTTTTGATTTTTCACTCTAAGTATACATTATTCAAAAAGGTGATTCCTAGTGTAATTTTTTATTTGAATTTGATGACATGGTGAGAGGGTCGAGACCAAATAGCAAACACAATTGAATAGAGAAAGACTTTTTGGAGGAATTCGCATGGAGTTCTGCGATGGAGAACTGGAAGAATTAGAAAATTTAGTAGAGATGGCCAGACTTTAGGTCTTATGGCCGTAATTTAATTAGTTAGTTAGTGTAATTTCATCATTTTCTAGATAATCAAATGCTTCAGAAATATCATCAATAAGCAAATTTGAAGAAGATAAACTTGAAACTTTTCGGTTTGGACAATACTCATATCGAGATATTTCATAATAAAGATCACTACTTTCACAGTTTAGCAAACTTATTATATTGCCATTGAAAAACTCAATTGTTCGATTCCTGGAAATTATAGATATGCCATCAGGAAATGCATCAGTTATAATTTTCAGCCTTTTCTTTGATACCTCTAGCTCTTTGCTGAAATTAAATTTTTCATAAGATACTTTATCTAAATAAAACTCTCCAATATTACAAATTATAAATATCGTTAAAAATGACCTAAAAAAAGACATATCAAGGCTTATAGAGTTATCTCCAGAGATTATTCCATGAAAGCATCAAACATAAAAGTGCTTGAGCAAAATTAAATTTGCAATTGCTCGATTTTGTACAAATGGGAGTTCCAGCTTTATTGTCAGTGAAAATGAGAACAACTCCAATATATAGGGATTAATGTTCCAGGATGATAAAAATAGCAATAAGTGATAGTATTCTATTGCGATAATTCCTGATATAGCTTTCATATTTGGAGATTTCCTTTCGAAAAATTTTAAAAAGATAACAGCAAGGAAGTGATGGATAATTCTCTTCAGAAATTCTCTTCAAATTGATAAAGGAGAGAATATGATAAAAGGAAGTCTTGATATTGATGAAACTGTAACAAATCCGTAGCTGAAATAGACTAGTAGCTGATATTTATATAGTTAGATAGGATGACTGGAACGGGGCTTCTTTGGCTTTTTTGGCTTGCCGGCAAGCCAAAGAAGCCCGTTCCAGTCATCCTATCTAGCTATACTTAATTTCTTCTTCTCACCACAGATATGTATTATTAGACATTTATTACTATTAATCATAATTCTTTTTTTAGGTTGCAGGTGTAGGGGATTTAAAAAATCAAAATTCAATGAAGCTCGTAAAAAATCTCCATCATAAAGAATATTTAATACTTTTAATTTTCTAGTAAGTTTTAGTTCATTTTCTTATACATCCTAAAATATGCTTTAATTTTATCGGCTTTGTCAGAATTCTTTTTTATTTAAATCGTTTTGAGCTATAATTAAATTTGATAATTGAATTGAGTCAGCTTCAGTTGCTTGCAAGCAGTTCCAAAAAATTCAAAGTATGACTATAGTTGAATAAGGACTGGCCTAAGGATTAACCACCACAACTGACTGATTCTTAAAGATAAATATGATCAGAAGCATGCCTATAGAAAATAATTTAAAATTAATGATCACTATTCCGTTTTAGACCTATAAATTACCATTTATTATATAGCATAGTTCCATCAATTATTTTTACTCATGAATTTTAAATATGAAAACATTTGCATGTGAAAATTAGGGTTAAATAAATTTATAAAGTTCTTAAAAATAATAAAAAAGTACTCGATGAAAATGAATAAATTAGCAAATATTAATCCAAAAATTTAAGTATTTTCTCTAGCTGTTGATTGTGGTTCCTTCACACGACGACTATTTCATAACGACTATTTTTTTTTGGCCTATTTTTTTTGGCCTATTTTTTTTTGGCCTATTTTGTTTTTGCCTATTTTTTTTTGACCTATTTTTTTTGGCCTATTTTTTTTTGGCCTATGTTTTTTTGACCTATTTTTTTTTGGCCTATTTTTTTTTTGGCCTATTTTTTTTTGGCCTATTTTTTTTTGGCCTATTGTTTTTTATCCTATTTTTTTTACCTATCCTCATTCATGAAGCTGCTGAGAGGACTAGAACCTTATTGAGAAATAGAGACTTTTTTTACGCGATTAATATTGAGTAAATTAAGTGAAAAACTCCTAATTAAATCTAAAATTTTCGAAATTTAAAAACAATGAATTAGTATTCATGGAGTACGAAATCTGTTAAGGGTGCATTTTTTTGTTGGTTAAATCGTTTAAAACACATTAAAAATTATATTAAAACAATTAGTATGGAATTATGCCCAAATATTAGTAAAAAATAGTTAAAAAATTGTCAAAAAATCGGCCAAAAAAATAGGCCAAAAAAAAATAGGCCAAAAAAAAATAGGCCGAAAAAAAATAGGCCAAAAAAACAATAGGCCAAAAAAAAATAGGTGAAAAAAAAATAGGCCAAAAAAAATAGGCCAAAAAAAAATAGGCCAAAAAAAAATAGTCGTTATGAAATAGTCGTCGTGTGAAGATACGGTTGATTGTAGCTCAAAATGATATAATTATAAAAATTTTTAGTGATTTTGCTTATTCAAAAATTTAATGGCTTAGTTAAAAATTATTATCTTTTAAAATAAGTTATGAGCTTGACAGAAAGATATTATGCTTTTGGAGGAAGTCCAAAATCTCTCTTCCATAAGCATAGTGGACATTTAATGCTCTAATATACATGGCGAATGACGAACTAAATTTCAGTTTGGCTAGCTAAACTTTGGCACTGATAAGGCTTGATAAAAATTTGTCTCACTATCTGTATTTGAAGATCAAATACACATAGCTCACATGAAGAAAGTGCTTTAAGCTCTTTCTTTCTTGCATAATTATTTTCTGTTTGATTAATGAAAAATCTGTTGATGTGAAAAAATTCAAAATCCCTTACTCTCCCTCCTCCGTGAGCGAACAAAAAAATCTTGTTCGCCCACGGAGGGGGTTAATTTTTTTTAAAAATTTATATAGTTAGTGACACTGACTGGCACTGTCGATAAATTTTATAGTAATTTTTTTTCAAAATCTAAAAAATCCCCCACTTCTCAAAAATTGGAAAGCAAATATTAATTTAATTTGTAAATGTAAAATTTATGTTTTAAAAATGTAATTTGTTTGGAATTAAACAGAATTAGCTAGAGATTTCATGACACTAGTTATCACTTATATATCAATTTTTTTTTCATAAAAATTTTTCTATTAAAATAATTTTTGTTCGCTCACGGAGGGTGGGTTTTTAGGCAAAAAATAGAGATTTCTCTAATGGTTTTGTTCGCTCACGGAGGGGGGGAGTTAAGACTACGCTAATCTACGTCCTATTGAATCCTAATTTTTTCCCTTACATTAATTTCTTTATCTCTGCTACCTAGTTTTAAGGTTAAATTTTGCGGAAATTATTTGGACATGCACCTATTTTGAATTAAATTAATGCATGACCAATAAAATAAGAAAACAAGAAGCACAGAAAATATCTGAATTAATATGAATTTAATCATTCTGCGAGTAATCACTAAATTTTGTTAGGTAGCTAAATTTTTATGCTTTTTAGCACAAAAGTTAATTAATAAATCAATTTTATTTTATTAATGTTTACTGATTGTCATTTACTGATGATAATTTTAATCATCGGCATTCAAAAAAGGTTAGCCTTAAGTATAAAAATATTTATGATCAATAAAATTACCAATCCTAAAAATTTATTTTTATTAATTTCAAATCTGCTATTATAATTGATCTCAACAACAGATCTTTATATAAATTCCTGCTTAATGGTAGATTTTTGTTCACAAGAAAACTATTGGTATTATAGGGCAACAGTATTTATTTGGATTATTTTGGGAAAAGCTGTCAACCTCTATGCCATATTTCTGCTCATACTTATTTACTGTGCTTTTACAAACAGATCGCAAATACTTAGAAATTGTATTTCATGCCAGAAAGAAATAACAGAATCCAAAAATCGCTTCAGAGCACTTTCCGAAATTCTTAACACTGGCATAATTATTATGTCAGAAACAACTTCAATTGAATATTTTTCGAATCGAACCCTTGAACTTTTATCAACGACCTCAGAAAATCTAGCTTCAACGATCCAAACGGTTGAATATTGCCATAATAAAAAATTATCAAACTTCACTTCATCTAATTTTCTAATTGCTGATATAAACTATTTACTTCAGAATCGTATCTCTGAAGAAATAAGTTTGGGAATTGCTTTAATTGGCTCCTTAAGTTTAGAATGCAGAGCAAGATGCATTTTATGAGAAAATAAGCATTCATTATTTTTATCATTAGTGAATGCAAATGAAATTATTGAGCTTGAAAATAAAATCGCCAATGATAAGATGAAAACACTATTCTTGAGATCTGTTTCTCATGAGCTAAGAACTCCATTAAACTCAATTATTTGCTTCACAAATGAGCTTTTGGATAGTCCTACGCTTGTATGCTCTGAAGAGGAGCACACAAAGCTAGGGATTATTGCTGTTTCAAGCAAATTAATGCTTTCCATGATAAATAATCTGCTTGATTATTCAAAAATTCTTTCTGGGGCACTTTCAGTGCAAAAATCCTATTGCGATATCCGTGAAATTATAAAGAATACCCACGAACTTTTGGAAATTCAAGCCAAAAAAAAAGGTTTAGACATTATCTGCAGAATTGATCCAAACCTTCCTACTGAAATTTATACTGATCCTCTCAGGCTAAGTCAAATTTTTCTGAATTTATTGAGCAATGCCTTAAAATTCACTTATAAAGGTGCAATTGAAATCTGTTGTGTAACTACTGCCAAAATGATGATGAAATGCTACATTGAGGACTCAGGTGTTGGCATTGACAATGATATCATTCAAAAAATATTCACAAACTTCGGTAGTCAGCACTTCCCAACGATTAAAAAACAAGGGAGTGGCTTAGGACTATATATTTCTAACCTTCTTGTTAAACAACTAGGTGGAAAAAGAATTAAAGTTAATTCAGTTCCTAATAAAGGATCGACTTTTCAATTCTCAATTGAAATTTTTGAATCAAACCCTATTAGTGAAGTTTGTGAAGTTTTGAGAAATGGAGAAAAAGACGACTCAAGACCAGAAATCGTTATCTCAAACCAAAACTATTCAAAACCGTTAAATTCACAAGAAATTCTTATTGTTGATGATATGGAATTTAACTTACTCCCCCCCTCCGTGAGTGAATAAAACCATTAGAAAAATCCCTATTTTTTGCCCAAAAACCCACCCTCTGTTAGTGAACAAAAATTTTTTTAATAGAAAAATTTTGATATATAAATGATAATTATTATAATGAAATCTAGAGCTAATTCTGCTTAATTTTAAACGAATTGCTTTTAAAACATAAATTTTACAAATTAAAATTAATATTTGCTTTCCAATTTTTGCGAATTAGGATTTTTTTAAATTTTCGAAAAAAATATTTTCTATAAAATTTATATATAAAATTTTTTTTTAAAACAAAAATAACAAAAAAATTTTTGTTCACTCACGGAGGGGGGAGTTAGAAATATTGGGCTCAATATTTAAAAAATATGGAGCTGGATACGAAGAAGCTTCAAATGGTAAAATTGCAATAGAAAAAGTTTTGGCTTGAGACACTAAAGATCAGCCATTTAAAGTTATAATTATGGACTGTGATATGCCTGAGATGAATGGCTGAGAAGCATCAAGGGCAATCGATCAAATGTTTAGAGAAGGCAAATTACGTAACATGCCAAGGATTATTGGCTACACTGCTTATAATTCTGACGAGGATGTTAAACTTTGTTTTGAATCAGGAATGGTAGGGTATTTACCAAAGCCTTCCCCTCCTGAAAAGATTATAAACTCGGTTCGAGGATATTTATAATATAAAAGTATTAATGTGATTTTATGTATAGCTGTAAATATTTGTTTTAAGTTAATTTTACGTTAATTAGATGAATAATTTGAATTAAAACAATAGATAAGTTAATTGATATCTTATTTTAATAAATAAAATGGCATTCGGTTCGAGAGAAATTAGCTCTGCTAATTTTCTCTCCCTCATGGAATTTTATTTATAGGGTTAGGTTTTCACTCGAAGACTTCTGGACAGCAATAGCGGTTTAACTCTGGGGATAACCAGAGGAACCACTCCTCAGTCCACTCAAGATTTCGGGCTTTTACCTCTCAGCACATCCCCACGGGAGGATGACCCTTAGGCGGAACACGCGCAGGAGCTGAGTCGAGCGACAAGGGCGACGGCAACGCGCCGGGTGAGACGTGCAGCAAGGCCGGTGAAGCAGGAGTTGATAGAAGGCTTGGACGGGGCTGACCTGTGCCAAGATGGCTCGCCTACGTCATCAGTTTTGCCATAGGCCCTTTTGGGCTGCGGCACTAGACACCTTAAACACCAGATAATTAAGTAAGTAAGTAAGATATCTTATTTTAAAATATATATCGTTAGTTTCATGTTTTTGAATATATAATTTTTTAAAGAATTATTTACACCACCAAATTGCTATTGAATATATTTTTGGATTGTACTTATAACAACTTCAGGTGGGCAAGGCTTTGTTAAATAGTCAATCATTCCGCACTCATAGCATGCGTTTTTATCTTCATCAGAGCTATAAGCTGAATATCCAATAATATTTGGCAAACTTTTGATATCCCCATCTCTTTGCAATTTTATAATTAATTTTGTCGCCTCAAATCCATTAATTTCAGGCATATTACAATCCATTATTATAGCTTTATATGTTCCCCCTTTTTTATTATATGCAAGTACTTTATTTAAGGCATCTTTTCCATTGCAAGCTTCATCACAGCTGATATGGCTTTGGGAAAGTATTGACGCTAATATTACTCTATTAAATTCATTATCATCAACAATTAAAACGTCAACGTTTCTTAAAGCTTCGAATTCACAATATTTTGAAATTTCAATTGCTTGAGTTTTTTTTTTCATAATTAAAATATGGCGTCTTCGTATTTTAATTATATCTGGCAGGTTTTTCTAGCCTTGAAAAGGACAGCAATGCTATGATAACCAATTCTGCAGGAGGCAGAGCCCAGCCCAAGTCCAACTTCGAGACTGGTTTTTACCTCGAAGGAAAGGAGGGTTCAGATTTGGAAAGGGCAAGCCCAGCAAGGCCTATAGGTAATATCTAGACCAATCGGGCAACTGCTTAGCGTGAAACTGGGCGTTACGTCCCAGGATCTGGACTATACCCTTTTGCCGATAGGCTACCAGAAATTCCATTTTTTGGAATTTCGGAATGCCAACTTCGTATTCCCTCAGCCTCAGGAAGCTGACAAACCCGTAGACTGCCCACTCAATACTGGAGTCTTTTACAAGAGACAAGGAGGAGGCCCGACGAAAGGAAGGTCGCAAAGCGGTTGAATCCCACAAGGGATCCTCGGTGATTGCGTTAAAATTAAGGGCACGAGCCCGTCTACATAATGTAATGTATGTAATGCTTGAGATTTTTCTATTTCTTCAGGCAAGGCTTTATAGTGCTTAGTTTCTATAGGAGTAACTTGAAAAATATCTATGGAAAACTGAAATCGAGAGCCTTTGCCTAGAGATGATTTTACTTTGATAGGCTCATTTCCAAGCTGTTTGGCTAAGAAATTTGATATTCAAAGACCAAGCCCAGAACCTTGAGGATTTATATTTGGGATGTATGATGTTCTGAACTCTGTGAATAACTCACAAGTAGTCTGCTCTGACATACCAATCCCTGTATCTTCAATACAAAATTTCAGTCTGTTTTTGGAATTGATATTGCAGCAAACTTCAATTGAGCCTTTCAGTGTAAATTTTAAAGCATTGCTTAATAAATTAAGCAAAATCTGATTGACTCTTAAAGAATCGGTATATACAATTTCAGGAATCATTGGATCAATTCTATAGCTCAGCCTCAAATTTTTCTTACTCGCTTGCAGACTTATAAGTTCACATGCACTCTGTATTACATTTCTTATATCAAAATGCGTTTTTCTTATAGTAAAAACTCCAGAAATTATTTTAGAATAATCAAGTAAATCATCTATAAGGGAAAGCATTAACTTTGATGATGTCAAAATCATTTTCAGTTTTCCCATTTCTTCTTGGGCTTTCGAAAAACCAGAGCGGACCAATAATTCGCTTGTAAAAAAGCTAATGGCATTTAGAGGCGTTCTTAGTTCATGCGACACTGACCTTAAAAGTACGGATTTCATATGATCATTTGTAACTGTTTTTTCAAGTTCCATAATTTCATTTACATTTCTTGAAGTGAGGAAAATCGCTGTTTTATTTTCTCAGACAATTTTCCTTGCTTTTCACTCAAGGTTGATTTCATTATAAAAAGTCACTCCCAGTGTGGCTTCTTGAGAATTTAGATTATAATATGAATAATTTATGTCGTCAATTAAAAATTTTGACGCATTGAAGTTTGATACTTTTCGCCCTGGCGAATATTCATATTTTGATATTTCAGAATAAATACAATCAGGCAGACACTGTAAGAAATTTAAAACGCTTGAATTAAAATACTCAATTTTGCCTTCTCCGGTTATTATAATTATTCCATGACAAAAAGCTTGCGTAATAATTTCAAATCTTTCTTTCGATAATTTGACTTCTTTAAGAAGCTCAAATTTTTCAAATGATACTTTATGCTTGCAATAAATTGCGACATTTCCAAGTAGAAAAATTGCAAAAATTGAATTAAACTGGATCACGGTCATTGAAAAGAGACCTGATTCAAATATCAGGGGATGCAAAAACCAGATATATATGTGTTTTGCTAATAATAAATTAAAAAGAATTTTGTTTTTGATCATTGGTAGCTCCAATGTTGTCAAGAGAATCATAATAAATGCTTGGAGCATCGAGGGGTTTCCAGGGTCTTCTAACTCCCCCCCCCCCCCCGTGAGCGAACAAAAAAATTTTGTTCGCTCACGGAGGGGGGTTAATTGTTTTTTTTAAAAAAAAATTATATATAAATTTTATAAAAAATATTTTTTTTCGAAATTTAAAAAGATCCTAATTTGCAAAAATTGGGAAGCAAATATTAATTTAATTTGCAAAATTTATGTTTTAAAACGCAATTTGTTTAAAATTAAACAGAATTAGCTCTAGATTTCATTATACTAATTATCACTTATATATCAAAATTTTTTTCCATTAAAATTTTTTCTATTAAAAAAATTTTTGTTCACTCACGGAGGGTGGGTTTTTGGTCAAAAAATGGCGATTTTTCTAATGGTTTTGTTCGCTCACGGAGGGGGGGGGGAGTAAATAAGATAATATATACATAGTGTGATAAATTTCTGTTACAAATACAGCAATTATCACTTTTATTTTCCAATTCTTTTTATCAAAATATTTAACAATACATATAATCGTAATGTGAGTTATAAAATATGCTAGGTGGTTCACTGACAAAGGGCATCTTGTGAAGCAAAGATAAATTGCTCTTGAACTCATTGAAAAAGCTGCGAAAATATGACTAAACATTAATAAAAGTCCATACATGTCTTGGACTTCTTCTCTTCACCAAAGTTTCTTATATACTGCCATTTATTAAAACCTTGTTCAGCGCGAACGATATAAAGCTATTTCTGAAGGTGAAAAATTGAGCTTAGGATTGTTAAGAGAAATAAGCTTATTTTGAGGATTTTGTGTAATTATTTTTTGGGGAACTAAACTTAGAAATAAAAAAGCAAAAATTTGTTAATGAAATGAGCTGTTAAAATGGGTAGTTTTTATAGGAAAGATATTGATGATAGATAATTCTAAATGAAATAAGAGTGCTATGCTTAGCTTTGAATATGATAAATAATGTCTTATTTGATGATCTAGCTTTAAATATGGCTCCTAAATGATAAATAAAATGGATTTTATTATTAGAAATAGGAATTTTATGTCATAAAATATTATTAGTTCTTCCAAGAAAGCAATTCTTAAATATCAAGTTCGTAAAGGCTTTTGAAAATTTAAAAAAATAAGGTGTTGGTTGGCTTGATGAATAAGTCAAAAGTTGGAAAATAAGCCCATTAGTAATAAAGAGCCTTATTAACCAAAAGCAAATTTATTTACTCGCAAGAGAGGAGGCTATAATATTTAGAAGGCTTTAAGAGACAATAATTCCTGTTAATAGAGGTTTTGAAAATGTTAAAATTTAATTTCGTAAATTTTTGCGGATAACTTGGATAATGATCTAACTCCTCCCCCCCTTCTGTGAGTGAACAAAAAAAATTTTTTGTTCACTCACGGAGGGGGGTTAATTTTTTATTTTTAAAAAAAATTTATATATAAATTTTATAGGAATTTTTTTTTTTCGAAATTTAAAAAAATCCTAATTCGCAAAAATTGGAAAGCAAATATTAATTTAATTTGTAAAATTTATGTTTTAAAAAAAGCAATTCGTTTAAAATTAAACAGAATTAGCTCTAGATTTCATTATAATAATTATCACTTATATATCAAAATTTTTTTCATAAAAATGTTTTCTATTAAAATATTTTTTGTTCACTCACAGAGGGTGGGTTTTTGGGCAAAAAATAGGGATTTTTCTAATGGTTTTGTTCACTCACGGAGGGGGGAGTAAGTAAAATATTTAGCATTCTTGAAATAAATATTGATATATCTCATTATATCTATGTAAAAAATTATCCCTTTTAACTATTAAATTTAGATTTAATAATTAACTATTTTGCTGGGGAAAAGAAGCCTTCATTTTTATTTCATATAATAAACTTACTGATTTATCATAAATATTTTATTTTAATTTAATTTAAAATAAAATAAATAGCCAATTTTTAATTAAATTAATTAAAGGTGCTTTTCTTTATTTCCTCTCAAAAGCTCGCAGCCAGTAATATTTTTATCTGAAATTAATGTATTTAAAACAATTGATTAAACTAGCTTTATAAGTTAAACATTTATTAAAGAGCTATTATTCATGTTTATAATAAAATTTATTTTCATGATTCCAATAGCAAATAAAAATTGTGGGTATATATAGGCTGCTCAGTAAATGAAAATGCATACATTTGCCAGCAAAAACAGATGAAGAAGCCTTCTAATTAGAAAGGATCAATTTTTTTTAAAGCAAACATAAAAAGCCTACATTGCTAAATTTCAGATAGAGGCTTTATTTTATAAGAAATTTTTACATAGTAAATTAGATCTTAATTTATATTTTGTTCACTATTAAAATCTCATTCATATATTTATAAGAATCAAAAACCTCATTTGTATTAAAATGGAAAAGCGCATGCTGTCTGAAGGATTTTCTTGCAGAATGCATCAAGAAATTTTAAGCAGTAATGAGGTTCCTAATTTATTTGGCAATTCAAACGCAATGAAAATGCATTACGCCAACTATCAAAGAAATCTTCGAAATTACTTAATTCAGCCTGTTTCTTATTTTCGTCAATATTTTCTTCATTATTTTTCAACTAAAACGCATTTATCATATCAAATTCCAAATTTCTACAAGAAAGTGTTCTATCTCTCTACAGTCTTAATGATGAGCGAAGTAGAAATTATTTATTGACTGCTCATTATAGAGTCTATTTCAGCGTCAAAAATTATTTCAAACCCAGAATTAATGTTAGCTATTTCTGGGCTGCGAGCGAAAATAGACTTAAATGAGAATTCAGGAATCTTCACCTTTATTCTCTGTTGTATTGTTCCTGAATTCATTGTTTCATTTAGATATTTTTGGAATGTTGAATTAGAAACTATCAATATTTCTGCGAAAGATTTAAATAATAAATACAATGAATTGATTTGCAGAGATATCAAAGTTGAGGAAAAAGTAGATTATAATGAAATTGTTGACGAAATTATACAGAGCAATCAAAATGGCTTTAAAAATATTCCTAAATCCCCCATCCTTGATCGAACGACTCGCCATCGTTCGATCAAGGAGGGGTTAAAAAAATTTTTTATATAAAATAAAATATCTATATATATATTTTTTTTATTTACTTTTAAATAAGACGGTTAAGAGTATTTAATAATTATTTTTACAGCAAAAAAATTGAATTAATTTCATAAAAAATACCAATTTTTTATATTTTAATTTTATTAGTTACCCCTTAAACTGTATAAATTTTAATTTGTTCCTTATTAAATTAAAATTAATTTTTTTTAAAAATTCAAAGAATCTCTATTTTTTAGATTATTGAGTTTTTAAGCCTAGGCTGATGACTAAATCACTTCGCATGGTTGATTCCGAAGCTTTCTGTCGTCTCAAAAGCCTCTGAAAACAACTTCATTATGTACATCTTTCCCAAGCTTTTGATAACTAATATATTTTTTATATATATAAAAAAATTGTTATGATATGAAAATCGTTCGATCAAGGATAGGGGTAATTTCCCAATTTTTAGGAATTTTTACAGTCAATCGTTCGATCAAGGATGGGGGGGAGTAAAGAAGTTTATAATCAAGAGGAACTTTTAAATGATCTCGAAAAGCAGCTCATTTTTGAGCTTGAGTCAATAAAAAATGAGAACTTTTTAATAAATAATTCATAAGAAAGTTAAATCTTGAAAATAGCATTTAACTAAATTTACTTATTAATTGAGCCTATTGATATTTGAAAAGGATATTATTACAATTTGATATAATAATTAAAGTCTAGATAAAAATAAATCAATAATTTAACTAGCCATCTATTTTTATTCAAAATTTTCAACATTAATTTACTTTTAGCATAGCATATACTTTTTGACAGTGTTTATTATGCTTTCAGGTGAACAAGGTTTGATTAATTGATCCACCATCCCACACTCTGAGCAAGCAATTCTATCTTTATCTGAGCTATAAGCAGAATATCCTATAATATTTGGTAGTTTTTTAATGCTTCCGTCCTGATAAAATTTCCTAATCAGTTTGGTAGCCTCAAATCCATCAAGTACTGGCATATCGCAGTCCATGATAACAGCGCTATACATTTTCCCTCTTTTATCATAAGACACTACTTTTTTAACAGCTTCATCGCCATTGCACGCCTCCTCAAATGTTATTTGGTTTTGTGAAAAAATAGAACCTAATACGATTCTATTAAAATCATTATCATCGACTATAAGTATATCATATGATTCTGAATGCTTAAGCTCCAAATATTTCTCTAAATGGATTGATTTAGTGTTTTCTGATTCTATTGGAATAAATTTCTCACAGTTTGGTGGAGGAAATGGATTTTCAAATATGTCTATTGAAAATCTGAATGTGGTGCCTTTTCCTAAAGTAGAGACTACTTTTATTGGGCGACTCCCCAGCTCTTTTGCTAAAAAGTTTGAAATCCAAAGGCCCAATCCTGAGCCTTGAGGGTTTATGCTTGGTATATAAGAAGTACTGTATTCAGTAAATAACTTACTTCTTTGTTGCTCAGACATTCCAATTCCAGTATCCTCAACATAACATTTCAGCTTGTTTTTAGAGCTTAAAACGCAGCAAATTTCAATTGTTCCTCTAAGAGTAAATTTTAAAGCATTGCTTAGCAAATTAAGAAGAATTTGGCTTAATCTAAGTGGATCTGTATATATAAAATTTGGAATTAATGGGTCAATCCTGCAATCTAATTTCAAGTTTTTTTTATTAGCCTGCAAACTTATCAACTCACACGCACCATAAATAATATTTCTTACTGTGCAATGCACTTTATGGATTGAAAATACATCGGAGACTATTTTTGAAAAATCAAGTAGGTCATCTACAAGTGATAGCATGAGCCTTGAAGAAGCAGAAATAATCTGCAATTTATTTTTTTCTTCATTTTTTCATGATGCTTGCAATAGTAGCTCATTAGTAAAAAATATTATTGCATTGAGAGGAGTTCTAAGGTCATGAGACACAGACCTCAAAAGCATTGTTTTCATGCGATCGTTAGAAGAGCTTTTTTCTAGCTCGATTATTTGATTTACATTTCTAGTTGACAAAAAGATTGCTTTTTTATTTTCCCAAATAATTTTTCTGGCTTTTCATTCTAAATTAATCTCATTAGAAAGAGTTATCCCTAGTGTAATTTCTGATTCTGCAGGATTGTTATAAATATGATTTACATCATCTATTAGGTAATTTGAAGATGTAAATTCTGATACTTTTCTATTAGGAAGGTACTGGCATTTCATCAGCTCAGGGTAGATATTATCTGAATTGCACTGTAATAATGATAAAATATTGGAATTAAAAAACTCAATATTTTTCTGATCTTCAGAAATAATGATAATCCCATCTGAAAACGCTTGTGTGATAATTTCAAATCTTTCTTTAGATGAGTTAATTTCCTTCATAAGAATATATTTGTCGAATGATATCTTTTTTCTATAAATACTTGCAGCATTGCAAATGAGAATGATTGCAAAAAGTGAATTAAACTGTAGCATTGTCAGAGAAATTGATTTTCTAGCTAAAATAAGAGGATGAAAAAATCATATATAAATGTGCTTGAGAATTGCAAGATTAAAAACAATTTTGCTTCTAATCATTGGTAGCTCCAAATTGGTTAATAATAAAATTGAAAATGAATGCAAAATTCCAAAATGTTCCTGACTCGTAATATTAGTAAAAATATAAGCAATATTATAAATTTCTGCCACAATAACTGCGATAGCTGCTTTTGAATCTGAGTCTTTGAATTGATATCGCTTGATTAATAATATTACTATAAAGTGAAAAGGCAAGTATCACAATTGGAACATGGAAAAGTCATTTCCTATAAGTATGTAGTAAAGAAGTCTAGAAGCTATTGAAAATAGAGCAAATGATATACTGAAGCTATACAGTAAGCCATACATATCATTCAACTCTGCATCCCATCAAATTTTTTTATCACTGGACATAATTATTATAAGGCCACATAAAACTCCGTTTTAGTGAAGAAAGCTCATTACTCGAATTTTACTTGAAAAATTATTTATATATAAAAATAGCATAGATTTAAATCAAAGCATGAGTCTCAGTACGTTAATCTTTTCCCCCACTCAAAACTGCTCATTTGCATTGCTTTTGAAATAAATAGTTTCCGATTTGAAATAAAAAAAAATATCAAGGGCATTTTTAGTTAGTTTTATTATTATTTTGCAAAGCGCTAACTATATTTTTTAATTTCATTAATTACATTGATGTCAATTTAAACGCCTTTCTATCTTTTAGGCTTAAATTTATAATTATATTTTGAATCCTGAGAATCTCTTTGAAATATTTTTAATTTTTTTTAATTAGATCAAATCTTATCAACTATTTTTCATCTTTATACTTTAAATTTGATTTGAAATCATTAAATCTTATTTATATTAATTTACTTAGAAATGGCCCATAGTTTGCAAACAATATTCTAATTCTTGCAATCACTATTATAAATATTTTATAACAGTCCTGATCAGATCTTCAGATTTGCATGGCTTTTGTAAAAAGTCAACCATTCCATTTTCAAAACACAATTTTCTGTCTTCATCAGCGTCATACGCAGAGTATCCAATAATATTTGGGAGATGCTTAATTTTATTTTCCTTATAGTAAGCATTTATAATTTTTGCTGCACTTCATCCATCCATTACAGGCATGCTGCAGTCCATGATAATTGCTTTAAATGGTACCCCAGCAGCATCTTTCTCCATAACTTTATCAACAGCAATTTGACCATTTGAGGCTTCTATGAAAGAAATTTGATATTCCTTTAAAATTGTAGCTAAAACTTCCAGATTAAACTCAACGTCATCAACTATTAGTACTGAACCTTTTTCAATGTCCTTAAAACTTTGCATTCTAAAAGATTTTTCAGGATATGCATCTTCTTCAAGCTCATTGCTATTAATTTGAAAATCAAAACAGTCTGCTTTGCTTAGCCCGTTGACATTAATTGAAAAATAAAAGATCGATCCTTTGCCGAGAATCGAATTGGCTTTAACTCCTTTTCCACCCATAAGCTTGATCAATAAATTTGAAATATATAGACCAAGTCCGTTACCTTTTAAATCAATTCAAGGCATTGCACGAGAATTTAAATTTTTAAACATTTTTTCTAAAGCACTTTTTTCGATCCCAATTCCTGAATCTTCAACAGAAAACTTTAATTTATTTTTATGAGTCATCACGCAAGATATTTCAATTTTTCCTTTCAAAGTGTGCCTTACTGCATTTGTTACTAAATTTAAAAGGACTTGACTAAACCTCATGGGATCAATAAAAAATTGTGAGGGTAGCATTGGATCAATTCTGCATATTACAGAAATCCCTTTTCTTTCAGCTTGTAGGTGAATTAAATCACAAGTATTGCTAATAATGCTTCTAATATCGCAATGTATTTTATTGATTTTAAGCTCTTCTGCTAAAATTTTTGAATAATCAAGAAGATCATTTATTAAAGATACCATGAGTTTGCTTGAGACTGATATTGTCATTAATTTTTTCTTAATTTCTTCGTTTTTTAGACTAAAATTTTCAAGAAGTTCATTAGTAAAGTGAAGAATTGAGTTCAAAGGGGTTTTTAGCTCATGGGATGCAGAACGCAATATTAAGTTTTTTAGGTTTTCTTTAGCGATATCTTCTTCTAAAATGATAATGTGATTTGCATTTTTAATTGAAAGAAATAATGCAGGTTGACCTTCCCAAATTGTATTGCAAGCTTTTCATTCAAGGTTAATGGCAGCCGATAATGTTATTCCTAATTCATTTTCTAGTGTATTTGGATTGCTAAGAAGATAATTAATATCATCTCATAGCAGATTGGTGACACTAAAATGGGAAAATTTTTTTTTATTTGCATATTGAATTTCACAAAGCAGATGCTTTAAATTACTTTCTTCTATGTTTAATAAATGCAAAGATTTTTCGTTAAAGAATTTAATTTCACCTGATGATGAAACTATAATTATTCCATCAAAAAGTGACTGTGTAATTGTGTTTAATCGGTTCGCTGTAATTTCAAGCTGATTCCTGTAAGCAAAATGCTCATATGAAATTTTTAAGGAATGAGATCAAAAGACACCACAGGTAAAAAGAAAAATTAGTGTATGAAAAACTAATTTTGAAAAATCATCATAAACTTCATAATGCCAAAGGTACATATGAATAATTATAATACAAGAGTATCCGAATTTTGTATGCGTTATAGGAAATTGATACTGTGCTCTAACTCAGGACAATAGCAAAAAAAAAATATTTAAGTTCATATAAGATGATAATTTTTTTCTTCAAAGATTTATAATCGTTAAACCAATTTATTAAAAATGCTAGCTAACAAAATAATCTAGAATTTCTTTTTATATATAAATATAAAATAAAAAAAAATTGCTATTTAGAAGAGAATTAATATTCCCATTAATTAGGGTTTCTAAGATATCTGCTTTACTCCCCCCTTTTAAATTGTAATAAAGTGTCAGCAAAGTTTCCATTGCAGAGAAATTAATCCACCGATGTAAAAGCTTTATATACCTAAATTATTTTTGCCAAACCATAAATTTATCTATAATTAGTTTAAGAAGAAAACTACTGAAACAAAGTTAGCACTCCTAGCCTAAAAATTATATAAAATTATTTTTATAGTTTTGTTTTTAAAAGAAAAATTACCCTTTAAATTCTGGTGAAAATTTAAATAGAGTGATTTAGTAAGAATAAATGCAAACATTTCAAAGAAAGAGCCTTGTATAAGTCTTTTAGAATAATAGGACAAAGCAATATTATAAAACTCTGCCATGAATATCAAGATAAAGTATTTATATTTGCTACTTGATTTTGAAGCAAGAGTTATCAATGCACAAACTAGTATATATGACAGAGTGAAAGGTATGAAAGTTGTCCAATGAGAGTTCGCTGGATTAATAAGCTCTTTAACAACCCTTAGCATAGCTGATACAACGCCCATAATCGATGTTATTACTAATACTTTGTACGCAGATTCAACTTCTTCTTTCCACCAATTTTGTTTGACTTCCATTCAAAATATTCAATATTTATATCCTAAAATCTACCAATAAAAAATTAAATACTTAAGTTTATCGCAAGTGCATTTTATTTCTACAGTGATAATATGATATTTGAACTTTTTTCAAAATTAAAAAGCAAACTTATCTAAATCATTAACAAATGAAAGCTAAAATTAATAATGATAGAGATTTAAGCAAAAGATGTAAAATTAAAAAAAAATTATTTTTGTGTATTTTATAAAATTTAGATTGTTTGTTAGTTTAGTATTTAAGTAAAACTCTTTTGCGGGATTTTTGCTCTCGGAGGAGTATAAGGCCTTCCAGCTGACATCCCAGCCATTGCTCCCAATTTTTTTTCAGCTGGCTTCAATATTTGAAAGCTGCACATCAAGCTTTCATCGATACTCATAATAGCCCCAGCATTGTCAAACTCTCCACAATAATTTGGTGCTGAAAACAATGTAACCAGCTGTCTTTTTGCAAAAAATTCGTAGCCATCTTCAACAACTTGATGTGCTCTACAAATTAAATCTAAGTCTTGCCTTTTCAAAAATTGGCTAACAATTTCAGCGCCAAATGTAAAAGAGACTCCTCTTTCATTTTCTCCCCAACCTTGCGCTTCTTTATCAGGGTCACTCCATAATAAATCACATAAAAGTCCAGTATCAGGGACGTCAATTGGTCTCATAATTCGTCTGACCTGTTCCATGTTCGTAAGGTCTGGAGACAAGCCTCCATGCATACAAAATATTTTGTCATCAATAAGCCCCGCAACTGGCATACAGTTAAAGCAGTCTGTAAAAGTTTTCCATAGCTTTATGTTATATCTCCTCTTGCATTCGTCGTAAAACCCATAAATTCGATTTATTGACGCACATTCGTGGTTTCCTCGAAGTAAAAAGAAATTTTCTGGGTATTTTATTTTGTAAGCAAGCAGAAGGCAAATTGTTTCTAAGCTTTGTTTCCCTCGATCGACGTAATCTCCAAGAAAAAGATAATTGGATTCAGGAGGAAAACCACCGTATTCAAATAGTCGGAGCAAGTCATAATATTGCCCGTGAATGTCTCCACAGATTTTCAAAGGCGCTTCAAGTTCTAGTAAAATAGGCTGTGACATAAAAACTTCTCGAGATCTGATGCATAATCCTCTAACTTCTTGTTCTGTAAGATTTACTTGCCTTCCTGGTCTCGAGCCTCTTACTTCTAAAAGCTTATCAATAATGCTGTCTATGTTTAAATCAGAAGGATTGGAGACCATAAATTATAACAATTTATAATTGTATTTAGTGCATATATTGATAAATCAGGATGATAGGGAAAATAATTTATTAACAAATTTAATTATTTACGCGAGCTTTTGAATATTATTTTCTTAATTATTGAGATTGATATAAATCATATCTGCCGCGCTGTCAAAATAGCTATTTTTGAAATTTGGCATCTGTGCACATCATATTTAAAATTGAAAAATTATTAATATTATTTTAAAAGAAATCTAATTTTTATTTATTTAAATAATAATTTAATTACTTACAGATGCGTTTACAGATATTGAAAGTAAAGTCCCTTCTGCAATTTGTGATTTATTTTGTTTTATTGGACTTGGATGAAATCCTCCTGCTTTTGGTATTGGTGTTAATGAGTGATGCCTCTTATCAATTGGCTTCATTAAAATTCTTTTTGGTGACGCATTTCGAGACGTTTTCAAATACTCAATAATTCCTTTTCAGTCATGCGCGCATAAATCTGCTTTTGACCTGAAAAAAGGCGAAAGATTACATTTGAGCTCTCCAACACTTAATTTAAATCCTGATTTTATTTTCAGTTTATCTAACGATTTGACAATTTTCTTCGATTTCATATGATCGCTTTCCTTCAGCAATTTTCCAATTGCCATTTTTCCTCTTTCACTAAAATTTCTGCTATGAATATTACAATAATCAGTAAATTGCTTTGCAGGAGAACGACAATGCGATCTTGAGCAGAGCCCAGACCCTTCTCATATTTTCTTTAGATCTTGGATTTTCAAATTTCCTGTAGATGAATGTCTCTTTAAAAAAGTTTTAAGGGTATATTCATTATAAGGGATCCCTAAATAATCAAATAGATTCTGCAGTTGAAAATAATTTATTTTTCTCCCTGAGGTTGCTCATATAAAGGCTGACTCAAAATTAGGGAACATTTTTTTTATTTTTTCTTTAAATTCTTCATCTATTGGGTTTAAATGAACAGCTTCTTCGCTGCTTTCATATTTCTTAAATAAAATCATTAATAAATCTTTTTCAACAATCCCTAATTCTCCAGGGTCAAGCAAGTTTTGGAGTTCAGTTTTTTCTATCATGTCAAAATCAATATGAAGCACCTCACATACCTTAAAAAACTCGTGGATTGACAAAAACATGTGGCTCCCAAAAATTGATGTCGACATTTCCCTTATGTTTTCAAATTTTCCTTTCAAATGAGTTATTAATTTGATAATAGCTTGAGAATTTTTATTTGTGTCTGTTTCTGTTATTAGCAACCCTTGGCCTTTGAATTCTTCTGATACAAAAAGTTTTTGGAATGAATCAAATGAAATTGTTTTTTTAAAATTTGGTCCTAATAGTGATTTAAGGTCGTTTTCAGTGCTATTTATTTTGAGAAAATCAAGCAGTACTTCAATATCACTAATACTAAGCTCTTCAGGTAGCCAATGTTTAAGATGAGTTCAAGCTGTTTGCAAATTCCCATAAAGTTGTTCTAGAGCAAGCTTTACTTTATGTGTCAAAGGATTAAAATAATCAGTTTGCGCACAAGTAAATCTTGACCTTGAAATACTTGATTTTCCTATAGCACAAAACTCAAGTTTCGGTGAAAGTAAATAATCCATTAGAATTGTTAAATTAGTAGGTTTATTTAACTGGAAAATTACATAATAATTATATTGTTTTTTTAGCATTAGCTAAAGCATCTTTCATAATTAATGCATAATTGTCTTGTCCTTCGTGGCGAGCTGTAGCGCTTATTATAGTTGCCATTTCTCTTTTTGTAAGTGGATTTGCCCTGGCTTTTTCTTGTGCTCGTGAAAGTTCTGAAAAATTAATTACAGGAGTTCTTGGGGCGATAAAAGGGAAAAATGTTGTGATAAACATTATGCTTCTATATTCGTCTGATAATAAAATATTGATCCCTTCATCATAGCTTCCAGATTTTACAAATTTTTCTAATAAAGCTGTTGATGCTGATTTTTCTTCTTTTATTTGTTTTAATGTACTTTTGCATCTTGATAAAGCAGCAGCGAGATCTCCACCATTAACAAGCTGGATAATTTCAATAGCTAATGTAAATAGGCAATATAAGTTTGAGCAGCCTGATCGATTTATCCTACTTTGTCGATCACCTCTAATGATTAAATTTAGCTGCTCGGTAGCAGACTCTAAATATTTTTCTGCTTGCTCATATCTTTGGATGCTACAAAGAACAAGGAATGTAATAGCAGCGTGTGATAAAGCCATATCACCTAAGTTAGCTTCTTGCCCGACGTTTGACATTTGTTTTATTTCTATTAGTAGGCTTTCTGCGTCATATAAAAATTTCAAACTTCCTGTGTAGTCTTTAACTCTTAATCTTTTTAAATATAAAACAATTTAATTTAATTAAAAATACATCAAAATTTTTATATAAAATAAGTTTAGAATAAATTTAAAGGGAGAATTAAAAGTAAATATCCCAAGTTGCAATATATTAATGGCCGGCTCTGCCATGTCCTATCCTCAAATTCTCCTTCAAAAAACATGCATGTATCAGTTTGCACAGCTTTTTGAAGAACGTAAAGAGCTTCATGCAATAAATCAAATTGAAGAAATACAATTGATACAGAATTACACACCGTTATCATTTGTCTGAAAGTCTTAGAAATTTCGCTGCTTCTATAGCCCAAGGCATATAAAACTCGCTTTGTTTTTGACTCTAAAGTATCTATTTTATGCAGAACATGCGAAATGCTACAAGTTGATCTTCTTACTTGTGACCTCGATTTTTTCATTTATAAATCTAGATTATCATTTAGATCATTCACAAAATATTTTCAACAAAAAAGCATTTATTTCTTAAAACTCTGCTTTCACTATATGAGTTTACATCTAAGCTATGCAATAAAAATATTTTCTCATTTAAATTGCGTTTTTGCATTTAAGTTTATATTTCTTAAAGACTATTCATATCAAGACTAATTCTTGAAATTTTAAAATTGGCTTATGTATTTTCTCTTACCCCTCCATTTAATACAAGTAAACAGTCATTTTTTGTCCATAGGAATATTTAATAAAGAAAAAAATATATCGATGAAATTGCTTAATTTATGAAATTAAACAAAATGGTTTACTAGAAATACAGTGGATTAAAATATCTTTGAGCACTTTATATAAAAAATATTTATAATTTCTGTTTTTTTTATTTTTTTACTATAATCCAAGAAAATTTTTCTTTATCAAATAGAAAGAGCTAATATTTTACCATTTTTGTTGTTTTTGCAATTAATTTTTCCATTTCATTTGAAGAGATTACCTTGCAATATATGAATGATAATCGTAAAGACGTTTTAACTTTACAGCTATTTTTAATTTGTCACTACTGATTTTGAATTTAGTTATACACAATTAGCATAGTTCTAATTTTCTTCCTAAAATAATAATGGACAAAGCTTCCATATAATTCCTAAGACGTTGGATAAAATATGTCAGCACGCCCATTATCAGCCTTCAGAGACAATTCTTTATCGAATTTAAAGCCTCACCATCGCAAAAGAATGTCAATTCAACTAATTGATGAAGAGTTATCAACCAAACTTATAACTCCAATATTCCCAATGACAACAAAGCCAAAATTTTTCGAAACCTTATCTCTAAAAAGTCTAACAAAAACTCAACACATTAAAGGCTCGTTTTTTAAGCCTAAAAATTCCAAGCTAAGCAAGCGAAAAGATCCAAAGCCCGATGAAGAAAAAACAAGATTTATTGCACAAATTTCATACATACATAAAATGGCGTATTACGTCCGACCCGTCCCTCTTGTGTGATGGTAACCCGTGTATATCCGGGCATGGTTTTTCAGGAGGAATGATATAGCCCAACAACATCAGGAGTGCAGAAGGGATGGGCACAAGCACAGATCCGCAGATTTGTGACCTGATCCTTGGGCAGTTAATCATGAATCCTTTTTTCAGCAGCGCCCTTGCCAATGGATGCCCGAAATAGAGCAGGGTGATTTCCCTGCTCAAGTTGCTGTTGATGGCTTTGCCCAGAATCACGGAAGTCGTTGAATTTTTCTCAGGGATGATCTGCAAAAAGGGGAGGTAGGCTAGACTTAAAAACACGGCGGTGCCTTCGGCTTAAAGAGTCCTATAAAAGGATGACACCGACCAGGGTAAGTACAGTTGGCCTTAGAAGGCGAAGGGACTGAGTTGGAAATGGTGGTGCCCGGCAAGGGTCTGAGGACACAAAAAGGGCAACCTAATACCGAGAAACCGGGGGTTTCGGCCTGGGCTCAGAGGTACCAGAGGTACAAGTCTACCCAATTCGCTTGTTCTAACACGCTTCTGGAAGTAGAGAATTTAAATACCCAGCCTATAACATTAACATTAATATTATTGCACAAATTTCAAAATTTCAAGAAGCTAAAGGAAACTTTGATGCATTGACAAATACGAAGGTAAATAACCAAAAAAGCATTGAAGTAATAAAAAAGAGGATTGAAATTATCAATAGAGAAAAAGAAGTCTATAAATCAAAAATAAAAGAATATGAAAAACTATATGAAAGCTTGAATGAAATTTTAGCGAAAGGGCTGATTGAAGATTTTGAAAAGGAAAGGATAATAACAAAAATAGCTTCAATTAGAGAAAAACCGAAAATAGCAGGAATAGACAATGCGGAGCTGTGGGAAGTGTATACAAGAACTGAAAATCTATTTAAATCAATGTAATTATAAATAAAATATTTATATTGCAACAGTTTTGGTATCTTTAAGCAATTTGATATCAATAGTAATTGTGCTTGAATAAATTAATAAGTGCATATAAGTACTGCCTCAAGGGTAGATAATGATGAAGCCTAACCATTGTAAACTAATATCAGTTTACTGCCATCACAATAAATTAGAATTTCTTTGCTTTATTTATTCATATTTAAAATTACTGTCCTAGCTTTTATGATAAGTTTAAACCCTCTTCAAGTGAGCATCCGAGTATTTTAGCAATTATTAGCTATTTTTATCGACAAGATCTATTTATTAAGCATTTGCCAAAACGGTTTATATCAATCATAAAAATATTTAACAGATTTAAGAAGCAATTTAATAGAGCCCTACTATATTTGTTGATAATATAGCATATAATTGGCCTCCTAATCTAATACTTCTTTGATATTTCGAATCCTAAGAATTATTTTTCAGCATATTTATCTATAGCATATCTAAACCAAAATTTAGTATTTCCATATAAAAATAAGAAAAATTTAAATTTATTGATCATCTTTCATCTCTTTTCATATCCATTATATTAAGTTTTAAGATAATAAAAACCATTTATCTTCATAAAATTCAATGCATGAAGCAAGTATCCAACAAGACTTTCAAATTTGGTTGCGTTATCTAACATCAAGATCTGATAAATATCTTATTGATATATCAGCCCTTAATAAGTTTAAGTTTATGATAACTCTTCAAGAGCCGTACTTTTTGGTATCAGCTTGGACCGCAGCTTTAAATAACGTAAGGCGGGTTGGCCTAACTGTTAAAACTGTTTCTGTCCCCAAGCCACTTAGGACTTCTCTGATCTACACCAGACACAGTGTAGACCCATTCTTTTGAGCCAGACTCTCAATAAGTCATGAAATTCTCACTGAGCAAAGATGTAGGACCCGAGCCCTATTCTCTAACTGGCATTTTTAATTTGGCTTAATAAGCTAACTACGATAGTGATCAACAATCCAGATTCCAAAGATTTATTTATTCCGCTCTTAATAGGGTCATTAGAAACAGAAAAAGAATGCGCGGCTATCATAACCCTTCATATAATCAACACAATTGTTCTGAATTTTCGGAAAAACTCAAAAGGCTCCTCAGATGTGCTGTTTCTTGGAAAAATCCTTGATGATGGGATAGGTGTCATGGAAAGAAATTTGTCAAGAAACTGAAAAGACTGGGAAAATCAGCTCTTATGGACCCTTTTTGAATGGAAATTGAATTATAAAATAGAAAACAGACTAAGTCCGATTCTTTTATCATCAGTCAATAGCAAAGGAGAAGAAACCTTGCATCTTAAAGATACGCATTTTACTTTAATAGAAGAAGACGAAATGCTAGCATTATATCTCAGAGATAAAGGAACAGAAGCGATGGTAACAAATTTATTAAGAATTTTTGAGTATTCATATAGAAATACTGAGCCAAATAAGGATCCTTATAAAAAAATGATGTATACAGCTGTCAAAGGAGAAGGATGGACTTCCCTTATGAATTTAACCAAGAGATATTTAATTTCTTCAATAGGCTCATTAGACACAAAAAATTATGCATTTAGGAATATACAAAATGATAAATTAGCCTTAATCCCACACGTTTTTACTGCTATGCATGCTTCATCATTTATAGAAAGCAGCGTAGCCTCTAACGTCAGAACTTTAATCCAGCTTTTTACAGCATCAAGATACGATATTGCAATTTCCTGTGGATGGCGCTGCTTTGGTCTTGATTTTCTCACTGGAAAAATTTTTTTGTTCGACCAACACTGTATGGCTTGGTAAAACCAAAAAATTTTCCCTGTAGGAAAATCAAGGCCAAAATAGCACCATCCATGGGAAAATCTCATATCTCCACATTTATTAAAACTGAACAATATAAAGCATGTGTTTCTGATTTAATGTCTTCTTTAAATCATACATTGGAGCATCTAAATACAATCAGTCCATGATTATGCAAATATATCTGCGAAATCTGCAAAATTATAAAAGAAATTAAAGGAAGGGATGATTATTGAAATGAAATGAATGGGCTATTAATAGTCAGGCTGCTAGCACCTTATATTTTTAATCCAGCTCTTGTAGGAATAGTTGAACATGTGGATTTAAATTCCATCCAATTGTTGACGTATACAGCAAAAATCGTCCAGGGAGCTTGGGTTGGTGCTTTTATTGATAATGGTGAGCTTGGAGAACTGAAATGGATTAATATGGAATTGGTTAAATGGAAAGGAGAACTACAAATGGCTTTTGAAAAAATGTACCATGCCGAGATTCCCAGTAGTCGAGGGCTGATACTCCCTAAAACTTTAATTTTGAGTGATTTATGCCAAATTCAAAATAGAATGAAGAATTTTGAATGAAAAAAATGCCCAGAAATCGTAGAAATGCCAAGGAAACAGAGAAAACCGAAAATAACTATTGATCAGAGTGTTGAAGAGCTAATATGCCTTAAAAGGCCACCTAAAAGATCGCCAAGCTTCAAAGAAAATTCATTCACTTTTGAGAAGCATAAAGAAATTATGGAAGAAATTATAACAGAAAATCATCAAACTGTTCCAGTTCTTCAAATAGCACCTCCTGATATTTTTAAGCATCAAGAGAATCATGAGCCAAGGATAAAAAGCCCTAATCATGAAAATGAAATCCATAGAGACATGTATCAAAAAGCTGAGCCTTTACCATTTATACCTCAAAATGTATATGCCTATCAAAATTCCTTATCAAGTCACAGCGATTCTAATAAAATTGATTCAAAGCTAACGCTTACTCTCAGCCACTTTATAATTTAGGAGAAATTAAATAAATTATTTTATTTTTTAAAATTATATATTTAAATTAAAAGAGTCAGTGATCTAAAAATTTCAATAACTGAAAGATCCAAGCACGCTATTTCAATTTCTTGTCAGACAGACAATTCTCATTTTAATTCAACTTTTACTCAAACCAATGAAGAAAAACCAACTAACACTGGAATCCAAACAGACGACTCCATAACTTCTATAAAATCCACACAGACAGATATGGATTTTTCTTTCAATAAAAAAGCTTCAACTTGTGATCAATATACATTTACTGACATCAGTCTCAGTGAAGTCTTAGCTGACTCCCCCCCCCTCGAAGTTCGACCAAGATTTATTTTGGTCGAACTTCGAGGGGGGTTAAGAAAATTTTTTTTTAAAAAAAATTATAAAAAAAAAACAAATAATAAAAAAAAAAAAAATATTTATCATATTCTTCTGTATGGTTGAGAGGGTGTAAGGGTTAGAAAAAATAGTGCAAGATGGTTTTGTAACGCTTTTTTAGAACTTGAATACAAAAATCGCAAGCTCACCCCCACATAGTTTAAAATTTTTGAAAAATTGCTTATTTTCCTAGTAAATTTATATAGGTCTTGGTCGAACTTTGAGGGGGGTTAATTTTCCAAAAAAATAGGAATTTTTCCCTATATCTTGGTCGAACTTCGAGGGGGGGAGTGAGCATAATAAACTGAAAAATCAAATCGAGAAAATGCTTCAATATCAAACTCAAGAGTCAGAAAGGCTCAATAAAGTAAATGAGTATTGAGCAAATCAATATAAAGAGCTTAAATTTGAAAATATTGAATTAAAAAGCAAGATCAAAGAGCTTAAAGAAGAACAAAATAAAGCAGGCGAAATTAGATATACAGAGCCAAGCCAAGTTAGATATTCAGAACCAATGACTTCACGAAGCTATGCTCCAATTCCTGATGACTCAATTGATCTTTATCTTAATAGGAAAAGTACAGTATTTTATAAATGCGATCCAAGTCTGCATTCTCAAGAAATTGACCAAATAATCACATCAAGAAAATATAGACAGCTAAAACTGCGAAATGAAGAGCGAAGGCATAAAATGGATTTTGAAGGATATTGGTCTCCCCCTAAATCTTGTCGGTAATATTGTTAAATCATTTTTCATATTATAAATCATGATTTTACTTATGTTAATCTAGTCTTAAATTAAAATAACTTTAAGCTTCCTAATAGATAGAATAAATAAGATCTATCATAGTTTTTTAAATGTTCAAAAAATGAAGCTCTTTCTGAAACACTGTAATCCCATATCAGCTTTTCAGCAGGCTGTGTATATTCTGATGATTTTCTTCTTAATTCCCTTCAGCTGATAGCATTAAAATTGGCATAAGTTCGGCTTAAAATCAAATGGTATGTTTTCATAGCTTTTTCAAAACTTAGTATAGTCTCTTCATCTTCTTTTGGAAACTCAGCATACTCAGTCTTTATATTAAAATAAGTTGCAATAGACTTATATTTTTTCAAATCTGAGCTAAACTTGTCATTGACGCTAATTAAATACATAAATAAGTTCCAATTTATTTCTTTTACACCAAGCTGATAATGACAGGCATTGTCAGAATTACTCCCTAAACAATTTTCAGTGCTATTTATGCTGATCACAAAAATATCATTTGGATTTCTCTCAAAAACAACACCTAATTCATTCATCATATCGAAATTTGATTTTGCTCCATAATAGTTATAAACTTCATAGTCTTCATAAAAATTCCTCATCGCAAACAAATTCATTGATTCTGGATATTTATTAAAATTCACAAAAAATTCCCCACTTGAATCTCCCAGTCTTTTTTTATCATATCCTATAAAATCGATGCCAGGAAGAAAAATTCTTACAACTCCGTCTTCTTTGGATTTCCCCCCTCTGCCAAATGCTTGGAGCTCTCTTATATGGGTTTTAAAAGTTCTCATGGATTTAATGGAATACGCCCACTTCCAAGCTTCACATTCAAATAGATCGCTTGGTAATGCACTTTTAGCAGATTGGAACATTTCAGTGAAAACTTGGCACCTTTTCAAGTATTCATCAGAGTTTTGGACTGGCCATCACCTTAAGCTGAGATTTTGGTATAATTCATGCTGCTGTAAAGTCCAATTTAAGGGTAAGTAGGTTTCTGTTGGTAAAGAATGGACATAGGAATTTATGAAATTCCCTCTATTTCCATTGAATTTCTCGTGTAAGATATAGAGAGCTAAAGCATCTTGAACTGTTGCGTTGATATGAATAAGTGGATTATAGTCATAAGGGGATATAATATATTTAAAGGAAAGCCCTAGTAATAGCTCCCCTGCTGATATATCTCTTTCTGCTTTTACGCAAAATTTGTTCCCGCATTGGCTTAGTTCGAGATCTGGGGCGAGTTCTTGAAAGGTGTAAAGAATTATTTCTCAGTCTTTTTGGGTAAAAGTATTGGGAATGATATAGGCTATTGCAGATACTAATAAAAAGCAAAAATAATTCATTTATAAAATATAGCTTTTTATAAAAATTCAAGAGAATTAATGATGAAAAAGATTTTAACGCTTTATTAAGTAGTAATTAAAATTAAATGACTAACCAAAAATTATTATTATTTAAATCATATAAATAAGCCTTCATTAAATTCGCTGAAAATATTATATTTGCTATCAATTTTAATGAAAGAGCTAAAAGTAGTCACATAATAAAAATGCTTATTTTTATAATTATTTATTTGAACTAAAATTTCAAAAATTGTATAACTTAAGTTTATTAAAATTATATTTTTGATTTAATAAACTATAAGAAGTGGTAAAAGAAGACGTTTAAATTTTTATTAATTTCACAATAAATACCAATCACTTTATTTTGTTGCAATTTTCAATAAAATGTCTTCTAAAGAGCAAATGACTCTTAAGGAGCGGCTTTACATGCCACCTATTGAAAAATACGAAAAATACGGGATTTTTCCGTGAAAAATTGTAATACACTTTTTGCTAGTTGCTATGACTACTTGTCAAACCCTATTGATCGTCCTTGAAAATTCCACCTATTCATATTCCCAATACCTCCAGTGGAATAAATTGTTTTGTAATGATAATGTGCAGGGCAGTGATACAAGCATAACAAATTCATATAATATATTTAGCCCTGAAGAACTTATGAGTTATGTTGAGCAAACAGTCACACGATATTTCGACATCAATAGCTTCACCATTGATAATTACTCTTACTCCCCCCCCTCCGTGAGTGAACAAAAAAATTTTGTTCACTCACGGAGGGGGGTTAATTTTTTTTTTTTTAAAAACATTTATATAAATTTTATAAAAAAATATTTTTTCGAAATTTAAAAATTCCTAATTCACAAAAATTGGAAAGCAAATATTAATTTTATTTATAAAATTTATGTTTTAAAAAGCAATTCATTTAAAATTAAACAGAATTAGCTCTAGATTTCATTATAATAATTATCATTTATATATCAAATATTTTTTCCATAAAAAAATTTTTGTTCACTCACGGAGGGTGGGGGTTTTTTGGGCAAAAAAAATAGGGATTTTTCTAATGATTTTGTTCACTCACGGAGGGGGGGGAGTTACGACTATACAGACGATGGAGACAAAAAGCCTGTAAAATTGATGGTGAAATACATAAACTACGAAAATGCACACAGCGACGGGTATACTCACGAATACAAGCTTACTCCGCAATATCTAGGACCATTTACATCTAAAGAAAGTACAAAGGATTTTTTAAAAAAAGTGAAGAGGTTTGAGCTGAGTTTTTCGTTTTACCATCACTTAAATTCAAAAATCCCAACAGCTTCAACCTGCTATTTGTGGACTATTAGACAAGATTACGATTATTCCAATCATGGACCTATTGATGTCTCTATGGCAACAGACAGAAGTTTTTGCAAAAGTGAAATATGTAATTAATAAGCAGTCAACCCTATGAAAAAATACGTATGAATTGGATTCGCTGTAATCTTACTCTCAATTATCTCTATGGTATCTATATGATACTATATCATGAAACGAGTGATGATTATTTCTAAAGTTAGACAAGGCCCGACAGATTTTCGGTATGCCTGGGAAAGTTTAAGCTTCCATGATAAGCTGAAACTTGGGAATTTTTGGATTTTATTTAATATTATCGGAAATATCACCCAATTTTTTTCAGGAATTATCACAGTAATTGATGATGGGACGTTTTTAAAAGTCCATGACGTTCTAATCGGTCTTGGAACATTTTGTGCCTGAGTCGGGATTGTTCAGTATCTTGATCATACTTCTAAAACTTATACAATCATAAATACATTAAAGCGAAGCTTTTCGACTCTTGGCCCGTATTTAGTTGGAATTCTTCCAATTTTCATGGCATATGTCTTTCTAGCTATGTGCTTATTTTGGAAATCAGGCATTTATACAACGACAACTCAATCAATGGTCGCTGCTTTTGCTTTAATCAACGGTGACTCAGTTTATGCGTTTTTCAGCGGAGCTTATGAGGTGAATAGCTTCTTAGGGCAGCTTTATATGTATACTTTTATTGTTTTCTTTATTTGGTAAAATTTATGCAGCTGTGTTCATAACATTTTTATTGCAATTATACAGTCAGGGTTCGGCTCGCTTTCAGAGAGACCTCCGAAGAAGGATGGTGAGTCTGATGAAGAGCAAGATTTGCAAAAAGAGGAGGCTGGCACTCCGTCGTCTCCTTCATCTTCAGTGCTCAAGAAAAAAAGACAGAGTTTAAGAGACATTGACAAAGAAGTTAAGGGTAAAAGCTAAGCAGAAAAGCGATCTAAAGATGTATTTAAAAAATTGATCATTGGAGAAGCGAAAACTCCTTTAATTGATACTGAAGAAAATACTCAAAAAATTATCGACAAAATGGACGAAAATGCAGCAGAAATAGAAGAGTTGCTCCACAAGCTTCAAACTCTGGCATTTCCATTGAGAAAAGAAGAAGTGAATAGAGAACAGCTTAAAAACCATATGGAGAAAATTATCCATGAGCAGCTTGACTATTCTCCAAGAAAAGACACACTTTAACCAAAATATTTTACTAATATAAATTTGAAGCTTTTCTCACATATCCTTATCTCAAAAAATTGTGTAAACAATTAGCATAAAGTGTCTTTAGAGTAAGCTCTAATATACTATAATAATTTATCTCAGACTAAAACATGGGAAATGTGTGTTCTTGTGCTAAACCCAAGCCTAAACTCGTCCAAAAGTCCGGTAACCCTCCACTCCAAGTCAAAGCAGGTGAGCAAAACGCTTTATTAGACCGCTTAGGAACTGCCCAAGTAAAACTTTTGCAAGATAAATTCAAAGCAATCCAACTCAACGGTGGTCTAGATCTCAAAGGATTCAAAAGTATGCTCCCTCTTATCTCCCAACTCCCTGTCCCCGTCGTCAAATCTGCTTTTCAGCTTTTTTGTTCAAACAATATCGATAAAATTACCTGACAAAATTTCTGTTTGACGATCTCTCAATATGTATTAGGCCGAAGCGAGGACAAATGTCGGTTTATTTTCAAAATTTTCGACATTACCAGCAAAGGCTATTTGCAAGGCAAAGACCTCCAAGCTTTACAAAGACATTGCTCCAATGCTATAAGGCTACCGACCTCCTCTTCTGCTTCAGACGTGACAAATATTTTTGAAGCCTGCTTAAAAGACGGAAAACCTCTAATGTTTGACGATTTTAAGCTCTGAGCAATTGAGCATTTAGAATTGCGGAAAGTTATGGAATATTTTGAAATTATTCCTTCACCAATTAGTGAAAAAGAAATAATTAAAAATATTTTGAGAGAATATGAGAGAATTGGACTCAGAGAAGGCGATAAATGGAACGTTATTTCTTATAGATGATTTGAAGCGTGGAGAAAGTACGTGGATTTTGAGTATGAAGAGCCAGAAGATATTGACTCGCCGCCTGATGTAAAAATTAGATCGAAATCTGCAATGTATGGGGCAAGGCCGATTGAAATTAATAATCATGAATTAAGAAGTTATGAAAATCCGTTTAAGCTAGCTGAAAATATTAGAGATGGAGGAGAGTATTTGTGTATACCAAATGAAGCGTGGACTAAATTAGTAAGCTGATATGGAGGAGGACCTGAGTTTTTAACTCCCCCCCTCCGTGAGATAACAAAAAAAAATTTTGTTCGGGGTTAATTTTTTTTTAAAAAAATTTATATATAAATTTTATAGAAAATATTTTTTTTCGAAATTTAAAAAAATCCTAATTCGCAAAAATTGGAAAGCAAATATTAATTTAATTTGTAAAATTTATGTTTTAAAAAGCAATTTGTTTAAAATTAAACAGAATTGGCTCTAGATTTCATTATACTAATTATCACTTATATATCAAAATTTTTTTCCCTAAACAATTTTTTCTAACTCCCCCCCCCTCTCCGTGAGCGAACAAAAAAATTTTGTTCACTCACGGAGGGGGGTTAATTTTTTTTTTTAAAAAAAATTTATATATAAATTTTATAAAAAATATTTTTTTTTCGAATTTAAAAAAATCCTAATTTGCAAAAATTGGGAAGCAAATATTAATTTAAATTGCAAAAATTTATGTTTTAAAACGCAATTTGTTTAAAATTAAACAGAATTAGCTCTAGATTTCATTATACTAATTATCACTTATATATCAAAATTTTTTTTCCATTAAAATTTTTTCTATTAAAAAAATTTTTTGTTCGCTCACGGAGGGTGGGTTTTTGGTCAAAAAATGGTGATTTTTCTAATGGTTTTGTTCGCTCACGGAGGGGGGGGGGGGGAGTAAAGAAATTTTTGTTCACTCACGGAGGGCAAAAAATAGGGATTTTTCTAATGGTTTTGTTCACTCACGGAGGGGGAGAGTAAGAGAAGTTATAATAGAAAATAATAGACCGACAATAGAGCTGTATCCTGCAATATTGAATATTCTTGTGAAAAAGAGCAATGCATCATCATTTTCAAAGGAGCCAATAGTGCTGGTTTTTTCAAAAAAGAAAAGAGTCCAAGCTGTGCTTGATAAACTTATGTCGAAATTAAATTTAGAAGGAGAGCCAAGACTATGTCTGATTGAAGGAGACGGTTTTAAAGCTCTTGAACCTAATTGAACCTTAGAGCAATGTGGGTTAATTGATGTCAAAAAATGTGCATTTGAATTAGTAGATAAAAGATCAGACGAGGAATATGTCCCGTCAGATCTGATTATTGAAGAATATAAAGAAGGAGATCCTGTAGAATATCAAGAAAATGACAATTGGATGTCAGGAAACATAAAAGAAATCAGGGAAAATAAATATATTATCGCAATCAGCTGAAAGCCTACACCTATTGAAATATTAAAAAAAGATATTAGCAAGCTGAGAAAACCATCAAGGATATGCATTTCTAATGATGAAGTATCAGGAGCAACTGGGCTATGAAACATGGGAAATACTTGCTATGTAAATGCGATTGTACAGCCTTTATCACATACCCCGCTATTTTCGGAATTTTTTTCGAGTGAAGCTCATATTGCATATATAAACGCAACAAATCCAAACGGATCTAAAGGGAAAATAGCGAAAGAGTTTGGAGGGTTGCTAAAAGAGCTAAAGCAAAGCAAGGTTAAATGCATTAAGCCTGTAAAATTTATTTCTGAGTTCATAAAGGTTTATGATATTTTTAAAGGAAATGACCAGCATGATAGCCATGAGTTTTTAAGCATGTTACTTGATGGGCTTCATGAGGATTTTATACTTTTTTGTATTGAATTAAGATATCGTGCATTATCAATACGTTCCCCTCATCAAAATTAATCTGAAACCTTATTTCAATAAATCTTTAAGCTTTTTAAGCTGCATAAAATTCATAATACTATATTCAAATATTATAGTATAAATAGAAGATCAGAAGAAGCAAAAATCACACAATCTGCAACTTTAAAAAATCCTTCCCAGCAGCAAGAAATCCAAACAAGCAGAGAACAATGGGAGCAGCTTCAAGGCGAACGCGGAAGCGTAATTTCAGATTTATGTGGTGGTCAAATTCGCAATTGCCTAACATGTCCTTCTTGTAGTGACAAAAAAGTAAGGTTTGAGCATTTTATGGATTTAAGCGTCCCAATCCCAATAAAAGAAAACGACTTGTCTATAGTTTTGACATTCATCCCCAGAAATTCCACGAAATATAGAAAATTGAAAATAAGAGTGGCCAAAGATGACCCAATAGAAGCATTATTAATAAACATCCAAAACAAAACTCAAGTTAGCCCAAGCAAGCTTATATTTGGCTTCATAGACGATTCATTTATTACTCATGTTTTTCAGCCTACAGAAATCAATGAGTGCATCCCACCCAAAAAATCAGTCAGCTTAGTCGCTTATGAAATCATCACTTCTATTGAAGAAGGCGAAAATGATGGAAAACCTACAATAAAAAAGCCTGTCGAAGAAAACTGAAGAGATATGCTAAAGCCCGGCCAGCTTGTTGACTATTTATGCATTGGGAAAGGATGAATTGCGGGTGAAATACAACAAATTAAAGACAAACACATAGAAATTACGCTAGAAGACGACTCCGCACCTCCTATAGTAGCTAAATTTAACAGCTCTAATATAGCTCCATTTAGGCACCATACTACAAACGACGATAATATTCTGAAAATCAAAATAATCCACGCAAGAAGAGCCAAAACCAATGAATATTTCAGCGTCCCTATTTTATTAACAATTGGAAACTGATACACATGGAAAGAACTGTACATGAAAATTACAGAGCTCTGCACAAAAATGGTGAAAAATCCTCCAGAAAACTTAAAAGACAGCATGAGCTTATTCGTCCTCAGCAATGAAACAATGGCATGTGCATTATGTTCAAAGAAAAATTGCAATGGCTGCAAATTTTTAGATAGTAATGACTCTATTAAGTGGTTTGAAGAGAAAACAGAAGAAGTTTTCATTTGTGTGTACTGGAGGATGTCGTTGTATAATAAACTGGTAATACCAAGAGAAATTGAAGATTATGATGTTTTTAGCATTTATGACTGTTTGCATCAGTTTACACAGCAGGAAACGCTAGATATGATTTGCAAAAAATGCCCAGAGCAGAAAATAGTAGGGCAGACTGAAATATGGAGGGTTCCGGATATTTTGATTATCCATTTGAAAAGGTTCAGATATAACAAAAATAGGCTGGAAAAAATCTGCAATACTATAAATTTTCCATTAGAGTCCCTTGATATTAGCTCATGGATGCTGAGCTCAGAGAAAACAGTTGGGAATACAGTTAGTACTACAAGAGAAAATTGTATGTATGATTTATTCGCAGTAGTAAATCATTCTGGTGGAAGTGTAGAAGGAGGGCATTATACGTGCTATTGTTTACATAAAACTGAAGAAAAATCAACTTGGCTTTATTTTGATGATGACAGAGTTTATTCAGTAACTGAAGATGCTGAAAAAGAAATTGTAACATCTAGGGCTTATATTTTGTTTTATAGAAGACAAAGGTTTGCTCCAAGTAATGTAGTCAATCTTTTTGCATTAAATTAAGATTGTAATTATCTTGGTTAATTAAAGGTTAATTTTTGTATGTGTGGTAAAATAGAAGGATAGTAATAATGAGTATTGATAGATAAATTTTGAGTGTTTTTTTGTTTTAAATTCTTATTTGTTCATTCCCTATTTTTGTTAAAAATTATGACACATGTGTTTTCATTTAGGCATGAAAAAATTCAAAAATATAAAATAAGAAATAAACAGATTTATGTTGATTATATGTGAAATAATTAAAAAATATTAATCGGAAGCTTAAGTGATTCTTATTAATAATTTTACATTTTATTACTAATTAGAAAATAAATCTGAAGAAGAAAAACATTCTCTTTAAAACGAACTTCTTTAAGGATTAGTTTCTAGCAAATCCTAATAGCATTTTAATTTACAAAATATTCTCCAATTATGGCTGCCATTATCCATCACTTTTAATAATAAAATTTTAATATCATGCACATTTTAATGTCAAAAAGAGAAATCTAATAACTATTAGATGGAGGCTGAGTCAATGAAATACCGCTACCTTGGAAGATCAGGGCTTAAAGTTTCAGTTCTTGGCTTTGGAAACATGACAAGTGGGTGGGCAGAAGGAGCAGAAGAATGAAACTCTCAGTGTATTGATAAATGCATCAAAAAAGGAGTCAATTTTTTTGATACAGCTGAATTATACGGCTCAGGAGTTGCTGAAACAATTCTTGGAAGAAATCTAAAGCAAGGAGGCTATGATAGAGATGATCTCATCATAACAACTAAGTTTTTCCCTTCAAAATTTGGAATTCAAGGCCTCAGCCGCAAAAGACTAAGGCAAGCCATTGATCATTCTTTAGAAAGAATGCAGCTCGATTATGTTGATATAATTTACCTGCATAGATTTGACCCTGAAGTCCCACTAGAGGAATCTATTAGAATTGCTAATGAAATTATAGACAGTGATAAAGCGTTCTATTAGATTATGATTATTAAAGACAGGCGCTAGTCATATTGTGATGTTTTCACCAAAGATCTTCCGTACAGGAGATTAATCCGCATTGAGATGAACTGCCTAGTAAGTCTAGCCAAAGTCGATGCGGCTGTCTCCTACTTGCCTTGCAGTTTCAATCCTGAGTAGGCGGCTTATATATTTCTGCTGCCCTGCAGCAGGCTATTGGGAGTAACTTGATTCCAGGATTAGCTCCTTGGAGTCTATAGGGTGCCAGAGTGCCTTTTTTTGGCAGCTACAAGAAAAGACTGCTCCCATATGACCCAAGCCGAAATCCCCGTTTCTCGATAGAGGATACCCAATGATCCAAAGTCGCCTGTTTAATGGGCATTCTATTGGGGAACTTCTAACTTTACTCCTCAGCAAATTTCTGAATGTTTCACGATTTGTGAAAAACATGGATGGATTCCACCAATTGTAGAACAGTGTGAATATCATATGTTTGAAAGAGAAATTGTTGAAAGAGACTATGTTCCTTCATTTAATCAGTACGGACTAGGGACTAGTGTATGGTCACCTTTGTGTGGAGGGATTTTGTCAGGAAGATATAATGACGGAAATGTCTCAGCAGGCAGATTTGACAATAGCTTATTTGCGTCATTTACAAAACCAAAGTGGGATAAATATATTGGGAACAGAAAAGAAGCCGCAGTTAAGATTTTAACGGGATTAAAAGCGATTGCAGATGAATTAAGATGCAGCCAAGCTCAATTAGCTATTGCATGGGTGATGAAAAATCCTGATGTATCAACTGCTATTACTGGAGCTAGCTCCATTGCTCAGCTTGAAGACAATCTTGGCTCTGTGGAAGTGATTGAAAAACTATCCCCTGAGGTACTATCAAGAATTGAAGATCTACTTGGAAATAGGCCAACGCCATCTATGAATTGGAGAAATTTCTCACCAAATACTCCAAGAAGATAAACATATTAATTATTAGATTTAATAATTTCTTAGCTCTTCATTATAAATTAATTGTATGTTTTTAAATTGCTAATAAATAATTAATTCAATTATTGTTGGTTGCTATTTAAATGAGCTATTCATTATATTATAAATAATGCCTTGTACAAATTGTATGAGGTTTTTCATCCTAAATATATTTCCCCACATAGAATCTCCGTACTTTTTCCATAAACCTTACACAATTCAGTAATGCACATAACCAAAAAACTATTTTGAATTTAATAGGACTTCTTTTATAACTCCCCCCTCCGTCAGCAAACAAAAAAATCTTTGTTCACTCACAGAGGGGGTTAATTTTTTTTTTTAAAATATTTTTATATAAATTTTAAAAAAAAAAATTTATTTGGAATTAAAAAAATCCTACTTCTCAAAATTGGAAGGCAAATATTAATTTAATTTGTAAAATTTATGTTTTAAAACGCAATTTGTTTAAGATTAAACAGAATTAACTCGAGATATCATGATACTAGTTATCACTTATATATCAATTTTTTTTTGATAAAAAATTTTTGTTCGCTCACACGGAGGGTGGGTTTTTGGGCAAAAAAATATAGGAATTTTTGCTCGCTCATGGAGGAGGGGAGTAAATATTTGGAGAAAATTATCAAATGAAATACATGCATTTGTATTAATAAAATAGCTAAAAACTCAGAATTACTTATAATGTATTAATTATAATAATAAAATATGTCTTAAGAAAAGATTTTATATTCCTAGAATATAGAGGGGAATGGAAAGTGAGTCAATAAATATCGTGATCTTGGAAGTTTAGGGCTTAAAGTTTTAATTTAGGCTTTGGAAATGTGACTATTGGATGGGTTGATGGAACTGAAGAATTAAATTTCTAACGTGTAGATAAAATCACTTTGATCATGGCTCTCAATTTTAATATGCTAAATGTAACTTTAGATAATTTCTATTGAAGTTTAAGTTCCAAATTTAAGCTTTTATTAAAATGAAAAATTAAATAAAATTTTGAAGTTATTTAATTAATTTTTACTCAGAGAAGATGACTTAAATGAAATTTCTCTTTAATAAGTGATTATTGTTGGCCAAATGAGAGAATATTAAAGAATTTACAAAATATAAATTCTTACTCCCCCTTCCCATCCTTGATCGAACGGCTCGCCATCGTTCGATCAAGGATGGGGGTTAAAACAATTTTTTTTGGGAAAAAAAATTTATATATAAAAATAAAATATATATATATGTTTTTTTTATTTATTTTTAAATAAGAGGGTTAAGAGTATTTAATCATTATTTTTACAGCAAAAAATTGAATTAATCTCATAAAAACACCAATTTTTAATATTTTAATTTATTATTCACCCCTTTAAACTGTATAAATTTTAATTTGTTCCTTATTGAATTAAAAAATTTTTTTGTTTTAATTTTTAAAAAATTTCTATTTTTTAGATTATTGAGTTTTTAAGCCTAGGTTGATGACTGTATAACTTCGGATGGTTGATTCTGTAGCTTTCTGTCTCCTCAAAGTCTCTTAAAACAACTTCATTAGGTACATCTTCCCAAGCTTTCGATAACTAATATATTTTTATATATATAAAAATTTGCTTACTTACTTACTTACTTACTTAATTATTCGGTCTTTAAGGTGCGCGGTGCCGCAGCCCCTATAAAAGGGCTTTTGGCAAAACTTGTGACGTCACCGAGCCATCTTGGATTAACCTGGTCAGCCCAGGCCCAAGCCGTCTATCAAAGCTTCGTCGCCAGTCTTGCTGCACTTCTCACCCGGCGCGTTGCCGATGCCTCGCCCTGACTCAGCTCCTGCGCGTGTTCCGCCTAAGGGTCATCCTCCCGTGGAGATGTGCTGAGAGGTAAAACTCCGAGCCTCTTGATGCACTGAGGAGGCGTTCCTCTGGTTATCCCCAGAGTTAACCGTCTATTGCTGTGCAGAAGTTCTCGAGAGAAAACCTAACCCCATAAATAAAAATTCCATGAGGGAGAGAAAATTAGCAAAGCTAATTTCTCTCGAACCGAATGCCATTTTATTTATATATAAAAATTTGCATGATAAAAATCGTTCGATCAAGGATGGGGGTTAATTTCCCCAATTTTTAGGAATTTTTACAGTCAATCGTTCGATCAATGATGGGAGGGGGAGTTAGAATAATTTTGGTTTCGTAAAACTAATTAAGAGAATTCATTGCTTCTGGCTTTAAATTTGAATTTGATTTAAATAATTAAATAAGCTATGCAAATTATGCTCTTTTATTCAGGCAAATAATCTTGTCTCAATTTAATGCTATTGAATTTGATAATATTCATGTGATCCATCACTTTTAATAATAAATATTTACTATCAAAAATATTTATTGATAATCAATAACAATACTAAATTAGAAAATGGAGACTGAGTCAATGAAATATCGCTACCTTGGAAGGTCAGGGCTTAAAGTTTCTGTCGTTATTCTCCCTTTAAATTGGAAAAAAATCCTGTTCCCATTCAAAGAATAGTTAATTTTTTTTTATTTTATTTTTCTCTATAAAAAATTATAAAAATGTTTTAATTAAAAAAATATAAATTCAATTCAATTTTTGAATTTTAATTTATTTTTATAAAGAATTAATTCAAAAATTATCGATGCAGCGTTAAAACTGTTCAATAATATTCTAATTGCATTTTTTCGATTGAATTCGGTTAAAGCAAATTTTATAAAAATTAATAATATTTTTCTATTGAAAAAAAAATTTGCTCAGCAAAAAATGGAAATTTACCTAATTTTGTTCTAATTTAAAGGAGGAAAATTTAGTTTTGGAAATATGACTAGTGGATGGGCCGATGGAACTGAAGAATGGAACTTCCAATGTGTTGATAAATGCATCAGAAGAGGAGTTAATTTTTTTGACACAGCTGAATTCTATGGCTTTGGAATAGCTGAAACAATCCTTGGAAGAAACATAAAGCAAGGAGGTTATGATAGAGACGATCTGATAATCACAACTAAGTTTTTCCCTTCAAACTTTGGAATTCAAGGTCTCAGCCGCAAAAGACTAAGACAAGCCATTGATCATTCTTTAGAAAGAATGCAGCTTGACTATGTTGATGTAATTTACCTTCACAGATTTGATGCTGAAGTCCCTCTTGAGGAAACCATTAGAATTGCTAATGAAATTATCGACAACGATAAAGCATTCTATTGGGGAACTTCTAATTTCACCCCACAGCAAATTTCTGAATGTTTCACAATTTGTGAAAAGCATGGATGGATTCCACCGATCGTTGAACAGTGCGAATATCATATGTTTAGAAGAGACATTATTGAGAGAGATTATGTACCTTTATTTGATCAATATGGTTTAGGGACTACAGTTTGGTCGCCTTTAGCTGGAGGTCTTTTATCTGGGAAATATAATGATGGAAATATTCCTCCTGGGAGACTTGAAAGCAGCCCATTTGCTCCAATGCTAAAACAATATTGGGATAAATATATTGGAAGCAGGAAGGAAGCAGCGTTAAGGACTCTGAATGGATTAAAAGCTATTGCAGATGAGCTGGGATGTACTCAAGCACAACTTGCGCTTGCGTGGGTAATTAAAAATCCTGATGTTTCTACTGCTATTATGGGAGCTAGTGCTCCTCATCATCTTGAAGATAATATTAATTCAGTTGATGTCTTAGACAAATTGTCGCCAGAGATTTTGGCAAGAATTGAAGAGCTGCTTGAGAATAGACCAGCTCCATCAATGCACTGGAGAACTTTTACACCAAATCCTCCAAGGAGATAAATTAATTAGCATATTTCTAAATAATTGCTTTATGAAATATAAAAGCACATTTTCCGTTAAATAAGAATTGTTTATAGCTATATATATATATTAAAATATCTTTTGAGTTTAACGTTTTTCTATTAAGGCATGCATTTAATTTTATTAAAATAATTCAAATTATTTAATATTAATAGTAAATTATTATGAAGTCATTCATTATTAAGAAAATAATAGCAAAATAAAAAATATAACAAATGTCTGAATAAATAAAAGATTACTAAACTGCAACCATCCACCATTTTGAAATTTTATTTTATATTCCAGAGGAATTAGACTTGGCATGGAGAGAATTGATAATTGACATTTTCAATAAATTGCCTACCAAATAAGCTCAAAAATATTTAAGCTGATTCTTTTATTTTTCAGTCCTAATAAATAATAAAGCTATAATATTGAGTTAAAAATTTTATAAATGATCGTTTAATATATATTTTTTAAAAGCATTCTTTAGTTAATTGAAAATATTGAGATCATGGCTTATTCTTTAATATGCCTTCACTTTATAGATTTTATTAAATCCCTCACCAAGTTAGCAAATGCCAAAATTGAATAATGAAAATAAAAATGCTCTTCTCCTTGATAAAAATTAAATATTTTAACAATTCTTTCAGTTTTCTTATCTAATGTTTTACAATTAAATTGATTGAAGAAGAATTATAAAGTAAGATGGAGTCCGAGTCAATGGAATATCGGTATCTTGGGAATTCAGGACTTAAAGTTTCAGTTTTAAGCTTTGGAAATTTGACTAGCAGTTGGGACAAAGGAGCTGAAGAGTGGAATTTTCAATGTATGGATGGCCAAGCACAGATCCCAACCTTCCACCCCCACTCCCTGGGATCATAAATCCCACCCTAATAGACCCATCCCCACCCCATTACATAATTAGACATTTATAGCATTGTCAGTTGCATATATTTGAGCACCAATAAGCTTGTCTTACTGATCAAAGCAAGCCTACTATACAATTATGAAATAGCAACTATTATACGAGTTTATTAATGCTCAATATTTTGCAATGCACAATAATTTAGCAATCAGGCTTATAGCCATGCCCCTATCGAGCAAGCTTAAATAAACTGAGGAAGGACCTTGATGGACTCTATTGAGGAATTAAAAAGTGGCATGTCAAAATAAGGTTGACAAGTGGTCGTGCATGATTCCAAATATAAATAAAAATGGCATGGCGAACCAACCCAACCTCCTACACCTGTAGCTGGGGAGACTAAGGGAACTTGCGGTAGGAAGTTTTGGGCATTCGGTATGTTAATTCGGCCATGTTTTACTTGATTTGGTGAGCGCAAAATCTGAAATTGTCGGACTGCAAGTTGGTCAAGGTTTTACCTTGGAGGAAGATGGAGTTCGGTGTTGGAAAAGGGCTTCCAGCAATACCAGTGAGGCTCCTCCTAATCGATCGGGAATGTTCCTTAGTGCGATATCAGGCGTTGTGCTCTTTACAACTAATTTTCATCTTGGCTGACAGATGACCAGAAATTTGTTTTTCGAATTTTCTAGAAGCTAAACCCCATAGGCATACAGCACAGCTATTCAAACATTCCGACTACTAGGGAGTATGTGCAGGCCCATGCCTGGTAGGAGTATGGCTTTGAAGATCGTGAGACAATTGTCGAAGAAGCAGACAAATGGAGCGTTATGGAAGGAAAAAGGATCTCTGTATCCCGACAGGGAGCTTTTCTATAATCTAACTAAGTGTATACTACAATTCCCCCAACCTTTCCACCACGCTTAATACCAAACTACCTAATCTTGATCATAAGAAATATAATAGATATTGCACTGTTTTCTCTCCTTAACAACTAAAACCCAATTAATAGTATATTTACAATATATTTTATATCCCTACTATATGCAGAATTTTATACAGCTAGCAAATTTAGTTTATATTTTTGTATTAAATTTAAAAGAGATATATCATGCCTTATATTTAAAATAAGCTATTTAGGAGATTAAATCTGTTAAAACCATTAATTTAGCACAATTGATGCTAGATATTGCATGTGTCTATGATACATAATTATACTCGAATTGATTTATTTGTGTCTATCCATTTTATATTAAAATCTGGCGTCTTTGTCTGGGCATAGCCTCCCGGCCATCCAGCCTCGACACATATTTTAATTATATCCGGCAAGGTTTTTCCAACCTTGAAATGGACGGCAATGCTAGGTAAGCAACTCTGCAGGAGCGCAGAGCCTAGCCCAGGTATATTTTTGAGCTTGGTTTTTACCTCGAAGGAAAGGAGGGTTCATATTTGGAAAGGGCAAGCCCAGCAAGGTCTACATGGAACACCTAGACCAATCGGGCAACTGCCTAGCGTGAAACTGGGAGTTACGCCCCAGGATCTGGATTTTTCCTTTTTTGCCGACAGGATATCAGAAATTCCATTTTTTGGAATTTTTTGGGACGCCAACTTCGTATTCCACAGCCTTAGGAGGCCGCACAAACCCGTAGACTGCCCACTCAGCACTGGAGCCCACAAAACAAGGAGGAGACCTTATGCTTGCAAAGCGGTTGAATCTCCCAGGAGATCCTCGGTGATTGCGTTAAATTAAAGGCACGAGACTGTCTATCTAATGTAATGTGTCTATCCATTTTAAATAAAAATTCGACTGGATTCGTACTTAAAATGCGATAATTAAGCAAAATTTAGAGAATTTCTCTATAACTCATACATCCGATTCCTAAACTATATAGGGGTGGGATTTATGCTTTAGGGTTGGGGGCGAAGTGGAGGGGGTGTGGGGGAGGTTGGGTCTGTGCTTGACCACATGGATAAATGCATTAGAGGAGGTGTTAATTTTTTTGACACTGCTGAAGGTTATGGCCTTGGAGTTGCGGAAAAAATATTAGGAAATAATATAAAGCAGGGAGGTTGGGATAGAGACGATCTTATTATAACAACTAGCTTGACGTTCAAAAATTTACTTTTTACTAGAAAATGAAAATATAGCTATAATATAGCAAAATATATTAAAATTAATATTTTTTATATTTATGTATAAAGAGTAAGCTAAGTCCTGTAAGATTTGGAATCCAAGGCCTTAGTCGCAAAAGGATAAGACAAGCAATTGACCACTGTTTAGAAAGGCTTCAACTAGACTACGTTGATGTACTTTACCTTCACAGATTTGATCCAGAAGTTCCGCTTGAAGAAACAATTAGGATTATGAATGAAATTATTGATAATGATAAAGCTTTCTACTGGGGAACTTCTGCCTTTACTCCTCAGCAGATCTCTGAGTGTTTTACAATTTGCGAAAACAATGGATGGATTCCACCAATTGTTGAGCAATGCGAATATCATATGTTTGAAAGAGAAATTGTTGAAAAAGATTATGTTCCATTATTTGACCAATATGGGCTTGGAACTACAGTTTGGTCACCTTTATGCGGAGGTCTATTATCTGGAAAATATAATGATGGAAATATTCCAGCTGGAAGACTTGAAAACAATCCATTTGTTAATTTTTTTAAACAGAGATACGATAAATTTATTGGGAGCAGAAAAGAAGAGGCTGTTAAAACTTTGACCGGGTTAAAAGCTTTAGCAGAGGAGTTAGGATGCTCTCAATCTCAGCTTGCACTTGCATGGGTAATTAAAAATCCTGACGTGTCTACTGCTATTGTAGGTGCTAGTGCTCCTCATCATATGGATGACAATATAGGCGCTATTGAAGTCATTAAAAAATTGACCCCAGAAGTTCTTACAAGAATTGAAGACTTGCTTGGTAATAGACCAGCTCCGTCAATGAATTGGAGAACATTCACACCAAATCCTCCAAGAAGATAAAGTCAGTAAGCATTAATTCAATTTCCTAAAAAATATGAATTAGAAAAGCTAATCAATGAATTCAATACAAAATAAAATAATTTTTATTAAATAAATATTGCCAAAAAGTAAACAAGCTTTTCATGGCGAGCTGTCTATTTCTATTTTTATGAGGTGGAACCTGATTAACTATTTGCTAATTGAATATTTGATTTCCAAAATTAAGATTCATGCAATCATTCTAAGAAACATTAACAACTTTATAAATGTATTTTTTTAATTTTTGACTAAAAATTATTAATTAATAAAGCATTGCTATGATAAGCATAAAGAAGGCTTTTTATTAATGGATAGCCAAAACGATATAAAATATATAAAGGATTAAAATGTAACTATTAGATGAGCTTGCGAGTTTCCATTTTTTAACAAAGCCTTATTCCAAGTTTTAAAAATTAGAAACGAAAATTAATTTAATTTATGTTTTGAAAAGCAAGGTGTTTAAAATTCAAACAGAATTAGCAATGATTTCATTATAATAACTACCACTTATATATAAAAAAATATACCTAATAAAAACATCCATACTGATTAGCCGTTATCCTATTTTACATATAAAAAGGATAATGACTATCAGTATGTATGTTTCTGCTTATTGTAATTAGGTATATTTTATAAAAAATTGCATATATTACCTACTCATAGAGTTTTTCCATAAAAAAATAGTTATTTTTCCAATGGCTTTGCTCACTCACGAAGGGGGAGCTAGTAAGCAGGAGAAAATAAAATAGAGTAAAAATGGAAACTGAGTCAATGGAATATCGATATCTTGGTATATCAGGCTTAAAAGTTTCAGTGCTCGGTTTCGGGAATATGACCAGTAGTTGAGCAGAAGGTTCTGAGGATTGAAATTTCAATTGCACAGATAAATGCATAAGAAATGGAGTCAATTTTTTTGATACTGCTGAGATTTATGGCCTTGGAGTTGCTGAAACAATTCTTGGCAAAAATATAAAGCAAGGAGGGTACGATAGAGATGATCTTATTATCACTACAAAGCTGAATCCATCTGGATTCGGAATTCAAGGACTTAGTCGTAAAAGGATGAGACAAGCAATTGATAATTCCTTAGAAAGAATGCAGCTTGATTATGTTGATGTCTTATACATTCATAAATTTGATCCAGAAGTCCCACTTGAAGAGTCTATAAGAGTTATTAACGAAATCATAGATAATGATAAAGCGTTTTATTGAGGCACCTCTGATTTTACACCTCAGCAAATTTCTGAATGTTTTGCAATTTGCGAAAAGCATGGATGGATTCCTCCAATTGTGGAGCAGTGTGAATATCATATGTTTGATAGAGGAACGTTTGAAAGAGATTATGCTCCTGTATTTGACCAATACGGGCTAGGGACTACAGTTTGGTCTCCTTTATGTCAAGGATTTTTGTCTGGAAGATATAATGATGGAAATATTCCTGAAGGAAGACTAATAAATAGTCCATTTCTTGATTATTTTAAGGAATGTTATGATAAATATATTGGAAGCAGAAAAGAAGCAGCTATTAGGACTTTGACTGGGTTAAAAACTGTAGCAGACGAATTAGGCTGCTCTCAAGCACAATTAGCAATAGCATGGGTAATTAAAAACCCTGATGTGTCTACTGCAATTATGGGTGCTAGCTCGCCTAGACACCTTGATGATAACCTTGGTGCAGTTGATGCCATGAAAAAATTGACACCAGAAATTCTTGCAAGAATTGAAGATCTTCTTGGTAATAGGCCAACACCATCAATGAACTGAAGAAATTTCACGCCAAATACTCCAAGAAGATAAGACATCACATTAGATATATCAAAAGCTCATAATCAATAATGGAATCATAAATCACTTATAATAGAAAATCTAATATTGATAAGCATTTGTTTCTAGTTTTGATATGGATTTTAAAAAATATGCTGAAATCAAAATTTTAATAAAGCTAGCATTTTTATAATTATAATAGCTGCCATTTCCTTAAATGCTATGAGAAAAATCAAGAATTGGTAGAAAAATTGACTTACGGCGCTTTTACTAACTAATAGCAAAAATAATTATAAAAATTTAATATATTTGAAATAAAGCAGCTTAATAAGAAAATTCAGTTTCTGAAAATTAGAATTTAATAGAGATGGATAATTAATTTTTATTTAATAAGCAAATCCAAAATAAAACTACTATAAATAATCATTACTGTTTTATAAAATTATTTTAATCGATCAGTCATAATTATAAGAAAATTTGTTGCATAGAGCCATTTTTTAACAAAACTTCAGAATTGAGGGAGAGTAAATTAATAAAGGAAAAATGGAGTCTGAATCAATGGAATATCGATATCTTGGAAGGTCAGGACTAAAAGTTTCAGTCCTCAGCTTCGGCAATATGACAAGCGGATGGGGTGATGGTACTGAGCAATGGAACTTTGAGTGCGTCGACAAGTGCATCAGACGAGGAGTCAATTTTTTTGATACAGCTGAATTTTATGGCCTCGGAATCGCTGAAACAGTCCTTGGAAGGAATTTCAAGCAAGGGGGATATGACAGAGATGATCTTATTATAACTACTAAGTTAGCCCCTTCAGGATTCGGAATCCAAGGATTGAGTCGCAAAAGGATAAGACAAGCAATTGATCATTCCTTAGAAAGAATGCAGCTTGACTATGTTGATGTACTTTACCTCCACAGATTCGATCCAGAAGTCCCACTTGAAGAGTCTATCAGAATTATCAATGAAATCATAGAGAGCGATAAAGCATTCTATTGGGGAACTTCTGCCTTTACTCCTCAGCAGATCTCTGAGTGTTTTGCAATTTGTGAAAAACATGGATGGATTCCTCCAATTGTTGAGCAATGCGAGTATCATATGTTCGAAAGAGGAATTGTTGAGAGAGATTATGTGCCTTTATTCGACCAATATGGACTAGGAACAACTGTTTGGTCTCCTATGTGTGGAGGACTTTTGTCAGGAAGATACAATGATGGAAATATTCCAGCTGGAAGACTCGAAAGCAGCCCATTTACTGCTTTGTTTAGACAATGGTATGACAAACATATTGGAAGCAGAAAAGAAGCTGCTATTAAAACTTTGACTGGATTAAAAGCTTTAGCAGATGAGCTAGGATGCTCACAAGCACAACTTGCTCTTTCTTGGGTAATTAAAAATCCTGATGTTTCTACTGCAATTATGGGTGCTAGTGCTTCTCATCATCTTGATGACAATCTTGGTGCTGTAGATGTTATGAAAAAGTTAACACCTGAAGTTCTTGCGAGAATTGAAGACTTGCTTGGAAATCGCCCAGCCCCTTCAATGCACTGGAGAACTTTCACACCAAATCCTCCAAGAAGATAAAATTAACTAAGCAGCTTAGCCATCTATAAAATTATGCTAAATAATGTTTAGAGAGCCTATATCTCTTCAATTCTATCTCATCAAAAAGTTTTCGATTAAATGCATTTATTCATTTTCACTTATCGCACTATACCTATTTTTATTTATTTCGAGTTTACAGAGCAATACTGATATAAGCATTATTATAGGCAAAGAATATACATATCTATTGTTATATTATATTTGACACCTCTTAAAATTAATTATTAATTAGTTTTTATAAGACCATTTATTCTGGGTATCTCGCTTATAAAAAGAAGAAAGTATGTAAGAAACTCATTTTGATAAGCCTTTGTGCCAAATGACTTTTTCAACTCTTAAGAAATTGATATATTTGATTAACAGAATATTTGAAATACAGACTTGAGCTTACTCCCAATTAATTATAAATAAAATCAAATTTAGATTAAGATAATATTTAAGTAAGAGCAAGTATTTACTTAAATGAATTATATACAAGAGTAAATTATTTTTACAATTTATTTCCGCCAATCTCTTTTATTTTTATTATTTTTCTCACTAAAGATCTTTAAATTAAAGTAAGAAATAAGTATATATATAAAAATTTAGAAATAATGACAATAATTATTTCCTATAATTGGAGATATAGACTAATTAAATTATGGCTTTTAGCAATGGATTTAAAAAAGCTGCTGCACCAGAAGAGATATTTTTACCAATGGCATTGGTGAGCAATGGTGCGAAGTATCTCCTTACTTCTCACAGTTTATTTTACGTCAATGTAGAATTGAGGGACTATGTTGTGTAGCTACTTGATAATGAGGAAGCAAACTTTTTGTGTTTAGTGAATTCTATTATGATTAAAATACTTGCAATGAAGTATCTAATTAATTTTATATTTTAGGAAGCAAGTTGTCTATATTCAATAGAATTAGCAGAAGATGCCATCATAGTTATCCTTAAACGTATATCAAAATATTATTTGTCGCTATCAAAGAGGAGTATTTCCCAAATGTAGGATTTTTTAAATGGCTTTACTCTCTAGCAAAGGGAGTGTTAGCATTGAGCTAATCATATATCTTGAGTTCCTTATATAATCCCAAAAATTATGTGAGCCAAAATAGTGAGTTTGGTATCTAAATTACTTTTTAAAGGGTATTTTAATCACATTGAATATTAATAAAATAGAAATTTTATTTATGGTAAACTATTTATAATCTTAATCAGCAATTCTTCGTCACCTTTGCCGCAAAACTTTCCATCTTAAATCTATTACATAATCCAGCCATTTTATCTACTGGATTAGCTGAATTAACTTGCTTGCACGCAACAATTTAGATTATTTTATAAGCTTTATATAAATCATTTTCTATTTTCAGTGCAATTATGTTCTTACTCTCTCCAAGCAAAATTTTTGTCTGATGGACGGAATTAGTATTTTCATTTTATGAGTTTTGCCAATTTATTAATATTTTGAAAAAAGTAATTCAATTGATAAATGTAGCTTTAAAATACAAGATTTAATTTTGTAGCTATTAAGTAAATAAAACAAATTATTGCTCAATAGAATGGATTAATTTTCCAAAAAAAAAATTCCTAATAGTTTTGCTTGCCTAGAGGCAGGAAATCAGAATTTTCGATTTAAGTTTTCACAATATTATTATCACTTTTATATCATAATTATGGCCATGCTGAATTTTAATTGTTGATATGCATGCATCTCCACATAATTCAAAAAATCTGAATTTTGTAGTAAATACTGTACATATTAAACTTACTTGTCGCTATATCTTATTACGGCATACAATAATTAACTTTTAATAATATACACAAATGGATCTCCCTAAGATTTTAGAGCACCTGAATGACATTCATCAGAATGAGACCGAGAAGAACGAGTACATTCATTTTGCTGAAGATTTAAGGACCATGCTATCAGAATCTTCTAAAAAACCCCTTTTGAGCTGTGCCACCTCTGATTTCACAACAAACACCATGATTACCAAGCTGAACAATCTTCTTCCCAAGACCTCCCAACATCAGGAAATCAGTCTCTTCAGTCTGCTTGCAAAATACGCAAACTCTGCCAAGCTAAGTTTGAATATCCCCACAAGTCTTGTCAGAATCGAACATCTCCCTGAGCTATACATGATACAAACTAAAAGAGAAAAAATTGTCCAATCAAAAGAAAGCACCTTTGAAGAATTCATGAGTCTCACAACAGTCAAAAACGACACAGACTTCCCTACCTTTTGCTATAAAATCCCAGGCAAAGATGCGATTGCTATTTTTTCAGCTGACATTGCAGAAAAACTATGAAATTCCTCAGAAGACCATGCAGTTTTGCAGTATTTTATCCAAAGCAAGACCAATCCTGCCACAATTACAAGAGTTTTGTGGAGGAAAGGCATGAAAAACAAGTATTTTACTATCACAAACCGCAAAAAGGTATCAAGAAGACTTAAGAAAAGCGTGACCATGATTCCAGGTCTGACCTTCAAGCGAGGAAAGATAACAGATTTCAAGAATGCTGGGATGATGAACCCTGTATCTCAATCAGCAAATTGCCCATTCAGGCCAAACTCAAAAACGCCTGGGAGTAAAAAAAATCTCACAATGATCGACCATTCTCAACACAGCAGTGGCGAAGAATCAAATTTCAAAAAATCATTCACATCAGCTGTAGCAAAATATACACAAAATTATGATGCATATGAACCTCCTACGTCCTCAACAGATACTTCAGGTCCTGAAGACCATAATAAAGAGTACATTGTTTTTACAAAAGATGTGGAGAGCTGCTATGCGATGGAAAGCTACGCAAAAATCGCAGAAATTGAGCTGATGGTAGACCAAATTGTGGAGTTTTTGAATTGGGAAGTATTTAAACATCATGGACTTAAAGGGCTTGTCCTTGATTTTATTAAGGACAAGAACAATAATTGGTTTCTGTTAGAATGCAAAGAGCATTTTGTTGACTATATGGTGCCTGCAGACCATGAAAAGAATAGGAGAAAAGCAGTGATGGATAAATCCAGGACTCCTGATCTATATGAAAGGTCAGAATCAAGCATCCACAGTAATGATTCTGAGCTTAGACGTCAGGAATCTTGTGTCAATGACTCACCTTTGTGTGAAATAAAAGAAGAAGACTCCCGTTTACCATGCCCTTTCAAAATAAGGACAAAGCCTAAGAAAATCGACCACGACCCTGTATCAGAAAAAGACCTAATGGAGCGCCTCAATAAAGTTAACGCAAAAATAGACAGACTTAATGCTCAAAAATCCCCTACAAGGCTCAGCCCTCTAAATAAAGAAGAAAGCATCCAAGACTACCTCAACAGTTACAACTTCGTCAAATGTCCGCTACGAGAGCCGCTCACTCCATGTCCTGTTTCTCCCCGTCTTATCCAATCCCGTTCCACAACTCATTTAGACCGCCTTATGAACGACGACAAGCGACTCGTCTACTCACGAAAAGTTTTCACAGAAACCGTCGACAACTTCGACGAAATGGCTCTCAACGTAAAAATAGCGAAAATAAAAGAGCAAGATATCATTGATAAATACGGAGGGATCGACTTCTGAAACAAGTTTATTATATCGTTGTACAAAAAAGTATTAGCAAGTGAAATATTAAACAAACACTTCAAAAATTCGAAGCTAGAAAGCTTCGAACAGATTGTGGTGGGGATGTTTAGAATCCTGAATGGGAAAGTTAATTTGGAATTTAGGAGACAGCTGAGGGCAGCGCATGCTATTAAAGGGATTTTGGGGATGGAGTTTGATTGCTATTGCGATTTGTTTGATAGCACGCTGTCTGAGTTTAATCTTGATGAAGATGATAGACAAGGAATCAGCTCACAAATAAGGAATATGAAGAGTCTTATATGTCGACAAGTATAAGAAGAATAATCGGATTAATTTAATAGTATCTTAGTCATAGTCTAATAGAAACCGCGTTTTTTAATTTTATAACTTTTATAGTAATTTGAGGGGATAGAGAGAGATTATTTATGATGTTGAGTGAAATCGTAAAAATAGATAGAAGCCTCTTATTAGCTTACTTGAAAATTTTTTATCATAATATGATATTTTCAAGGAATATTAAATTAAATATTTTCTAAGGCAGGGATTTTGCTAACCTTTTCATAATGCAACATTTTTGATAAAAATAGTTATAGGGCTTTACCCTTAATAGCCCGATAAGGGCGGATGATTACCGGTGGAATCATCTGCCCTTATCGGGCTATTAAGGGTAAAACCCTATAAGTCTCATACATGATAGACCAGCAAAATCTTTAACTCCCCCCCCATCCTTGATCGAACGATTGACTGTAAAAATTCCTAAAAATTGGGGAAATTAACCACCATCCTTGATCGATTTTCATATCATGCAAAATTTTATATATATAAAAATATAATAGTTATCAAAAGCTTGGGAAGATGTACATAATGAAGTTGTTTTCAGAGACTTTGAGACGACAGAAAGCTGAGGAATCAACCATCCGAAGTAAAAATAAATTATTAAATACTCTTAACCCTCTTTTTTAGAAGTAAATAAAAAAAATATATATATATATTTTATATATAAATTTTTTTTAAACCCCATCTTGATCGAACGATGGCGAGTCGTTCGATCAAGGATGGGGGGGGAGTAAGAAAGAATAAATTTAAACCTATACAATAAATCCTAGCTGTTTTAAGCTACACATCATGTATATTTAAGAATAAAAAATAGGAAAATTATTATCCACTAAAATCCGTCAATGAAGATTCATTTATGTCACCATTCTTTATTTATCCCTCAAAACCCTGCTATAAATGCTACCAATCCCTATCTTCGTCTCAAAATTAATTTCCTAGCTAGCTTTATTTAATTTTCCCTACATAATAATATTCAGTGAAAATCCAAAACAACATTTATATAAACATTAACAAATGTCACAAGCTATCGAAAATTGTCCTGAACCAAACATCGAAAATGACCTAGAAAATAAAGAGTCTTTGTCTAGTCAAGACAGTCGCGACAGTCTCTATGACAACTATGGCCTCGAGAAGCCTGAAAATCTCATCGAATACGAAAATGCCATGGATGAAGTTTCTATCAAACTCTCCAAAGCCAACGAATACGTTGAATCTCTAAAGCAGAAAAAACTCCTCCATCAAAAAGAACTTGAAAAGTATCCTTTTTTTTTAATTAATTCTATTATTTTCTAATAAATATCATCAATATAATGAAAATCATTATAAAATTTATTCAGTCTTGAGCAAGAAAGTGAATCATTTTTATCTGAAAATGAATCAGCCAAACAAAAAATCGAAGCCATGGAAAAAGATATCAACCAGCTTCAGTCCTCACAAAAGCGCACTGCAAGCACCCATGCTTCTGCCAGCATTTCAGAGCAGAATTTTTCTATAGTAAGCAATGATAGTTCAAAAAGCGAGTCCAATACAGTCCAAGCTTTAAAAGCCCAAATTGCAGAATTGAAAAAAGTTTTTCAGAACCAAGAACAAGCCTTGCAAAAATTTCAGCATATTGTGCATGAAGCCAATGAGGACAATGAAGAATTTAATAACTTTTTACTCCCCCCCCTCCGTGAGTGAACAAAAAAATTTTGTTCACTCACGGAGGGGGGTTAATTTTTTTTTTTTTAAAAAAATTTACATATAAATTTTATAAAAAATTTTTTTTTTCGAAATTAAAAAAAATCTAATTCGCAAAAATTTGAAAGCAAATATTAATTTAATTTATAAAATTTATGTTTTAAAAAGCAATTCGTTTAAAAATTAAACAGAATTAGCTCTAGATTTCATTATAATAATTATCATTTATATATCAAATATTTTTTCCATAAAATTTTTTTTCTATTAAAAAAATTTTTTGTTCACTCACGGAGGGTGGGTTTTTGGGCAAAAAATAGGGATTTTTCTAATGGTTTTGCTCACTCACGGAGGGGGGGGAGTTAGGAGATTTCGAAAATGACAGGAGCAAGATGTCATTTATGATCAACTCTTTTGCATTGAGAAAAAGCATGTTTGTGGATGGGCCTTCCATTATACCGATGTCACCAGTACTAAAAGCTGATGATGATTCTTCGCTGTTTGCAAGCAGTTTGCTGGGGATTGAGTCAGATTCAGAGCTGGTGGATGAGGATGGGACGAATAATATTTTGATTAACTTAAGTGATGAGGAAGAGGAAGTTGTGAGGAGGCCAAAGAAAGCGGAAACTCCTGTTAAAATTTTTAAGAGGGAAAGGCATATAAGAAGACCGAGAACATTGAGTGAAAAAATGATGTTCAAGTCGCATCTCTGCTTATTCCACATATAGACGGAGATGGTAATTTATAAGAGATATAGAGTGAGCTCACTATTGCCCTCTATGCTCCTGATATCTTCTTAGAGTCGGAGATTGATTTTGCCACATGTATTGTTAATACCAACTTCAAGAATGACAAATCCACACGATTCGAGATTTAATAGTCCTGGAGTTGGCTTTACCAATATTTGTTGGCAAACCAATCCCTCAACTATATCGGAGATGTCAGAAGAATAGTGAGTTAATAGCATGTTCGTGCTATACTGAATTAATGAGTAGATTAGCTTATGATTTTGTGGTAATTTATAACTGGATTCTTGACGAACTCATAAAATTTCTTATATAAGTAATATTTATATAACTCCCAGATAGAACTTATATCATATATCGATACAGTTTAAAATGGAATTACAACTTTGAGGCAAAGAGCCACCAAGACCCCAATCTTACTATCCTCTTTCCCGATCTCGTCCGTCATTTTTCTCTAGGCTTTTATTTTCTTGAGTAGGAGAAATCCTAAATATAGGCAAAAAATCTAAAGTAAGTATTGATGATTGCTATGAATTACCTGAAGATGAATCTACAGAAAATGAAAAATTAACATTTTTACTTACTACGCCCTTTATAAATTGGAATAAAATTTTAATTTTTAATAGGAAAATTTATAGGTAAAATACTAAATTTTATATAATAGGTTTTACCTAATTTAATTAAAGAAGTGCACTATTTAAACAATTTTCACGCTAATTTGATTAATTTTTGAATTAATTCTTTATAAAAGAAATTAATATTTTTGAAAGAGAAAAATTTAATATAAATGTTTTTCAATAAAAAATTAGTCCATTTAAATTGGAATTCAAATTCTGTTCTATTTAAAGGGGGACTTAAGCAGGCACAAATTATTCAAAGCACTATTTTTAGCAAATTTAAAGGTTGTAATATCAGCTGTTCTTCTTGGTAATGTTATTGCCCTTTTAGATTTTTCGTCACCTTTTTTCATGAAATTGCTCATGGCCTATCTAAATACAAGTGACAAGCCTTTATCATGAGGTATATATTTGGCTATCATTTTTTCAACAATAACTATGTTAAATCCAATACTAACCGGAAAATATGAATGAATAAAGCTGCAAATAGAAAGACGAGTGAGAACTTCTTTATCTAATATTGTTTACTGCAAAATTTTAAAAGCCACAAGCATCCCAAGTGGATTAGGCGTCAACATTATACAAGTTGATGTCAAAAAAATAGATCAGAGCTTTAGAAATTTCAGTAATCTCATTTCCTGTCCAATTCAAGGATTTTTTTCTATTTTTTTAATTTACATGCAAGTAGGAGATGCGGTATATGCTGCAATTGGGGTTCTTACTGTATGTTTTACAATGAACTATTTTATTAATAAAAAAGTGAGGAAATGCAGTGAACAGCTTATGAAAATCCGTGACCAGAGAATAGATGCATCTTCACAAATGCTGACTAATATACTTTTATTAAAAAGCTGAGCAAGATATATTATATGCAAAAAATAGCATTAATCGTATGCAAGATGCAAATTTATTTATGAATTTTTAATTTAAAAAATATATAAAAATGGTCAAAGCTTATGTCTGGGAAAATTTTTTCAAAAATAATGTAGATAATATCCGAAAAAAAGAGCTAAAGGAGCTGAGATTTATCATGATATTGTCATCAGTATGAATTTTCTTTTTTTGAGCTATCCCAAGCATAACAGTGGCTTCAGTGTTTTTATATTATACATTAGTAATGAATATGCCACTTACTTCAGAAAAAGCATTTGTCAGTTTAGCGACTGTGACTATTTTGCAAGAGTCTCTTCAGGATTTGCCATGATTAGCAGCACAGCTTATGGGCTGTCTTGTAAGTATAAAAAGAATCCAGGGATTCCTTGATATTCCTGACCTAGAAAGCCTCCCATCTTCAGAATGCATCGAAATAAAGAACTGCACATTTGCTTATAAAGACAAGGCTGTATTACATGATATTAATCTTAATATAAAAAACGGAGAATTTTTGGCTGTTATTGGGCCAGTTGGATGTGGAAAATCCTCACTGTTAGCAAGCATTATGGGAGAGCTTAATATTCTCAAAGGAAATATTTGTGTAACAAGTGAAATTGCGTATGCACCTTCTCTAGATTCTTGGATACAAAATGATACATTAAGAAATAACATTTTATTTGGAAAGCCATATGTTGAAAAGTGATATTTAAAAGTCATTGAAGCTTGCTGCTTAATTCAGGATATAAATTCCTTGCTAAATAAAGACTTTACTGAAATAGGAGAAAGAGGAATCAATTTAAGCGGAGGCCAAAAAGCAAGAATTTGCCTTGCAAGGGCTGTTTATGCAGATAAGGATGTTTATTTGTTAGATGATCCATTAAGTTCGGTTGATACTTTTGTGGCTGAGCATATAATGAATAAGTGTTTTTTGAAGCTTTTGGCAAAAAAGACGAGAGTATTGGTAACTCATAGGCTGAATATTTTGAATAAGGTCGATAAAATTATTGTCCTTGAAAATGGAAAAATTTCTAAAGAGTCATCTCCTGAAGCATTTAAAATATCTGAAAATTTGATATTTTGCTATAGATTGATTCGTAAGTTCAATTAATATATTAAATTATTGGCTTTAAAATAATGGCAATTATTACGAAAGAGAATAGTAAGTCAGGAACCTCAAATTGAAGAAATTTCCAGTTCTCAGCCAAAATTAATTCAAGATGAAGAAAAAGAAACAGGGAAAGTCGATTGAAAAGTAATAATGGATTATTTTAAATTCTCAGGCGGTTTTGCAGCGCTAACTCTCAGTTTGCTAATGATGCTGCTCTACACAATTGCAAAAATGTCAGGTGATATAATCCTAAAACAATGAAGTGATAACCCAGACGATATACGCTTCTATCTCCCCATATATTTATCCTTAAGAGTGGGTGGAAATATTTTTATATTTTTTTACTCCCCCCGTGAGCTAACAAAAAATTTTGTTCGTGAACTTTATATATAAATTTATAATAAATTTCTTTTCATAAAAAATTTCCAATTTGTAAGAATTGAGAAGTAAAAATTAATTTAATTTGCAAATTTATGTTGAAAATTTAAGCTGTTTAAAATTAAACAAAATTAGCTAGAGATTTCATTACAATAATTATCACTTATATATAAATTTTTTATATTAAAAAATTTGTGTTCGCACACGGAGGGCAGGATTTTAGGCAAAAAATAGGGATTTTCCAATGGTTTTGGGGAGTTAGAGCTTTTTTTATTCTTGCAGTCCTTGGTATCAATGCATCTAGATACATCCACACAAAATTAATCGAAGTCTTCGTCAGAGCTCCTGTAAATCTTTTTTATGACGTTACTCCTATAGGAAGACTCCTTAATAGGCTTAGTAAAGACTTGAACGCAATAGACGAAATGGTCTCAAAATCGCTTTCTAGCATAACTAATAAAGCTTTCCAAATTTCTTCAATGGTAATTATGGCTGCGATTTATTTCCCAGTTATATCAATTGCTTTACCTGTGCTATTTTATTTATCACTAAAAATCCAAAGGCTGTACTTAGGGGCATCAAGGGAGCTAACAAGGCTTGAGGCAATTTCTATGTCACCTATTTTGAACCATTTTACTGAAACTTTGTCAGGACTGAAAATTATTAGGACTTTTAAACAGACAGAAAATTTTCATAGAAAAAATTCAAAATTGGTTGATATATGTGATAAGACGATTTTTTATATTTTTTATATTATAATAGGCATATTTTACAATTAAAAAAACGGGAAAAAATGCACATTTTTTGGGTAGTCATTATTTTAAAAATAGATAATAATATTAGGCTACTCTATTCAATAGCAGCTTGCAAGTGCTGACTTATGACAAATATGGAGTTATTGAGTTCTTCATTGCTTTGCTTGCTATATATAGCTGTTATTATCTTCCGAGATGATGTTTCTCTTGGTATGGTAGGGCTTGCTCTTACATATGTTGGACCGCTTCCATTATATGTCGCTTACGGTTCAGCGAATTTATCCAAAACATCAGGAAGCTGGCTTTGAGAAATTTCTGAAAGTCGTTTTAGCAAGAAAACCATGAAGTCTGTTTTTGGAAAAAATAGTTAAGTCGAATAAAATAAACTTTTAATAGAAAATTTTAACCGACTTGCAATGGTTTCATTTAATAGACATGGATAAATGGTATGAAGTCGGAGAAGCAAAATACTAGCGTGACTGAGAAATGAAAAATAGCAGAGTTGGAGATAAGAAATCTACATAAGTCGCGATCTTAGGTTATCGGCAAGTTGGTGCTAAAATTAACGGAAATTTTGATGAACCCTACCAAGTCTTCAATATAAAACCAATACAAGTCGAGTAATTAAAATATGATCAGATCAATTAATCTAAATTTAAAAAAAACACCATTTTCTTATATTTTTTCGATAATGTAAAATATATATAAATTTCAGTGTCGTGATTATGAAACCATTTATAGTAGAGAAATTAAAACTGTAGCAGGTAGGCTATGAGAAATATTAGGAAGTCGTTGCGAGTTTTAGTATCCAATAAAATAAGTATAGTCGATTAAAAAAATAATTAAATTAAAATCTTTGATTGGGGGTCTTAAAATAAGGCATATAAAATTAAATATGAATCCAAGATTTACTCACCCTCTTTACGGCAATTTCGCAGAGATACTCAGAACTGAAGATAACGCAATAAATTGGTGTCAAGAAGTGAAAATAATGCAGCCAAACATTTGTGATATATGCCATAAACCATGCCTCTCTTATTGAAATGGAGGATCTATGTTTCTACGTTGTACTTTATGCAATTTAAGTTTTTCAATTCGAAGAAGATCCATATTTTCCCAATCAAGACTCTCAATAAGCAAGATGGTTAGGTTAATTTTCCATTGCTTCGTCCGAGAATAGTCCATGATAACTATTGTTGAAGACAGCGAAATATCAAAAGATGCTGTTATAAAGCTGTTTAAAAAGCTGAGAGCTTTAATAAGTGAACATGAGATTGAAAATTATTTTACTGATAATCAAGTTGGAATAGAAGATGAAGATGGGCAAGATCATCCAACTGTAGAACTTGATGAAACTCATATTATGACTATGGATTATGATCCCAAATGGCTATTCGGAATTTTTGACAGAGGAACAGAAGACTATAGATTTTACTATGTAGGCAACGATAGAACTTGGGAAAATTTATCAGGATATATTCTAAATGCAGTATCAAACGATCAAACGAATGCTACAGAAGTATTTACAGATGGCTGAGCAGCTTACAGACAGCTTCCAACATTAGGATATCGCCATTCAATTGTTTTTCATAATCAAGACTTTGGGAATTGGAAGGCAAACAACTAATCATATGAAAACGTTTGGAGCAGGCTAAAAGACTAAAGGCTTATAGAAATGGTTTTCGCCCAAAAAATGAAAAAGATTTGGATAATTACTGTATGCTTTGTTATTGGCTTCTCAAACTAAAAAATATACCAGAAAGAATAGACTCATTGATATAAATTTTAAATATCTCTAAATTTTAATTTAATTATTTTTTTTAATCGACTATATTTATTTTATTGGATACTAAAAACTCGCAACGACTTCCTAATATTTCTCATAGCCTACCTGCTACAGTTTTAATTTCTCTACTATAAATGGTTTCATAATCACGACACTGAAATTTATATATATATTTTACATTATCGAAAAAATATAAGAAAATGGTGTTTTTTTTAAATTTAGATTAATTGATCTGATCATATTTTAATTACTCGACTTGTATTGGTTTTATATTGAAGACTTGGTAGGGTTCATCAAAATTTTCCGTTAATTTTAGCACCAACTTGCCGATAACCTAAGATCGCGACTTATGTAGATTTCTTATCTCCACTCTGCTATTTTTCATTTCTCAGTCACGCTAGTATTTTGCTTCTCCGACTTCATACCATTTATCCATGTCTATTAAATGAAACCATTGCAAGTCGGTTAAAATTTTTCTATTAAAGTTTATTTTATTCGACTTAACTATTTTTTCCAAAAACAGACTTCATGGTTTTCTTGCTAAAACGACTTTCAGAAATTTCTCAAAGCCAGCTTCCTGATGTTTTGGATAAATTTGCTGAGCCGTCGCTTACGTTGTTGTCGATCTATCTCTCAACGAAAATACAATGATATCAGTAGAAAGGGCTAGACAATATATGAGCATAATTCAAGAAAATCCAGAAGAATTGCCAACTGACAAAAATTTACAAAACTGGCCTGAGTTGCCAACTATAGAATTTAAAGAGGTGAAAATGAAGTATAGGCCCAGCACACAAATGATACTCAAAGGAGTCAATTTTTATATAGAAGCCGGCAAAAGGATAGGAATTGTAGGTAGGACAGGCAGTGGGAAATCCACAATTTATCTTTGCTTATTAAGAATAGTTGAGCTTTTTTCTGGCTCAATTCTAATAGACGGAGTAAACATTGCTAATATCGGATTGCACAAGCTCCGATCAGCTATTACATTAGTCCCTCAGGACCCTCTTGTATTTAATGGAAATTTTGAAAATAATTTGGATCCTTGCCACACAAAAAGCCAAAAGCAAATAAAAAATACGTTAGAAGAAGTAAACCTGTCAAGATATCCTATTGATTACCAAATAAAAGAAAATGGCTCTAATTTATCAGCTGGCGAAAGACAGTTATTAAGTTTAGGAAGGGCAATGCTAGCTAATACAAAAATTATTCTTTTCGACGAAGCGACTGCAGGGATTGATCAAGACTCTGACATGAAAATCCAAGAATTAATTAAAAATAGGTTCGAGAGATGTACAATACTGACAATTGCACATAGGCTAGGTACTGTTATGGAAAGCGATCTTATCATAGTTATGCAAGATGGAATTGCTGCAGAAATCGGGTCTCCCCAAGAGTTGCTGTCCAAAAATTCTATTTTCAAGGATTTAAGTAATAAAATAATTTAAAATTATTGTAAAATCAGTCTTTAATAATAACTATATTTTCTAATACTAAATATTGTATTCTTTAGAAGGATAAATGTCAACTGAACTTATCTCAAGCTCTTCTAACAGCCAAAATCCTTCCCAGCCGATTTCTCCAACTCAATCTCTTTATGTTGCCAAACTTCCACTTTTTTTGACCCGTGAAGATATCATAAAAAAAGTTAAAGAATTAAAAGACACCATCTCAAAATGCAAAAAAGAAAGGATCACTTCCTTTTTACAGTCAAAACATTTAAAACACTTTGTCTGCGAACGAGTCGATATGCTTTTTTCAAATAAATTCAAAGAGCTTAAAGATCTCCGCAGAGAAAGCACTATGCGTGATTCTCCACAAATAGCTGATTTTGCGGCAGATTTGAATAGTAACCCTGAAATAGCGAGCGAATCAAGCTTTACTGACAGTAACGACTCTTTACAAACAGAAAACTCTGACATTTTCCCTAAAAATCCCTTATCGATTCAGCTAGAAATCTCCTCTACAAATCCTGAAATAGGAGAAGCCCGTGCTGAGCTGCAAGCTTTAGAAGAAGAATTCATAGAAAAACAAAAGGCAAGCTTAATAAAGCGGCAAAAAACTACTATAAACCCAACAGAAGAACAGTTAATAGAACACAAAACTTCTTATAGAAGCTATGTAAAATTTGCCTCAAGTGCATATTCAGATGAAGCGATCATATACTCAAGAAAATACGTCGTAATTGACTATGAAGAACTCAATGCTTTTTATAGTGCAAAAGAAATTGAGCCAATGTTCAGCTTGACGCTTGACCATGTGGTAGAAATAATTGACCAAGATAACGGGGATATTAAAGTGGTATATAAATATGAAGAAATGGAAAGGGCTGTGGTAATATTTCCACTCACAGCTGGGGATTATAAAATATGGAAGGCCGTCTGCAAAAATATAGCTGGGCTAAAAGAAATTGTATTAGTAAATAATGGAGCTTTGCCTGAAAGAATTGACTCTCCTGATCTGTCTCCAGCGCTGCCAGTTATGAGGAAACATAGGAAAACACATTTTTTTACTCTAGGAGAAATGGCAGTTCAAGAGCCTGATATTTCAAATATCATGGAAGGAAGTGAAGAACAAGAAGTTTCCCAAGAAATCAGTCAGCTTTCAGAAGAAATCGACGTTTCTAAGTCAACTGTTTCGTGGGATTATGATTTTGATGCTCTTGATGAAGAGCAAAAACAAGAAACTCCTAAAGAGTCAGACAAAGAAAGCGTTATTATACACTCCCCAAATACCAAAATATTTATTTTTATTATAAAAATTTTATATAAATACAGTTAAATAAAGTATAGTATTACAGAATCTGAAGCCCTAGAAATGAACATCCATGACGAAAGACACCGGACTTATACAATTTTAGCGTCTTTAGGCAAAACTGAAGGGCTGGTAAATTTATTAACCAAAGGTGGAATTTTTTTGAAGTATGGAAGACATGGGAAGCCTCATTTAAAGCATGTAGTTTTGACAGCTGATCTTCGGTATATCGAATGAAGGAACCTTAATAAGATAAAGCCATCAGGGTCAATGGCTGCAGTCAGCATAAGATCTATCCAAAAAGGACGAAATTCGCCTTGTTTTAACAGATTTAAGCACCCAGAAAAAGAAGAGCTCAGCTTTTCTTTGATTTCTAATGATAGGAGCCTTGATCTAGAACTAGTCAAAGAAAATATTGTCCCTAGAGATGTCTGGGTAGAAGCATTCCAGCAATTAATCAACCAAAGGTACAGAAGAGACCAGGTGCAGCGATACATTAGCAAAAGAAACTCAGTTATGGATAATTAATGTAAATTTAGTGCTAAATTGTAAGGAATAATAATATGGCAGGCATCAAACGTGTAGTTCCATTGCTCAATAGAGTTCTTATACAGAAGCTAGAGGCACCTAAAAAAACTGCTGGAGGAATTTTCCTTCCTGATACTAAAGAGCAAGATCTTGTTATGGGGAAAGTGTTAGCAATAGGGCCTGGGATAAAAAATGTGGATGGACAACTAAGACAATGCCTTGTAAACGAGGGGCAAACTGTGCTTCTTCCGAGCTACGGCGGACAAGTCGTCTTTGTTAACGAAGAAAAGCTTTATATATACAAAGACACTGAATTGGTAGGAATCTTAAACTATACCTTGCTGAAATGTTTAAGTAGTTCCTATGATTCAGCCATATTAAATTCCAGTATAAATTGGTTTGGGTTTTTATAAAACCATTTTAAGGCTAATTATTAAGCCATAAAATTTCTTATAGAATTATCTATTTTTCAATATTTTTTAAGTATGACAGAAAAAGCTCATTTTGGTATCAAAGGAATTTCCCATCGAAAGCTAAAAAAAGCTTGGCCAACACCAAGTATTTTTGCTTCTCCTAATTTCGACAGCAATGAGCTGCAAAATATCACACAAGATGCATCCATTCAAACTCCTGATAATCCTGCTTCATTTGAAGTTAATGAAGAGTCCATATTAGAAAAGCCCAAAGAAGAGTGAAAATGATCACCAGAGGACAATAGCGACCTACTCCAAGAAGAATTCAAAAGCCCAGATAAAAAAATATCTTGAAGCCCTGACAAAAGGCTTGAAGAAATATATAAAGAATGTTCAAAAAATTTGGTCGAAGATGAAAAATCCAGCCTGTTCAGGGTTTCTGTTTTCCCCAAAATAAAGCTGACTAAAGAGCTTGTGGAGTTCAAACAACTAGTTTCAGCTTATCAAAACTTAGGAGAAGCCCCTAGAAAGAAAAATATGCAGCTAAGATCGTCAAGATCAGTATCCCCAACTAAAAGAAAGCGGTCTAATTCTGATCGATCTATATTGGGGTATCAATATAAAGATTTTATTACCAAATTGAGCATCGAAAAAAGGATGGCAAAATGCAAAAATTGTAATAGTGTATATTGTGTATGTCCAGATAAAATCAGTGATGACTTTTTGAAAGAATTTTTAAAGGAGCACGAAAAAAAAACTTCAAGGTGTGAAGAAATCAAGCAGGAAATTGGGAATATCCAGTCAGAAGTAGAAAGACATTTGTATAGATATAGATTAAGGTCAAAGCCAGAGTCTATTTCGACGAAGAACTTTTTTGTAGGAGAGGTAAATGATTATGAATCTCCACCGAAATGAATTTTTCATCCAAAGCAAAGGTTATCGACACCAGCTGAAAGGGCTGTAAAAACACCAATTCCTGCAGGGAGAAGGTCAGAAACCCCTGGGGTAAAAGTATCTGCGTTCAGTCATAATGCATTTAGCAATGGCTATGATCCTATATTTAAAGTTGTCCAGGCAGGGTTTTCGCAGCGAAAATCCTCAAGAAAAGAAAATTCATCCCCAAGATAATGAAATTATTGTAGTTATATTCTTAAATTTTGTAATAAGATAGTCTAGGCAATAATCTCAAAAGAATTGATTTTTCTACAGTCGAAAATCATAATTACAATTTGAATGTATTTTAAATAAAATCAAAATTTTAAGAGCGTCAAAAATTCATCTTATTAAAAAAGGATTTTTGCTTATATATATGGCTTTTTTTATAATTTCATTCAAAAAAACGCTTATAAAAAAATGTCTGGAAGTAAAAGGTTAAACCTCATAAATAGCCAATTATCTTCCCAGTTCCCACCTATTCCTTATGATGAGTCTTTAGATAATTATCGAAAAAAAGGCACCGAAATAAGCAAAGAAATTTTATTACGTCACTTTATAGGAGCATCCTATGTGCTCGTAATGGCTTTCTGGAGCCATATGGCCTGTGATCCAGTTTTTAATCATCATGAAGAGGCTGAGTTTTCTCGAAGTAAAAAACGAGAAAGGGTTTTCCAGCAAATTGCAAGCATTTATTTTAAAGCGAATTTGTCCTATGAGCTTTGCAAAGAATTTCCATTCAGAAAATATGATCTTCTTTATGCGATAGGCGATTATGATATTGGTGTTGGTACTAGGCTTTTAATCCATTTAGTTTTATATATAAATGCAGTAGAAAGTTTAGGGACTTCTAACTCCCCCCCCTCCGTGAGTGAACAAAACCATTAGAAAAATCGCTATTTTTTGCCCAAAAACCTACCCTCTGTGAGTGAACAAAAATTTTTTTAATAGAAAAAAAATTTTTTATTGAAAAAAATTTTGATATATAAATGATAATTAGTATAATGAAATCTAGAGCTAATTCTATTTAATTTTAAACGAATTGCTTTTTAAAACATAAATTTTTATAAATTAAATTAATATTTGCTTTCCAATTTTTGCGAATTAGGATTTTTTTAAATTTTCGAAAAAAAATTTTTTATAAAAATTTATATATAAATTTTTTTAAAAAAAAATTTAACTCCCCTCCGTGAGTGAACAAAATTTTTTTTTTTGTTCACTCACGGAGGGGGGGGGAGTAAGCATATAGAGTTTATTAAAAGAGCCTATCATTTATTAGACTATGGCAGCTTTGGCATGACAGAGCTTGGCCATGGCTCAAATGTGGCAAAATTAGAAACGACTGCTATATATGACCATTCTGCAAGAGAGTTTATTATAAACTCCCCAACTTCCACGTCAGCAAATAGTGAATTGGTGGGGTAGGTAAAACCTCAAACATGTCAATTATATTTGCCAGATTGATTATTAATAGTACTGATAAAGGGATCAATGCTTTTGTGGTTCCGATTCGTGATAGTCAAACTCATGATCCTCTTCCTGGCGTTATAATAGGGGATTGTGGGAAAAAAATTGGATTAGATGGAATTGATAATAGGTTTATTCTATTCAAAAATTATAGAGTCCCTTATGATTCTTTATTAGATAAATTCAGCTCAATCACTGAAGATGGCAAATTCAAAAGTAGTATTAAAAATAAAGAAAAAAGGCTTGGAATTATGATGGTTGGACTTATTGGAGGGAGAAGCGCTGTTGTTTGTGCAGCTGGTCAGAATATGAAAACTGGGTTAATTGCAGCTTTGAGGTTTTCAGCTGTCAGAAGACAGTTCAGCTCAACTGAAGCCGAAAATGCGGTATTAGACTATCCGTTACAACAATATAAACTAATTCCACATCTAGCCAACGTGTTGGCTATAAGGTCTATATATCTATGGCTTAATACAAATTTGCCGGTTATCCAACAAAAAATTGATGAAAATCCAGAAGGGCTGGAAGTTTCAGAATTTCATGCAATTCTTTCTGCGTGCAAAGGAGTGTCTACTTGGTATGCCAATTCTTGTTTAAAGCACTGCAGAGAAGCTACTGGAGGATTAGGATATTCAGCGTATTCTAATATAGGGAGAATTATGATGAATGCGAATATAGGAGTTGCATGGGAAGGTGATAATGGAGTATTGATTCAACAAACAGGAAAATTTATACTTAAGCAATTTCAAAGAACATTTAAAGGACACGTAATTAACGCCCCAACACTAAAGTGTATACAAGTAGACCATGAAAAAGTGATGCAATTTAAAGCGAAATTTGAAAATTCTGAGCAGCTTGAAAATGAAAATACCGTTTTGAGCTAATTGAGTATAGATTGAATTATATTCTCCATCAAAGTTTAATGAAGCTTCAAGAAGTTACTGGAAACTCCAAAGATATGTTTGATGCCTGGAATAAATCACAAGTTTTTTACATACAAGAGTTAGCGAAAACTTATGGAGAATGAATTCGCGAAATTTGTAAAAGAATTAGAAGAAAAATGTGAAAAAACTGGAAAAGTATTGAGGAAGTTTTTTGTGCTTTTTAGTGTTGGAATTATTCAAAAATACTCTGCTTCGTTTCAAGATAGTGCAATAAATGCTCACCAAGCTAAAGTAGTAAGAGAGAGCGTGGTGAGATTGTGTGGAGAGTTGGCTGAAGTGAGTATTAAAGTGATCGATGCAATTGCACCGCCAGATTCTATTCATGGATCAGTGCTAGGAGTAGCTAATGGACAAATTTATGCAAAGTTAATTGAACAGGTTGAAAAAGCTGAAGAAGTTTATGATAAGCCTTATTGGCTTCCACTACTTCAAAAAGTTAAGCAAATTAAACAGATTTAAATTAATTCTTTTCCTAATGAATTAACATAAGACGTTTTAGAGGGAATTAGAGAATTACGTTAAATTACTTCTGCCTTTCCAAATTTTTTCAATGTTTTATAGGAATTCATGATAAGTTTTAATTAATAATTTTAAACATTTCTAATTTAAATTAAATTTCTTCATCTAATCTTTTATATGCTAATAGAGTATACTTCTAAAGAGAATATCTTTAAATTAATTCGTTATAATTAATATTTAAAATTTGAAATCTTAAAGATATTTCTTTTTATTCCTATAAACTTAATATAGTTCTCTTCTTAATATTTTAAAATGAATAGCCATGCACAGATAAAAGTAATTTTTCCATAAAAATCTCGAATTTCATTATCATCTGCAAAAGAATCAATATAAAATCTTAAATCTATTTAATTATTTGAAAAAGCCTAGAGCATTGTTTGAAATTTAATAGAGTCAAATAAATTTATCAATGCGTTTAATATTAGACTTTCATTGATTTTTAAAAATTATCAAAGATACGTCATATATTTTATATGGCCTTATTTTTATCATTTTACATTTCATTTTAAAGCCGCTTATAAAAATGCTTGGAATAAAAAGACTCAGCCTCATAAATAATCATCTATCTTCTCAGTTTCCACCAATCCCTTATGATGAATCCTTAGATAATTATCGCAAAAGAGGGGAAGAAATAAATAAAGAAGTTTTATTACGTCATATTTTTGGTGACTCCTATGAACGAATTATAACTTTCCGAAATCATATGAAAAATGATCCAATTTTCAATCACCATGATGAGGCTGAGTTTTCTCGCAGTAAAAAACGAGAAAGAGTTGTCCAGCAAATTGCAAGTATTTATTTTAAAGCGATAATATCTTACGAGTATTGTAAAGCAGGCCCATTAAGAAAATATGAACTTTTATACGCTCTATGCGACTATGATATAGCTGTTGCAACAAGAATTTCTATTCATTTGGTTTTATATATAGATGCGATAGAAACTTTAGGCACTTCTAACTTTTTTTTTATAAAAAAAAATAATGAAAAAATTATACTCTGATTGAGCTCGCAAAATTATAGTATTGGCAAGGAGAGTAAGCATTTGGAGCACATTAAAAGAGCTTATAGTCTATTAGATTATGGATGTTTTGGCATGACAGAGCTTGGACACGGTTCAAATGTGGCAAAACTTGAAACAACTGCTACATATGATCATTCCACAAGAGAGTTTATTATAAATTCGCCGACTGCTACTTCAGCAAAATGATGGATTGGCGGATTAGGAAAAACTTCAAATAAGTCAGTTCTTTTTGCAAGGCTAATCGTTGAAGGTGTAGATAAAGGAATCAATGCTTTTATAATACCAATTCGTGATAATCAAACCCATGACTCTCTTCCTGGAGTTATAATAGGAGACTGTGGAAAAAAGATAGGATTAGATGGAATTGATAATGGGTTCATGCTATTCAAAAATTATAGAGTTCCATATGATTCTTTGTTAGATAAGTTCAGCTCTATTACTAATGATGGAAAATTCAAAAGCATCATTAGTGTTAACTCCTCCCTGTTTAAATTTTAACAAAAATCCTTTTCCAATTTAAAGGGTTTAACTTTTTTTTCAAAAAATTAAGTTCTTCAGAAGCTTTTATATAGCATTGCGCATGAACTCAATTAAAAGGTTAAAGATAATTTTTATAAAATTAGTATTTTTGCCTATAAAATTTTCTGCTGAAAATTAAAATTTTGTTCCAATTAAAAAAAGGGAGGAGAATAAGGAAAAAAGGCTCGGGACGATGATGGTTGGACTTATCGGAGGAAGAGTCGCTGTTGTTTCTGCCGCAGAGCAGCACATGAAAATAGGATTAACTGCCGCTTTAAGATTTTCAGCTGTTCGGAAACAATTCAGTTCAGATGAAATAGAAAATCCTATATTAGATTACCCCTTGCAGCGCTATAAATTAATTCCTCATCTCGCAAGTCTTTTTGCTATTCGTTCAATCCTTCTATGGTGCAATAAACATTTACCAATAGTTCAGCAGAAAATTAATGAAAACCCAGAAGCCATAGAAGTCTCAGAATATCATGCAATTCTTTCAGCATGCAAAGGGGTTGCTTCTTGGTATTCAAGCTCCTGTCTGCAGCAATGCAGAGAAGCATGTGGAGGATTGGGATATTCTTATTATGCAACTCTAGGCAGAATTATTATGAATGATAATATAGGCTCGACTTGGGAAGGAGATAGTGGCGTTTTAATCCAACAAACAGCAAAATTTATATTTAAACAAGTCCAAAGAAATTTCAAGGGTCATGCTATAGATGCTCCATCTCTAAAATGCATAAAAGTTGACCATGAGAAATTGATGCAGTTTAAAGCAAAATTTGAAAATTCAGAACAGCTTGAAAATGAAAATAGTTTATTTGAACTCATAGAGTATAGGCTGAACTATATCCTTTATCAAAGTTTAATGAAACTTCAAGAAGCTACTGGAAATTCCAAAGATATGTTTGAAGCTTGGAATAAATCGCAGGTTTTCTATTTATTCATTAGATATTTGAATTTTATATTTGTCTTTTTAATAGTATTTTATCATTTTTCCTCTGATATCTTGCAATTCACACCAAACTTAATATAAGAGTATATACAAGAGCTAGCGAAAACTTATGGAGAATACATAATGATGAGAGAATTCGCGAAATTTGTAAAAGAATTAGAAGAAAAATGTGAAAAAACTGGAAAAGTATTGAGGAAGTTTTTTGTGCTTTTTAGTGTTGGACTTATTCAAAAATACTCTGCTTCGTTTCAAGATAGTGCAATAAATGCTCACCAAGCTAAAGTAGTAAGAGAAAGTGTGGTGAGATTGTGTGGAGAGTTGGCTGAAGTGAGCATTAAAGTGATCGATGCAATTGCTCCGCCAGATTCTATTCATGGATCAGTGCTAGGAGTTGCGAACGGGCAAATTTATGCAAAGTTAATTGAACAGGTTGAAAAAGCTGAAGAAGTTTATGATAAACCTCATTGGCTTCCACTGCTTCGATTAGAGGAGCAGCTAGGCTAGAAAATATTTAGGAATTAACTAAAATTTGCTCATAAGAGCAAATTCTGGGGGTGTGAACCCCTTAATTTACAGGTTCAGTTCAGGCTTCCACTGCTTCAAAAAATTAAGCAAATTAAAAAAACTTAAATTAATTTTAGCCTCGTTCAAACAAATTTTATAAATATATAAATTTAATTGTTTTCAAGCTTGCAGTCTTTAATTTTTTATAATCCCAAAAAACTATTAAATTTATTAAATATTAGATTATATACTTCCTCCAAGATTTTTTATTAGTATATAGCTTTTAAATTTAGAAAGAAAATAAAAAGCCAATCCCTTTAAAATATATAATATTCATATTTTATATTTCTTTCTAATAGAAAGTAGAAAAAAATTCAAATTGAGCAAGCCAATTTTAAAACAACTGAATTTATTTTTATTTTATTTCAAAAAATTTCCTTTCCGATTTTAAGTTTTATTATTGAAATGGAATAAGATGAGTCACTTAATATAAATGACATCATTTTATCTTATTCCATTTCACACCAAAAAACGCTTATAAAAAAATGTCTAGAATGAAAAGACTGAACCTCATAAATAATCACTTATCGTCGCAATTTCCACCAATTCCTTATGACGAATCCTTACATCCTATTAAATTATTTCTAGCCAAATTTTTATTTAAAAATAAATAATCATTTTTATTATGAATCTCAATAATTTTATTAATATGAATATTAACAAAGTTAGATAATTATCGCAAAAAAGGAGAGGACGTAAATAAAGAAATTTTGCTGCGTCATTTCTTTCGTGATTCATATGAACGAATTATGGCCTATCGAAACCATATGGCAAATGATCCAGTCTTTAACCATAACGACGAGGCTGAATTTTCTCGAGAAAGAAAGAGAGAACGAATTATCCAGCAAATTGCAAGCATTTATTTTAAAGCTAACCTATCCTATGAATCATGCAAAGAAGAATTTCTGAAGAAGTATGAACTTCTTTATACGCTTTGTGACTATGACATTGGACTAGCCACAAGACTACTTATCCATTTAGTTTTATATCTCTCAATAATGATTTAATATAAAGGAAATCAAAGTACTAGATAGTTTTTTTTAAATTTGAAGATCCATGCTTAACCAAATATAGTATATATATAAATGCGATCGAAAACTTAGGGACCTCTAAGCATATAGAACATATTAAAAGAGCTTATCATTTATAGAAAATTTAAATGTATTGTCCATTGGCTTTATGAGCTAATCTAGTCTAGAAAATTTAAGGAAAAAAAGCTATATTGGATTATGGCTGCTTTGGGATGACAGAGCTTGGCCATGGTTCAAATGTAGCAAAATTAGAAACGACTGCTACGTATGACCATATCAAAAGAGAATTTGTAATAAATTCCCCAACTGCCACATCAGCAAAATGGTGGATCGGTGGATTAGGAAAAACCTCGAATATGTCAGTTATATTCGCAAGGTTAATCGTTGAAGGAGTTGATAAAGGTATCAATGCTTTTGTTATATGCATTTTTGCTTAAATTGTCTATAATATTGATAAAAATAATATAAGATTTTCTTGAAAAGCTAGGCTTAGAGAATATATCATTGAAACCTATACCAATTCGTGATAATCAAACCCATGATTGTCCTCCTCGAGTCATTATAGGTGATTGTGGGAAAAAAATTGGGCTCGATGGGATTGATAACGGATTTATTTTATTTAGAAATTATAGAGTTCCTTATGACTCTTTACTAGATAAATTTAGTTCTATTACTGAAGATGGCAAATTTAAAAGTAATCTGTTTAGGATTAATTATCAGGGAGGAAATCTAATTGGAATATTTATGTGTAATTTATTAATGTTATAATAAAAAACTAAAGTATTCAGCCGAAAGCAGTATAGCATAAAAAATAAGGAAAAAAGGCTTGGAATCATGATGGTTGGGCTGATTGGAGGAAGAGTCGCTGTAGTCTGTGCTGCTGAACAGCATATGAAAAGTGCTTTAACTGCTGCTTTAAGATTTTCAGCCGTAAGAAAGCAATTCAGCTCAACTGAAACGGAAAATTCTGTTCTAGATTACCCTTTACAGCAATATAAATTAATTCCCCACCTTGCAAGCATCTTTGCAATCAGATCAATTGTTCTATGGTTCAATGAAAATATGCCAATTATTCAAAAAAAAATTGATGAAAACCCTGAAGGACTTGAGGTTTCAGAATTTCATGCAATTCTTTCAGCATGCAAAGGGGTAGCTTCTTGGTATGCTAATTCATGCGTGATACAATGTAGAGAAGCAACTGGAGGGCTAAGCTACTCTGCATATGCAAATTTAGGGAGAATTATGATGAATGCGAGTGTAGGAGTTACATGGGAAGGTGATAATGGGGTATTGATTCAGCAAACAGGAAAATTTATACTTAAGCAAATTCAAAGGACCTTTAAAGGTCATATAATTGATGCTCCAACACTAAAGTGTATACAAGTTGACCATGAAAAAGTGATGCAGTTCAAAGCTAGATTTGAAAATTCTAACTCCCCTTACGTGAGCGAATAAAACTATTGGAAAATCCCTTTTTTAGGGTGAAACCCACCATCTGTTAGCGAGCAAAAAATTTTTATAAAAAATATTTTGATATATAAGCAATAATTATTATAATGAAATCTCGGGCTAATTCTGCAGAGTTGCAAATAGTCTGCACTTTAAAACATAAATTTTACAAATTAATGGCTTTTAAAAAAATATATAAAAAAATTTTCCTATTAAAATTTATACATAATTGTTTTTAAAAATTAATAATAATCCTGCTTGAAGCGAACAAAATTTTTATTTCGCTGACGGAGGGGGAGAGTGAGCAACTTGAGAACGAAAGTATTCTTTTTGAGATAATAGAGTTTAGATTAAATTATCTTCTCCATCAGAGCATGATGAGACTCCAAGAAGTCACAGGGAACTCAAAAGATATGTTTGATGCTTGGAATAAATCACAAGTTTATTACATACAAGAGTTAGCGAAAGCCTACGGAGAATACATTATGATGAGAGAGTATGCGAAATTTGTAAATTTCCACAATTAATGTCAAACAGTTTTTGTTTATTAATAATGTTTTTTAATTAATTTAGAAATTTTAGAAGAAAAACAATAAATAAAAAAAAAATGCATCAAATAGAAGAGAATTTATAGTTCTTTTTAATATTAAAATAAAATAAATAAATAAATAAAACTTAAAAGGAAATGATACTTTTAAACTTTTTAATTTTTAAAAATTTTGTCCTCATCGAAGAGATGCAACTAAAATTCAAACCTATAGGCTTTGTTTATCATTAACTGAGGATGTAAGAGAATTGGAGGAAAAATGCGAAAAGACAGGGAAAGTTATAAGAAAACTTTTTATTCTCTTTAGTGTAGGAATAATTGAAAGAAACTTAGCTTCTTTCCAAGATAGTGCAATGAATGCTCACCAAGCCAAGGTTGTAAGAGACAGCATGGTTAGATTGTGTGAAGAGCTAGCCGAAGTATGCATTAAAGTAATTGACGCAATTGCGCCTCCAGATTCTATTCACGGTTCAGTTTTAGGAGCAGCTGATGGGCAAGTTTATGCAAAATTAATAGAACAAGTTGAAAAGGCTGATGGAGTTTACGATAAGCCTCATTGGTTACCTCTACTTCAAAAAGTCAAGCAAGTTAAAAAGACTTAGCTTAACCTTTATTATCTTAAAAAATATGAAAGTCAAATTTTAATCAAATTAAATGGAAATTATATAAATAAAATTTCCCTGAAAAATTACGAATTCAAAATTATAAAGCTGTTGCAAGATTGTGCTTCCTATTTGCTTTTGACTTTAGCCTAAACGGCTTATGTTTAGTTCCCTGCTTTATAATTTGGCTATCTTGATACATATCTTGTATTGCATTTTTATTAAAATAAAACAAATGCTTTAAAACCACATTATCACAGTAGTCAATATTTTGCAAGATTTCAGACGTTGAGTCAATAAATTTGCTTCAACTATTCATATATTTCTTTTCTTTATCAATTTTCGTGTTAATTTCTTCAGAATTTGGGAAATTTTTGCAGGCTTCCATTAAATTCGTAGCCATGCTGCATTTTAAATTTCGATTATAATCGATGCTTGCCTGTATTAATTTTTGTTTTCTGGGCGAAATTTTATGCCTGTTATTGTTGTCAAATGATTTATGTTTCCCTCGAAGCTTTATTAAGCATTCTTTTGCCATAGAGCAATAATCACTTTGCTGAGAATAAGGTCTTATAGGAGTATTTATTGCGGTTTTTGTATATTCATCTGGATTGCTTTTTCTACGTAGATGCTTTAGTGGAAAATCACTGCTGGGAGAAAACTCGGTTGGGGATCGAGGAGTTCTTTTAGCTGAATGAGGATAGGACATCGATGAATATACCTCCCTTTTTCGTTCTTTTAGACCATTTTCATTATGAAATGTTTGCAATTCTTGTTGATATATGTCGTCTATGGCTTCAAAGTGAGAATCTAAGCTTGGTAGAGGTGAAAAATTCATGCTTGTAAAAGGTCTTACAATTTCTTTAGAAGGGGATGAAGATGCTGAGTATGAAATTCTCCTTGACATTTATAGTTAAAAATTGCTTTTTAATACATTTTATACTATATAAATTAAGGAGCTCAGCTTAATGCTTATTTCTGAAGCTTCTCTATATAATAAAATATTCATATAAATATAGAATAGGCTAATTTTCAACTAATCATTAAAATAATTAAATAATAAAAAATAATGTCAGGCTATGTAGCTCATGAAAACATATCAAATCATCATGATACTGAAAATGGAGTGTTCCAAGAAACTGAAGAGCAGCTTTTAAGAAAAGCTGCCCTAGAAGAAGCTTTAAGCTATCTTGATGAAGATTCATTATGCCAAGTACTTTTACAAGCAATAAAGCATTTTCCAACTGTTAAAAAATATAGAGATCAGTTAATTGTTAGAATTGGAGAACTTGATAAAACTTTTGGAGAGTGGGTGATAAAAACAGCTGAAGAAGAAAAAATCACCAAAAATCTAAAGCAAAAATAATAATTTATCATGAGCGACACTTATGGTTCATTAAGAAATTACATTACTTTTCCCAAGCAGACTGTCTTGCCCTGTTAATCTTTTCTTTCTTTTATCTCGGTAATGTTTTATAATTAAAACAACTGATATAATAATCAAAATTGAGTTTAATACGACCCATTCTATGAGTACTGGCAGGCTGAGTCCGCCGTCATCCACCATTTCTATTGATTATAAGTTCTCTTTTAGAATTATAATTATGGAAGAGCAAAGCCATATACTTGCGACAGTCCAAAAATTATTATACTTTTTACTTTAACTGTGAAAATTACTCCAAAATATAAGATTTTTACATATTTTATATAAAATAATATAGGAAGAACTGGGTCAAGAGGTGGAATCACTCAAGTCCGTGTTGTCCTTCATGGCGATGAAAGTGGAAGAACCCTTGTTAGAAATGTGAAAGGGCCTGTCAAAGAAGGAGATATGCTTGCACTTTTGGAGAGCGAAAGAGAAGCCAGAAGATTAAAATAAACTTATGAATTTTACATAAACACTTTACCAATCAACAATAGGCAGCTGTATGTCTAACAGTGATCATAAAAAAGCATTAATTTTGAGTTTTAATAGTCTTGGAATTTGTATGAGTTTCCTATGAATAGAGAAATGGGCTCATAATTAATTTTATATATATGGTGACATAAATCAAATTCTCAAATTTAGTAAAGCTTAACAATTAATGTTTCAGAACTTTTTCGGTATTTTAAGTGCTTTTTTAAATAAATTTTTACATTGCTAATCATTCTCAATTTTATATATAAAAGCCATCCTTATTTTTTTCCATAGGGTTTTTTATATACTTGTCCAAATTCTTTCTTAAGAAGCCTTTTGATTTTTGTTAATGTTTATTGTTTAGTGGTTAGTTAAATTAAGGGAAGGCTTTTTTAGTCATGATGTTATAAAAGTCTTCGAATGAAACTTGCCCATCTCCATCACTATCAGCTCTTTCAATCATTTCTAAGAGTTCTTCATCTGTCATGGTTTCTCCTAGCTCTTTTGCGACTCTTCTGAGGTTCTTGATGCTGATTGTTCCTGTCTTATCGTCATCAAATAGCCTGAAGACCTTTTGAATATCCTCTCTAGTGTCTTTATCACTCATTCTGGCAGTCATCATGTCAAGGAACTCGTCAAAGTCAATCGCTCCAGAGCCGTCTTTATCTAAATCACTGACCATCTGATAAATGGTTTGATTTTTGGCTTCAAAGCCAAGTGATTGCATTGCTGAAGTTAATTCTCTAGGATCAATTGTCCCTGACCCATCAGTATCAAAGAGGTCGAATGCTTCTTTGATTTCTTCAATTTCGTCTTCAGTGAGTCCTGGGCGTTCATATTGCTTTGGGTTAAAAGCATTGGATCCTTTTGCTGGTTGTCTGCCTGCCATTTATAAATTATGAAACAAGCCTGTCCGTTTTTAAGAAAATTTTAATATGATATTGATACTTCTAAATATATTTTTAATTTTGATTTATATGATTTTCACATTTTTTATTTGGTATATTTAGAGATGAATATGCTTCCCTCTTTCAATAAAGCAGCCTTAGAATCTAAGGTCTTATAACTATTTTTAAATAAATGAGTTTTATTTATTAGCTATTAAAATAACTCTAAGCAAACTCTTTGTGTTATTTTCAAAATAGAAAATTTTACTGAAGGAAAAGAAAAGCACTAGCTTGATATGCTGAGTAAATGAATTAAGAAATATAAGCAGCTAAAATTTTGAAATTTATTATACTACTTTAATTTCACTTATTTTTTATTATAATAGAATTAGACTACTTAAAATATAAAAAATGACTGCTGTGGGATTTGAACCCACGCCCTTTCGGACCAGCGCCTGAAGCTGGCGCCTTAGACCACTCGGCCAAACAGTCAGCTTGTGATCTTAGAAAGTTCATATCTATAAAAGGAATTAAAAACTTCTTACAATGCAAAATCTATTAAATTTCCTAGAAATTTAACAATTTCCATACGAGCATAATCTAAGCCTTAATCATCTGACAAATATTTGTTTATTCTTTTATTTGCTGTGTCTCTAAGTTTTTCCAACCTTCCTTTATATGAAAAATTAATCAGTTTTTCACTTAGGCTTTCCTTATAAAAGCTAGGGTTTCTTTGCATGATAATTGTCATATGCTCTTTGGCTTTAGGACTTGCTAAAGGGAAGTTTCTAGGACTTAAAACTGGTTCATACGAGGTAAGACATGGATGTGTGAAGTCAACTAATTTTTTCCTTGTCAAATTTCTTTCCGAATAATAATTTCTCATCATCGAGATAACTTTATTTGGATAAAGAGTCTGAAGGTCTGCATTTTTTATCTTCCCTGCCATTAGTGAGTTTGAAGTTACAGTCACAGTAAAGCTTGAAGGTCTATCAAACAGCGCCGTTTCTTCTCCAATAATCGCCCCTTTTTCTAGCCTTGCCACAATTCTTTTAATAAGTCCTTCTTTATATGTCATAATGCATTCGCCTTCCAATATAACTAACATTTTATCAGTCGAAACTCCTTGTTTAGCTAAAATCGCTCCTCTATCAAAGTCTTCTATTTCAAGCATATAAGCCAGCCTTTCCTTTTGTGTTCCTGGATATTGTGAAAGCCCAGGAATGAATTTATCGACAATTTTTTTCTTTGTCTCGAGTGTTATGTACATTTCATTGCTCAAATAAAGTTTAAAGTATTTTGCATCCAATATAAGGACATAAGAGCGCTCTCTTGCAACGGCTGTTAAACTGCGTGGACCATTTCTTAATATGCCTCTTTCGCCTAAAACTTTTCCTTTTCCTAGGACATTTTCTGGAATCATGTCAATTTTTTCTTTTGTGGCATGGTTGTACATTTGCAAAGTCCCACGCATGACGACATAAAGACAGTTACTAGGGTCTCCTTTAGTAAATAGCCTTTCTCCTTCATGGTATTCTTTAGCTTGCAAGCAGCCAATTACTTGTTGTCGGATGTTAGGTGGAAGATGCTCAATCAGTCGTTGGAAAGGTTTTAGATGATGAAGAAATAAATCAATTTTTTCGATTTCCTCGAGGGATTTGTCTGGTTTATTGATAAGATTGACCATGACTTCCAAATTTTCGTCTCGCACTGCGTCCATTTTATGATTATTTTAAGATTTCCTGATGTTTTCTTTATAAAACGCTGAAACCATAATAAACGATATTTATAAAATAAAAAAAATCTAGTTAATACATTATATATTTTTACAAAATTTAAATAAATTATCCCAATTAATGTAGACAGATAATGAATTCTAAGCCAGCAATAATTAGGCACATTTTAAAGCTTAGCTTTAATCATAATTCTTTCTATAAGAGTATTTATAAAAATGACATATAGGCTGTTAATCTTTATTCTGAAATATGAATTTCGAACAGAAACTATAATGCAAAGTCTGAGTTAAAGTAAGAATTTGAATTTTGCATCTTATTGTCGAAATATTTTGTTATTGATTTTAGCAGTTAATTATTTAATTACTTAGCCACAAGCATGATGCAATTATTAGCAAAGTTTTGTTATATTGCTATAATAAGAAAATTAGCTTGATATTAATATTATATTGAGTTAACTCCTCCTTATTAAATAAATAGTAAAAGTTAATTAGCAGTTTTTTTTTCTATTTATTAAACAATTAAATTTATTGTAATCCAATCTTAAAATTTGACTTGTTTGAAAATAAAAAATATTTTCGTATTTAATGGCAATTATTTTGAATGCTATATATAAAAGATTCTAAATTATGCAACCCTTAAGAATTATATCTGCTTGATAGCTATATCAATTTAATTAAGTTATAAAATTATAAGTAATAAAAGCTGCATTTATTAAACAGAAAGAGTAATTAAATAATGATTAAATGAGCAAAATCTTTTAATATTAAGACACCTTATATTTAATTGAGAAGCTAACATTTAATTGTTGAACCAAAAAATTAATAAAAATTATGATCAAACCTTTTTTATTACTGGCGCTCATAGTCTTGACATTATCTGTGAGGCGTCACGAATTCAAGAAATGCTCTGATTCCAACTTTTGTGCAAGAAACAGACATCTAGCCAAAAATCACGTCCACACTAAAACTGAAGGTCTTCGTTTCGACATTGATTATGAAATCAAGCAAGGCAGCATTTCTAGAATCCCAGGAGGTGTCTCCTTTACAATAGGAAGCGTCTTTGAAGACTTGCCATTCCTTAAAAGCGAGATCATAATGTACACATCAGGAGTTCTTCACACATATATCGATGAAATCCAGCCACTTCATCCAAGATACAGGACTCCAAGAGAAGATGTACTTAATAGTCAAGTTTTAGACAAAGTTGCTGATACAAGCATAAGGATCGAGAAAGACAAAGTTATATGGACCTTAGGTGACTACCGATACGAGCTTTTTTCAAAACCTTTTGCAATTAATGGATATTTTGCTGGCGACATTACAATTAAAACAAATGGAGAATCTTTGATGAACTTTGAAAGGTATAGAAGTTTAGACCAGGATTTAAGACCAAGTGGCCAAGTCAAAAGTGCTGATGCACCAATTAAAATCTTTGACGCCGCTGGGGTGTATTTTGAAAAGGGTGAAAATTTAGAATATCCTGATGGGCTTTGGAAAGAGAAATTCAGAGATTGGACTGATGATAAGAAAAAAGGACCGAGCAGCGTTGCGATGGATTTTGGATTCCCTGATGCAAGCCATGTATATGGTATTCCAGAGCATGCTGACTCTTTGGCTCTTCAGGACACAAAAGATAGTGATCATCCTTATAGACTTTACAATTTGGATGTCTTTGAATTTGAGCTTGATGAGCGTATGTCTCTTTATGGGGCTGTCCCATTTATGCTTAGCAGGACAAGTAAGGCAAAATCTGGCGGTGTCTTTTGGCTGAACCCATCAGAGACATGGATTGATATTTCAACTGTTCCAAATGGTAAGTTTTCTCATTGGATGTCAGAATCAGGTGTCATTGAATTTTTCTTGTTCCAAGAAGAATCTCCAATTCAAATAATACAAAAATACACACTTTTGACAGGCCCTCCGCAGCTTCCTCCTCTTTTCTCTATAGCCTACCACCAATGTAGATGGAACTACAACAGTCAAGATGACCTTTTAGAAGTCTCCAAAAACTACGAAAAGCATAATATCCCACTCGACGTCCTCTGGCTTGACATTGAGCATACCCCTGAGCGCAAATACTTCAATTGGGATTATACCAAATTCCCTAGCCCTCTTGAGATGCTAAAAACACTAAACTCTACCAGTAGAAAACTCGTGACCATTGTAGATCCTCATATAAAAAGAACCGATTCCTTTAGTGTCCATAACGATTGTAAACAAGGTTGGTATTGCTCATTTATAACCTGCTCCCAAAGTTCAGGCATTTACTAATTTAGGTTTATACGTCAAAGACGAGAATGGCAATGACTTCGAAGGCCACTGCTGGCCTGGAAGCTCATCATGGCCAGATTTCACAAGACCAGAAGTCCAAGAGTACTGGGCAAACCATTTCAGTTATGAAAAATACCCTGCGTCTGCTGACAATTTGTTTATTTGGAACGATATGAACGAGCCTTCAGTATTTTCAGGACCAGAAATAACAATGCCTAAAAGCAATTTGCATGGAAGTATAGAGCACAGGGACCTTCATAATATTTATGGCATGTATATGCACAAATCTACTTATAAAGGACTCATGAAAAGAAGTGGGGATATGGAGAGACCATTTATATTGACAAGAGCCTTTTTTGCAGGGACACAAAGATATGGAGCTATTTGGACAGGTGATAATGCAGCTAAATGGGAATTTTTAGAATATTCGGTACCTATGTGTTTAAGTGTCACTGTAGGCGGGATCAGTTTTTGTGGCTCAGATGTTGCAGGATTTTTTGGAGATCCGTCAGTAGAACTGTTAGTCAGATGGTATCAGACTGGGGCTTATACTCCTTTCTTTAGAGCTCATGCCCATATAGAAACCAAAAGAAGAGAGCCTTGGCTTTATGGTGAGCCTTATTTGTCCAGGATTAGGGACTCCATAAGAGAAAGATACGCGTTATTGCCTTACTGGTACTCTTTATTCTTCCAATATAGAAATAATGGAGTTCCTGTTATGAGGCCAATGTTTTCTGTTTATCCACAAGATAATCAAGCAGCTGCATTAGATAGACAATACCATCTGGGCCCTGCATTATTAGTAGCACCTATTATAAAATCAAACCAAGATAAGGTCGATGTGTATATTCCTGAAGGAAAATGGTATGATTATCATACTTTTGCGACTGTGGAGATTGGAGAGTTGAAATATCAGACAGTCGAAAACTGGATTCCTGTGTTTATTAAAGGAGGAAATATTGTGCCAAGACAAGATAGGCCACGTAGAAGCAGTCAAATGATGATAAATGATCCTTACACCTTAGTAATTGCGCTCGATGAGAAAGAGGCAGCTGAAGGAATTTTGTATGCTGATGATACTCATACGAATTTGTACCTGAAAGGGCAATTTTTGTTAGGGAGAATCGAGTTTAGAGAGAAAACTTTGGTTTATCAGGTCCAGAGTAAGATGAGTATGCATAACTCGATTGAAAAGATAATTATTCTAGGGCTGAAAGATAAGCCTAAGAGTGCTATAGCAGAAACTGAGAAAGGATCGAGCAGAGTAGGATTTTATGATATGGGAAGTCATATTATTTTAAAGCTTCCTCCAGTTTTTATTGATGAGAATTGGACTATTAAGCTTAATTACTAGTTTAAGGCTTATTTAGATTTTTCTGTAATAATATATATGAATCCAATTGTTGAAGTCATTTTCATCATTAGAATCATTGTAGAAAGTCAAATAATAAATTTAATTGTTTTAAATCAAAAATAAAAAATAGATTTTCAGTATACAGATGGAGGAATAAAGGAATATGGAAGTCGCAATATTACATGGCTTGCAAAAGAAAATAAAATAAGCCTGCCTCATCTCATAGAATATTTGCAGAACTCAACTGATAATATAAGAGCTTGTTTTATCTTTGCTATTATCGGGAGTGATACATACCATTATTTGGATGATGAGCCCAACAAACATGAAGTAACCCAATATTTCGAAGAATATTACAAAAATAGGAGGTAGAAACTCAGGAGCAGTCAATGAATTTGCCTATATAAATCAAACACACAAATATAGTCGACCAAGCACTATAACTGCTAAAATAGATAGAAAATAGATTCACGCTTGACGATTATCCCAGATCGTTATGTTCGATTAACTATCATAGCTTATGTGGCAGATTTAAAAACTCAAAAATTTTGATTTAAAGCCACAAATTATGATTATGGTCTTTCAATGAATAGTATTGCTTTTGCACATCTCGATATTTGATAAGTATATACGAAATCGATGATACAACATTTACATGCAGTGCGACAAGAATATACTTATAAAAATTATAACGCTACACTAGAAGATTATAATATTGATCCAAATGATTCAATAAATATAATATTATATTTTAGAGCTCATTATAATCGTTTTCGACCCAAAACAACTAAAGGTTATGGTAAGAAAGTCAGAGAGGAAAAGCAAGTAAAATTAAAAAATAGAAGCAAAATTAAAGAATCAGAGTTATTATAAGAAATAAGGACACAACAAAAAAAGTTCGCTTTAACCCTTATTAATTGCTTATACTTCTATTTTAAGTAAAATTGTAAAATTTTAATATATCAGGCAAGATAGAATTCTTGTTTTAGGTTCTTAGCTGTATTATTTTTAATTCAAAAATTATAAGCGTTCTTTATAGATTTCCTCTAGAATTTAACATTTGATAATATTTATCTTCCTCGAAAGACATATCAAAAGTTAGCAATTCTTCTATTGATGTGCCTCAAAAGTGAATATGTTTTATTCTCTTTATTATTCTATGATTTGTGCTTTTCTCTTGATGATTACTTAGATTAGCTCGGCTTTGATTTTGATAGAATATATGCTACCTCCAAAGAGTATTTTAGTGGCTGGAGGATATCATATTTTTATTAAATAAATGTTGCATCTCTCCAGAGTAGCTCGTAGATTCTTCGCAGAAGTCGTCAAAACCGATTATATGGTTGTCAAAATGTACACCCCTACAGCCAGCATCTTCAACGGCGCTACTGATATTGAATCAATCTACTTTGAAACATTAGATGGTGGCAAAGGAGTCATGAATGCCCAACATATGACATATCAGACCACCCTTCTCCCTGGACTTATTGAAGTTCACTTCAAAGCTGGCCAAAGCAAGAAAATAGTCCATGTTGGTGGCATCCTTCAGAAAAACACTGACAATTCAGTTGATATTGCCCTCTTTGAAGCTTTTGAAAAAGGTGACTTGGACTGGGATGCTTTAAAGAAGAGTGATGTTTTTGCTAATGAGCCAATAGGAGAAACAGGAGCAGATATTGATTTTTTGAAAAAAGTTGGCCTCCAGCTTAGAGACGAAGTCTCAAATGCATCAGCTAATCTTTAATATAAAAGCTTAGTGATTAAAAGAAGCAGGCTAATTAAATTTTAAACGTAGGCTTTTTACTCTCTTCTTATAATTTTCAGTTAAATATAAATTTGATGAATAAAGCTTCCTCCTGTTTTTAACTATTAAGTTTAATTACTAGTTTAAGACTTAATTCGATTTTTCCTGTAATAATAATATATAGACCCTATTTCGAACTCAATACACCTTGAGAAATCACTAAATAATAAAGAATATCATATTAAAATAATAAAGAAAAATAGATTTTTACTAAGCTGATGGCAAGGCAAAAGAAATTGTTTGCAAAGAAAAATAAATGAATCTGCATTATTTTTAGAGCGATTATAAATTCAGTAGATGATATAGGAGCTTAATTATTCTAGCCTTATAGTAACTAAAGCGCTCAAAATTAATAATGCTACAAAACTTATAATGCCAAATTAATGCAGTGTGTCTTTGGGCACTGAGATTGAGATTTTTAGATTAGAGAGGGTTAAAGCGGGGATTATTTCAGCCACTGATCCAGTCGAGCTTCAGCTTCACGCTCGTGTGGCGCTAGTCACTAAAGCCACCTGCCGCCCTTTTCTGATGACGTCATCAAAAATGGTGACGTCAGCATCTTTCGGGGAGACTCACCCGAACCTGCTTGGACCAAAATGCTTCAGCAAAGGACTCTCTTAACCCTGGTAGTGCTCAAGGTATGAGGGGATCGTCCGATGCCTCCTTCTGGAACTACCTCTGCCATTTGCAGGCAACATAATGCTCCTCCAGAAGTCCTCGATTGGTATTGCGCCGTCGGTCTTCTCGTCTGTGGGTCGAGGGGAGGCCCAGTTAGCCCAGATCGCGCCCACCCCGGAATTAAGCCACCTGCGACCTCGTAGCCTTTCGCCAGCTTTTTTATTTTCTGGCAAAAATTCTGAGTTCATCTGTCGCTACTAGGCATACCATGATGGCATTAATTCTTTGGGTACTGAAGAAAAGTATATTATGCTTAAATATAAGATAATATTTAAAGGGGCTTAAACTCCACCTGCCTATCAGCAATAAACTTGCAAAAGGCATGACTATGCTTTATCGTACTTTTTATGAATTTATTTAATATGTATTAACAAGGTTTTATAAGCAGATAAATGGTGACTAGAACAACAAATTTCACTAATTTTATAAGATATGATCTTTCAGGATATAGAAAAATAATTTACATAAATTATATTAGAGAATAGGATTCATATAAGAAATTATTATCAATACTCCAAGAAAATAAAATTTATAAAGGATATTTTTACTTAATATGCAAAAAATTTAATCTTATCTATAGAATTGTGATACAATGAAAATTAAAAATCATGCTATATATGATAAATGCAGTTTAAGATTATGCAGATAATTAAACATTTTTAAAATTAATGAAATTTGTTATACCTCCACAACGATTTTGGGTTTTAATGTAGCCGAGATTCCTTCCAGTTTTTTCAAATTTGTACTTTCAAGTGGAAAACTTACACATTTACCTTAAATAGCATAAGTAGCAGGAATTCCTCAATCAAAAATCATTTCTGGGACATAAAGATCTATTAAGTCAATATCTAAAATTCCCATATTTAGCACATGAAATTTATATTTTAAATAAAAATTATATAGCTCCTTATGAAATTTTTTAATTATTTTAAATCCCTTATTTATTTGCCGAAACTACACTAATTTATAGATAATTATAATAAATCACCTTTCTTAAGATAATTATTCAAGGAAACATAATTTTTCTTGTTTTGTCGTCCTCTCTATTTAATTATAATCAGTTGCTAAATTTCTGATTGGCTCCGACGAGCCAAAGATGGATTTCACGCGTGAAAATCCAGAAATTCCACGTGGAAACCCATTTTTGACTCATTGGAGCCGATCAGAAATAACGACAAAAGATCATAAAATAAAAATAATTCCAACGAGCCCTCTTCTTAAATTTAAAAAATGTCGAATTTAAATATGCCTTATCCTCTTTATCCTTATAAAATCCACTTTCCAGCCTTAAATATCCCAAGCCCAAACTTCTTCAATTTAATTGCAAAAATGTCATAATATATAAGAAATTATAGTGCATACTAGTAATTGACTAAATAGCAGCTCATTCAAAATGGAACAGATTCCAACCAAACGCCCTCATTCAAATTCTGACTCAGATTCTTCCCAGTCCCCGCAACAATCAAATCAGGCATCATCCCCTCAAGAAAGTCCTAACTCTCTCGACATCTCTTCTCCTCAACGACGTCGCTACTCTCGTCGGACCCGTCAGAAAAACATTCTGACGAGGCATTCTTATTCGATTCCTCCCAAATCTCAGTCCAAAACGAAGAAAGCCAAACTTTCCGACTCTCAAGATAGCAGTGAAGACCACCCAAGCCAGCCAATGTATCAGTCTCATGGGATGTCGCTTTACACTTCGATTCACCCCAGCTTTCAGGCATTATTATCAGGCTTAGAAGCTTCAGACGACATACAGATACTCCAATCTTTGACTCAGCTGTCTATGGACCTTGCCATGATACATGAAGACCTCTTGTCAAATCTTCCAGTTGAACAATTAGTAAACGCATTAATTACTTGCCTAAGTAAAGATACGCTGCAAGACATCCCGCTTTATGCAATGAACTCACTTACGAATATCCTGGACGCAATCCCGAATATTGCAGGACTCATTGTCGCGAGTGGAGGAATTGGAATTTTATGCTCAAAGCTGATGAATTTCGAATTTATAGATATGGCTGAACACGCTATCAAAACCCTTGAAAAAATGTCTTATGAGCATGCCGCAGCGATTATTAAAGAAGGCGCTTTTGGGCTTATGATTGGGACAATTGATTTCTTTGAAGCAGAAATCCAGAAAAAAATTTTGACTTTTGCGATTAATGTGGCGAGAACTTTGAATTCGCAAGATCATTTTATACAATATGTAGCACCCAGCTTGCAAAGTCTGGTGAATATGTTGGGATTTAGAGGAACCGATTTTGTGCAGCAGAATGAAAAAACTTTGGATTTTTTTACAATTTTGACGACAAGTTTAATAAGGATGTGTTGTACTGATTATGAAAAACTGAGGTATTTTTTGCAAATTATGATAGACCAAGGCTTGATAAAGGCTCTTTATGAAATAGTGAATCATGTCCCGGGCTTAGTTTCAAAAGCTTTTAAGCTGCTCCATATTTTATGTAAAAACGCTTCTTCAGCAACTCAGATGCTGCTGTCGCTTGGAATTAGCTGCAGCTTAAAAGAAACATTATTGAAATGACAAGAAAAAAATGAAAAATCAGAAAATTCTATCATGGAAGCTTTACATTTGACTGAAACAATAATTCCTAAAGTGAATTCAGATGATATCATAGAAAAAGAAAAAATTGAAATTTTTGCAAGGCACCCACAATATTTGCAGACTCTTGGAGATACGATTTTGCCTCAGATTATATCGCTTTATGAGCATTTTGCTAGCAAAGAAATGAAAAGCTTAGTTATCACGATTTTAGATAAAATTTTAGAGCAGTCCCCACCAGATTTAATGCTAACTTATGTAGCTCCCCAATACTTCTCGACCTTTATAGCTGAGCTTTTATCCTCTCGTGATCTCTATACCATCAAAAACGCCCTCAAAATTGTCAACGTCCTCTACGAAAAAATCCCAGACCAGGTCTCCACAAATTTCATACGAGAAGGTGTCCTTGACCGAGTCCAAAATTTAAAAAGTGCAGAAAAACTCAGAGAACTCAGTGCAGACTGAAGAAATCTGTATACAGAAAGGGTCAACCGAGCAAGAGAAGAATCAAGATATGCTGACCCTTTAATGATGTTTAGGTTTTCCCATGGGCTAGAAAGATCTTATTCAGTCCACGAAGACCCTTCAGAAGGCTTAAGCTTACGAAGATACAGATCAGAAAGCATGGATATTACGCATGACCAAAAAAAAGACATCATTTCCTTATGCAAGTCAGCTTTAGATAAAAGTAAAAATTATGAAAATAAAAGAGCAGTTAATAAGCAAAAACAATTAAAAGAGCTCGCAAATAAATTGGAGAATGGGGATGGGGAAAGTGCTGCTGAAATTTGAAGGAAATTGATTATGCTGATAGAAAGTGATGAAGCTATAAGCCAGTTTGAAATTAGCTATTCAGGGCTTCCAGAAGCTATTTGAAAATGATTAGAGTTGCCTGAAATGAGAGATGAAGCAAAAAATAGTGTTTGTTTAAAAAGGCTAGAAGAGTTTTTAAGAGTATTTTTTGAAAGTAGCAGCAAAAATGAAACCCATATAGCAAGCTTTATTACACTGCTATTAGGAGCTGTACAGTTTTTGCATGGATTTACAGTAAGCCCACCTGATAATAGTTTGACTACTTTATCTGGAATTAGATCTCTAAGCCAGAGGGTAAGGCTGCATTTTCAGTATTGTCCTGATGAAATAGATCCTGTAGCATTTTATGATTTATCGACTGAATACTTGACTAGACATAACTTTTTCTCCACCACAAATGACTTTAGCATTGCAATCGAGCAGTTCAACACTTTTGACTCAGTAAAATCTCTCTTACTCAGAGTAAGATCAAAAGAAGATTTACTTTATTTCCAAGAAGCGTTTCACCACAATATTGACTTCAGAAGAGAAAACCCTTCAAATTTAAGGCGGCAAATAAGAGATCTTCAGTTCGGCACAGTCACAAATCCTATGGTTCTTGATATGGACATTGATAATGACCTAGAAGAATTCAATACTGAAATTGTAATGCCTAGAGAACGAAAAGCCAGCGAAATCAATGGAAATTTGGTAGTTAATTTGTATTGAAAAGGAAATGAAATCACTAAAGGTATGACAGTTTTTGAAATCATAAATAGGCAGGATAATAGTGATGAGCCAATTATTAAGTTTAGGTTTTCTAAGTCTGCATTGACAATTAAAGGTAGCAGCTATTTGCAAACGCCAATAGAAATTTATCATAATATTTTATATACATAAAAATGGTGACGACAGACCACCCGACCTCTCGACCCTATTTCTTCAACACCAGCAGGCAACGGCCCAGTGTTGGAGATTTAGGTGGAAACCGGCCGGTAATCCTTTATGTATAGTCGGGCTGGGTTTTCTTTGAGCCCGAGGAGCTAATTCTCGGACTTGGAGTTTTTCCTCCGGTACAACCATTGGAAAGGGCAAGGTCGGCAATGTTTGAGGGCAATATGACCCTCAGACCCAGAAGACGGTATTTGCCCAACGAGAAACTGGGAGTTTCGACCCAGGTGGTTGGCCCTAGACTCCAGAAGCCATGGAAGTCAAGACTGGTCGTGCGAATCCCTTGTTTGAGGCAACAAGGAGGGTGTCCGCCGAGGCTCCTCAGGGCGATGAGCGTGTAGGGGTGAGAATCTCCGGCCCTGCAAGGCAAACGGCTTAATCTAATCTAATCATAATATTTTAGAGGAAAGCCAGCTTATTGGTATAGACTCTTCAGAAAAAATCTACCCATGTCTTCGGCTATTAAAGCTTATTTTCAAGCTAAATGAGCAGTTTCCACAAATAATATCAACGTCCTCGCTTTTATTTCCTTCAATTTCTGATTCTTTGAAGCTTTCTAAGGTGCAATCCCAGTCTTTTAAAAGCCAAAAACTTTCAGCATTATTGACTCGGCAATTACAAGACTCAATTTCTACTACTTCAAAAAACCAAATATTGACACTCCCTAAACAGTGCAATTTTTTATTTCCTTATACCTTAAGAACTGAATATATTCAAGCCACTGGCTTTGGCGGGTTCAGAAGTTTACAATATTTCTTAGACAGGAACCAAAACAAGGAAAGATTTCGAGTCCAAAAACAGAAGCAAAAAGTAAAAATCCAAAGGGAAAAACTCCTGCAAAGTGCAATGGTAATTATGAGTGATATTAGGCTGCTTAAGCAAGGAATATTAGAAATAGAATTTGAAAATGAAATAGGGACAGGCCAAGGGCCAACTTTAGAGTTTTACAGTTTAGTTGCAAAAGAAATCAAGGCCCTTAACATTTGAAGAAACCAAGGAGAAGAGTCAGGACTTTTTCCATGCCCTCTTAAAGCTTCTGATGAAAGGTATAGAGATTATTTTACATTTTTAGGTAGATTTGTCGCAAAAGCGCTTATTGATAAAAGGTATATTGACATCCCGCTGAGTCCTATTTTTTGGAAATTGGTGCTAAATGAGCCAATAACGCTTGCTGACGTATTTTTAGTTGATAAAAATTTAGGTAAATTTTTGTTGGAGCTGCAAGAAATACTCAATAAAAAGCATAACTTAATTTCGCAGAAAAAGGCTCCACAAGTGAATTTTAGAGGGTCTGCTATTGAAGATCTTGCGCTCAATTTTACACTTCCAAGCTATGATTTTATTGGTTTAAAGAGAAACGGTAAAAATATTTTTGTAACTTTAGATAATTTAGAAGAATATATCAGCCTCGCTGCCCAAAACACGCTGCTAATGAACGCCCAAGCTCAAGCATTCCGAATAGGACTTGAGTCTTTGTTTCCTAGTGACACTCTCAAAACCTTTATGGGAAGTGAGTTTGAAACCCTCATTTGTGGAGAAGCGGACGAGAAATGGGACATTGAAGAGCTGAAGCTAAACATCAAGCCTGACCATGGCTATACCAGCACGTCTCCTACCTTTAAAAACCTTCTTTACCTCATGTCACAGTTCACCTTCAAAGAAAAACGACTTTTCATGCAATTTATCAGTGGATCTCCAAGGCTACCTCCAGGAGGTTTTTCTGGGCTGAACCCTAAGCTAACTGTTGTCAGAAAAGAAGCAAGCATGCCAGGGATTTCTGATGATGAGTACTTGCCGTCTGTTATGACTTGCCAAAATTATTTGAAAATCCCGGATTACTCGTCGCTAGAAATCTTGCAGAAAAACCTGAAATATGCGATTGAGGAAGGACATGAAGCATTTCATCTTTCATAAGTGTTTAACTAATCATTTTATAATTATAAGGATAACACTAAAATTATCTTTTTCTTTTCTTCTTTGCTGAGTCTTTGTCGTCGCCTCTTCGCTTTCTTGCGCCATCTTCATCTTCTCCTTTTTCATTCAAATTTGCTAGCTTTTGTAAATAATTGATATAATAGATAGAAAATAGCAATTTTAGGATTTAAAATGTCGTTTTATTATAAAAAGAAGAGTAAAGCTTCTGCAAGGTCTTCGTCGTGCTCTTTTTTGGCAGGATTTTGAGGGTTCATTTGTTGTCTAGCTTGAGCAAGCATCCTCATGTTTTGCATCCAGTTTGCCATATTCATGTTTGGAGGTGGGTTTCCTGGCATACCTCCTGGCATGGCTCCTGGGTACCCAGGCATGTTTCCCATTGGCATATTTCCCATCTGTGGCATCATAGGATTCATCCCTGGCACTTGGCCCATCCCATACATCATTTGAGCTGCCAACATCGGATTCATCATTAATGCTGCCATCTGATAAGGGTTAAATCCTTGAACTGGACCTTTAGGCTGGTTTGGCTGATTATTTCCTTGTTGTGGCTGTGGAGAATTTCCTTGCATAGACATCATACCTGACTGAGGAGGCATTCCCATCATTCCTGGCTGGCCAGGCATCCCCATCATTCCAGGCATCATCATGCTAGGTCCACCAGGCATGCCTAGCATCCCTGAAAGTCCAGGGAAATTTGGCATATTTCCAGGGTTTGGGTTATTTGGCATTGAAGGCATATTGGGAATATTGAAGTTTGGCATTCCTCCTTGAAGTGCACTCATATTTGGCATTCCTGATGTAGGGACATTTGAAGATTGATTAGGTGGTATACCTATTTAAAATAATATCTGTAGACTAACTGTGAAAATTTACTATAAAATAGGTAACATTTTTAGCTCATAGCTTAATATATAATGAGGTATATAAATTTGCTATTGGTGAAGAAAGCCCAGACATATTTGGCATATTCTGCATATTTGGCATGCTTGGCATGTTAGGCATGCTGGACATGTTGGGCATGTTGGGCATGTTGGGCATGTTGGGCATGTTGGGCATGTTGGGCATGTTGGGCATGTTGGGCATGTTTTGCATATTTGGCATGTTTGGCATATTCGGCATGTTTGGCATGCTAGGTGGAAGCTGGAAATTTGGCATTCCTGGTTGTGATATATTTGACTGGGGGTGATTTAGCATCCCTGGCATGTTTGGTGGCATTGGGAAATTTGGCATTGCTCCAAATGGACTCATGCCTGATGGGAAAATTGGCGCTGTTTGAGGCTTTGAAGGGGTTGGAACTTGTGGAGCTTTATTTTGAATTGCTTGAGGAAGGTTTGTATTTGCAACTTTAGGGGATGGCTGAGGGAGATTAGCTGTAGATGGTCGTTGTGGGAAAATCATTTGAGGCATTGACTGAAATTGAGAAGCTGGGGATTGTTGAGGTTGAGGCTGAGTAACTGAGCTCGTCACGGGGGTTGAAGGTCGAGGCTGTGGCTGAGCCTGTTTTGGCTTTTGCTGCTGAGATGGTGGCTGACTTACCGCTTGTGGCGCCGACGCTTTTCTAGTTTGCATAGAGTCTCTTCTTCTTGTCCTTGGCCCTTCAGTTCTTCTTTTTTCTGTTGACGATGCTTCAGATCCTGAATTTTCATAGCTTTTAATGGAAACTTCTTCATCCTCTTCGTCTTCTTCCTCTTCACTTTCTTCCTCTTCTTCTTCCTCTCCTTCTTCTACATTTTCTTCTTCTATCTTTTCTTTTTTAACTTTTTTTTCTTCTGAAGGCTCCTCTGCTTCTTCTGCTTCTAAGTCTACTTCTTCTTCTTCTTCTTCCTGTTGAGGACCTTCAGACCTCTCTTCTTCTATTTCTCCATCTCTTCTGAAATTTTTAATGTCAGGAAGCGTTTTTAATGGTTTTAAGGCTTTGTCGTTCTTTTTGATTGAGAATGGGACGTCACTTACTTCAAAAATAGGGTGAATAAAATCGGATGCAGGCCCATGATTGTGTGCTTTTAATATTGGGCATTTTATTGAAGAAGATTTGGTCGAAAATTTTTAAATATTTTAATATTTGGCCGAAAATAATGGTTTTTTCGTTTAAATAGCACACTATCAAAAGATTTTCGAATAAATTCCCCTAGTAATGTTGCACTATAAAAAATGCAGTAATTAGCATGGACCCGATAAAATCAGGGATCGGCGAAGTTTCATCGCCAGCTTGAAGTTTGGTTTTTCTATCAATAGCTTTTTTATTGGAACTGTCTAAGCTGAAGGCACGCTGATAGGCAAGACTTGCTTCTTGTTTTTGCTTGCAGTGCTCGTATAGAACAGCCATATTAAACCAGACATCTCCACATTCTGGAGAAATGTTGGAGGCTTTTACGAAGCACTCAAAGGCGTCTTGAGGTTGGGTTGCTAAGGCATATAAAATGCCGATGCTGCACCAATATATGTACGCATTTGGGTTTTTATAAATGGCTTTTTGAAATGCTGACTGGCCTTCTGGGTAATTTTTTAAGTCCAAGTAGCATCTCCCGACAAGGTAATGGATGTCACCAGCCTCTGCGCAATTTTCCTTAACGAACTCTAAGGCTCGGTTGAGAATTTCTAAAGCTTGCTCATGGGCCGAGTGGTTCATTAAGGCCCATCCTAGATATTCCATAGTTTTAAAATTGCTTTCATCTAAGGTCAGGGCTTCTCGATAAATACTGATCGCTTCGTCCATTTTCTCTTGTTTTTCATAGCAGTTGCCTATATGGCACAATGCATCAACTTTTCTTGAAATCGGGACATTTTCACATGCCATTGCATTTCTGAGATAAGTGATGGAGTTATCAAAAGATTTTGTCTTCTTATAGATGAGCCCTAATTTGTATAAGACTTCATGCTTTTGCTCAAAATTAGGGTCAATCCTTAAAACTGCTTGGTAAGCAGGCTCTGCGTATTCATAACTTTCGAATTTATTATAGAGGAGCCCGATGCCATACCACAGCTGGGGATCTCGGTTATCTTCCATAGTATAAAGAGCTTTCTGATAAGCGGTAAAACATTTCTGATATTCGCCTTTTAGAAGATAACAGTGTCCTAAGGCAGTCCAGGCCTTACCGTTCTCTTCATCTACTCTAACTATTTTTTCGTAGTGCTGACATGCTGATGCATAGTCCCCTTGACTTGCGAAATGTTGAGCCAATTCACTAAGGGCTCGGATATTAAAAGGATTTTCTTCAAGTTCCTTTTCCAGTTCATCTACCTGTGCTCCGCTAAGGGAAAGATTATCCATCATTTGAGAATTATTAGCCATATTTAGAATTCGATGTGCGCCATTCGTTTATCGATAAAAAGCCAGCTTTAGTTAAATAATTTTAAATGGATCGGCACTTAATATGAATAAAACTTTAAGTTTTTGTATTTTAAGGTATTTTTTATTATTGATAAGAAAATGGAGTGAAAAATTGGCTCCATGTCACCTTTGATAGTGCGACATTTTCTAGGGAAATTTGTTTTAAATTTTTTTGACAGTGATTAAATTTTGACCAAATGGAGCACTATTTAAAAAGCCTAAGCCAAATTTTCTTCTATAAATGCATGCTATCAAAGGACACGATCATTGGGCCTACATCTGTGAAAATTATGGCTTCTTTACAGAAATGGATCAGAAATGTAATATGACATTACGTATGAAAAATAATTTTCTAGGCCTTTACAGACTTGTAAAAAATAATGAAATTCTCTGGAAATCCTAAAATATCTTGAGCTGGGATTTTTTTAAATAATTATCTGTTAGAATAGTTATAATTAAGCATATAAATACGATTAGATTAAATATGGAATTTGAAACTTCAACAAGCACTGTGCCAGTGATAGGATATATTTTTCTTTTTGAAATTAATATTTATTTTATAAATTTCTGATTGCTTAAATAAAATAAATGTGCAGTCGAAATCTTTAGTTTTATTTGTTTATAAATTATAAAATTGTATATACTTCACCATTTTATAATGGGCTCTTAATAAAATCATCATTATTTTTGACAGAAATGATGCTAGCTCCTCCCTCCGCGACAAAATCATAAAAATTTTACCAAAAAGCCCCCACCCTTCGTGGGCGAACAAAAAAAAAATTTAATAGAAAATTTTTTATAAAAAATATTTTGATATATAGTGATAATTATTAATTCTCTAGCTAGTTCTATTAATTTTAAATAACTTGCATTTTAAAACTTAAATTTTACAAATTAAATATATTTACTTTCCAATTTTTGCGAATATCGATTTTTTTTAAATTTCGAGGAAAAAAAATTACTATAGAAATTATAGACAAAACAAAAAATTAACCCCTTTCTATTAGCGAGCAAAATTTTTTTGTTCGTTCACAAAGGGTCGAGTAAGATATCCAAAAAATGAAGCTTTCAAGACAAAAAGATTTTTATTTAAAGAAATTATTAAAATTAAAAATTGAAATAGAGTTATAGTAAAGATTCATTAATTTTGAGTATCAATAAGAATGATTCTATACATAACAAATATTTTGACTCATGAATTATTTTGTGTTCTTTAGAGTGCTTGCCACTTTAAAATTGCAGGATTTCTGTGAATTTTTATTATTAACTTCAAATAGAGGCCACTTTCTTTAAAATTAAAATTTATAAAAAAGTCCAAAAATCCAAATTTTGATCGAGTAATAAATCTTTAAGAGCTCCAAACTTCCTAATTTTATTGAAGATATCTTCAAATTCATGTTTGGTAAAGTTATTTGCTATAATAATTATGACAAAAGAATTTTTCTGACCATTATTTAATCCATATTGAAATTTTCTTGCTTATAACAAGAATTACTCGATAACAAATTAACAACATAGTCATATTTTCATGAGGAAAATGATTATTTTATAGGGTGGTAGACTTTTCAAGAGATGAAAATGTCGCGAAAACAGAGAAAATTATCAGAGGTAGCTCAGTTGGTAGAGCATCTGTACTGCAAACCGGTGGTCCCAGGTTCAATTCCTGGCCTCTGACATTTTTAACTTATTTAAAAGCTAATGTTGATCAATAAATTTATTTATTCAAATAATTAAAACCCATTATTCTATAAGTATTTTAAGCATTTTGATATAATATTTAATTTATATTTATTTTATTTCATATACCTATTTACAATAAATGCTTATGGGATTTATTGATAGCTTTTGATTTCTGATAATTTATTTGCAAATACAATTTTATCATTTCTTGAAGATCACTTGCTGCTCAAATATTAATATATAATCAGAGGTAGCTCAGTGGTAGAGCGTCTGTATGACACACCGGAGGCCCCAGGTTCAAATCCTGGCCTCTGACTTTTGAATGTGTTTCTGATCAATTCTTATTTTTAAAAATCATTTCAATTGCAGTAATATAAATAAAAAGATCAATTTTTTTTTGTAAGACGAAATTTTAAAGAGGCTTCTAACAATGAAAAAACTAATCTTACCTTGCAGGTTCCTTTCTAAGTCAATTTCTTGAAGAAAGTTTGATTATCATTATTATAAATCAGAGGTAGCTCAGCGGTAGAGCGACTGTATTGCAACACTGTAGGTCCCAGGTTCAAATCCTGGCCTCTGACCTTTTATACCTGTAAAAGCCGCTAAACTAAGAAATTAAAAAGACCTCAAAGTTATTTATAAACCTAAAATTCATTATTTCAGTAAGCTTCTCTCTTTATATATATAAATAATACTTAATTTAAACATAAACTTATTAAGATGAATATAATTGCCTTGAAGTTTCTAAAAGACAGCTGAATTCCCTAAAATAATCAGAAGAAAGAGCCTGCATTGTACTTATCAGCACCTCTTGCAGGCTTTTTGTTTTTACAATAGAAGCTAATTTTCCATCCTGCTCAATCCAATGCTTAAGGTGCTTTAAAATGTTAATTTGTCCTTGAAATTGGGCTTTTTTTATAATTTCTAAGACTGCTTCTTCAATCTAAATAAACCTTACAAACTCCACCTTAATCCCTACCAAAACCACAGAAACCGTAATTTTACAATATTTTGCAGGCAGTGTCAATATCTGTTTCACATTTTCTATATTAATTTGTGAAGTATGTGAGCACAAATAGCAAACCAGCCCTGATAAGCTTTCTCATTGGTTGCCGAGCGGCAAAGAATGCTGAAAATGGTCCAGAAGTTTCCCAATTTGGTCTGGCTTTATTTCAGCTTGTATCAATTTCCACAGGTAAATTTTTTCTGATGATGAAAATTCGTCAGATTTTTCCAAGACTTGGGAAAGTTTATTAGACAGAATTGAATAAGAATCGAGCATTAAATCTTGTTCAACCTTATGAAGAAGCTTCATATCAGTGGTCTGTAAGAAGAAATGGATTATATTTGGGGTGACAAGCTTAGAAAGCTTTGCAAAGACTTCAGGGAACACCCAATGTAAAGTTTCCAAGGAAATATCTTGAAGACTTGCTAATAAATCCCGTTCTAACTGGTCCTCAAATTGCTGATATAGTTTGGAGTTTTTTTGTAAAGAATATACAAGTAGCCTAACACCAATAGAGCTTTCTGCAGCGTGCAAAAGTTTTAGTAGCTCTCTAAGTCTAGCATTAGTTTCACTATGTAAAAATATTTGATATAGCACACTGTTTTGAGGCAAGTCTAAAGTTAGAGGCTGTATAAACTCATGAGTCAAACACTTGATAACGAAACTACATAAGTCTTCATTGACAAGCTGAGATTTGTGAATCATTTCCATTAAGATATCAAAATTAGGCTCATTAGCAAAAACGAAAGCAATTTCTCCTAAATAGTCAACAAAGGACCTTGGGGCTGATAATGATGTATCTTCTTTTTCAAATAGAGCAGCAGGTGGTGACAAATCTCCATCATGTGTAGTCGCTTCTAGGAGTTCTTTAAGCCTCGTCCTAATGTTTCCGTCAATTCTTTCATCACCTATTAAAGACTGCAAACTCGGGAAAAATCCTTGTGTACAAGCGACAGTAAAACAGTCTTTTAAGCTTCTCATAATCCTCGGTGTCGATCTTTTATCATAAAGTTCTGCCGAAGTCAGCATAAATTCAAGCAGCTCTTCAGCGATTTTTGGGCAGTTTGTGATTGAGTGCTTAAGAAATGACATGGCTGGCTCTATTATATAAGCTTGGTCCTGGGAGTTAAAAAATAAGCAGTCATATACAAGGGCTTGCTTTATGCTTGCTTGAATCTGGTGGTCTGTCTCATTTGTGAGGAGCCAGGCGACTATTTGCCACCTGTGAACGTTTTCTTTTTCCACTGGATAATTTACTATAAACCTAACTAAATCGTCTAGTACGTGGTCATTGTAGGTCTCCATTATTCATTTGAGATATCGGGTATAGTTGCTTTGGTAGCCATTTTCTACGATAAATGCGAGCTTATTTTCTATTTCTGGCTTAAGTAAAACTGAATGAAACTTAGGATGTGTAGGGGTGCATAACAGACTTCAATATAATGGAGCTCCATCACGCCCAGAGGCAAATAAATCATTTCATATATGCTCAATTCCGCCTGACTCTGCCAGGCTACTAACGATTCTTACTAAGTCTCTTCCTATAGAAATGCATGCGTCTCTCCTGTGTATCCAAATCTGAGAAATTATATGAATATGATCAAATAACACTGGCATCCCTTCTGCCGCCAAAAGTGAAGCACCCCTCAGAACTTTATAAAACACCAAAGAGGCGAATTGCTGTGTATTAATCCAATCCAGCTGCGTCTTAATCTCGTTCACCAAATCCAGACTTCTCAAAATCGTCATAAAAAGCCCTGTAAACGCTGGAGACTCCGTTTTCCACAGCTGCGTGAACAGCCAAACAGCTCGCTGTGTCGATTTCAATTTAGGCAGCATCATAGAGAGAGTATTGCAAGCCGTTTGGAAATTATCTCGAGAAGTCAATAACTTACTTACTTAGTTACATAGTTTTTAAGGTGTCTAGTGCCCACACCCCTTAATAAAAAAAGGGTCAAAGCGACAACTAGTGACGTCACCAAGCCATCTTGGAATATGTGGTCAGCCCACACCCAAGCCTTCTATGAGGCTAGTCGCCAGATAAATCTCCGCACATCTCACCCGGCGCGTTGCCGTCGCTCGTCCAGACTCAGCTCCTGCGCGTGTTCCGCCTAAGGGTCATCCTCCCGTGGGGACGTGTGCTGAGAGGTAAAACTCCGAAATCTTGAGTGCACTGAGGAGTCGTGCCTTTGGTTATCCCCAAAGTTAAACGACTATTGCTGTGCAGAAGTTCTCGAGAGAAAACCCAACCCCATAAATAAAATTCCATGAGGGAGAGAAAATTGGCAAAGCCAATTTTCTCTCGAACCGAATGCCATTTTATTTATGAGAAGTCAATAACAAATAGCTCAGCCAGTCCATCCCTGTCAGAATCCCATACAAAACGCCTCTACTAATAATCTCGTGTTCTCCTTGTATCGATCTCGTTTGTAAAATCGCTAGAATTTCGCTTTCGTCTGTTTTGAGGCCAATGAGGTCGCGGACATAAATGAAATTTTCTTCAATTTCCTAGCTATTTTTTACTTCTAAAGCACCGTCTACCAATTCAATTTCACTTTTTTCGAAAAGGCTTAATTCCATTTTATAAGACTAAGACTTATTTGGGCCATTAGACTAGTTAAAATAGGCGTCTGGATCTGCTGGAAGCCTTACTGGCTCGAAGGAATCAGTGAGTTCGTTATATTGAGGAATAGCCAAGACTTTCCACTTGTGCAGCTCTTCTTTAATGCGATAATTCAGTCTTTTTTCCTTTCTTCTCCTATAGCATTCTGCATAGTCGTCAAACTGGTCTCTACAGATTTCCATTGGGTCAGTCTCACCTTTAAATGTATTGAGTCTTTCAGAGGAAAACGCCCTTTTATATTTTTTTATTGGAAATATCTATAAAAATTAATAAAATAATTTATTTATTATAAAAATAATTATATAAACAGTTTTTGTCTAATAGTAAGAGCCTTTAAAACATTCTTCAAACTTCAACCAGACAGGATAACAGCGCTGGACTCCACCATCTATTGTCATTCCGTGAAAATATGCCATTTTATAAAAGATTTAAATATTAAGCTATTTAGCAGCATGACTTTTTCTTTGCTGGCTGTGTCGGACGCACTATAATTGGAGCCTGAGCAGGGGCTGGCTTTTCTTCTTTGGTTGCTTTCTCCAGTGTTTTCTTGTGCAAAACTTCTGCTATTTTTTGAAAAACCCTAGTTATAATTTACCTCAGAAACATGCTCAGCAGTTTTCGCTGAGGCCTCAGTAAACCCATCCAGCTTATTTTCTTCAGCAAACGCCTGTGCGATGTCTGTTTGGACTTCTCTTTCGTCCTCAGCTAAATCTAGCATATTTCCTACAAGGTAGATGACGACATCTGAATCAGAATTTTGCTTGATTTCTTTAAGCCAGTCATATAGGTTTTCATAGCTTTCTAAACGTGTTAAGTCATACATTAAGACTACTCCGTGCGCATTTCTATAAAAAGAACGGGTAATAGCCCTGAAGGACTCTTGTCCAGCTGTGTCCCAAATTTGGAGTTTTATGTTTTTCTCAGCTACTTTCAGAGTTTTGGCACCATACTCGACACCGATGGTGACGTTGTGGTCTTCTTTAAAATCGCCTTCTGTGAACTGCAAGAGGAAGCAAGATTTTCCGACGCCAGAGTCGCCAATGATGAGGAGTTTGTAAAGAGCGTCTGGTTGTTGATCACTAGAGGCCATTTTATAAGAAAAGATTAATATAAAGTTTTATAATTTAAATGATTTTTAGAAATCATATTAAAACGGAATTCAAAAAAATTATTTTTCGAGGCAAACCTTATCTAGGCTAGATTTCAAATTTAAAATTAAAATTAAAATTCATTATTTTATAAATAAATTTCAGCATGGAATCCATATACCTTGAAGTAAATCTTCAGCTGAAGAAATGATGTCTATATAAGCTCGACGATAATCCTAGGCTATAATGAATAAAGCTAAGAAAGAGAAACAAGAAGAGCCTCCAAAGATTGAGTACTCTGAAAAATACTATGACTCAGTCTATGAATATCGGCAGGTCATTTTTCCGAAGGAATGGGGGATGAGGCTGATAGAGAGAGGATTGATGCCTGATGAAGAATGGAGACGGTATGGAGTGCAGATGTCGAAAGGATGGTATCATTATGGCTCTCACCCTCCAGAGCCTCATGTATTATTATTTAGAAGGCCAATTGGAACTGACCCTGCATCTGGAGTTGTCGATCGGAAACTTGGAGAGGACCAATTTCGCGAGTTTGAGTATGTCAGACACTTGTCTAAGCCAGAGCGTGTAGCTTTGGGCATTAATTAAGCTTGATTTAACTGAAATTCGCATAAATCATTTTATTAGCTTTTATTCATATATAATAGCTATCTATTATTTATAGAGCATCTACAATGACTTCTTGATTCTCAAATTTATTCTTGATATCAGGGATAATATCTAGTTCAGTCTGATACAAGCTTTCTTTAAGAATAATTTCATCTGGCTGCCCATCCATTGAGAACTTTCTTTTCTCTTGGGAGTGAACTCTATCCCTCAGCTCATGGTAGCAAGACTCAAAAGTTTTTTCAATCGCCATGATCGATTTCAGCATATTTATTTTGGGAAAAGTTCTCAATTGGCCTTTTCTAATGCATCTTTGGATATCTTCATCAGTAGGGTTTGATAAGATATTTACATAGTCTTTTAAAGAAGGAATAGGCCAGATTGTGACATGCCCTCTATATTCCTGGGTAAAAATGCTTAAAAACCATGTCAAAGTGCTGCTTAAATCAAGTAAATTTAGCTGCTGGACCCTATGTCTGAATTCCATCATAATTAATCGCTTAACAGCTTTAAAAAGCTTGAATTTAAAGCTGTCACCCCAAGTGCCGCCTCCGTCCTCTGGCGTTAAAAATGGCAAAACCCATGGATTTGTCTGTGAAACTATAAATGCATTCACATTAAACATTTCTGCCAATTTTTGTGTCGGCAAATCAGCTTTGATTGTCCCATCTATAAACTTAAGCCCACTTGGATGGAAAGGCACAGTCTGGCCATTATGGTCTTTGCATTTTAGCTCTACACTTTGAAATACAAATGGAATTGCACAAGACGCTAAAGCAGCGCTTCATACGAGGACATGAGGAGCTGTCAAATAGTTCAGCAATCGGAAATCGTCAAAGCTTCCTGATTCGCTGACAGTAATATTTAAAATAATTCCCGTTGCTTCATAAGCTTCTTCAAATGTCACTTCTCCTAGATTTGCCCTCAAAAACACTTCAAGTGTTTTACTGTCCATCAAATGTCCCTGTTTAAACAGTCTTTTAATTTTTCTCTGCACAGATCCTTTAGCTAGCCCTTCAAAAGGTCCATATTTTAAAGCTCCTTTTTCAAACCACTTACACTCCCCTCCGTGAGCGAACAAAACAATTTTGTTCGCTCATGGAGGGGAGTTAATTTTTTTTTTTAAAAATTTTTTATAGTAAATTTTTTTTTTCAAAATTTAAAAAAATTTTTATTCGTAAAAATTAATTTAATTTGAAAATTTATGTTTTATAATGCAATTTGTTTAAAATTAAACAAAATTAGCTAGAAATTATACTAATAATCACATATATATCAAAAATTTTTTGTTCGCACACAGAGGATGGGTTTTTACCCAAAAAAAAGGGATTTTTCTAATGGTTTTGTTCGCTCACAAATGGGGAGCTAGGGATTTCTTCCCATTTTGTGGTTCCTATAAATGATGCCACCATAGACCCAGCTGAAGTCCCGCATAAAATTCTTGGCATCAATCCTTGATCATACAGAGCTTTTACTACTCCCAAATGGTAAATTCCTAATCCTCCGCCACCACTCATAAGTAGTGCGGTTTTTCCAAACGCATAGCGGGATGCTGAGAAAAACTTGACCTTGTCAAGAAGTGGGTATTTTTGAGAATGCAGTACGTGCCGTAAGGCATTAGAAACTTCATCTTGGTATTCCATTATGAGATATTTGGTATCCACAAGAGTCTTGGTATATAACGTAGAATTCAAGCTACCGCCTAAGCCTCGAAGCAGGCCTGAGCGAAGGTGATGGACTAAGGCTGGAATATCGTCTTGCTGTCGAAGACTTCGAATTAGCTTCAATCTGCGCCGTAGTAGCCTGTAATCATATAATGGGCTTTGTTCTCGTTTTTTCCATTCTTCTTTGCCTTCTATTTTATCTATACTTTACTATTGATTTAATTATTAATTATTAATAATATTAAATAATAGAATAATTAATGATATAAAATATATTTGTTCAGCAGCTGCATACCAGCTTTTCCAGTCCCTTGATTTTTTAAGCTGTTGCTGATATATGATTATATCACCGACATCCCAAATAAGGCTAATTAGCTTTTTATATAGCTTATTACTGATTTCTTTGCTTACAGAATAAATTTCTTTGATCTCATTTACAGCATCTTCAGAAATTGAAATGTTTCTGATGCTTTCACATTTTATAACGAGGCTCTTGATTTGTTCTACCATAATTAGCCAATTATAAATGGATTTTGCATAAATTCTCTTATGGTTAATATAGTCTTAGAGTATTATTCTAAAAGCAATATTATTGAGTCTAATTTATCGTAGAAGGTGAAATTATGTTGATGGAACATATATACATAAAAATGGTGACGACAGACCACCCGACTTCTCGACCCTATTTCTTCAACATCAGCAGGCAACGGCCCAGTGCTGGAGATTTAGGTGGAAAGGGGTCGGTAATCCTTTATGTATAGTCGGGCTGGGTTTTCTTTGGGTCCGAGGAGCTAATTCTCGGACTTGAAGTTTTTGCTCCAGGACAACCATTGGAAAGGGCAAGGTCGGCCAATGTTTGAGGGCAATATGACCCTCAGACCCTGAAGACGGTATTTGTCCAACGAGAAACTGGGAGTTTCGACCCAGGTGGTTGGCCTTTAGACTCCAGAAGCCATGGAAGTCAAGACTGGTTGTGCGAATCCCTTGTTTGAGGCAAAAATGAGGGTGTCCGCCGAGGCTCCTCAGGGGCGATGAGCGTGTAGGGGTGCGAATCCCCGGCCCTGCAAGGAAAACGGCTTAATTTAATCTAATCTAATCTAATCTAATCTAATGTTGATGGAACCTTCTATTATTTATAAATAGCTAATTATTCTTTATCATGTAATTTATCAATTTTTACTAAGCATCTATAACTTATTTATGCAAATACAACGTTTAATCCAAATTATTTTATTTTTATGTCTTATGGCCATTATATAATTCTTATGAAATCCTTCTTATTCTCTCCACTAAATCTCTGAACTCTTGATGGCTCATTGTATCAGCCCTCATTAAAGCATTTGCAAGCAATATTGTGTGTTTAGAATTTCCTGAGTTAATTCATATTTTCCCATTATACCCAATGACTATCTCAAACTTAATAGCATTTCCCAAGCTTTGCAAAATACTGATCCCCTCTTCTTTTAGCAGTTTTTGGCACAGTGGGATTGGCACATCCATTACATATCCACCTAAAATTGGCCCAAATTGAGCTTCACCAGATGACCAGGTTTTTTTATTGAAATTTGACTTGCAGGTCAGAACAGGGTTCATATGGAGATTTGATTCTTGAACTCTTGCATAGATTAAAGAGTTATTATCAATTTGTGGCCTATTTCTTTTGGTTGCTCCTTCGAAATCGTAGTATTGCAGCATCCCATCAAACCTATCACCGATATCAACTCGATAATAGTCTCCAGCTCTGTTTATTATTCTCCCTATCACAAGATCGCCTGCTTGCGAGGTGTATTTTCGTGTTGCTTTTCTATTAGGAAAGTCAACTTTTTCTTGCATTTTTATGATATATAGATTGAGTAGAGAATATAGTAAATATTATGATTGAAATTAGATTTGGGAATAAATATACTAATTGACCAAGAATAGCCCACTAAGGAGCCATTCTTGGTCTGCCAGAAAAAATTTTGACAAAAGATCCTAATCTGCCATTACCACTGAGTTTTGGTGTTTCCAAATTTTTTGGGCAAGCCAAATGCAATAAAAAAAAAATTGTTCTTTTGCGATGATGCATTTGGCTTGTCAAAAAAATTTGGCAACATCAAAACTCAGTGGTAATGGCAGAAAAGATCCTAATCTGCCATTACCACTGAGTTTTGGTGTTTCCAAATTTTTTTGACAAGCCAAATGCATCATCGCAAAAGAACAATTTTTTTTATTGCATTTGGCTTGCCCAAAAAATTTGGAAACACCAAAACTCAGTGGTAATGGCAGATTAGGATCTTTTTGTCAAAATTTTTCTGGCAAACCAAGAATGGCTCCATAGTGGGCTATTCTTGGTCAATTAGTATAATTAATTTAAAACTCACCACATTGCAAATTCTAAAATATAAAAAACAAGGTTTATGATATGCAAACAATTATTGAAAGAAAAGATGTAGAGAGCTAATGGATAATGATTTTTTTATATCATGCTTTTTCTCTATATTCTAGCTGAGATGAAAAAGCTAGTGAAGATGGAGCAAGCGAAAAGTGTATGAAGAGGCTTGAGAAGAAGCATGCGATGTAATAGAAAAGAATAAAGGTGAAAGTCATGCAAATTGTCTGAAGTCTTAAAGCTTTTTCATACATACCTTCCATTTCAATAAAATAATTTTTGCCCTAAGGTTAGGATATGGTATATTTTCATACATTATTCCATGGGAAATCCATAAAATAAAATATAATTAATATATCAATTTAATAAGGAAAAAATAATATGAAAAGTGGTAGAGAACTATTTATCGAAACTAGAGATAAACTTATACAAGCTAGGCTAATTTTAGAGAGTTCAATAGAAACTCCTATTATAAAATATCTATCAGAGGGTGAAGAAAAAGTATACAATTTAAGTAGTTATATAGAAGATTACTATTCTTTATTGCAAAACGTTCCAACTTATGCAAGTGATAATTCTTATGTATTAAGGCATGTACCGAACATTAAAGAATTTATTACTAATCTTAGCGAGAGTTTTAAATTACCAGAAAATTCTAGCATGATTGATATCAAATCAAACATAGAGGTGCAAATGCTTCTAAAATGTTTTCTGAAGAAAAAGTGAAAGTACCTTTGATAAGATTTATTTATTATCAAGCTTTTCCAGAGTGGCTAGAGGAAGTTTTGCATGGAATTAATTTTTCTGAATATGGTGGTCGTATTCTTCCTGACGAAGGATCTATATCTCATAACGTCAGAATCCTAGGAGATGCAATATACGAAGCTTTCAATCAAGAAGCACAGCATGAAGAATAAAAAAAATTTAAAAAATATTTCTCAATAAGTCTCTCAAAAGTCAATTTTTTTTACCTGCTAGGGCAGTTCAGATACCTATGAGAACTTTTTAATTGGCCTATATGTCGTCCAAGACTAAATGGCTTTGAGTGATTTTGGAAGGCCTGGCTTCCTTACTCCCCTGTCTCCGTGGGCGAACAAAAAAATTTTTTTCGCTTGAGGAGGGGGCTAATTTTTTTCTCAAAATTTAAAAAAAAAAAATTTGTAAATGCAAGCTGTTTAAAATTGACAGAATTAGCTAGAGATTTCGTTATAATAATTATCTTATATATCAAAACTTTTTTTTCATAAAATAATTTTATATTAAAAAAATTTTTTGTTCGCTCACCGAGGGTGGGTTTTTGGGTAAAATTAGGGATTTTTCCAATGGTTTTTGTTCGCTGACGGAGGGATGGAGTTCGGAAAAATCCTAAAAATGGCATAAAAGGGTTTTCAACCCAAGCCTTCCAAAGCGACTCGTAAAGGTTTAGCCCGTGGGCGACAGCCATACTGGATATAGAACTCTCAAGCTATGCTATCTGCTCATAGCATGTCAAACATTTGAGGAATTATTTTTTATATATTAGGCGTTAGGGTGTTAAGCCTTTTAGCCTGTGCACGACATATAGACCAATTTATAGAGATCATTTAGGGATTCGATTTGCCCAAAGCGTGTCAAAAAAAATGATTTGTACGAGAGTTATTAAAAAATTTTTTTATATTTGATTGAGCTAAGGTAATATAATATCTTCTTTCTCAACTCTTTATAATCCTAAACTATTAATATTTTTATAGAACGGCACTGAAAGAATAACAATAAGACTAGAAGACATCAATGGTATTGCCAATACACAAGATGTATTTAGAGACTAAAAATACTCAAATCTGGCAAAGAAAATAGCTGGTATTTTATGGGGGTACCGAATGATCAGCAATTATTAAATAAAATTAATTTTTGCCCTAAGGTAATATAATATCTTCTTTCTCAACTCTTTGCAATTATTAAATAATAAACTTATCTTAATTTAGATTATATGATAGATTTTCTACTAAAACAGCTAAATCAATGAACTATTTTAAAAAGCCAATATAACTCTGTTTAGAAGACTTTTTCACAAGCCTCTCAAAATTTTAGATAATGAATAAACTTAAACAAAATTGATTTATAATTTCATAAAAATCCAAAATTAATTTAGTCTAATTCGAATATTGAAACTACCGGTACTTGTATCATATAATATATACCAGTTATTATCAGAATTTATCCTTTTAATAAGAAATTGATTAATGTTTATATTATTGTAACGATTATTAAATGACGACCTATATTAATCAATCTCAAGAACAGCCTGAAAATATACTCACATCAGCCTCAAAAGAACACCCTAGTTCAATTATATCTGAAAATAGAGAAGATAGTATCATTTGCAGTTCAAAAAATTTAGAAAATATAGAAACTCCAAACGAATCTGAGAAGAATCATGCAAATAACCCTGAAAATCCAAATCCCCCTCTGCAGTGCCAAATTGATGAGCTAAGCCAACAAAATTTAGATTGTGGCACCATCCTATACATTTATTCAAATAGCATAACTCATCCGATTATTTCTGGTCATAATGAGCAGAGCTTTGAAAAATCACCAGCATGCCTAGATGAAAATCCTGAGAGCTTAGCGGATAAAACTAACCAAATTATAGCCTATCCTCAGGCCAATGCCGGCTATTTAAATCAACCCCCCGCAAATCCTCCAGTAATCAGCATTAATCAGCCAAATCAGCAGCCACCACAACTGAGAGGCTTTTTAGACAAATCAAGCATGAAAACTCAAAGAAACGACAGGCGATCTTTCATTATAAAAGTATACACGCTTCTTTTATTCCAATTAATCATAACAGCTGTTTTTGTAGGCATTGTCTGTGGAATTAGTTATTTGCGGGAAAAAATTAAAAAATATTGATGGATGGTTATTGCATGCTGGGGTATGACTTGTATAATAATGATTTTGATATTTTGCTATAAAAGGTATTCAAAAATGTACCCATATAATTATATAGCTTTATTACTATTTACTTTATTTGAATCTTATATGGTAGCTTTTATATGTGCTTTTTATGAACCAATTATAATAATTTGTGCAGCTGTGTGCACAATTGTGATAGTATTCGCTTTAACAATTTATGCGTGAAAAACCAAGCGAGATTTTACTCAAGGCAGAGGTGCATTAGTGGTAAGTATTGTGTCATTGTGCATATTTGGGTTTATGATGATTTGGCTTTATAGTAAGCCTTTGCATACGCTATATTGTTTTATAGTTATACTAGTGTTTGGTTATTTTATAGTCATTGATACACAATTAATTGCAGGAGGAAAATACTGCGAATTAACATATGATGATTACATAGCTGGGGCACTATTTTTGTATGTAGACATTGTTATAGTGTTTATGTATATTCTTGCTGCCTTACTCTCTGCAAGCTATTTGAAATTATATAAAATTATGTTTGATCTTGCTATATTAATTATAAGTTTTATATTAAAACTTTTTTGTTAGTCTCGAAATATCAGCTTCCTAAAAATATTTTTCAATTGTTTTGATTATTTAAGGAGAACCGGAGTTAGGGGATAATAAAGATAATTTGCAGAATAATCAACCACCTGTATTTGAAATTTAATAGCGCAAATAAGCTTTAGAAGGCCTTATATAATAAATCATAATTTAAAGAATGATAAATTAATGTTTAGCATGATCCAATTTTTATATCATTTTTAAGTCTATAATTGCTCAGATAATAAATAAGTTCAATTGCATTTGAGACGGATACAAATAATAAAATTTAAGTGAAGTCCCACTTCATAGCCCTCTTAATTTCTAATCAATAATTTTAAACATCCTGTTTTTATGACACTTATAATGATTAATCTCAACAAAAAGCAGATCGAACCAATTAATCAATTCTGCATACCACCCTTAATAATTCAGTTTCAATATTGACCAAAATATCAGAATGAAATGCTTATCAGTTTAACTCTTCCTATAAATTAGAGATTTTTTATGCAAAAATAGAATTTTTTCGGATGTTTTTGTTAGCTCATGGAGGTGGGAGAGTAAAGAACTGCATAAGACTCAAAAATAATTATAATCATGCTGAACTGGACCGAAACTTATGGAGAAGAAGCAAGAGAAGTTGATATCTATAGCAAAACCTTTGGAAAAACTAAATGCAAAAATGCTGTTAAAAGAAAAATGAAACAGAAGAGACAGAAAACTCAAGGAGAAAAAAATTAAAGTTGAAAGGAAAAAGAGATAGACAAAATTAACGAGAGTTATGCAAACCAAGACTTAGATGGAGAAAGTCAAAGAAAAAGAGAAATTAGAAATAGACTTAAAAGAGGGACTGAAAGATGAGTTAATTAATGAGCTGAAAGAGAAATAGAGGAGAAGCTAAGGAGAAGCTAAAGGAGAAATTGAAGAAAAAAGAAGTGAAAGAAGTGAAAGAAGCAAGAACCCAATTTATAAGAATTATTTGGAGAATATAACTGCCATAATTATAGATAAAATTTATAATTTTGAAACTCATATTTTGATGACGACTTATAATGATCAATCTCAACAAGAAAAGCAGATCCAAGGTGACTTCCCACCAATTAACCAAGCATACCCAGATGAAAAAGTTAAAGAAAATGAAGGGTATGATTTAAGCTATGGCAATAAATCTTCTGAGCCTGAAATTATCCCAGTCAATTATCAGCCTAATCAAGCGTACATCCAGCCTGAAATGGTAAATCAACCCTATCCTCCTCCAATATACCCACCTTATCAATTAAACCAGCCTTACTCAACTCCAAATGCTGCTCCAATTCAATACTCCAATTTTTCTCAAGTAAATTATCCTTCTCAATATAATCAGCCTTATCAACAATTTCCGAATTACCCAATCGAAATTCCAGCTAATTCAAATCCTGTAGTAAATCAACCTTACCCATATCCTCAAACCTATAACCCTCCTCCTGCAAATCCTCTAGTTGTATATCCACGGCCTTTAAATCAGGAGCAAAATCAAGGAAGATGGGGATTTTTAAGAAATGTATCTGAGAATTCGCGCATGAAAACAGCAAATAATGACAGAAAATCTTTTATTGTAAAAGTCTATGCATTGCTTTGCTGCCAATTAATTTTCACAGCTGTTTTTGTAGGTATAGTCTGTGGAGTTAGCAGACTAAGAGATGGGATAAAAGACTTAAAGCCTTTAGTAATAGTTTGCTGGATATTGACAGTCGTGATCATGATAGCGATTTTTTATAGTAAAAAGTACTCAAAACGATACCCATATAATTATTTAGCGTTGTTTCTGTTTACTTTATTTGAATCTTATGTAGTAGCTTTTGTATGTGCCTATTATGAGCCACTAATAGTTCTTTTTGCTGCTGTAAGCACTCTTGCATTGACATTGACTTTAACAATTTACGCTTGGAGAACCAGAAGTGATTTTACTACGACTAGAGGTTGTATTATTGTTACTGTTTTATCATTAGCTATGTTTGGGTTTTGGATGATTTGGCTTTATAGCAACGCTCTATATTCATTTTTTTGCCTTATTGTTATACTTTTATATGGGTACTTTTTAGTGTATGATACTCAGCTAATTGCTGGAGGAAGATACCGAGAATTAACATATGATGATTATGTTATTGGGGCTGTACTTTTGTATACTGATATCATCATACTGTTTCTCTATATTCTTTCTGCATCAGGAAAAAAGAATTAAAATTAAATATAGCTTTCTGTTATTAAAGATATAAAAAGTTTAATATTTCAGAGCAATTTTCAAAATAAATCCTAGTAAACCTTATATTTCAAAACTATTTTATCATCATTTATAAGTTTTATTATTTGCAGTATTTTTGAGGATATAAATTGACATGCTAATCTATTTGTTAAAATAATATATTAAATTATACAAAATTCGTATAATTTTATATAATGTATCGTTTTCAAATTAGAAATTTATTATCCTACTTATGTCTTATAATAATTATGGAAGATCAAAAGAAAACGCTTGAAGAGAAAAACCAAGAAATCTTAATGATGGTAAACAGCCATAAAGAAGAACAAGAAGCTAAAAGATTGAGGATCTCTAAAGCCAAAGAAAAAAAATTAGAAGAGTATTTAATGCGAATTCATGAGAAAAGAGCCAAAATCGAAAAAATGAAAGAGCTGGAAAAGAAAAGAGAAGAAAACATTTGGAAGAGAGAAAAAGAAAGAACAAGAGAAGAGCACGAAAGATGGAAAGAGCTTAAAAGATAACTCAAATGTTCTTGATAAAATTATCTCTAGCTTAAACTCGACCAAAATAAATTAAGAATCAATAAAAGCAAAAAACGTTAACTACTTACAATTTATTGAGGCAAGCTTTTATAAAAGCACGTAAGTTTGGCCTCTAAGTCGTCTAAGGACATCTCAAAACTGTTTTTACAAAGAGCTTGTATATTCGGTGACTTTAATAATTTTTCTTTAGATATGATTGATAATACACTTCTCGATGAATTTTCGTCAAAATTTTCTTTATCTTCTTTTAAGGTATCTAAAAACTCCCTGCTTGTTTTGCACCTTTTTGACGTTTGTCCTGAAAATGAGCTTTCTAGACTCATGGCTTTATTATGTGCTGCAGGCTTTGGGATAGGCTTTATGTATCCATTTCTATCAGATTTTAGGTTTTCATTGACTTTTTTAGTTAAAATTTCTTTGAGATTTAGCTTTAGGCTTGGTTTTGACTCTTGGGAAGTGCTTCTGACGGTTTGTAAGGTCTTAGGTTTTTGTTTAAAGCTTTGGGATACTGATAATTTTTGTATACGGGGATATGAAGGAATTGCTGTTGGATGGGGATGATTACTGTTAGTCTGAGATAAATTAGAATGAAATGATGATTGAGCTTTTGGAAGCTTATCAAGCATGGATTTGGATGCGATGTGGCCAATTTTTGAATTAAATCGAGAAACTACTTGTTTTGCTTTGGCGTTAAAATTTTCTTGGGATGGTTTTTTCAGTCTAGATTCCATTTTACATTTAAGTTAAAAATTCATCCTGAGTACCAGATATTTAATCGCAAACTATAATCAAAATTTCTCTTTTAATAATTTTCACCCCAATGCTTTAAATGTACAATTTTATTACTTTTAAAGCAGCAAATCATATGGCTAATCGCCTTATAAGATATTTATTAAATACTGTCCAAAATTTAAGTCAATATATTTAAAAATATATTGTTTAAATATTTTTATATTCCATTTTGATATTCGTTATTATGCTTTATTTGCTTTTCCTGACTTTCAACCTTGGGCTTGCACAACATCCAAAAATAACCTTAGATGGCCCATCCGCAACCGTTTATTTCCTTGGAGACTATGACTACTCAGTAGTCAACAGTCAAAATTTTACAATTGAAGACAGCTCTAATAACAATTTACTCACAATTACTCAATCAGATTCTTGCAATATCACTGCAAACCGCCGCATTGTGGTTCATGGAGATTTATTGGCATCTAATGCCCCTATCAAAATCCAAAATTACGACCAATGGCAGCTTGTAGCTCTTGAAGATTTCCAAGGCCAACTATCAGGATGGTCTGATTCCTCAGTCAGCAATTGTGGATCAAGCCCAAATATCTTCCTTGGTGGCCATTGCAAGTATTCTGACGTTTCTGTATCCAAGACCTTTACAATTCCTTCCCACAGTTATATCAAGGTCTCATTTAACGTGAACTTTTTAGACAGATGGGAAGGCGAAAGTGTATATATGAAATTAGACAGCAATATCGTCTGAAATGAAAGCTACCAAGCTTGCAATAACTTACATAGCACATTATGCCAATATAAAGGAATAGACTCATGTGGAGACGACTATCCTGACAGGATTGGGCATCCTGTTACTTATTCAGGAGTTCACAGTGCCGACTCAGTAACCCTAGAATTTTCGTCAACTTTGGATAGAGACTCATGCGAAGTCAGCTGGGGAATTGATGATTTAGAAATTTATATATGCCTTATTCAATTAATGTCCTTATTTTTAAATCAATAATAGCCGTATTGATATTCAAACAAAATAGTTTAAGATAAATTTATTTTATTGATAAAACACTGGCTTTTTCAATAGCGTCTTTTTCTTCTTTAGCTTGGGCAAGAATTTTTTCAAGAACTGAGCAGCGCTCTAAAAGGACAGCTTTTTCGTGCCGAAAATAGTTTTCTATATCTGAAGTCAAAACGCCTTGTATCATATCTTCGTTAAGGATTTTTAAGGTTTGAAGCTCATTTAAGAGCATTTCTTGCTGAGAAGCAGAACCTTTGTCTACATAACAGATTGACTCAGTAAGAGAAGTTTTATATCTCTTTATTAAACGGTCATAAATTACCATCTGGCTTTGCAGCTGGTCATTTCCTAGCTGATATAAGTCATGAGCAGGGATATCACAAGGTGATATTGGAATGCTATTTACCTGCAAATATAAATCTTTTATAGCCTCTAAATAAAAGCCAAATGATTTTTCCACTGAAATAATCAATGTTAGCCCAGGCGCTAAAATGGTTAAATATCGATTATTTGTGAACGGTTCTAGTCTCTGTGGGTCTTCTGTGCCTTCTAAAGCGCTTGTAATGTCTGAGGTTTTTAAAACAGCTTTTTTGTTGCTGAATAAACTGATAGGCTTCCATATTAATTGTGAACAATCTTGGTTCAGCGTAATTAGACGTTTTTTGTAGACACCATCTTCATAAGGTCTTCTAGGTGTTAAATTTAAGTCATCTGCAAGCTCTGGGTTTGCGATGGTAAGTAAATATCCATGGAACCCTTTTCTTAATAAATCTATTCTTGGGTCTTCTTCTTTATCTTTTTTTTCTCTTCTGTATAGCTCTTTTTCTAGTACAGCATTTTTTTCTATCGCTGCGTCTAGGTCTGCTTTATAAATGGACCCTTCTTTGACATATTTATTTTTTTCCTGTGTTATTTCATGGATTTTATTTGTAAGCTCTTCTTTTTGCTTTTTTTCTCTTGCTATATCTCTATTCAGCTCTTCAATTGAATTCGCCTGTGCGTCAATCTGCTCCTGCTCCACTTCTAGCATTTTTATCCTCTTCCTCAAGCTGCTTACTTTATTTTGCATAATTAAAATATGGCGTCTTCGTCTGGGCATGGCCTCCCGGCCATGCAGCCTCGACTCATATTTTAATTATATCCGGCAAGATTTTGCCATTCAGAGATGGACAGCAATGCTAGGTAAGCAATTCTGGTTGTGTACAGAGCCTAGCCCTAGTCTATTCTCAGGGTGATTTTTTCCTCATGGGAAAGGAGGGCACGGAAGTTAGAAAGGGGAAGCCCAGCAAAGTCCCAAGGACCAATCGGGCAACTCCCTAGCGTGAAACTGGGCGTTGCGTCCCAGGCTACGTGTTTTTCCTTTTTGCCGATAGCCTACCAGAAAATCCATTTTTTGGGTTTTCGGAATGGCAACCCATGTCACAAGCAAGTAGCTCATCCATGAGCCGTAGAAGTCGGCAACACTTGCCAGGAGGCGCACCTTGGTGAACGAAGCGGACCTGCCCAGAGGTCTGTGGGCCCGATGCGGCGAGAGGCGAGCGGAAGGCCTGGGATTTGCTAACCCCGTGAGTGGACGTTAAGCATGTGTATACGTATTAAGTAAGTAAGTAAGTAAGCTTACTTTATTTTGCAATTTTTTGGGGTCATTTTCTTCATTTTGCCTCAAAATTTCTTGCTTGGATTCCCAAATCTTGGTTTGGTTGTTTTGGATGATTTCATCTAAAACTATTGGCAAATCTTCAATTGAGATTTGTTTTCCTGTTTGTTGCTGTAAGAGCTCACGGACTTCTTCAAGGATTTCTTTATGGTGTTTAGTCTGATTGGTCTTAGCAAACAGTTCTCTGGATCCTGTCACAGGCATTTCATAGTTGTAGTCGCCGAGTACACTGGGAGGGACAGTTCTTCTTTTCATAAGCCAAGGAGAGCCATCATTTTCATCAGCTGCAATTGGGGTAGAGCTGGAGATATTGGTTTTGTTAACAATGATTTCCGTTAATGCTTCAATTCATTTTTCTCTAATTTCGTAGCTTTCAACTGTAAATTTGATTTCTTTGTTTTTTGTTTCTATAAATAAAATGGCATTCGGTTCGAGAGAAATTAGCTCTGCTAATTTTCTCTCCCTCATGGAATTTTATTTATAGGGTTAGGTTTTCACTCGAAGACTTCTGGACAGCAATAGCGGTTTAACTCTGGGGATAACCAGAGGAACCACTCCTCAGTCACTCAAGATTTCGGGCTTTTACCTCTCAGCACATCCCCACGGGAGGATGACCCTTAGGCGGAGCACGCGCAGGAGCTCAGTCGAGCGATAAGGGCGACAGCAACGCGCCAGGTGAGACGTGCAGCAAGGCTGGTGAAGCAGGAGTTGATAGAAGGCTTGGACGGGGCTGACCTGTGCCAAGATGGCTCGCCTACGTCATCAGTTTTGCCATAGGCCCTTTTGGGCTGCGGCACTAGACACCTTAAACACCAGATAATTAAGTAAGTAAGTAAGTTTTTTGTTTCTAAAATAAACCCATATTCGCTGTTTCCAGCCTTAGATTGGTCAAATCTTCTGACTCCGAAAAGTCGATCAATTTCGATTTTTTGATAAAAATTTCGGGCTTTTGCACTTTTACTCCATCTTATTTCTTTGGTTTCTGAGCTTACCCAGAAGAAGCGGGACTGGCTGTCGCTTTCTAGGCTGAGTTTGACTACTTGGCTTCCTTCTTTCACAAAATCCTGCAAGTCAGGTCGCATTTAAAAATATCGTTATAAATAATAATCCATTTTTCGCTTGATTTTGGAATGAATAAAGACTACCCTTTAGGATTGCTTTAGGATATGCAAATTGAGACGATAATTTAGGAAAACTTATTTAATAATTGATAATATTCATAAGTATGTAAGATGCTTATACAATTAGAAATAATTAAAGCAAATAAATAATAAAATTTAACTTAAATCTTAATGTCTATGAAATGGAATATATTAATGTAATAATTAATTTTCTATTAGCAAATTGTCAATAAAAAATGAATGTTTAGATATATAAAGATTCAGCATGATGCATAAATAGCTAAATATAGATAACATTAAAAGTTGAACTCTTTTCTATTGCTATAAAATTCAGAAATATAAGCTGCTTGTTAAATAAAATAATCAAAAGCAGAGAAATTAAATAATAACTTTTTTAATTAAAAAGATTTCAAAATTAACAATAAAGCCTAACTAATGGAAAATGCATTAGTTTCCGAAGTAAATATAATAGCAAGAGAATATTCCCCATCACGAACAAACAAAACTAAATGACGAGCTTTTAGAAAACCTGCAATGTCTCCACCTACTTATAAAATTGATTACCAGCCGACAAATGGAGATGACATGATAGCACTTATTTTTCAAAAACAGTTAAACATAATTGATGGCTATTTATTTAGCCAGCTCTATAAGCGGCTAATGCTGAAGAGAAACGAAAATTTATTCAAGTCTTTTTTGAATTTTTGAAACCTCATCAATCCAAATAAGATGCCTGGAATATCCAGAAAAGTTTATATTAGTTTATATGAAATCATATATCTTGAGATATAGAACTTTCTCTTCAATAGCGCGATAAGGCGTGCTTCCTGGTTCGACTAAAAGGTCTTTGGACCATGAAAATCTGATGTTCCTTCTTTGTAAGAGAGTCATACAGTGAAAATAAAGAGTTCTGGCTGATCAATCTCGAGAACTTAAAGAGAGGCTATTTGCAAATTTACACTTTTGTTTCGTCAAATGGATCTGGCGAGCCAATTCTGGCTGGTACTTGAAATTATAAATGATAGTTGCCAGAATTTTATTAATTTTCTGATGGCAAGTATGATCAGAATTTTAATAAATAGCACAGGATAAGACAACCCACTTAAAAAATATTGTTAAAATTAAAGTCCCATTTTATAAAATATATAATAAATTTTAAAAAATTATTATTTTATTTTTTAAAAATATTTTTTATAAAAACTTTATTTATATTGATATAATTATTTTAAAATTTTTATTTTTTAACATTTGAAAGAAATTTAAAAATATTATAAGAAGAAAATTTTAATAACATTAGTAAAGTTCGTAAAGAGCAACAAGCGCTTAGCATAAACTTTGGCTTTTATAAAGCAGTTGATCATAATTAAATTGGCATCATTTATTAAGAAATCTATCCTTCCGCAAAAACACAACTCGATCAACAAGTTTTTAATTATTAACTCCATTTTAATTTTCTAACGAAAACCATATGAGTCATTAGTAAGTTCGTAAAGAGCAACAAGCGCTTAGCATAAACTTTGGCTTTTATAAAGCAGTTGATCATAATTAAATTGGCATCATTTATTTAGAAATCTATCCTTCCGCAAAAACACAACTCGATCAACAAGTTTTTAATTATTAACTCCATTTTAATTTTCTAACGAAAACTATATGAGTAATTAGTAAGTTCGTAAAGAGCAACAAGCGCTTAGCATAAACTTTGGCTTTTATAAAGCAGTTGATCATAATTAAATTGGCATCATTGGTTTAGAAATCTATCCTTCCGCAAAAACACAACTCGATCAACAAGTTTTTAATTATTAACTCCATTTTAATTTTCTAACTAAAACAATATGAGTCATTAGTAATTTCGTAAAGAACAACAAGCGCTTAGCACAAACTTTGGCTTTTATAAAGCAGTTATAATTATTAACAAAGGAATTATTAGATCGGTTTGAAAGGAATAAGTTGTCTGATCTTGTGCCATTTATTAAAATTCTGATCATACTCACCATCAAAAAATTAATAAAATTCTGGCAACTACCATTTTTTATTTCAAGTACTGGCCAGAATTGGCTCGTCAGATTCATTTGACGAACCAAAATGTAAATTTTTCACACAGCCTCTCTTCAAGTTCTCGAGATTGATCAGGCAGAATTCTTTATTTAGGCTGTTTTTCTCCCCCATGAATAAAGAATAGCAAGTTTTCATATGTTTAAGATCATCCGGTAAAACCTAGGAATGCGCCTTATCGCGCTATTGAAAAGAAACTTCTATATTAAATGCTTCCACAGAAGAAATCTCAGCTAAATCAATGGCGGTGACTGATATGAAAATTGATTTTGGAGACTCAGAATGTCTAGGACTAGCTGATTTTTATGATGGATTATTCGAATGCTTAGATACTTTTACGCGAAGTTGCTTATCAGTAGAATATGTCCGTCTTATGAAAACAATACATGGAAGTTTAATTAAATCCCAATGATTCAGTCAAATTCATCTCACTGGAAAATTACATTACAGAGAAGGCATCAAGCCTCAATACTCACATTGGATGATCCAGTACTTAAAACCTGAAGAAATCCCATACCAAGCCTTAAACATTCCTTCAATGTTTAAAGCTCCATTTGGGAACATAAAAGTCTCTGAAAGGCTTTTAAAAGGAAATCTTTACAGGAGAGAAAAATCCAGCGACATTTTATCGAAAAAAATCGATATGCTGATAAATTCAAAAGAAAAAAGAAGCTTAAGAAGCTCTTGCAAGCCAAGAACTTCAGGTTATATTTCTTTTGGAAGCTCAGGACTGAGACAGAAAAAAAGAAGGTCAAGTAGTATGGAAACTGACCATTTAGACATCGTAAGCCCTTTGTCTATTGCTATTAAGAAATCTAGAAGAAACAGCTGCTTGCTAGAAGAAATTATTGAAGGCAGAAAAAATTATTTTAGAAGAGTTTCAAGTCATTCACAGTTAAATGATTAATTTTCGTTTGCATAAATATAAATATATGCAGCCATTATTAAAATCAGTCTGCTATTTCATAAATAAGATTATTTTATATATTGATTATTGATGAGAGTAGATACAAAAGAATAAAAAACAATTAAATTCTTCTTTTATATTTGTCCTTTTACCTAAATTATTAATTTATCATAAGTATACCAAAAAAGTATCTTACTCCCCCCCTCCGTGAGTGAACAAAACCATTAGAAAAATCCCTATTTTTGCCCGAAAACCCACCCTCTGTGAGTGAACAAAAATTTTTTTAATAGAAAAATTTTTTTATGGAAAAAATTTTTGATATATAAATGATAATTAGTATAATGAAATCTAGAGCTAATTCTGTTTAATTTCAAACGAATTGCTTTTTAAAGCATAAATTTTATAAATTAAATTAATATTTGTTTTCCAATTTTTGCGAATTAGATTTTTTTTAATTTCGAAAAAAATATTTTTTATAAAATTTATATATAAATTTTTTTTAAAAAAAAAAAATAACCCCCTCCGTGAGTGAACAAAATTTTTTTTGTTCACTCACGGAGGGGGGAGGAGTTAGATGCGCTAATAGGGACTTATTAGGCCATTTTAATAAAACCAGGTTTTTACAAGCATTTTTATTATTTTATAAAGGTCAATAAATAGAAATTAATAATGAAGCTTCATATTTTAGATCACTCCACATATAAATGGAATTCTTCTCATTTTTATCTGATAACTCCACATTTGCTTATCAAAATCATCCACATTAACTCCTCCTCACATAATAAAACCTCGCCGATATACAAAAATCAACCCTTTTATCTCTTTTTTAACCTGAGCAATACCTAATAATTTACATGGAAATGGTTTCAGACTTCGATCAATTGTTAGGTGAAGCATCAGAAGCATTCGGGTCTTTAGACACCCAGAAGGTAACTCAGATTTTAAATCGTCCAGTGCCTCTACGTCCATCTCTTACCCTTCTAAAGGAACTTCCATCACTAAAACCTTTACTTCCCCCTTCAAATCTGAACAAAAATCCTATTCCAATTTTAAAGGGGGGTTAAAAAATTGTATTTAAATTTTTCTATATAATTTTTTAAAAAATCTTAAAAAAATATAAATTAAGTGCAATGCTCTGAACTTTAATTGATTTTTATAAATAATTAAATAAAAAATTAATCGATTCTTTTGAATTTCTATTAAATCTAATTTTATAAAAATTAGTATTTTTCATCGATACTTTTTGCTTTTGAAAAACAAATTTTGCTTCAATTTAAAAGGGGATTTAAGTACCCAAAAAATGCAAATTTTACCGATGTTTTTTTTGTTCAATTGAAAAGGGGGAGTTAGTAGATCAACTTCGCTCAATAGGCCCGAAGTCGAAATTTATTTTAGAAAACCCTTCAAGCGACGAAGAATCGGACGATGACTCTTGCTTTCCTTCAGTAAAGCATGTTGTGACAGGAATTCTAGATACAATTAATACTTCGATCACAGTATTTCCACACACAGACCCAATATGATCTTAGTTCATATCACCCACCAGCCTTGATTTTTTTCAATCTGGACCCTTGACTTAGCGCTTGACACGTCGCTTCTGCTTTATCCAAATTCACCAGTTCTCTACTAAGAACCAATTGTGTGGATTTTTACCCAACCACCTGCACATCGCCAGTTCACTGTGCTGTCGCTTATATCAAAACAATTGAAGCCGGTAATTGAAATGTAGCACAAAGCCTGTACACGAAGCTGCAAAAAGAAGAAGAAAAAGGGACCTTGGCCGCAATCCTGCATCGAATCCCTGGAGTTGAGCTAAATGTTAGCATAAGATGGCTGAACTACAAAGTATTTGACCCCAGCAATGACTGAACTGCTTTAATTCTCCGTGGAATTTCCAAACACATGAACATCGAAATAATCAAGTGAAAACTAGGCGACTTATCAGTCAGAATTGAGCCTCTCAGAGAAATCAATAGTGCGCTCTGTACAATTGTTGTAGTAAAAAACCTAGAAGACGCTGAAAAAATCATGAGGAATTATGATAATTATAATATCGGAGGGAAAGTGGATATACACCCTTATTCATCCCTGTTTAAAAGGCCGGATTTGTTAGCGCCAGCTTTATTTAGATGCAAATCTGAGCCAAAAATAGAGAAAAGGTTTAAAGGGCTGGAAAGTGTGGATACACAGGAAGAGGAAGAAAGGGAAGAAGTTTTGGAGGATGGAGAGATCAGTGATGAAGAAATGAAGGGAGGACTGGAAATACACTCGTTTTTTGAGTTTCCAGGAGTTTATTTTACAGGAGAAGGGAGCGAAATGAAGCACTCTGGGGTGATGGTGAAGACTGTTAAACAAAATGTGGAAAAAAATGAGTAGGAGTAATGCTGTATAAGCAAATTAAATTAGAAGAATAGGAGCTCTTTATGATTTAACATTCATAAAGGTAAATATGATATTCATTTATTTGAAAAATTAGAAAATTTAAAAGCTTCTGACTCCCCCTCCATCATTTATCGAACGGCTCGCTATCGTTCGATTAAGGATGGGGTTAAAAAAAAAATTATATATAAAATAAAAAATATATGTTTTTATATACTTTTAAATAATAGGGTTAAGAATATTTAATAAATTATTTTTTACAGCAAGAAATTGAATTAATTTCATAAGAATACCAATTTTTAATATTTTGATATTTTAGTTACCCCTTTAAAACTGTATAAATTTTAATTTGTTCCTTATTAAATTAAAAATTTTTTTTTTTAAATTTTAAAGAATCTCTATTTTTTAGATTATTGAGTTTTTAAGCCCAGGTTGATGACTGAAGCACTTCGGATGGTTGATTCCGTAGCTTCTAAGACAAAAATATTTCTACAGTGAAATACTCAAATAGGGTGTAAAAATTCAATAAAATAATTAAATATAGTGAGAATTAACCTAAATATTATAGTAGTTTAGGCTGAGTTTCCTACATGCTATTTTGATTATTTGGTTGGGCTACTACTGGCTGAAATAATCCAGGTTGGCCATTGGCCCCATATTGTTGGTTTTGTACTATTCCCTGAGGTCCAGAAGGTTGGTAAGGATATGAGACCGGATACTGCATTGGCTGTCCTTGTCCTTGACCTCCTGGTATTGGCTGACCTACTATAATTGCCTGTCCTCCTGCCTGAGGTGGCTGATTTTGATACATCTGTGGTTGGCTAACAGTAGCATTCACCACAATTTCTCTTCCCCCTGCATTACTATTTTTCATGTTTATTCTATGTCTTATGCACGTAACCAGTACTATAACTGCAATAATAAGTGCAACTCCTCCAATGGTGCATACAATTACAGCAATCTTCCACCCAGCAATTGATGACGACGACGATGACGATGATGATGAGCTTGGAGCTTTTATAGCAAAGCCTATTCTTTTTCCATCCATATCATAGTTAATATAATATTGCCTTATGAAAATATGCCTAATTATGTGATTAGCCCTTTGGAATTATTTCTTAATCTATAATTATTAATAGAGGAATGACAGAGTTTTCAATTAATTAAATATATCTCCTAAGAGCCAAAAGTCTAAACTTGATGAGCCTCCAATCTCTACAACGCAGTAGCCTTTATACTCTTCTACCATATACTTATCAGCAGTAACTTCAAAGTCTATGTTATCCAATTCAAATGTAATTGAAGGTAAGCTGCTGATATGATTGCAGGAGCAGACAACGCCAATATTCGTATTATAGCAATTGTAGTCCTTTATTAGCATATATAAGAAATCATTAACGTCATTTAAAGGGCCATATATAAGGCTTGTTCCTGTATCAATAACTGCAGTCGTAGAAGAGCTTATTTTGGTTCCAGCCGCTTTTACAGAGTCGCAGTCAACTTCCCAATAGCCTCTGTTGACAGCTAGGTTAGGCTAGGTTATTAAAGTCTGGTGTTAGCCATATTCGTGATGCAGTCATCAAAAACCTAACGTACGGGAGATTCTCCGCTTTTCGACTCCAGTCCAGAGGGTCTTTCCCCCGAATGTGATGCCACTTCTGGTACCTTCTGTTTCCTCCTTGCCTTGCGGCTTCAGTCTTGATTGGCGTTATTGATTTCTGCTGCTACGGACGATTGGAGTAGCTTGATTCAAAGAATCAATCTCTTGGAGTTTCGGGTGCCTTCCTTCGACAGCTACAGGAAAGAGACTACTCCCCTTTGGCCTGGGCCGAAACCCCCAATTTTTAAGTAGAGGAATGCCTATGGTCCTCGGATCGAAAAGGACGTGTTGAGAACCTCCATTTCCAACCACAGGAAAGCGGCCAAAACCTACTCAGGCGTCTGCACTTGATTCTTGACTCTGAGTTCGTTCAGTTTGCCGTGATTATAAGGTCTGGACTGTTGCGCTTATGGCAGGTTGGCACGTGTCGCCATTTTAATGTATATTTCTGCTGCTAGCTAATGGAATATAATGAAATTCAGTAACCGTTGAGTATTTTGCTAAATCGTACCCATCAATCATTATATTTGAAGCCAACGATTCGCTGCTGGCACCCCAATCGTTATCCCCAAGGAATATTGCGAATTGGCGCTTAGAAATTAATCCTTGGGCTTTTAGGGTTGTCATAAGTGATGGGTATCCATCGCTTAGTACGTCAAACCCTAAACCTACAAGTCCATCAGGAATATATCCACTTGCATCAGTTTCTGCATAAACTGAAATAAAATACTGACCTGTAACTTTTGTCCCGTCCTCTAAACCAATTGTCTCAGTGCTTATATACCCTGTCGAAGACCCTTTCAAATAAGTCAATGAAGTGTAGGTTGTCGTGTTGTAATATGTTGAGGATTTCGAAGGATCATAATAAGTTTCTGGCGTCCCACAAGTAGTGCAGCCTTTTTGTGGCACCCAAATTCATGTACTTCCTGTGTCAAGAAGACATGTTAAGGTTTGAGCTGGTGTCCCAAATGTGAAACTTGCATAATATTGGAGCTAAATGTGGGTTACATTTTTATAGTTAGTGATATCAGATGATGCCGACAGAAATCTTTTGGAATTTGCATACCGCTTGAAGCGTTTTTCAAGGGCTTCTTCCTTGGATTTGTAAATTGAGTGGAGATTGAGAGAAATAGTAGCTGATGCTAGGGAGATGCAAAGAAAAATGAAATTCATTTTTATGATATAATGGGAGTAAGATTAAAAATTATGAATAGGAAAGGAGTTATAAAATAAAAAGAAGCAGGTGCAGGCTATTTCCGGAGTTTTATTATGCTAATTGAGTTGATAAGGATTTATAGTTTATATAATAGATGGGATATTTTGTGTTATTTGAATTTTGGATTTTAAAAAAATAAACACAATTTTCTAGGAAAATATTATATTTCAGGTATCTCTATTTTTATAAAAAAATCTCAATAAGCCAGAAGTGTAATTTGCAGTCTGGTTTCTAATTAAAACTTTAAAAAATTATAACCAATTTTTTTTTAATTTAAATTATTTAGTTTACTTTTTTGTGAATTTAGAAGTAAAATAATAATTGCAAAGCAGCCAATAATATAAAATTTGTTAGCAAATTGACGGTTCCGCTTTTAGTACTTAGCCTTGACAAAGAATTATCATATTTTAGCTCTAAAACTGTTTTTCCTGAAGTTTTATGCATAGCAGTTTTCCCATTCATGCTTAAAGGTCCACTCGCATAAATAAAATCATATTTTCCACCAATAACAAGTTCAATGTCCCCTTTGAGTTTAGTATTTAAATTTCTAGTCCAAGTAAACTCAGTCACCCCTTCTAAAATTACAGACCCAGTCAAAATAAACCCTGATTCTTTATCAACAGGAGGATATGTGTCTCCTGCAGAAGTCCTTGATTCAATCAACCCAGAATCAAAACTAACAGTTACAAGGTCTGCATCATTCATGCCTAGATCGCTTCCCAAAGTCTGAATTCCTATCCCATACCATTCCCAGTCACTCTGTCCTATTTTTGAATTTGGTACAAATAATGAAAATTTCACAGTCTGGTTTGTTGGAAAAAGTCACCCAAATTCTACTTTTTCCGGTAGCGAAATTGTCGTCAAAGCATTACTGCTTACAGCTAATGCCGCAATAACCAATATTTTAAACATTTAAATTATGAAGATTTTTCCTTTTTTAAATCCATATCTTTAATTATGGATAAGCTTATAATTTATCATCAAATTCTAAAAACTTTAAAACATCCACATCAGCCTCCTGAGGCTAAGTACTCAACAGAGGGTGTAGGGGAAACAGAATAGGTCCTGTTTGCACAGCAACTGAAATGGATTGCCTCTTTTTGAGTTTCCACGTCCCAAATTTGGATTTTACACTTCTCGCTCACCGAAATGATGTGTTTTCCAGATGCTGTAAAAGTGGCGAACTCAACCCTTCTCAGAGATCCGCTTTTTCCAAATTTTTTTTCTTCGAATCCATTTTCAGCATTTATCAAAGAAATTCCATGACGGTTTATTATTGCTAAATAGCTCCCACAAGGAGAAAAAGAAATGAGCTCAAGTCAGCTTTGTTTTTCATCAAATTGCTTTGTAAATGTTTGAGCTTCTAGGCTCCATATTTTGATTTTGCTCATCTCACAAGCTAAAGCTAAAAATTTTCCACAAGGAGAAAAGGACAAAGAGTCGATTTCTTCATTTGGACCATAATTTTCAATGAACTCTTGGGCTTCCATGTCATAAAATTTAATGCGGGTGCTTTGTCCACCAAATGCTAAGTACCTTCCACAAGGAGAAAAACATAGGCCAATTTTATTGTTATGAAAATGGCTTTTTTCTTTGACTTTCTCATCGTTAAGAATGATAGAGCTTCCTGTATGAAGATCCCAAAGCTTAATCATTTCATTACAAAACCCACATGCCATATGAGTTTCTAACGGAGAAAAAGCAATTTTTGATAGTGGACCATTATCTTTTATGACTTTAACAAAAACAAAATACCTTCTTCACATATAAATTGTTCCAGCTTCATCTACAGCTGCAAGAAAACGCCCAGTTTTTGAAAACAGCACATGCTTGATACATTTATGCATTTTAAAGGCAAGTTTCTTGGTATACATGAATCTTTCTATTAAATTATACATTTTGACAGACAAGTTATCGACTCCTACAGCTATAAAATCACCTTGAGGGGATCATGATATCGTTGATGCCATATCTAATCTTCTTGTCTCAGTAAAATGTTTCACTTTGCTTTGCAATGCTAAATCAAAAAGTATTATGGAGTTCCACAACTCCACAGCTAAATACTTCCCATTAGGAGAAAACGACACCTCAGGGGCATCTCATACTTTTGAGCTGATTTCAGTCACTTCTTCTGAAGAAATGTCCAGTAAAATCAATTTCATGCTATGGCCTGACACTGCTAAAAATTTCCCACAAGGCGAAAAAAAGATTTTATTGCCTTTGAAAGGCTTCAAATGGATTTTTTTATGCTCTTTGTATAGGTTAAGATACCAAAGCTTTATGATGCCTTCATTGTTTATAGTTGCTAATATCTTTTCATCATTGGAAAATGCTAGTCTTAGTGTAGTGTCAGGTCTTTCAGATAGGACTATTTTCTGGGAATTTAAATTATCTCATAGAATGACGTGCCAATCTTTGCTGACTGCTGCAAAATATTTTCAGCTGGTGGAATAAGCGATATATACAAAACTTTCACAGAAACCGTTTAGTGTCTTTATATTATTTGTAGCCTCTAAGCTTATAATTTTTACAGCAGAGTCATGGCTGACATAAGCCAAGAATTTCCCACAAGGAGAAAAACTGATAAAATTTCCGTAGTTATTGACCTCAGGAAAATTGTAGTAAATTTTTTGATTGGCAACATCTCATAATTTCAGCTCTTTAGCAGAGTCAGAATAGCTTCCAGTTGCAAGATATTTTCCAGAAGGAGACCATGAAAGAGAATTGATCCTTGATTTATGGCCTACTAAAGGAGGGAGGATACTGAAAAAGGTGTTTTCAAGGTCGCAGTCTTTGAAATTGCAGTCAATTAAATTTGATTGAGAAAAGTTAACATCTGCCAAATCACAGCCTTCAAAGCTTACATTTATTATGCTGAATTATATAATCTGGATACTATTATGCTTGAAGATTAAATATTAACTTAGAAGAGGAAATAATTATTGTTTTATAAACTACTGCATAAAAATTCAATTTAGTACAATATAAATTTGACCAAGACAAATCAGCACCGGCTATTTTACACCTCGAAAAATTTTTATTCCTAAATCTCCCTCCATGAGCAAATAAAATCATTAAAAAATCCCTATTTTTTAGGTTAAAGCCCGCCCTCCGTGAGCGAGCAATATTCTTTAATATAAAAATTGTTTATATGATGAATTCTCTAATTTGTTGAAATTTAAATAATTAGATTTTAAAAAGAAACTTTAAAGATAAATTAATTTTACTTTCCAATTTTTTGCAAATATTTTTTAAATTTCTAAAAAATAAAATAACCGCGCTTTTGCTTGCTTACAGAGGGGAGAAGTAAAACAAAATCCATTGCGATTTAAAAAAGTTATTGCATTGCTTGCTGATTTTTGAGTATTTTCTAGTTTACTTGACACTAAAACAATATTAAATAAAAAATGCTCGTTTTCTTGATTAAGGTATTTCTTTATTCCATTACTAACATGCGAATTTTGAATAAAATTTATTTTGTTAATATAGGAATTGACTAGCCAATTTTCGTTTCGCCATTTATCGACATCCTGGAGGATTTTTTGGGAAATAAAATCATTGATCTCCTGAGGAGTTATCGTGACAAAACAAGAATTTTTCTGATAATTATTTAAGTGTGGTTCCCCATAAGTTCCTCTAATTTCTAAAGAATCAATAAATCGTAATTCTTCCAAATAATTTTTCAGAAGAGAAATCTCCAAGTCTATTGTAAATTTATTTTTCTCCAAATCAGTCACTATTTGCCTGATTTTAAAATAAAAAAGATTAATCTGGTCTGCTTTTAAAAAATGAGTGTTAAGCTCAACTGTTCTGTGATAGTATTCGGAATGTTGTGATTGAAACCCATTAGCTATTCTCGAATAACTAATCGCATTTACCAGATGATTTAGCTGACACCTCATGTTCTGAGTGTGAGCGGATCTATATTTTGATGCAAAAACACTAAAAAGGCTCTGGTTTTTACAATTGTTTGTGAAGCAAAAATAAGAATTCATGGCAGCTAAGTGCTTAATTCTTTTATTAAATTTAGAATTATTTGAAACTCTATAGAGTGAGCTGCGAGAAGTAAAAATGATAATTAATTATAATTAAGGGTTAAAATTGATTAGAATTTAAATAATCGCTGATATGCAACACTTTTAGTTCCATACTAAGCCATATTATGAGTTTTCTCCACTATTAGAAAATAAAATTCTCCCTAAATATGCAAAAACATGATTATAAGCTAACCATATTTAACTCATTATTCGAGCTTTGAAAATTAATAATTAAGCCTGGTTTGGTGCGACTTCTATATCTCTTACATTTTTCTTAGCCCGATTCTTAAAATGGCAGCACACTCAAATGCTAAGACCTCCAAAAATTACTACGCCTATACCTATTACACTAATCATGATAATCCTCCAGTTTATATCAAAATTATCGCTTCCGCCTGAATATTTTGCTCCTGCAAAGCCGATCCTTTTTCCGTCCATATCAAAATTCACATAATATTTTCTAATAAAAATATGACTTTTCCCTATAAATTCCTAATTTTAAATAAAATTAAAATTATTGGACAATATAAGAGAAAAACCTATATCTCCTAAAAGCCAAAAATCTATGTTACTTTCTTCTTGGATGGCTAAAAAGCAGCTGCTTTGATAAGGCATTAAATAGTCATCTGAGGTCAAGGTAAATTCACTCCCATCAAGATCAAATGTAAGATTCGGGTATTGGCTGTGGCATGGGCAGATAATCCCTGAAGTGCTAACATAGCAATTGTAGTTATTCAAAAAATCATACTCAAAGGTAGATACATCGCTACTAGGGCCATAAATTAAGCTAGTCCCTGTATCAATAATAGCAGTTAAATCAGAGCTGAATTTTTGGTTATCAATTTTAACACTATTGCATTTCACTTCTCAATATCCATTATTATTCGCTAATGGGATATAAGTAAAATTATTCCCTGGTGAATATGTAGCTAGGTCATATCCATCAATCATTAAATTTGAGGACAATCCAGGGGATGAGCTTCCTCAATTGTTGTTATTTAGATATACAGAGAACTGTTTGCTAGAAATTTTGCCTTGTTTTTTTAAAGTTGTCATTAAAGATGGCTTATCATCACTAAGCTGGTCGAATCCAAACCCAACGATTCCGTCTGGGATAAATCCTTGGTTATTGGACTCAGAATATACCAAAATAAAAGGCTGGTTATTAGCTGTAATAGCTGCATTGTCACCTATGGCAATATTATCAGAGCTTATATATCCTGTAGTGGTCCCTATTAAATAAGTCAAAGTTTTAATCTCCTGAGTATTTTTATAAGTGGAAGAAGAATTGGGGTCAAATGAACTAGTCGGGATATAGCAATTTTGGCAGTCTTTATTAAGGACCCAAATCCATGTACTGCCGGTATCAAATAGACATTTAAAATTTTGAGGAGGGGTACCGATCGTAATTGCTCCATAATATTGCAGCTACTTAAACATTACATTTTGATAGTTTGTGATTTTCGTAGACGCAGCTGCCAATAGCCTTGATTTTCGTCTATTTTTTATGAGATTCTCTATTAATTCTTCATTAGTTGTGAATTGTGAATGAAGCTCAATAGATATTGATGCAAATGCTATCGGCAATGATAAAAAAATTAAATTCATATAATAGATATGGAAAAATACGGAAAAAAGGATTATTCGATACTAATTGATAAAATCAAAAATTTTGAAAATAAAATTCCCTGGTCAGGATGCTTGCAATATATAATTAGTTATGAATTTACAAAGTGAATTAGTCAATCCACTCCTTCCTGACCCCATCTTCCCAGATTCCTTTACGCTCTTTTCCATAAGCAACATAAATCCCTTCTCCATGCTGTTTCCCAGATTTCCATCCTCCTTTATACATTTTGCCATTTGGCCACTTAAAGGTTCCTTGACCTTCTTTTTTGTCTTGGACAAACTCTCCTTCATAAACTCTTCCGTCACTTCATGATAATTTTCCTTTTCCTTCCATTTTATTAGCTTTTCACTCTCCGTCGTAAACTCTGCCATCTGGCCATTGATAGTTTCCAAGACCAGAAATCTCATTTTCAATGAAATTCCCTTTGTATCGGGCCCCGTCAGCGAAATTGAGGATTCCTTCTCCGTTCTTTTTGCCGCGTGCATAGTATCCTTCATATGTGGCACCTGTAGGCCAGATTTCTTTGCCTTTGCCTTCTTGCTTATCGAATTTCCATTCGCCTTCATATGTGGCTTGATTTGTATGGGTGTATCGGCCATTGCCATGAATCATGTCATTTTCCCATTGGCCTTCGTACATATCGCCTTCTGGGTGAGTTAGTTTCCCAAACCCATGCGCTTTTCCGTTTTTCCATTCCCCTTCATATGTAGTTTTGTCCTTCCATGTTTGCGTTCCATATCCATCTCGCTTCCCATCAAGCATTTGGCCTGTATAAGTGACGTTTTGGTCTATCTGGAAATTTTCGACCCATTCATGATTAGAATCTTCAATTAAAAATAAAGGGATGCTTCTAATAGTCATAATTGGCTTTTTCGCAGGCTCAGGAGCAGGTTTTGGTATACTTCTGAGAGCCTTTCGTGATAAATAGCCTCGGGCAGCAGCTTTTATTTGCAGATTTGTATTAGGCTTTGGAGGCAAACTTCTTTTAGAATACTTTTCTTCATCAGTTGAAGATGGAGAGACTTGAGGTTTTTCTGCAATTTGGTCTATCATCAGCACTTCAGGTGGAGCTTCCTCTTCTTCTGATTGTTTTCTTTTAGTATTTTGAAGATCCATATCGACGTTTGAGTCACAATTGCAGAGTAAAGTTCGACAATTACCCATTTAGATATTAAAAACTGTTTAATTTTCTGGATTTCATATTTTTTTATGTTCATTTTGAGATTCTTCTAGCATAAATTGAGAAAAAATTATGCTTTGAAGCATAAATAATGTAATATAAATAATTCTTTTAATATCCATAAAATGGCTGGTGATAAGAGACCCGTCCTTAAAGCGGCGGGTGTCCTTATGTATATCGGATGTGTTTTTGGTGCAAGGAGCAGCCTAAGGGTTGGGTTAACCTTGGAGCAAGAGGCCCAGCACTATTATGCCTGATTAATGCTTGGCCTAAGTGGCAGTTTTTTGCATTTTTTTGCTAGCAGCGATCAGGCCCGGAACAGGTGTAGTGGCCTCTCTCCCTAATCAGCGCAAGCTTGTTTATTTTTTTCTTCGAGGCTGATCCGGGGAAAAAGGGGAAGATAGGATAGACAAAGGCCTGGAAGGGACGATCTGGCCAGAGCTAAGCAGGGTTGGTTAATCGTGGCTTCGGAGTAGTAAATGGTGTCGCCTGGCAAAATCCGTATGACCCGGATCAAAAGTGTGCCTACTTCAGAGAAGCCTGGGGTTTCAGTCTGGGCATAGAAAATCCACCCACAGCAGTCACTCTTAAACTCATGAATCTCCGGAAGTGGGGACATAAAATTCACTGCCTCTAGTCTGATCTAAATAATTCTTTCAAAAATTAATTTATAGTTTGCAATCAAATTATCTTTAAGTTCCATTCGATTTAGGGTCATACAAATTATCGAATACCTTATCATAATATTGAATTTCTTAATTACCTAATCTTGAACTAAGCATGCATATTATTTCATAATGTATATCGTTAATAACCCTACTTAAATCCCTACATTTTCGCTCTCAAGACTTAATAAAATTTCAGCAACTTGTTCATTTGTTAAATATTCGTATGGCAGTGTGGAGCCAGTCCTAGTCAATTTCAGGATTAGATTTTACCTCTTGGAAAAGGTGAGGGTTGGAACTGGTAAAGGGGAAGCCCAATATTCCTATCATTATCACAAGGCCACTCAGGCAACTCTCTAAACCAGGCTTCAAATTTCCTTTTTTGGCTTTTGCGCATGCAAGGCTCAAGATCTGGAAGAACACCCGTCAAAATCCTAACACGAGAGACCATTCAGACCAATACCGAGTGATGCACAATTCGTGCTGGGGATTCCTAAGCAGGACCAAAGCCGTCTACATGATGTGGCATAAGGCGTTAAAAGATATAAAAATCTTTAATTAATTGATTATCTAGTTAAATATTCACACATTTCTTGTGGAATTTTCCCTCCTCAATCCAGCAGTTCACTCATTTCTTCTTTAACCTGCTTAAGTTCCCCCACAACTTCTTTCAGCTTTGCCTGCTCTTGTGCTAAGTCAGGCTGCAGTTGTTTAATAGACGAAATTTGTTCCGGAGTAAGCTCAGGTACTTCTATATCAGGATTTTGGCACATGACCAATAACAATTTTGCATGGTTTGGGATCATGACATCCAAGACCTCATCAACGAGAAATTGGATATAACGATTTCCCTTATTTTTTCTATATAAAAATTACTTGTATTTATATTGGGTAATTCAAGGGAAAATTTTATATGCTCTTTTCGTTGACTGCAAGACTGAGAAAGCTTTTCTTGTATTGATTCAATTGTATCTTTTATATTTTCCCCATGAATCAAAGCATTCCGGAGCTCATGGTTATTTCCATGAATATTTGGCTTTTTGTACAATTGCTGACGTAGACGGTCTGCTTCTTGTGATAAAGCATTTACTTTTTTTTCTAAAAAGTCTATGTAGTGCTTTTTGCGTTTTCTGCTTTTGCGGGCTGATTCTTTGTTTTTGGCAAGGCGTCTTTGACGTTTTTCTACAGTGTTTTGAATTTCTGGTTCCATTGAAATACTTGAAATTTTATTATGACATTAATGTTAAAACACCTATATAAGATTAAAGTTTTATGGGAAAACGTCTATTTTTTTAATGATTGATTATTTTATAAGGAAAGGAAAATTGTTTATATTTTTTAAACAGTCATAAATTATTAATAAAAGTTAATGAATTTTATGAGTTTTTTCGAGTATTGCAGCAATATTTATTTTGCATACAAGAAGCAATACAAGACTTAATAAAATTATAGAACTGACTCTCTCCAATCCTTGATCAAATGATTCTATATAAAACTTTCCAAAATTTTGAAAATCTACTTTTATCTTTGGTTGATTGATTGCATATACTAAATTTTATAGTAAATTAGTCAATTTTTAGCATTCATTATAATTTATGGAGCAAGTATAGTTTCATTATATTGATGATTAGAGATCAATTAAGTCAACTCAATCTTCGATCTTTTTTCCTTTTAACCTATTATTTAACACAAAACAGCAAAAGCCATACATCTTATTATGTTTATATTTTTTCAACCCACCTTTAATTAAATGGCAGCAGTTTGCTCAATCAAATATTGGGGAAGAGTAAGTAAATTGGGCACAAAAATCCTAAGAAAATCCTATTCTTGCAACAATTATTGTAGAATTCATAAATGGAAACTTTTCAAAAAGAAGAAGAAATTCCCATTTCATGAAATGAAGAATTAGAGCCCTTTACTCGTCTCGCTTATGTTTCTCCAAAATATCTTTCCTTTTACCTAACTCTTGGAATATCAACCTTAGAATCCTTAATAATACAAGGCTCAAGTTCTACCGCACAGAATTGCTGAGATCGTCTGAAAACCCTTAACAGCATACTTAATGATGAAGATAATTTTTTAATTTACCAACAACTAATTGAGCTAATGTCCTCATCTCAGGAAGATGCTAATACTAAGCTTTGCTGGCTTAATGAATATATGCAAAATAATCAAAATAATGCTGCTGAAGGGCTTGCATTTTCTATTAAAGAAATTATTGATTGCTATAGGAGGCAGTATTCTTTAAGTGTGGATAATTCTCAAAACGTCATAATACATGACGCAAGAATTTTACTGCAAAAATTTGCTGAAGATGTTGGCTTATATATAATTGTAGTTAACAATTGGAAAAAAGAGGTATTTTATAGTGATGAATTTGAAGCAGCTCCTGTCATTAATCTTTTCTGTGATAATTTGTGCTGACTCACCCCCCTCTGTGAGTGAACAAAACCATTAGAAAAATCGCTATTTTTTTGCCCAAAAACCCACCCTCCGTAAGTGAACAAAGATTTTTCTAATAGAAAAATTTGTTATGGAAAAAAATTTGATATATAAATGATTATTGGTATAATAAAATCTAGAGCTGTTTCTGTTTAATTTTGTACGAATTGCTTTTTAATACATAAATTTTATAAATTTAAATTAATATTTGCTTTCCAATTTTTGCGAATTAGGATTTTTTTAAATTTTGAAAAAAAAATATTTTTTATAAAATTTATATATATAAATTTTTTTTTAAAACAAAAAATTAACCCCCCTCCGTGAGTGAACAAAATTTTTATGTTCACTCACGGAGGGGGGGAGTGAGGAATCCTTTATCACAAGGATTTTATATCAGAAATCGACACAAATAATATAAACCGGCTCCCTTTTCTGTATATCAAAGAAGCTCCCTGTGCAATTCCGCAATCCCTTGCTCCTGATGATATAACTGATGAAGACTCAAGCGAAAGTGACGCCAAAACTCAATCCTTAAATGAAGCTATTTCTTTGTTATCAGAAATCTACTCACAAGTATTAATTCCAAAAACAACCTCTGCAAAAGTAAAATATTGGCTCAAAAATATTTCTAATGAAATTGATCCATATGAGCTTAAAAATTTCGAAAGAGTTCTAGATGAACAAAAGAATAATGAATTTATTCATATTAAATGCAGCCATGGGAGTGAGAGTAAAAAAAAATACAGTTGTGGAAAGCAGCATTGTTCGGTCTGTTTGAAAAGCTATGTTTTATTGCAAAATTATCTTAGATTGCCTTTAGAAAAATGCTTATGCGGGATTGCTCTGCCATTTAATGAAGTTATAAAGCACCAAGGAAAAGTTTGTGGGGTTTGATTGCTTAATTAAAAGTTATAACGTTTAACGTCCTCGATGGAGCTGGTTCTGAAATTTTATAGGTTTTAAGTCCATAGACCTCTGGGTTGGTCTTCTCGACATTGCTGACTTCGAAGGCTCATGAATGATCCGCTTTCCCATTACTGATTAACGCCATTTGATGACTAAAGTCTACTTTGCTATAGCAGGATGGAAGTGAGTAACCCACAGTCTTTCAGAATCCCTTGGATTTTTCCAGAGAGAAGCTAGCCCCTCCAATTTGCTTCAGTCTTTGCTGGGATAGAATTCCCATTTAAAGCCAAGCCTCATAATCATAAATGCATAGTTTTTGCTATTTTTATGATTATGCTTGCGGGTTTTGCAAAACAATGAAACCAAAAAAGCTGTTTAAAAAAGTTTCATGTTTTTCACATAAAATCTGCCTTGCTTGCAGAGTAAAAAGTCTACGAGAAGGGAATGGATCTTGCCCATTAGGAGACAGAGAGTATTCAAATGATGAGCTTAAATATTTGAATACTCTTTCACGTGATGTTTTAAATTATCCGCTTAATTTGTAATAAAATATAGAGGTTTTGATTTAAAGAGTTAAAATGGCAGCAAGTTAAAATTTTGTTATGAAGTGCATTTCCTTAAAATTGAATAAATAATATAAGACCTTTATTATAACTTCATCGCCTTTAAATCTATAAAGAATGGAAGAGCTATAATATATATGGCTATCCTTATAAAAATATTTTCTAATCCTTCAATATGAGTTTTCTATACAATCCTTGATAAAGTAGTGCTTTTTCTTTTCTTATAAATCCTTATAACTTATAATGTCTCTATGAGCACTATGCAAAGCACAACAATGAAATTCCAGAACATTTCTTGGTAAAATTTCCCTTCAAGACTGGCCGGCTGTCCTTTATTTGAATTAAGATAGATAGATTCCTTTGCTTACCTGAGAGAACAATAGTGGGTATCTATGGCTATTGACTCTATAGATTTATTTTTAAACGCTTTTTCAAAGATCTGGAATATTTTTGTTCATTTCATGATGGTAGCAGTTAGAAAACTGAATATAACCCTTTTCTTTAAATTTTTTTCAAAGTAATAACTAATGTAGGCTTTTCATAATCAAATTGAATCTTTAAGAAAATCTATAGTCATCGCATGGTGATGATGTCGTTTAATGTCAGAATGATGATAAATTTTATGGCTTTCTTCTATACCCTAAATTAAATTATGTTTAAAAAGTGTTTTTTTAAGCTCTCTTAGTCATCTTTTTTGCCAAGAATAGGCTTGGAATCCCTTAATATATTTACCAAAGCTATTTTATATCTATCAGCTAAGTAATTGTAAACTAATTAAATTATTGGAGTCTAAAATCTTTAATGAATTAAAGAAAACCTATCTTCCTTAAAATAAATATACAAAATAAGTTTTAAGAAAAGTAAAGGATTTCTTAATTATTCACATAAAGATGCACAATATAGAAACTATAATTTTCAGTCTTCTGTCTTAGATTCCAGTTTTTAAGACTTTTATCTGTTTTTTCTTTTTCATGTATCCAGCCATTATATTTAATTTGTTCTGATTAGGAATATAATCACTGCCAAAATTATTTATATATTGCTTAAAGATGCCTAGAATCATGCCGAAATCAATGGAGAGTCATGAGAAATGGCAGTTTTATATAAACCTGAACTATAGGGATTGAAATGAATAGACAATAATATTCATAAAATAGGCTTTTATTTATAAAACTAAGAATATATTATTTGGGTTAGCTAAAATAAAAAGATTATTACGGGTTTTTAAAATTTTCCGAAAATCGAGTTTTGTCATGAAATCTAATAAATTTCTTAATTTCTTATAACAATTGATGGAATTATTTTTACCATTTTCGAATCAATGGCATTTCTTAAACAGATAAAATGCTTAAACCTCCAGTGCTCGATGGAGAAATAAAATTATATGATGAGTCATCATTTATCGTCCCAGAGGTAGATAAAAGCAAAGAAGAAAAGGAAGACCTAAGCGAAATGCTAAGAAATGAATACAATATAACAGAATCTCTAGTTAGCAGAGACTATATAAGCCACTTGGTTTCTCAGCAGCAAAAGAGCACTCAAAATTCAGAGACAAAAAACCTTATCAAAATACTCAATAAAATCACAGAAGAAAATAGCAAAAAAGAGGTTCAATTACGAAACCTATCAGGTTTAGTCTCAGAATTAAGTAAAAAGAAAGAAGAAGAGCTAAGCGCGGATTACTATTTAGAAAAAATTGAAAAAATTAAAACTAATATATAAATATTTGCCTTAAATAGTCCTTTTATAGTTTTTTTAAACTATAAATATAATGAAATTCTGCATTTTAGTCTATTTCAGGCAAAACCCTATAATAAGAACAGATGAGGAATGTGAGGAAGAAGAATTTGAGACTGAAAGGTTAAAAGCGAAACTGGTGATAAAAACAAAAGAAATGACTGATAACAAAAAATTGTCACTTGAAGCTGCAGAAGCTTTAAAGAGACTTATCGTTAAATTCGACGATATAAAAAATACACGATTTGTAGCTCAACTCGATTTCGCAAGTGCTAAAGGTGAAGTACTTCAATGCAAAAAAGATGGTGAAAATATGAAGGTTTCATATCAAAGGGCCTATGACTTGATGCTAACGCCTACTTACCCAAGTAAAATCATTAAAAAAATCCCTATTTTTTGTAAAAAAAAACTCAGTCTCTGTGCTTATAGTGGTAACTATTATAATAAAAATCCTATTGATTTTTAACAGCTTGAATTTTAATTATAAATTTTAAAATTATCAATTATTGGAATTGGAATATTTTAAAAAAATAAATTAACTTCTTCCATGAGTGAGTGAGTAAGAAAAAAAGAAAAAATCGAGCAGAATTACCAAAATTTAATTGAACAAATCTCATTTAACAGAATGAAAAATAGAGTTAAATATGAAGAAAAAGCAAATTTACTGCAAAAGCTAGAAAATGGAGAAAAAGAAAGAAAAGACTTGAAAAAAGTAACAAAAATAAATCAAAAAAATTTGAAGACATATGGTGAGAAATTCCGAGCCATAAAAGAAATTTTATCTAAAGAAGGTTTTCAATTTGAATCTATAAATGAAATTAGTGAAGATGATGCACTGAAAATCATTGAAGGGTTTGCAGATTTAAAATCTCGTGAGCTCTCATTATCAACTATGTTTACAGAAATGGCGAGCCAGCACATAATTAATGAAACTTTACGCCAAGAATTGAAAAGCGAGCTATACTTATTGAAGCAAGAAGTTGCAAAAAAAGAGCTCCTTAATAACCCGTTAAGCTATGAAGAAATGAGAGAGTCTTTAAATTGTCCCTCAGTAGATGCTGGATGTAAAGATGCATCCAACGCAGACAATATGATAATGAAAATTTATCATCACGTTATCGAAGATTTAAGCAAAGTCTTAAAAGTCATGGGATTGATCACCAAATATGGGCCAGATATCAGTATAAATGTTAAAGAAATTTATGAGCATATTTCAATAGAGCTGCCAAGTCTAAAAAAAGGCCCTGTAAAGCGAGCTGTAATTCAGCATCAGAAAACCCAAAGTCCTAGTAATAAGCCTTCTTCAAGGGTAAGCTCTCGCCAGTCTCATAGAAGTTTAGTATCGACCCCAAACTCTCGTAGAAGCCAAAAATCAAGCACAAGTTCTCACAGCCGCAATAGTCTAAAAACTTCAAATTCTCGCCGAGCCACGAAATCAAATACAGCACTCCCAAAAGAAGAAGAAAAAATTGAAAACTTTGACCAATTCGCCGCTTATTTGCCTCTTACTAACTTCGAAATTGAAGAAGTTTACTTTAAATTTTTCCCATCCCAAAAAGAAAACTGCAAAAAATTCATTGCATTTGTAAATTCCATCCCAATTATAAGGCATGTATTAAGTGAAGAAAGCCTAGTAAATTATTTACAAAAATTAAAGTATGAAAGAGGTAATGAAGACCCTGAAAAAGACATCTTTATCTTGCTTGAAGAAATGCACGATATTTTCAAAAAACAAGCTTTTTCCCTTTTTTCAATTTTCAAAAAATTTTTTACTGTAATTGAGAGGTCAACTGACATGCTGGTGAGAGAAGTCACGTATTTTTATAAACAAAATTACCCTAAAAAGATTAATTCTTTTTATGAAGACCTTAAAATTAACTTGCCTGGAGGAATGTATAAAGAACCGAGATTCAGCAGACAAACCCAAGGCCAAATGAAGCTTAAGTTTGTGAATCCAGAGGAAAATGATAGGACTCCAAAATTTAAGGTGATAGAGAGGGAATATGTAGTTCCTCAGCCAAATAAGCATGAGGATTCTGCTGATCCGAAAAAAAATCCAGAGATCAAGGCAAAAGGAAATATTAGGAGCTTATCAGGTGGGCTTCCACTTTCTCCATGCTCAATTCAGCGTGAAGAAATTTTTAAGGAAGTCAGAAATATAGATAAAAAATTGGCAAATTTGAAGCTTCATCATCAAAGGAGCCCAACAAATTTGCTAAAACCTACTTCACCAATTGGAAGTGACCAGCTGTTTATGAAGAAAATCTCGAGAATTTCAAGGAAATCTAAACAAAGTGCTCCACAAACCCCACAAGCCTCTCAGAGTCCTCAAACCAGGGACTCTTACAATCAGACTTAGTTAGATTATAGAAAAGCTCCCTGTCGGGATTTGAAGATCCTTATCCCTTCCACAGCACTCCACTTGTCTATGAAGCAGACAAAGGTCTAACGACCTTCAAAGCCTTGCTCCTACCAGAAGTGGGTCTGCACATGCTCCATGGTAGTCAGAAAGTTTGGGTAACCGTGCCGCACGCCAATGGGGTTTGGTTTCTAGAAAATTCGAAAAATAAATTTTCTGGTCACCTGCTGGCCAAGATGAAAATTCGTAGTCTAGGACGCAACTCCTGGTATCGCGCTGGAGAATGTTTCCGATCGACCAGGAGGACCTCATTGGTATAGCTAGGAAACTCCTTACCAACTCCGAATTCAATCCTCCTCCGAGGTAAACCTTGACATGAATGTGAGTCTGCGGTCCACCAACTGGACATTGCGCTCCACCAAATCAAGTAAAACCTGGCCTGATGCACATTACAGATCGCCATGATCTCTTCCACAAGGTCCCTGGGGTTCCCCAGCTACAGGTTTTAGGAGGTTGGGTTGGCTTTCATCACCATTTTATGTATATCCTCAGACCAGAGACTCAAAGCATTCTCAATTTAAATCTGCTCGAAGCTCTCCAATAAATTCTTCAGCAACAACAGCTTTTACAGTGAATGTTTCTTCTATAATTATATAAATAAATTAAATTTTTATCAATTTTATGGGATTATTATGCTTTATTCTCTAACTCTCCCCCCCTCCGTGAGTGAACAAAACCATTAGAAAAATCGGCATTTTTTGCCCAAAAACCCACCCTCCGTGAGTAAACAAAAATTTTTTTAAATAGAAAAATTTTTTATGGAAAAAAATTTTGATATATAAGTGATAATTAGTATAATGAAATCTAGAGCTAATTCTGTTTAATTTTAAACAAATTGCTTTTTAAAAACATAATTTTTATAAATTAAATTAATATTTGCTTTCCAATTTTTGCAAATTAGGATTTTTTTAAATTTCGAAAAAAAAATAATTAACACCCTCCGTGAGTGAACAACATTTTTTTTGTTCACTCACGGAGGGGGGGAGTAAGAATCGTTATTTGGCCATTATCTGCTCTAATATCAAAACCAAAAGACAAGTATATTTCAGAAGGCTAATTAGTTTTATATTTTTAAAGTAAAATGAGCAAAATAATGTAATTTCATTATTTTGATCTGTGGAGACAGAGCTTCCTATAGTAATGCAACAAATTAGCATGAACTCTTTAATTGCTAAGCCTTATTTTAAGAATAGTATTTTATCGGTTTGGTGAATATTAAAATGTCGAGATCTTCATATTCTCTACATTCTATTGTATGCATAGCTAGAGAGAATTAAATATTAAAATTGAAAGCTGGTATCTTATTTATATTAAAAATAATTCTTCAGTCTGATGCAAATGCTCACATTTGCTATTAAGGATTTTAATAATAATTAATGCAAATCCTGGTTAAGACTTTAGTTGGCAAGACTTTAAACTTCACCATCGAGCCTTCAGACTCAATTTTAAGCCTGAAGGAAAAAATTTGCATTGAAGAAAAGGTTGAAATTTTAGCTCAAGTCCTTAAATTCAGGGACGTAGCTTTAGATGATAACCAAACCTTCGGATTTTATAGCATAGAAAGTGATGCAGTTGTGGAGCTATCAGTAATTGGGGAATTAGCTGTCTCAGTAGAATTGCCCTCAGGAGGAATTATATCAATATCATCTAATACTACAGAGACTGTTAAGGAATTGAAGAAAAAATCCAAAAGGCAGTTTGGAGTAAAAATCAGACACCAGCATCTATATTTCAGTGGTAAAGAGTTAAAAGGAGATAGAAAACTGCAAGACTTTGGCTTGTTTCAAGGAAACTTCTTAAAACTAGCAATAGTTGATGATGAAAAGTTAGGGAAAATTCTTAACTCCCTCCGTGAGCGAACAAAAAAATCTTGTTCGCTAGCGGAGGGGGTTTATTTTTTTTTTAAAAAATTTATATAGCAAATATTAATTTAATTTGTAAAATTTTGTTTTAAAACGTAATTTGTTTAAAATTAGACAGAATTACCTAGAGATTTCATTATACTAATTTATCACTTATATATAAAATTTTTTTTCCCAAAAAAAATTTTTGTTCACTCACGGAGGGTGGACTTTTGGTCAAAAAATGCCGATTTTTCTAATGGTTTTGTTCGCTCACGGAGGGGGAGTAAGAAATTATATAAGTGGGACGATGATTTAATTTTCCCAATAAATATTAACGAACTTTTGAAACAATGGGAAAACCAAGCTCAAATTATTTTTGATCAAGCAGGGATTGATTTCGATAAAGAAAGCACTATTTACTCCATTGCAAAATCAAGCACTTTTAGCCTAGCTTATCAGCTGAATCTTGATGCATTAAAATCAAGTTTATTTGGCCAATCCAAAGCTATCTCAAACGATATTTTCAAAACAGCAGAAAATCAGCCTGAAGACCTACCAGGATTTTGCAGCTTTGCCAATAATATTTCTAAAGCCGCCTCTGATTTGCTTTCTAGCTTTCTAGAGCAATACGCCACTACTCCAAATGATGACATAAAAAAAGATATTGACTTTAAAACTATATGAATATACTTAAAATGGAGATGACTTCTGACTAGTCCTCTCGTGCAATAGTAGCCTATTTATATCTGGGTATGGCTTCTGAGAGTTCTTCAGCAAAATCTGGTGTTCTGCGGCGAAGGACTTAAGCACAAATCCGCTGGTTTGTGGCCTTATACAATGGACAGTTACTCATAACTTTTTTCTCAGCAGCACCTGAGCAAGGGGGCGCCCGAAATAGAGCAGGGCGAATTATCTGCAGTCTGCTCCGAATCGTGGAAGCGATTGATTTTAATTCAGGGATGACCTGGGAAAAGAGAGGTACGCTAGACAGTAAGTTGGTCTCTCGTTAAAGGGCTCTAAACAGGAGCAGCACCGGCCAAGGGTGATAGGCAAAGCGGAGTAATTAGGCGATCGAAGGAACCAAGTTGGATATGGTGGTGCCCAGCGAAGGTCTTTAACCCAAGAGCTCAATACACCTACTGATAAACCAGTGGTTCGGCCTGGACTTGGATTTTTCAGACTGAAAGCCACCAAATTCTAATGTGCCATCAGGCTGCTAGCGCCGCAAGAATTCCTCCAGTAATAGTAGAGACTATAAGCATCCAGCATCATCTATTTAATCTAAAACTATATTGAAAGACTTAGACGGGAGAATTAATCGAAGACTAAAAGAAAAATACCCACAATTTGTAAAAGGGATAAAGACAGCAATTATTAATAATCAAGAAATAAAAAATAACGAAAATGTCACAGTTGAGCACCCTAAGCCAATAAAGAGAAAATATAAGAAGCTGAGAGCTGCTAAGGCAAAAAATTATAGTTTAGAAGAAAGAGAAGCTATCATTAAAGATTTTCTCCATCAGTTGGAGGATGGCAGTCTTCAATTGTTTGATCACTCTTTAGCTCCTAATAATATCAGAGTTGCAATAGCAAATTTTGCGAGCCAGTTCTACCCTCATGAAGTGCCTATAGCAGAGCTAGAAATCTTAGTCAGTTATCTATCTCTTACTCCAGAAATCGTTACTCAGCTGTTTTCCAAAAAATTGCCTGCCGTTCCTCAGTATTCTGCTGCAGAAATAGATAAAGCTACTGGAGTCCCTGAACGACTTTTTATAGCACTTTGTATTCTTCTAGTGTTTTCTAATGCTCATGAAGCTTTACTTCCTAATATTCAGCATACAAGAAATGGGAAATATTCAGGTGTGTATAGAGAATGGATAAGAAAAATTGTCCACGGCTTTGAAGAGTCATTGAAATTGAAAAATAAATGGCAAGATTTATTGTTATCAGAGCAAATTCTAGCTAACTCCTTTAGTAATAAGGAATTTCTTGCTTATTCGTGGGGTTTTAGCAAATATTTTTAAATCGTAATATAATCGAAATTTGAGGGCGATTTTCAGTTAAAATGTCAAAATGCAAATTATGGGAATTTTACACCAATAACAAGCAAACCCTTCAAATAAGCAAGAAATTGCTTATTACTGGAGAGAGTAAAGAATTATTAGAGAAAAAAAAGCAAGGCTGGGTATTTGATTTTTCAAGCGTGGATTTTAGAGAAGCATTTAAAGCTGCAGCAGAGCGCTCTGAAGAGTCTAAGGTTGGGGATTCTTTAAAGGTTTATGAGGAGGAGCTTTCATTTGGGACTTACCATATTGAAAGAATAATTGATAAGTCAAGTCTTCATATAACTATTGCTATTCCTGGATGACTTTCTAATAGTGTCGATAAGACAGCTAAAGGCTATCATTGGAGGTGGCTCGTTGCGGACCCAAATCAAGGGTTAAGCTATTCTTTAAGATGGGATGCAAGCAATGACGAAGAAGCTAAGATGAACACCAGGGAGTTCAGAAGTGACTGGTTTTGGAGCATCACTTCAGGGATTTCAGAGTTTATTAATACGTCTACAAAAAGTCCTTTTAATACTAGTGCAAAACAAGCTGAAGCTACAGGCATCATGCTTGCTGACTTAATTAGCCGCGGGGTCTTCAATAACTTCAGTATCTCCCTTATAGGCTACTCACTTGGAGCACGAATAATCCATTGGTGCTTAAAAGAGCTTGCCAAGATAAACCCTGACATCCAAACTATCCACGACGTCTACCTTCTAGCCGGCGCCACTCCAAATGATCCAGAAACTTTTGCAGAATGCAGAAAAATCGTGAAAGGCCGATTTGTCAACTGTTACAGCCACCTGGACTCCACCCTTGGAGTTGCCTATACAATGGCAATCCGCCAAATCCCAGTCGGCCTCGGAGTAATTGACGTAGAAGGCATAGAAAGCATTAACTGCACCTCAGTGTGCCATTCCCATGCCGATTATAGAGAAAAATTAAATCAAGTGCTGGAAAAGATTAATTATAATCTTTAATAGATATTTCTATTAAATTATGGCGAATATAAATAATGTCCATCTTTATAAAGCTTCTTTCAGGGAAGACTATTAGGCTAGAAATTGACCCTTGGGACTCCATTATCAGCCTAAAAGAAAAAATTTATGAAGCTGAAGACATTTTGCCTCACCAGCAGAAATTGGTTTTTAATGGAAAAAATCTTGAAGATGAGAGAAATTTGCAGTATTACGGGATTAATGAGGGTGCAGTAGATTTGGTTGAAAGAGATGATGTTGCTGTAGCAATAAAACTGCCTTCAGGGAGCCAAGTGAATTTTTATTGTAAGCCTGGTGACGTCATCAGTTCATTAAAGATGAAACTTTTTCATGAACAAAATATCCCAATAAAGCACCAAAATTTATACTATAACAGAAAAGAACTGCAAGATGAGAAAAAATTGGAATTTTATAATATAAGGCAAGACTGTGTATTAAATCTTGCAATTTTAAATGAAAAAAATTTGAAAAAGATCCTGAAAAGATTGTATGAGTGGGATGAAGGGTTGGTTTTGCCTATGAATACGTCACTGCTGGAAAATAACTGAAATGGGAAAGCGAGAAAACTAATGGAAAGTGCTGGGCTTTGCTTTAGCAAAGAAAGCAAGGTTTATTTTATATTGAAATCAAGCACTTTTCATTTGCTTTGGCAAGCGAATATTGAGAAAATTCAAGAAAATATTATAAATCAGAATAAAATTACAGCTGGGCAGCTAGAAAATTCTGCTGAGTTTGGAAATGAAAAAAACACTGAAGGGGTTTATCAATTTATTGAAAAATTCACTGAAAAATCCCATAGAACTTTAAAAAAATACATAGAAGAGTTCATTCCAAATTTAAATGAAGACTTAATGCTTGAAATTGACTATAAATCAATTGAAAAAGACTTAGACAATCGCATTGTAAAAAAAGCCAAAGAAATACATCCAGATTTATTTTCAAACATTAAAGACAATTTCAAAATCCAACCACATGAAGAAAAAAAGGTAGAAGCCGAAAAGAAGTCAGCTCACCCAAAGCCTATTAAAAGGTTTTACAAAAAATTAAGATCAGCCCCACCTAAGCCAAAACCTATCCAGCTTACCAGCTCTGAAAGAATAAGATACCTCGAAGGGTACCTATCTTCCTTAGAAAGCAAGTCAATATCATTATTTGACGATACCATCATCAAAGAAGACTCCAGAATTTTTGTTGGCAAACTCATAGCTCAAACCTGTACTTCAGAAATCCCTACCGAAATTTATATGAAAATCCTAGAACTCCTTAACCTTCCAGACCAAATCCTCCAAAAGCTACTAATATATGATGCTTCTTTTATATTAGAATATACAGACCAAGACTGTCTTTCCCAAGAGCCTGATTTTTTATTTATTATCCTCTGTATTTTGCTTGTTTTTTCTAACACCTATGCTGATTTAGCCCAAACAGAAAAAAAATCTGATCACAAATATTCCAGCATCTATAGGCAGTGGATCCGAGAAATAATCCGGCTATATGAAAAGCGCCTAAAAACAGACAGTAAATGGCAATTTTTATTAGAAGCTGAACAAGTTATATCAAAATCACTTATTTCTAAAGAAAAAGAAGACTGGGTGTTTTACCCTGCATCAGTTGATTTTAAAGATGTTTTTGAAGCTGCGGTCGAAAATAAAAAGAAATTGCAAGCTGATCTGCCTGAGTCTGTAGAGCAGACCTCAGAAGTTATCATAAAAAAAGGAATAGCTGAAGAGTCTTTAGATCAATATAAAACTTTAGAACACGATAAATATGCATTGGATAGGATTATTAATAAGCCTTCATTGAGCATCACAATTGCAATACCTGGATGGCTTTCAGATGATAGAGATGGAGAGAAATACCATTGGCCGTTCCTTGTAGAACGTCCAGAACAGCCTATTTCGTATTCATTGGTATGGGACGCGAGCAACTTGTTGGAGGCTACAGTTGATATGTTTAGCTGGGGAGGAAAATTTGGGAAAAGCTTGCTTACAAGTTTTCAGGCTTCAAAGTCTATATATGAAGATAACCCATTTGCTCTTAGTGCACAACAAGCTGAAGCGACAGGGATTATGCTGGCTCATTTGATTTGTGAAGGCTTGTTTAAAAACATGACAATATTACTATCAGTTTACACAAAAACTATAGTTAGAACGTAATTTTTTTATTTTTAATAGAATAGAGCGTACCCTTAGCCATTTTTCTAAATTTTTAATGCAATTAAGTATATCCTTAATAGGGTATTCGCTTGGAGGGCGTATTATTCATTATTGCTTAATGGAGCTATTAAAGATAGATCCTAATTGTGATAGAATCCATGACATTTACTTGCTAGCTGCAGCTACTCCAAATGACAAAGAAAGCTTTGAGAAAATTAAACCTTTGGTGAAAGGAAGGTTTGTTAATGCTTATAGTCATAAAGATATGACACTAGGCGTGGCTTATACCTTAGCCACTTTTCAAAACCCTGTAGGACTTGGAGTTCTTGAGGTGGAAGGGGTAGAAAATATTGATGTGACCAAGGTTTCACCTCATCATCTAGATTACAGAAATTCATTGGATAAAGTGTTGGAGGCTATTAAATACAATCTTTAGGAATAATTAAAAATTAATTGAAAATAAGCAAATAATATATTTGTGTCTAGAAAAAAGCTTATTATATTAAATAAAAACAAGTCTTATCTGTAATTAATTCATTAATTATGAATAGGAGCTTTCTCGAATAGATCACTTACATCTAGCGCAGGAGCACATTTCATAATTTGGGAATCAGTAACAAAGCCATCTGGGGTCTCCAAAGGCATCTTCTCTCTTGTGACGAAATATTTGATAACTGCAAATATTGCTTGAAAGACAAAGAAGTCAAATGGCAAGACAATAATAAAGCTTATAATCCAATAAGTTGAAATTTCTGCTGAATAATCCACAGTCATCGCTATAGTTGAAGCAATACTTAATGAAGCTAAAATCCCACATATCAGTAAAAATATAGCTTTAAATAAAGGAGATCTTTGGAAGCCGAAACTCAGTCCTAGCAGCAGTGCTGACACAAATTGTCCAAGTAGAAGCCCAACAACCATATTTATCAAGTCTTCAGCTGAGTAATTGCTGGCATGATAAGAAAAACTTCCTTCATTTCCTGAAGTTGGATTATCTCTGGCATACATAGCTCCTACAATAGCAAGTTCTAATAAAAGCACAGTGGCTATATGGATCACATTTATTACCCTCGTAAAAGACTTCTGAGGAATTAGCAAGCTTAAGGTCAAATGATTTTTAAGCAGACTAAGGTCGAGGTTTTCTTTGATATTTTTTCGGTCAAAAACTATGAAAACTCCTGACAATAAAATCGCTAAAAAGGGCTCGTTTGGCTTTTGAGAGATACGGGCTGTATACAATATAAGAAACCAAATATGTAATTAAAAGAAAAGAGCCAGTGTTTCACATCAATAAGATATCATTATGTACTATAAGTAACTTATAATAAGGAGCAAAAAAACCATTAATTTTGACGGTAAAATTTTTTTTTGTTGTGTCTTAATGAAAAAAGCTTGTTGGCTATATAAACTATGATACTGTTAAGTCTATTAAATAAGCAACTTATATGTACTAGAAATAAGATCTGACAGTTTCATATAATAGCAAACTAACGTTATACCTTGTTTGCAATTCCATTCTGAATATATTAAAAAATCAATAAACGCTTCTCTTAATAAAAAAAATAAATCATCATGTCACTAAATTGGATTTAAGTCATCTCAGTAAAAAACGAATTTCATCTCTTTTTTCTCAAGAGATAACGGTTTATTAGGTGCTGCAAAAACCTGCTTAAAAAGACCGTTATATTCGCGCAAAATTAATATAATTTCTGCACCGATTTGCGTTGCAACACACATTAATATAGTGAAACGATGCTTTATTTTGAGCCTTATTTATATTAGATTTTATGTCTTATATAAGAGAAGTTAATATGATCTAATATTTCGAAACTATCAGCTTATGAAAATGTGAAATCGTTTGCTCAGTGAAAAAAACATTAAACAGGGCTCCTTAAAAAAGAAATTTATTTTTTTAGAGAAAAATAAATTAAAATTTTGTTTATTGGATACTTTTAGAGCAAGCTTTGCTTATTTATTGCGCTTTTTTGTATAAATAATAACAATATTTAAGGTAAAACCTTACTTATCTCAGTTCTAAGTGTACCTCTTTCAGTGTCTATTAAAGATATTAAAATTATTAAAAAACTTATAAAAACCTTTTTTAAGGAAATTAACCCAAAAAATATTGCAAATTTTGGTCATCATTTTGATATATTTTGAAAGAATATGTCTTGAAAAACGGTTTTATATATTTTTTAATAATTTTAATATATTTAATAGCCACTGAAAGAGGCACACTTAGAACTGAAATAAGTATGATTTACCTTACTCCCCCCCCCCTCCGTGAGCGAACAAAACCATTAGAAAAATCGCCATTTTTTGACCAAAAACCCACCCTCCGTGAGTGAACAAAAATTTTTTTAATAGAAAAAAATTTTAATGGAAAAAAATTTTGATATATAAGTGATAATTAGTATAATGAAATCTAGAGCTAATTCTGTTTAATTTTAAACAAATTGCGTTTTAAAACATAAATTTTTGCAAATTAAATTAATATTTGCTTCCCAATTTTTGCAAATTAGGATTTTTTTAAATTTCGAAAAAAATATTTTTTTATAAATTTATATATAAAAATTTTTTTAAAAAAAAAAATTAACCCCCCTCCGTGAGCGAACAAAATTTTTTTGTTCGCTCACGGAGGGGGGGGGGGGGGAGTTAAATATTGTTACTATTTGTAAAAAAAGCGCAATAAATAAGCAAAGCTTGCTCTAAAGTATTTAATAACAAAATTTTAATTTATTTTTCTTAAAAAAATAAATTTCTATTTTAAGGAGCCCTTTTAATGTTTTTTTCACTGAGCAAACGATTTCACATTTTCATAAGCTGATAGTTTCGAAATATTAGATAATATTAAATTCTCTTATATAAGACATAAAATCTAATATAAATAAGGCTCAAAATAAAGCATCGTTTCACTATATTAATGTGTGTTGCAACGCAAATCGGTGCAGAAATTATATTAATTTTTGCGCGAATATAACGGTCTTTTTAAGCAGGTTTTTGCAGCACCTAATAAACCGTTATCTCTTGAGAAAAAGAGACGGATTTCGTTTTTTATTTAACTGGCTGAATTTTGACTTATAAACATAGCAATTCCGTTTTTTATTGAAGCAAGCGTTTATCGAATTTTTTTTATTTTCATTAGACTCTCGCAAATTATCTAGACCGTTAGGTTGCATTGATGAATTGCTGGTATCGTCTATTTTGCTTACTCCCCCCCCCCCCCCTCCGTGAGCGAACAAAACCATTAGAAAAATCGCCATTTTTTGACCAAAAACCCACCCTCCGTGAGTGAACAAAAATTTTTTTAATAGAAAAAATTTTAATGGAAAAAAATTTTTGATATATAAGTGATAATTAGTATAATGAAATCTAGAGCTAATTCTGTTTAATTTTAAACAAATTGCGTTTTAAAACATAAAATTTTGCAAATTAAATTAATATTTGCTTCCCAATTTTTGCAAATTAGGATTTTTTTAAATTTCGAAAAAAATATTTTTTATAAAATTTATATATAAATTTTTTTTTAAAAAAAAAATTAACCCCCCTCCGTAAGCGAACAAAATTTTTTTTTGTTCGCTCACGGAGGGGGGGGGGGGAGTTAGTTACTAGGTCTTTTTTATTTAAGGACTCAACTGTTTCCATTTTTGTGGAGATCTAGAATCTTCTATTTTTGTGATATAAAAAAAAATTTTTACAGTCAAATTTAAATGGTTTTTTTGCTCCTTATTATGAGTTACCTGAAGGACATGATGTTTTCTTATTTATAAGAGATACTAACTCTTTTCTTTTAATTAAATATTGATTCTTCATTTTATGGACGTCCCGTATCTCTCAAAAGCCAAACGAGCCGCTAAAAAGACTATTGAGCCCATAGCAATAGAAGGGGCACCTTCTGTTCCTGCTGAATCTGAGTCTTCTCGGATAACTGGCTGAATAATCTTAGCTGATTTAGCTAGCTGTATGGATCCTGTCGATTTGGCACTTATAGTGGCTACATTATTTACGATTGAAATAATAGAGCACTTCCCGGTCTCCCAATTCCCATTATTAAGCATATAGCAATCCCAGTCTTCCCCAGGGTTTTGGGTGAAGCTTGCATTAATAGTAATCATACTTGAGCTGCTCGACAAAGGCTCACTAGTAGGTGTTACAATGTCTAAGTTATAGTTTTGGTAGCTTCCAGACTTATAAGTAGAAATATCAATGATATCTGAATAATTTCCAGCATTTGGATATACTGTTATGCTAAAATCATAAACAGTCCCATTCGTAAATGTAGCGTTCGGCAGAATTGTAGTTACCTGGGTTCCTGCTTTATAAGTAGTATTCAAGAAATCTTCCCCACTTTTTCTAGTATTAGAAAAATGAATCCCATTTGAGTACTCTTTGGCGTCCCCTGGCAATGTGCTACTCATCCAGCTATTAGCTATATATTGGAATAAGTTTAGCAAAAGGCTTATATCAGTGATATTTTTGTAATAAGGAGAAATAATGTCAATTATAGACTGGGCCTGAGAATCAGTGATCTCATCTGTATAGCCCTTCAAGGTTTCGTTCAAAATTTGGAAGGTTTGGGTTAGGAAGTCTGGGGTCATCACGGAGCTTTGGCTTGTCATAGAAGAAAGACAAGCTATGCAGGTATCAAGGATTCCTTCGTCAATTGGGTCTTGAGAAGTAATAAAGCTGCTCAGGTCAGTAAACATATAACTTAGAGTAGGGTTGTCTAAGGTATATGTAGAGTACATAATAATAGAAGAAGGTATCATATCTGGGTTTAGAATAGAAGCTCTATATTGGTCTGCTAATGCCACTTCTGAAAGCAGCCTTCTAGAAGTAGCTGTGATACTTTTGGAGAAGCTAGAACAAGTCCACATACTGTCACATACCCTCATAGTCAGCTGCCAGGTACCACTAGGTATCCCTAAAGTAAACGTTGACCCTGTACATGGAGTATTTAAGTAGTATTGGACTTTATTCATAACCACCCCAAATTGGTAATACAAAGGATAGTCTTGGTCATCCCCATCTACACAGTTTAGCCCAGACAATGTATAAGTCAAGTCTGTATTCTGGGACACATCAATACCGTCACAAATTGGTCCTTTATTAGTAATCCAAGGAATTGATGCAACTAAACTTAAAGTGGTTGAAAAAGTCATTGTCAAGCTGTAGCTGTAGGAGGTTCCTTCTTGCATTGAATTGGCAGCAAATTTAATGAAGCTTTTAGTCAGCTCAGAAAGTGAAGATAGAGTCGGTCCAGAGGACTGAGCCCATAAGAATCCAGGCTGCTTTAGGGTGGAAACTATAGCAATGATTTTAAGCCCATACTGGTGGTTTACCTTAAAAGGCGAAAAAGAGATTGATAAAGAGCTGCCTGTAGGCTGAGTTATTTTTATTGTAATAGACTTGCTTGCGGTTCTTGTATCTTTTGATATCGCTATAGTAAATGTATATTCGGAGCCTACTTTAAGCTTGGATTTTGGAACAGTTAGGGTTGATTTTACCTCGTCTCCTAGTAGATTTGACCCGGAGGAGTCTAAGCATTGGGCATTATTTTGGACACAAGTTCAGCTATAGCTTAAAGAAGTGGTTGAATCATCAGGGTCATAAGAATCAGAAGCGCTGATATAGAGATCTGTATCATTAGATACAGTCCCATCAGCTCGGTTTAGCTTGAGTACTAAATCTGAATGTTTGACTGTAATGTTCAGAGTGCTCCAGCCATTTGCGAATCCGTCAGTCGCTGTTGCGTTATAAACAAACCAGTTTCCTGCTTTTAGCTGGTTTTCTTTGATTTTTAGAATGTAGCTGAGCTTGCTGTTAGATAAAATTGAAGAAGAGTCAAATGCAGAGGTTGCTGTATCTAACTTCTCTGTCATGATTAAGCAAAAGTTTTGCTTGCTCATTTAGAGGTTATTTTTGAGAAATAAAACAAATTTATGAAAACGAACAAGGACCAAGTAAACAAAGTTGATGCTGCAGAATTCTGTGAAATTTTATCATGAAAAATAAAAGAAATAAGGCGCAAATGCGCGATAATTCATAAATTATTATTATTTAAAAGAAATTCCCAAAATTTAAGCAAGCATTTCTCGCTTTCATTATCGCATAAATAAACGTTTTAATCTCGTTATCTATTTCTATGAATTTTTTTTTCCATATTTTCTTCAATTCTCCCCACAAATCTTTCAGAATATATTGCAATTTAATAATAATATTATTGAATTGAAGAAAAAAAAATCTAACCAAAATACTGATTTAAAAATAGGATTTTTGCCTAAATGAGGTAAGGATGAGAGAGAGACTTTAGTTAGAGAAGGTTAAAGCGGTGTTTATTTCAGCCCCTGATCCAGTCGAGCTTAAGCTTCACGCTTGTGTGGCGCTAAGCACTAAAGCCGCCTAGCACCCTTTTCTCTCGACGTCGACATCTTTCGGGGAGACTCACCCAAACCTGCTTTGACAAAAAACTTCAGTAAAGGACTCTCTTGACCCCTGGCAGTGCTCAGGGTATGAGGAAATCGTTCTATGCCTCCTTCTGGAATAACCTCTGTCATTTACAGGCACCATAATGCTTTTCCAGAAGTGCTCGATTGGTGTTGCGCCTCCGTTTTTTTTGTCTATAGCCGAGGGGATGCCCATTTAGCCCAGACTCACCCCTCCCCAGAATTCTGCCACCTGTGACCCCGTGGCAGCCGATTTTTTATTTTTGGCCGAAGTTTCGAGTTCATCCTGTTGCTCCAAAAGCCATCCTGCGACCATAATGTCCGAATTAGATAAGGATGACGAAACATATTTTCATTGAATATTCAATGAAGTAGAATTTCCACAAATAGTGTTTACTAAAGCTTTATATTGGATTCCTTGGCTCGCACTAATACTTGAGCTGCTTCCTCCATCAATCGTCACTTCAAGTGCATATTCATTTTTTATAGTAATTGTAAACTTCGCAGTATTGGCTTGGCTTAATTGATTTGTTACTGTCAGTGATAAAGTAATAACAGAAACTGTCAGCATTGTGGCAGGAATTTTGAATTTTTGGTCTGTTATAGAAGAAACATATTTGGTTAAAGCTGTATTTGATGGGCTAGAATTCAGGGACCAGGCATATTGAAGATTTGAGCCTATAGAGCTGTCTCCTGATATTTTTAAGTCATTTTTGTTGCATCCAAAAGAATATGTATTTGGAGCTGTAATAACAGCTGTCGGTGTCGGCTTAACATAAATATATTGGACTACAGGCTTTAAATCTTGGACATTTAAGGTGCACTCAGTGCCCTCAGCCTGGACTGTAAGTGGGTTTAATGCTAATGCTTCATTAGTCAGATTCCATTTATTACCCAAATAGACTTGCAGCTCTGTATTACTCTGCCATACACAAGTTGGGTCTTTTCCTAGCTTCACTAACTCCCCCCATCCTTGATCGAACGATTGACTGTAAAAATTCCTAAAAATTGGGGAAATTGACCCCCATCCTCGATCGAACGATTTTCATATCATGCAAATTTTTTATATATATAAAAATATATTAGTTTATCAAAAGCTTGGGAAGATGCACCTATGAAGTTGTTTTCAGAGACTTTGAGACGACAAAAAGCTACGGAATCAACCATCCGAAGAGATTTAGTCATTAATCAAGCTTAAAAAATCAATAATCTAAAAAATAGAGATTCTTTAAAATTTAAAAAACAAATTTTTATTTCAATAAGGAACAAATTAAAATTTTATACAATTTAAAGAGGTAACTAATAAATCAAAATCTTAAAAATGGTATTTTTATGAAATTAATTCAATTTTTTGCTGTAAAAATAATTATTAAATACTATGTATATATATATATTTTATTTTATATATAAAATTGTTTTTTCCCAAAAAAATTTTTTTTTAGCCCCCATCCTTGATCGAACGATGGCGAGCCGTTCGATCAAGGATGGGGGGAGAGTAAGCTGCTTTGATAGAAAAGCTCTGAACAAGTACTCGTAATGCCACTTTTTACAAATCTCGCGAAATTTATGACTACTTTTTTATAGTCCTCAGAGAAATAAGCCTTGGCTTCAGTGCTGGCAAAATAATTCCCACATGTAGCACAATATCCATTAGTCAAAGTATAGCCGCTATTGCAAACACACGTCAAAGTTGTGGTATCAAAATAAGAATTTTTCATACAATTGCATTTTCCTCCTTCTAAATTGGCTCCACTCACACAAGCTGCACAGATTGTGAAGCTTATAGGAGATGTGCATTTAGGATCAACGTTTAAAACACAGCTATTAGCTTGGCAGCATGATAAAGAGCAGGCTGTTAAACACGATTGACAGCTTCCTGTGGTATCAGCATATTGATAGAAATCACAATCAGCCAAACAGAAGTTTCCTATGCATGTGTTCCCACTATAAGACGGAGTATAAGCTTGGTTATATATATTAAGCATCGCAATGAAGCCTTTATACCCTGATGTATACCCAGAAGTTGAGTATTTAGATCCAACTGAAAAACTTTCTGCATATAAAGCAGTGTCTAGGTCAAGGAAAATCAAGCCGCTATATACTTTATTTTCTTTGGCTGAGTTTACATATAAGATTATTATAGAATTTTGTGAATTCTGGTCATAAGTAAGTGTATATGTAACCCATTGCCATTGTTTGCTGTTTATTGTGGTACCATCAGTCATTGTTGATACCCAAGCTACAGACGATGTATTGTAAGCGGTAAGAATAAGCCTAAGCCTTGTGTTTACAATAGAAAATTCGACTAAAGACTCGTCTGCGTATTTATGAAGCAAAGTTTGATAGCTTGAAGAATCATCAGGCCGTATCCACATTTCGACAGTATGGGATGGGGCAAGAGAAACTCGGCTTGAATATTTGAAGTTTGGAGGCAGAAGAGATTTGGATATTCCAGTATAATAAAGACCTCTACCATAGGTGAGGATAGGATCATCTGTATCTGGGTTTGGCATGAATGACGAAGTGGTACCAAAGAAAAGAGGAATAGGAGAATCAGAGCTATAATAAGTGTTATTCCATTGCTGGAAAACAGCTTTATAGACGCTAGGGTTCGCTAGAACGCAGCCTGTCGTTGTAACATTATACCCTGTTGGGCATGCTTTTACACAGGTCGCTGAAAGTAAATAATACCCTGTATAGCAGCTTAAGCACTTATAGTCACTGATCCCTGAGCACGTTCTGCATCCAGCTGTGCATCCAGTAATGCACGACTTAGTAGCAATATCAAAAGCACTGCCGCTAGGGCATATACATTTCCCATCATTAGTCAAAATTGCATTAGAATGGCAAGTCTTGCAAACTGTAGTAGACGCACATTCATTACATAAATTGTCACACCCAGTGATAGCTGTAGATTTGCATGACAATGTACTAGCATCGAAACTTGTGTCAGTTGGGCATTCACATTGTCCATCAGTAAGAGTAGCTGTTGAATAGCAAGCTGAACAAGTACTAGCGGATGCACAGCCATTACAAGAAACAGGACAACTGGTAAATACACAAGTTTTAGTGCCTGCTTGGAATACAGCGCCATCAGGACAAACACATATATTGTCAACAGTTAAAGTAGCTGTAGAATGACAAGCTGAACAGGTTGTAGTACTTGCACAGCCATCACAGATAGCTGGGCATCCTGTGATAACAGAAGACTCACATTTTTTTGAGCTTTTGCTCCAGCCTGTTCCTGTAGGACAGAGACATTGTCCATTAATTAATGATTGTCCATCATAACAAGATGTACAGCCAGCTGATGAGCTACAGCCATTGCAATCTGTTGGGCATGAAAACATCACGCAAGTATGAGTTTCATAGTTAAATCCATAAGTTTCAGGACATGTACAGACACCATCAGTCAAGGTAGCTGTTGAATAGCAGTCAGCACAAGTAGTTGTTGTCGCACATCCTTTGCAGCTGGCATCACAGCCAACTATGCTACCGGCTTGACAAATTTTTTGAGTGCTGTCCCATGTGCTGCCTGTAGGACATGTGCATACCCCATTAACTAAAGTGGCAGTTGAATAACAAGTCTTGCAGGTTGTAGCAGAATCACAAGCTTTACAGTTGTCAGGGCAGGTAACGCTGCAGTCGCTTGCTCCATATCCAGGATCACAAAGACAAACTCCAGCTTTACAAATCCCTTGCCCATAGCAAGCACTCTTGCAAGGCATAGCGCTACACAATATATTAGAGTTTGGACATTTAAGGACGCCATTAAACCCAGTCACAGTCACATCACCTCCAGTAAATGGACAATTTACTGTGACTCCTCCAACTTCTAAGACTGCCTTGTCACTTTCACAGCTTTTTACCTTGTGGCAGACTGAATGAAGATCTCCATCAAATATATAAGCTGTCTTTAGTAACGTTGATGTCATGCATCTGCTTCCTGAGCCTGTCGTTTCTCCAAAATAATCATAAGCAGTAGTAGCTGTATCTCTGCAATCTCCATTAGAATACCCAGTTAGCACTGGGCAAAAGTCAGGGAACCCACTGCCTCCTGCAAGTGTTGGGTCTGAGAAATATTGATATTGTGATTGTACAGCGCTCCAGTTGCTTATGTCACAATAAGCTTTTGCCATATTATAAACGTCGCAGCCTACATATGCTTTATCCGTGCACATTCCTTGTTGAGGAATTCCTGTAGTAATGCATTTGTCTGTAAGCCACGCACAGCCTTGGTTGAGTCCCCATATAAGTGGCTGTGCATAGTTCCAATTTACTGTGTACCAGCCTGAGTCTTGGAATAAGGCGAGTGTAAGTCCAGAAGTAACTGGGTTCCAAGGAAGTACGGAAACCATATAGTCTTCTTTAACAATCTTCATTTCCCAATGGGAGCCTGCAGAGCCAGACCCTCCATAGTCTTCAAGTTCTACTCCTTCTGCAGTGGAACAACCAAAAATGGTTTGGGCTTGGGCTGCGACAGTTGGCAAGATAAGAATAGTAGCATCTTTGTCTGGGTGCAGGCCAAATGACATTGCCTTTTTGATAGAGTCCATTTCACCGAAAAATTGATCGAAAATTTTTTAAAGTGAGGCATTTGACCAAAAAACCGTTAATTTTCGGACAAATGTCGCACTATCAAAAATTTTCGACCAAATGGGTTTCGATAAAATGTGCACTGTCAAAAAATCAAGGTCATTTGACATGGAGCCTCTTTGCCTCTGTTAGGATAATTAACTGTTTTAGTTATTTCTGTTGTAGCGTAGTGGGTGCCATCAGGTTTTACGTAGCTGCTGAAAAGCCAAGATGAAAAGGCTAGAGCATGGGTAAGCTCGTGAAGGGTCACGACAATTTGGTCACTCACAGGCCATTTGAAGAAGTCATTCATGTTAATTTCGTAAGAGCCTGCAAGTACATTATAGCGACCTCCTGATTCTTGGAGACAAGCTCCTGCTCTAGCAAGATACCCAGATGCTGCGGTGCTTCCAAAGACATAGACAATAAAGTCAGCATCGGAGACCCCAGTTGTGTGGTGCGATGAAGGGATAGTAGCTCCATTGCAACTTGTCACACTTGATGGGACGACGATGGTTTCAGTCAAAGAATACACACTTAGGACTGATGAAAACCAATGTTTTGCAGCTGGGACCACTTTGTCAACAAATTGGCTTTGTTGGGTTGCGGTCATGCCTAGGCTGGTGTACTCAAAATGAATTCTACTCTGCCTTAGAATTTTTACTCTCATTTAAAATTCTATGATAAAGAGATCTTATTACTTATTTTGCTTGAATATGATGAATAAGCAATTAAAAGCAAAATAATACAGGCATTATAATTGGCTTGAGGGTTGTGCTTCGAGACATCCCAGCCAGAAGCTCACGTCCTGGATGGGTGTAGTTGTTAATTATTGGCTGTCAGCTTTCATCTACGCCGCATTTCAAGTGGCCAAATACCATTGAAAGGAGAGTAATGGATAGATAAAGGCTAATCATTATTATTATAATTTAGTGATTGCTATCGCTTGATAAATAAAATTGCTTGAGGGAGAGAAAATTAGCGAAGCTAATTTCACTCGAACCGAATGCCATTTTATTTATGGGGTTAGTTTTTCTTATGAGAACTTCTGTATAGCAACAGCAGTTTAATTCTGGCAGATAAGCCGAGGCACTGCTCCAAGTGCATTAAGAGGCTCGAAGCGTTACCTCTCAGCAAACTCGAGGAAAGTGACCCTTAGGCGGAACACGTGCAGGAGATAGTTAAGGGAAGGCAAGACAACGCAGCCTGTCGAAGCCGGAACGCTGTATTTGCCCGTGCCATGGTGCAACAAAATGGATCGATCCAAAGATCTATGGGCCCGGCACGTGGACAAATATGATGGCAGCTCTGGAAATGGCGACCCTGACGCTAAACGTAATAGATAATATATAGATAACGATTGTTATCGCTTGAAATCATATAGTTAATATGGCTTATTTCTCTACTATTTTTTATTTGAACAAGAGCCGAAGAAGATTTTATGATTTAAGTTTTTAAACTTTAGAAACAATAATCTTCAAATCCTGTACTTCTTGACTTCAGCTTTGGCCACAACTCAGAATAACGACAGGTGGGTCGGCCTAACCGTCGACTATTTCTGTCCATAAACCCCTTAGACCTTTCTGATCCACACCAAACACAATTTAGACCTATTCTCTAAGCCAAAACTCTCAAGAAACGTAGACTTCTCTCACTGAGCCTGTATAAGATCTGAGTCCTACCCTTAACTGATATTTTAATTATCGGTTTTATGATTTAATCTATAATACTCATCGATTTATATAATAATTGTTTTGGCCATTTCTAATTAACCTTTTATTCACTGACTTTTCATTCCAGGATAATTTAGCCGAATTTTTAACGATCGAAATTTTTACAAAAGGAAGAATAAAATTTATGATCATCAAGAAAAATTATTCAATAATAAATTATTTCTAAATTTGTATAAACTTAACAGAAAATACTTAACAGTGGGCATAAAAAGTTTGAAATTTAGATTTGTGGTGTTAATGTGAATTTTATTAAGGCCTTCTTTATATGGAAAAGATGTTATAAGACAACTCATTATAAGATCATATATCAGACAAGTATAGCATTCTTTAGTAGTTGTGTGGAAAGCTATGATATTTGAAATAGACGGTGAGGGTTATTGCCTTTAGGGAAGAATTTGATAAACGTAAAGAGTAAAAACACTCACTCCCCCCTTCGTGAGCGAACAAAAAAATTTTGTTCGCTCAACGGAGGGGGGTTAATTTATTTTTTTTAAAAAAATTTATATATAAATTTTATAAAATAATTTTTTTTTCGAAATTAAAAAAAAATCCCCAATTTCGCAACAATTTAAAAACAAATATTTATTTAATTTGTAAATTTATATTTTAAAATGCAATTTGTTTAAAATTAAACAGATTTCGTTATAATAATTATCACTTATATATCAAAATTTTGTTCCATAAAAAATTTTTCTATTAAAAAATTTTTGTTCGCTCATGGAGGGTGGGCATTTGGGCAAGGAATAGGGATTTTTCTAATGGTTTTGTTCACTCACGGAGGGGAGGGAGTTAGCATCTTAGCTGGACTGGATTTGTGATCTCATCTGAAGAGTTGGGGGTAGATGTGAGAAGATTCTAAAAGGGAATAGAAAACTTAGAGATGTCGGGAAGGGAGCATCTGATATGAGCTAAAAGGGCATGCAAGCTTTCTTTTACGTAGTTCCTTCTGCTTGAGAAAGCAAAACCTCCAATACTTTTATACCTTGGCTAGGAAAAGATTATATGGTTCACTAGTAGGCCGCTCACAGCCCATGCATCAATTCTGCTGCCATGAGTTGCCAGAACATGCTAACTCAGATCTCCCTAATTTACGCTTCATGAAGAAAGAGCACTGAACATGAAAATAGAAAATTAACCGGTTCATAACAAATTAGCACTTTAGCGGTCTTAAAAGAACCAATTTAATAACTTTTACGCCCAGTAGTGTTTTTCTCCTTGCGTCTACCAAATTCTTCTCTATAGGTAATATGCTCACTGTCTATTTTAAATATCATCACTTTCCACGCAAGTACTCAAAAAATGTTATAGACTCTTCCCAATATTTTATTGCATTCTGAGGTGAATTAATTTAACATTTAGAATTATATGGTGCAATAAAATTTGTATATTTTTATAATGTTAAGAAATTTCAGATTAGTTTTATGTCAATTCTCAGCAGGTCATGATAAAGTTGCTAACCTGTCCAAAGCTCGAGATCTGATCCAACAAGCTACAGCAGCCGGCGGACAAGTTATAGTTCTTCCTGAGTGCTTTAATTCTCCTTATTCTACCAAATATTTCGCAGATTATGCAGAAGAAATCCCAGGAACTCCAGAAACATCCCCATCAGTCCATTTTCTACTTGAAGCTGCAAGAAACCATCAAGTTCATATTATAGGTGGTTCAATTCCTGAGCGTGAAGGAAATAAGCTCTATAACACTTCGATATGTGTCTCCCCAGATGGCCAGATCCTCAAGAAGCACAGAAAAGTTCATCTCTTCGATATAAACGTCCCTGGAAAAATCGTCTTTTTCGAAAGTGACGTTTTGACTGCAGGAAATGAGCCAACTATCATTGAGACTCCTTATTGTAAAATTGGGGTCGGGATCTGCTATGACTTGAGATTCGGAGAATATGCATGGACTCTTTCTAAGTCAGAAGATGTAGGATTATTAGTATACCCAGGGAATTTTAACATGACAACAGGCCCTAAGCACTGGGAACTTTTGCTCAGATCAAGAGCTGTTGATAATCAGATTTTTGTAGCTGCATGCTCTCAAGCCAGAAATACGAGCAGTGAATATGTGTCTTATGGCCATTCTATGGTAGTTAATCCTTGGGGAGAAATTCTAAGCTCTACAGAGTTTGATGAAGGCTTGGTAGTCCAAGATATTGACTTTGGGGTGTTAAATGAAAATAGAGGCAGCATCTGGACAAGAAGACATAAAAGATTTGAACTCTATGAAAGATAATTAATAAAAGATTTAAACTAATAAAAATATTATTATAATGCATAACAAAAATAAATAATTTATACACAAAAAACGAAAATAATAGCAATAATTCTATTATAAAATCTTTCTTAAATTAATTTAATATGCAAGATTAAATAAATTACCCTCTCAGACTATAAAATGGCAAAGCACGATCACGACTCCCATATGTTTGAAGACAAGCCTAGCCAAAAGGTTTTTATGTTTACCCTACTCATGACTATTTTCTGCTTTATTTCAATCTATTTCGTAGTCCTTGAAGACCCAAGATCCCATCCAGATCACTACCCGGAATATTACTATGAGTTTTGGCTTGCAGTTTATTTTCACGTATGGTCCTTTACCATGTACAATTTACTCCTAACTGCATTTAAATCCCCAGGAAAAACTACAAAAAACCAAATAAATCCTAACGAATTTTGCAAGAGATGCAATATTGATAGAATTGAAAGGAGCCATCATTGCACAGCTTGTAAACAATGCACTTTAAGAATGGACCATCACTGTAGATGGACAAATACATGTGTAGGACTAAGGACACACAAGAATTTCTTGTGGTATATATTTTATACAGGTTTTGGAGGATCCACACATGTATTTTTGTGCATTACTTACTTATTAGGCCCAGGTCCTAGCACACTTTCGAATATACTTGTAAAGGGCTTGTTTTATATGCATGCTGCTATTGTGGGATTTTTTAGCTATTTTTGTCTGACTTTGCTGGTGTTTCAAGTTAAACTTATTTCTAGCAATATTTCAAGTCTTGAATATTTTAAAGAAATGGGAGTTAATTTTGGGTTTATTTTATGCAAAGTATACCCTATGGTAAAATAAATGTAGGAATCAAGATATGATCAAGGGATTATACCGAATTTTTTACAAGTTATAGGAGATGATGTACTGTTTTGGCTATTTCCGACTGAGGCAAGAAATTATAAATTTGAAACGGGGTATCCGAAACCTCCAGATGTTTCAAGTGAAGATATTTTAGCACATGGGGAGTTTTTATTTGAAGATTAAATTAACTTTAAATTAGTCAGTTTAGAGATTACCAGCTTTACATTAAGAAATGCTATTTTGTTTAGAAAATTTATTAAAAACTTAATGTTTTATAAGTATCTACATCAATAAAATTCAAATAAATTATTTGAAATATTATTCTCTAATGTACTTTTGTGTAGTAATAAAAATAATCAAGATATCCAATATATCTTGTTTTTGGATAAAAATCCAAAAATGGATTTTCTCCTTTACGATTTGGCCATTCTCCCATAAGATCCATCGAAAGACTCCCAATCTCTTTATCTCTCCACTAGATCTATCCTAGCCATATTATCAGATAAATTCTCTACTATGAAGTTCACCTAAGCTAAACTCCCAAGAGTCACCCTGAATTTAAAAGAATAAAGCCGTATTATTGGAATAAATCCATGCCCATTAATCTAAGGCTATTAATAGATTAATAAGGATTCAAGATCAAAGGCGACATTCCTTCGTCAAGAACTCGCTCCTTTTTCTGCATGGCTTTATAAGTCAATCTCGTAATCAGAGACACAACTAAGCAGCCTGATGCAAAAGCTGTACAAATCAGATGATGTTCAAAGCTAAGCCCAGACACTTTGACTGGGTTTCCTCCATACTGCACAAGTAGTAATTGGACAATAGTAGTTACCGCCATGATTCCAAGGAACAGTGGGTTATTAAAAAACCCTCCGTGAGCGAACAAAAAATTTTTGCTAGCTTACAGAGGAGGGGATATTTTTTTTTTTTTAAAAATTTTTATATAAATTTTATAGATTTTTTTTTTTTCAAAATTTATAAAATTCCCATTTGTAAAAATTGAGAAGCAAAAATTAATTTAATTTGCGAAATTTATATTTTAAAAACGCAAGGTGTTAAAAATTAATCAGAATTAGCTAGAGATTTCGGTATAATAATTATCATTTATATATCAAATTTTTTTTCATAAACAATTTTTATATTAAAAAATTTTGGGTTTTTTGGGACAAAAATAGGGATTTTTCTAATGGTTTTGTTCGCTCACAAAGAGGGGAGTAAATACATTAATTTCAGTCAGTGAGAGCTTTCTGCAGTTAATTTCATTGAAAACCTGGCACATAACAAAGGTATGGAAAATCAAGGTAAAATGGGTCCCGTTTTCTTGGCTCCACTCTTCATGGCCATATCCTTCTTCAATGTCAAGCATATTCGGCCCATCATATAAAAATATAAACAAAATAGTGCATTGGTAGACCATTTGGGTCGCCATTGAAATCCACATGTCCTTAGTGATCATTTTTTCAGTCCGTCCAAAGGGTTTTGTATAGAAAAGTTCGTCAGTTGGGGGTTCTGTGGCTAAGGCTAAAGCAGCCAAAGCGTCCATAATTAGATTGACCCAGAGCATTTGTACTGCGCTTAATGGAGAGTCAGATACTGTAATTGCTCCAATAATGCTGATAGCTAAAGCTACAGCATTGCAGGTCATTTGGAAAGTCAAGAATTTTCTTATAGAGGCGTATACATTTCTTCCCCATTTGACTGAGTTTACGACGCTTTCGAAATTATCGTCAAGTAAAATGATATCAGAGCTTTCTTTTGCAAGCGGGGTCCCTGACATCATGGCTAAGCCAATATCAGACTGTTTTAGGGCAGGGGCGTCATTTGAGCCATCTCCAGTGACACCGACGACTTCTCCCATTTCTTTGAGCCCAATCACAAAGAGAAGTTTGTCCTCAGGAGAGCATCTTGCTATAACTCTAAGCCGTGGAGCAACTTCTTTAAAGGCTTCCATGTTTCCGACTTTGAAAGACTCAACTTTGCCTTCGGTGTTGGTCACAGTGACTAGTCCGCCTACTTTTTCTCTGAATTTTGAGCCTTCCATAACGTAATTGTCGAGCTCGTCGTCTAGGACTCCATGCGGTAGGATTGCACAGCTTTTAGCGATACGTTTAGCTGTTTCTGCAGAATCTCCAGTAACCATCCTAACAGTGACTCCGGCCACTAAGCATTTTTTCACTGAGTTCCTGGATTCTGGCCTTAGCGGGTCTTCAATGCCTACAAGTCCTAGAAAAGTTAGCCCTTTTTCAGCTTGGGCTTGATTAATTCCTGCATCTTTATCATCAATTTCCAGTCCTTTCCACGTTGTTTTTCTATAAGCTAAACTTATAACTCTCAAGCTTTGCCCTGCATATTCATTTATCACATCAATTATTTGCCATTTCCTCTCATCAGTCAATTTTCGTCTTTCTCCTCCATTTAATAGTTCATCTTCACATATATCAAGAATGACCTCTCCTGCCCCTTTTGTATATACCAAAACTTCTCCATCAGTTGGTTCATATACAGTGGTCATTCTTTTAGTCCTTGGGTTAAAGGCAAACTGTGCTTTAGACAGCTCTGTATTCCTATAGAAATGATAATCTTGTTTCCAGTCCTGGCACATCATAAGTAATGCACCTTCTGTTCTGTTTCCGACCATTTCTTTTTTGCCGTCTTTTACATTGATAAATGCAGTAGTGTTTCTTGCGATGGCTTCTGCAATGATTTTCTTTTCTTCAAGAGATAATGTGGAGCATTCTGAGTTATCATAGGACTCTCCAAGTAAAAAGGCTTTGGTTACAGTCATCTTGTTTTGGGTTAAAGTCCCTGTTTTGTCTGAGAGGATGTTGGTGGCAGCTCCCATGACTTCGCAGCCTTTGAGGTGTCTGACGAAGATTTGTTCTTTTTTCATCCTCAGGATTGAGTAAGCCATAGACAAAGTCAAAGCAAGTGGGAGACCTTCTGGGATTGCGACAACGAGAATGGTGATTCCTAAAATAAATGCGTCAATAAGCAGTTTCCATTGGTCAGATCCCCATTCTTTATCAATTCCTGCGGCTATGAATAAGTGTAGAAGTAAAGCTACTGTTAGCAATAAAGCACCATATAGCCCGATTTTCCCCAAAAATTCTGCTAGTAAAGTTAGTCTTTCTTGTAAAGGGGTGTCTGGCTCGTCTACAAGGGTGCTCATCATCCTTCTGTTTTTCCCTGTAACTGAATGTGGCCCGATAGCCAAAATTAAGACAACTCCGCTTCCTTCAATGATTTTTGACCCAGAAACGAGAAAAGGGTCATTTGATTTTTCATGCCCATGAATAAGTGCTAATTTTTTAACGAGTTTGCTTTCTCCTGTTATAGAGCTTTCGTCAATGCTCAGCCCACTTCCTCTAACTCCTTGAATTATAGTAAAAGTTTTATTATACTTTTTTGATTTTATTATATTGGGCTTTAGTTAAATATTACAAATTAGTAGTCGGAATTTGTTATTATTGAGAGATAAATGTGAAAAACGGTAAAAAATTAAAATTTTAGGCATTTTCCCCAATTATGAGCTATCCGATCTACTCATATAAAATTTCCTGTTTGAAACTTTTGTGATAAAACCTCAGATAATGCTTTATTTCAGTGGAGTAAGGTAAATTCCGTCGCCAGCTAAAATATCCCCAGTTGCCACGCATAGCAGGTCTCCAGTCATTAGGTCTTTTTGGTGGATTTCTTTTTCAATACCGTCCCTAATGACGATTAAGTTACAGATGTCGGTTTGGAGGTTTAGCTTGATGAATTGAGCTTCTTTTTTATAGTCGTTTATAGCAGTGACGAAACAGACGATGCATACAGTGACGAGAATTGCGATCCCTTCGATCCAGCCTTGGTCTGGCTCCTCAATGGCGCCTACAATTAACGAAATGAAGGCGGCGCCAATGAGGATCCTGAGAACCGTGTCTTGGAGTGGCTCAATTAAGAAGTGGAAAAAGGACTGAGAATGATAGATGTGAGGACGGTTATCCCCAAAATGATGCGCGCGCTTACTCAACTATATCAAAATAACTACAATTTAAGTCTAAAATGTATAATTAATTGGAGTTTTTCCTTATAAATGAAATATTTCAAATCAAAAATATCATGACTTATTAATATATTTTAGTTTTATTTAAAAGGTGGGAGTGTTAGAAAGCTCTTTTGCGTCCTCACAGATCCCATGATTGACATCTGATTCTATAAGCTTACAAAGACCAGTGATTCCGTCTCATTCTTGCAACATTGCGAGACTTTTTCCATTGCGGATTCCATCTGATTCAAACAGTTTCGATAGTGCCTCAGGAGAGATCGAATAATACTCGTGGAGAGAGTCTGACATTATCCCATATATATTAGTCAACACTGCACTGGCTTTAAAAACTGGCAATTTTGATTAAGGAAGAAATGATGGAAAGTTCTAGCTCCCCCTCCTTGAGCAAGCAAAACCATTAGAAAAATCCCTATATTTTTTGCCCAAAAACCATCCTCCGTGACTTGACAAAATATCTTTTATGAAAAAAAGTTTTGATATATTAAGTGATTATTAGTATAATAAAATTCTATCAATTTCAAGCAAATTGCATTTTGAAACATAAAATTTACAAATTAAATTGATATTTGCTTTCCAATTGTGATTTTTTTAAATTTTTTTAAAAAAAATATTAACCCTCCGTGAGTGAACATAATTTTTTGTTCGCTCAGGAAGGGGGAGTAAGAAGCAGAGAAATTAGGCTGGGGATTTAAAATTAGGGATTTAATGAGAAAATTTTTGAATTTATGTGGCGGTTAGCTGCTTATATTGCTTTGGCGGTTGGAAGCGATTTTTATCTAGAATGTCAGATTACTTCAGGCTGTGGCTGGAATTATAAATCAATTCATAAGAGGATTATAGAATTTAATTATTGCCTGAGGTCAGATAAAAATATAATAGTGCTCTTATAATCTCTGGGGCAAATCTTTTGGCTTTTAATTGATTTTTTATTTTGTTGTCAAAATTAAAAATCCTCTATAAATTTTAATTATATTTATTATTATATTGAAGCTAAAAAATTAATTTTAGAGCTTAGAATGCACTTTATTTCTGCTAATATTTTGCTTAAATAATAAATCGAAGGGTTTTTTTACTTAATGCGAAATTTCAAAAAATACAAATTTAAAAATTAACTTTTGATGGCTGGTTAGCCATGAAATAATCAAAGCTTGTTGCTTAAATTATCAATTTTTCCTTATAATTCAAACTAAATTTCATCTATTTATTTTATTCCATATCTTTTTCTTCACTAACTTATAGAGTATCCAAAAATATTCCCGATCTTTCGTATCCTATAATAGATACAATGCTCCAAGCTTCTCAGGATCGGTCCGATCTTCACTGTCACGAGCAATATTCCTCACCTATAGCTGATCTCCAATGCAAAGGGAATTACTGCATCCTTAAGGACTATCATTCTTACTCATTTCCTCACTTCTGCTGCATGGCTCATGAATCCCTATTTGCGGAAGACTTTGAAAGCGAAGAAGAAGACATCTCAATCCCATTAAGCCATAATACTGTCAAAGAAATTTATTTGGCTTCAATAAAATTACTTTTTTTTGTACTAAAAATTTATTTTAAATTTAATTTTTAGCCCAATTTATTTCCTTGACAAAATTCCTGATGAGATGCAGCTTGAAATTTCTGCAATGAAAAATAAGCAAGACATCTCATCTCAATGCAATGCAGGGCCACCTGTTTCATTAAGCCAATTAAGTATGCTGCCTTGTCTAGGGCAAAAAGAAGATAAAATCTTATGTGCGAGATACAGACCAAATGTAATAAATCACACCCCAGTGATTTATGTATCAAGAGATGAGTATGAAGAATTCGATGAATGCGGAATCAAATACAAGTTTGTATGTAAAGCCTGTAGCAAAGAGTTTAAGTCAGGGCAAGCACTTGGAGGGCATATGTCTAGAAGCCATCCAGGGTATGTGGAGTCTGAAGCTCGAAAACTGAGAAAAATACAAGAAGATTTATAAGTAATTATTAGAAAATTTAAAGTGGTTAAAATTATATGTTCAGATATGACTAATGAAATTAGCGTGATCTGCATTAGAAATTGGAAAATTTTGCTAGTGTTTTAACTTCTTTATTCATGCATATTAATACTAATAAATCGAATATAAATTGAGATTATTTAAAGAATTTAAAGTTAATCTCAGTAAAAGACTAGACGCATTCGCAATAGATAAAAATTATTTTTAATAAATAATATAAAAATTTGATTGATTTTAGTATTTTTAAAAATGCTTAAAGTTTATGATTTCTTGACCACATCAATCTTACTATAAAAATTCCCCAAATAAAATTTCTCGCTCACTGTTACTTGCTTCAAAACTCTTTATATCATTCCTTAATATTATAATAGCTAATTGGCTATATACTCTTATATAAGAAAGATCTCACAAATTATAATTTTTTGATGCTAAATATAAATCAACACTTCAGCCTTACTATTTCTTCTCGAAATTCTTTAGCACATGCCCAAGCTATTTATTTTTGCAATATTATTTTCCTTCTATTTAATAAATTAAAATTTTTTTCTAATTCTGTTGTTTTTTTATCAAATTTTGATCAGTATGTCGGTTTCACCAAATTTAAAATATATATCACTTCTGATTTAGTATTATTTTTCTTTTCTTCAAGATGCTTACATCAATATCTAAAAATACATATAAATATACCAGTTTTCTCTATTAAATAAAATATGTGAGTCTTCTTTTAAAAAAAAACCTCGATCCTATTCTTTTAAGATTTGATAAATTTGTCAGAATAAGGGAAAGCGCATTTTATTCTAAAAACAATATACAATTAAAATTATCCGAATTATTAATTTTATAATAAATGCTGTCAAAGGAAAATAAACAGTTCAAATTACATGTAGCCAATAAGGATAACAATTCAAAATTGTTCTCAATGAGCAAAACACACAATATTCAAGTAATCCTTTATATAAATCAAAAATAATTATTAAACAATTTATAAGCCTAGGAATTCTCTTTGTCAAATTAACACCCTACTTTTGAAAATTTACATGGAAGATCCATTGCATCATGAATATTAACTACATACAGAAAACATAAATATGAATGAAACCAAAAGCACTGCGTCTCAATCTTCAAAAAAAAGCTGAGCCAGTTCTTCGATAGCTCGAAGTGTCTTGAAAAGGGCCATAACCAGAACTTTTCTTGCTCAAAATTTAACTAAAATCCCACAAAAAAACTCTTATTTTCCGGATACTCATAAAACTAAAGAATGACGTCTAAGTTTTGGAGTTTTGAAGCCTGACAGCTTATGAAAACTGGGTTGAGATATTTTAGGCGTTTTTCAAATTCTTTACTTAGCGTTTACCTTGCCTTTCGCGTTAAGTTATGGAAATGTAAGTAACTTTAGCTTGATTATCAAGTTTATTGAAGTTTTTTGTTATTTAGATATTTTGATCAATTTTAACACAGGCTACTATACAGGGAGCATTTTGATAAAGGATCATAAGCTTATATGCAAGCGTTACTTGAAATCCTGATTTTTTTGAGATCTAGTATCTTCTATTCCACTTGAAGATATGCTGCCTTATATGGAATTATCAGCTGTTGAAGAAGACCCAAGCAATCCTTTTGAATTTGACTCTTTATATTTAATAAAAACCCTTTGATTATTACGGCTTTTAAGGTTTTCTAAAGTGCAAAGTATTATATATACATTTTTCTTTGAATTTATACTAAAATAATATAAATTTTCTAATAGGCTACTTAAAAAAAAGTATTATACAATATGATGAACCAATTCCCCAGCCCAACTCTTATGGTCCTAATAAGGGTCCTATCATTCTTAGGTCTTGCCTTTTATGCTGTACATTGGATGTCATGCATTGTTTTTTCTGCCCACCGTCTATCATATCAGACACTCCCAGAAGCCTGAAGTAATTTCAATATTCCTCGGTTTGACAAATATATATATTACTTCTTCTATGTCTTTGAAACCATGGCTACAGTCGGATATTTATCAATCGCCACAGATCCCAGAGAAAAAATATTGGTGCTATTAGTCATGTATACGTCTGGACTTATTTATGGGTATTTAATTGAAGGAGTTAAAGAAGCCATCGCAAAATCAGGAGAAAGATCAGCTTACTATAGAAATATATTCCAAAAATAATTCCTGAGTTTTCTCATATTTTTTATAGTAATTAGTTTGTTAGTTACTAAAAATGGTATAGCTCTTCAGATAAAATACTATATGAACAGTCATAAATTGCCATCTGCGCTAAAAGCCAAGGTTTTCCGCTATATAGAAAACCTTGAAAGAATTGCTGATGAAAATATCTTGGACGAAACAGAAGTTTTACAGTCTTTTTCTTTAACAATAAAAGAAGAAATTTTATTAAGGACAAGAGGGTTGTATTTAATTAATAGTGCTCCATTTAGGAACTATAGCCAGTATTTCTTAAGGTATTTGGTTCATTTTTTAGATGTAGAGGTGTTTGGGCCTCATGATAGAATTGTAAAAGAAGACCAGCTGGAAAGGAGCATGTATTGGATTTTTAATGGGTCGGTAGAAATTTATGACCAAAAAACTTTGACCACTTTTAGAGAACTTTTTAAAGGAAAGTATTTCGGAGAAATTGGCTTTTTTCTAGGCCAAAAAAGATGTGCTTCTGTAAGCTCTACAGGCTATACTGAGCTTTTTGAGCTGAAACATTCAAAATTCAATAATCTTATTAAAGTAAGACATAATGAAGAAGAGGTCACAAAGCTATTAGTAAGGCAATGTGAACAAGATTTAAGTGCGCTCGGTGTTAGGTGTTATTTTTGTTCAGAAATGGGGCATACAGCTAGAGACTGCAAACGATATGTTTATATTGTGGACTATAATTCTATTATAAGAAAATCTGACTATAGAAAATACAAAATTTCAAAAACTGTTAAAAAAAATGAAAAAAATGACTCGAATAAATCGTTTAAAAAGAAAGTGGCGGGGATTGAACAATTTAGAAGGTATGGGATTAAAAACCTCCCTGGCAGGCCAGAAAACTTTGGGTCTTTTAAAAATAGGGCTACTTTGATGCAGAAAGCAAGGTCTTATCAGACTGATTCTTCAAGATTGACATTTGATTCAAGATTAGCGCTAATAGAAGAAGCCAAGCTACTAGGAGACGATTTTGATAAGTCGCCTGATGTGATGCCAGCTTCTTATCAATTTAGCAAAAATTTTGTAAATGTCCATTCAATGAAAACAGAAAAAATTCATCCAAGCTCAAGCTGAGAAGACTCTTTTTCTTATCCTTTAGAAGTACCGAATTTTGAAAAACATGGTTTGTTGCTATAAAGATTACGATGTTATTATACTAGGGTCTGATAAAAATGTGAGGGTATGCAAATTTAAAGGTATTTTGGTATATACAAGCATTAATCTCACTTATAAAGGTGGTACCTATGGGCTCTAAATTTTGAAATTACAAAATTTGGGATCTTGAATTAATATTTGCAGAAGTAATAAACCCTTAATAAAATATGTAAGATTTTGTTTAAAAGTGGCTAATTAAATTTTATTTTTATAGAAAAGCATGCAAACATATCTAAAATCAGGCAGATCAACAGGTGCTATCTTTGAGCAACTATATTCAATTCAGGTACTTCCAGCTTCACAATAAGTAAAAGCAGAATAACACCCAGAAGCTTTATAACAGATGACTCCATAAAGCGTATAGTCGTTATTTTCAATGTATATGTGACTGTCTGGAATAAAATACGCAGATGGAAATAAATAAAAAACTAAATTAGCAGAGGTCTCAATATGTTTTGTTTCAATTACCATATCCCTCAAGCATCCACATCTGTCACAGTAAAGTGCATTTGCCCCTTTAAAGCTCTCAGGATTCTTTAATTCGTCTACATAACTCTGCATATTTCTTTTCTTACTTGTATCCACCATAAAAATCGACATATTTTCATTCTTTATAACTGCCTCATGGCTTCTGCATATCAGAATTTTTTCTAGTTGTATTAAAAATAAGTTAAATGCAGGCTTTTGCTCACTCCCCCCTCCGTGAATGAACAAAACCATTGGAAAAATTCCTATTTTTTGAGCAAAAACCCATTGATATATAAGTGATAATTAAATTAATATAATGAAATCTCTAGTTAATACTTTTTAAATTCTGAGCAAATTTAATTCTAAAATATAAATTTTACAAATTAAATAAATATTTGCTTTCCAATTTTGCGAATTAGGATTTTTTAAATTATGAAAACAAAAATTTACTATAGAATTTATACATAAAGTTTTTAAATAAAAAATTAACCCCCTCCGTGAGCGAACAAAATTTTTTAGTTCAAGGGGGAGCCAGTTAATTTTGAAACAATAATTTGAAATAGATTTTTAGGGTCATTTTGTCTTCATCCTTGAAGCTAAATAAAAGTTACCATTGAAAATTCTGAGCCTAATGCATTTTTGAATTGGGATAAATGTAAAGATAAATTATGCTCTGATTTGCTTTTTATAATCTGCAAAACATTAGCAAGACTAGAGAACAAAGGAATCTTAATTGTAGAAATGATTCCATCAAAGCCTTCTGTGCTTGCAAGTATTTGCAGCACAGAATTCATATAGCAACTATTACCAATGCAAGGTAAGCCAATGTTGCAATTAACTTTAGGGCTAGATTTTGGGATGGGCAAGATAATGTCAGAATTAGGATTATCTATGTTTTGGAAGTTTTCAGCTGTATGATAAGCTTGAACTATTTGACTGCTAATTTTTCCCAATTCAAAACTAAAGATTTGGGACATATCATTTTTTAATTCGATTTGGTTGCCGCCAGGATTTGTGCTATTTATAGCTTTATCCATTGCTCTATAATTATCGGAGACCTTTTCTTGCTTATTGAGGCCTAATGAAGCACTTCGTTTTATCTGTTTGCTAATAGAGCTATCATTGGAACTTAAATTGTTTACCTGAGGTGGAGGGATTTTTATATTATCTTCGTTTACTGGCAAAGCCGGGCTACTTTGAAAATTTTTAGCTTCAAAATTCTGCTCTTGAGGTTGATATCCAATTTTTCCATGATATTTATTGAAATAGTTATATTTCTTTTCTACAAATTTATATCCGCTTGGCTTTTTCTGAATCCCTTTATTTTTATCATCTTTTGAAGGTTGTAGATTGCTTAAATTAGATGCCTGATTAGAGTTGGTTGGAGTTTGAGGGCTTCAAAGTTGATCTTTTTGAAAGGATTTATCATTATTTCTCCTATTACTTGGGCTTTTACTTTTAGCGATATTATAAGCGAATTCATAAATTTCTTTCATTTCTTCTCTATCTATGCGGCAAGTATTTAAATGACTTATATGAATTTCATTTCTATTTAGGTTTAGACTCTCTTTGTCTATTTTTGGTTTTTGTTGAGATGCTTTAGGAGCTTTAGCAACTCTAGCTAAGTTTTTTGACCCGTTTTTAGTGTTTTTGCTTCTTTTACTTATATCCTGACAATTAGATGATAATTTATTGGGGACTGACATTTTTTATATAGTAAAGTGAATTTGGCCGCCATGTCACTAACTCGATTTTTCCTGTCTGGGTGTGGAAAAAAAAGCCTTGGGTTAGGTTTATATATTTTTATATTAGGGTATAAAAGAAACGTCAACTGGCCTAGCCCGCTATCATGCATCGGGCTGATTTTAAAAATGCATATGCATAGGCTGATTTGAAAATAGCTGCTGTTAGGAAGGAATTTTATAATATTTTTTAGGGGATGGAATGAGCCGAAAAAAAGCAGCATGTAGATTATGCCGGTTTCTAATCATTTAATAATTTATTTTAAATAATTTTGACTTCATTATATAAGGAAAAATTGGTCTAACCCACTTCATGGTCGTGGATTTAGCCAGTTAGCATTCTGAGTTTTTTATTTCAAAATCCCTGCTCAGATAGGAAAAACTGGGTTAGCGATATCGGTCGGCCTAACTCACTTCACCCATTTTTTTACTATTTTCTATCTTTAAAACGATTTTTTTACCAGATATTTAGCCTCTTTTATTATCATTTGTTCTTATCGCTTCAGATGATTCATTATCTTTGATTTTCTTATCAGCTTGAGTAAGCATTTTTAATTTCTATAATTTTTAGAGTCTTGATTACTATGCACATATTAATCAAAATACTTTTGTCTGCTAGATAAGCATAAATTATTTATGAATAAAGCAATTTATTTAATTTTTTCAGCATGCCAACTAATAAATAAGAATTTTAATAAAAATAATTAGATTAGGTAAATTAGTAAAGTATTTAGAATCCTACTACACTAATCGCTTCGCTCCGCAATTGGCGTTCTGAAGGTGGTAGAGTGCTATGTCTTCTGTATACGAGCCAATACCTTTTAAGACGAGAAAATCACTTTAATTAATAATTAAAAATAGCGCGAGATTTAGGTGAGATTTCAATCTATTTTTCTATTAATTAATTATATTAACAATTTTAATTGCTAAAAAGTTTAGTATGTCTTTGCTTATATTTCTACTCCAAGTTTAATTTTTATTTAAATAAGTTATATTTTTCTCAATTGCTGAATAACTTTTTTGGCTAGATCAAATTTATAAAGATAGAAGTTGCTATCAATAAAATATGCATCACCATTAAATTGAACAACTTGAGATGCTAAAGTTCCAATTCAATTAAAGTTTCAATCAGTTATTGTAGGATTTAGATTTTTAATATCTTTAAATTCACGCATCTTAAAATTACCTTCTATTATAAGATAACCCCCCTTTTAAATTGGAACAAAATTTTAATTTTTAAATGGTAAATTATATATAAAAATACTAATTTTTATATAGTAAGCTTTAACCAAAATTGAAGAAGCACAATTATTTAAACTTTACAAGCTGAATCGATTAAACTTATTATAATTCTTCATGAAAATAAATTAAATCATTCTTTCTTTAATTTTTAAAAACAATATATTAACCCCCTCTAAATTGCAACAGTATTTTTCTATCAATTTAAATGGGGGAGTACGAAGAATGATTGAAAAGTAAAAGCACCTTTTGGGAGTTAGGAATTAAATTGGATATTTGCCTTGAGTAAGGATCATGATAATTTCTGTAAATATAAATCTCTTTATGTTCGCTACCTGCAAAGTAAATTTCATTATCATAAGCAAAACCAGTGCAGTAATTTGCCCCAGTACTCAATTTGGGAAGTGAACTTCACTGATCTTGAGAAATATTGTATTTTTCTGGAGTCATTACATATCCATTAGCATTTTGTCCTCCAAATGCATAAACTTCTCCATTGTAATAAATAGCGCTTGAAAACCCACATGGCACTGATCTACTAGCAAGATATTTTATGCTATTATCTGGGTATATCATAAATGCCGATGAACTATAAGGATTGCATCCTCCAAAGCAGAATAGTCTACTATCTGGAAGTTTGCAAATTGATAAATGCATACTCATATTTTTATCTATTGCAAGTTCAGTTTCTTCATATCCAAAATCATTTAAATTTATTCTCAATAGGTTTTTTGTATTATCTCGAAAAATAGCTATTTCGTCATAAGGGTCTTTAAAGTTATCAAAGTCAAAATTAATGTAATTTGGAATTTTTGTCTTATCGATTCTTAAGAGGCAGCTTTTTATACTTCTAAGAGCAGTGTTAGGCTCCCAAGTCAAAAAATTTTCGATTTTATTAGTTTTTGATGTATTTTCAGTTGAAATAATTCTTCGCATATATTCTAAATTTTTGTTCTCAACTCTTTTGATTTCTTCCAATGCAATTATCAGATGAGAATTGAGCTCTTTAATTCTTTTAGTTATTTCGTTTATGATAATTAATTTCAATTTGTCTAGGTCTTCATTCCTCGCTTTCAGAAAACTATAAAGAGCCTGCTTTGTTTCTGGGCATGACTTATAGTAGATAGCTTCTGGCTGGTGGACTTTTTGAGCTTTAAATCTGAGATGCTCAATTAAATGGACTTCACATGAATTAGTTCCAATTTCTGAGCATGGACAAAAAAAGATAGGCTCGCTAGGGCATTCTAATTTTCAGCACTTCATGATATCAATTAAAAATATCTATAAATTTGCCAATATTTCTATGATTAAATATTTTATGGCCACATAGGGAAATAAAATTGCAAATTGCAGATTTTACTCTTTGATCCCTGAACGAAAAATTCTGTTACAATTTAAAAAAAAATATTCTAGGTTAAAGGGGTTAAAGTACCCAAAAAAAAAATGTAAATTTTATATATATATTTTATTCCAATTTAAAGGGGAGAGTTAGGTATATTATCTTAGTTAGGGCTTTTTAAAAATTATGACTGCTTCAGGCAGAAGCTTCCGAATTCTATTTTATAAATTATAACAATTTCCATATTAAGCAGAAAAATAAAGCAGACCCACAAACAATAATTTTTAAAGCAATAGCGCAAATTTATTTGACATTAGACTATTTTTTTTGCTTTGGAGGTTTATCCAAAGAAAGGTCAACTCTCTTACTTCCCTTCAGCTAGAGAGCAAAGTCATTAGGAAAATTCCTATTATTTAGGAACTGCTTCAGTGAATGAAGGAAAAGAATTTTTATGGAAAAATATTATATATAAACTATTATCTATTACAATAGAACCTCTAGATAACCTTGCTAAATTTTTAACTATAATTTTTATAAATTGTATTAAATCTTTACTTTCATATATTTTAGAATTGGTTTAAAATTTAAAAAACTGGCAAAGGCTCTTAAAATTTCTAACTCCCCTTCTTTTAAAAAGGAGGAAAAAATAGGTTTAATTTAAGAGTTTAAATTTTTTAAAAAAATTATAATTTCACTATAAAATAATTATTAATTTATAAAAAATTTAAATGTTTCCTTTGCATAAATAATATCCTCCATTTCAAGTTTTATTTTTTAATTTGCAATATTAAATTATTAAAGTTATTTATATAGAAATTATAAAAAAAATCGCAGCAATATAAAGGGGATTTAATTTACCCAAGATATTTGCACCAATAGAATGAGGGAAGTAAACAAATTAAGCGAGCAAATATATTTTCATCACTCACAGAGGGGGGAGCCATGATCTGGCCAAAACTTTTTAATAATCTCTTTTGGCTCATAAATATTATCTTTATTCGCATCTTTTCCAACTTTTTCTATCAATTCTTGCTGCTCTCTTCAGCATTTATTTGCAAAGCTCCCAGCATCTTGATTAACTTGAGAAATTGTGTTTTGGAAATCAGCAAAAGCCTTACTACCCTGTGCCAGTATCATTGTATTTGCTCGGCAGCATTTCATCCCTTTACTTCTGTTGACAAAATTTACCCCTTTTAATGCCTTATCAGCTTGGGATTGCAATTGCAAGATATTCAGCCAGAAATCTCTTAATTGTCCAAAAAGCTGAGGCGCTTTTATTATAGACTCTTCTAATACTCCAAGCATCAGATCCCAGGCATCTGCAACATGGGAATGCTCAGGCTTAAGACCGTCCTTGCTTATTTTAATATATGGCTTTCCTGTTGTTACTTGGAGATCGATTTTACTAAAGTCACCATCTATTGAGGCGGAAAAGCAAAATAGCATTGATTCCAGTGCATCCGTGAATGTGGCGTCTTTTAAGATATAGCAGCCTGTTGCCTTTTTAAACTTTTTAATTTGTTTTTTAAGCTTATGGTAGGCTTTATCGAGAGCTTTAAGAGGCTCTGCAGCTCCAATAAACATGCTATCTACTTCTTCAATGCCACAGGTCTCTATCTCGAGGACTATTTTATTTTTTGTGCTTCCTCCACAGCCCATGGATATTAATTATTGATTGATGAATAGGAAAACCCACATTTTTGAATAATGAGCAAGAATATATAGTATAACTCTTTAAATATTTCTTAATGAAGAAAAATTAGTTTAATTTATTATGCGAAATGTAATTCACCAAAAATAAAATCATTTTTATGAATTAAATTAAAGGATTTGAAATTGAAAATTCAAAATATGCTAAAAAGCTTTGATTTATTACAGATTAATGAACGAATTTATGCGTTTACTGAGATATGCTTATTAAAGGTTATTGTTCTCTTCTAATATAATATGATTGATATTTTTAAGGTAAATATGATGCAATATAAAAATATCACAGCTAGTTTTATTTAAAGAAGTTGATCTGCTCTGTTTAAAATTTATTTTAATATATAATTGCAGCCTTTAATATTTTTTGGGATTAAATTGGTCCAAGATTTGAATAATTGTTTCTGTGATAATCAGAGTATAGTCCATGAAATGGAATAGATTTCTAAATAGCATTTTTGAGGGCACCAAAACTCAGTTAACTTTTCTAGACTAAACAATTTAAAGCTGCTTTTACAATTTTTCGACTCCATTTGGTATTCATTTTTAGCGTAAAGCTCAACTGGAGGTAAAACCCAAAAAGCTTCTTATGCCAATCTATAAGATTACATATAAGGATCCCCCCCTCATTTGTCCAATTTTCTAGTCTTTTTTTTTATAGGATAAAATTTTTTTTCAGGACCTCATTTATCCAAAATCTAGTCAAAAATGATTTGTCCCATTTTCTAGTCTTTTTTTGGATTTTTTCGAATGTCCTAAATTTTAGTTTTTTACTTTAAAAAAACTAGAAAATGAGACAATTGAGGTTTTGAAAAAATTTTTTTTTCTATCAAAATTTTGACTAGAAAATTGGACAAATGAAATGAGGTCCTAAAAAAATTTTTTTTTCCTATAAAAAAAACTAGAAAAATGGACAAATGAGGGGGGATCCTTACATTCTTTCTTATCTTTAATACTTCAGGCATCAAAAATAAATAAAAATATTTTGATTCTATAAATTAAAAGATTATCAATTTTATCAATGTTTTCATCGCCAACTTAATTATTGTATATATCTATTTCTTTACATTCAGCAAAAAACTAATAGCACATCAAATCTTAGCAGATAACTAGAAATTATATTGCTTAATTCTGATAATTATTCAAGCCTTGAATTTTGCCTCCCAACTGCCGATGCATAACTTTTATTACTGAATTATTTACTATTCCCAATTCCCTTAAAGTTATATGACTATGCTGATCAAATCTCAATACTCGTTTTTGGAACACAATAGATTGCTGATCATTCGGTACCCCATAAATATCAGCTATTTTCTTTGCCAGATTTGAGTATTTTCAGTCTCTAAAGACTTCTTGTGTATTGGTAATACCATTGATATCTTCTAGTCTTATTGTTATTCTTTCTAGTGCCATTCTATAAAATATTAATAGTTTAGGATTATAAATATTTGTAATCAAAAAGATAGTGATTTATGAAGAAATAGCTATTTAATTGAGATTGTTTTGATAAAGAGCTCTAATTTTATTCAAAAAAGTGGAAATGATAAGTATATTGCCTTAGTGTCTAAGTTTTGCTGCGGATAGGAATGGAATTTTTTAAATAAGCATTTTCTTGATTCAGTCTTAAAGAATTTTAGCTAAAATGTCAAGATAATAAAAGCTCATGCCTCTTGTAGAATCAGCGTAAAAAGGCAAGCAAGGTAGGCTGAGGTGGATTGCATTTAATCTTTCTCACCAAATCTTCTATTATAAGGAAAGAGGATCCTAATTCTGAATAAAACTGTGATTCCATTTCGGGCAAAATACAAAAAAGAAATTTTAAAATAATTGTTGACAAGATCGTTCAATCAGTGATAAATTCATTTATTTTAGTTAAAGCCCGTGCTGTCCTCTTTCTAGTATTTTCTCATCAAGTGATATATGCTTATATGCAAACTATCCTATCCTTAAATTTTTGGATTACGTTTCTACAAATTTATATTAAAATATTTCTAAATATCCAATTATACTTAACACATTGGTTTCTTATGGATGAAACATATTTTAGAGTTGTTTTTATTCCCAATTCTCCCAATGTTTTGTCTTTATCTTCAGCATACCTATGTAATTTCCTTTCGAAAAAAATTAATTGAGCATCTTTAGGTATCCTATAAATATTTTCTATAGCTTGGGCTAGCATTGAGTACTTCCATTGCTCATATACTTCTTGGATTCTTGTAACACCATCGATGCTTTCTAAAATTATAACTAACCTTTTAGGCTCCATATATTAAAATATATATTTTATTTTGAAATCTATAATTTTCCTATTTAAAGTTAATTTGATATTTGAATTATTTTTCTGAAGTTTATTGACTCACAAGTGGGTTTCCTTAATTTGATTATTTTATTGAGCCCGTTTCTCCTCTTATTTAAATAGACTAAATATAGCTGATAATATAAGTATCAACGCCAAATTAAAATGCAATCTAATTTTTGAAAACTAGACTTTGCAGTTTTATTTTCTTCTAAAAACTATAATTGCAGCCTTTAATATTTTTGGGATTAAATTGATCCAAGTTTTGGATAATTATTTATGTGATAATCAAAGTATAGTCAATGAAATGGAATAGATTTCTAAATAGCATTTTTAAGGGTACCAAATTTCAGTTAACTTTTCTAGACTAAACAATTTAAAGCTGCTTTTGCAATTTTTGACTCAATTTGTCATTCATCTTTAGCGTAAAGCTCAGCTGGAATTAAAAGCCAAAAAGTTTCTTATACCAATCTATAAGATTCTTACACAGGCATTCTTTCTTATCTTAAATACTTCAGGCTTCAAAATTAATCAAAAATATTTTGATTCTATCAATAAAGATTATTGATTTTATCAATGTGGTTTTCACCAACTTAATTATTGTAGATATCTGTTTCCTTTATTATCAGCAAAAAAATAATACTGCATTAAATCTTAGCCGATAACTAGAAATTATATTACTTAATTCTGATAATTATTCAAGCCTTGATTTTTGCCTCCCAACTGCCGATGCATAACTTTTATTACTGAATTATTTACTATTCCCAATTCCCTTAAAGTTATATGACTATGCTGATCAAATCTCAATACTCGTTTTTGGAACACGATAGATTGCTGATCATTCGGTACCCCATAAATATCAGCTATTTTCTTTGCCAGATTTGAGTATTTTCAGTCTCTAAAGACTTCTTGTGTATTGGTAATACCATTGATGTCTTCTAGTCTTATTGTTATTCTTTCAAGTGCCATTCTATAAAATATTAATAGCTTACGATTATAAATATTTATAATTCAAAAGATAGCAATTTATGAAGAAATAGCTATTCAATTGAGTTTGTTTTGATAAAGAGCTCTAAATTTTATTCAAAAAAGTGGAAATGAGAAGTATATTGCTTAGCTGCCCAAGTTTTGCTAGGGATAGAATGGAATATTTTTAAATAAGCATTTTCTTGATTCAGTCTTAAAGAATTTTAGCTAAAAAGTCAAAATAATAAAAACTCATGCCTCTTGTAGAATCAGCGAAAAAAGGCAAGCAAGGCAAACTGAGGCGGATTACATTTAATCTTTCTCACCAAATCTTCTATTATAGGGAAAGAGAATCCTAATTCTTAATAAAACTGTGATTCCATTTCGGGTAAAATACAAAAAAGAAATTTTAAAATATTGTTGACAAGATCGCTCAAGCAGTGAAAATTCATTTAATTTAGTTAAAGCTTGTATTGCCCTTTCTCTAGTAATTTTTTATCAAGTAATGTTTACATGCAAACTATTCTATCTCTTAAATTTTTAGCTTTGGTTTCTACAAATTGATATTAAAATATTTCTAAATATCCGAGCTTTTTTAACCTCCTGGCGAATAATGCATGACAAATATTTTAGAGTTGTTTTTTATTCCCAATTCTCCCAATGTTTTGTCTTTGTCTTCAGCATACTTCAGTAATTTCCTTTCGAAAACAATTGATTGAGTATCTTTAGGTATCCTATAAATATTTTCTATAACTTGGGCTAGTCCTGAGTACTTCCATTGCTCATATACTTCTTGGGTTCTTGTAACACCATCGCTGCTTTCTAAAATTATAACTAACTTTTTAGGCTCCATTTATAAAAATATATATTTTATTTTGAATCTATAATTTTCCAATTTAAAGTTAATTTGATATTTGAATTATTTTTCTGAAGTTTATTGACTCACAAGTGGGTTTCCTTAATTTGATTATTTTATTGAGCTCGTTTCTCCTCTTATTTAAACAGACTAAATATAGCTGATAATATAAGTATCAACGCCAAATTAAAATATAATAAAATTTTTGAAGACTATGCTTTCAGTTTTATTTCTTTTAGACGTTTTTGCCTATCTCTAAGTTCAATGCAGAATTTTATCTTGAAGTTTAGGTAATAATAAAATTAATAAATTTTATATAAACGATTTGAGAAAAGCTGAAGTACTTTAAAGTTTATTTCAGAAAGAAGTATGATAAATTGTAATAAATATTAAATAATGAAGTAAAAATACGATAAAATATTAATAAAACTAATTCAAAAGTGATGGAATTCTTAAAGACTACTGTTATCATGGTATCCAGAAGTTTATGAGAATAAAATAAGTTATTTTTTGAGTTTTCAATTCTTTAAGATATAGAATCACATTGAGTCCTCAACTTAAATCAATAAACTTCATAACTTAAAATTAATATTAAATAAACTCATTTATAGCTTCTATCTTTATTATTTTGGTAAATATTAACTTATAGCTTCTTTAGAATTAACTCTAAATTTTTAATTTAATCTAATTACAGTCATCACTCCCTAAAATGCCGATTTTTCTTATTTTTAGCATTAACTCTAAAGTTGTATTATTTTAATCTGTTTTTAACCTGGATGATTTTTGCCAATAAATTAGCTCTTGGCTAATCTTTTTGGGATTTTAGAGCGAAGAAAAATATTTAATTTTTATATATATTTGTAATAAGATTTGTAGAATTCAATAAATATGAGCACTTCTAATTTAAGAACTGTGTGCTATAGGGCCTTCTTATAGATGGCGCGCAATGCGCCATCACCGAGCCATGTCGGGAGAGGGTTCCACACGAGGAATGGTTCTACGTGTGGAACCCTCTTTTTTTGACCTGTGAGAAAACTACTTTCCACGAGCCAAAAAGAGGGTTCCACACGTAGAACCATTCCTCGTGTGGAACCCTCTCCCGACATGGCCCGGTGATGGCGCATTGCGCGCCATCTATAGGAAGGCCCTATATGTAATAGCTGCAATCAACAATAACAGTACTTACAATAATCTCAGCATCCAACTTTATGATCAAGAATTGCATGAAACTATAACTAACGCTTTCAGACACCAAATTCGAGAGAGCAATCTTAAAAATTTCTACAACTTATTAGGCAAAAGCCTTTCAGATACATTTGAAGCAATTTTTCAAAGAAATCTAACTTGAAGCAGATATATAACTCCGAAAATAGAAAGTTCGCGCTTACCAGAAGTATCAACTAATCTAAAAGATGTTCTTTTTGTTTATAAAAGATCGTCTAAAATAAATGCATATATTTACGAAGGCGAATATAAGCTAATTTCCAGTTTTAATGAAAAAAAAGCCTTTTGCTTATTCAACGAGCAGTGGTATGATTGCAACAGTAATAGAGAATCATTAATAAAAGGATCACCTGATTTCACTTTTCCAGCAACTTTGGTTTATATGAGAGTTAAAAAACTTTTGATAGCTAATAACGTTGAAATAACATCTGAGCAAAACCGAAGAGTACAACAGTTAGCATTTGAGATTAAATCAAATGGAATTGCTAGAAGGAATACTTCAGAAGAGCCTACTTCTGCTTCCAGAAATTTTTCCAGCCCTCCTAAACCATTTTCACATGAGCAAAATTATAAAGATCTGAATACCGCATCAGAAGTAGCAGAAAGAAGATATAATAAAGAAGATGTAGAAAGAGGCAATATTTTCAGAGATAGAGAAACTAGAAAGACTGATGGCTCTGACTTTAAAATCGATCAAATTATGAAAATATTTAATGAAAGATACTTACTCCCGCTCTTAATCGAACGGCCATACATCTTTTATTCAAATATTGAGATTAAAAAAATTCTAGGAATATAAATTTTTTACCCTCATAATAATTATTTCTCACTTCAAATATTTATGCACTAAAAATTAGAGATAGAGTATAAAACCTATTAGCAAATATTCTAGAAATCGCATTTTAATTACTTATATTCATTATGTTGCAATATTGCTAATATTCATTGCTATCAATTAGGTCACTAGATTTGAAGAAGGGCTTAAAATATGAAAATAGTTTGATTAAGAAGGGATAATTTTCTCGATTTTAAGAAAATTTAAAAAAAATTGTTAAGCAAAGATGTGGGAGTTAGAAATTGAGACAAGATTAACAAAAAATTTTGAAACGAAACTCCAGAAAAGTTTAGAAAAGCACAAATATGAAGAGTCTTTAAAATATCAGCAAGTAAATAAAATCAAAGAAGAACTATTAAACTCTGCAGTTAATTATGATCAAATGCAACAGGAAAAAATGATGAATATAAAAAATGAGCTTATAAATTTAGAAAAAAAGCACTTTGGTTTATTACAAATTTTATCTAAGGCATTAAATTCTTTAGTTAGCAAACTCAAAGACAAAGTTTCTAGAAATTTAAATCCATCAATTAATTCAGAAAAATTAAAAGAAGAAGTACAGAATGAGATTTATAAAATTACTGAAGATAAGTTTAGTGACCTCAACAAAGAAGTTAGCAATTTGAAAGCCAAGTATGAAAAATTATACAACGAAATCAAAAATAAGGATTATTCTATTCAGGATATCAATAACAAGTTGAAAGATATTGACCGAAAAATTATAAATCTTCCAAATAAGGAAGAAATCGAGACAAAAATGACTAGTCTTCAAAATAAAATTAATAGCTGAAAAGATGAAAGAGGAAGTAGCTTAAAGGATTGGGAATCTCTTAAAGCGCAAATTAACTTCCTGGAAGAATCAATTTCAGACAATAAGAATGAGATAAGTAACGCAAGCAATAAGATAAAGGAATTAGAAATTAAAACGAATAGACTTTATCCCGGGTATTCTATCGAAATTAGTGATCATCAAAATGAGCAGAATATCCATCCAATAGCAGACCAATCAAAGACTATCTCTCCAAAATTACCTGAGATGAAAAATTATCTAAAAAATAATTTAGATAACGCACACGATAATTATAAGCAATCAGAGAGCCAAACGATGAAGACTTATTCTCCTGAGAGCCAAACTCACATCAGTAATTCTCGGAATGTATCTAGTATGGAGCTATCACTAGTTAATCAATCAAAAAGCCTCCCTCATGCATCAATTAAAGAGCCCTCAGGCTACCAGCAAATTAAAAATGAAAGAGCATATCCCAGCTTTCAACAATCTATTAAAAAAAATATAATTAGCCGCAGCAGTGCTTTCAGCAAATCTGGGTTGCCTAATATAGGGAATACTTGCTATATGAATTCTCTTATTCAAATATTTGCAAGTGCTACTGAATTTGTGGAATATATAAAAACATTCTCCTCAGATAAATTATTCCTCAGTTTAAGCCAAATTATTGAGTTAATGCAATCTAATTCTGATGACTATTTTATAGGACCGCATATAATAGAATTGAAAAATATACTTTCAGAAGAATACTCAATGGTACTTTTTATTTAGTTTATAGGATCTTCTGAAAATGATGCAAAAGAGCTGTTTGCTATTATTTCGGATAAAGTTGAAAATCGAGATCTTTTTACTATTGTCAAAAATCAATCGTTTACCTGCAAACTTTTTCAACATAAAGAATATAATGAAGATTGCTCAAATTTTATAATTATCCCAGTAAATAAGCAAAATGATATAGAAAATTACTTTAAGGAAATAAAAGAATTGAAAATTTATTCAGGGGAAAATCAGTTAAATTGCACGAACTGTGGAAAATTGAGAGAAACTATAATGAAAACTGAAAGTATCCAATGGCCAAAAATTTTAGCAATTTATATGCCGAATTATCAGTCTTCAAGTAAAATTCCAGATTCATTGAGGATTGATTATAATAATCTTTATAGCATTTTTGGAGTTATATGCTATTATGGGAACCATTTTATAGCATTCACTAAAAATAATCAAAATGAATGGGAAAAGTATAATGATTCTCTAGTGAGTAAAATGGATCCTGATTGGAATAGACTTTATCTTGCATTTTATAAGAAAAATAGATTTTAAATACTAAAAATCGTCTTTAACTCTCTTAAAAGTTATTATTTTATATTAAAAATGAGCTTAAATATTTTTCAAGGATTAAAAAATGAAGTATGCAATTTATAAAAAATCATATCAGTTTTATAACTACAGCTATGCTAGAATCATTAGTTTATTTCTCTTCTTAATCTTTCATTCGTTTAAAATCTGATTAACAATATATTCTTCAAATGCACATATAAAATTTTTTGCTACCAGAAATAAAATTAAGAATTTTTACTGATAAGAGAGAAATCACTTTTATAAATCTTAAATAAACATAAATAAAATTAATTATCATAAATTTGCAATCATTTATGCTTTTAATTGAAAATATTTTGATCATTAATCAAGCACATTAAAATAAGCTTAAAATTTTATTGAACAATAGTTATAAAATACACAGTAAAAATGCTTTATAATAATTAAAGACATGATTTTAAGAAATTCATTCATTAAACTGCTATTTTATTAAATGCAATCTTTGCTGTTTATTATTAAAATTATAATTTTTATTTAAGAATTAGTTCTTTATACACAAAAATATTCATAGAGACGCCTTAAATTGATCAATATTTAATCCATCTATTTAATATAGATCTTTATTTCGATTATTTTGCATTTAAGTGCCTTTAATCAATTAAAAAAAGCTTTAACAGAATTTTTAATGCAAATGTTATATTTATACATTTTGATAAAAATTTGTAGAATGCAATAAATATGAGTACGTCTAACATAAGAACTGTATGCTGGGTTATAGCTACAATAAATAATAACAGCGCTCGTCATAAACTCAACTTTCAAATTCATGATAAAGAGATGGATGCAATTATAACTAACGCTTTAAGAAACCAAATTTCTGATAGGACTCTTTCAAAACTCTACACCTTATTGAATAGGAGTCTATCAGATACATTTGAAGGATTTTTTAAAAGAAATCCAATTTGCTATAATTTTATTCAGACAATAGAAAGAGGATTACCCGAAGTATCAACTGATCTTAAAAATATTCTTTTTGTTCAAAAAAAAGAGTCTAAAATAAAAGAATCTATTTATGAAGGTGAATATAAATTAATTTCCAGCTTTAATGACAAGCAAGTCTTATGCTTATTTGATGATCTGTGGTTTGATTGTAGCAGCAAAGAAGCAAAACTACTACTAAAAGGACAGTTGAATTTCGTTTGCCCAACAACTTTGGTTTATTTGAGAGTGAAAAAATCTTTGATGGATCACGATATTAAAATAGCATCTGAGAAAAGCCAAAGAGTACAAAAATTGCTATCTGATAATAGAGTAAAAGAACTTTACAGTAGAAACGCTTCAGCAGAGCGTACAGCTCCCTCTTCTAAAAATCGGTTTAAATCTCCTGATCCATTTCCAAGTGCGTTCAATCATAAAACGTCTGATATAAAATCAAAAATATTAGAAAATGATGAATACAATAGTGAAAAGTACACAGAAATAGAAGGAGAGAATAAGCTGATAGGCAATCAGCCTGGTAAAAATACTTGTTGTGACGCTGAAAAAGATGATTTAAAAATAAAAATATTAATTGAGAAGTCCTTAGCTGAAGTGGAGGCAAGGTTAAGAAACGAATTTGAATCGAAAATCCAGAAAAATTCAGAAATATATAGAAATGAAGAGCCTTTAAGACATCAGCAAGCCAATAAAGCTAAGGAAGATTTATTAAACTTTATAAGCAATTATTCTGACATGCATCAGGAAATAATGAAAAAAGCAGAAGTCACGTTTATAAATTTAGAAAAAAAATACCTAGACTTATTCCAGCTGTTACCAAATATATTAAAGCCACTGGATAAAAAATTCAAAAATTTTGATTCTAAATTAAAACAATTTGATGACCCAAAGAATAATATAGATCCAGACGCAATTATTGAGAAAGCAAGAAAAAAAGCATATGACGACCTAGTATCAATTAATAATCAAAGTTATGAACAGTTTTATAATGAGTATATAAAACCATTGGATGAAAAATTCAAAAATTTTGATTCTAAATTAAAACAATTTGATATCCCAAAGAATAATATAGATCCAGAGGCAATTATTGAGGAAGCAAGAAAAAGAGCACATGACGACCTAGTATCAATTAATAATCAAAGTTATGAACAGTTTTATAATGAGTATATAAAACCATTGAGTAAAAAATTCAAAGATTTTGACTCTAAATTAAAACAATTTGATGTCCCAAAGAATAATATAGATTCAGAGACAATTATTGAGGAAGCAAGAAAAAGAGCACATGAAGATTTAGTATCAATTATTGATCAAAATTATAAACAATTATATAATTTGTACCTTGAAATAAAACCAACGAAAGAATCAAAAATTTCAGAAAAGAATATTGAAATTTTAAAAGTTGAGATAAATAACCTAAAAGATAAAATAAGCTCAATTGAGCTCAGATTAGAGCCAACTGATGAAGATGAAATGCAAGCTAGACTTATTGAAATCGAAAGAAGCTTAAAAGAATATATCGATAAAGAGAAAAAGAGTATTAAAAACGAAATAAATGAAGTAAAATCGAATTTTGAATTTCCATATAGTTATTTTAAAAAGGAAAATGATACAAAAATAAATGATTTCAAAAGAGATATTGAAGAAATAAAGTATCAAATTAATAGCATTGGTAAACTATCTGAAACCAATAAATCTGAAACCGAAAAGCTTAAGACTCAAAGTAATGATTTAAATAAGAGATTGGGGGATTTGAAATTGCAAGCTGATAATTTCATCGAAAATATACTAAAAAGCAATAATATTAGAAAGGAGGAAATATCTGAACTAGCTAGTAGCCAAGAATTAACAGATAAAAAGCTTAAAACAATTGAGGAAGAAATAGAAAAATATAAGTCTGAAATTTTCAGACAATCTGCTATTCGTTCAAATGAACTTCAAGCCGCATATCAGATGCATGACCAAACAGTGAGTCTGCCATCAAGACAAAATATAAATTCTCAAAATTATCAAGAATCTAAAATTCAAAGACGGCCTATAAACACTCAGGCTCAAACTCTACCAATAAAATCTCAAATTTATAGCAAATCAGGCTTGCCAAATATAGGAAATACCTGCTATATGAATTCTGTCATACAAATATTAGCAAGCACTCTTGAATTTACAAAATCAATAAGCAGCAATCATAGCAGTCAATTATTACGGAGCCTACATTCAGTTATATCATTAATGTATGCTAACACTTCAGAAAGTGCACTAAGGCAGCATATTAGTGAATTTAAAGATATAATTTCAAGAGAATGTTCGATGGTAATATTTATTTAGTATGTTGGAAGGTCTCCAAATGATTCTAAAGAGCTATTTTTAATCATCTCAGATAATATTGAAGATGCAAATCCTTTTACATTGGTTAAAAGACAAGCTTTTATATGCCCTATCAATCATAGATCATATACCGAAGAATCTTCAAATTTTATAATTATTCCAAAAAATTATCAAAACAATATTAGAGTATTTTTAAACAATATTGTTGGAGAAAAGAAGGATTTTTATGGGCAAAATCAATTAATGTGCGATGGATGTGGAGAATTGAGAAATATAATTCTGGAAACTGTAGAAGTTAATTGACCAAATATTTTAACAATTTATATGCCTGATTACCAGGGTTTTAATGAAATCCCAGATGAGTTGCAGATTGGATATAAGACTTATCAAATTTTTGGAGTAATATGTTATTATGGGTTTCATTACATCGCATTTACTAAGGATAAAAATAGCGAATGGGAGAAATATGATGATAATAGAGTCAGCAAAAATGACCCTGATTGGGATAAACTTTATCTTTCATTTTATAAGAAGAAAGAATATCATTAAATATTAATAAAGAATTCTCTTTTAAATCATATTTAAATTATTTAAAATAAAATGCAGAAAAAAACATGAAATCAAAACAGAGCTGAAGTCACGTAATATTATAAGTTTAAGAATTTATATTTTTGATTCAATTAATTAAACTTAACTTCAGTTTAGCACAAATACTGAATAAACTAATTCCTTGGAAACAACTTTTAGTGTAGCCTGATTTATAGAATTTTAGAAGCCTGCTATCTTATGTAAATCGACTTTATTCATAAACTAAAACCAAAGAAATTTCTAATCGTAAAAGTCGATAAATTGCTATTCGATTTAAAGTAAAATAGTTAAGGACATTAAACAAATTTTTTCAAACAGGAAGATGCTAATCATTTATACAAAATAGCTATGCATAAGATTATTTAAAGGTTGGCTTGCATTTTAAGAGAGCTACAAATTTATTTGATGCATAAATTAATTAAAAATATTATAAAAATTAAAATGATTATAATAAATTTTCTTTGCTAATCAAAAATATGGATATGATATTTAAATTGCCTTTTTTACGCTAAAAATATATAAATGCTAAGTTTACATACGATCAAGCAGTAAATAAATCTAAATTCTGAATATTCTATCATATAATCATTTTATTTTCTCTGGGAGCACGATTTAAAACTTGCGTTATCAGAAAACTGCAAATATGATATTGATTAGTAATGACTATCATACATCAAAAAGTTAAGCTTTATTACATTACTTAGTTCATGTCAAGATTCAATCTATTCTTTCACGATTAATAAATCATTAACTAACAGATAAATTATTCTGAGCTATTAAATTTCTTATTTAATATCAACTTTTGATTTATGCTATTTTTAAAGTGAATGTCCTTGGTCTGATTTTATAAGAATAAAAATTATGGAGATTAATTTCTCATTCTAAGAGGTCCTCCAAATAATTTCTGATTTGGCTTTGATCTAAATAGAAATTATTTTATCGCTGCTAATGCAGCATCTCTCTTGCTTACAAATTAAAAATAAACTCCACCAAAATAAAATTCTTCAAAAAAACTACAAATGTAAAGGTTCAAACGTCAAAGCCTCAGCAAATGCATCACAATTATTACAAGAATAAGCATCATGCATTGTACGCTTCGTTACTTCAAAATATTCTAATTAATCTCCACTTAATCCTTCAATGCAGGCCATATAGAATTAATAAAATACCCACATAATCCATATTCCTCCAATTCCAGTCGTTCCTGTTCCTCCAAATCAACTCCTTCCTTCCATGAGTACCCCACTAAGCTGCATGATGCTCATTCTAACATGATAATCTTTTCCTTCTTGGCGCCTAATGCCATCAAAAGTGGAAAATATTATCTGATCTAGAATTAATTTTTCTAATAATAGCCCATTCTGATTTAAAAATATAAATTCTGATAAAATGCCATTATCAACTTCCATCAAAAAAGCCTGTAAATTTCACTTCCTTTAATTTTAGAAGCAGAATCAGCTTGAGTTTCTCTACGAACTTATTTCAGGCAACCTCTTCAAGCTTTCCTTTGTTGAAATATAGATCATTTTGTCTTTGTCAATTAGCATGCAAGAGATCACACTAAATTCAATTTCTGGCAAATAATGTTTTTGGTTTAATAAGGTATTGCAATATCTATTCAACAAAATCTTAAGGAGAATTAAAAATCATCAAGATTTTATAGCCAGAGACAAAGCTAAATTCTTGATATACATTTTCTGTATTTTTATTTGTAGAATTCAATAAATATGAGCACTTCTAATTTAAGAACTGCGTGCTATATTATAGCTGCAATTAACAACAGCAGTAATTACAATAAACTCAACTTCCAACTTTATGATAAAGAATTGTATGAAACTATAGCTAACGCTTTCAGACACCAAATTCGAGATTGCAATCTTAAAACGTTCCACAACTTATTAGGCAAGAGCCTTTCAGATACATTTGAAGCAATTTTTCAAAGAAACCCAACTTGAAGCAGATATATAACTCCGAAAATAGAAAGTTTGCGCTTACCAGAAGTATCAACTAATCTAAAAGATGTTCTTTTTGTTTATAAAAGAACGTCTAAAATGAATGCAAATATTTACGAAGGCGAATATAAACTAATATCCAGTTTTAATGAAAGGCAAGCATTTTGCTTATTTAACGAGCAGTGGTATGATTGCAACAGTAATAGAGAATTATTAATAAAAGGATTACCTGATTTCACTTTTCCAGCAACTTTGGTTTACATGAGAGATAAAACAAAGCCTTTGATAGCTAACAACGTTGAAATAACATCTGAGCAAAACCGAAGAGTACAACAATTAACATTTGAGATTAAATCAAATGGAATTGCTAAAAGAAATACTTCAGCAGAGCCTACTTCTGTTTCCAGAAACCTTTCCAGCTCTCCTAAACCATTATCACGGGAGCAAAATTATAATAATATGATTATAATATCAGAAGTAACAGAAAGAAGATATAATAAAGAAGAAGTAGAAAGAGGTAATATTTTCAGAGATAGAGAAACTAGCAAGACTGCTGATTCTGACTCTAAAATCGATCAAATTATAAAAATATTTAATGAAAGATGCTTAGATATTGAGACAAGGTTAACAAAAAATTTTGAAGTGAAACTCCAGAAAAGTTTAGAAAAATACAAACATGAAGAGTCTTTAAAACATCAGCAAGTAAATAAAACCAAAGAAGAACTATTTAACTCTGCAGTTAATTATGCTCAAATGCAACAGGAAAAAATGATGAATATAAAAAATGAGCTTATAAATTTAGAAAAAAAGCACTTTGGTTTATTACAAATTTTACCTAAGGCATTAAATTCTTTAGATGGCAAACTCAAAGAATTTGATCTTAAGCTTAAGAAACTTGATGCTTCGAAAATTAATATAGATCCTGAGATGATTATTAAAGAAGCAGAAGTAAGGGCTTATAATAATTTAAAAGCAGCTATAGATCAAATGGATAAAAAATGATACCAAGAAATAAAATCAATTAAAGATTCTAAAATTTCAAGCTCTGCAAATGATTTAGAAATACCGCAAGAGTCTAACCAAAATACTAAATGTAATCATCTTGTATTAGAAAGCGATCTTAAAAATGAAATTAGCGTTCTCAATCTTAAATATGAAACTTTATCAAGAAATGCTGATTATTCTATCGCAAGTAAACTGGAAAAAATAGACCAGAAATTTATAAACATTCCAAGCAAGCAAAACATCTATGAAAATTTAGCAAGTCTTCAAACTAAAATTGAGAGCTGAAATAAAGCAACAGAAAAAAAACTAAAGGATTGGGAAGTTTTATTATTAGCTGACCAAAAACTTAATGAAGAGAAAATTGATAAGCTGAGGAATGATCTTGATGATAAAATTCAGCGATTAGAAAATAAAATAAATTCCAAAAGTCCAATCGAATTCAGTTATTCTCAATTTGTACCTAGTAATCAATTTATAATATCTCCTCAGCCAAAGAATTCAGTTAAAGAGTTTATAAATATTCAGGATATTCAAGAAGGAAGGCATTATATTAGCAGCAGAAAAGCTGGCAAAAGTTTAAAAGATAATCACAGTGGATTATTCAGCAAATCTGGGCTACCTAATATAGGGAATACTTGCTATATGAATTCTCTTATTCAAATATTTGCAAGTGCTACTGAATTTGTTGAATATATAAAGAATTGCCCCTCAGATAAGTTATTCTACAGTTTGAGCCAACTTATTGAGTTAATACAATCTAATTCTGATAGCTATTTTATAAGACCGCATATAATAGAATTGAAAAATATAATTTCAGAAGAATACTCAAAGGTATTTTTTATTTAGCATATGTGATCATCTAAAAATGATGCAAAAGATCTGTTTGCTATAATTTCAGATAAAGTTGAAAATCGAGATCTTTTTACTGTTGTCAAAAATCAATCTTTTACCTGTCAACCTTTTCAACATAAAATCTATAATGAAGATTGCTCAAATCTTATAATTATTCCAACAAATAAGCAAAATGATATAGAAAAATTCTTTAAAGAAATAAAAGAACAGGAAATTTATTCAGGGGAAAATCAGTTAAATTGCGCAAGCTGTGGAACATTGAGAGAAACTATAATGCAGACAGAACGTATTCAATTGCCAAATATATTAACAATTTATATGCCAAATTATCAGTCATCAGGAGAAATTCCAAGCTTATTTCAGATTGAAAATAATTTTTACAACCTTTTCGGAATCATATGTTTTAATGGAAATCATTTTATAGCATTTACTAAAAATAATGAAAATGAATGGGAGAAGTATGATGATTCTGATGTGATTAAAGCAGATCCTGATTGGAATAGGCTTTATCTTGCATTTTATCGGAAAAATAATTAATGATAAAAATCATTTTTTAGTAGAATTGATTGTAAAAAATAACTTTAATCAATCATGCATTAAAATTATTATTCATATAACTGCATGGCACTCATTAACCTTATTAAAAGGAGGAATGGCTCCATCATTGTATTAATTCTAGCTTACTAACGTGAAGATAAAATGATAGTAATTTATTTAGTATAGCATCTTTTCCTAAATTACTTAAAGAATTATTATTGTTATCTCAGATAAAAATTAATAATCTTGATTATTTACTTTAGTTTATCAGCAATCATAATTTTCTTGAGCTCTAATTACAATTACAGAGTAAAAATGCTTCATAAATAATTAAAGCGAAAATTAAAAGAAATTCATTCAAATAATTGAGCTAATATTTTATTAAGTTTATTCTTTGCTTTTATTATAAAGATTTATTCTTTTTATTCAAAGAATTATTTCTCTATACACGAAAATATTCATAGAGCCGCCTTTAATTGAACAATATTTAATCTACTTGATACAGCTCTTTATTTATTTTGCATTTAAGTGCCTTTGATCAGGTAAAATAAGCTTTACATGGTCGAGGACATTTTTTATTGGCACTTATAGAGAATTTGCAATTTCGGTCGATTCTCTACTTTATTCGATCTTGATGCTACAGTGATTTTATGAATCATTATCCTCTAAAAGCCAAAACTAAAACCTTCTCCCAATCTGGAAGGCATCCAACTTCTATAATAAGTATTTCATTTAGTTTCAGTGCAACTAAGAAATAGCCTAAATTGCAGATTATTATTATGCGTATTTCAATACTCTCGCTTTATTCATGTATAACCATTATCCTCTAAAGTTAACCTGCTCTCAATCTGCTAGATGTTCATTTTTAATAATAGGTATTTAAATTTAGTTTCAGTGTAACTAAGAATTAGCCCTAACTGCAACTTATAACGATTCGTATTTCGATACCTATACTTCAGCAATGCATACTAATAATTCGGGATAAGCACTAATTTAAACTTATTTCTTCAGAGTGCTAGGATATCATGGTATTAGTGGTGCTAAATAGAAGCCATTTTTTATTATTGCAATTTTATCAGAATCTGCTAAGCATTTACAAATGAAAATTCGACTTCATATTACGATAACCTAACTTTTTTAGTTCACCAAATTCATTGATTATATAAAATGGTGCTTTATGAAATCAAACTTCAAGCTATAGCACAATACCTATACAGATAGCGATAAGGCTTTATATTATAATAGAATCAATTACTTGATATAGTGTTGATAAATTTTCAGTATAGCTGCTTTTTAATTTAGTATCTACTACACACAGCTATTTTATTAAGAACTATAAGCGGCTAAATTTCACAATGCCTAAACAGAATTTTTAATGCAAACGTTATATTTATACTTTTGATGAAAATTTGTAGAATGCAATAAATATGAGTACGTCTAACTTAAGAACTGCGTGCTGGGTTATAGCTACAATAAATAATAACAGTGCTCACCATGGCCTCAACTTTCAAATTCGTGATAAAGAGATGGATGACATTATAAATAACGCTTTTAGAAGCCAAATTTCTGATAGGACTCTTTGAAAATTCTACATCTTATTGAATAGGAGTCTATCAGATATATTTGAAGAATTTTTTAAAAGAAATCCAATTTGTTATAATTTTATTCAGATAATAGAAAAAAATTTACGCGAAGTATCAACTGATCTTAAAGATATTATTTTTGTTCAAAAAAGAGAGTCAAGAATAAAATTCAATATTTATGAAGGTGAATATAAATTAATTTCCAGCTTTAATAATAAGCAAGTCTTATGCCTATTTGATGATCAGTGATATGATTGTAGCAGCCAAGAAGCAAAAATACTAAAAGGACAGTTGAATTTCGTTTGCCCAACAACTTTGGTTTATTTGAGACTGAAAAAATCTTTGATGGATCACGATATTAAAATAACATCTGAGAAAAGCCAAAGAGTACAAAAATTGCTATCTGATAATAGAGTAAAAGAACTTTACAGCAGAAACGCTTCAGCAGAGCCTACAGCTCTCTCTTCTAAAAATTGGTTTAAATCTCCTGATCCATTTCCAAGTGCGTTCAATCATAAAGCGTCTGGTACAGAATCAAAAATATTAGAAAGTGATGAATATAATAGCGAAAATCACAAAGAAATAAAAGGAGAGATTAAGTCGATAGGAAATCAGTTTGACAAAAATACTGGATGTGACACTGAAAAAGACGATTTGAAGATAAAAATATTAATTGAAAAGTCCTTAGCTGACGTAGAGGCAAGATTAAGAAAAGAATTTGAAAGGAAACTCCAGAAAAATTTAGAAATATATAGCCATGAAGAGTCTTTAAGATATCAGCAAGCCAATAAAGCCAAAGAAGATTTATTAAACTTTATAGATCCCGAGGCAATTATTGAGAAAGCAAGAAAAAGAGCATATGGCGATCTAGTATCAATTAATAATCAAAGCTATGAACAGTTTTATAATGTGTATATAAAACCATTGGATGAAAAATTCAAAAATTTTGATTCTAAATTAAAACAATTTGATATCACAAAGAATAATATAGATCCAGAGGCAATTATCGAGGAAGCAAGAAAAAGAGCACATGACGACCTAGTATCAACTATTGATCAAAATTATAAACAATTATATAATTTGTATATATGGTTTAAGCTAATATCATGATAGAGTGCTTTCTTTAATTGGAATATTATTTTCCAGCAATGACTGGTTGAAAGTAAATTTTATGTTTTAAAGCGCAAGCTTTTTAAAATTAAACTAAATTAACTAGAGATTTATATACTACTTATCGTTATATAAAAAAATATTTTATAATAAATTTTTAGATTAAATAATTTTTATCAATCACGTGGAGTTTATCTGAAAAAATAACCGTTTTTCAATGGTTTTGTTTACTCAAAATGGGAGGAACAGAAAAATATTAGAAGAAGAAACAAATTGTTTGTCGGCAAAGTTTACTAAAACCTGAGGTCCCATTTCTAATGATAAAGGTGCCTTTTTCACATCTCAAGAAAGGAGCTGACACGCTTTATAGAGAGTAGGCCTCGGAGTCCAGCTTCCGATGAATATAGTCATGCCTAAGATATATCAAGAAATAAAATCAAGTTCTGCAATTGATTTAAAAATACTGCAAGAGTCTAACCAAAATACTGAATGCAAGCTTGCTGAATTGGAAAATTATTTGAAACCTAAAATTGGTATGCTTAATCTTAAATATGACAATTTGGATTCTTCTTTCACAAGCAAACTGGAACAAATTAACCAGAAATTTATAAATATTCCAAGTAAGCAGCAAATCGATGAGACTTTAGCGGGTCTCCAAATTAAAATTGAGAGCTGAAATAAAGAAACAGAAAAAAAACTAAAGGATTGGGAAGCCTTATCATCAGCTGACAAAAAATTCAATAAAGAGAAAATTGATAGCTTTGAAAATAAGATACAGCAATTAGAACATAAAAAAAATGCCAAAATTACAGTCGAATTCGACTATTCTCAAATTGTGCCTAGTAACCAACCTATAATATCTCCTCAGCCAAAGATCCTTCCTCTAAATTTGGTTAAAGATCTCTTAAATGATCCAGAAATTCAAGCCGAAGCCCCATGTATTAGTAGCCAACAAGAAGCTCCAAGGTTAAAAGCGGATCACAGCAAAGCTTTCAGCAAATCTGGGTTGCCTAATATGTGAAATACTAGCTATATGAATTCTCTTATTCAAATCTTAGCAAGCGCTACTGAATTTGCGGAGTTTATAAAGAATTGCTCCTCTGATAAATTACTGAGAAGTTTGACACAAGTTATACAATTAATACAATCTAATTCTCCAGAGCATCAAATAAGACCCCACATAAAAGAAATCAAAGATATCATCCCAGAAGAATACTCGATGGTAAATTTTAACGGGTTTTATAAAAACGATCCTAAAGATTTATTTATAATTATTTCAGGTAAAGTTGGGAACCCTGAGCTCTTTTCTATTATCAAAAAACAATCATTTACTTGCCAATTTAACCATAAAGAAGAAAAAGAAGACAGTCAAAATTTTATAAATATTCCAGAAAATCAGCAAAATGACATAGAAAGCTTCTTAAATTGGCTAAAAGATTGGAAAAATTTTTCAGGGCAAAATCAATTACATTGTGCAAATTGTGGAGGAATGAGAGATATTGTAATGAAAACTGAAAGCATTCAATGGCCATGCATTTTAGCAATTTATATGCCTAGTCGGTTATCACAAGAAATCCCAAGTTCTTTGCAGGTTGAAAATAATTTTTACAATCTTTTCGGAGTCATATACAAACATAAAATAAATAGGCAATTTTGTATTTGCAATTAATATTCTATTTTTTATATTAAATAGAATTTTCTATTTATTGTTATAAGATATATGCTGATATGAGAAAAATTTTATAGCATTTACGAAAAATGATGAAAATGAATGGGAGAAGTATAATGATTCTGATGTGAGCAAAACAGATCCTGATTGGAATAGGCTTTACCTTGCATTTTATAAGAAAAATAATTAATTCTATTCTCTTTCGTTTGAACATGATTAAGCTTGTTGACTTAAAAGATTAATAAAAGATTAAAAAGAATCAGGTTAAACAGCTATGCTATGATGCAAAATAATGTTATGACTTATATTTAATGCTTTAAATTTTCCTTTATCTTTTTTAAGATTCCATCAATTCTTCCACATAAAGCAAAGGTATTAAATACAGAAACTTATAATAATAATTAATAATTAATTCGATATAACCTGTGAAATAATGTGTCAACTTTTTCTTTTCACAATTTATTCTTCTTGCCAAATAATTCAACGAACAAATTTTTAATATTTCAGCTGTCTTGTTTCAATCTTAACAAAGCAGATAACTTATACTAATCTATTTAATTTCAGCTCTTAATTTATGCTATTTTTGATTTATTGTTTAAAATGATAATCTCAGCTTTAGCATGATTTAATAAGCTATGCCCTATCTATTCAACAGAATTTTATGATAGTTAATTATCAATATTTTATAGCCTGAGATAAAGCCAGTTTAGGCGAAATCCATATTTTTATATTAGATTTGTAGAATTCAATAAATATGAGCACTTCTAATTTAAGGGTGTTAGGGTGTTAGGGTGTTAGGGTGTTAGGGTGTTAGGGTGTTAGGGTGTTAGGGTGTTAGGGTGTTAGGGTGTTAGGGTGTTAGGGTGTTAGGGTGTTAGGGTGTTAGGGTGTTAGGGTGTTAGGGTGTTAGGGTGTTAGGGTGTTAGGGTGTTAGGGTGTTAGGGTGTTAGGGTGTTAGGGTGTTAGGGTGTTAGGGTGTTAGGGTGTTAGGGTGTTAGGGTGTTAGGGTGTTAGGGTGTTAGGGGTGTTAGGGTGTTAGGGTGTTAGGGTGTTAGGGTGTTAGGGTGTTAGGGTGTTAGGGTGTTAGGGTGTTAGGGTGTTAGGGTGTTAGGGTGTTAGGGTGTTAGGGTGTTAGGGTGTTAGGGTGTTAGGGTGTTAGGGTGTTAGGGTGTTAGGGTGTTAGGGTGTTAGGGTGTTAGGGTGTTAGGGTGTTAGGGTGTTAGGGTGTTAGGGTGTTAGGGTGTTAGGGTGTTAGGGTGTTAGGGTGTTAGGGTGTTAGGGTGTTAGGGTGTTAGGGTGTTAGGGTGTTAGGGTGTTAGGGTGTTAGGGTGTTAGGGTGTTAGGGTGTTAGGGTGTTAGGGTGTTAGGGTGTTAGGGTGTTAGGGTGTTAGGGTGTTAGGGTGTTAGGGTGTTAGGGTGTTAGGGTGTTAGGGTGTTAGGGTGTTAGGGTGTTAGGGTGTTAGGGTGTTAGGGTGTTAGGGTGTTAGGGTGTTAGGGTGTTAGGGTGTTAGGGTGTTAGGGTGTTAGGGTGTTAGGGTGTTAGGGTGTTAGGGTGTTAGGGTGTTAGGGTGTTAGGGTGTTAGGGTGTTAGGGTGTTAGGGTGTTAGGGTGTTAGGGTGTTAGGGTGTTAGGGTGTTAGGGTGTTTAGGGTGTTAGGGTGTTAGGGTGTTAGGGTGTTAGGGTGTTAGGGTGTTAGGGTGTTAGGGTGTTAGGGGTTAGGGTGTTAGGGTGTTAGGGTGTTAGGGTGTTAGGGTGTTAGGGTGTTAGGGTGTTAGGGTGTTAGGGTGTTAGGGTGTTAGGGTGTTAGGGTGTTAGGGTGTTAGGGTGTTAGGGTGTTAGGGGTGTTAGGGTGTTAGGGTGTTAGGGTGTTAGGGTGTTAGGGTGTTAGGGTGTTAGGGTGTTAGGGTGTTAGGGTGTTAGGGTGTTAGGGTGTTAGGGTGTTAGGGTGTTAGGGTGTTAGGGTGTTAGGGGTGTTAGGGTGTTAGGGT